CGACTTCACGAATAACTTATTAGCCGTTCCCTAACTCTGTTGTTTATATCAACTGTTAGCATGGAAAATAGATCTCCCTCCAACGTATACACATCTCTCTCTCTCTCTCTCTCTCTCTCTCTCTCTCTCTCTATCACGAATACAAATCGACGCATAAATTACATGGGTACATAGGCAAGGCAAAGGCAAAGGTAAAGAAAGACACAATACGAAACTCACCTGTTCTCCACCCCCATATTTCTTCGGCCCCAACACTTTAAGCAATCCCGCAGATTTCAACAACGCAACTTCTGCTTTGGGAGACTTGTTTGCGATATCTCGCTGTGCGGCATCTTGTCCGAGAATTTCTGCGACATCTGAAAATCCCAGTCAGTCAGCCAGTCAGCCATTGTTCAGCTCTCAGCTCTCAGCTCTGCCTCATGATTTCCCTTGATATCTCGCTTTTTTTTAAAAAAAAATGAGAGCGAATGTTTTTTTTATGTTGGGGAGTACAAACAACTCGACTAGGAAATTATTAAACATCTGAATGAATGAAAGGACATACCTGCAGCACGTTGAATCCATTCTTCTTGGGTGTGAGGAAGGCCGAGGCGTTCGAAGCGCTCGTGGTGAGAGTTGTAGATTGCCGGATCGGTATATTCTCGAAGTAGCTCCTTGTTGGACATGATGATGGATAGATGAGTAGGTGGATGGATAGATAGATAGATAGATAGATAGATAGATAGATAGATGGCAGTGAGGTAGATCTCTCTCTATCTCTCTCTCCCTCTCTCTCGATGAGATGTGTTTCGTTCGTTGCCCTGTTTGTTTGAGTGAGGTTGAAAAGACAAGAAAGAGAAACAGCTCGAGACAAGAAATAAGGAAAGGAGTTACCACATGTCTGCACCTATATATACCCAAGGTATTCTCAAGCTACGACCACGTTCGATGGCGAAAGCACCTAAACTACCAAGGGCAGCAGCATGGGGAAATTTCGCCATTCTCATCTGTCAATCATCAAACGTTGCCTGGCAAACGTTCTGGGGGAGGGGGAGGGAACCGGGTGGTTAGAGAGAAGATCGCCAATGGTATGGACTGGTTTGCTCGAGCACGCAATGGAGCTTCCCCATCACGCGCATCAAAACAGCAGCACATCACAACAAGGGGGGGAAAACGCGACGAGCCGAGAATTTTGCTCGCAAATATTGAAGAAGAAAGTGATAAGGGAAGTCGGGAAAGCCGCATTTCCCAGTTGCCGAGCCGAAGACTGTGTTCTCGAATTGAAAGAGGTGGGAAGAAGTAAATATATACAGTTACCTTGAGGTAGGGTCTGCAGCTTTATGTCTCGAAGTGGCTAGTCTCTTGGAAGTAACTCCAGCTTGGAACAGAGGTAAGGTATAAGGTCAGGTACAGAGTGAGGACTCAAGAGCTTGCGTTGGATTTCTGCTCATGTTTAATTATCTATGTATCCACAAAGTCAGTGAATACCTGATCGACGTGATGATCGAGCTGCAAGGAGAACGCACGAGAAACCACATCACGGCTTCTCTAATGTCACGGGAATTTGCAAGGATGTGAGAATCTGGTCTCTTCGCCTGCAGGAAACTGCTGCTGTTGTTCTATTGCACTCATCTCGTAGCCCAGGAGAGGTGCCCCAAGTTGCTTGCTGATACGAGGTGGTGCTCACTGTCTGCCATAGCGTCGCGAATCGCCACCACCCCCATAAGAGGCATTCCCTCCGCCTGAGGGCTGATCGAAGGGATTTGACGCGCCGACAGAGCTCAGAGCTGGAGTGCTAGCATTGCCCTTTCCTCCCCATAGTCGTGCCTTTAGCCTTTCTTGTGCACTTCCACCACCGCTGGCGGGCGCGCTCAGCTCCACACGACTGCCTGGCCTACTACCCAGCTGCTCGGAGGACATGCTCTGATAACTACCCGTGCGCTGCGATGGCAGTGGTCGCGCTTGCGGAGCAGCCAAGTTTGTACTACTGGCACCAGCGGGCTGGTTACTCGTGGGCCTTCGAGCATTGCGCAAGCTCTGCGGCTGTGTTGCAGCTGTACTTTGGCCACCAGACGGCGGATCCCACAGGTCACTCAGCGTTGAACTGGGTCGAGACCCGCCTTGACCTGCTGCACCTGTGTATGGACTCCTGCCACCTGCGCTCGTGAGATAACTTCCATAGCCTCCTTGTTGCGCATACTGCTGTTGGGGATTTGCTTTCTTCTCCTTTGGATCCGCCGGCAGCCACGGAGGATACGGCCGCCCTTTCTCTGTGTAGTGAGCGCGAAGCACGCGGCAGATGTGCGTGTCGTCCTCGGTATCGCCGTCGTCTTCGCTGGATAGGAGGGTTCGGCGCAGAGAATTGTAACGCGACGTTGTGTGCGTGAGCAGATTACTCAGGTAGCCTGACATGGTGGTGTCGTGTGGTGGCGGTGTGGAGATGTGCGATTATTAGACGTGGAAGTGTGCTCACTGTGATGGTGGAGCGAGAGACGCGGGCGCTCTCTGTCGGTGCCGCATGTGCGGGAACATGTTCTGTGGCGCAAGCTGAAGGTAGCCCCATCACACAAATACGAGAAGTTGCGCTTTCCAGCTCTAGAATACCACCTCGACTTCACCTTATCATTGACTGTTACAGCCCGTGCCTGTATCGTGTCACGGCGACAAAATTAATATGTGCTCCCAGGCAGCATCTCTTTCGCAGGATTGCTGGTCTGCAGGATCGGAAGTTGAGCGGACATTACCATAGGTTTGAGGGATGATCAACGATTGCATGTGGTGGGCTTCACGAATACGGACGGATTGCCCGGGCAGTGTGATGAGTGGATGTTGTGCGGAATTCCAGGCTACACTCCACTGTTACGATACAAGAGGCTTGCGTTGCTGGCAGCGTCATGGTGAATGTGCACTACGTACGGTTAAGACGTCCGATGGATTGATGGTGATTGTCCACAAACGGGCCGCTGTCGTCGACCGTCTATGGTCGTCATCATGGATACATGTAATTCCTGCAAGGCGCATAAGGTAGCGTCCCGATGACAACACCAGCATCCGATACGTATGGCCATACTGAGAAGCACATACGATACAGCACGTCGTTGTTCAACAAGAGCCCACCGAAGTTTGTATTCTTGAAGTCTCATAATACTTCTAGTAGTCCTAGTGCGTACGCGAGCTTCGAACTACCAAGATCAAGCAAAAGCATGGCTTGGATCCTCTCCGTTGGACCGTTGCTCCGGGATACTGTGCCTGAATATAACAATAATAACCAAAATAACAAATAATACCTCTAAGGCTCTGAGTGAAATCCCGCACGCTCTCCGCACAACTTCCCTTCTCCTTTCCCCTCTCCCCTTTGAAACGACAACACGTGACTGACTGTGCGTCAATTAACATTCTTCCAATCCACTTGCCGGGCGGCGGTGAAAGTGGAACCCGGCAGCGTGCCGCTCATGCGGCAAGACTTTAGTGCCAAAGGCAGGCAGCTGGCGGGAGCTTTCTCCACATTATGCGCATTTACGCGAAAAAGGCGGGACGTCGAGTCGTTCCATTTCTGTCGTTTTTAAAAAAGAGTCTCTTTGATGAGAGACTGGAGCTAGGAGGTAGCTTCATGTTCCGCAATACATCCAGCTCGCATGCTTCCTTCCTTCGACGCTGGGCTGCTGCTGTTTCAACAAGCCTGCCTACCCGCCTGACTACCTGCCTGCCTGCCCGCGTGCAGTTGTATCTTACCTATGTAGTGATACACGATCGTGGGAAACCCCGCTCGTGCCGTCGTTGGTTTAAACGAGGTCGCTCACAGACCAGACCAGACCAGACCAGCCCATAGAAGGTGGAGGTAGGAGGTAGGGCCACAGCCCACCAGCGAGCAGAAGAAGCCGGGCTACACGGCCTACAGCAGGCCTGCCTCTGCCTTTCATTGAACGGATGGCCTGGCCTTGTCCAGTCGGTGCGGTCTGTGGTGCGCGACTCTGTGTGTATGCAAGAAAAGAGGCTTCCGAGCGGGGCCTGGATCATCATCATCATCATCATCGGCATCATCATCACTGTGACTCTGTGAGTGAGCGAGCGTCGTGACCGCCATCCATCCAGTACCTCCTAGTGCAATATGACATCCGCCCTTCTCATGCCAGCTCCACTACTGTACGGTACTGAGCTCGGGACTGAGCGTTAGTGAGGTCGTAGGTCACTGCATATGTATATATAAAAGAAGAGCATGCAAGCTCGTTCTGACGGAGCTCCCATTATAGTCCGTCCCATCATTACTTGACTACCTTACCTGTACTACCAACATCTGTGTGTGAACGCAGTCCCCAGCCAAGGCACGTTCCCCCGCATGTTGCTCCGCAATGGGCGACGATCCCATACATAGCTTCGCCGGCTATATGGCTGCGCCAGCCACTGACATGGTGCTGATCGAACAGGCTATCTCCGCATACCAACCGCTCGACCCCCAAAACCTACACGCCTGCTACTTAAGCTCGCGTGTCCGGACCCATTGCTCTTCTCGTTGATCAAATCTTCAACAAAGAACATTTCTCCTCTCTCATCATGGTATTTGCACGCTCTGCCCTCCGTGCTGCTCGCCCAGCAAGCTCGCTGCTTTCGCAGAGAGCGACAACCGCATTCGCACAACGTGGAGCTTCGCTCTCCAAGACGACAGCAACCTTCGGAGGCATCAGAACGCTGACCGCAACCTCGCGACAACAGGGCAAGGTTCTTCTCGTTCTCTACGATGTATGTCTAACCTCTTCTCCACCTCCCATGAGCTAGCTGCATTGAGCAATTTCAACTCACAAAATTTCCAATCAGGGCCACGAGCACGCGACTCAGGAGCCTCGTCTGCTCGGTACCACGGAGAACGAGCTGGGTATCAGAAAATGGATTGAGGACCAGGGCCACACGCTGGTAACCACCTCCGACAAGGAGGGTGAGAACAGCAAGTTCGACCAGGAGCTCGTCGACGCTGAAGTCATCATCACTACACCGTAAGAGGGACTCTGGCCCGTTTGTTTGACCTGTCTGCATGGTGCTCATTTATATCCCACAGTTTCCACCCCGGTTACTTGACTGCGGAGCGTCTCGCCAAGGCCAAGAACCTGAAGCTGGCCGTCACTGCGGGTATCGGTTCCGATCACGTCGACCTCAACGCTGCCAACAAGACCAACGGCGGTATTACCGTTGCCGAGGTCACGGGCTCCAACGTCGTGTCCGTCGCTGAGCATGTCATCATGACCATTCTCGTGCTGGTCCGCAACTTTGTTCCAGCTCACGAGCAGATCGCTTCTGGTAACTGGAACGTTGCCGCTGTTGCCAAGAACGAGTACGACTTGGAGGGGAAGACGGTCGGTACCGTTGCTGTGGGCCGTATTGGAGAGCGTGTTCTGCGCAGACTCAAGGCATTTGACTGCAAGGAGCTCCTCTACTACGACTACCAGCCACTTTCTCCCGAGGTGGAGAAGGAGATTGGCTGCCGACGAGTAGACAAGCTCGAGGATATGTTGGCACAGTGTGATGTGGTCACCATCAACTGCCCACTCCACGAGAAGACTCGCGGTCTGTTCAACAAGGAGCTCATCAGCAAGATGAAGAAGGGTTCGTACTGGAAACAACAGACGTGATGATATTGACCATTCGCTGACCGCTTCACAGGCTCGTGGCTCGTTAACACGGCACGTGGTGCCATTGTCGTCAAGGAGGATGTTGCCGAGGCCCTCAAGTCTGGCCAGCTCCGTGGATACGGAGGTGATGTGTGGTTCCCACAGCCCGCACCCAAGGACCACCCACTCCGATACGCCTCGTACACGACCTGGGGAGGTGGTAACGCCATGGTGCCTCACATGTCTGGTACCTCCATCGATGCACAGGCCCGCTACGCCGCTGGCACCAAGGCCATTTTGGACGAGTACTTCAGTGGACGCCAGAACTACCGACCAGAGGACTTGATCTGCCACAAGGGAGACTATGCCACCAAGGCTTACGGTCAGCGCCTGAGGGCATAGAGATTTCCGTCTCTCTGTCTCTCTCGGAGAAAAGATAATGCCATATAATGAGTTCTGTGTAACGAGTATTTAGCGTCTGCAGGAGAAGAAGAAGAAAGAAGAAGATACCTTTTTTTTTATGCCACCAGCAAAACTTGACACTACCTACCTCCTTTCCGCTTTCGTACATACCTACTTGTACCTACCTAGGCACACCTTTGCTGATGATGAGCTGACTAGGTAATGTGCCTAGTCGCCAATTGTGTCGCGTTTTGACGCGTCTTACAGAAGAGAGATTTGATATCACACCCCGCCGCCTCCGATCCCGTCTCGACGAGCAGTGACAGCATCTCTGGATGTCGTGCCCATGGGGAAACGAAAGAGCTGGGTGAATGAATGAATAAATGAATGAAGTTGGAACAGTTGACGAAAAATGCACCATACCATACCATACCATACCTCTTGTAGGTAGTAGAAGATGAAGAAGCTCGGAGGACAAAGGAAAAGGCAGGAGCAAGCAGGCGGAAGCAGCCGCTCTGTTACGGGCTAGGTAGTTCGGAGCAGTTCGCGACCTCGTTCTGTTTATAGCGCAGAGGAACCGAGATTCCCGCGTCGACTTGCCTTTTCTTTTGGTATTGTTTATTTCGTTTCTCTTTTCTGTGAAAAGGGGTATATATTGCTACAGGGCGTGTGGGATCAGACTTTTTTCTTTTATAGAGTTGAGGTATTTATTTGTAGGGGATAGAGAGAGATAGAGAGGGTACGGTATCAAATCACAAGTTTTTGGTCTTTTTACAAAAACATCTACTAGACAGATATTTAATTGTTGATGCGGCAGGTACACTATACTAACATCAACCTTCTTAACACGAGATTTTTTCGCATGCAGTATACATATATGCATACATCTTAGCCTACGAGACAGCTACTTACTCCCAGATACTGTACATGTATTAGGTTGATTTTACTCCTAGTCTACCACTGACGTGCGCCAACAACGGAAACCTACAAGCAGCGTTCCGCGTCTGTATATACTCCGTAGAAGCCCAAACAGGGGCGAGCCCTGTTATCTGGGTTGGACGCATCTTCTAAAAATGGCGTCTGTCTGCTGTTCCAATATATTGGCTAGATTATTACCGATTCAAAAAAAGGAGTCCGGCACTCTCTCCCTACTAGGGGAGAGGAGGAGGAGGAGGAGGAGGATCACAAGGAAGAAGACAATATAGTGAGTGAACTCTGAAACTGGTGGTCGAAATCAACTATCATAAGGTACGACGACAACAACAACAGCTACGATTCACATATACCTCGATCTGCAGAAAAAGAAAAAAGCAAACACGTGCTTACTTACTTACATCTTGGCGAACATGTGTTGTCGTCGTCGTCGTCCTGTCGTGCAAGACTTGTTCCGCCCCGTGTCTCGTCCATCGTGATCCGGACCAGTGATAATACCAGATTCGGAGCTTGTAGCTTGTAGCTTGTAGCTTGTAGCTTGTAGCTTGTAGGTAGCCTTGTACTTTGACATTCACCTGCCCCCCTGTCACGATGCCAAGGCTTCCCCCCGGGGACTCCGCCACCATTCAATCATCATCATCATCAGCATCAGCATTGAGAGGAGGAGGAGGAGGCTGATGTTGTTGATGATGATGGGAAGTCTTGGAAGACCGGGCAAGAGGTCAAGAGCTAGGTATACCTATGTATCTTTCAAACCCGAGCATGGCTTCAAGGTTGACCTGGGTGATTCTGACATCACTTTTTTTCCCAACTGACCCATCCATGTATTTGCGTCGTGAGCACTGGGCAGTAAGGTAGTTAACTGGGTGTAGTTGATAAAGTAGTACGCGCACGCACGTACATGTACCCCAGACTACCTCTTGCTACTACTGTACTCGTGAGGTTCAGTAGTAGTTGGGCGCACACCCAGTCTTTTATTTTGTTGAATACATACCTACCTTTACCTGTACTACTGTCATCATCAGATTTTCAGTGCAAAAAACGAGAGAAGAAAGAATCCACAAGACACGATGGCGAAATTGACAAAGGGTCCTTCGAAAACCATCGTCACTATCATCGTGGCCACGGTGATTGTGATATCTGTATTCGTTTGCGCAGCGGTGGCCTGCTCACTGGTACGGCGACACAAACGGAATAAGAGGAATGCGCAAGTCCTGAAAGCGCATCTACGAGGAGGTGGCGACGAGGAACACGAAATCGTCGAGTTCATGAAATCGGGTTCGTTCGAGGCGATGCGACACGAAAGGCTCGGACTCGCGGACAACAACAAGACTCAGCCGAGCGAGCTGGGATACACGACGAGACCGTGGCATGAACTGCCGCGGACGCTTCTGCCAGGACAAGCCAATACTTCGTTGCCCACGTATCGACCAACTATGGCAGATCTGCCCAAGGCGGAATTAGCAGATACGAGCATCGTTGAACTTCCGCCGGCCAGGTCTGATCAGAAGCTGGTACCGACGCCTCTGAACTTCTCGAGACCATCCAGAGACAACGCACGCCTCAAATGCGATGGCGAGGTTCATGAGTTGCCGGAGGAACCACAGCAGGGCAGCATACCGACAATTGCTGGGATGGAGCGGCACGATCCCAATAGAATCTCGTCGCCTACGGTGCCCACTCTCATCCGACACGAGGAGGATAGCTCCGAGTCGGGTATTGAAGAACGTTCAAGCCCGGTCAGTCCACTCACGGTGGGAAATTCGGTCCGTGGAGAGAAGGACAGGCCCAGACGAGTGAGTTTCGCATCAGATGTGTCCCATTTGCGGCCAATGGAGATGCAAGGCGTCCCCAGCCCAACGTAAATCGTGGGGCATGGTGAACGAAGACGAATGACCATAACGAATTTCATTTTCCCACGCAAAATTTCTCGAATACGACACCGAGTACTTCTTCAACATCTCCAGCTTCTCCTTTTCCCGTGATTTTGGCGAGACAGTTCGCTGCGGCGCGTAGATGCTCTGCGGCAAGTACGATGTCGGCCTCTCCGCTTGCTTCGAATGATCCAGAGGTGGTGTCTTCTTGAGCTTCCATAAGGAAAGCCTGGAGATTTTGGATGCACTGGTCCAATAGCATGCGATGCCTTTCCGAGGCACCGAGAGACTCTTGCCACACGGATGAGTCTTGGTCGTATGCATCAGCACCGGTCTCTGGCGAAAGAGCTGCCGTGAGCATTGCAAATTCTTGGACAAGACCTTGGAGGAAGGATTGAACGCCGTCATGCTCCCCAGCTGTATCTAGACATGAGAAGAAGTATACCGAGCTTGTCTCCAGGCTCGGCATCCTCTGGCAGATGCGCTGTCTTACATCTTCGCACACAGTAGGATTTCCACTCGTCAAGTCTGTCTTGTTGACGGCCACCACGACATTCTTCTTCCTTGTCAGCAAGAGATCTGCTACCTCGCACACTTCGTCGTCTAGGTTAAGCACAACACTGCCATCGCTTGTCTTTTCAAAGCTGAACATGACAACCACCAGATCACTTTCCTCTGCCCTGATTTTCGCTCGCCGCATACCTTCTTGCTCAATGCGACTAATTTTCTCGGCGGATTCAGCATGTCCCTCGATCGCCTTTCGCAGACCGGCGGTATCGCCAAATCGACAAAAGTATCCTCCCAAATCGAGGCCAATCTCCACAACGTCACGTGTTGTACCGGCTTCATTGCTCACTATCGCAGCTTCACGGCCCACAATTCTGTTCAACAGAGAGCTCTTCCCAGTGTTGGGTGCGCCCAGCAGAGACACATTGATGCCATGGCGTAGAAGCTCTCCTCGGACAGCATTACGGACATGCACCTGCAGCGATGCTTGGAGAACTTTGACTTGTTCTGCTACCGAAAGCATGAGCTCTGCAGGACTTTCATCGAAGTGCTGATCTTCACTGAAGTCGATGAGCGCTTCCAGCTCTCCACGTGCGTATAACAGCCTTTGCCTCCAAGTCTCGTATTGTACAGAAAGCTTTCCCGTAGTGCCTCGAACAGACAGTCGTCTTTGCTGTTCAGTATCAGCAGCTAGAGTGTCTCCTAACGCCTCAACCTGGGTGAGACCGAGCCGGCCGTTCATAAATGCTCTTCTTGTAAACTCGCCAGGCTCTGCATAGCGAATGACTCCAGACTCTGCAGTGCCACATCTAGAGATAGCAGCAAGCACGGCCTTGACGATGGCCGGGCCGCCATGAACGTGCAACTCTAGTATGTCCTCGCCAGTAGCACTTCCAGGACCTTCGAAATGCAGAATCAAGGCACTGGAATCGAGCACATTGGCAGGCGAAGGTGTCTTGCCAGGCTCATAGAGTGATCGTACCGTCGCGACACGCGGTCTCGGCGCCTTCTTGCCAGGACATAGTGCAGCATAAATGTGCAGACATGCTGGTCCAGAGACCCGGATTACGGCGATGGCAGCTCGGCCTGAGGCGGTAGATAATGCATATATGGTCGGCTCATGATACGTCAAGTTTGATGCAAAGGCGGCCAGACCTCGTGGCGTTGCATGAAGCGGCGGCCTCCTGGAAAGAGAAGTGGTGGTGCGCGAAGGATGCGGCCAGTCTGTGCTGCCGAATGTGTAGTGACAGTGTTGTTGGTATACAGCAGGAATCTGCGAGTATCGATGGAGCTTCGCATTCCCCGCGGCGCGCAGTATGCCTTTCATCAACCTGTCACCTTTCGCAATGTTTTGTATTCCAATTTGTAGGGACAGGACAGGGACAGGACAGGGCCAGAGAAGTGAAAGCGTGAAGGGTTCAGCCGGGGAATCGGCACAGATGACGGAAAGCCAAAGTGGTCAAGGGCCATAAATACATAAGGTATACCGTAAGCGTAGGTAGGGGCGATATATGCGTAGGTGCTACATATGCATACTCACGTAGGACCGATATACACCACCTACTACTGCTACTACTACAAGCATAAGGTATACTGCGATAGAGAAGCATTGAGGGCTACCTGATATATGAGGTGTAATTATTCACGGCCCTGGACCACTTTGGCCCTCCGTCACGGAGAAGTACGAGCCGCCCGAGCTGCCGAGTCATATCTACGGCATACGGTATACAGATGTCTGTACCTCCTAGTCACCTGTTCAATCGTTCTTTTCCGCTTCTCTCATAGCCACCGACCCAGACCGCGTCGCTATTGATTTTCATGCTGATGACACGCGAGCCAAACATGCAAGCGGGTCAATCGTCCAAACCTCTCGATGGACATACCTGCGTCCTCATTCCGCCGTTCCAACCTAGAGCCCAACCGCACTACCAGGCGTATCCTTCCTCTTCGTCCTCTGCACCTTCATGCCAATCATCATCTCCACTGGCTTCAGCATCAAGAAAGTCCTCCTCCCTGAACTGTGTTTCGCGAGGACGCTGGTTGTCAATTCGAATATCGACGATATCGCATAAGCTCTGACAGAATTTCTCCGGTATCTTACGCCAATCCTCTGCTCCGCTCTCATCTTCCTGTTCCGAATCTGTACCGGACTCTCGCGCAGGCGCTTGCGTCTCCGAGCGTGTGACAATCCGGCTCTCAGCGACAAGCTTGCTGCGACGCTGAGGTCTCGTACTCCTCGGCTCCGGTGGCATGTCAGGCGCAGGAAAGTAGACCGTGTCGGCGCTTGGTCGGTGTGGCGAGACCTGCACGTGCATGACCGTTCTACGACGGGGACGTCGATCATCGTCAGGTACACCTCTGCCGAGCTCGTCCGTCTCACCGCTGTGCACTTTGATCTGGTGTGAGGAGCTCTCTCTGGACATCGAAAACTGCTTGAGCGAGCCGAGCTGCTTGTTGGGTTCTTCATGTGGGCGCTTGTACACCCGCCGTAGTCGCTCAATCCACTGATCGCGAAATCCTACGCGATCGCGCCAGGGAATGTCAATGTGCGCATGAATGATGAGAGTACGTAAGTCTGGAAGTTGGTCTGCATTGTCAACGAGCGTGCGGAAGAAGTCCTGTGCTGACTCTGGAGACCACTTCTGGGCTTCCAGGATCTCAAGGTGCCGCAATGTGGATGGCCAGCTTGCAGTCTCGCCCTCTGGCAACAGCTCGTCATAGAGCTCAATTGCATCATTCGTGGTTTCACGCTCACTGTACAACTGTAAGTCCAGCTTCAGTCTTTCGAGGCGCGGGCACTTCTCCTTGAGATCCTGCGTAAAGCTGAGGTTCAGAGCTGCATTGTTGTTGAGCTCAAGTTCTCTGAGCTGAGAGCCAGAAGTAGTGAAGAACTCTCGAAGCATGTCGCTAGTTATCTCAAGGCAATTGCTGAGCTCGAGGCGTTGCAGATTCGTGGGTAGTCGCTGTAAGAACTTCTCCATGATGATATCGCATGAAATGAAAGTGAGATCTGTGAGTGATGGCAATTTGGCGATGGATGTGGCGAGACCAGGAGGAGCGGCCGCAGAACTACCTTGGCCATCCGAGTCAGGTATGCCAGGCTCCAAGCTATCATCCACGTTGAAGCCTGTCACCACCAGCCGTTTTAGATAAGCAAACGCGCTACTGTCGTGAGCCCTCGAGATCTTTTCGTACAGATCAAGTGACACATTGGCTGCGAGTGCACTCTTCGGAATGGTTTCACGGCTCCAGCGCCACGTGCGCAGATGAATCCCTCGCTGCTCCATCGACCTGATCAATTCGTGAGGCTGTATTGTCCACTTGGGCTGAGCTCGTGGCCGATATGGCTTCTCATAGTTCTGGTGCAGCAACTCCATGTGCTGCAGTTGTGGCAGTTCGGGGATCAACTGGAGCAGGTCAAACACTGGTCGGCCATGTGCAGTGTAGGCCAGGTTTCGAAGATCGATATTCAGCCTCTGCACCTTCACGTTGTAATTGATATACCGTTGATCGTCCGGTGTGCGCAGCAGGTCCAATAGCTGATGTGGATATTGCGTGTTGTAAATGCCTGGCGACTGGTAGAATGCTTCGAGAGCGGGAACAGAGAATGCTCGGCACACTCGTGCCGCCGATAACTTCAGCCATGCGGCGTTATCATGAGAGGCGCGCACCCATGTTTGAGTGTCGCCAGCAGCATAAGTGAAGATCTGCTTCAAGATAGCATGAGGGAGTGAAGTCCACTTCGGAATCTTCCCATCGCTTGGCCCATCAAAGGTCCTCTTTGCCTCTTCCTTGTTTGGCTGTCTCGCCTTCCCAACGCTGAACACCCTCTTCAAAGTCGTCTGCCTCGTCTTGGCTGCCTTGCTGCGGGTCTGTGGTTGGCGCCGGTTGCTGGCCTTGCGCTTCTTCAGCGCGGGTTCCTGTACAACGTCGACCAATTCGGCGGGTTGGTAATCATCGTCTCTGTCGGCTTCGAATTCGTCGTCGGTTTCCGGGTCGAGATAGACAGAGCGCCGGCGTATCGCGGTCTGTCGCGAGGAGCGTCGCTTGGTGCCCGCCATATCTCTCGTCGTGACAGTGTGGGCGCACTAGAAGGGTTGGTGCGATGACAGTGACAGCATATGTGTGGCAGAGTCAGGTATCGTGAGATGTCCCTGGGGCAGTGTTGTTGCCCTCAAGGAATGATGACAACCTGGGAGGTGGAAGCGACAAGCAGGGATCTGCACCTACTTCCTAGCGTAGCGTCGCTGCAGGGTACCGCTGGACCATCCCTGCTGCAGCCAGATCTTACTTGCTTACATAAGACACATGAGATCTGGGATTCTGGTCTGGGTAGGCAAGTAGGTACACCACCCGTTCAACTTCCACCTCGCAATGGTGAGCGACTATCACCCAGTCCGCCAAGAGAAAGTGAGCAGCTACATGTGCTCAAGCCTCGCTTGAGAAGACGCGTTGGCATTGTATTGCCTGGTACTGTACACATGCGCACATGCGATAACCACGATGAGATTTAAGGCATTATCTGTCACACGTTGAACGATCACATCCAAGATGCGTTTCAGGGCGAGTATGCAGAATGTCCATACTTTCAGCAAATTCACGGCCTCGCTGGCTTCTCTCGGTAACATTGCTTGGCTCAGGCTCGACGAAAAGGACATACGATTCACAGTCATTCCGGAGTCAGGCACGCAAGTGTGGTCAGTCCTGGCTATAGACACAATCTTTGAGACCTACAGTATACAGTCTGCGGCCGAGGGAAATACTATCAATCTCGAACTACCGCTTGCGCCACTACAGCGAGCACTGAAGAGTGCTGTGCATGCCACATCTGCCAGCATTCGTCTGACCAAAAAGGACAATGTGCCACTATTATCGCTTACAATCTCTACTCAGGCCATGAACAGCAGTGCGCCAATGCCTAATGGTCACGCAAACACCGCTTCTGGCGACCAGGAGGATGTGGAGTTTTTTGGTGCCAGACAAGATCGCGAGACGGTGGTCACACAGGACATCCCCATCCGTGTACTTGCGCCAGCTTCAGTGGATGGACTGCATGAACCAAAATGTAGGCCACCAGAAGTACACATTACCCTGCCGAATCTGATGCAGCTCAAGGGCATCAGTGATCGCTTCACCAAGCTAGCTCTGTCTGCGAGAGGCACCAGAAGCGGCTTCAACAGTGCTGTGGCTGGACCGAAGCTCGAAATCAGTGCTAATATGCATGGCTGTCTACGACTTACTCTCAACACCGACGCAATGCGTATCAGCAGTCTTTGGACTGGCCTCGAAATTCCAGAACTTGATCCTTCGCAAGTTGAAGGTGGCGTGGAAGGAATTGCCAATCACCCCAGCACCAGAATGAAAGCACTTGGGAATTCTTCTGGACAGGGTGAAGAAGGATGGGCGACCGTCCGTGTCGAAGGTCGAGACTGGGGTCGTGTATTGAGTGTCGGGCGCATGAATGGCAGAGTTATTGCGTGCTTCGTGGACGAGCATGCTCTTATTCTGTACGTCTATCTCGAACGAGATGAGCCTGGTGGAAGTGAAGATGTGCTCACGGTAAGCTTTCCGATTGTTCGTGCAACATTCTACGTCTATTTGCTGACAAATCTTTCAGTACTACATCTCTTCATTTGCTCCATAGAATCAGAATTACCACCAAATGTCGTACGCCCTTGTCAGAGGCTGAACCTGTCTGCGCCACTCGCTGCCCCAGAACTTCGAGTAATTTGCTATATCAAAACAGATGGTCCTAACTCCTGGGTGAATCTACGAAGTCAGGAGGTGGTCAATTCTACGTTCTCAGGCTGCTGATCTGCCGCACAAAGTGAGGATAGGTCCGATCATGTGTGTGCTGTGATCGCGAAGAGCGAGTGACAGATCAGAGATCGCCGAGTGAGCTTGTCAACAGTGTGAAGTTTACATGGACCAGGGAGTCCGATTCAGCCTGCGGGAGCCTGAAGCCTGAAGCCTGAAGCCTGGAGCCTACCTCCTACGGAGGTAGCCTCCTAGGCTCCTACAGTCAACACAGGTGTACTGGGTTCGCAATTTAAACCTTTGGCGCAACTCCGGTAGAACGGTGTGTTCACATGCCCACTTTTTCGCTCGAGCAAGCGATGAAAGATGATAGATAGATACATGTAGCACACGCCTACGATATGAGCATGTTCAGCGTCCCGAACTGTCAAGGTACCTAGCCCTCGTGTGGGCGTTTGTGTCACAGAACTCGGCGAGTCGGCGAAGGTATTGAGTTCGGTTCTATAGAACGCGCCAAGCGCTCCTCCGCGTTCAGGAGGGAGTGTTCGAGTGGTCCGTTCCCATCCATCATCACGCTCGAGCCGTTAGACTACCATACCTCCGTACCTACCTGCTTGCCTGCCACGACTCACATCTGGAACCTGGATTACAGGGCTCCGAACCTACCACACCACGTCTGCAGCATTCTGAATGATACTGCAGCCTTTCGAATCTCGACGCAGGCATAGCAACGAGACTGCTTGGAGGACGGGAAACTCGCCGGTTGACTGCTGGCCAGAGTGGCTCAGTATCTCCGGACGACCGCAACGAGCACTGGAGAGGGTATGAGGTGAAAGGGCGATTGCGGAAAGGCGTCAACGAGCACAGAGTATACAACAGACAATACGCACACTGGCTGGGGTCAGCGCAACTGCGCGCGCCTTGAGCGCTTTGGCGGAGCAAGAACCCACGGAGCCTGGCGAGGCGAGAGATAAGTTGGCAGTGGAGCGCCACAGAGACAATGTTCTCCAGCGACAAGTCCTCGCGCCAGTCGTCCAACGGCGGCAGCAAGTCCTTCTTTCACCGGAGCAAGAAGGACAAAGGAGATGCACCTCCCATGCCCGAGACCGCATCGCGACATTCGCACCGCAGCTCGAGTTCGACACTCGATCAAGAGGAGTATGCGAAGCAGGGCAGTTCGCACGATGGCATCAACATGCAGGCTGGAGTCATCACGAGTATACCATACGATACAATGCGGCCAGATCGTCCGCCCTTGCATGTTGAGCATGGCGATAGACCGGTGTCGCGCCGAGAGCCACTGCCCCATCATCTAAATAAGGGCGGTGGTGATTTTCACCAGTATCCCGTCATTGATACGGGCTCTATGGCGGCACCTAGACCCCCAACGCATGGCAGCAGTAGTAGGAGCTTGAGGCAGCACGACCCAGAAACTTCCACTCTCAACAGCTATGCCCCATCGCGGAACTCAAGCGACCATGGAAGCATACGGAGCAACTCGTCATACGATCGGCGGCAGTATCAGTATGGGAATGGCAGCACATCGTCCTTTAATCCAGGCTATCAACCCGAACACGAGCGGATGTTCCAAGCTACACACTCATCGCGCGACAGGGAGCGAAGCCACCAATACTTGAACGTATCAAATCCATCCGCTCATACGAGCACAATGTCCTTTAGTCCCGAAGGCTTTCTGATGCAAAAGCCCAACGATGACAGGATCATTGAGAAAGAGTTTCTGGAACTGATGCTGAAGCGAGGATGGAAGAGCTTGCCAGAACAAGCCCGTCGACAAATGGAAGCATACCCCATAAGCAAGAAGTGGACACTGGTATACCAAGACCGATTGGCAGAATGGCAAGGAGAGCAGAAGCGGAAGCACATGTCGCGTAACACCATGACAAGTATCCAAGGATTTGACATAGCCCGTATGGACGAAGAGGGAAGCCCGGAATGGTATGTTAGGAGGATTCTGGACAACTCGATCAATCCCAAGCAATTGCAGAGCTTGTCGGTCAGCCTGCGAACGCAACCCATCGCGTGGGTGAAGGCATTTGTGGAAGCACAAGGGCAAATCGCCCTGACGAATCTACTCGGGAAACTCAACCGAAGGACAGCGTCTGGGCCGACTCCTAATGGTGGTGTGCTTACCGAGAAGGACATGGACCGCGAGTACGACATCGTCAAGTGTCTGAAGGCGTTGATGAACAACAAATATGGCGCCGACAATGCTCTTCAGCATGATAGCATCGTCATGTCGTTGGCGAGCTCGCTGACTTCACCTCGCCTAAACACGAGAAAACTGGTATCCGAATTGCTTACATTTTTGTGCCACTGGTCAGATGGCGCAGGTCACCTCAAAGTATTGCAAGCTTTGGACCATCTCAAGGCAGCTCAAAATGAAAATGGACGATTTGATGCTTGGATGCGAATTGTTGAAGTCACTATCGATGGTCGAGGCAAGATGGGCTCTCTTGTTGGAGCATCTGACGAGGTTCGGAGTGGAGGCATCGGTATGGAGAACCTGCTGATGGAGTATGCTGTCGCATCTCTGTTTCTCCTGAACTCGATCGTGGACGCGCCCGAGCGTGATTTACAATTGAGATGTCATATTCGAGCACAATTTGTGGCGTGCGGCGTCAAACGGATATTAGTCAAAATGGAGGACTTCCAGTACGAGGTTATCGACAAGCAAGTCGAACGATATCGAACAAACGAAGCGATCGATTACGAAGATCTCCTGGAACGAGATGGCAATTCGATGCATGATAGCATGGAAGGCGAGGGTAAGGATCTCAATGACCCCGTGCAGATCGTAGAAGCCATCCAGCACCGATTAGCAGGAAGCAAAGAAGGCGACTACTTTCTGTCTGCGCTACAACATCTGCTGCTCATCCGAGACAACGAGGGCGAGGATCGATTGAAGCTCTTTCAACTTGTGGAAAGCATGCTCTCGTATGTGGCCATGGATCGAAGGTTACCAGACATGGATCTCAAGCAGTCTCTCAACTTTTCTGTGCAGTCATTGATGGACAAGCTGCATACGGACTCAGAGGCACGACAAGCACGGGAAGCCGCCCATGAAGCCAAGCTGATAGCAGACGCTGCGATTGCCGAGCGCGACGAGATGAAATCGCAGGTTGAATTGGGTGCAGAAGGTCTTGTTGCGAAATTACAGAAGCAAGTTGACGAGCAAGCAGCTGTGATTGATCTCCAGTCACGGCAAGCAGATGCACTCAAGTCTGAGCTTGGTGACCTCCAAAGAATACGAGCGCAAGATCTACAACGACAAGAGCTCGAGACACGAGAGCTGTATCTTATGTTGCGTGATGCACAAGATATCGCTGCTTCGCACTCCAACAAGGAGGGCAAGAATGGCGAGCACACAGACCCAGCACAATTGAAGGGCATTTTGGATCGCGAGAGGCTTATGGATCGTCTCGAGATGCAGTTAGAACGTGCAAAGACTCAAGCGAAGCTGGAGGGTAAGGTCTGGCAGCAGGTCAATCCCAGTGACAAGTTACGAGAGCTACGTGAGAAGATGGAGGGAGCTGGGATGGAGCCCGATGGTCTTGGCGCACATATGCCATACCTTGGCCAAGTCACCAGAGCGAAGAGTGGCATACCTCGCAAGCCAATTGCTAGAAAGGTGGACGAGGACGCGGAGGATGACATGGACGAAGAGCTACAGAATGATGACGCCGTGTATGAGAAGCCTCGACTTGTCGAGTTCAAGCGGCCCAAGGTACCTTCGAACGTTGCTCAAGCTCAGCAAGGTATGCTCGCCGAACTGCAGCGCAAAGCACAACGTGTGGATGGCAGCGACGATGAGGGCGATGGAGTTACCACAGGTCCAAGTCATCCCAGTCTGGAGAGTCAGAGTCCTAGGACTCCGATCAGCACAGATGCTCCCGATGTGCCTCCCAAAGATGCCTTCGATGGGCCGATAGCACCACCCGCTCCCCCTGCGCCCCCATTGCCCGGGGCGAGCTTCGATGGTGCCGCGCCGCCCCCGCCTCCCCCTATGCCTGGGTTCTCGAATGCCGCTCCCCCGCCCCCACCGCCTATGCCTGGATTTGGAGGTGGCGCCCCTCCGCCGCCGCCTCCGCCGATGCCTGGTTTCAATGGTGCCGCACCACCACCGCCACCTCCTCCGCCAGGGATGCGAGGGCCACCAGCGCCTCCGCCACCAGGTGCACCTCCTCTTCCTGGCCAGATGCGTGGCGGCTTTCTGCCTAGACAGGTATACAATGCTTCTGGTTCTGGCATAAGCGCCACTGGACCTCGGCCGAAGAAGAAGCTGAAGGCACTTCACTGGGAAAAGGTCGATGATACGGACAGAACGATGTGGGGCTTGAACGCTCCCACTTTTGAGCAGAAAGAAGAAAAGTATCAGGAGTTGTCCAAGAAGGGCATTCTTGACGAGATTGAGAAGCTGTTCATGGCCAAGGAGATCAGACAAATCGGCAAATCTAATGGAAAGAATAAGAGTGACAAGAAGCAAGTGATCAGCAGAGATCTTATGCACATGATGCAAATCAGTCTTGCTAAATTCGCTAACGCCGAGGCCGAGGACATCGTCCGCATGATCATTCACTGCGACCGCGAAATTCTGGATAATGGCAATGTCATGGACTTCCTGCAACATGAAAGTCTCTGCACGATACCCGATAACGTGGCCAAAGCTATGGCTTCTTATTCAAAAGACTGGAACGGAGCTGACGCGCTCAAAGCCGAGCGAGAATCGGACCCAACCGAGCTCACTCGGGAAGATCAGATCTATCTGTACACTGCCTATGAACTGCATCACTATTGGAAAGCAAGGATGCGAGCGCTTGCATTGACGCGGAACTATGAAGCCGAGTACGACGAGATTTCCAATAAGTTGAAAAACGTTGTGACCGTCTCGGAGTCTCTGCGCGATTCCGTCAAGCTCATGCCGGTTTTTGGACTGATTTTGGATATTGGAAACTACATGAACGACTCCAACAAACAGGCTGTTGGTTTCAAGCTCTCTTCGCTCGCTCGTCTTGGCATGGTCAAGGACAAGGACAACGAGTCGACACTTCTTGATTACGTGGAACGTGTTGTGCGCAAGCAATACCCACAATATGAAGGTTTCTACGAAGACATCTCTGGGGTGTTAACCACACAAAAAGTCAATATTGAACAACTACAGGCCGACGCAAAGAGGTACATTGACAATATTGGCAATGTACAGATGAGCTTGGACAGCGGCAACCTGTCAGACCCGAAGAGATTTCACCCCGAGGACAGGGTCTCACAGATCGTGCAAAGAAGCATGAAGGAGGCTAGAAGGAAAGCCGAACAGATGCAGCTTTATCTTGATGAGATGAAGAGAGTGTTTGACGACATTCTCACCTTCTTCGGTGACGACAACAAGGATGAGAACGCCAGGAGAGAGTTCTTCGGCAAGCTGGCTAATTTCTTGCAAGAATACAAGGTGGGCACTTTTCGAGGCTGACATGTTTTGACAACGCTTGCTAACTAACATGAAACAGAAATCGCACGAGAAGAACATGATTCTGGAAGAACAATGGCGTCGCAACGAGGAGAACATGCGTCGCAAGCAGCTCAAGGCCGGCGGCACGCCTGCAAGCACCAGCACCAATGGTGATCTCAGTCCGTCGCCCTCAACAGGCGCCATGGACTCTCTGCTCGAGAAGCTCCGGGCGGCGGCTCCTCAATCGCGAGACACTCGTGAACGCCGAAGACGTGCTCGCCTCAAGGATAAACATCAAATCCGCGTGGCATCTGGCCAGCAAATCCCGGAGACTGGGGAGAATACTGACGAACCTCAGACCAGCCCTGACGAGCTGCTTAAACCCAGCAAGACGAATGACTCAGAGCCAGCACCTGCAACGGAAGGTGGTGTCTCAGAAGGCGAAGACATAGCAGACCGTGCTGCCTCCTTGCTGCAAGGTCTTCGTGGTGACGCTGAACCTGCTGATCCCCAGGACAATACTCTACGGGTTCGACGCAGAAGGGAAAGCGCAGATGACGAACGTTCACGTAGAAGAGCAAGACGCAGGAACGTGGCTGGGAGCGCCGATCAAGGCGATGGTCGTGCCTCGACCACGATTGCTGAAGAGACCGACGAAGCGAATGGGTCTGCTCAAGCGCCCATCATCATTGAGATTGACGAGGACAGTGAGGAGAAGAGGCTTTCGGATGACAGTCCCCTGCCAACACCTACGACGATTGTTGTTCCGCCTAGTCCGGACCTCGACGAGGCCACATTGAAGGACTAGCGCTGCTTTGAACGGAGCCTTGTCTCCCCTGGTCCATCCAGACTTCAGCTGCACTGAATGTGCGCTAGTGGAGATCTGTGTACATATTCGTAATGTTTTTTGTTTTCTTGTTTTTGTAATATGCTTCTGTAGCAGACAACCTTTTTTGTTTTGCTGCAATCTGAGCGTAGGAGCGAAAGAGCATGGGAGTTGCAAGGTCTGGCAGCTGCGCATGAATATTCATTTATGAGCATTAAGTTTGAACGAATCCATCTTTTTTTTTCCACATCACCATCTCGAGTTCACCTCTCCATAACGGGTCCCCGATGATGCCGAGGGAAGGTCAGATAGTAGACGACATCGATCTACCTACTCGTAGCAGGTTTCTTTGATAAGGACCCCCTTACACGATATATGTACTGTCTTTTCGCAGTTATGGACACGTACGGTGAAGCTAGTATACGACGGCGGTCCGTATCAGTACATACACAGCTAACTTTCTTGTATGGATATCGATCGCTTCCACGAACTCCTGAGGGGATGCAGCCAACGTGATATCTTACAGAGCTAGCTGATGCTCCCTGGTTATCTAGTCATTCTCAGCCCGAGAGGCTAGTCTGCGTGAAGCGCATGCCGCTAATTCTTGCAGCACTTGCAGCACAGCAGTGTCCAAGTCTGTTGGATCTCTCTGTTTGGTCTGGTCTGGTCTGGTCTGGTTCTCCTTCTCAACCACCGCCAGAAAATCAAGATGAAGAACAACAATCGGGACACTGCCAATGCATCATCTCACGCCTTTGCATTCCAACGCAAGCCATGTGGAAATCCCTCGCACACGTGGGGTTTCCGCAGGCGACTGCTCCTCTCCTTCCGCTTACCATCTTACCACATACACAAAGGTTTCTCTCCAGCCTCGGAATAACCAGCGTTTCGGGGATTGCGTTGCCCCCTGAATTGGTGTCCTGATTCGTATGCTGCGGACTGCGGGCATGATCTGCGAGCAACGCTTGATGAGAGTGTATTGGATGCAGCTCAAATACGACCGGTCCGTTGCTAAACCCCTTTGCGGCCTGTTCGAGGACTTCAATCCAGTCCTTTTCAACCGTCACCAAAGTTGCTGTGCGATTACTAGTACATAGTATGGCGTCTGATGCGCGGATCCAGACAAGCTGAACGTCTAGCATGCTTGTAAACTTGGCCCAGCAGAGGTGGCCAGGTTTCATCTGCTCGGGACTTACTTCAATCTCGTCTTTTACCAACTCCTTCATCTCTCCGTAGTAGGGCTTTTGCCTGCTGCCACTGGTCCTTCTGCAAACAAATGTTCGCAGACCAAACGGAGGGGGTTTCGTTTGTCCAGGCGAGGGCGACAGGGGCTTCGCGGTACCGCCCGTCATCATGGGTGGGAATCTGTCGAGATCGGTTGCATTTGATTTCGCCCGTCTGTGTGCTTCCTGACTTATTACAACCATTCTCTCATCCCGCCCAGTCGCTGCCTCTGCAACAAGCTGTAGACAATACTCCATGTCCTTCTCTGAGATCACTCGACCTGCCTTGAGTAACACGAGCTTGTTGCGGAACAACGAGTTCATGCTCGGTTGGGCAAGTGCACTTCTATGCTTCCTGGCCAGACGCACTATAGAGTCCCTGACTAGCATGTCAGACATGGGACGCTCCTCGTCCATGTGTCTGTTGATGAGAACATGAAAATCCTGCGTGATTTGGTCCATACCCATCTTGGCCAAATCATGGCACTGACGGTCAACGAGCCAAAATTCATCTGGGTCTTCATCGCTGTCGCTGATCACATCGCCTGGACTGAGTACATGCTTAGAGGTTGTGCGATAAAATTTGATGCCCGGAACGTGCGGCACGGTGTGCTTCCTCTTCCTCACGCTGGGAAGTTCTGGCACTTCCTCAGGAGGCATAGCTTTCGTCTTGTGCTTGCCAAGCTCGCGTGCGGGTGATGGCAATGCCACAGGCCCTCCGCGCCTGATTCTCCCGGCGTTTGTCTTGAGCCCTGCCGCCTTCTTGCCAACGTACATGATAGACCTGGACTGCTGCGTCTCCCAGCGCGATTCCTCGCCAAGAGCATGTCTATCCATGTAGACCGTGGCATCGAAAGGGTCTCTCGGCGCCGTCCAATCAAAGTTAACATTCGATGTCTCGTTCAAAACCTCCTGCAGCCCCTCCTTGAGCTGCATTTTGAACACCTTGACGTTGACGTCCTTGTCATCTTCTTCAACTCGGATGCTGAAGTGGTCGTGGTAGGTCGCATAGTGGCCGTAAAGTCTTTCGATGCTTGGATGTTCAAGATCACGCGGGCAGAAGATGCACCTCAGCTCAGACATATGAACACTACGATGAACGAATCCGCCCACCCAGAAATGATATCTGACACTGCATGAACCACGTCTCTTCTTGGTAGGTGGCCGAGCATCTTCAGATGGAGATGGCGTGAGCATCTGCTGATTACTCCTGAGCTGGCGCACATGCTTGTTATATTGTGTGATGACTGATTCTCCAGGATGCGTGTTCCAGCTCATCTTGGGCTGTAACCCATATGGCAGATCGAGACGGCGGTGCTTTTTCGCTCGTGTAAGTCGTAACAAGTAGTCGTCCGGTGGAAGGGCGGGAAGCCCTGGTTCTACCGGCGTAATGCGAGTGTTGCCCCAAACGGCTTTGATCATAAATTCGTTAGGAGGATCATCTGCATGGTCCGCGGGTGTACCACCTGCTAGTCCGATCAAGAGCTGTGACGCGTCGATGGAGTTCAGGCACGAGATCTCAATTTCCAGGGCGTAATTCCCTGACATCTTTCGCTCCCAGTACTTACTTTGGCCATAGCAAACTTCCGTTGGGGTGTTCAGCTGGTCCGCAGCAATCGAGAAGGGAGTCTGAAGACGAACTTCAAAGAGATTCTGCTTGCTGGGAGTCTCCAGCTCCAATATTTCGCCACTTCTAACCTCGCAGTAAGCGATGGTCTTCGGGCGCTCGTGGAGGATCTTAACCGCCACTTGACATTGAATTGGCCTGTCATCTGGATGTGGCAGCCAGTCCGGTCCATCGCCTCGAGGTGGCTTTCTGATTGGCTCTTCGAGCCCTCCTATGGCTTCGCTACGTGGCCGCAAGAGGAAAGAGTCGATGGTCAAGATTGGTTCAATGTTTTCGCAATACTGAGCCATCATAGCGTCGGTCGGTGGTTTCCACCTCGCGCGTCGCCGTCTGTCTGGCTCTGCTATTACTCTGGCATTGCCTTGCAAGAGGCGTTCGTGCGAGTCGAAGATTTGATTCAGGTTGCGTCGCAGAAACGGCCGAGGCAATGTCCCAATGTCGTGATAAAGTCGTGTTTTAGCAATAAATGGTCGTAGGTTCTTGTCGTCGTTCATCTCAGTGGAGATGCGAGGTCAGTGGGCAAAGTCTGTCGTTCGGGCACCTCATAATGAAGTGTTCGTGCTGCTTGTTCGTGCTGCTGCTGGTGCTGCCGCCGTCACAGTACAGCATATGAGTCGCAAGACAGCGGTGATTTGTCGGGGCGGTGCGACTAGGGCACAAGGAGCTTTGTTTCTGTTTCTGTTTCTGTTTCTGATTCAATGGCTCTGTTCCTGGGTATTGCGCTGTTCTGCGGGAGGAGGTGGAGGGCCAAGGACATGTACAAAGTTTCGAGTAGGTGTGTGTCAATGTGTGTGTGAGTTCGTGACTTTGTGAGGTGTTGGATATCGCACAGACTGCGGGAGCCGGGAGGGAAGGCACTAACTTTAACTTGGATACATGTGAGGAGAACATATGAGGAGAACATATCAGGAGGACATATGAGGAGGACATATGAGATGGAGACGAAGATGGAAATTTGCGCTGTGGCAGTCATAACATTGCACGACACCGATGTTACATGTTCCGAGAATGGCAGCACTGCTCTGGTATAGTGGAATGCATCGAGGAGGAGGCATGAAGGATTTGTGCTGCGATGTACACCTCATTATGCGCCGTCGTTCTGTAGTAGTAAAAGCTACCTGTTCGTTCTTCACGTACTCGTGATGCCTGGAGGTAGCCGGTGGCCAACCATGCGCCCAAAGTCATCTACCCTGGTAAGAAAGCAGTCTAGTAGCATGCATAAACGCCTTAAAGCAGCCCCAGTACAGCATACACTGCTGCATGCAGTGCCCCCCATTCATATCCTGTCCGCTCGTCTCAAGTTCAAGTTTGCTCCACTGCCGTACAATCTCTAGCAACAGCCGCCCGCGCTACCAGATTGCACGTTTGAGCCTTGGCCGACTTGCACGGTGGGCTTATTGTTGACTGTGGTGTTGCCCATGCGCTCCTTGATCTGGCGTGCCATCGTCAGGAAAGCCTGCTCGACGTTGCTAGCGTTCTTGGCCGATGTCTCGAGGAACGGAATGCCCAGGCTGTCGGCAAACTCCTAAGTAGATTGTCAGTTTTTCCTGCTCAGCGACCCCATACCTGTCCACGAGCATATTCTCGCGGCCTACCTTTGCTACCGTGTACTCAACGACCTTCTTGTCCGACATATCGCTCTTGTTTCCCACAAGCAGCTTGTTGACGCCCTCTGTGGCATAGCGGTCAATCTCTTGTAGCCACTGCTTCACGTTGTTGAACGAGTCCATGTCGGTCACATCGTAGACGACGCAAATTCCGTGAGCACCACGGTAGTAGGAAGAGGTGATGGTGCGGAAACGTTCTTGTCCAGCTGTGTCCCACTGTCGCCACTGTCAGCCCATGCTCAACCTCTTGCGATGATTCTCAACCCACAATCTGGAGCTTCACGGTCTTGCCATCAAGCTCGATAGTTCTGATCTTGAAATCGACACCGATCGTGGAGATGTAGCTCTCAGTGTATGTGTCGTCAGCAAATCGAAGGAGCAGGCAAGACTTTCCGACGCCGGAATCTCCGATGAGCAGAAGCTTGAACAGATAGTCATATCTGTGGTATCTCCGTCAGTTGCTGTGATAAATCTCGCACTGGCGACTTCCGCAACAAAAAGCGACAGCTGGTGCTGGCAAGACACTGCTGGTGGTGCAGATGAGGAGGGAGGCAATCTGGCGAAGCGTTGATAATCGTAGGGTAGGACTCTACAGCGTGCCTCGTCAGTACAATTTCCTTCCGCAGCCTCACTTAGGCACCAGCATCGGACTCACTACTCTGGATTCATGTTTGCAACTATCTCTCTTCGCCGATTTGTGTATGCGTGCTTGTCGACTGCTGTCTCTGATCGCTTATGCCGCTCGTGGATGGTGCTGTAAGGGTGGATGCTATTGAGGTTGCTGCGGGATGTACTGTGCAAGGCGCGAACAGGTGTCGAAAGTGAAGAGTGTCGATGCGCGTCGGTCGTGTCGGGTGGAGAGGTGCAAGAGTTATCGGCGTCTTCGTTGGCGCAATCAAGGGCCGGGTTCAAAGATGTGAGAGTCGTGTTCATCCGAGCGTCGTCGTCCGTCGTCCCCTTCACTAGCTCGGGATTACCCGTCGCAACCATCACATGATGCTACGGACAAAGAGAGGTGGAGACGTCGACACCACGTGAACAAGACACGGCCAGCCAGGCAGGCTATTCATCTGACGAGATGTCCCGAACGCGATACATAGTCACGCGTGCAAACTCTGGTTGTCGACGCCGCGTGCAGAATGTCACAGTATGTCTGTCTCAACGCGCACTTCGGAGCGGAAAGTCACAAGTGCACGCACTCTTCGCAGGCTATCTTGAGATACAAAGTACGACTACCATCGCGCAGCACTCCAAAGACTACCTCCATTGCGGGTTCGGTGGCTGTGAATAACCGCCATAATTGCCTTGTTGACCTCCATAGTCACCACCCTGCGACCCGTATGCTTGATATCCACCTTGACCTTGCACCCCACCGCCGTATGGTTGCTGAGGGGCATAGCCGCCTTGATTGCCATATCCGCTCGGTGGTCCTGGAGGTGGCGGAGGATAGCCTTGTTGGCCATAGCCATGACCACCGCCGTATTGGTTGTTAGGGGTATGTTGTTGACTGGGTGGTCCACTGTTGTAGTTCGACGGGGGACCAGAGTGGTGCTGTTGTTGCCCATAATGTGATTGTTGTCCATACTGCGACTGGTCGTGTCCGTAGCTCTGCTGCTGGCTCTGCTGTTGGCCCTGCTGCTGGCCCGGAGGATTGTAACTGCCGCCCTGGGGTTGGTAGCCGCTCTGTCCACCTGGCTGGTATGATGCGGGTGGTGCTTGTCCTTGATAGGTGCCACCGCTTGACTGATTGTGAGAGTAGCCATACGGGTTAGATCCGCTGCCGTGGCTGGGTTTGTTTCCGCCGAGGACTCCACTGAGCATGCCTCCCAAACCTCCGCTCTGGTGCCCAGATGAGCCGTGCTGCGCACTTTGTCCGCTGTGCGAGGCAGAGCTACCTCCTCCAAGGAACGAAGCAGCAACGCCGCCCAGTCCTCCTCCCGAGCCTCCATGCTGCTGACTGGGCTTTCCACCACCGAGGAATGATTGAGCCATGCCGCCTAGGCCGCCCCCAGAGCTGGAATGTCCTTGTGACGAGCCTCCGCCCAGTACTGACCCTACCATGCCACTCAAACCGCCTGAGCTCTGCTTATTACCGCCGATGACACTGTTCAGCAGGGAACTCTGCGTGCTGATTAGCTATCCGCACATATCGTCTTCAGCATAAAGCTTACGCCTAAGCTCCTGTCACTCTCTTGTCCGCCCATGCCCCTTGTGCCTTCGTCGGGTGCTGCATATGGGTTCCCTTGGGCAGGCGTGCTGCCAGGTGTCGGTACCTCTGGGGCAGCCATTGTCGGTGTCTCCCAGGTACTTTGTCCGGTGCTGATTTGAACGTAGTAGTACTTTCTTGATCTGGAAGTAGGACATTAGTCCCCAGCTCTCAGTCGATGACCGCTTTAACCAAGGAGTGTGAGGCGCAGTCGGTGCGTGTACTCACCTGGCATCCCATTGCGCGATCCTTCAATCGACACCAACTACGTCAGTGCCAAGTTGCATGAGTGGTGGAAAGGTCAAGAGATGCGAGCTCATCATGCAATCGAAAAGGAGGAGCTCTCGGTGAAGGGGTAACAGACGCACCATCCTGGAGGAAGTGTTGGCGGAGCATGATCGGGACCTTGGTCGGGAGTACTTGGCTCAGCCATTGCGGCTACAAGCTCTCAGCTGTGCTCCGCCTGTTCTTCGTAGACCTGAGTGAGCTTTTGACGCTCTTGGTCGTCGGGAAGTTGGAAGGCGAACCGATTGCTGCTTTGTACGTTTGAGGTTCCTGGCGGCGATTTCGCAGTAATTGGCCGCTGTGGTGATTCAGGGTAGGTATTGTTGCATGTAATTGTTTCGAGCGAGGGCGGAAATGCCTGATGAAGTAGGTTGGCGGGAAGTCCGAGACACAACGTGCGCTTTCATTCACGTAATCTTGTGCCTGAAGATGAACTGATGGGATGAGATGGGTAGTGTAGAGTGTAGGAGGAAGACAAGGAAGAGAAAGAGAAGGAGGCTATTCGGAAGCTTACACAAACCCAAAAGCGATCACCTTCTGCATGCGTCATTCGAGAGGGAAGCGAGCAGACTGCAGAGCAGAAACAGAGCATCTCGTCGTGACCGAGTGGTGCATGGCGTACTAAGCTGAGACAAACATAGCGCTGTCCCCTCGGAATAACAAACATTAAGTAGTGTGGCTGTGTGCAGGCGAAGCGAGCTGCCAGCCCTGGTCACAGCCCAGCGACGCGCAGACCCTGGGTCCCACCGCCTCGACACGTGAGAGGTAACACGATGCACGGACGTCCGGCAGACAAATACGGTGAGATTGGGGTGAACTTGGTGAAGTGGTTAGACAGTGTCGTGGTATTGTCGCTACTGTGCAATCAAGCAAAGATCAAAAAAGGAATTGGCTGCCATAGCTCACTAGCGGGCTTGCTAGCCATGCTCTTGGACAACTTGCCCGTCATCCGCCGGCGGTCTTCGTCCAACGTCGAAGTCAGCATCGCCAACTGCATCTCGTATCCACACCATTTTCGTGCCGCTCAGTAATTACTTCTCCAGTTGAAGACCTAGTACTCGGCCTCAGCACCCTCATCACCCTCAGCAGAGTCGGCAGCAACTTCCTCGTAATCGCGCTCGAGCGCAGCCAGATCCTCACGAGCCTCGGAGAACTCGCCCTCCTCCATACCTTCGCCAACGTACCAGTGGACGAACGCACGCTTGCTGTACATGAGGTCGAACTTGTGAGAAAGAGCAGACCAAGCCTCAGCAATGGCAGTGGTGTTGGAAAGCATGCAGACAGCGCGGTTGACCTTGGCAAGATCGCCATTCGGCACCATCTGTGGTGGCTGGTAGCAGATACCAATCTTGAAGCCAGTTGGGCACCAGTCCACGAACTGAATGGTACGCTTGGTCTTGAGCGTGGCAACAGCCTGGTGGACATCCTTTGGCACCACGTCTCCACGGTAGAGCAAGCAAGTCGCCATGTACTTGCCGTTGCGAGGGTCACACTTGACCATCTGGCTATTTGGCTCGAAGCAAGACATGGAAATCTCCTGGACCGAGTTGGCCTCGTGGGCAGCCTTGGCCGCGGAGACAATTGGTGCATAAGCAACCAGAGGGAAGTGAATTCGCGGGTAAGGCACCAAGTTGGTCTGGAACTCGTTGAGATCGACGTTAAGAGAGCCATCGAAGCGGAGCGAAGCAGTGATTGACGAAACGACCTGGGCAATGAGGCGGTTCAAGTTCTCGTAATTTGGTCGCTCAATGCCGAGGTTGCGGCGGCAGATGTCGTAGATAGCCTCGTTATCAACCATGAACGAGCAGTCGGAGTGCTCGAGGGTGGTGTGTGTGGTGAGGATAGAGTTGTATGGTTCGACGACCGACGTGGCAACCTGTGGTGCTGGGTAGACACAGAATTCGAGCTTGCACTTCTTGCCGTAGTCGACAGAGAGGCGCTCCATCAGGAGAGCACCAAAACCCGAACCAGTACCACCACCAAAGGAGTGGAAGACGAGGAATCCTTGCAGACCAGAGCAGTTGTCCGCAACGTGTCGAACCTTGTCGAGGACCTGGTCGATGAGTTCCTTGCCCACAGTGTAGTGTCCACGGGCGTAGTTGTTCGAGGCATCCTCCTTGCCAGTGATCATCAACTCGGGGTGGAAAAGGCTGCGGTAGGTACCGGTGCGGACCTCATCGACGACGTTGGGCTCGAGATCGCAATAGATTGTGCGTGGAACATACTTGCCCTGACCTGCTTCGCATCAGTATTTCATCCACTGGAATTTCGCTCAATTGCGCGCCTACCAGTCTCAGAGAAGAAGGTCGAGAATCCTTGGTCGTCATCAGCGGCCTTGCGCTCTTCGGTGAGATAGCCATCGGGCTGTAACTAGTGTCAGCGAGAAGTTGCCGCTTCAATGCTTCGGTTTGCTCACCTGAATGCCGTGCTCAAGGCAGTAGAGCTGCATTGTCGCACGTTAGCTATCCGCTCTCCCTAGGCATTCGATGCCTCGTCTTTTGCGCCACCACGCTCTTTCTGTCGCTCATTCTGTGTATTGACGAACCTCCCAGCAGCTGTTTGCGATCTGGCAACCGGCCTGGCCAACTGTACACGTCTGTTGTCAGTTTGTGGTGCTTGGGGCGGAAACGGCGGTCAAGACGCGATCGGGCAGATCAGAGGGGGCAGCACATACCGTTCAAGCTGATAACTTCACGCATGTTGGCGGTGATGTGTAGTGAGAGGTAGTACGAGGGTGTCTCTTGACGTTTCGGAGAGAGTCTTGTCGTGTTGATGTCGAGGTTGTGCGCGTGAATTAGATGTTTGATTGTTTGGGAGAGGGAGGAGGGGGGAAGGTTGACCCAATCAGAATTCAGAAGCGGCAGGCACGAATGTTTGCCTGAGACCCTCGGACCTTACTAGGTAAGGTAGGTAATGTGCCTGTGTAATTGTATTTTGCGACCCCCATTGGCCATTATTGACCAATGTCACACCTAATCATTCCATGACAGCGAGGACGCTGATCACACCGTCTGTACCTATACCTAGTCCACGGCCGCCTACTTCCATGACTTCGGAACGATGAGATACAGGAACACTCGGCATTGCTCTCGCTCCTTCCTCGTCAACCGGTCACTACGATGATGCTTCCAGCCTGTCTGACAGCTCTGCTTGCACTCCAAGTCACCACAGCTCTCGCCAATACCGAGAAACTCATCTTTCTCGCGCCGGCGGTCATCACGCTGCCAGACACCGGACCAACGCTGCAGGCGCTGCATCTGGATACGGTATCTCCGAAGAGTCCGACGCTGAGAAAGGCCTTGGCTGTTGCATTTCCTACGCAGGATCGTCCACGAGGCCTGGAGTCCTGGTATCTGCTCGAGGGCTTAAGCGCTGCCAGTCGATACGAAATTCGGATCTGCTGGCCAGCTGTGGTACGTCTCTTTTCGGCCCTTGGAGAGATGGTGCGCAATGTTGCATGCCCATTCCGGGGGTTACGCTTGCCCATGATTCGCTATCGCATTGAGCTGGAGGCCTCCCCTTGATCTGTTTCGAAGCGCACATTAATTACTTCAAAGCATTGCTGACAACCATGTGATAGCAACCCACGGAGTTCTGGCTCGAGACATACAACGTCTCGCACGTTTTTGACACTCCAGCGTTGATTCAGGGTCTTGCTGCATTCGCCGAACAGCAAGTGCAGCCCTCCGCCGACCGTGAGCTGAGGCGAAGTCAGCCTTTGGAAAGCCTGCTCTTTCTCAAAGTACAAGCTGCTGCAGACTACTTTACTACAAACAAGACGCTGATGCTGCGCCCGCAACCCGTGGATATCGACATCATTCTCGATCCATATCTTGCCAATATCTTCCCCGCTTCGCTTCTGCCCACGGCAATTTACATTGTCGGCCTAGCTATCTTATCTTTCTACGTGTCGGGTTGGATCTGGCGCACTCTTCAGTCACAGACCTTGATCAAGCAGCGCACGGACTGAGCTCACGATGAGCACGCCAGACGATGATTTCGAAGGAGAGTTCAGTCATCTGGCCGCCGATGAAGAAGACCCTGTTGTCGATGGAAAACCTCTCATGCCGCTGCCGCAAGCGACGCCCCGTCGGCCCAGACACCCGTTTTACACGCTTCCATCGGAGCTGATTCTCGACATTGTGGATTTACTCAGTCCCGAGTCCTTCATCAACTTCGCATTCGCCAATTATCCGCTTCTTCACTCGTATGGAGTAGCGCCTGCACTTTCACGTACGAGAGTCATCTATATCACAACGCAAACACAGATTCCAGCCTTGTTCCCGCTCCTGCGCATGCCAGCTGAAATCCTGCTGCACATTATGCGGAACCTGAAACCTATAGACATTATGCGCTTCGTGGTTGCCAATTATCAGGACTTGGCGAGGCAAGGTATCGCACCACCCATGACGCCAGGGACGGAGCGCGAGCTGCGCAATGCTGTGAGGGCGAGCATAGGACGAGCTTGGGTTTCGCAGACAGGGAGCTGGGGCTATTCATGGAGAGAACAGTGAAACAGAGCAGGGAGTGGTATTGATGCTCGAGCCATATGTCTTCGCTGGCCCATGAATCTGCTGTTGTGGTAGATGGGTATCATCATGCTTGTACAGATGGACGGTGATCGTGGTGTCGAACGCTGAAGGCGTGGTTTCTGCAGAATATATAATAGCAACGCCGGCGGCAGATGCAGGACAGCCCTTGAGTGACATATCTGTGATGGAGTTTTTCACGTCGTCGATTGCTAGGCATGAGTTGATGAGGAGTCTAGCCGTATTCAAGCTCAAAGGCTGTAGACATGCGAACCGAGGAACCCCAAAAATTACCTCTTTGAGCAAAAAATCTCCATCTCAGGAGATGGGTTATGTAGATGATACTGTGGTGGCTCTTCCTTCCACAGGATAGCGCGGTGCTGTGTATCGATCGGTATCGGTGGAATAGTTTCTCCGATACGTAACAGACGCCAGGACAATACCAGGTATGATTAGGATTTAGGACCCTACAGTCTACCACTTCACGCGAACATCACCATCATCAAGCCATATACCATCGAAACATGTTGTCAAGACGCATGGTAAGTCTGAGAGATAGAGAGGGAGAGAGCTAGATCGTCCCCATGAGAGTAATTTGATGCTGAGTCGAGTAGCTTTCTCGCGAAGAGGAAGCCGAAATAGGCGAAGAAAAGGAAGTGCGAAAGGAAGACCAAGACAAGATCAATCGATTCAGTCGCCTTCACTCCCGCGAGAAAGGGCTCGAAGAAGAACTCAAGGTGAAGCAGGTGTGTGATTGTGTTTGTGTGTGATTTGAGGGCGAAAGTTCACTTCTTGTCTAACCACGGAAATGACAGAAAGACAAAGAAGACCTAGAGGAGATTTCGTCTGAGCTCGAGCTTGCAGATGAGGAAGAAAAGGTCCCGTATGTCCAATTGCGTTTTTCCTCCAATGCTCACCCACCCCCGCACCCACTTCTTATGGATATTGACGCCAAATATCAGATACAAAATTGGCGATTCGTTCTTCAACCTTCCCGTTCCAGAAGTCCAGGAGCTGCTATCCGCTGCCGTGGAACGCATCGATCGTGAGGTGTCTACTGTTGAGGAGAAGCTCGGCGAGTATCGCGAAGAGATGCAGACCCTGAAGAGCGAGCTTTATGGTCGCTTCGGCAAGAGTATCAATCTGGAAGTCTGAAGAAACGGCCAGCAAATAAGCACCGATTCCATTCGTCTGGATACACCCAGTTCGCGGGCAGTCTCAATGCGAGGTCAGGTACCATACTGTGCTTCTCCTCGTGGTACTACAGTATGTGGAGTGCCATTCCTTTCATTGCTGGAAACGGCATGATAGACAAGGATGAGCAAGGCTGCAATATCTGGCTATCGGTATACAGCAAAAGAACTCCGCCGCAGTGAAAGGCCAGATGCACGATGTCGAAAGCTTAGTGTCGAGCTATCTTCAAACTCGGCGTTTGATATCGACCAACAATTGTTCTCAAACATCATTCTTCTTCGCCATTCTTCTTCTTTTTCTCCAATATTCTTTTTTCTAACCCATGCTCCCGCCCAGAACAGTCTTTCTGTCCCTTTCATGCTCTATACCGCATGACGGCGTCTTCACAAGGGCCATCAGGATACTGGTCCAGAACTAGAACGACACTGCCTTTCGTTCCTGCAAACGACTCGCGCCTCATGCGCTACAGGGTCTTCAAGGGCCTGTAGTAGTAGTATCTGAGAGCAGGTCGCTTACTAGGTACTCTTCAACATATCATATCTGAGTCGACTACAGCTTCAACTCAACCGAAAAGATGGATTTGTGATGTCTACAACTTGGACACAAGGTTACTAGGCTCACCCGTATCACCTGCCACGTCCTACTGCTAGATCCTCTAGCAAGATATTTCTCTCGGAGATGAATTCTATGCCTTGCGGATACTGTATCTGGGCGTTGAGCTGGAAGATAAGAGAATTGAGCATAACATGGAATGCTTGCTGATACACGAGAAGAAGTCTTTGCTGTTTTGAGAGAAGGACAGCATAGGGGATGTGCTGATAGGTGACTTATTATATACTAAAGATATGTCGACAGTCGAGAAGCCTCCTCAATGTTATCGAGTCGCGGATGCTTCGCCGAGGCATAGATGAAAAGTGATCGTCAGCTCACGCGACGCCTCTCTTTTTAGTGCTTACGGATTCCGACGGCCGATGATGCAGCAGCATGCATCACCGTGTTCTACCATTCTGACAGCTGCCGAGGTCTCGACATCGTCGTAGGCAACCAACCGAGTGACCGAGTCAGTATCGTCGACAGATCCCAGACCTACTCTCCAGTATTTCATCCCGGAAGAACGGTTGGTTGGTGGTTGGTGGTTGCCTGAGAGTGGCGAACAGTCTACAGGATTGCTGCTTCACCATCGTCGAGTTGCACAGTAGGCAGAGGCCAGAGATGTCTTTGAAGGATGCTTGCCCAACCACAAATGCGTTTCACATCAAAGTTGGTTGTACCATGCATAATGAGTGCATGTACCTTGCATCGTGCAGCACGCAATGCACCAGTAGTCGTCGACTAGTCGCGAGATGGTAAAGCTTGGACATTTACCTTATTCGCGACCAGTTCCCCGGGATTATTTGTTTAAATGGCAAAGTTGATCATAACGTGCAAGGGGCGGAAATGTTATCATCATCATATTATGTGAGCGAGCCGTCGGTGTGATGCCGATACATCAGGAGAGATGGTCAGCGGGAGAGTGGTATTTCTCGTGGGCTCATCTCACCATCATTAGCAGCACTACCTCTCAGGACTAAGGTACTGATTAGGAGAAGCACCACCAAAACTATCCTATTATTATTTGCAGTGGCCGAGAAAATGATTGGCCCAAGCTCGACTCGTCACTGTCTTGGTTCTAGCGTCGATCCTAGTTTTGGACAGACGACAGGCCTGTGAAAAGAGGGTCCGGCCCCAAAAAGTGAATATACAGCTCTTTATACAGCGAACAGATACCTCCATGTGCAGCAGGAATCATGATTGATGGTCGAGACCGAGAACTACCTCACTTATCCAGCCCCGTCAGCTGCCGACAGAGGAGTGTATCCTCTGTATAGTCTCCCTCTCCCCCTCCCGTCTTCAGGGGCTAGATCTCGTTCCACGGAGAGAGAGGTACGAGCGGTATCTCCACGCCAACGTGCGCGGAGACACTCGCGCCCGGAGGAATGCATTGTCTCCAGTACTACTGTAGTACTGTAGTCCCCCTGTACCTCGTAGACTCGTAGTACTACTACTACTACTCGTAGTCGTAGTAAGAATGAGCAGTGCCTTGCGCGGCTCCATAGGTCGACAATACTAAATACTACATGTACTTCTGCCTCCCTCCGTTCAAGGGCAGGGCTGATGAGTGAATCCCGTCAGTAATAACGATGATGATGATGATAGTGGTGGTGAGCCCGTGCGAGAGCTCCAGTCGCTGCCAATCAATAGAAGCAATCATATACTTTTCCAGTTTTCACGATACCGATCGATTTCCGTCTTGTCCTTCGTCTTCCTTCCCTGCAATTTAACGGACAGTAACCTACCTTTGACACACACTAACACACTACTGCATACTGCATTCGGCCTCCCACCACCACCGACGACGGTCGTAGTACATAGCAACACCATCTCGCCCTGCCTGCCGGCCTGGGCCGTGGAAGGGGGGCGTGCGGCGTGCCGACGTGCCTGCGGTGCGTGCGTTCTTGAGGATTGTGACCTCGCATCTTTCATTATTGTCTTCGGATGAGACACCAACGACTCCTTCTCTCCCTCTCCCCACGGCGATACCAACCTCCGCCACGCCATCCTCGTCCGGCCCTTCATCATCACCACCCGGGTCATCGCCTGACGAAGCACTGGCACAAACAAAACTCTTTCCCTGTGCGAGACGGCACGATGAATTGAAACCCCGGAACAAGAGCTGGAAGTCTATCAAGGGATTGCAAAACCCTCCGCTGCCACGTCGGACCAAGAGAGGGTGTCAGTGGGTGGGCAATAACAACCATAATGGAGTTTGATCAAGCATACGCTGGGCGGTGAGCATGATGGACCGTCCTCTCGATCGAGATAGACTGCCATACTGACTTGACTTCCACGCAGCGCTGTCGATTGGAATTTCCCACCGACTCCCACGGAGGCCTCCGAATACACTCCCAATGTCTACCATACACCCAAGACTGCCACCTTTCCATCACACTTCCACGATGCCTTCCCGACACCTCAGCTGCCCAGCTACACGCCGAGGCAGGCCGAGTATCCCAACATGGCCGCCATGCAGAGCAGTGCCCAGTGCTATCCGAGCATGGATATGGACAAACAAGAGCGAGTCGAGGTCGCCATGGCACTCTCGCATCCCTCTGGCTTCCAGAAAGATATGACCAGCTCATTGTGCAACACCTCTCGCCCACAAACAGGACCATGGCATCCCCTTCCGGCCATGGCCTACCCCATCCAGCTGCAATTGCAAATGCAAATGCAGACTCCACCGCCCACTCGGGGCTCGTCGGTGAAGAAGCCTCAGCTGCAAAACGTTGCCTTTGGCACACCGTCCACCATCGTGACTAAACGCTTTGCGAGTCCTCAGGTTGCTCCCCAGCAGACGCCCAATGCCTACACGGACATGGCACCATTGCAACATCCACAGATGCAGAACTTCTCTCCCGAGTTGTATCAATTCGGTACCTTTGGTCCAGCATCTGCCCCTGTGCTGCCGCAGACTCCGCTCTTATGGGATCAGACTGCTAGTTCATTCCCCTTTCAGCAACAGCAGCAACAGCAGGAACAGCAACAGCAACAGCAGCAGCAGCAGCCCAGATTGGACGAGCCGTTTGCACCAACTCCGTCATTTTCTACAATGCAGTGGTCGCAAGCACCATCTCCCGCATTCAACACGCCTGCTATGAACAGCTTCCCAGTACATACCGCTGTACAGCGTCCTGCGTCTGCAGTCCATCTGAGCCATAGCGAAACGCCGTTTATGGCTGCTACAAGTGTAGATCCATCATTGGTGTATAGTTCACCAGTACAGCCACCTCAGCAGCAGCCGGTGGAGCGTGCAGCAGGTCGGCAGCCTAGGCTGCAAGAGAGTGCTTTGCCGCCTGCTTCGAAAAGAAAAGACAGCGGCACGGCGGACCACAGCAAGAATGAGCATCACAAGAGGACAGATACAATCTTCACATCAAACTCCGCGGCATCGACCTTGCCGTCGGCCGGCGTTGCTTCGCACCCGTCACTACGGAGAAGCAACACAACTGGCACCGCTGGATCTCACACTGCACAGACTTTGTCTGGCATGGATTCGCTCGGTCGGCGAAGCAGTCTTCTACAGGTGCCTCGAACAGCTTCACCTCTGAAGCGGGTCGGCAGACCCAACCTGGGCTCAATCAGCGAGAGTAGAAAAGTGAGGGCGCCGAGCGTCATCTTGACTGTCGATGAGTCCGGCCGCGCCCACGCCGTGAGAACAGAGGTCCCAGGCCTTGATAGTTCCACACGGGCTATGCGTGAGCGATATCCTGGTCTCTACGAAAGTGACTCGAGTGATGACGAAGACGTCGACGAGACTGAGAGCACTCCTAGTAGGAGCGCTTCTTTCAGTTTTTCAAGGGGTCAGGAGAGAATGCCCAAGGCGGCCAAGCTCGATTCCTCAATTGAGAGCCTGGATGGACTCGGTCTCCCCCGCGCATCTTTGGCTATCTCGACCAAAGTGGCACCCTCCCGAGCAGCAATCTCAGCAGCAGCTCAGTTGCGCCGAGGCAACAGTCTTCGCAAGCGCACCCCAAGCCGAAATGGACAGAGAAGAGTGACCAATCCGAGCGCCACTTCGATCGACACTGCGCCCATGGGAGATGTCTTCCAGGATAATCGACAATCCGTTATCGGATCCGACGACTTTGACAGAGGTCTCACGTTATCCTCTCGCGGGTCATTCGAACTCGATGCCCACAACCGACGCTGGAGCATGATGTCGCTCGAGCAACAGCAGAGCATTTCTCCCACCCATCCGCCGCAGCCCTCAGACACGTACTTCGCGCAGCCCGCGCCTCGTCGTCAACCACGTCCGCAGGTGCGCTGCATGTGCTCATCGACCAGCGCTCTGAGCAGCGAGCAGATGATCCAGTGCAGTTCATGCACTCAGTTCTTGCATTGTGCTTGCGTGGGCATTGGTCCAGACACTGTCCATCCTCCCAAGTTCACTTGTTGGTTGTGCACTAGACCAACAAGACTGCAAGCCAGCAATCGCAGCTGATAACGCGTGCGAATCGGCTGGGCTCTCCTTGTCCAAGTTCAATACATACATGTATTCAGCGTTCCAGCGCATTTTCCGGGTGGCGCAGTGGCTTACCATACGACCAGCAGTGACGCTGGCAGCAACGCATGTTACGAGTTACGGGGTGGCGATGTCATTGACGAAGCAAAGAGATGATGGATCAAAGACAGACACACAAAGACCAAGCCAGGTCCAGGCTGGCTGGACAAAGGGCCTATGTAGTAACTATAGGTCGGTCATAATGAAATTGTCGCAGACAAAGCGCAGCAGTATGCCTTTGACTCGACAACACTGTTGAGTCTTTCTTAAAACTTGTCAAAGGCAGTCGTCTCTTCACTGGAAGTCTCATATAACATCACTCAACTCACCCATACGGTAGGCAAGTGATACTTTTGTCAAACCCCCCTTTGGCTAACTAACAGAAGAGTAAAAAAACATGTCCTCTCACAACAACAACAACAACGCAACGCGTCGACCGCGGCCACCACACCATCACCATACTAACTTCCCTCCCCAAACCTACGCCGACCTCACCACATCAGACATGCAACTCCTCGCTTTCCTCTTCAGCCATCCCCCACCCCCTTCTTCTTCTTCCTCTTCCTCTTCCTCTTCCGCCCAAGCAGTAGCAGCCTACGAATCCCACATCCGCACCCTCATCACCACAACTCTCCCTCCCCATCTCCTCGCCAAAATCCCTCTACTGAATACAGGTTTTTGTCACTTGCATCGAAAATTAAACGGTTTAGTTGTGGAGAGTCTTCTTGAGGTGATGTTTGTCGGTGTGGGAAGAAGACATGATGACGAGGGAAAAAAGGATAAGAAGGATAAATGTCCAGGTTGTGTACTTGCTCGGTTAGTATTATCGTCATCATCATCGGGTTATGATAATAATGATAACAAACAAGAAGATTGGGCGAAGTGGGGAGGAAGAGTGATTTTTTCGATTTCGAAGAAGAAATGGAAAGGTTCGAAGAGGATTCGATGGATGGAGGAGTGGTTTGCTGCTGCTGTGGTGTCGGGGTGTAAAGAGGATGGTAGTAGGGGGAAGAGAAGGAGCGATGAGTCTCTGGCGAAAGTTGTGAAGCCAATGTGGGATGTGGCTTTGGAGCTGTATCGACAGGGACAACAAGAATACTCTTCTTCCTCGCGCAGAATCGGTGGGGAGAGAGATTATATTGATCGGTATATTGAAGCTGCGGGGGATGTGGATCGTGCCAGAGGAGAACGAGAAGCGTGTGTTGCTACGCCGCCGCAGTCTGCTGCTACTGCTGCTGCTGATACGTACATGGATTGTATCGCGCGTGATGCTGGTCCATCATGCTGGGATGAATCTGTTGTTGAGACGCCGGATGCACGCGTCCTGCAGACACCACGGCATACTCCTCCACAGGCGTCTTCGATCTACTCGCGGATGGAAGACGGGGAGCCGTTTCGACAAGCTGAAATGCCTTTCTGTGCTCCCCATGAAGGCCTCCGACTGTCTCGTCAGTCACAGCATGCGAGGCGTGTTCTGACGCCTTCATCGATCTACTCCCGAGAGCAAGACTTCGACTGCTATGAGGAGGAGGATGAGGATGATTGGGACTATCGTGGAACTGCGGAGAGCCAGATCATCGAGTCCTACAGGCGGTAAGTATTGTAGGTGTGATCCATGGATATGGTGGATGGTAGGCCCCTCATTAGACTTAGTTCAGCGGACCCAATCAATCTTTCTCTTTCAACACCTGTTGCAGTACTTTTCCCAGCTGCTCATAGCTGATATCTCCCTCGAATGTCGACGCCGTCGTGGCATAAGCGCGTCTCATGTCATCCTCACTCACTCTCACAATCCAGCCCGTGCTAGTGACCATCGTGAGTGCACCATCAACGCCTTTTCCCAGTACTCCCGCCGCGTTCAACACTTTTTCAAGTGAAACATCATCATGATCGCCACCCACGTCTCTCGCCACATCAAACAGATTGCACATTCTACTTTCCCCCAGCTCCTCTCTCACGATCCTAACAGCCCTTTCTCTCCTCTGAATTTCTTCCTCTCGCTGCCTGCGTTCCTGCTCTCTCCGCTTCTCACGTTCCTTTGCTTTCTTCTCCTCCAATTTAGCCTCGTTCGCTTTGCGTCGGGCCTGTTCCGCAGCCTGTGCAGCTTCCCTCTCAGCAGCACCTTCGGCATCACGCGCACGTTGAACATCTCCCTGAGAGCGTTGGAATTCGTGATATGCGCGTCGTTGGTCCTTTTTGGCCAGAGATTTGGCTTTCTTGGCGCCTATATTGCGATGCTGTGGAGGCACACGAGCTGCCGCGGGATTCGCGGGGCCTGCTTCGACTGGTGGATCGACAGGTGCATGATCTCGCAAGGGAGGCATTTGGTCATTGTTGTTTTCATCGTGGGCGCCTTCATTGCCACCTGGGAACTGTCGGACATGGTCGTCCTCAGGTTCTATGACATCGTCCACACCGGGCTGGTGAAATGCCCCGTTTTCCGGAATTGCGGGCTCATCGTGAATCTGCCGTCCTTCTTGTTCTGTGGCGCCTTGTCTTCGTTGCTCGAGGTGTTGTTGGATTTGTGGCGCATAGTACAGAAGTACCGCCAGAAGGCCGAGATGAACCACGTCTTGATAGACTGGAGTTCCAGGTGTGGCAAAAGGAAGGAGCCTATTCAGCAGGCCCATGAGAGACGACATGATCACAGACATGCAAGAGAAAAGAAAGTGGAAGTGAACGGAAAGACTAAGGTCACCCCTAATAAGTTAAGGTACTGGGAGGTGCACTTCCATTCGTATGATGGTAGAACTATATGGATGCTTACGTGAGCTTCTAACCACTCTTCCCATTGCCGTCACCAATACATATCAGGTACTTGCTTCTACCTTATGTTCCTGCGAACAATATGTTGTTCCCCTACGAGTAGACACCAAGTGAAATGCACAGTTGATACATTATGCCGAGAGACATGCGTGCAGCACTCATCTCTGTCTAATCGTGAACGCTCCAAATGCCGGGTATAGCCATCACTAACGCCTTCTTCCCCCCTCATGTCGGGGACATGCACACGCACATCAGGTATGGATGTAGTCTCAAGAGTTGTTCAACCAGATCTTCGAGGTTCTTCGTCCCTGGTCGACCGACACGCGACGCCACATGGCGACATGGTCGATACCCTCTTCATCCCAAGTACCCATGCTCTCATCCGTCTCGAACCCATACTTTCTCCAGACCTTTTGGACACCCACTTGCGCATGAACAAGCACCAATCCTTTCCAGCTGATGGCCACGCCCTTCTTCAAAGCCTCCATCGAAGCAGGGTCCAGCAACGGACCGACCTCGTACGGATGAGCTTTCGCATAGGACAAAGCCGTCTCAATCAACAACTTGGATATCCCCGCTTTCCTGAATTCGGGTATCACAGCCAGCCGCCCAAGTTTGACATAAGGCTCACTCGGCTCATGCCCTTCCTTGGCCTCGTCGCTGCCATGGGTTCCCAACGGATGCGGCGCATGCGGCGGTGGTACTAAACGGATCGTCCCAATAGGCATCTTGGTACTACCGCTTCCCTTGCGTTCTGCTCCTCCTCCTCCTCCTCCTGCTGCCCCATTGCTGTTCGTTGCTGCTTTGAGAGGCATGGAAGCATACACCACCCAGTGAAAACTTCGGGCATCATCCTCGTCCAACTCATTCTCTAGTGGGATGTTCTGCTCTTGTACGTAAACTCTTTCGCGAACGATCATGGCATCGAGAAAGCTTTGCGGCACCGCTCTCGCAGGATCCGTATCGTAGACCGCATCGTTGTCGGACTGAGCTGTAGGTGATTTGGTGGGGTCGTAGTGTCTGAGTCGGTCGTGGAGTGGCTTGATGAGGTCGACGAACTCGGATTGGCCCATGATGGGAGTTGGGACGTTGAGCAGATACTGCTGCTACTGCTGCTGCTGTTGTTGTTGGTCGATTGTGTTGTGGATATATTCCGGGCAGTTCAATTTTTATTTAATTTTTGTTTTTGGAGAGAAAACAATAAGCTAGATAGAAGCCTGCGAGTCAGTCATGGCATAAGGTACTGTCATGAAAGGTCCGACGGCCCATTATTATTAAGCTATGGCCTACGGATGAAGGGCGAAGGAATCGGAAGGAGCAGGTGACAGGTGGAAGGCGCGACACGGATGAACGAACTAAGGGACCTTACTGTACTCCAGCTTCTCCCCTTCTGCTTTAGGACGTGCAACCTGGAAGGACGTGGTACCTTAATGTCCGAGTATCAGGCCGGGCCGACGCTGCTCATTTCCACTTTCACTTGATGGCTGCGCAGTCCAGAGCGGCGCTGTCTGAAGCAGGAAGGCAAGCAGGGTGAGTGGACGAGCACGGTAAGCCGGTGCAGACGAGGGAGTCTTACTAAGGAAAAGTGCCTAAGGTAACTTAGACGGACGTTGGGTCAGAAGGTGACGATTGATCCCTGCGATGGAATAGTTCGACCATTCCTGTTCTGTCGAGAGCAACGCAGAGATGAGAAGAGGTGAGAAGAGGTGAGTAGAGAGAGAGGGAGAGGGAGAGAGGGAGAGAAAAAGAGAGAGAGAGAGAGAGTGTGTGTGTGTGTGTGTTTATGTGTGTGTGCGTGTGTGAGAGAGAGAGAGAGAAAGACAGAGAGACAGAGAGTGACAGAGAAAGAGGAAGAGGCATGATGGATACATACCTAGCTCTCATCACCACTGTCACTGTCGGCGCGCTAGAAGTATGGCGCAGCTACAGGTCAGGTCAAGGTCAGGTAGTCAATTGAGGCAGTGGAGACGACGTATACCTGTATAAGGTAGAGTAGTAGTAAGGTACCTTGGGCGTACACACACATACACACACACACACACGGAGTGACACACGAGCACACGCAAACAACCTTGTCTCACTCTCCCGGATAGGTACCTGTAGACTTGGCCGCGCGGGGCAGAAGAGCCTCATTCCTTGGTCCTTGTTGTGGGACGACAGCTGTCCTGTTGCACCTGTCTGTCTTGTCTCTCTCGTCACCCAATCTGTCATCACGAATCCTACATTAATAAAATGTACATGTTGCTACAAGTATGGTAGTAGGCGTAGGCCTTCACCTCCTGGGACATGACCTCACACACAATCTCACGCCTCAATCTCCCCCGCTTCATACGCTCTGTGCTCCCTCTTCATCTCCCACTTCACCCACAGGAAAGTGGTCAATGCCCAAATCCCTATCCATGAAAACAAAACACCAAACACCAGGCCAAAGGCGTGGTTAAACTCCAAGTTCCAGATGATGGCCGATGCACATCCAATGTAGACCACGACTCCAAACAGCCAAAAGAGCGTGAGGTTGTAGAAGAAGCGTCGAAACATCTTATTGCTCTCATACCGCTCATTGTACCGGATGCGGAACTCTCGATCCTGTAACCCATCGACCGCGATGAAATCCTCAGCAGCATAGTAAATAAACGGCCGGATCTTCGTACCACGCTTGTGGGAATTAATGCCAATGGGAAGCTTGAAGGGTGTAATGGTCGTGATGAACATGAGCGCACCAAGAAAGGCGAAGATAAAGCAGGGCGAGTAAAGGTATAGCTCCGGAATCACCAATTCGGACCCAATCACGAACGGGATGAGTGCGAGCAGGACAGCAACGCCGTACACCCAAGATGTCGCGTCGAGCTCCCATTTGCTTCGGGATAGTAATGGTGCACATTCTTCTTGTCGGAAGTACAGTCGCCACACTCGAGCTCCCAAGATCCAGAGCTCTCCAAAGCCGAAGCAGGCAACGGCACCACCGAGAATGCCTTTGTCGTACTTGATATCTGGACCATGAATGTCGTACCAAACGTAGTACGTGATGCAAGGTACTACGAGGTCGAACAAAAGTACCATCGGAAGACCGAGCGTGATGCCTGCGGATTGATTAGTGTTGCACGTGTGGCCTGACAGAGAGGTGTAGCAATTGAGGTCCTTACCCAGGTGCTGCCAAGGATGGGCCTCCTTCTGCATCAGCTTCGTCTCTCGTCTCCGAAGCGACGGGAGACTTCTTTTTGACGAAACAACAGTCGTCGCACCAGCGCTCAGGCCTCTGAAAGGTGTTGGCCGTGTAGGGTGATGGTCTCCACCCTCGTGTTCGCCTTCAGGCACTTGCAGTGTGACACGGCTTCTCGTGGCCGGTGGTATGCCATCGTGCTCGGCTACTGGCGTGCACTGTATGGTGTGCTCGCTGCCGGCATCAGAGTCAGAGAGCACGGTGGACCAGCGTGGGGGCGTCTCTATAGACTCTCTCTTGCGGTCATCTGCATTAGATGCATAGGTGAGGTGCTTGTTCTGGAGATCTCTTCGAATCGCATCCTTCTCTGGATCCTCGATGTTGGCCTGGTTTTGGAGGTCTCTTCGAATCGCGTCCTTCTCTGGGTCCTCGATGTCGGGCTTGTTCTGGAGATCTCCTCGAATCGCGTCCTTTTCTGGATCCTCGGTGCCGGCCGTATCTGGATCAATCGTGTCGGCGTCGCTATAACTTGGCGCATCCACGTAGACATCGGGAGTTGTCATAGCAGTTCTCTGCAGCTCCCCTGCTCCAGCTGCCTTCTCGTCCGAGGCGTCCATGGCTCCTGTCGCAGCTGGAGTATCCGGTTGTGATCTGATTCGACCCACGCTCTCAGCGTCCTGGGCTTCCTGTTGCGCCTCTATTGTTTCTCTTGTCGGCTCGCCGTCGACGTTCGCTCGTCCCTGCGCAACACCGCTCCACCTCTCGGGGACCCTCGCTTCTAATCTTCCAGAATTTCTTCGTGGGCTTGGACTGACGCTTGCAACGCGTGAGGGCTTCACGCAATGTTCCGGCGACACGCCCATCAAAATCCCAATGCAACACTTGAGTGATTGGTCATCGCTTGGCACCAGAGTCCTCGCCTCGATACATGTCCCGCAAAGTGTGACAATGGGTATGACTTGATGCCGATCAGCAGAAGGGGCCCCAGAGAACGAGCTCTCAAGTAAAAGCGGCCAGGTAGGGGACAAGCGACAGGATAGGATAGGTCTGGTTCTTTCACGATTATCATACCACTAGCCTCACAACATTAGTCAAGCAGCAAAGTTTCGCATCGCGTTCTGTAACGTGTGCCGAGCAACGAGACTCATGATGGCGTGAAAGCATAGCCTGCCAGTTCCGGTATGGCAACCCCAGCAGGTCGCACGGCGTTGTTGCCATGGCCGTGTTTCAGCCGCCACAAGAGCCCGACATGGTTGTTTAGGTTGGATAATAACAACCTATGTTGTGATGGGCGTGGAACGTGTCTAGTGGGCAAAAAAAGTAAGGCGATGGAGTCTTTCGGGGGTGAGATCGGAGCAGAGATCGGACTCGAGCGGAACCTGACGATGACCTCACAAAACGCCTGGCGCGTCTGTACCTGGAAGTTGGAACTGCCTCCTACTGGCGCCGGGTGTGGCTCGGGGCCTCGGGGCGTGGCCATGACATATTGCAAAAGAGGAAGTGCATGTATGGACCGTACCAGACGTTACCTTACTGTATGCATCCGGTACGGCGTCCACTCTCCACTACAGTGGCACTTTCTTGGGCACAAACCACATGGATGGGGGCGTTGCAACAGAAGACGGACAGCTTCTTCGGAGTCCAACCTTGCCAACCGTATCCAACATCAACAAGATCAGATACGGTAGCCATGGCAGTGGAGTGGCACGTATTGTTTGTTTGTTCGTTCGTTTCTGCCGCATCAAACGGGGATGAAACATGCTCGAGTACCTTACCTCCTAGCCTCTAGCCCGATCTGCGAGACCCACCATCCGAGCCTTTTGTCATGTGAAAACATGGTCTGGCTGTATGGGAGCGGAGCGGAGCCGGGATGGCTTGACCATCTGTGAATAGTTTCTGTGGTTTGGCAGCCAAGCCTGGTCATAGGAGGTAGTGAATGCACTACTGTCGGCCATCACAGTTCGTTGCTGTGGAGAGCGTGAGCTCATTCTGCTCCACATGTGACAAACCGGTTGGAAGAAGCATACCTACGTGTACCTACAGTACAGTAGGTATATGTATGTGGCTGGTGGGCTTTCTGGTGTCGCAGAAGAGACTTTTCGATTGTTGAATAACCCCTCCTAGCAGAGATCAGGATGCGTGACAATAATAGAGGTCAGTTCGAGGTTAGGAGCTCAATATCGATGCATTCATTATGCCTGCCTGGTTCGTAATATTCATCAGTTCTTTGCTGCCGTAATGCTCTATCCCGGCTAAGGTTCCTTCGCCGCCCATCGATCAGGTCCATGTATTGGCGTTCTTGCTTGCTACGCAATTCGCTGTCAAACTCGTATTGCAGGTTTGGCCAAAAAGGACAGATCCTACTCCTGGCGCACCCAATGTTGTTTGAAAGGCTCCAAGAAACCAAACTGCTCACAACTCCTTCTTCAAGAAATGCTCGGGAGAGTGCTGCGTCTCGTAATCCACGTGTACCCACACCCTCTCTACGTCTGGCAGACTTTCCAACTTGGTCTGTAATGCCTCTGCAACATCATGCGTCTCTTTCAAACTAAGATTTTCATCCATGACAATATCTACTTCGACCATCAGCCGCGGACCAGAGTGCCAGGATCGCACGGTATCGAGTTGACGAATTCGAGGATCATGTGTCATAGAGATGTAGGTGACGTGCTGCAGGAATGAAGTGTCCGCGGATACGCCAATGAGGAGCTGAAATTCCTGATAAGCAGTCCTGAGCCAGAGAAATGAAATGAGGACCGAGAGAATAATGGCACCCATGGGATCAATAAACCATCTACGCAGTGAGTGTCAGCACATAGATTGCACGCAAAAGCAACATGGACCAATACTCACGCGACCTTACTCCCAAGTACGCTGGTCATGAGTCCGAATCCGTTGATGAAGAGATCATTGCGGTGATCTTCCCATAAGATGCGGATTTGACTGTACTTGTTCCTCAGCGCCCAGCAGTAAGCGAAAAGCCCCAGTTTCGTGACGAAGGCAATACCGACTGCGATCACAGATGGGTAGTGGAATTTCGCGTCGTCGGACTTTTCTACGAGCTGCCTGATGGACTCGACGATGAGGATGAGCGAGACGGCAGTCATCAGGAAACAGAAAGTGATGTTGCCAGCAGTTTCTAGTCGCGCTTTGCCCGATGGGAATTTTCGCGGATCGACCTTGTTGACGGCACGATGGCACAGGATAAGAGTCAGATTGCTGGCCGGATCGAAGATGCTGTCCGCCATGGTCGTGAAGAGCGACAAACTGCCAGAAGAGACAGCACCGTAGATCTGGAGGATGGCCAGCAGGATATTCGCAGCAAAGCTGCCATTCACAGCAATCTTGTACTGCAGTGCCTCATCGCCTTGCTCCTCTTTCGCTTCCCGTACGTGATCATCGACAGGTTTGAGCAAGCGTTCAATGTTGTCATTTTGATTTTCGTAGAACTTGAGAATCTTGTGTGACTTCCACTTGTCCTTGCTCTTGCCCACGGGATGGCAGACACGTTTGGCACTGGTATTAGCCTTTCGCGCCGCCTTCTCGTCGTCGAGATTCTTCAAGCCATCGCGCAGCTTGAACGGATCGTGTTCCGCGTGATATTCGGGGAGACTGTTCTGGCGCTCGACATCGTCTCGTTCACTGTCGCTGCTATTGCGCGCATACGCCGGTCGGGCTACTGCCTCCATCGGCTTGGACTCTTGCGGCTGTATCGCAGAGCTGGCGCCCGGACGGTCATGATGGGAGTGATGGGCATGGCTACTCGACTCTGGCGCATGACTGTGAACTCGCTGTGGGTGGATATGAAACGGCGACGGACGGAGAGTAATCGAGTTGTGCAAGTCTGGGTCGCGGTTCGGCATGGTAGCAAGTAATATGGTGCTCGATGCTGATGTGGGTGTCTGTGAGTGGTTGAACGGACGATGAATGCCGGTGGTCCAGGGTTGATGACGATGCGCTGGATGAACGATGAATCAAGTATGTACCTTAATGTACCTGTAAATCGGACCTCGCAACTTTGCAGAAGTCGGAGATGGTCGTTCGTTGTTGCTTGTGCGTGTGCTTGCCTAGGCGGGAACTGCCTACCTACCAGGGACCTGTACTACCTGGGTAAGGTAGCCTTCACCTCGCCTTCCTCGACCAAGGCACTGACTTAGCGGCGATGATCAAGGCGCCGGATCGCAAGGTGAAGCCCGACATCGCAGCCAAACTCTGCCAGAGTCGCGTGGCACCTGGAGCGACATGCTCGTAGGAGGCACACACCGCCATTGATGGCAATGCAGGATCTGCGACGACTCCGGTCAACTTCCGGAACGGGCACGGTATGGCGATGAGGAGGAGGAGGATGATGATGATGATGAGGAGGAGGAGATGTAGTAGTTTGACGTGCCGCGTCCAATATCTATGCGCGCGTGGTTGAGCCAATGAGCAGCCTCTCGAGCAGCGACATCACCCGATTCCCGAACTGTTTTCGCCTGCACGGCATGACCTCCTCGCTGGAAGTCTGGCAGACAACTCACAGCCGGGAAGAAGATCGTCATTGAAGTGAGTATGAAGTGGCATTCACGAAATGGACGAATCTCGTGTCGACTGTGAGAACTACCACGAGCGATCAAGTCTCAACCTCCAGTGCCTCGCCGCCCTTCCATTTCCCGTTCTTGACCCTCTCGCAAACCTCCTTGAGAACATGCCCTCCCCATAGAAAGTCCTCTTCAGTTAGATAGACTTGTGCGGACAGCCGAACCCACCACTTCCCACCATGGACCACTATCGCCAGAAAAGTATTGTACTCCTCGACCAGTACCTTGCTCATCCATTGCGCAATGGCCACAGCAGTTGCATAATCCGCTCCAGCGTCATCTTTGAGATCGAGCGGTAACCGAACATTCGAAAAAGCACAATTACCAAGAGTGCTGTCTTCATTCTCCATCACTTCAGTGTGCAGTATTGAAGACACGATCTCACCAGCTGAACGAGCAAGATGTTGATAGTATTTCATAATAGCCTCTTCGCCGCGCATGTCTTTCCACGTGACTTTGCTCCGCCACTCCAATGCCGTTTTCACGCATAGATAGGGACTCGTATCAATCGTCCCAGTGAATTCGAATTGGGTAACGAATGCGCTTTTACTGCTGGGTGGCAGAGGCGAAATCAGACCTGACGATGTTCGAGGGACGAAGCCGTGAGAGGTAGGGAGGGAGCTGCGCATGAGGTGTTGGTTCCGAATGGGGACGTAGAAAACTGCACAGCCGCGGGGTACATGGAGCCTAAAAAACCATAATTAGCCCCCAAGCAAAGCAGTGTTGGTTTGCGGAACTTTCTCTGTGCGGGAAGTTTACCTACCATTTGTGCAGGTTCGATATGTAGAAGTCTGGGTCGAGAGATGTGAGGTCGATGGGAATTTGACCTAAAGTAGCGTGTCGAAAATGAGTAAGGATCTCATATGTCAGGATAAGGCAAGAGAAATGTCTGTCCCACGAACCTATACTGTGTGCTCCGTCGATTAAGCTGAAGATTTTTTCTTCTCGACAAATTTTCGTGAGTTGTATGAACGGATGGAGAACGCCGGGCATGCTGACAATGGAGTCGAAGATTGCAAGCTTGGGAATATTTCCGTCTTTTCTGACAGCCTCAATCGTGCTCTGGAATTTCTGAATCAATTCCGCATCTGAGATCGGATAGGTGAATTCGACTACTCTGCTCGTGACTGGTGTTGTCTCGGAAAGGTATTCGATGGTTTTGTGGCAAGCTCCGTATATGGTCGAGAAGTAGATGATGACATCTCCCGGGTTGTAGCATAAATTTCTCAAGACGATATTGACTCCTGTCGTGGCATTGGGGACGAAAACGATGGTTTCGGTCGGGGCATTGAGGTATTCCGCGACTGTTTCTCGAGACTCATCGAGTTTGCGAGGGTATGTGTACCGAATGAAAGAGTCGGGTTGGCCTTCAACGTCACTACAGGTGACAGGCTGAGGATAAGCAAGTATTTCTGAGCATGCAGACTGAGAAGAGCCGACGCTCTCGGCCCATCACTTGACTTACTCTTGCAAGGAGCGGAGAGTGGTGCGTACTGCACGTGGGTAGGTTCCAAAGGAGCCTTCAATCGGTCAGCATGGACTGAGGCTGCTGTGTCGAGATAGACCAGAGCAATACCATGATTCAGATTCCGGTAGCCATGCTGGAAGAGGAAGTGTTTTGCTGCCTCTTCACCCACTTTAATTGTATCAATGGCTGCAAGGTCTGCAGTTGCATGATCAATGGCGCGCGGACCCAATGTCAGATCTTTGATTGATTGAAGGACAGACATTGTAATGTGTTTGCGTGGGCAGGAATTGAGTTCCCATAGCACAATTTAAAGTGAAGTCGAAGTGGGCATTAGTCACCATACCTGTCTGAGTCATCTGTGCGAGCTCTACAGGGCGTGCACCGGATTCGATACATTTCCTAGGTACAGCTTGCAAAGCTTTCCACAAACTGTCGATTTGAAGCGCATGGTCGCAGAAAGCAGATATTTAGGATTCTGGTGCTGTGATAGGTTTCTCAGCATCCGGTCGACGACACACCTGGCAGAGATGATGATATCAATACACAGATATCAATATTCACAGCTGACCTCCACTCCCTTCCTTGCGAAGCTCATGAGCCTCCGCCAGTGGTGACTGATCACAATGGTCGACCATCATAAACCAAGGCGATCTTCCCTTCAGGCGCCTTGGACATCCTTTTCACACTCCTCGTTCCATACGCTTTGGTAGTCGACATACCCATCAGCCTCGCCTCCTGAGCCACAGCATTCCATATGAACTGTTGCACCGAGCCTTCCTCGGTGATCTGCAGAAAGCCCATGGGTAAGCGACTCCTCTGCAGAGCAGATCTTACACCCAGAGTCGCAGGTCTTGCTGAAATTAGAAGGGCCATAATGCCATCGCCATTCCAGCCCGCAGGGGCTCCAACATATGCTCCTTCAAGTTCACGTACGTTGCAGGGCTGCGCAACGCTAAGCTTGCATTGGACAATGACTTTGAGCTCTTGCGGTTGCTGAGGAAGCGACCATTGTCCGAGAAGGTCTATGCCGAGATCATTGGATTTTCCAGTACGGTGGAGATTGAAGTGGTAGCTTTCCAGGGCAGCCCGGACAGTGTACTCATAAAATGTACCTCGGTAGACAGTAGAAGACGTGCTTACGTTTCGTGAGGTCGAATACGCTACAAACGATTCGAGGTCATGGTGCTTGGGCGAGTTGGAACGCAAAGAAACTCGTGGCACTTTGATAGGTCTGCCTCGTGAACGTCGTCCGATCAACGGTGATCCGTCTGAAGATGGAGGGATATTGTTTGCAGTTTTGGACACCGGGGCCACCTCGTCGCCCATTGAAACCGTGATTGCGATGTCACCCTCCTTAGCGCGGGCTCTCTTCTGCCGCGTGGAGGTGCATTTCCCAGAGGTCGCAGTCTTCGAAGACGTCCTGCTCCCCAGTGCGATCTTCGTGGCTGTCGCGCGATCTTCTGCGTTGCTGTAATCAGACCCAACGGCCAGCTTAACAATCTTGCGCGGCCTGCCCCTTCCTCGCTTGACCTCTACCGCGTTGAGGCTCTGATCGGCATCACCATCCAGAGCTCCAAGCCCTCGCTCCCTAGCGATACCAGGATCCTTCAGGTGTTGCTTGGAAGTGGTCTTGCGTGTTCGCTTTGCAGATTCGGTCCTTGGTAAATGAGTAGGCGCGAAGTGGTGAAAGAAGGCATGTAGCCCATCATTAGTGGCCTTGCTCTTCGGTGAGCTCGTAGGTCTTCGGGCCTTATGGGCGGCGACAGTGGAAGCTCTTCTGAGAATCACGCATTGCCGGCGCAGGACACGACTGACGAGCATGAGCGTCTGCCGAGTGCACTCATGCTGAAGCCAGTACGCGATACTGGCGGAACTATGCTGTGTTGACAATGGGAGAGAGGAGAGGGAATGGGAGAGAGCCAGAAACACGAAAATGTCGCGCTTCTTCTACCTCAGTTAGGCTTGGCTTGGCGTGCTGAGAGCTTGGAGCTGTTCACTTCCGTACTTGCATTGCATGTCAACATGTAATTCACGAAATCAACGCTTTCTTGTCCTGCACCATGGCCGACAGACTCACTCAGCTCCAGGACTGTCTCGATGACCTGCTCACCCAGATGTACGCCTCCCTCAACTACATCCAGACACGCCATCCCTACGGCGTTATCCCTGGACAACCTCAAGGCCCCAACTTCAAACTCGCCGGCGACGAAGACGACAAAGACGAGAAAAAGTCCAAGCCCAACGCAAATGGCAACACGAACGGCGATGTGAAGCAACAGCAGCAGCAACAGTCCGAAGCTGCTACTCCGCCCCCTGAGACGCCTGACAGATTCGAAGCTGCAGCGAGAGAACTGGCGCAGGACGTGGTGCTCAAGCAACAGCAGATTGAGTACATTGTCAACTCGCTACCTGGGATTGGGAATAGCGAGGCAGATCAGGTGAAGAGGATGGGGGAGTTGGAGAAGGAGTTGAGAGAGGCCGAGAGCGAAAGGGAGAAGAAGGAAATGGAGAAGGAGACCTTGGTGGATCTGCTCTCGGAGGTCATTTTGAAGGTCAAGAGGGTGCCTTGAGCGAGTGTGCAGACATGAGTAGATTGAACGAACATGCCCTCTCGTGTGGCGCGAGAGAACCTTGTGCTTGGATATCAGCATGGCTTGAGATGATGCGGACACATTTACTCGTGCGATGAGGCAGAATTGACCATGATACATGCTATCGAATGGCTGCTGGCTCAGACAAAAGGCCGCAAATATCTATGAAGGCCGTGGAGGAGAGCTGATCTAACAAGACTCAATAAGGACGCTGGCTTAGGAGCACGTGGTTGTGATCTTTAGGTTTTCTGAAAAGCACCTTCACTGTGTGCACACTGGCAATATATTGCCGTGAAGACGTTTAGAGACGAAGCCGATGATGGAATGTGACTTCGATGGCAAGCTGATCATGTCGAAGGGCCAATCGGATGGAAGGTGCATGTTCGGTGTTTGTGCACCAGAGCAATACCTACCTCTTTGGCGGGCCTGCAGGCGTGAAGACGTGCGCTATAGTGTTGCACTGGTTGCTTCGATGGACGGGGAACCAGTAAGACGGCGATTGTGTCTCAAAAGCAAACAATGGAAGCACAAGCCTGTCACGGAGCAGCAAGTAGTACAAACTACCTGGATTTTGCGTGCCATTGAGTCGTACGCAGTTAGACTCTAGGTGCTGCTGAAAGGCAACTACAAATACGAAAGCCAGGAACGAACATCACGACCGTCACCGCCATGACGGGAGTGGCGAAGGCACGGTCGCAGACGCGACAAGCTGGCCGAATCTTCATCGATTCCAGTGGCAGGACATATCCAATCTCAAGTTACCATCACACTAGCTCTCACAAAACACCTGCCTTAACGGCAACCGATATTCAAGCAAGGATACATCGCAAAACAAGTATATTGAAGCACAATCAGACCTCATCCAAGCAAAGCTCTGATGGAAACGGCCACATTGCGTCCATTTCTAGTCCTGCGACTATGGCATTGAGTCGCATTGGCAGCCCAGATCCCCAGATTGAATCCTCAAGAACAGCTGGTACGAAACAACAGGCCCAGGTCTCAGTGGCAAACGCTTCATTCGAACTCGACTCTCCTCGGGCTGCGACTCCGCCTCCCGAATCTAGCGCCTACCCTGGCTTGAGTCACAGCATCTCTGGTCCAGTCACAGGAGGCAAGAACCGCGGAGTGATCTCGCGCTCGCCTGCTGTTTCTCATGCGGATAAACCCGCGCCGTCTTTGTATGCGTGGCCGAACACCGATAACGCTTCAATGCACAGCGACCAGGATTTCGATTTGGGATACAAGGGGAAGCCTGCCAAGCCTTTCTGTCACAAGATGCATACCCGGGTGTGGAGCTCGGTATACACCAGGGCAGCGGAAGATTATGTCCGGGAACTCCTAGAGGTGAGGTACCCTGTGAGAGCGGAGACGGGCAACGAAGAGAGGTCGGCTTTGTTGGGTGGATGGAGATGGGGTCTGAGAAGTCTCTGGATGAGGAACCTCTGATTGTTACTGGATGGAGATGCTTGTACGGACAAATCAGCTGGCCATTCATGAGGCTGCGAAGGTCGGGGAACAATTCGGCGTTGACACTGAGCATATATATCGCGTACTAGGTACAGTGTCTCTGTCCTTTTCATGCTCATGCCTTGTGCAGAGAGTCACAGTAGCATCATTGCCGCATTGCACCATCTCACCTTCGCAACTCCTCCATCGCCCCTTTTAACCTCTCCCACCCCTCCGTCCCCTCCCAACATTCTTTCCCCCTGCCCATAATCCCCCTCACCGCACTCCTCGCCTTGAATTTCCAATCCTTCATTACCACCTCTCCCGAACCCGCCGCCATGCCCTCGGTCCGCTCTTGAGGTCCCAAACTCTCATAAGCATCACACAATCTCACCGTCGCTTCCACCACGGCATCCCAAGCCTTCTCGTTGCCCTGACTCTCCCACCCCGGTTGATTCGTCACCGTCCTCCACGCCTTCTCTTCCGCATCGAGCGCCGTGCCGGGTTTCCTCCTCCACAATGCCAATTTCGCCACTAATTGCCAGAGTTCTGCTGAGCTTGTGATCAGAGGGATGACGGCTTCGTCGATGAATTTGACTGTCATGCGTGCCAGGCCGGGTTTGCTGGGGTCGTAGTACCCTCCTCCTTCTCCTCCTCCTCCTCCTGCCTTGTCGTGGGAGGAGGAAGAAGAAGAAGAAGAAATGATAATGTGAGTGACGAGAGTCGTCAAGATGGGAATGTCGATGCATTTTTCTCCGTCCGTGGGACCGCGGAGTTGGATGATTTGGCGTTGGGCCGTGAGAATGTCTTGATAGGAGGGCGGACGGACGGAGGCGGCGACGATGAGGACGTTTTCCCAGATGCGGTGCGATTCGTGTTTGAGAGAGGCGGCGCGTTTGAGGGCTTTGAGGGCGTCGAGGCGGATGGCTTGGCGTTTTTCGAGGAGGGCGGTTTCTTTGGAGGGTTGGTGATGAGATGTGGGAGATTCATCGTCCTCTTCATCGTCAAGTTTGATTGACTGTTGTTTTTGTTGGGCGTCTGCGGATGTAGGCTCAGATTCATCTTCGTCTGTTCGAAGGAGTGCGGCTGCCAAATTGCTCCAGGCTTCAGCATCTGTTTCATCCAGTTGGACGCAGCGAGAGAAGGCTTCAACTGCACGCTTAAATTGTGCCAGCTCCAGCAGAGCGCATCCCAGCGCGAACCAGGATTGGTGGTTGAGCTGGTTGACGCGAAGACTCTTGCTGTACGCTTCTGCTGCTCGAAGCATGTCTTTCGCAGCGAGAAAGTGGCGGCCAATCGATCTTTGCGCGCGAGCGTAGCGCTCATGGGAGACTTCCCACGCCTTCTCATAATACGCAATGGACTGGTCAATGTCACCGAGAATGCAGTAGAGCCGTGGAGCGTCGAGAGGCGCAGGATCTCGCGCAGCACCCTGCCATTCCTCATCCTCGCTCGCATCGATCTCGGAGTCTCCCGGACCTCCATTGGTCGCGTGGAAGAGCTGGCGACGCACGACACGTTTGGCCTTGTCTTCTCGCTCCGTTCCAGCCCAGCAGAGTGCCGCCTCCGCCCACATTTCAAGACGTTCGTAGATCTCGAGTGCTGATCGAAGACCTCCGAGCTGTACCCATCGAGCGGCTAATTCAGCCTCGAGCTCCCATCTGGTCGGTGTAGCAAGCTGGAAGATGTATCGCAAACGCTCTGTGACAGGCGCACTTTCGCTCTCCTTGGCCTTGGGTAGGAAAGTTGATGTCGTCGCGGGCTTGTCGGAGTCCTCCTTGGCAGAAGAGCCTTCAGCCGTAGTTTCTGCGATGACCTGGTCGACCAGTGCTTGCAGCTGCAGTAAGCCACGCTCGATCGTTCGTGATTTGTAGCCTTCTATCCTGCTTCGCACGAGGAGAGCTTGAGTATAAATCTGCCAATTTGAGCTCCCTCCATCGAGCACTCGTGTCGCATACGGGAGCGTTTCCTCACGAGTGAGGCCATTCTGAGGCGATGTGTTTGTGATTGATGAGGCGACCAGTAAGAGCATTGCAGAGTCCAGCGGCTGCAGTTTCGGTTGATTTCCCGGGTCCAACTCTTGTAGTACACGAGGGAGGGCCTCCAGATTCTGCATTTCCGTGAGTGACTCGTCACTGGGCTTGTCCTTGGTGAACGATATGCTCTCGAGCAAGGTGTCATCGTTCAGGTCCAGATTCTCTGGCTTGGTCTGCGGTGCATCATCATTGGCAGGTTGGTCTGGGATAGAATTACCATCAGTCGCACTTTTAGCAAGCACGACCAGTTGGCTGACATCTTTTTGCTGGTATTTGGTTCGCTTGCCCAGCATGCCTACAAGAGCGAATTGAAAATGATGTTCCAATTTGGCTTTCTCCAAGTCTGCCCGTGCAAACTTGTCCAGTCCGTGATGCACGTGGATGCTCGCGCGTTCCAGCAAGAACTCGACGTGTAGGCTGGCGTCCTTGGCCACATTGAGATCGTCTTCGAGCAGGCCCAGATCGTCGTAGATGACTTCTTGCAGTGTCGACGAGACTTCGGAGAGAAGGCGTTGGTGGAAGAAAGCAGTGCGCAACTTGGCCCATCTGGCGGCTTTGATGTTCTTGAGAACGGCTGGGTTCGTTACAATGGCGTCGGCAACGCACAAGAGTTCGATGTTCGGGGTGAGCTTGTAGGCTGCAATGCCATCGACAGTGAGACCGGCGAGCAGTTTCTGCCGCACGTGATGAGTCTGCTGTCGATCTGTGGCCACTTCGGATGGCAGAAGAATGTCTGCAGCACGGAATGGCAGCGGAGGACCAGTCACATTCGACTGGACAAAGGCCAATAGAGCAGCGTAGGCGATGCAGAAGGCAATGGCCTGCAATTTCGCTCGGTCTCGATCGGCCAAAAAGACGCTGAGTCGATGGAAGACAAAATCACTCCATGTGGCAAACTCGTTCCGCTGAACAGACTTCAGCTGCTCGTTCTGTTCATGACCCAGCAACAGTCGAGCTTCGGGACTTCGCAGGACGCCTTCGTAGTCGCCATGTTCCAGCTGTTCCAGGTAGGCTTGAATGTGGACGACGATCTCTTCTGGCAAATTCACGCGGAAGTACGTGAGCAGTGCGTCGGCCATCAGGACTGCACTGTGGGAAGAAATATAATGATCGTTTGGATTTTCGTGATGTTGGTGATGTTGATGTTGTTGTTCTTGTCGCTTTACTATATGATTTATTTTGATATATGAGTCGTGTCGCCCAGCAATTTTCTTGCAAGGTTCCTCTTCTCTGGCCCGGCCCGGGCTCCGATCAATTCGGAGCCGCTCAAATTCATATTGTCGACATTGACGATTTCGCTACATCAAATCTACTCAGAAGCAAGACGATATCATTATACAAAGTCGCAATCTGGCAAAATATAGATATAGATGGATATAGATACACCTCCCAGCCTTGCAGGCCAGTACTGTAGAGAGTCTTCATACCAACACCATTCATTTATAGATTTCACCATCCGATCCACCTTGGACACACCGCAGCATACTCACGACGAGTGACGCCAAAATCAACAACGTCAAAATCGGAGCAAGAAACGTCGTCGTAGTAGCAGTAGCAGTAGTAGTAGTACCGCCCTCGGGTTCCCCAACACGAGGAGACTCGGGAACTGCTGCTGCATCTCCCGTTAAGCAAGACTTTTCCGAAGCAAGCTCGCCATTGACAGCCGAGACGCAAATTTCGGGAAGGGTGCTACTAGATGGGCATGATGAGTGTGAGTTTGAGGAAAAGTCACAAAAGAAAAAGGAAGAAAAGAAGCGATTTGTGATATTGCTTACCGGGTCCGTTGTTGTGGTACCCTAACCACCTGCTCAGTCTCCAAAGTCGCAATGCCATTGGTATCGCCATCGACATACACCAGATACCCAGCGGTATACTCATCATTAGCGGCCCAAGTCAGTTGCACAGCACTCTCATTAATCACTCTCGACTGCAGACTTCCTGGCTTGTGGGGGGCGAGGAGAGCGCCTGGCAGCACGGGTCTGCCACGAGTGAATATGGTGCCACCACCCTCGGGACTGGTCCACGCGGAGATGGAGATGTCCAAGATCACGCCTACCACACTCATCTCCCCCGATGGCAGGCCCTCGAGCGTGACGGATGTGTTGAGGGTGCCCACGTGTACGTCCTGCTTCGTGTGAGTGTTGAAAAATGAGACGTCGTATTGTGTAATGTTCCACTTTGCAGCTTCATGTTCGTGGGGAGGCGACCAGCTAACGTGGAAGCCCAGCTCGGTAGGGGAAGTGATGACGGTCTCGGGGGGCGGACCGGTGTTTCTTCCTGATCGAGCGCTGGCATATTCACTGGACCAGTCGCCGCATCGTCTTCCCAAGCACGAGCGAACCTGGTATTCGTACTCAATGCCAGCTTCGGGCAGAATAGTATCTGTTCTGTTCGCCTTCACTCCATAATCGATGATCCACTCCTGGCCGCCCGTGCGTCGCCGGACGTGGAAGTCTGTGATTCCCCAAGGACGATCCCAGGTGGCTTTGATGCCCATCGAGGTGCTTGCTGCCTTGACGTTGGTGGGAGGCTCCACTGCTCGCTCAGTCCAGGTTTCCGGGATCGGGACGGGTTGCTGTCCGATCGAGAAGTCCTCAATCAAGGTCTTGGAAAAGGCATGAGCAATCTGGTAAGATCCTAGCATCACATCAACGTCCGCTATCATTTTTATCGACGCCGTATACAGCAATTTACCTAACTCGTTCGGGTGCAACCCATCAGCTGTACTAGTGCAATTACGATGCGGTCCGCATGTATACACGCCTGCTACATCGACATGAAACACAGGAGATTCTGGTAACTTCCAAGACGTGTAGGTAGATCGGAGAAGTTCGTTGAACTTGGTGGTACGGTCCTCGAGACTGGGGCTGCTATATGCTTCGTGAACGACGTTGCCCACTGCCACTTTGATTGTAGGATTGGCCGCTCGAGCATTATCAATTAATTCCTTGAGGCTTGCGATCAAACCATCGGGAGTTGCGCCGCCCCAAGAGAGATCGTTGAATCCCAGCAAAATCAGAAGCACGTTTGGGGTGAACTCTTGGACCCGACTCTGAATCAATTTCTTGACTCGGTCAGCGCGATCTCCAGAGGTCGCAAAATGGTGAGCGTCGAAGTCCTGTGGAACCTCTCGGGCATAGCCCCAATCGGTGCGGGGAAAGTCATCGATAGCATCTGCTCCTCTCACCGGGAGTTCGAGTAGGCGTGGCGGTTGAGGGGGAAGTGCAGGTGCCTAGAAGTGACAGGTCGTAAGTAAGGAGGTTCTCAGATCGAGTAGGCCTTTCTGCAAGCCTGTCGCCTTAGTCGGCCGGAGAGCATCTAGTATCGGGAGTGCCTTGGAGATGTTTCTGGACTTACTGGAGCACAGGTGCCTGGAAACATTAGTGCCGCTTCGAATTTTCAGGAAGGACGCATGATTACCTTACCTGTATATGGTCCGACAAACGAGAATGGAGTCTCCGTTTCTCGCAGCCATTGCCAAAGTCGATACCTCCACGTGTAGTCTGCTTCATGTCCATGCGTGATGGAATCGCCCACAAACATCAGCCTCAGCGTGCTTGCACCTCCTGTATCTGACTGGACATGTGCCTGCGACGATGGGAAAATATCTACATGAGCCAAAGCGGATGCTATCGCAAAGCAATTAGCAACGACAAAGGACTTCCCTATCCACATGTCAGTACCTGGCTGCTTACAGCGGCCAGCCTCTTCAATTTTAGGGAGTAGTACAATCTCCTCGCTGCTGTACTCAGTGTACTGCTGGCTGGGAGATGTCTTCCCAGAACGCCAAGAAGGATCATATTTGGGTCAACGGCCTCGGTACCTCCTAGATCTCCGCAAACCTACACAGGATGGAGGGCGGCATGATTGTGGGCTCCTCATTTGCTTGTCTTTCAACGGTCCTTGGACACCCAATGGCTTGCGTACTTGCACATGTTTTATCCGTTCGAAGACTGGCGTGCACACTGCAATGCATATTTGTTTGATATCTTGTGGAGGCTATCTTCGTTTCCACCACACGGCTCGAGGCTCTGCTTGGCCACATTCTGCTCGAATCTGGTCAGTCTGCCAGGACATTTGCCATTAGCTGGCGTAGATGCACCGTAGAGAACAGCAGGTGAGGTGAGGTGAGGTTGATGAAAGTGTAATTGGTACACTTTTCAAGTGTCTGGATCTGTGACAGAGAGGGGAGAGAGAGTGAGTGAATGAATGGATGGATGGATGCCTGATTGCCTGGCTCTACAATGCTTGGCAACCTCGCAGGCGCCTCCAAGAGCTTCTACTGCCTCCTACCTGTATCTCCTCCTACCACCTACATGTACCTTGTCTGTACCTAAGGTTCTTCTACTTTCGCGACTTTGTCTTGACGAGGTACTTATAGAAATCCCGCCCACCGCCCACGGCCTTCTTCTCCTTCGTCCATCCCACCCCCCTCACCACTACCACCATCATCACCACCGACACGTCGCGAGAATGTTTGCTGCTGCCCACAGGTACATCTACATCACACCACCAAACGAAGCCGCCGCCATAGCCGATGCTAACCAACCCGCCGCAATCCTGCAGACGAGCGCTGCTGACGACGGCCACAACAAGATTCCACCCGCTCACTTGACAATCTTGCGTTCTCTGCCACAAGCCTGGCAACTTCCTCCCCCGCCGCCGCCGCACTGGTACTCGTACCATGGGCACCAAACAAATCAAGGACGGCCACTTTGCGCGCCAGCTGGAGAAGCTGTCAATCTCGCTGTCAGCGGACACGGGCAATACAACATCGGTGGAGGACAGCAGCACGGATACGACTCGCACGGCCGCAGCTGGCCTCGAGAGCAACAACAGCGACTCCAAGCCGTCGCCTCGCTCCCCTCGGCGATCCAACACACGGCCTACGACGGGGGCGACTGCCACCCCGACCGCTACGGAAACCTGTATGCCACCACCCGTTTTCAGCCGACCCCGTTCGATTACTCATATCTTGCAGCCGACGTGACGACACGTTCAGCGAACAGCCACTTGGCCGCCAACGCTCAGGCACATGTGCCGACCCAGAACGCTACGTCAGCAGACATCAGCATTCCTGACCAGCTTCAGCCCATTGGAAGGCTCCCCAGGTATCCTCTACGCTCTGCAGGACCGGCGAAGAAGCTTAGTAAGAAGCAGAAAGCCGCAGCTAGAGCAGCCGAGCAGTCGACTCGAGGACGAGCATCCCCTGTCTACGAGCTTGGAGCTCAACCCCCCACATCTGTTGCGCCAGACACATCCCAGCAGATTTTTCTTCCAAAACCACTGCGCCCTGCACAGACGCAGAGGAGTACTACGCCAGACCAGTTACCACCGCCCTACATCAAGTCAAACATCAATGCGCCACGGAGAAAAGTGATGGCTCGGCCCTCCCCGACTCCATTCTACACGTACCTGGCATCACAGCAGCCACAGCTTCTGACTATGCCTCGGCCTCTGCTTGTTGTCCTCGATCTGAACGGCACTCTTCTGAAGCGCTCCAAATTCAGCGGCGCCAACACTTTTGTTCCGCGGCCATATGTCCAGGAATTCCTGACTTACATATTCGCCAATCACAATGTAATGATCTGGTCATCCGCACGACCAGAGAATGTAGCTACGATGTGCTCCGATCTCTTCACCCCACAGCAACTCGAGCAGCTCGTTGCTGTCTGGGCACGTGATCGTCTAGGACTTTCGAAAGAAGCTTACAACGCAAAAGTTCAGGTCTATAAGCAGTTATCCCTCATCTGGAACGACGCGACCATACAAGCCGCCAATCGTAACAAGGATCAAATGTGGACGCAAGCCAACACGGTCCTCGTCGATGACAGCATTGAGAAATCTGCCAGCGAGCCGTACAACCTGGTTGAGGTGGAGGAGTTTCGGAACCAGCCCCAGCAGGTCAAGTCGGACGATTACTTGAAGGCGGTGATTGAGTACCTCAAGGTCTTGAGCTACCAAGCCGATGTCAGCGCCTACATTCGGAGCCAGCCTTTCCGCCACGAGTGCGGAAGCGAGTTTGTCGACACGAGTGCCGAGCAGGGATCCACCACATTCAAGGGATAGGTATACTTATACACACACCCCATTTTGAACAAGCGGTTCAATTTGCACAGCTTGCCATTATACCTCGGAGGTCGATCGCTTCAGCGAGGATGCGAGGATGTGAGGATGTGAAAATTTGAGAATGTGAGGGTCTGAGAGTGTGAGGGTGTCCAGTCGGAGAAATCTGCTTGGCCATGAGATGATGGTGATGAAGCGTACGAATGATTGCTATACAAAATGATACAGAATGCACGAGAGTGCTGATGCTATTCGCATCATAGAGATACCCCCCAAAAATAGACGAATAACAGATTCATCAAATCTGATTTTCTCTTACCGCTTGCTTTTCTGTGCATGCGTGCTCGCTCGTCCGTCCATGATCAAAACAGCTCTTGCTGAATCTGCTCGAGGGTCAACAGCCGACAGGTCTGACCCTCACACAGCTGCACCATGTCTCTCGTCTCGTCCAGATCCTTCACCAGCTCATTCCTGCTCTTCAGCCACTGGCTATTCGCTCCGCTTCCGATGCGTAAAATCGTGTAATTCGAACGCACTGTTTCGCGTGCATTCTTGAGGACTGCCTGTGCAGCCTCCCCATCTCCGACCACCATGACGCCTCGCATGCCGAGACGTGATGCCACGACGCTGGACAAGATCCCGGAGAAGAGGCCGGGATGTTGCTCAATCTCCACTTCGAAACATGCCACAGTCCTTCGGGCCATTTTGCTGTACTCTTCGTCGTTGAGAAGAGAGCCGAGACGGAAGAGATTGCTGGCACTGACACCGTTGACACTGGGCTCCGCATTGTCCATGGCGTCCTTTGTTCTAATCAATATGTCGGGTTGATGGGCTGGCGTGGAGAAGAAACCGTACTTCTCGGGGTCCCAGAAGAGCTTGTTTTGAGTCTCCTGCAGAGTGTCGGCCAATTGGAGGAAATCACTGTCAAACGTAGCTTCGTAAAGGTCCAACAGTCCAGAAATGAAGAATGCATAATCGTCGGCGAAGCCTTGGGTCTCACCGGGCCCTTCGCGGTACACTCTGCGGAGTGTACCACTCATTGCGTCGAAGAGATGATTCTGTATGCAGAGCGCTGCTTTCCTGGCTGCGGAGACATAGGAGGACCCTGCTTCTGGAGACACCTCACGTAGCGCCGCACCAGCTCGAGCGAGACTTCCAATAGCAAGACCGTTCCAAGAAGTCACGATCTTGTCATCCAACGACGGAGAAGGACGGTTTGCCTCTCTGTACGCCAGCAGCGCTTGTCGTCCACTATCAATCGCGCGCTTTACATCATCTTCGGCCATGTTCAACTCTTCGGCGAGCTCGGCGGTCTCGCGCGAAACGCATAATGTGTTTTGCTTGATGAGCTCGCCTTGTGCGTCATGTCGACGATCAACGTTGCCTTCGGCCTTCACATTCCAATATTTGGCACACACTTTCACTTCTTCCTCGCTGAGCACTTGTTCAAACTCTTCCAGCGTCCAGACGTAGTATGCTCCCTCGCGTTTGTGCTTGTCGTTGATGGTTGGAAATGAATCAGCATCTTCTGCGGAATGTATGCCTCCTAGCTCAGATTGCATTGGAGCACTTGTCAAATATGTTGCGATATCTTTAACAATCTCGAGGAAAAGTGGCGATTTAGTCAGCAAATACGCGTCCAAGTACACCGCCAAAAGTTGCGCGTTGTCGTAAAGCATCTTCTCGAAATGCGGCAGACTCCAGTCTCGCGTCACCTAATAATGGAACTTTTAGCAGGTATTTGGAGTGTCGCTTTCTTCCCCAATCTTCATGATCGAGCTACATCGTCAATGAGCACCGCCACAGACATCCACGACTTTACAACGAAAGAGTCGCTTACCGAGTATCGGGCAAAGCCATGGCCGATTTGATCTTTGATGCCACCCTTTGCCATCTTTTCCAGCGTCATCAGAGCCATGCTGCGAGCTTCGATGCACTCCTCCTCGCCAACGATCTCACGCACTGTGGCCGGATATGACGCCACTCGCAAAAGGGGCCGGATGTGCACTGGAGTCGGAAATTTGGGTGCGCCTCCGAATCCACCGTGCTTGTCATCATATCGCATTTTGTAGTGCTGGAAAGCGTCGTCCAACAAGTCTAACTCGAGCTCAGCATCGTCGTCGGTCCTATTGACATCTTTGCCGCCAATGCTGCCCTCTTCTGCAGTTAACCAGAATAAATCAGCACTTTCCCAGCACACGCACTGCGATGTTATCACTTACGAGCGAATTCGCGCAGCTGCCTTGTGATGTCCTTTGCGCTCTGCCTACATCTCTGCTCTTGCTCTCGCCATGCTGTCGACACTTTGAGTATGATGTCCTCAAAGCCTGTGCGCGCCTGCTGTGCTCGTTCCCTTTTCGGCCAGTACGTGCCCCCAAAGATCGGCTCGAGCCCGCCAGGCGTTACAAAGACGTTCAACCTATCGTCCATTTTAGTCTGCGCTCTGGGGTATCCGAACTGTGCAACCTACGGCCAGCCTCCGCCTCCATTTGTAGCCTGTAGGAAGTCCATGTACTGCCGATCAATGTCTGGCCTCTCTTCACGATCGATCTTGACGGGAATGAAGTTCTCATTGAGCAGCTGGGCGATTCGAGGGTCGTCGAAGGACTCATGCGCCATCACGTGGCTGCCGTTCGTCTTAGTTTGCTGAGTACAAGCTCGAGATGTCGTGGGGAGGCTGCACTCACCACCAATGGCAAGCACTGTAGCCGATGCTCACGAAGAGCAGGCGGTTCGTCTCCTTGGCCAGCTCCAAGGTCTCGGGCGTCCATAGCTGCCACGCTGTCGGATTGTCGATGTGGGACCTCACATATGGCGACTTGCTCTCGGCGCAGCGATTCCTGAGGGGCAGTCGATTGATGGCGTCCGACATGGTTGTTGCTGTTCTTCTCGTAATCGCCGTGAGGAGCCTGTTTCCATTGAACTCCGCACGCTCGCAGCGACTGAGACGCGACTGCTGCAGATATGGCAGAGGGGGCAGTACTGAGCGCGGGGTGACTGCTGCTTGAGCGGATAGCAAGCGTCGAGGCGTAAGAGACGTCAACGGTCGTGTGATACCTGGCATACAGTAGTGGTAGTGGTAGTGGTAGTGGCAGAATTACCAGGTAGTTACGAGAAGGGGAGAGAGGCAGAGAGGCAGAGAGGCAGAGGCAGAGAAAAAAGAAAAACACAGAAAGAGAGCTATCTGGCGCAGTAGGTGCATATCTGCAACAGAGAAAAGTCAAATGGCGGAGCTGGCCTATGTGGGTGGGTGCAAGGTGGGTGACTTGGGCTGTGGGTGCGGTGGTGAAGTTTCTGCTTTTTTCTCGCACGCGCGCGCGCGCAAGGGCGTAGAATTATGCTGTCATGCTCTTGGAGGCCTTGGTCCTTGGACTCTTCGAGAGGACAAATAACACATGGGAAGTACCTCAAGTACCTCAAGTACAAGTAATGTAGGTACCAGGTACCTTGATAAGATCAGATAGCTGAAAAAGGAAAAAGAAGAAAAAAAAAAGAAAAAAGGGCGAAGTTGGAAGGAGTCCAGGACATGTCCTTTGCACGTGTTTGTGCCGGGGTGGTGGTCGGTACAGTCAGCCTGTCAGGTACAGACACGATATTGTAGAATGTAGACTGTAGAAAGATTCCTGAGGACTGAGGTAGGTAAGTAAGCAAGTAAGGTACTACAGTAGACTACCTCCTACATGTACAAGGTACTGTAGTAGCGCGCCGCTCTACTTGGCAACATTATTACCATTATTATCGTTCGACGTTATCTAGGTTGTCGACATCCTGGCCTGGCCAGTGGTGGATACCGGAAGGAAGATTGGCATCAGCGTTGTTGACGACGTGGACGACGACGATGGACTATAGTCTATAGTCTATGGATGGACCGTCGGATTATTGGATGTTCGGCGCACGTTTCTTCGGCGCTACGCTTCACTCATCACACCCCAGCGCAATGAACGGGCCAATACAGTACCTGATGTATATATTCATGTAGCATATCGGGATCAGCATGCAAGCCACATCGAATATTTGCAATTTTGCAATACGAGGGGTCTGACTACTGCAGCCTGGTCGCAGCCAATCATCATAGGCACACGGTGTATATGGAAAAACTCGTGTGAAGAGATGCGATCGTGAACCATTTTCATTGGGGCATGACAGTCATGTCGAACTGGAATCTGAGGTGCCGTTGAGCTGTCCGTATGTTTACAGCGAACCAAAGCAAACTATGCACAAAGAAGTAGAAGTGAACACGTTGAAGCCACAGTGCCATACGGCCGTCTTTCGTTGACTGTCTGTCCAGCAGATGCAGTGACCTATCCCGCTATGCAAGAATCTTGACGCTCGAGAGGTAGATGGCGGGGCTGGAGACTGCTAGACAGGACTTCCCATGTATGCTCTGTGCGCTTCGAACGAGTGAAAACTGCACAATGGAGACCCTCGAAAAAAGAAACGCCACGCTTATGCTCGCATTTCCTGGAAACCGTCGTTCCGGTTGTAAGTCCTGTTATTGCGGCTAAGCAAGTCGCGGTGACTCTACTTCTTGTAACTGGCAGGGGCCTGGGCGCTCGCAGCAGCATCCCACGAGGCAGTTCCCATCGATCCAGGAGGCTTGACATTCTGGCCGTACTCGCCAGCATAGTTACCTGGGAATCAATCAGTACAATGTTTTCATCTATCAGACCACATTACATACCTGGGCTCTTGTAGTTGCAGACAGTGAACCATGGGGAGACGCCGGTTCCAGTGTTTTCAAGGCCCCCTGCGGAGCAATCGGCGGTCCAGCAACCAACTTCGGTGGTGCCCTCCCAGACGATCTGAGTGAAGTGACCCCACTTTTCAAATTCACTCATGTCTGGGTCATCGAGGCCATACTGTGCAGCGAAGAGTGGCTCCTCGCTGTTGTAGAACAGATCAGTGATGACGGCAGAGATGTTGTCGAACGGTACACCGGCGGCAATGTTCTGACCGTAGCCACCGCCATCCATCTCGCTGCGCATTGTCAGTTCCAATATCAACAAACTAATACACACTAGTTTTAATAACATACACGTTGTGCTCGTACTTGCAGGTCTCGGCAATCTTCTTCGCCGTGTTCTTCAGGTCATCAGACCAAGTAAGATCTGGCGCAGAGTGATTGGCACGGTGGAGGTTGTGATGGTACAAGCAAGTGTCCTCGTAACCTCCGCTCTTTGGAGGGCCCGGTGCAGCTGGTGGAGGAGCTGGGGTACTCTCTACGGGAGGCTCGTATGAGGGTGGGGCCTCGGGTGCGGCCTCTGGCGGGGTTGGTTCAGGCTCTGGAGTGTAAGCCGGAGGCTGGGGCTGCGAAGGGAAGTTGTGGCCGTAGTGCTTGACCTCTGGAGTGTAGGCTGGGGCTTCCTCGTCGGCGGTGACAGTCACGACAGCGGTCACGTAGACCACATCGACATCAGGTCCGTATGATCCAGCTTCAGCACGTCTCTCGTGGAATGGAATGGCGAGCACTCCAGCGGCGAAGGCCGCAGCGATAAGGGCGGAGCGCATGTTGATGTTGGTGGATGAGGATCGCGGATCCGTACGACTATTGTTTATTGACTGGACGAGGGTTGTCAGCGCACTTTCTTGCCAGGAGACAGCGAGCGACGGGAGCGAGGGGACGTGAAGGTGATGGTGGAGGAGGAGGTGGTGGTGGAGGAGGTGGTGGTGAAGTCGTGGAATCGTGTAGCGCTGTACAATGCGCTGCAGCGCCATGTCGTGCCGTGCCATCCTCCTTCTTCACAGCTCGACATGTCCCACGTCGCATTATTGCACCATGTCCATGGCGGTTCTGCCGCCGGGGGGGAGTGCTCACATTTTGGGCGGGGCCTCACAGAGGTGTCTTCGCGGGTGGTAACAGTGAATGTGCGACTGTCAACGCGTGTGATAGCAGTGCTAAGGAGTGTGGGTGCAGAGCTGGCTGCGTAGGTGGAAGTGACCGTGGAGTGGTGGTGGGTGAGGAGATCCGTGGGCGATGGAAAATTGTGGCAGGGGCGGCGATGAGGTTATTATTATGAGTACCAGTTGGACGAGTGGATCGAGCGGGAGGTGATGATGGGCGACTCCTGTCCGCAAGCGTGTCAGCTAGGTTTGAGACTAGCAGGGGGGCGTTCAGGCCTGGGCTGCTGCTGATGAGTGCTGAGACCGGCGTGCCGAGAAACGAGATGATCCAGGCGGGCAGGAGCGTTTTCTTGCTGTGGGGACTGGGGAGAAAGGAGAGGAGGAACATTAGGAAGGAGCAGGCAGTCGACACAATACTTCGGCAGGCGCGACCAATGTGGAGGTAGTACCTAGTCTACCACTCTACAGTACCCGTCAGTCCCTAGGAGGTATGCTGCGCTGCTTCTGGCCCGGGGCTGTCTTTGGCAGAGCAGAGCAGGGCAGGGCAGGCTCCAAAGACGGCGCTAGAGATGTGATACGCGTCGCGACGGTGAGCCTGAGGTCCAGGGTGTGAGGTGGTTACGGTTATTGTTTGGTTCAGAGGTACTCTTCATTCGACTGTTGCTGCTGGAGCTGGACTGCTGGACTGCTGGAGCCTGGCCGCGACTAATTGTGCTCGGATCGGTGCTTACTACATGTATGGACGGTAATGGACCTACCTCAACGACGAACGACTAGTACATAGTAATAACATGCCAGGTAGATACATCAGGTAGGTAAGGTAGGTACAGGTACAGGACTACAGGTATCGCCGTACAGCTACATGTCCTTCTACACGCTCACGGTGCGGCATGGCCTTCATTCGCTCCCGTAATAGCATATAGCATACCTGGTGGTGGTACCTCCTAATGGCAGGCCGGACGTCTTCACACAACTGGAAGTGACACCTTGCCTACGGTCTACCTGGTGGCTTCGCTTCCCTCCGTCTCGCCGTCTCGGCAGCAACGCGGAGAATGTGCAGCGCGCGCGGGCTTGGTCCAACGAACCCGCATTCAATGTCTCGTTGCCTGCCTCGCATCTGACGGGAGGGAAAGGGAAACAATCGTCATTTCATCATACCACATCGTAGCAGCCTTGTTGACGCCTCGATTCCTCCAACTCTGCGACCGCCATGTTCGACGATCTGCACAACTGTTTCCGGGACACCTTTTTAAAATTTGCACTACTGCCAGGACCCGGCCATCTCCCATTCGTCCATGGCTAACGTGGTCGCGCTGGAACCTGCGCCCGAGCATGCATCCTCCAGGAACCCGAACTACATACATTAGCGCTTCCTTCACAATGGCGGTCCTCACATCATCCGCGTCGCAAGATTCGCAACAGATACTTGTCAATAACGAGCATGATCATGATGCAGCCGCCGATGCAATCATCATCTCGTCCTCAAATCGGCGACATGCCACGTTGCTGTCGCGGTCTCCTGCATGGAAAACACACACACACACACGCATCTGCCAACACTGCTGCGCTGTGACGTGGTTTGCGAGTCGGGAGAATGGCGATGGGCCTGCCGAGCGAGAATCTGACTCCTATCCAAACAGACGGCGTCGCGGCGTTCGTGGCGCAACTGGGCACCTGGGCAATTCGTATTCAGCACTCAGCATCATTTCACAAAGCACGAACGCATGATACCTACCTCCTACCTGTATGATTGCTTAAGGTACAGGTCGGTACCTTATTGACCTACCAGAACGACCTCCACCTCAGGCATCGTGCAGTTGCGGAGATGGGCACCTTGATTCCTGATTCGAGTCACACGTGCCTGTCCACTGTTGTGACCCACAGTCGATCCAGCCAATGGGAGGGAACCATTCGAGCAATCTGCTGTGCGCGATTGCAGACAGGTCGATGCCGTGAGCTGAATCCTGAATTCCTGATCTTCAGATGAAGACAAATAATAATAAATCAAGTAATGTCACTACGAGGTATGCCCATCAAGGACTACCTGAACTATCAGATGGGCTAGAAGGTACCAAGTCCGTTCAACACCGACGGAACCCATTTCGCAACAGGCGCGAGTGTCACACTAACACCGCCGGTCCGGTTTCACCATTGCTGTTCTCTGGACGGGAAGATGTGGTTGGCTGGGGAAAGTACCACTCTTTCCACTGGCAGACTTCCACTTCAACTTCGTCAATCGGGCAGTTGTCATCTCTGCGTGGAAGCTGCGATGGTCGTCGAGCTGCATCCACCGCACAACTGCACGTTTAGTAACTAACATAGAAACTCCCGACGCTCTGTTGTCTGCTTGCTCCCAAAACCCGAGGGAGACCTTCATGCCGATTACAGCACCTTGTAGCTGCGTAAGGTGGCCAAGACGTTGCCGTGATCATTCGCGGTTGCTAGGTGGTATGAATGCCAGCAACGCTGGATACACAGCTTCCACCAGGTAACAAGACCAGATTAGGTGGTTGTCGTGTACCAACTCAGGCTGGCACGTGTGATATGAAAGCGCTGTCTCGGAGCATCGACCCGATTACCGTCCTTGGATGATTGGATTTAGATCGTGTCCAGCGCACCATGTGGGAGCACTGCCGACTGCCAAGCATCTGTAACTCATTGCGCAAGAACGAGATCTTCACTCTCGTTCGTACAGTAAGTTAGTGCATATCACCAAAGAACTTGATTCGAGATCAACTTCGAAGTGGTCAATACCCCCCAAAGCGACAGGCATCCAATGTCTCGAGCAGAGACAAACCCAGATCCTTGCGAGATTCTAGACTCGGGCCACTCGGCCATCGAATTTCCTGCATATTGCTCAATACGAACTCAAAATGCAGCACCAATATGAGTTATATGACGAGGTGAGGCGGACGCGCACCCGAGTGACCCAAGCGGATTGAACTCATGCTTCGTTGGCAACGGCGTGAGGAGTGTCGTCTCAAATCCCTCTCGAAGGTCCCATCATGTCTGCGTGTCATCTGGCAATCATGAGGCAAGCAGGTCCCTTCAAGCTGGCAGGACGTCCTATGCTTCTATTCGTCGTGACCAGCGAGCCGATTGGCATTCAACTCATTGCTCCTCACTCGGACTCTCCATTTGCCCGCCGCATCTCGGAGGCCGCCACTAAACCCAGGTGCTTGATTTGCGACAGAGTAGGCGCCTTCCTCATCCGCATCTCAGCCTTTGCCATGGTCTTCGGCAATGGGTCTTTGCCCGCCAGTCTCTCTTCAAACATGTCGACTTCAATGTTGGCATTTCTTGCGGCCCGAACAATGGTCGAGAACTTATCCATGAAGGAAGCACCCGTTCGCGCAACAGTCCACAGGCCAATCATTACATTCAAGACTGTGACACCAATCGCGACACCGTAGGCGAGCCACAGCTTGTCCGACTCGTAGCTGTAAACATTGCCAAACAGGTCGAATGTGACATCGACCTGTCCTGGAGCGAGCGGACTGCTGGCATTATATGTCAAAGCTGGAGAACTGGCCATGGACATGGTGATGTTAAAATAAAGTTCCTCCATGACTTGAATCAATGGCCGGCGTGCATCAGAAGTCCATGTCGGCAAGAGACTGGTAGCTTGGTCAAAAGCAAGACCAGATGTCTTATTTGTGAGTGACTGAGCCGTCTGCTGGGCGAAGTTCAAAGCTGCCATCTCATTCGTGTTGGCCAGAACAGTAGACAGGATCTGCGTAGAGTACCCGATAGTTGTATTCTCCGACATTGGTACCCTCGCAAGTCCACGACTGCCATTGTTGCGGTTTGTAGCACCTAGCAGGAAAGCCATCACGCCTTGCTGAATGGCAGCGTAGGACATCAGCTGCATCGAATGTACTGCGTCTTCTGTTATATTGGTGACATCGAGAGGCACTTTGTTCTGGGCATTGAACCGTGACATCAAGAGCGGATAACCCTCACTTGCTTCGAGTTGCAAGACGGGGGTATCGTTGCCCCTCATCAATCCCGTTGCATTTTTCATGTCCAAGACCTCAATTTGCTGCTGCTGATTCAGCCCATCGAATTTGAAGCCCAAATGATAACTGGTAGGAATGACGCTGCATCTAATCAACGTTGCATCCTCCCAATACCAGTCGTATAAGATTCGCTTGTAATCTGCATCCTTGACATCATCGGACCAGTGTGGAAATAGATCTCGTTGAGCATTATAGTCGTATTCGGTCCTGGGAAACACTGCCATAAAGACGTCGACGCCAGATCCTTTCCAGTACGGCACCCGCGCCGAGTTGTCCTGAAGTACCCACACACCGCTGCGCTGGCTGTCTAACTTGAAGGCGTATGGCTCGGTGTCGTTGGATTCTGCTGACCAGGCCACATACGAGAACATCTGGGAATCCAGCGATAAGGACGAGGTGTAAGATGTCCAGTTTAGTAGGACAGAGCCCATGTTCTCCTTGATTGCTTCACGCAAATCATTATCAACATCATTACAGGAAAGCCGTGGTGCATCGAATTGCACCTGCCATGAAGCATTAGTCCCCGGCGCCTCAACCGGAAGGATAGTCCCAGCTGTTGCAGCGGCATAGGCGATCCTCGAAACCTCTTGGATAGGCCAGTCGTAAGCCAATCTTCCGTTCCCTTTCCATCCTCCCCAGTCAAGCATACAATAAGCTAGGCTTTTGAACGCCGGCTGAGGCACAAACTCCGAACGGATAGGAGATGGCTGAATTCGATCAATCACGACATTCAGGCTCGCTGGACTGATGATAGCTGCAATCGGCAACAACCAACACGTCAACGCCATAAGCGTCAACAATGGATATCTCCAATAGCTCGCGAGGCATCCCAGACTCCACAAATCATCCAACCCTCCGAACCAGTTATCCAGAACTTCCAGTTTGAATGCCTTTTGGTTGATGACTCCGAAAAGCAATTGCATATAAGCCGTACTGCAAGCCAATATAAGGCTGGCCTTAACAACAAAAGCGAATGCTGTGCCAATTGCAATATTGACTTGCTGTTGCGTCGTAGTCCAACTCACAAGCTTGATCGGATGCGAAGAGACTGCAGTCCCGGCCAGCGAAGAGTAGAAGGCGTGGTGAGCAATCGCAAGAGCAACACCGATGATGAGAGAGGAGAGCATCAAAGCCGGGATGCGCCAGTGGGGTCCATGGTTGCGAGACCGTTTCATGTCGTCGGAGTGAATATGTAGCACAGATGTATGAATGGACAATGGAATCAAAATTGCTAAAGATACAGTGGTGATATGTGAAGAGTAGTATATACCAGTAGGTGCTTCATGGGCATGGATAGATACCTGTAGCTTGGGCGGCTAAGTTTGGGATAGGTGCCTCTTGGCTCTTGCTTGCATGCAGATTGGGCCTGGTATAGTTCCTTGCTTGCATGCAGACTCGTGGGCCCTAGCATATTTCCGTGCTTGCATGCAGACTCGTGGGGCCTGGCGTCTTTCGAGCTCCAACTCTTCTGGACGCATTTGCGGTCCATCTCCGGAGAATCTGATCCTCAGCCAATGTGGATCGTTGTCGATGCGCTCTGCACACTGCCCTTGCAACTTGTGTTGTCACTGCTGTGGTGTGTCAGTTACTGGAGCACGATTAGCCTCCACGTCATGTCGTGGTTCTGCGGGAGTCTTTCACAGAGGGCGGACAGCTCTATGTTGGAGCACAATGCAGATTTCTTCTGACTGCGAGGTCCGTGATGCAGCAAGTGGCGGTATGTTGTAATTTGTGGTGTGGTGTTGGTATAATTGAGACGGCAGAAGGTGGAAAGAAGCCTAAGAACTTAGACGGGAGGAGGCGGAGAAAACGGGGCGAGGCGAGGCACGCCAAGAGCGAGCGTCATTGGCCAGCCTCAACTGGGATGATCGACATAGCTACAGAGACTTACCCTAATGCTGAGCGGCATCCTACCTCCTACCGGTACCTCCTATGCGCACGCTCGTGGTATCATAAGCATCCCATTTTCATTTTCCATCCGCAACGCCGCGCTTACAACTAATGCGTCATCAACTAGCAGTGTCCTGCCAACCATGAGGTATACCTCCTGCATTACCCCAACATGACCTGCTGAAGAGCTGCCTTGCCTTGGGCATCCAGCTTCTCGTTGACGAACTGCCCGATCCGGCCGTTGTGCCTCTGATCCGCTTCGCGCAGCGTTGTACCAACCCAAATCTTCACATCCTGCACCTCTGGCCAGGGGTCTTGCGAGGGCTTCTTGCAAGTGTTGAGCTGTGTGAAGGCCGCTCCGAAGCCCAGCTCATCGACATCGCGATCTTCAATGATGTTGTCGTCAGCAGCTGGTGGCAACGGAGGGTTGATCAGCAGCTTCAGGAGAGCTTCGCAAGTGATTGTCCAGCCACGCTTGGCGTATCTCTCCACAAATGCCTGACTGTCTGCCAGTGTTCGAGTGAGCGATAAGCAAGCTGTTTTCCGGTCGAATGGTCGGCTCAACTTCTGTGTGTCTGGGAGAATGATTCCGGTGTAGAGCGGTGTGAAGGCATTGGCTTGCACAGCGTCTGCTTTCGCAACGAAGAAGTCTGCGCCCAGACCTTGATCGACGAGAGCGGACACCAAATGGTAAAAGCGCACAAAGCGCAGCGTGAACTGCTCGGTCTTGGTGTTAGTCAGGCGGTGAAACATGAGCTGGAGAATTGTGCTCCAGTAGCTCTCCAGTGTGCTTGGTGGGAAGCTCTTGACGACTGTTTCGATAATGTCCATCGCATAACCTTCGTATGCTTTGCTGGCGACCAGTTTCTGAAAAACCAAAAGCACTGCCTCTGTTTGGCCAGCAGCGGCGATTTGCTGGGCACCACGAGGAATAATTTCGATGAGCAGACGAGTCAATGCTGGCACATTGCCCTTGTTGTCCCACATGCTCGGAGTGAGTATTGGTCCGACGAGCTGTTGAAACAGTGGAGAAATCGTCCCGGATGGGCTGCTCGCCACGATCTGAGCATAGAGCTGGAAGACGTAAGGTGTGAACTCGTCGACCGATGACTGGAGTACCTCCATGAATACCGGGAACAGCGTGCTCTCAATCTTCTCTGGCTGATTCGGACCAGCAAACCGGATAGTGGCGCCAAGCGACTCGAAATGATAGTAGTAGAAGCCTGGGTTCGAGGGGTTGTGGCGTATTACTTTGGTAATATTCACGAGATTGGTGAGGACCAGATCAAGGATCGAAATGACACCATCGCGAATGACAATCAGCACCCGCATCACACACTTCATCAAGAACTCATTCTCTTGAACCTTTTCGGGCCTGGTATCCTTGGTGATGAGTGTGAACAGATGCTGTAGCAGGTCCTTTGCCAGCGGAAGTATGCTCTCGCGCGGAATGACCGGCTGTCGTTGATCGTTGGTGAGGTACAGAGCGCGATCGACTGCTACAGCAGCGTAAGTGTAGACCACATAGTTGGAGGAGTTCAGGTGCTGAACAAGCAGTGGAAATGCTGCCTGCCACTGATCTGCCGAGAGGATGCTGCGAAAGATGTACAAATACTTGATCGCGTCGACTTTGAGGAGAGGCTCGGCGTTGGGGTTCGTTAGGTCTTCTGCGATGTTTGTCTGAAAAAAGTCGATCACATCGACATTCGGGTTTACGCTGAGTACGCCCTTTGCGGCAGTAGCTGTGCCCTTGGCTGCGATGGAAGAGAAAAGGTGGACCGCCGTATCCTTCGACTTCCAGTTCTCGCTGCGGTCTTTTGCGTATTCGGAGAGAAAGTGGTTGATGTATCGTGTGACCACATCTGTGACTGGCTTTTCAAACTGTTCTTGCAGTTTCCGTAAAAAGTTCGTGGCAGCTCTGCGCCTCGTATCTTCATCTGAGCCCTCTAAATCTCGCCGGATGTACTCAATCGGTTCGTCCTCAAACGTCTCGATGTCCGATTCTCGTAACGACAAATTGGGTATGACCACTTTCTCCGTGACTTGTCCCAGCACGTCAGCATTGTTGAAGCTTTGCGCGTGCTCTTGTATGCTCGCAATGGTGGTCAAGAACTCCAATGCCCGGCTGACTACCAAGTCGTACTTGGCCTCTGGTCCAATATTCGTCAAGAATGCCCAGGACGTACCCACGAACTGGGGCACATGTGACTTGAACTCGTCATCGTATTTGCGCGTATACAAATTCAACACTTTGAACACCCCTGCTCTTACGTACTCGAGAGGGCCTGCCTCGGACTCGTCTTCGGTATTCAATGCAGCGTTTTCGTATGTTAGGTACTTGTGTAAGAGCCCCGAGACCGCAGGCAGAGCCTCCTCGAATTGTGGTGGCATATCGTGCGTTGACAGGTCGTAGACGAGCTTGAGGATAAGATCGAGGGTCGCATAGTGCGCCTTGAGCACCTCTGGGTTGCTCTGGTTTTGAGTGATCTGTCGGTCGGTGTTTTCCCACAGCTGCAGGAATGGACTCGCAAATTTGGAGAGGACGTGGTTGATCTCGGTGTACAGATCGTCGGATCGATAAAGCGGCTCCCAACGCTTGAAGATGGAGTGAGCGACCTGGAGGACACCATTGTTGACAGTAGCATCGTCGGGCGTCAGTCGTGAGACGAGGTCATCGACCAAAGTGTTCCATTGTTCCCAAAAGTCGCTGTCTGCAATGACGCTGATAGCATCACCCAGTTGCGCCTGAATCGTGGGCGGCACTCTGACCATCAGGCCGATGAGCTCGCTTTTGATGGTGGTGACCTCGTTCGCAGGCAGTCTGTGCGTGCCATTCTCGTCGACCCAATTCCTCTTGACAAAGTTCTTGAAGAACAGGGCGCTGGCGAGTCGGGTGGCCTGAGGGAAAGTGTCTGTGGCAACGATTTGCAGCAGGGCGAGCGAGAAGGAAGGCTTCGTCTCTTCGGCTTTGAGGGACGACTCGGCTGCGAGGAAGAAGGGATCAGCATCATGTCGCGTCTGCGATACTCAGCATACATGTATGTGGTGATCACATGAGCTGTTCCGACGTACCTTGAGCTCGCCTCGTGGGGTCCAGACTGGCGCTGAGCAGATCAGCCACAGCCTGCAAAGACACGGCCATTGTGACTAGAGATGTGGGAGAAGGGAGGAGGGAGGAGGGAGTGGAGGGAGTGGAGAGGATGAGGTGGTGGTGGCAGACAGAAGAGAATAGAAGAAGAGAGGAAGAAGCTCTCCTCCAGTCGTTGCTCAGCGAGACACACGCCCACCAAACAACCTGAGAGACCGACTTTAAGCTTTTTAGGCGAGAGACCTCCGAGCCGACAGACCAGGGACCCCTGTCACGGAATTAAGGCGCCGTTAGACACAGATACCTTAGGTACCTACTACCTCAGGTACACATGTGAATGCCTACCTCCTACCAACGTAACACCACGCCACGCCACTTTCGCGACAACCACATACTGCTCCGTCTGTTTCGCTCCCGGCCTGCAACCGCCACCTCGAGATACACTGCCTACAATACCTAGGTACCGGATTGCCTGCACACGGATCACTCACTCGTTCTACTGTATCATGGATATTGTATAACCTGTTCTAGCCTTCAGTCTTCCTCGATCGGTTTCACGCGCCACGGCATCACGATTGACGATTGACGACCGCGACCACAAACCACACCACACTGTCCACGATGGCGGGCTCGGAAGCTCTGGCGCGGCTACGGGAGCAGACGATGAGCAGTCTAGAGGATGAGGAGGCAGTCACCGTCAACACTCGCGCTCTCATCGACAAAGTGCTTGCGCGATACTCGGGCGAGTGGACAACTCTCAGAGAGCTCATCCAGAATGCGGCCGATGCGCAGGCGCGGAAGGTCACCATCCGCTTCGAGACATTGCCGTCTCCGACTGTGCCTCTACCTCAGTCTCCAGACTCTGGGGAGCATTTGAAACACACGATACTGCACCACACGCTGAAGACGCTGGTCGTGTCGAACGATGGCGAGCACTTCAAAGAGACGGACTGGCAGCGGCTCAAGCGGATTGCGGAGGGCAACCCAGATGAGACCAAGATTGGCGCTTTTGGTGTCGGCTTTTACAGTGTGTTTGCGGATTGCGAATCTCCATTCGTGAGTTCCGGAGCCCAGACGATGGCTTTCTATTGGAAGAAGGACTCGCTGTTCACGCGGCGAGGCAGGCTGTCAGATAGCGAAGTGCAAGGTACCACCTTCCTGCTGGACTATCGAAGTCAGACAACACCTGTTCCGCAACTCCTGAGCATATGTCAATTTCTCGCCACCAGCTTGACATTCGTTGGCCTAGAGTCCATCGAGCTATATCTAGATCAATGGAACATCCTTACTTTGACCAAGAAGATGGCTCCCGCTGCAAATGTCAAGATCCCAGGTGACGTCGACCCTAAGACGAGAGACGGTCTCATGAAGATTACAGATGTGGAGTATCAGAACGCACAAATTGATGCACGGTGGATGAACGCAGTAGGCTGGAATCGCCGGTCACAATCATCGACTACCATAGCTGCACAGGCGCCGACCGATACTGGAACCAGCTTGCGATCTTTCTTTGGGAGGATAACAGGAAGTGCCATTGCATCAGCCACTACTCGCAAAGCTCAGCGTGAAGATGACGCGCTCCAGCAGGCCATTCTGGAAGATATAGCCGGCTGCAGTACCGCTACCGTATTTCTACGTATAAGCACTGTCAGCATCTTGACCAATGTTAGCCGTCAGCTATCTGCTGAACTTGAACGTGCCACGAAGAAGCCACCGCCCAAGCGCACCCGGATCTCAATCCTCACATCGTCCTACGACGAATCTGCCGCGTCATTGAGCACATCATCAGGAGGCTCCTCGAAGAAAGCGGCAGACATCTTCGCATCAGTATTGCCAACGAAAAATGGCAAGATCTTCATCGGCTTTCCGACAGCGCAGACAACTGGACTGCTGGCCCATATATCTGCACCGTCAGTCATTCCGACTGTTGAGCGTGAGAGCATAGACTTGAACGCTCGTTATGTTCGCGACTGGAATGTAGAGATGCTTCGTGTGGCCGGGATCGCTTGTCGAATAGCATACACAGGTGACATGGTGGAGCTTCGGGTCAAGATTGAGCGAAACATGGCGGCTGCTGGACGCAGCAAGGTAAACAGCGACGACATCTCGGCAGTGATGCCATCGGCCGTTCATACGTACAAGCAGTACAACTTCCTGGAATCCACCCCTTCCTTGAAAGTCGGACAGTACATAGAAGAAGCGTTCTGGACGTGCAACACAAAAGCCAGCATCGATGTGCTCTCTACAAGGGGTGTTCTACCCAGTCATCAAGTCCGCGTGGCTACAGAAGACCTGAGCTTCGTCGAGGGCATTCCAGTCATTCCAGACGAGCTGATGCACAAGGCGAACGAGTTTTTGACCAAATTGCGCGACTATGGCCTTCTTTCCGACATTACCACGGGTGATATCAAAAAGGAATTGGAAGCGCAGGCTCTTACCGAGAAACAACTGACCGAACTGCTCAAATGGGCTTGTAACAAGGTATCCAGACAAGAAATGGATTCTGATGCTGTGCAGATGCTATTTGATGGCACAGTCGCGACCATCAGTGAAGAGTTCGTAAACTCCTCTGGCAGTCCTGTGCTGCAACTTGGGCAGATCAGCACCTTTGTGAATACCGCCAAGATACCAGTCGATGTTCCCACGCCGCCACAGACTGCCCCCTTTCGGATTACGAAAGGACTAGCACCATCCCAGCTACAGTCGATTGGTTGGAACGAGCTTCAAGTTGTGCCTTGGCTGCGCTGGATCGTTGAGAGTGATGGTAGCGGCTTCGGAGAGACAGAGAGTCTAACGACAAGCCCAACAGTTGCTTCGCAAGTTCTTCCGGTCATTTCTCGAGGGTGGGATGCATTGTCACAGTCATCCAAGCAGTCTGTGCAAGAATTACTCATCCCACGAACTGTGATACCTACCAAACTTGGAATGCGAAAGCCTCCACAGGCTTATTTCGCGAGTGTCAGGCTGTTCGACGATCTGCCGACCATCACGGGACTGCAAGGGGTCAAGGAGAAATTTTTGAACGCGCTTGGCGTCCGCAAAACAGTGGAGCTGAATGTGGTATTTGACAGACTCATGGCCAAATCTACACCTGGTGCCGCCGAAGAAGGTAAATGGTCCCATGTAGATCTCATCAAGTACCTGGTCTCGGTGAAGGACGACATCCCCACCGAAGATATGAAGCGTCTCCAGCAGACTCCAATGTGCCCAGCAGAAGTGCATAGTGGCGACCAGTCTGTTAAGACCGCATTGTACCGTCTCTCTGAGCTGTTTGAGCCAGACGACAAGATTCGACGCTTGACGCTTCCAGTCCTCCAGTGGCCGGGACAGTATCGTGCCAACACACCAGAGGGTAGATTTCTCAGGTCGCTCGGGCTACGAACTCACCCGTCTGTGCCGGATCTCGTGAAGATACTAGCTAATGCCGCCGTGGGCAGCGAGCTTCAGAAGAATGCTATCGAGTATTGGATTGCAAATGCTTACCAATTTGGCTACCAGAAGCATCCTGTCGCGGAAATTCATTCTGCCTTCCTCCCGGTCGAGTCACTCCCTGGGGAGAAGCCGAATATGGTCGGGAAGCCGTCACAGCTGTATGCCAATCCAAAGGCGTCTATCCTTGGATTCCGCATACTGCGCCAAGACCTGGTCCAGCATCATGCTCTCTTTGGTGTGGCGATAGATCCGCCTATTGACAAGTGCGCCGAGAAATTGATCAAAAGCCCTCCAGCCAATGCCTCCCAGGCTAAGATCATATTCAGCTACTTTGCGGGCAGACTTGCCGAAATCGGTCCCAATGGTAATCTGGCAGAGAGGCTGAGCAATGCGCCTATCGTGCCTGTCGTTGATGGCACCCGCCGTGAGAAAGCCTCGCAGACGAAATTCGTCCCGCCGCGCAGCTGTTATTTGGGCGACGGCGAGACCTATGGCGACATCTTTGACTTTGTGGACTTCGGTCACGAGGCGAACACGTTCTTGCTCAGAATCGGCACAAAGCACGAGCCCAATGGTTTTGAGCTTGCAAGTATACTGGTGCGACAGCCTGGCCGACTTCTGGAAACCCTGGGCCATGATAAGTACCTCAATTTGCTCCGCAAACTTGCAGAGAACGCAGCCAATCTTAAAAAGGACAGAGCGCTGTGGACCGGCTTGAAGAGCTCGTCTTGCTTACTAGCTGAGAAGCTCGTTCGTTCGGGCGAGACCCACGATGATGAGAAAGGCGAGCTTGACGATGAAGAAGCCACCTTCAAGGAAATTCATTTGGCGAAGGCAGCCGACATTGTCATCGTGGATGACATTACTGTCTATCGACTCTTTCAGGGGAACCTCTTGGCGGCCCCGCAGGAAGAGGTCTTAGAGGCCTTGTACAATTCTCTGGAGACCCCCTCGCTAAGCCAACTCGTTGAGACTGATCAACGTATGGGTGCTCTGCTTCGAGATCAGACGCCGGGAACGATTCTGCAGAAGCTCCTAGTTGAGCGCTGCCGGTTATTTTTGCACGATCATCCACCGGAAGTCATCAGACACGATGCCAAGTGGCTCGAGCAGAGCATGACTGTAAAAGTGACGGAGTTCCTGCAGGTTACTCGGAGGCTTAAAGGCTTTAGAGGCCTGCAACACACCGACAAGAAGACGGCTGCCCTGCATCGCGAATCCAAGAAGGACGCCACGCTTTTCGTGACAGCCAGATACGACCTCTACGAGGTCAGTCGAGCAGTCATGCCTGTGCTACTGAAGAGGCCTAGACAACAGGACTTTCTAGCCCTAGAGACGATCCTAGAAAGCGATCTTCGTAGACTAAAGGTCAAGGGCTACAATGTCGACCGCATTTTGAGACAGAAAGCTGCCGAGTCCAGGATTGCCGAGTCGGAGAGGCAGAAGCGCGCCGAGGAGCAGAGACTGCTTGCACAAGCCGATGCACAGACAATGCCTCAACAAGCCGATGCACAGACAATGCCTCAACAAGCACCAACTGCGAAAAGCATTGTGCCATCGCAGCCGCAGCATGACCCGCAGCCCGAGACCCCTGACAGGACGTTGTCCATGCCAGGCTCTTTCGCCGACTCACCGGATCGTCCTAGCTCTTCTGGTATTATGAAGCGGCCTAGTGGTATCTTCAGCAACATACAGAAAGCTCTCGGTCTAAACGCAGGCACCCAAGCCGCGAGTCAGATGCAGAATCCCCTCACGAATGATGCACCTCCGCCGTACGAGCACCGCAGTCCTATGGGACCTCGGAGTGTTACACCTGGTACCGAAGTTGTGACCTCACCTCGTGACATCAACGAGAATCTGCGAAAGGCCATCAAGGCTACGCGCGAGTACAACTCTTCGACAGTATTCAACCGGCCGCAGACCAACGAGGTCAAAGAAACGACATCTTACTGCGACAGTAGGCCTGGCCATGACCTACAGTACACGGCCGAGCTCGGCAATGGCATCAAGCTCTACCTCGACCGCTCGCACCAAGACGCCAATGCCTTCTTGCAAACTCATCGGGAAGCCATTGCGCTCTTTGTCTCCATACTCTCTGAAGTTGCCAAGATCTTTGAAGTGTCTCCACAGACCGTCCACATCTATCATGACTTATCGGGTGCTTCCATTGCTTTCAACAGTAGCGGGAGCATTTTCTGCAATCTCCGATACTTCATGCAACTCCACATGCCAGATATGGCGAGCCCAGAAGGCAAAGTCGAGGCGCTGGCGTATTGGTACATTACTCTGTGCCATGAGTTGGCCCACAATCTGGTCAGCAATCATGACTCCAACCATAGCTATTACACGGAGAGCTTTGCGGCGTATTACTTCCGACGCATGGTTTCGCTGGCGGGAAGAGTTTTGGCGCAGCAAGGATAGGAGGAGACTGTGGCCAGAACGGAGATGATCAATGTTGATGATGATGATGATGATGATGATACTGCTACGGTTTGGCCTGAGCCGTCGATTTTACATGGGAGAGAAAGGAAGAGGGATCGGATAAAGATTTGGGCTTCTTCTTCAGGAGGAAGAAGGAGGAGTTCAAGAAGCTTGCGATCCAGAATCAGTTGGGGGAGAAATGCGTGAGTTGCTGCCTCGCGATTCTGATTTTCGGTGCATAGGTAGGTAGCCTTGGTTGGGCGCAGCAGATCATTAGCATTGGGACGAGACACACCACGGCTCACCGTTGATTGAGCCCTGCCTGTTGCATGTAGATAGATAGACACGGTGTATTAGGCTGTATTGTATACCTTACCTAAGGTAAGGTACTTTATGTACTGCGCAGAATGATGCAATGGACACTAAAGACTGTCAAGTTGTCGACAAAGCATGCACGACCACCTACCCTTAAACGTGTGAATGCCGTAGGTACATGATGTACATGTGATTGGTGGGAAGAATCACGAGTCCATGCGACCAAGTACAGTACCTTTCCCACCTGACATATAGGTAACCACGATCAAAAAGGTTTGACCAAAAGCATCCATGTATGCAATCAGGCACACTTGCGTTCGTTGTCCAGGCGAGGTTGCTTAGATGGACAGAAACTAACAGGCAAGCAAGCAAACCTAGGCAGGACTGAAGAGATACTTGAGACTCATTGTCTGGAAATGGTGCAATCATCAGGTAGTTATTATATCATGTCTAATCGAGTTTTACGACCTGCGCAGGTCATTAGGTATAATCAATCGTCCTCCCTACCCAACGCTCTCTACAACCAGTCGACTATCATCGTACCCATCGCAGGGCTGTCCAAAAGGTATACACTTGGGGTCACACACAGTACCATGGGGCGGCAGCTCGCCCTTTTCCATGTAACTTCTCACATGCTCCCAGATACACATGGAAGGTGGGAAGAGTGCACCATGCCCCGCGGCATCCTGCTCGAGAAAGACACTGCCCTTGTAGCGTGCAGCCATCTTCTTCGCGCTCTTCGCAGGAGTCGCGGGATCCAGCCGGTTGTTCACGAATAGAATCGGCACGTCCCCTTCGAAGGGACCATCATAGCGCCATTTGGTGCGCAACGAGTCCGGCCATGACCAGCAGGCAATCTTGAAATCGGCTTGCAGACCAGCAACCTGACTGCCAAAGCGATCTGTGAGATTTGCGAGATATTTTTCGAAACCCGTAAACTGTTCGGAGCGGCCTGAAAATGGTTCTGGGCCATCAGCACAGTGTACCGCCGGGGAGACTTCGCCGCCAAGATACTCCTGTGCCAACATTTTATCGCTGAAGGCCTCTTTGGTGGGAACAGGGCGTCGCCAAAATGGCACACCAGGGTTCTGCTGGGTCGCAAGTTTGCTCAAAAACTTGGCGTAGGCCTTGAAGAATAGGAGCGGTTGATACGTCGTCGTCATAAACCCTTGAAGGAGGTCGCCGCTGGTGATGGGCGAAGCGCGCCCACTCCCTGTAGCATACGCCGGCACTCTGTCAAGAAGATCAAGCAGCTCGTGGAAGCGGGCCTTGACATCTTCGGGGCCCTGGTCTTGTTCACGATAGAAGTCGCATTCGTGCTTACTCAGGAAGCACCTCTCGTAGAAGTACTCGCGAATATCCAAGTGATCGTCTGTGGATGCTTCGTAGCGAGAGATCCAATTTTCCGCATCGAGATTCGCATCTAAGACCATCCTGCCAACATGCTCGGGATACATTGCCGCGAAAACCTGTCCAATAAACGTTCCGTAAGAGGTGCCAAAAAATTGTAGCTTTGGGACTGAGATGGCACCATCGCCGTCGATGGGCTTCTGGGAATCTCCTCTACGGGTCGCCACGCTGTTCTGACTGGAAGACTTTTGCGACTCAATCTTCTTAATGATCTCCAGCACATCGCGTGCCACAGATGCAGTAGACATAAACTGTCGGATATTGTCGCCGTTGGGATACTTGCCGATGTCCGTTTTCGCGCACAGCTCGCCTCGTGCATTTTCGGCAGCCCAATTGAATTTGAGCGCGTAAGGATGAGATGTCAAGCCTCCCACAGCTTCCTTCTGGTCGTACCAGATCTCGGCCTGCACAGCGTCGTCGAAACAGTAGCCATTCGGCACTGAACCGAAGATTCCACGCGGATCGAAGCTGAGTATCTCGTAGCTGCGTGGCCCTTCGAGTTGAGTCTGCAGCTTTTCGGCATTCTCGAGTGCCCATAAGGTACCAGGACCGCCAGGGCCGCCGGGATTGACGATGACGGTGCCAGCATGATTAGGATCCGATGGAGGCACGGTAGCCGGCAAGCGTATCACGGGTAAAGATACGTTATTGGGATTAGAAGAGTCCCGCCAGTCCAGAGGCACCGTCAGCCTCGCACACTGAAACTTGTCATCGTAGCACGAGTGGTAGACCAGCTCCGTGTCACTGGTCAAGGACGACCAATCGAAGGTGGACTTTCTCCCGGAGGCATTGCCGGCGTGGTGGGCGGAGAGAAAGAAAGGCGGAAGGAGGGCATGCACAGCAGAGATATAATACGGGCTGGCCAGGAGAAGCAGGGGGAGAGGTAGGAATACCATCATCATCATGTCGTGAGAAGGAGAGGCGGCGATATTTTGCAGGTGATAAGGGGAAGATAAGAACAACGGCGGGGGCCGATCCCGCGATACTTCTGCCTACCACCTACATCGTGTGACTTGGGTGCTGCACGTGCAAGGATGCAGCGTGGAGCGTGGAGCGTGATCAGTTGGGATGGAGGTATAAGGAAAGGTAGTCTCAATCTGGCGTCGACATGGAGATGCTGGTGAGAACACGAACAGGGCGTGGGGGATGGAGGAAAGAGGAAGAGAAGATGGATGGAAGAAAGAAGAAAGAAGAAAGAAGAAAGAAGAGAGAAGAAACAAGAAAGCAGAAAGCAGAAAGGAGAAGAAGAGGCTTCCAAGCGGGTGCGGCTGTGAAGAAGGTGGACTCGGTTGCACTTCCCCTCAGGTAGGTATGACTTCAATAATGTTATTATAACCGAGGCGGGCTGACTAATATCATACACTGCTACTAAGTTCTAAACAACACTCTGAAATCTTACACTCACGGTGCTACTGCTCACCGCCCGCAGTCATATTGTCATCCCAATCCTACCCCCTTCTCTCGTGCGTCTATAATCGCATTGAGACATTTGCCCACCGCTTCCAAGTCTCCCAGCAAAGTGATATGACCCCGATCAGAGCTGACCACTCCTCCACGAGCCGTACGATAACCTTCCGGAGCCATCGAGGCCTTGGCCAGAACCACACCGTCTCCGCTTGCAAACGCCAATTCGTCGTAACAATCGGCATGCTTGATGGCCCCAATCCCATCCACCTTCGCACCAACCACCGTCGGTGTCGATTTGCCATAGATGACGGCAATGGGAGGGTACGCGTTCGCAGAGTCATGTGCGGGATTGTATGTCAGCTCCTGTTTGAACTTCTTGACTGTCGCCAGAGTCCGTGTCAGGTAGGCGATGGCTGCTTCCCTGGGAATGGTGACGGCAGTTCGTGAAGGCATATCCGACCCGTCCTCGAAATGATTATCGTCGTGTTGCCCATTGTTAATGTTGCCGTTCTCCGTTGCAATCTCACTACTCTTGCCGCCATTATTCATGCTGTCGGGCGCTGCCACGCCTGCAATGTTGGTCGTCTTGGGCGCATCAGTGGAGCTCTTACTGCCCTTGCGCCCCGAGTTGGAAAAGGTTGGTATCGCGTTGGCCACAGAACTCATATACCCAGCGAGACCACTTGGTTTGGCCGCTCCTGATAGCGGCGGGAGGGGGCGTCCTACACATGGTGACAAGCGATGTTCAATCCACGTCTGTGGATCGAAAAAGTCCACGGGATACTCCTCTTTCGTGTGCTTGTCTACGAAGCATCGTCCATCCAGGGGAAGAAGAGCAAAGCTCGTTCTGATCGTGAAATTGACTTGTGCGGTGAGGACGCGACTGCTGAGCAACACTTCATCGCCATTTCGGAGTGGTCCGAGAATGTTGACACAAGTTTGTGGTACACCAGCATATAAAACACCACGGAACAGGTCTGGTCGCTGATTGACCACATGCCGCACGATTAGTCCTCCGAGCGAATGAGCAAGAACAGTGGCTCCTTTCAACTCTCGAGGTGCGCCAGGCTGATTGCATGCGAGGCCCTCGAGGAACTTGGTAAGCTGCTTCGACAAGTATGTAGGATGCAAGCGCCAGTCGTAGCTATACTCATGCACTCGTAGTAGCCCATCTCGGGCATTGTCGCTCGCTCGCAGCCGTTTGAACAGCCGACGTGCGATATCGACAGGGCCAATATGCGTGAGCATCCCCCCTGGGATGATCTTCTCTGTAGCCCTTTCATCTGCGTCCTCCTCCAGTCCGACCTCCAGATCGACCTTCCGAAGATTGAGGCCGACTTTCATGGGCACCCACAGCTGGCGATGCGGTGGCTCAGCTGAACGGAGCACACTTCCTCGATAGCCCCCCAAGATCACGACATCACCTTGAAGCCTTTCAAGTGCACTGTGGAAATGAGGGTGATGGGCAAGGGACTTAGGCAACCCAGAATCGGTGGCAGCGGCTCGAGCAGAAGTGTAGAATTGGCGCGTCATGGGGTCCACAGGCTTCTCTGCTGATTTGGTGTTTCGGAAAGAGCCAATCCGACTACCGTATTTGGCAAGAGACGAGTTTGAACGTTCACGGCTGAGAAAATCAGGCGTGAAGCTGGAAACATTGAACGTAGAGATGGATGGCATGCTCGGCATGTTAAGTCGCGAGTCTTGTAAGCTGTCTTTGACCGCCTTGATTCTGCTGTTGACCTGCTCAGATACATGCTCGAAGCGGCTGTCATCACCAAGACTTGACACAGTGGACAAGGCACGTTGCAATGGTAAAGCATTGTCTGAAGTACTCCTCCGCAGCAGTGGTACTGGTTTCGATGATATATGCGTGAGCTGGAGATTGCTTGGCAGGCCCTCCGTCTTTGCTTGCCCTTCTTTTCCAAGGTCTGCAGGTTTGGCTTCCTGGTGAGGAACGACTACGCTGCGCTGGGATGCTGCCCCTGGTGCTTCGTTATGCACTGTTTCTCCCAAGCCTTCTGACGTCTTTGCACGAGCGCGGTAGTGCAGATTAGAGCTGTGTTTCGATGAAAGTGAACTCTTCCTTGAGAGCTTGTCGCAACCTTGAACACCATCACCGGCAGCAGACGAGGATGAACCGATTGAAAATTTCTTCGGCTTCAAGGGGAAGCTGGAGAACAGCGATTTGGAACGACTTTCGGGCCCAGACGATGCTCTACGTCTGTTAAACGAGAATCCATCCCGTAGTAGTGACCTGGTGAAACTCCCCCTGTCCTTCTCGGAGTCCCTTGTGCCGGGCGAAGGTGAGCAAATAGGGGGCCTGGTCAGTGGAGGTTTCGCTTCCGGCACGGGAGAGTCTATTCTTCGTCCATCGACTTGTTCTGAATCCGCTTCGACTTCCTGTACATCTTCTTCTTCTTCGCCACTGGGTGACTCGGTGATTGGAGGCGACTCATGATCAAACGCTCCATCGAAATAACTTCCCGATTGTAGAGCTGCAGCTTTCTCTACAGCTGGTGTTCTGGGCGATAAGAGCCGTGTCTGCTCCCGCCCAATGCTCACGCCAATCGCCGCACGATCATCAAAGTCAGGCTCCGCGTCAGGTCCCAGCGACTCGTCCTCTGAAGAAGTCGCATGATCTGCCAAGATGGAGTTGTACTGAATATCGGCCAAGGCTCGAGACACGGTGGCTGGCCGCTGTTGGTCCGTCGCTGCACACATTGTTGGGAGCGCAAGAGGCAAAATTGCACATAGGTCCGTCCGATTGATGCGGTGCAGTGAGAGCGATCTAGATGCTCCCGGCCATGGCGATGAGTGATAGGAGATATTAATCTCGGTAGCTATACTGTAGGGTGATCTCAGGATGGCTAAGGATTCTCAGTGGCAGTGCTTTGTGTTCGGCCGCATGTTCCGGTCGTTTGAGTGCGATCCTGTCAGCAAAGCGAGCAAGTACGAGCGAGCAAAGTACGAAGATGACCATCCCAATTCAGATGTTTCCATGCACTTCTAATCTCTACGGCCTTCATGTCATCGCACTTGCAGGCCATCACAGCCACCGCTGCATTGCCGCTCTGCCGTCGCCGCCGCGGACGTAAGGTTGTTCTAGCGACGGGGCCATTGCACAATTCACTGCACCACAAAGATTCATGTCTTCCATGCACAAACAGAGAGCGTTGCACGAATCCGTAACTAATATAAGGACTCCGATTTCTGCAGGGGAGCAATAGCCCGCGGGAACTGTACTTTACCTACTAAATACTGGCTATCTTGCAGCAAAGCTACCTGCCTTAAAGGAGGTACAGTACCAGACTACCTCCTAGGTAGGTAAGGTAGCTCACTAGGTATTCACTAGTAGGTGGTACTGTACTTGCGGCAGGAAAATTCGTCTGCACAAATAATAGTGCAAGGGTGTTCATGCCGGCATGTTCAAGCGCCGTAGGCCGAAACAGCAATATAGAATTAGACGGCGTCAGCTTCGGGGATCGACCATCTTTTAATCGATGATTATCGGCGGCGCCTTTGTTACGAACTTACGAACCTCGATACAGCTACCTACTGGAATGGACTGTACTGGACTCAAAGATTGCAACAGAACAATAAGTTATTTCATACAGCATAAGGGCGCCATTCAGCATAGAATGGTAGGTAGGATGTACTCCCCTCCAACCGGCTGACAAGGGCACCAGCTACCTACTGACGTAAATTGCGATTGTGACACCGTCCTGGTCAGCACGACAGCACCTGAGGCAAACTTGAGGGGCCCAAGGGCTGGCGCGCCTGCTGGCTTTGAGTATCTGCTGGATCTCGAGCAAGAGTTCACAATGTGTGAGTGCGACCATGATTTTGCTTGCTCGGTATAGCGCTGTATCGGTCCCCAATCATGGCCTGATGCGCTGCGACTAGTCCTCCGCCACATTGTGTGTCCTCTTCAATATGCATCCTCTTCCAACCCTCTTTTCGTATGTAACAGGTCAGCCAGAGGACATGGACGTAATCGATGGTGCTCGGGTGTCGACGCCAGTGCGGCAAGAGAAGGTAGGCGTTGGCGTCACTGGGCCAGGTAGCTCAACGGCGCCGCATACCAGTGGGCATGTATAGATAGATACATGTATGTGTGAAGTCGAAAGATGGGAGGGAATGGAATGATAACGGAGGGTCTGAGAGCAGGCCCACGCCCACTCCCACGCCTCCAACTTCCCTTCTCGGCGTCGGGGCTATTTCAATCAAGGCGAGGCCAAGCCATCTGACGCACACACTCTAAATTACCTCTCCTACGGCGGCCCCGATATCGCCAAGCAGGCCAGTCCCGGCGGAAAAAGCAAAAGCAGAAGGGAGTGTCCTCGCTGGCCGCAATCCGCCTTTTGCCTACCATCCAACCGTTCCCTCGACACACCTCCTCCACCCTGATATCATGATTCGCCACCTGCTGCCGTCCATGGACCCAGCCTACATAATCAGCTGCTTTGACACGATGCATCCCGTCACCCTCCCGAATCCACAACCGCTAGCCTGTCGCGTGGCCGCCCTCAAAATGGGGTCGACTGCCGCCAGTCTGCGCCCTGCATCTTGAGAGAACTTGGCCTTGGGACACACACACGTCTGTCTCGACTTCACCACTCCTCCCCCCTCTCCCCCCTTCCCGCCATGTCTGCTCGACGAGCGAGTCTCGTCGCCGATGGCACTCACCTCGCCGCCCTCGGTGTCCAGCAAGAACTGAAACGGAACTTCTCTCCGCTGTCGATGCTGGGCTTGGCATTTGCCATTCTGAACTCATGGACTGCGCTTAGCACTGTAAGTTGATGGACAATGCGAAGGCATTTCTCTTCTAGGTGTCTCACGAAGCTTGAGCCCATGGCGGTGGCAAGCTCAAAGACACATCCCATCAAGTCATTCTCATGCTTTTCCGCGATACTTGCTCACTCTCGACCTGTCCATTGTTAGTCAATGTCGCTGGCGCTGCCATCGGGAGGCCCCGTGAGCGTGATCTGGGGCCTCGTTACAGCAGGCATCTTTAACCTGTGCTTGGCTACCTCGCTTGCAGAGTTCCTCAGTGCATACCCCACTGCGGGAGGTCAGTCTCCTCGCGTACCGCGAGATGATCGAGTTTGATATGGATACGGGATGCCCACTGACAAGCACAGGCCAATATCACTGGGTACACATCATCTCATGGCCCAGCTGGAAGCCTCTTCTCTCCTGGATCACTGGCTGGATCAATGTCTTTGGTTGGATGGCGCTGACAGCGACGGGAGGGCTACTGGGCAGTCAAATCATCATTGGCATTATCGCGATCTACGACACCGCGTATGTTGCGCAGAGATGGCATCAGTTCTTGATCTACATCGGCTACAACATTTTCGCCATGCTGTTGAATGCATTCGGAAACTCGATCTTACCATTAGTCAATAAGACTGCTATCATTTGGAGCATCACGGGCTTCGTGGTGATATCGATCACTGTTCTAGCATGCGCTTCGCCGGACTACAGCTCCGGCGACTTTGTGTACAGAAGTTTCATAAACGAAACTGGATGGCCCGATGGAGTGGCATGGTTGCTGGGGCTTCTTCAAGGCAGCTTGGGTTTGACAGGCTACGATGCGACTGCACACATGATAGAGGTAATAATAAGTCTCTGGCGAGACGACCGTGATAGCGTACTGACTTCGAGCAGGAAATTCCCAACGCAGCTGTGGAAGGCCCCAAGATCATGATATACTGTGTGGCAATTGGTGCATTCACAGGCTTCGTCTTTCTCTCGTGCTTGCTGTTTGTGGCAGGAGACATCAACCAAGTTATCGAATCCTCCGCTGGCCCGCTCAATCAAATCATCTACAACGCAACCGGAAGCAAAGCAGGCATGGTCTGCCTCCTTATATTTCCCCTCGTCTGCTTACTATTCGCGACAATTTCGATCATGACGACCTCATCGCGAATGACATATGGTAAGACCCCTGCGGCCCAAGACAAAACACTTACCTTACTGATTCGAGTAGCGTTTGCTCGTGATGGCGGTCTTCCATTCTCTCGAGTTTTTGCCCGCGTCCACCAGCGGCTCGATGTGCCTTTGGAATCTCTGGGCCTGACAGTAGTCGTTGTATTAATCTTCGGCTGCGTCTTCTTAGGATCGACCAGCGCTTTCAATGCCATTACCAGTGCATCAGTTGTAGCTCTTGGGCTGTCCTACGGCATTCCAATCATGATCAACTGCCTCCGCGGACGAAAGCAGCTACCTCCAACGCGAACATTCATCCTTCCAGAGTGGTTCGGATGGACCATAAATCTCATGGTAAAATGCATTTTCAAGTGAACGATATCAAGATCCAACTGATACGTGATAGGGCATTGCTTTTGTGATCGTTACGACCGTCCTCTTCGTCTTCCCTCCCGAACTGCCAGTTACTGGTAGCAACATGAACTATTGCATCGTGGCTTTTGCTATCGTTTTCATCATCAGCTTGATACAGTGGTTTGTCGACGGCCGCAAAAACTACACCGGGCCCAAGGCGAACCTGGAAGAGAGTATGCTCGTGGCCATCAATGGCGTGGACCGCTCTGAGATGAGTGACAATGGGTCATCAAGTCTCACCAAGAAAGGAGCTGATGTCTAAAGTATGGTACGTTTCCCATCCCATGCACTACACACACCTGTACACACACACACACATTTCCATCTGTGATGATTATACACCAAGGGTTTACGCGAATCATGATGAGCGTTTACATTTACAATACAATTGTTCCTTATGACACTACACACCACCACATGCCTTGCATACCTCGCGAATTATTTGGGAAACCTAGTTGACATGTGCGCTGCAGATTGATCTCGGGAGGTTCTCAGTCAGACGTATATAGCTATCATATACAATCCCATCGATCGAATGTCCACGCCTCTGATCAATATCCATGTATACGGGTATGCCTTGATGTGGGCTTATACCTGGTGCTCACCGTCTTGATTGTGTTTTGTATGACAATTCATCACGTGAGAAAAGTAGACGGGAGGTTGCATGTGAAGTACCTGCCTACGTACCTCCTAGTCTGAGTGTGGAGCCTTTGTAGATCTGCGTGATCCCTGTAAAGCTTAATTGACGCCTCTGTTCTTCGAAACAGCTGGCAATAGGAATTATCATCTTCTGGACACGTCGACACTATACCTCTCCTCCCTCTCTCTCTACAACCATCTTGACTTACTCCAGACCTTCTGCTTCACGCCTCAAGCAGCCCTTCTGATGGTTGAATGAATTGGTAATATCCGTGGGCACCAACACCTGGACGAAGTCATACCGACAATGATCGCCTCGCAGCGTGCCGGCGCGCTTTCACCTCTGACGATATGTCTGGCCGTTCTCCTCCTCCTCGCCAGCACCGCCAGTGCTGCGGTACTTGGCATTGACTTCGGTACTCTCAACATCAAGGCGGCACTTGTGAAGCCTGGCATACCTCTGGACATCGTCTTGACAAAAGACTCGAAACGGAAAGAGACAGCGGCATTGGCGTTCAAACCGACTCGAGACGAGAAGAATAACATTGTTGCAAAAGAAGGAAGCTTTCCGGAAAGAGCATATGGCGGGGATGCATTGGCTCTCCAGGGACGTATGCCTGGCGAGGTGTTTCCCAATCTGAAGCAATTGCTTGGACTATCTACCCAGCAAGCTGCGGAAAGGGTCGCAACATACAAGCAACGGTATCCTGCTGTTCAGGTTGAACATGTCGAATCCCTCGGGAGTAGTGTCTTTAAGAGCGCAGCGTTTCCTAGCGAGCACCCGCCATACAGCGTGGAAGAGCTGATCGGAATGGAATTGGCAAACATCAAGCGGAACGCCGAACTGATGGCAGGGAAGGGTACTCCTGTGAACGATGCGGTCATTACCATACCGACATTCTACACGGCGGACGAAAAGCGGGCCATCGTTCACGCGGCATATTATGCAGGCTTCAACGTCCTCGGTCTTATATCCGATGGTCTGGCAGTCGGCTTGGATTATGCGAAGACTCGCACCTTTCCCGACATCACAAAGGGCGAGTCGCCAGAATACCACTTAGTTTACGATATGGGCGCTGGATCCACGACAGCCAGTGTTCTCAGATTCCAGAGTAAGAGTGTGAAGGACTACGGCAAGCACAACAAGACCGTCCAAGAGGTTACAGTCCAAGGTGTAGGCTACGATAGAACCCTTGGAGGTGATGCCTTGAATCATGTCATATTGGACGATTTTGTGGCACAGCTTTTGGCCAAGTCCGATGTGCAAAGTCGTGGGATCACGGAGGCCGACATCAGGTCGAACGGGCGTGCCATGGCTCGCTTCTGGAAGGAGGCTGAAAGGGTGAGGCAAGTCCTCAGTGCGAACTCTGAGACTTCGGCCGGCTTTGAGGAGATTCTGCCTGATATCGATTTGCGAGTGAAGCTGAATCGCTCAGACTTCGAGAAGATGACAGCCGAGTACGCCGCTCGAGTGGCAACGCCACTGGAACGAGCATTGGAGATGGCTAAGCTGACATCGAAAGATCTCAAGTCTGTTATTCTTCATGGTGGAGCCATTCGCACGCCGTTTGTCCAGAGTCGTCTCGAGGCCGTGGTTGATGACAAAGCCAAGCTGAGAAGCAACGTCAATCCAGACGAGTCTGCTGTGTTTGGAGCAGCGTTCAAGGCGGCAAGTCTGTCGCCTAGCTTCAAGGTGAAGGAGATTCGGGACTCTGAAGCGGCCGTATACCCCGCCAGCCTCGTCTACCAGGATAATGGAAAGGAAAGGAAGCAAGGGCTTTTCACCCCTACTTCACAAGCTGGCTCGGGAGCGACAGTGAAACAGGTCACCTTTAAGGATCGTGAAGACTTCTCCTTTGGTTTCATCCAGAATGTCGAGGGCCTCGATCGCCCGATACTTAGCGTCAAGGTCGATAATCTGACAGCTTCGGTTGACGAGCTCAAGACCAAGTATGGCTGTGAGAAGGATGATATGGTCACCAGGTTCAGTGTCAAGCTGAACGCTAATTTCGCTCTGCCCGACGTCCTCACTGGGAGTGTGGGCTGTGAAGTGGACGATAGTGTCAAGAGTGGTAGTGTTGGAGATTCTGTCAAGGGCTGGCTCGGACTTGGCAAGAAAAAGGATCAAGAACCACTGACGGATGACGAAGACGACTCACCAGTGGAGGAAGTCCACGCGACTGTCTCCTCGGCTTCTGGATCAACTCAAGCATCTAGCTCGACCTCTGCGTCAGCAGAAACTACCTCCAGCCCACCGAAGAAGCGAATCGAAGTGGTGATGCTGAAGTTCAGCACATTACCACTGGGTAACGTACAGCCAGAAGCTGCACAGATTCAACGACTGGTCGAGAGACTGAAGGAGTTTGACGCCTCCGACAGAGCTCGTACCGCGCGAGACGAGGCCCAGAACGTGCTGGAAAGCTACACCTACTCTGTGCGTGATTTCCTAGAGAACGCGGACTTCGGTGCAGTAAGCACTGCGTCGCAGCGCGAGGCTATTAGCACGCTTTTGCAAACTACCAAGGATTGGATGGAGTCAGGAGAGCCAGGCAAAGCTACGACAGAAATATTGAAAGAGAAGTACCAGGCTCTGAAGGACCTTGTTGACCCCATCAAACTGCGTCGAACAGAACACACTCAACGAGTCACTCTGGTGCCTGCTCTACAGAAGAGCTTGGAAAAGGCGAAGAAGTCGATCGCGAAATATCAGGACAAGATCGATAAAGCCAAAGCTGCGCTTACTGCTTCAAGCTCGAGCACGTCCAGTGAGACGCCTTCGGCATCGAGCGACCTTGACGATTTGGAAGAAGCGGATACCAGCAGCAAAGCTGCACCCAAAGCGACTGACGAACCATCTCCTCTCATCAACTTGGACTTGACCAGTGTGCAGAGTAAATATGACGAGATTTCGAGCTGGCTCGCCGAGAAGTTGGCTGCGCAGGAGAAGCTGAAGCCATTCGACGACCCTGTGCTTCTTGTCAAAGACATTGAAAGACGATCGACGGAGCTCGGCGATGCGGTGGCAGATCTTGTGCGGCGGGCCTCGGTGAAGCCCGTGGTGAAGAAGCCACCGAAGCCGAAGGCATCACCAAAGCCAAAGGCATCCAAAAAGACGGGAAGCGATGAAAGCACGCCCCAGGAGCCTCAACCAGCAGACACACCGGAGGCGGAAGGCGAGAAGCCGGTCAAAGGTGGAGAGAGCATGGAAGACATGGAGGATTGGTTGAACAAGGCCAAGGAGAAGACGAAGGATTCGGAAGTCCCACCTCGTGATGAGTTGTAGTTGGTTGCATATAGCGAAATAAAACGAATAGACCTGATGAATATAGATTCTTGGAATTTTTATTTTTATTTTTCATGCAAGCTTTGCAAAAGCTATTGATTCTGCGTGCGCGCATATGTCCATTATGTGTGTGCATGACGAGAAGAGTAAGATGGAAGGAGCCCGAGCAGCCAAGGAAGAAGATCAGGTAAGTCAAAAAGAAAATTAAAAAGTACCAGGTAGGAAAAGAAACACCAACAGAAAAATCAAAAAGAGAAGGTAATTGAATGGAGGCTTTTCGCCACCTAATGGTTATTGAGGACATTCGAGATTGGATAGCTGTGAAGACTATCCAGTGCGTATGTGCTGATTTGCTCGCACTGAGAATCGAACTCAGATTTTAGGATGCCTTCGTAGAAGAATCTGCAATTGAGATTGCAGTCATACTGACTAAGTATGAGACCTACGTCCTAACCGTTAGACGATGCAAGCTTTGTGATTGCTTGTGATTGGATGAGGAGACGTGCGGGGAAATGAAATATATTGGTTACTGCAGTTGGGGTGGGGTTCGGCTGGACTCTACATACTGTGATAGCACATTCTTGCAGGCCATGGCCATGGGGATGATATGTTTTATCATTATGATTAGCAATAGAATGATGAAGTGTTTGTGTAATTGTAAGGGACAGAGACAGAGATGAATGCAAGTATCGTGAGATGAAAGGGTCGCATTTCTTTTTTCCTTTATGTAGCAAACTCATTAGTAGCCACATCTTCGACATTCACAGGCAAAGGGCCGGTCAGCAATCCCTTATTTTCCAGCCATGACAGCCACGTCTTCCAATTCGACAGCTCCATGAATCCCGGCGGATGACCATCTGTATAATATTCATTGATGCTCGCCTGGCTCTTTTGCAGAAACTCTCGCGATCGAGGCGGGCTGACGACGGTATGCAGCACATCGACCGCATCATCCGTGTGCTGCATCGCATACTCATAGCCTTCTCTCGTAGCAGCCACGAACGCCTTCAAGGTCGCGTCGGAAGGACTCCTTCCGGCATTACGCGCAATGACCGGAGAGTACCCATACGGGATCCCGTAGTCGGCAAGTTTGAAGTATTGGATCTGGACACTACTACTATTACTACTACTTTCCATCTCATCAGCTTCTACTCCTTCCCAGGGCAGGAAAATCCATGTAGCGTCTATGCGACCGGCTTTGACCGCTTCAAACATGCTGAGTTTGCCTTCGGAGCGTTCAATTTGGAGGCCATCGGGAGGAAGAGAAGAACCTCCGTCGTGGGCTACCATGGCTGCAATGATGTTGTCCTCGTAGCGAGCGTTGTAGCTGCCATATCTCTTGCCCTGGCCCAGCTCACGTATGCGAGACATATTCCTGCCAGCGATGGCGGAAGCATCTCGTTGTAGGATGGCGTAGATGGCCTGCAACCTCATTTTGCCGCTCTCATTGTAGGCGATGCACGACTCTGAAGGGCAGATGGCGAGGTCGACCTCACCGGCTTCGAGTCTCTTTGCGGGTGTCTGGCTGTACTCGGCATCTGGTGGCAGAAGCTCGACATCGAGACTGTGCTTTGCGTAAATGCCCCTTTCTTGCGCGAGGTATAGTCCACTGTGGATCGTATTCGGCGTCCAATCGAGCGCAACCCGGAGTTTTGTTGGTGCCATTGTTCCACTCGAAGCTAGAGGCGTGGATAGTCTAGCTGTATAGTGCCTCCTTGCTGCTACATGAACTTCCGTTCAGATACGATCAACCACATGGACGGATCTGATGAAGCTTCAGCTACATAATGTGATAAGCATATTCCCGTCTCGGCCAACCAGACATACGTAGATCTATAGAGTCCATGCGGTGCGGTATATGCTGTGGCGCTGCGTTGACGTTTGTGAAGAAGCATCATCAAGCATGGTGGCGCTCCGGCTGCGGCACTTCTCGAAGATCTTGTTTCCTGTCCCGCTCTGCAACCTTCAACCTTCAACCTCTCGCCCTTGTTTCAGCTCGTGATGCACCTGACCTAACTGACATCAGCAAGGCACACACCACCACCACCACCAGACTAGGAGATACCAGTTGCACCAGAATGCTTACGTACCCCGACGTGTGCTCCAGAGAGTCATGGACTGCATCACCCCGAAGCGGAAGCCTGAATGAGATTATTGTTTGGCAAATACGAGATGCTATGGCGAATGTCACATTATGTTGATGCGGCTTGACCACGACCGCGTAGATCTACTGCAGACTACACGCGCTGGCGACAAACTCAGCTGAAGAACGCGGCATCCGGTCCAGCGCGGATGACTACAAGCGGCGAAGATCTGCTGCTATGTTGTATGTGGATTCCAATTGTGCAAACATGGAGAGAGCCACGGGAGTACGAAGCTGAAGATGTCCCCGGGCCCAGCACACAGATGGGATGCGCCTGTCAAGAAGCACCAGATGGTGTCTCTCCTCACAAAGGATTCCCCTGTGCTCCACGGATAGAGGAAAGAGTTCAATGAGCACACGATGCTCAAACAGACTCCAAACAAAATGTCTGGACGGTCCCGCATGGGGCATACTATTGAACGTGTGGCTTTGGCACCGAGTCACAGCCGCAGAAGCCTTCTAGGAGGTAGGACCGGACACCCTAATAATAACAATATCATTACGCTCGTCGGAGGTAGGCGGCGCATATCTACAAAACCTGGCAACAACCCCAGTGAGGCTCTTGGTATTGCTTTGCGTAAAGTATCTGTAGATCGTCTCTCATTTTTCCCATTCGTTTTTCCCGCCATCCCATCTGTAACTCACATGATGGCAAAATACAGTCTTCCCTTCCTCAGCATCCTGCTCTTCGTCACGAGCTTATGCTCCGCTATCAAGCTTCCCGCCGATGCCGATGCGCTCGCCAAACGCACATCGAAACTCCCCGACTATGCGAAGAGAAACCTGAACACCATTCGCAAAATCTACAACTTGACCGTCTATCCAAACAATGTCCCCATTGTGAACAAAGGTGCCTCGGCGGTTCCCCCTGGACTCTTCAACGTCAATGCCACAGGACGTGTCTCTCCCGTGGGCAACTTCACCGGCTTTGACGATTCCATCGAGTACTTCTTCTCACTCGCTCCCACCCCTCAATCCGAAGCGGGTCTCGGGTTCTACGAGGCGGATGTGCTAGAGTTTACCTCTGGCTGTCCCGAAGTGGCTGCATCGTTGGTGTATCTGCGCACAGGACATGTCTCCGACAATGGTACTTTGGACAAGACCAAGCCCACGACAACGTTGTCTCAGGTATGTCATTTTTTTTCTTCTGATCATCCATCATCTATCATCATGGACATGTAACTGACATTTTTTTCTTTTTTCCTTTTTTCCCTAGATCGCCTTCTGGCGCTTCGACAAAGAGGGCAAAGTCCTCAAATACCACGCCTGGATCCCCAACCTGCAAGCCTGGACCAAAGCCGCCACAGGAGTCGACCTCAGCAACGCAGTAATCGGCAAACTCTACACCGCCTCTCTCTGCCCCACCATCCAAAAGCGCTGCACAGGAGCCAACAAGCAATTCTCCAGCGAAGCCGACTGCGCGCTACAACTCGAGAAGAAGCCGTTTGGATCCTTTGACGAAGCCTGGGGAGATAATATCGTGTGTCGAACAATTCATTTGATTTTGACCAAAGTCCGCCCGCAAGTGCATTGTCCTCATGTGGGACCTCATGGAGGCAGTCCACCGGATAATTACAAGTGTGTGGATATTGATTATAGCAAAGAGTATTTCGATGATGGACTCTTGTTTGATGCGCCCGAGGGCGATGTGTTTACGTGTGGAGGACCGTTGTTGTCGAATGAGGCTCAGGAGGCTGCGGAGGATCCGACTAAGATGGGGAGGATGTAAGAGGATGTAGAATTGTACAGAAAGGTGAATGGGAATCAAGGTCGTTTGATACAAATATATGTGTAGACAGACAGACAGAGGAAAGAAGAGACTGCAATATCAGAAAAAAAAAGAATGAAAAACATATAAGAATTCGTGAGAGTGTCATCAACATTTGAACGTCTTCGTAGCATCATCATTCTTATCATTCTTAAACATATACGAGGACAACGAATGTATGGCACACATCCAAAGTCACTTCGTACGTATATGTACTTACATACCCTTCTGATGTGATAATAAACTCGCTCCGAAACCCACCCACCCACACACTATGCTTGTCCTATAGCCAAATTTGTGCTACTTCCTTCTTTCTCTCGTTCGAACAAACAGCAAACGCCTTGCTAGATCGTCCAGATGATTCCTCCCTTCCCATCCTCCATATCTCCCTCCTTCCATCCATGCAACATACACACACAGACAAAATTCCGTTTTTCACGTAAAAGAAATCGTTGAAACGGGCTCTGCCGTAATATCCGGGTCCTCCTTGAAAGCAAGCGAAAGGGTAAGACACGATCAACGTCTCTGCGCACGGAGAGACTTTACTCGCTGCTTGTACGCCTCCCACCCTTGCCGTCTGTACTCGACTGCAAGTTTCATTCGCTCTCCCGGAGGTGCAGCAATGATACCACGTCCGACGATGATCACGTCCGCCCCTCCTTGGCCAATCACCTTGTCCGGAGTGTTGTATTGCTGTCCCTTCCCATCACCTCCCGCTTGAAGTTGCACTCCGGGAGTCATGGTGATGAAGTTGTCCTCGGGTGCTTGATTGAGCGACTGCTGAGCAATGAAGCCCATGACAAAGTCCTTGTTCTCTCGTGCGTGTTTCAAACAATCTGCCGTATACTCGGGGGTGAAGTAATTGTTCGCACTGCTCATTTGCGCCAACAGCAGCAGTGAGCGGAAGAACGGCGGCGGGCCCAGCTGGTTCAGAGCTTCTGGATCGTCTCCTTCGTCACTGGACTCGGTCGATGAGACACGTGAGATAGAAGGGCGAATGTGCGGTTGCGGGCTGATAGCTTCGGACTTCATGCTAATGGTAGTGCTAACAGAAACCACAGACTGCTTGCGCATTCTGTCATACGAGTCCTCTTCTTCATACTCGTCGGCCGAGTGCACGCCGTTCACATCATGACCATCATCGGAATCGTCGGCGCTGTCAAAGTCGTCCTCGGGAGGCACTCGGGGTGAAGCTCTAATGTCAGTGGAGACAGAAGTGTTGTGCGAATTGATGGCTTTCTGTGCAGCTTCCGCCAGCGCTGGGATGATGGCAGGGCCCGAGTGTATGCTGGCGTTCACGATGGGGGCCCAGCGGACAATGCACAGTGGTCCGCCCGAGTACTGCAGCTGCACCGTGTTCCCAATGTCGAAGAACTTCCTGTCCTCAAAGACGAGAAACTTCTTCCGCCGTGCGATTTCGTTCAGGCCGCGGATGGTCTTCTCGCCAAAGTCGCTGACAATGTCGGCGTGGGTCTTGAGGATGCAAATGTGGTCGCCCACCTCTTCTGCCACGCGCAGCAGCTCGTTGGTGGTGGTGACATCGGCAGACACGCACAGGTTGGTCCGCTTGATGTGCATGAGGCGGAATAAGTACGTGGCGAGCGGCGTATTATTGCTGTTGCCGCTGCTGCCGCTGGGCTGCTCCGACCGCTCGGCGTACGTTTGCGCCAGCGTTGGGTGCATCTTGTTCTTGTCCTTGTTCTGCAGCTTCTTCTACCTTTTCCTCTTCTTCTTCTTGTTCTTCTTGTTCTTCTTCTCTTTCTTCCTCACTGCTTCTCCCTCTTTCTTTTCCTTTTCTTCTTCTTCTTCCTTCCTGTCTTCCTTCGTCCTTCTGTCCGTCTTCCTTCCAGCTTCCTGCTGTGCTGCCCGCCTGGCTCTCTAGCTCCGGCTCTGCCGCTTCCTTTTCCTTTCCCCAGGTATGCCTCTTCTGCTCGCGATGAGGCGAGGGCAAGGCTGTCTCTCTTCCTCTCCCACTTCTCTGCAGGTGCGCAAGACCACACACAGATGATGTGGAAACTTTCAAGCCCAGTCGCAACGAAGAGCCTTCCCCGTTCCTTGTTGCGAATGTTGTAGAAGGTCTGGACTCCTTGGCCTCGTATAACAGCAGCACTCTTGACCTCGTACCACTCACACACAGTAGCAGACTGTAGACAGCAGCAGAAATTGAATCGGCCCCAGATCTTCCTTCCAGCAGGCCCGCTCCTGCAAATCTACCTCTAGCCAGCCAGGGTCTAGAACTAGGTGATCCTATACTAGTAGAGAACGACCTTTTTTTACTGGATGCGATGCGATTCTGTCACGGTGCTCATCATTCTTCCAGCAGTGGTCAGACATGGCTGATATATAGATATATATAATTATTTCGTCTACCTCAGGCACCAACCGGACCCGTATTTGCGTACACTCCCTGCGCCCTGGTGACCCTCTCGTTCTTGCCTCGTTCGAAACTTCTTCTGGCCTCTTCTTGCCTTCTCTTGACCGACCTCACCGAACGGCCCAGCCCCAGTCCCGCCCAGCCCCACTTCGGCTGTCCCCGCCATCACCTTTGGCTTTTTTGGGAAACCCTGCCCCACACTGCTGCTGGGCCTCTGCACTGTCTGCAGGGCGGACTATTGAGCGGTCGCGGCGCGACGGCAATGCACGCACGTTTAATTGCCATTCAGCCAATCACACCCTCTGGTCTGACTTCGGAACATTGCTGGACCGCCCACTGCCTCAGACAAGAGGCTTCCATTCTAGCCCCGCCGTCCATTCTGTCCCGTCCCGTCTCATTCATCATCAGAGACATCTGCTGCTGCTGTCCCTCCCTTTGTTGCATCTATCCGTTCCGTTGGTGTTGTTGTTAGCGTTGGTATTGTTGTTGTTGTACAACGACAAGTCAGTTTGTCGTACGGGGTCGAGAATTGGGGATATACCTTCAGCAGAAAAGCGGGGTGTTTTTTACTCCGGTGTGAATTGACCGACGTCCACGATACCTATTGTATCCGAATAGTGTCATCATCCAGCCCAATCATTGGACAGCAATGATAAATGTAAACCCACCACCTTACTGTACTACCTGACCTGGCTCTTTTTTGCACATAGCATGTCGTGCGGGCGTAGCTACGTGTACCTACGGAATATTACGTTATCTACCTATCTAGTACCTCCTAGTATGTACCCAGCAAGTTGGCGTCGTACACTGCGCTGCAAGACTACCTAATCGCATTGGCGTCATACTCTTACCCAAGTGATGCTTTGGTCTGCTGTATCGGGTAGGGGGTTTCGTCTCAAGTAGAATCTGGTACTACCAACCTGTTACAACCTCAGGCAAAACACTAGATCGATCTTGGAACCCTCCCCGTCTCACCTGGCATGCATGCCCCCCCCTCCTGAAAACGGAAAACATTGACCCAGTCGAAAAATTTAAAAGCTTCTCATATTTCACATCGCTATCGCCACATTCGTAGCAATAAATATTGTTCATCCCCGATGGGGGATGTGAGTTCGTATCTCTCGTACTCTAGACAACTTCTCGTCACATGCTCTTGACTCATGTCGTGCCACTACCTGCCCTGGCAACAAAGGCGCGGGTGTGCGCCATCTCTGTCGCTGAGAGCGGTGCGGCTCCATACCTGTGTTGCAACACTGGTCAGCCAGCCGTTCATCCCATCTGTAGTGTACGCTGCGATCGACTCCACGCTACTGCAAAGAAGATCGCAGCGAGGAGCTCTGGCATGATGGAAGAGTGGGGGCAACTTACCAGGCAATCACCGCCATTCCGAGGACCGCTGCTATGCAACTGAACACAAGGGCGACAATGCCGCGCGCTGTGAAGCCTGCTGGCAAGGGTGCGATGCTTAGATTCTGACCTGTGAGGTCGAGCACGTCCTTGGTATTGGCTGCGGCGTTTCCGGCTGTGGGCGTTGGACTGGCTGCTGCTGCGCATGCCGCGTAGTGGTCTGGTGGAATCGTGAGCGTCTTCTGCAGCTCAAGGGGAGCTTCAACCATGGTGGCAACAAGTCCACTGGCTAAATGCCACTCAAGGTGACAGTGGAAGAGCCAGATGCCCGGGTTGTCCTATTCACAACACACGTTAGTCAAACCCCCCGCATCACAAACACACCGAGGAGCGGATACTCACAGCTCGGAACCTGATGACAAAGTTACCGTTGGGCCTAACCCAGAACGTATCACGTCGCATCGGACGTGAAGGAAACGCTGTGTGGTTGTTCGAATCGTAGTTGCCCCATTCATCTGGACTTCGGTAGACGACCTGGAAGTTGTGGCCGTGCAAGTGGAACGGATGTTTGCCAGGGTCGAGGTTGTTCAGGATAATCTCGATCACATCGTTCTTGTTGAGGACGAATGAATTCGTGTCGCGCCCATACACAGTGGCATTGTTCGCGTACTCTCCCGTGGTCAGAGCACTGTACAGTGTTGGTACCTTGGGGCGAACATAGGTAATATCATTGAACCATGCGTAGTTTGCACCGTCGCCGAGGTTGTTCATCGACAGGTCCAGGTTGAATGAGTAGTCGACAGCGTCCAGGATCTCCATTTGGTCCTGGGGAACGAGGTCGAAGTCATCGAACTGCGCATCAAAACTGTCAAGCAAGGCAGGCTCCGGCTTGTCCTTGGAATCATCATACACCAACCAACCAGTAACGTTAGTTCTGAGATCTCCAGGAATCGCATCGAACAGATCTGTGTCCATGGATCCGACCACAGCGAAGTTGCCAGCAGTGGTATCGTTCTTGGTGGTGACAAGGAAGCCATAGCGCTGTGCTGCTGTGACGTAGATCATCTCCGCGTCGGCAGGCTCAGTGTACACGCCATCGACCTCGATGATTCTCATGGTGTGGCCTTCAATCCAGAAATACTGACTAGCGAACGCGCCAACATTGCTGAGACGGAAGAAGTACGTCTTGCCGGGTTCGACGGCGATGGTCAAGTTTTGCGTATCGTTCATCAGAGCTGCTTTTGGCACCGGCTCCGCGCCAGTGGGATTGGCCACACTGATGAACCAGTCCAGAAGACCGGGCATCTGATCATGATACCAGTCCGAGAGGGTGAGACCAATTTCTTCGTCGTATTGGCCAAGGTATGGATTCTCGGGGTCGTTCACAACGAACTGACCGCGCAGACCATCGGGATACTGTCCTCGGCTGTGAGAGTGATACCAATATGTGCCGGGCTGGTCGATAGTGAAATTGTAGGTGAATGTGGATCCTGGTGGCACGTCGCATTGAGTCACGCCCACAGGCCCGTCCATCTCGTTCGTGCCATTCTGAAATAAGCCGTGAAAGTGAAGACTAGTGCTTTGGTTCCCGAGCTACAAGCACACATGAAATCGTCAGCCAGTGTATCAGAGAAAAGACATAGGATCCTAGGCACCTGGTTGTTAACGTTGACTACGACACGGTCGCCCTTCGTGATGTTGATGGCTGGAATTGGCCATTCTCCGTTGATGCCAATGACAGGTCTGTTGTGCATGCCATCAGGATTGCGCATCACCCTAAGTCGCGGTCACAATGTGAGCATGCACGTTCTTGCCACTTCAATACAACAAGGCCGCCTACCAAGTGATGTTCCAGTCGAATGTGCGTGTCACTTGAGCGAGGCAACGGCCAGCGAGCGAGCTCAGCAGGCAGCTCGCAAGCACCTTCGTGGAGACCATGTTGTGGAGGGTCGAGCATACAATATGAGGCCTGGACGAAGACTGTGTGCTGATGGCCTCGGTGCACTCAGCGTATCTGATGCTCCTTCACGACGAAATATCGAAGATTAGATCAGATCGATAAAGAAGGATTGCGCCCATCAGTCGAATACCAACTGACTGCCGAAAGTCGGAGGGAAAATGCCCGGGTGTGGTAGCGGACTAGCAGCTAAGGCCTGAAGCCGGGCAGGATCTGATAAGCGGCGCGATGATGCCTAGATGCGTCCCGCGCTCGCGTGAAGGTGAGGATCGCACGCCGCACGCGAGCTCGTACTGGCCAGGCCAGGTGCGTCCGGTACAGTAAGGTAAGGTATCAGACGGGGCAGCGGGCGGATAATGTCGTCCGATTCGCACGCGGTCAAGAATGATGTGCGCACCTCAGTCCTAGGAGGTATCTTTGCTGGCAGTGTGTCAGTGTCACGGGGGCGGGACGCTGATCCTCGGTCGCTCTTTCTTCGTTGCAGCAGCCAGCAGAAGCTTCACGATCTCTCTTTCTCGCTCTCACTGGTGCATGGTACTCCCTCTAGGGTGCCATGGGCTGCATGGGGTCGCGTATCGGGCGCAGCGTGGCAGCGTGGGTAGCGAGAACGCGCCAATGGCAGATCGCCGTGGCTTTTAAGCTTTTGCTGCAGGATTGGCAGAGCTTCGAGGGGACGGGGACGCGCCGTTATCAGATTTGCAATCTAGGCTCACGGCCATTCGCAGCCACACGCGACATCCGAGGCACCTGACCATCACCGACCGCATTGTAGGTGCTGGTGTGGTCGGTGGAAGGGGCAGCTCGCAGCCAGTCTGTCAGTGGTTAGCTTATTATGAAGATTATCATTATCAACAATCGTACCGGGAGGTGAGCCTGGCCGGGGCAGGAGCGAGCCCTAATTGGGCAGGATCGACCACCACGCGGGAGTGGTGGTGAGAGGCGGCAGATCATCGGCTGTCCAGTACAGCAGTTGTGATGGCCGTGGCAGTTGGCAGAGTTCCAACTTCCCTGCAGAGGCATCCCGCCCGCACATCGATGCTCACATAACATGCTCTAGGTCAGGAAGGTACGAAGGTAAGCTACTACCTGACCCTTCCACACACCAACAGCTTGCGGGGGGCATAGTGTCCGAGATCGCTCGCCTGCACCGTTTTCAATATCCTCCGCTTGTTGGCTGATCCTTCCTCCCACCGGGAATCCTCACAATCTCTGTTCTTTATCAGATCATCTCAAGCAGCATCGCAAGTGCCAAATACTGCAAGATGGTTCAAGTATTCGCAGTCCCAGGTAGGACCACAGAACCATGCCATTCATGGCAATGAACAGACGACTCAGAACGCTAACCTAACGCCAGTCTTCTTCATCTGCTTCAGGGAGTGCTTAGAATGCACCATCATCGTGTCCATTTTGCTAGCATTCCTCAAGCAGAGCATTGGAGGTGCAGGAAGTGACCGAGCCGTATACAAGAAATTGACGCGACAAATATGGTTCGGGATAGGTTCTGGTCTGCTCATCGTACTGATCATCGGAGGCGCCTTCATTGGCACCTTTTATGGCCTGGGCAGTGACCTTTTGGGCAAGACTGAAGACATCTGGGAGGGTGTCTTTGGCCTCATTGCGTCGCTCATCATCTCCATCATGGGAATCGGTCTGCTGCGCGTGTCCAAGCTCCAGAGCAAGTGGAGAGTCAAGATTGCGCAGGCTCTCGAGAAAAAGCACAGCAATGAGGGAGTCGGCATGCGAACGCGTTTCAAGACTTGGTGCGAGAAGTACGCCATGTTCCTGCTGCCATTCGTCACCGTCTTACGTGAGGGTCTCGAGGCTGTGGTCTTTATCGGCGGTGTAGGCCTCGGCCTTCCAGCAACATCGTTCCCTCTCGCGGTGATCTGTGGTCTTGCCGTCGGCTGCACAATCGGGTACCTGATCTACAAGTAAGTAACATCAGCTGGGAGACAGCGCGAGTGCATGCCGCTGATGTTATCATATAGGGTTGGCAATACCACCAAGCTGCAAGTGTTCCTGATCATTTCGACCTGCTTCCTGTACCTTGTGGCTGCGGGTCTCTTCTCAAAGGCCGTATGGTACTTTGAGAATCATGCTTGGTCCCAGTTGACTGGCGGCGATGCCTCTGAGACTGGCTCTGGGCCAGGCTCATACGACATTCGCCAGTCCGTTTGGCATGTAAACTGCTGCAATCCGGAGCTGAATGGCGGTGGCGGTTGGGGCATCTTCAATGCCATCCTTGGCTGGACGAACTCGGCAACCTATGGCTCGGTCATCTCGTACAATCTGTACTGGCTCGCCGTCATTGTTTCGTTCCTGACACTCGGATTTTACGAGAAGCGTGGACATTGGCCCTTTATGAAAGCCACAGAGCGCGGCAACAGCAGCAATGGTTTTGAAAGTGACCAGACAAGCGAAGACAGAGGTTTTGGAGACAAGGAGACTGCAACTGTGATGACCAAGTCTCAAGGCGATGAGCATTCAGCGTGATAGAATTCCCCTCAGGTAGTAACCAATTGCACGCACCAATGCCGTGGATGAGTAGATAAAGGGAGGAAGAGAGCGCAGTGGACACGACCTTAAATAAGAATGGAATGAGTGAGCACTCACGAGTGTCGGACCGTGAGTATATGAGCAAGTATGCGTGGATATGTGGTTTGCAAGGAGAGAGCTTAAAACACGTCGGGCAAGGTAGTTCTACGGCTTGAGTAAAGGCTCAACACGTCGTCTCTGATTGGCTGGCCTGTTCCCCGCGCGATCTCTGTAATAAGGTACCAAGGCATCACATCTCTTGCACTTTCTTCTCCCACCAGCCACCAGTCACCATTCATTGCACTCTGCTCCGCTACTACACCACCACGATGTTCTGGCCGTACCCTTGAGCAGTCGGACGAGCACCTCTCAGCAGGTCCCGGAACAGAACACTCCCTTCTATCCCCGCCATGGCGCAGTACGGTATGCCCACTCTATCGCCTCTTGCTCATCGAGCCGCCGGTCGAACTGCACCAGCACCAGCGAAAGCGAAGAAACCTGCACCGCTTCCAGCATCAACAGGAAAACAGGAGGCGCGCAGCTCTACAGGCCGAGCAGACACAACAGATACAGTGGATACGTCGGTCGTGTCGACTAGCATCCAGCGTCTTCCTCTCGGGGAGAACACTCTGGACCAGATGGACCCAAGCCCCTCTCGTCCTCTCAGCCACGACGCTGATGGTATTATTGCCATCGACGCACAAGGCGACTTGGTACTACACGTCGAGCATCAGACTGCTCTCGCCAAGCTGGCGCAGAAGTACAGGGTGCATAGTGCCACATTGAAATCACACTCTAGGTACTTTGCAAGCCTACTGGACGGACGCTTCGGCGAAAGCGCAAAGATCGAGGCGCAGCATACCGTTCTCCGACAGCGCTACGGCAGCCTCTCCCAAACGCCTTCGTCTGAGCTGCCGTTAATACGCATCGAGGACATTGGCCGCACTTCTACCATCAAATCGATTGAGGCCTTGTGCACCGATTTTTTCATGATTCTTCACGGGAAAGATACGATAGCATCGCCCCCAGTCGTGAACCTGGCCAACATCGCTATCGTTGCAGATCGCTTCGATGCCCTTGAGGCACTGCGAAGCTACGTCGCGCGGAAAAGACTGATCAGAGCGATTGATGGCAAGACGAGTCAGAAAGCCGAAATGGGTCTTACGGAAGAGCGCGTTCGTATGCGGCTCTTGGTGGCTGTATTACTTGACATCGCCCCGTGGCTGGACAGGTACTCTGCCCGCCTAATCACCAAAGGATGGGTTGGAAGAGAAGCCGATGAAGCTGATGCAATGTGGTGGACCCTCCCACGAAACCTTGAGGAAGAGCTTATGTCGCGGCGGGAGTATATCCTGGATATGCTGCAAGCATCGACCGGGCAAATCGTTGCGCTATACAACTCGCGTGAACGGCAATGTAGACTTGGATACGACTCGAGTGCAGCGTGTGATAGCTTCCAATTGGGCGAAGCCATCAAATTCCTATCTCGAAGTGGTATTCTTCAAGTTAAGGGCATGCTTTTCGATGCCGGAGCGGCCGCGGGTGCCTATGAAGGTGATATATTTACTCTTATCGACTCTCTGCGACAAGCTCCCGAGTACCAGATTGACCGTAATCACACTCACTGCGGAATCAGAGGACGCTTGATATCCATGCTAGACATGGTTTTGGATGCACTCCACCACATCGGTATTTGTGCCGAATGTTGGATTACGAGCCGCCAAGATCATGCGTGGGCCGACAGCAAGCCAGCCCTACATTGGCAGAGCCAGTCATATCGATCACGAGGTCTGGCGCACAAGGACCTTCATGCGCAAGTGAAAGCGATGTTTACTGCCACGAATAGAGATTGGAGCCGATGAGATCGAGTCTTCTTTTTGTTCCTAGCAGGTAGCCCCGCGATCTGTTGTGCACCAAGACTACCGTGGTCCCCAATGCCCATTGCGGGAGTCTGTGCTATCACGTGCGTCGGCGCAGCCCTTGCTCAGCCTACTACCAGCTCTGCATCTGACTTCCAGATACGACGGTCATTCATGGATGCTTGACTACCTGACAGAATGACTGTCCACCTGTTGGCGGCGTATTTGCATTGCCTAATGTCAGCCGAGCCTCCAAAGCACTGCCTTCGAGCCTAGAGACAGACCATGAGAACTCTCATATGTATGTATGCGCATCAGGTATGCGCTCCTCGTAAGTCAGATCAAGCTTACCTACCTTACCTACCTGTACCTTACCTTAGGTTCAATTGCTATCAACAGCTACGGCACCTTACTATTACTACCCGACTTACTCCATGTAGTCTACCGTCACTTCCGAAATCTCTCACTCTAAAGCAATCAAACACACTTGCAGCGAGCGACCTTTGTTTCCTCACCTTCCTCACTATCACCTACCTACCTAGTCGTGCCAACTCTCCACTTCATCAATCATAAACATGTTGTCACATCTGAAACATACGCTCGGCCGCAAAAACACAAAGACTGCTATCAAGCAGGGCGATGGCTTGCATCAACAACCTAGAAGCACGCCTTTCAGCTGGCGACCAGGTCGGGTCTTTGGTGTATCTGAAAATTGACGCCACTGACATTGTTGCAGCACGATCCATCGACATCCCATATCCAATTATGGCCGATGCACCGCCTGCCTATTCGCCTGTATATTTGCCTGCGCCCATGGGTGCCTCTCCCATAACTGTATCGGTACCAGAGGATCAAGGCGCAGATGATCCCTATTCGTTCCTGACAAGTTTCGACACGATATTTCTGATCGACGACTCTGGCTCCATGGCAGGCAGCAGATGGAGAGAGACCGGCGAAGCCCTGGAGACAATCACGCCGATATGCACTGCCCACGATCAAGATGGCATCGATATATATTTCCTCAACACGAAGGATTCGGACTTTCACCACAACGTCACCAGTGCAAGTACAGTGCGTGAGATCTTTGAGACAGTGCTACCTGGAGGAGGCACGCCAATGGGACAGCGCTTGAACAGCATCCTCAAACCATATTTGCGCAGATTCCAAGCCAGCCCGGAGACCGTCAAGCCCATCAACATCATCTGTATAACGGATGGCGAGCCGAGCGATGATGTCGAGAGTCCGCTGATTGCTACTGCCAAGAAACTCGACAAGCTCGATGCGCCAGCGTGGCAGGTAGGCGTTCAGTTCTTTCAAGTGGGCCGCGATGAAGAGGCAAGGCGACACCTCCGACAGCTCGACGATGAACTCGCTGAGATCGCGGGCGATGATGAGCTGCGCGACATCATCGATACCGTCCCTTTCACCGGCACCGAGGGCACGCGTCTGAACGGCGATGGTATTCTCAAGGTTGTTCTGGGTGCGGTGAACAGAAGACTAGATCGCAAGAAGAGTAAGGATCTTCACCGGTGAAGGTCTTCGCGGTAAGACGTGTGCCACACGTTTGCAACATGGCCTGCTTCCCGGGGCTTTTGGCAGTTGGCGAAGGATTGTAAACTTTGTTTAAAGGTTTCTACGGAGTTGCGGCCCTTGCGGAAGATGCTTGCCAAGGTTTCAAGCGCATCTCTCGTATAAGCCAAGTTGACCAATACGCGCTACATGGTCTCGGACGCTTGTATCCACGTCCATATGTGAATGAATGAATGAATGGGCAGAGCCGAATCATCTTTCGAACTAATAGAAATTGTTTGCAGGACAGTGAAGTGCATCTAGATACCGATATGTGATTGTAGAGCAATGCACACGGTTGATAGATCATAGAGTACCTGTTGATTTAGCCGCAACGCAAATGAAAACGTGGAAACATGAATGCCCATCATTGTTACAAAACCAGACGGAACTCCAGTATATGGAAAAGCAATACCTACCTTATGCATGATTGGCTTTTGAGAACACATGACAATCACCAACTACCTAGCCTCACTCCTAAAAAGAGCCCTCCCTTCTTACTACCTACCTACCGAATCAATGAATGGATTGAGGCATTTTCATGCTGCTGGTGTAAAAGGTGGAGGTAGGTAACATGGCATGCTCTCTCCCTCTCTCTCTCTAGCCCTATCTTCTCCACACTGCATACTGTAGCTGCATACCTACCTAGCCAACACCGCATCGAAAAGGGGAACTACCTAACTAGGTATATTCTCAAACATGGCACCATCAGCCACTCACTCACTCCCTCTCTCACTCTCATCAGCTGACGTTAACGACATACCTACCTACATAGCTCGTGTAAGCTTGCAGAAAAAATCTAGCTTTTTTTTCTTTCAAAAAATGCAAAAAAAGGCAAGTCGCCCTTTTCTTTCTTTCGCAGCATTGATGCTTACCGTATCTTATTACTTTCCGGGCTTGGTCTTCATTACAGTAAGGTAGGTAACTAAGCCTCGCTAAGCCTTGTAAGAACTTTGGGGAATCTTCCTCTTCAATGTCTCGCAGTGTTTATATAGTTGGTTACCTGGACTGGATTACCGATAAGGAGTTTGCTCTTGTTTCTGTGTGTGTATATATGTATATATGTATCACTTGATTCACTGGGCAGTGCATGAAGCTTGTTGGATAGGTAGTTACCTACCTACCAGGTAGGTGGACAATCCATTTGCAGCACTTGGCTTTTTCTTCAGAAGAGCTCCTATGGGCTTAGTATTTTTTCAAAGTTATAGTTTGTCAAACTACCTAGGTATCGGTGGCTGCGAAGTAACATCATATGCCGAACGCGACATGGAAGGATATACCAGGTCAGAAGAATCGATTGACAACCAGGAGAAAGACAGCGGTTTCGAAATGTCGCGGACGCCAGAGTGGTCGAAGAAAGTCAGTCGAGTCCCTACGCCATCTGCGCCCTGAAAGCGTGGCCGCGCGACATTGCGAAAAGTGCACACATTAAGTGGTGTACAGATCTGTGGCCGATTGTCTCGTGACTCAATAGCGTTGCAGCAGCATATGAAGCTAGCCTATCATTTTCTCGTCTCTTCGTTACGTCCATGCTTCTCGGTATTTCGTACCGTGCTTCCCTAGTCCACACCCGTCTACGCGTGTCTTGAGCTCAGTATGCCCTCCGAAGTGTCGCTCACTTCTTGGAAGTAGCGGCCTTGGCCAGAGCCTCGAGACCCTCGCGGCGCTTGAACTTGGCGTCTTGGATGACTCCGGCATCAGCATCGCTAGAGAAGTTGCCGGTCCACTCGACGAAGGTGGAGTTCTCGAACTCGCCGCTGGTGACTGCGTAGGCGCGGACAGTGCTCACCACCGAGCTGTAGGAGAGCTCTGGCTGGGAGGAGATGATGGAGTAGGTGATGTAGTGGTTGATGGACTGGGGTATGTCAGTGCTGGCCATTGGAAGGCGAGTATGTATGGCTCCACTCACGCTGTGTTCCTCCTGCTTGACCTCAATGACAGTGCCATCCTTGAAAGTCCACTTGACAACGTCGGTGTCTGGGGAGGCGCCCTTGACCTGGAGGGAACGATGGGTGATTAGCAGGTGTTCAGGCTGAATAGCATTCCTCCGGGGTTGTGACATACCACCTCGCTCTTGTCGATGGCGGACCACCAGTTGCCAAAGCTCTCGAGCTTGATGTGATGCCACACCTGGCCCAATGGGGCCTTGATGACCGTCGATTCGACGACTGCGGTGGACGTGGGAATGGCTGACGACATTTTGATGGGTTTTGGTTGTTGATGTTGTACGGGTGTTGTATGGGTGTTGTATGAGTGGTGTATGGGTGGTTTATGGGTGTTTGTTTCTACTGTTGTTTGCGTGAGTGTTGGTCAATAATGGCAATTCCGTTTACAAGCATTTTGTAGCTTATTCACGGCGACCGATTGGTGATGATGACATTGATGCCTGATAATCAGAACTAGTTCGATCGGAGTTTGCGCCAGGCAGCCACGCGCTCCAGGAACAGCAACAACCTCCAAGGATGCCGAAATTTCAATAATAGGTACCACAATATTCCACCACAACCATTATTTAGCACCCGACAAGACATTAACACCATAAAAAAATCGATCGGCACTGCTTGTTACAGTCAAGCATGGCGACGCTACTATCCTCAGAACGAGACCAGATCTCGCAGGAACGAGCGGTTGGCATGAGAGCTTTCGTGCGCCCCGATATACCTGGCTTTTCATGCATTGTGAAGCAACGCTACACAGATTTCCTGGTCAACGAGGTCTTGCCAAATGACGAAGTCCTGCATCTTGTGGCATCTGAGCCGGACCAAGAACGCAAAAGAAAGCGCGAAGATGGTGGCGAGCAGCCTCAAAAGAAGCAGAAGCCCGAAGACGCTACGCCCGCTGATGCAGTCTCAAATGGCACGTCTAACCACGTGAATGCTGAGTCTCAATCTGAAGATCTCAGTAAAGCAAACGCAACTCAGCCCGACCCTGCAGCACCGTCGACCCCGCTGGAAGCACCTAATACGAATGTGAAGGCGAAGAAAGAAGAAGCAATTGCTAGCATCTCGGACGCCGACAAGGAAGTACTGAACAATGTCTTCGGTGAGGAATCTACTGCCGCCATCATCAATTTGTATGCGTCTGTCGTTGCGTTCCCAGAACGCAAACCTCGAGACCACCCCACAGTCAATTCACCTCCGCTTGCCGAGAAGTCCAAGAGAACTGAAGCCCATCTCTGCGTTCGCCGCATCTTTGACTCAAGGTTAGAGACCACGACAGTTCAAGACCAGCAACATCAGTCAGGGCCTGGGACTGTCATTGCCATCAGAGCTGCGCCTCCGAAAGCTGCCATTGCCCCGAGCGCCAAGCGAAACGGCGATGTTCAGCGTGGGAAACAGAACTGGGCAGAGCTAGGTGGTGAGTATCTTCACTTCTCGCTTTACAAGGAGAACAAGGATACCATGGAAGTGCTATATTTCATTGCTTCACAGCTGAAAATGAACATGAAACATCTCGGTTTTGCGGGTACCAAAGATCGGAGAGGGGTGACGGTCCAACGCGTATCAGCACATCGCGTCAATCGAGGTCGGATCGAAGCCTTGAACAAGCATGCCAAAGGCTGGAGGGTCGGAGGGCCATGGGAGTACAAGAATTACGAGTTGACTCTAGGCATGTCCAACGGCAACCAATTTCTCCTTACACTTCGTGATGCTCACGTAGGGGACCCTAATGAGGGCGGCGATATGGAGACTAGGCTTCGCAACGTGAAGGCTTGCGCCGAGGCTGGTGCGAAAAGTTTGAGCGAGAATGGATACTTGAACTATTATGGACTACAGCGTTTTGGCACGCACAGCATAGGCACACATGGCGTGGGTATGCAGATCCTGCAGGGCGACCTCAAGGGTGCAGTGGACTCGATTCTCGCCTATGACGAAGCACTTCTCCAAGAGAATCAGGTATCAGAATCAGGTGCAGATTCGAATGGCACTGATAGGAACGTCCCATTGCGTAAGATTCCACAGGACGACATCAATCGCGCTACTGCCATTCACGCTTTCCGCCAAAGCGGCACTTCATCTCGCGCGCTATCAATACTCCAGGGAAACCGATTCTCAGCCGAGAAGGGTATGATTACCCATCTTGGCAAGAAAGACCGCCAGACAGGACAGAGACCAAACGAGAACGATTTCCAGGGCGCACTTATGACCATCCAACGGAATTTGAGGCTGATGTATGTTCACGCTTATCAAAGCTTTGTCTGGAACATGGTCGCTGGCAAACGCTGGGAGTTGCACGGCGCCAAGCTTGTCGAAGGAGACCTGGTCGTCGTTGGGGAGAAAGAGGCTGCCGAAGGTGCACCAAACGGAGCAGCTGCACCAAAGGATGAAACGGATGAGCACGGCGAGCCAATCATTCATCCTTCTGCGTCTGCTGATGCAGGAAATCCTGGTGCGACTGGCGAGCTCGATGACCCTTTTGTTCGGGCACGTCCACTGAGCAAAGAGGAAGCGGAGAGTGGTCGTTTCAACATCTTCGATGTCGTGTTGCCTCTACCGGGGTACGATGTCATCTATCCCAAGAACGAAATCGGCCAGTACTATGTCGATTTCATGGCTTCCGAGGAAGGCGGCAAGCTCGATCCTTACAATATGCGTCGCACATCGAAAGACTTTTCCCTTTCCGGAGGTTATCGTAAGCTGATGGCTCGTCCGTTGGGTGCTGGCGTCGAAGTCGAGGTCAAGGCATACAACACGCCCGAGGAGCAGCTCGTTCAGACAGATCTGGACAAGCTTAGGAGCGCTGGGAAGCATGTAGACTCCGTTGCCAATGGTGCGACAGAAAAGGACAAGGTCGCTGTGATATTGAAGTTGCAGTTGGGCAGTAGTCAGTATGCCACTATGGCGCTTCGCGAGCTCACCAAAGGTGCGGCAATGGGCTTCACCCCGAGCTACTCGGTAGCTAATCGCTGAGGAAGCTTCCGTGATCCAAGACTGGTGGGAGTATGACGCCCAGGCTCCAGCGACAGGTATATCATAAGCCCCCCAAAATTTTTACAGTCAAAATAACTGTCAAATACGTCGTCTCCGTCGTGACTTGTGATATCAGGACTTTTCCTAAAAGATCTCGCTATCATCAAGTGGATCCAGCTCCTCGGCCAAAGGTCTGCGTTTCTCACGGAACGTGTCCTCAAGCGCGCCTTGTTCTGCATCTTCGCTTTCGACCTCAAAGTCTACACGTTCGGTGTACGAAGGCTCTGTTTTCGGCGGTAGTGGTTTGCGGCCAGAGAGTACCTCGAATAGGGAATCCTCGCTTGCGCCTTCTTCGTACGTCGATGCCAGCGGAGGAGTGGCTGCGCGAGTTGCTTCCTCGTTCTCGTCTTGCCCTTCTGGATAGAGCAATTTCGAACCGGCCATGACGATCAGATTCGATGTGGGTGAGGTGTGTATCCAGGAGAGTCTGGAAGCTGGGGGGCTGTTTGTGCGGTAGGCTCTCGGTGGTTCAGATGAGGTCACGTCAAAGATGTGCGCAATGCCCTGTGCGCAGTCTATCATGAGCGTTTCTGCTCGAGTGGGATGCCAGAGCAGACTTCGCACATTGCTGTGTTGTATAATTACGGCAAATGCTGATAGTGTAGGCATGCTCCATATCCACACTGTATTGAGCATGCGAGAGTCTCGGGTGGCCAGGTAATTTCCGTCGCAGCTGTAAGCAATTTCTGCCACGCCTTGCTCCACCGAATCCGAACCCGTCTTCGTCTTTGACAACGGAGGCGAGATTGGTTGAGGAGCAAAGGAGTACGTCCGGTCGTTTGTTGCTGAGACATTCTCTTGCCACACCAGGGCTCTCTCGCTGACTGGCAGGGCGCTCTGGTCAATCGTGGTGTTATGCTTGATCGTCGCTAATGGAGAGAAAGTTCGTGCGTCCAGCAGTTCGACGCGTCTATCATAGCGGGCCAGTGCCAGTGCACTTCCGTCCGGGGACCATGCCATGTATTTGACGCCTAGCTCATCGTCAGTCCCTTTTGACGGAAACGAGCGGAAGAGGTGTCCATCTGGCGTGTAGATGTGTATATTCGATGTAGCCGTTGCTACATCGAGGATAGCCAGCCATCTGCCATCCGGAGACCACGAGATAGCCTGAGCATCAGACGTCGCCAGCTTGATCAGAGACGGGGCCTGTTCGGCTGAGATGAAATGTAGAGCTAGATAGTCCTCTGCTCCAGTCCTCGACAACAAAGCGAGCAAAGGAGGCGTACTACCTCCCGGTCTGCTCTGCACAGCGACACCATCGCAACATGTCTTCACATCAGATAGCTCCGTCGCTTTGCCCGAATTGAGATGCCATAGTTTTGCCTTGCCAAATTCCCATGTGGTCAGGAGGTGGTGATTGCCCACAAATTCAGCATCTGCGATTCTGCCGAGCCCGCCGCCTCCATTGCTCAGGTTCACGCGACGTTCGAGCTTCCGGGTCAGAACTTCGACGCCACTTTCGGATATCTGTAGGAACTGGCTGCTGTCGGGTGAAAATGCGTACGCGATCACTTTGCCACGGTTTGTTGCTAGTGTGTAGTAGAGTGCATCTCTGCTGCGGAGATCTTGCCAGCAGATTTTGTTGGCATCTGTCCAGACTATGGAGCGGCCATCGGGAGACGATGCTGCTGCTGCTGTGTGTGCTCGGGGTTGCATCTTTGATGTAGTTCTTGTCTTATTACACTACTGGAACTAAGTATAGTAGCTAGGAGGTAAACGCGTATGTCAACAAACTGCCATTTTGAGTCGAGCCAAGGCGGGACATTAACAGCCTGAGGCAGCACGCTAGGGAGGACGCAGACCCCTCCACTGAGGTAGTTCTACTTTAGTACTTCCACTTCGGTCGAGCGGCCGAGGTAATTATAAGTACTTGACAACAGGCGAACATGGCCGTCGCTCGTACCTCTCGGGGAGGGGGCCGTCTGCTGTGCAAAGCATCATTCATTACACCTGCTAGCGAAGAACTAGCTTGCTTATTCACTGGATTGCTTGAACTACAACCTTCACTAGTGCTATAGGTATCACCATGTCGGAGCCAGCATCGCAACCAGGAGCTCCCGCAGACGGGGCCCAGAAGCAGGACTTCCCAGCCAACGAGAAGAGTGTCGCAAAGGAGATTGAGAAGAAGATGCCGGTTCAGGTCAAAAGCAGTCTCGCAGGACCAGACCGCGTGATTCTGCGCTTGAACAAGTACTAGACACAGCTGCCGAGCACAATGCACTACTAACCTGTGATCAAAGGCTGCTCGCGTCTCCAGGCGGTTTGAGCTCTTTCCTCTCGACCTTCAACTATACTCTCTATCTCCTCGCACATCTCGATGCCAAAGCAGCACCGCTCAAGGCCAAGCTGTACCTCTTTCTCAACCGCCATGCCAGCACCGCGTCGAAGCTGACCCCGCCCGTGTCCACGGACCCATCTCCCATTGCTGCGCTGGGCTCGCTCCTCTCTGCAACACGAACGACGCTTCGCCTGTTTGGCCTGCTCCCAATGTACGCCTGGGCGCGTCAACTAGCACAAGGTCCCAAGCCGGGCCAGGATAGCGTCCTCTATGCGACCGCAGTGACGCAGTGTGTGCTTTACATCGCTTTCCAGCTTTTCGAGAACGTGGCACTCTTGACGGACAGCAAGATCCTGCCCGGATCTCTGACGGCGCGGTGGACGGAAAAGCACGGAGGGAAGGCTGCTGCCATTTATCTCGCATCATACAGGGCTTGGTTCTTGGGATTCTGCTGCGACTTTATTCGATTGTTCAGAGAGGCACAGCTGGAAAGGAACAAGAGGGATGCCCGCAGCTCTGTGGAAAAGAGCTACGGAAGCGTGGCCAAGGAGGATGCGAAGAAGGATGCGCAGTGGTGGTCGGAGTTCATTGTGCCGTTGGCTTGGTTCCCAGTGGGCTGGCACTTCGCAGCCTGGAACGAGACTGGCTTTCCGGGCTTCAACCTGGGGCTCATGGGAGCTGCAGGTGCCATCGCCGGGCTGGGTAAGACCAAGGCTCTGTGGGATGCGACTGCGGATGTTTAGGAACCACAAGCGGAAGTGTGGAATAGGTTTGAGGAGGGGCATGTGTGGAGTACTGGCCACGCCGAGGAAAAGTTTGAGAATTGACTAGGTACGAATGAGGTTGTGTACATTGCTATTTGTCATGTTGTTGGGCAGTGGATGTAGTAGTATACCTGTGTGTAGTGAGATTCAGATTGATAACAATGAACCCTGCCACATGGAAGAAAGCGGGGGAGCGTATCACATCATCTTTTCCCAGGTGAAGTCAATAATCAGACACCAGCAACAACGACAGCAGCATCTGTCGACATGACTGGGTAGCCACGAGATGGACACCAGCGGCAATTGGCAAGGCGCGAGTGTGTGGTCAAACAAGCTCGCTTGCATATGTCAGCAGTACCTAATGCTCTAACGATTGCTACAGCGTAACAGCACTGACGCGCGCGGCACGGCCGTCGAGGCAAGGAGGAGACGCGATCGACCGCGCGGTAGACCAAATGAAGACGATGCGAGACAACAGCTACTTCATCAAACACGAATCCGACTTCGACTCGCACTCGGTCGACATGGACGACCTTCCTGACGTCGAACTCGACATGGTCGACAATCATCACGGAGACAACGACGACGACGATGCACAGCCACTGCCGTCCAGCGTCGCCAACTCGCTCCTATTCGCATTACCTCGTGAAATTCGCGAGAAAATCTACTCCTTGTGCCTACACGCTCGCGACGCTCTGCCCGTCGAGTGGCCGCGCCCCGACACACTTCGGCGACACAATCCGTATCACATCCAACCGCAACTCCTGCGGACCTGTCGCATCGTGCACTCCGAGTCTGCACCGCTCCTCTACGCCCTCAACAACCTCACCTTTCACCATCCCAGCGACAGTAATGTCTTTGTGCGTGCCCTCTGCGATACCGCCTTTGGCCGCCGCATCACCGGTCTCTCGTTGCATGTCAAAGCCGGCGATATACGCATGTGGATGACCTATTTGACATCGACCGACCCCCATCGATCTCTGCGGTACGATTTCCCCAACCTCCGAGATCTGGGACTGCGCTATAGAAGTTCTCGCTGGAACGCAGGAAACTCCGCCGAACACAATCTCAAAAGCTGGATAGACGATAGTCGTCTCGATGAACTCATTGATGGTGTACGAGGTGTCTATCGTCCGTATTGGTGTACACCACAAGAAGAGAAATCGCGAGCAGCAGAAGAGCAGGGTCTCAGTGGATTCGATCATGACAACGATTTACCTGAGCCGGAATTTTTGACGAGAGACGAGACTGTCAGAGCGAGGGATCGCTACTTTGAGCTACGCCATGCACGTCTCGAACGGGCCCTACAAAAGGACAGTGCGCCTTTGATTCGGATCTGCTGTGCGTGCAGAGTCCATCCCTCCCACTTCAACGCCTTGACAGATCCGAGTGTGGCTTTTCATCTGCAAGATCAGAACCTCCGTGCTGGGGTCTTGCCTGACGCGCCACACCACTTGCCAGCAGAAAGAGTGATGGAGGGTTCGCCTTTCCCTGCCAATGGCTTCACGTCTACAGACCTGCAACGCGATGTTAAGAAACTGTATGATCCGGAATTAGGAAGCGCGAACGTGAGTAGGACACCATATGTTTGGAGAAAGGGGGTCTTGTTAGCTTTGGAGATTCATAGTGTAGATTCGAGGAGGGATCAGTTGTAGTCGTGTAGACACGAGGATCAAGGCAAGGTCGAGGAGATGAGGATCATGGAAGGCTCTGTGATATACTCCGAGGTGGTACATATGGTCAGAAGGCCCGGTGTGGGCTCTTCATCCCTACAGTCCAACTCGCATGCTTTGTTTACAAGACGACTAACTACTGTTAGCGACTTCGTCAAAACCCTTTGCTCTGCCCGCGCCGTCTGCCCCCGCGCCAGGGATTGCTTCGGCCGGGACGAAGGCAGTCCTCGGCTCATCGGAAATATCGTTGTCATTTGTCTCAAGATGAAGTTGGACATTGTTGGCGGGTCGGGTATGCGAAAGCCATTGATCGCCGACGAAGCCTCCATTTCCTACGATGTGCATTTGCTTTTCCGAAGGTCGCAAGTAGCGCAGGCAGCCAATCGCAATGTTGGGCGCTGTCTTAAGCGGGCTTAGTCTCTGCTAGAGACCTAGGTAGTAGGTAGAGCAAAAATGCCAAGTCAGCAGACGTCTCAAAGACACTCTATTGCGAGCAGGTTCACATACCGTTCGTGCCATTGGTGTGCGGTGATGGCTCGGCAGCGGCAGATGCGCGTTTCTCTTGCAACCAGGTATTGGCGTTTTCAAAGCTATCGCGGACTTCCTGGCTTACTATAGCTCCATCGGCAGCTTGAATCCCAGCATTGATCTGTTCATGGTTAGTCAGAGTCTACATTCCGTCAGGGGCGATGCATTGTATCAGCACATACCGCACTCCAAAGTTTCCATGCCCTTCCTATGTCTCCGTCGATATCTTCTGCGTGGCTAAACCACTTCTTGACATCTGCTCGCCGCTCTGGTGGTTGGCACAACTCATCAAGATAGCTCTTAACTACCAGGGCGAGGCCAAGGTCGGGTTCTTTGAGGAATGGCAGGCGACCACCGACTTCGATATATTCTTCGTTGTTACGGATACGTACGGCACTGCCGGCGAGCATTAGATTAACAGCATGAACTTCCACCAGGTCTCGCAGAGCATTGCGCACTGCAGCTGCAACTTGATGGTATGCGAGCGTATTGCGCGAGAGGGGCCCGGTATAGCCAATGCTCTGGTGCTTGAAGTTCCCGAGAGTGGAGACACGCGAGATGAGTTGAACGTTGGCTTTGTCCTGATCAGTCCCACGAGACGCGCCTCCAGATACCCCAGGAAATAAGTCTTTGCCGTTGAGCAGATCGAGTCGTAGAAGTTCAAACGCCACGAAGATGGCCTCTTCTGCTTCACGGGTCGGATCTGTGGATCCGAGGTATCCTTCGGCCTTAGCCTGATCAAATGCAGCCATGAGGGCCTTTCCCCACGCTGTCAACGTGTGATCAGATGTGTTAATATACCCCCGGTCATGCAAGAACCGCCACGTAATGTTCGATAACAGCTCGGCAGGAGTGGAGAGCATCGAGTGATCCTCTTTTCCTCTCTTCGTGTGGCTTTTCTTCGCCAAGGCGTTATCTGACAACCACGTAATGGCGTATTGTATTGGCGTTTCGTTGAGATCGATATCTCGTGCCGCATTCGATTGGGTACGTAGCTGGTCCCGCACATGCCAAGTCTCCGCGTCCTTGCCTGACGATTCAATCTGCGATTGAGCCTTGATATTCAACGAGATTGGTTTCTCATCAAACCAGCAGAACAGGTCAATGTTTGTGTTATGGTAATAACGTTGCAGCCTCGAACTCAGGAGGGTAAGGGTCCGTAGATGGAGAGGTTGCAGCTTCTTCTGCACAAGCTCTTTGTATGTTGCCGAACTCCCGCCATCAAGTGGCGCCGATATGAAGATTTCCTTGCGAGCACGCCAATCTAGTATGCGAGGGCCGATCATTCCTCTCTGTAGATAGTGGTACAGCTCGATTGGGTATCTGGTGCCAATTATCATGGCGAGATCGCTCGGAGCATGCTCAAGATCGAGCTGGGTGTAGTCTCCACTGGCTGTGCATATAACCATGTGTCTGTGACTGTCAGCAAGTCTTTGGAATTTAGGCGTGGGGGCCTCTTCTCAGCATTGCTCACCTGACTGCAATCTTAGCTTTTATGAACAAGGCGAAGTACTCCTTGTCTTTGGTTTGTTTCACCGCCTGAATACCGTCCATACCTGCTTGGCCGAGGACTTGTCTTGCTGCTGCAATGCTCGGGACTTGACCTTCCCTCACAATCTCGGGTACCGGAGGCATGATGATTGAGCCTGAAAGAAGTAGGAGGTCTGTGAGTTGCTCTTGAGTCATCATGAGCCGCTGCAAGGCATGCTCGCGATCAATGTACTTGGCCTCTTGGTTCTCCCAGTCAAAGTAAAGGATCATCTTGTCGACACCAAAGGCAAGCAACGATGCCGAGCCGTGGCAAGCTGAAATGCCCTTGTGGTTGTCAGTGTAGACAAGTTGCGCTGCGGCGTTGTAGGGTGCAACCATGACGTGAGCACCCTTTTCATGCAGATAGTGATACAGGTATCGCAGTATGTGCGTCGTTCGGTATGTGCCTGTCAAGAATTAGCAGGGGAGTACAGCGCGATGTCCTGGTAAAGTTCCTCAAGCACGTACATGCTTTCTCAAACGCTCTCACCGCGGCATCCCCATCCCCATTTTCATATACTCGCCAAGCCTCGTCTAGGATTCTGACAGCCTTGTCGCTCTCTTTGCTGATGGTCTTGCGATCATGAAACGCAAGGTCGATGCCGTTGAACATGAACAGTGGCTTGTTTCCCGTGAGTTTCTCGACATTCTCAAGCTCACGATCGATGTTAGTTCTGAGTGTGAAGGGCAGCCCGCCAAGCGCGGGCAGGAGCGGTTCTCGTCCTTCTGCGGAGAGGAGAATATTGACAAAGTCTTCTGCATCATACCCGATAGTCGAGTTCTCAAACTGGCCAATTGGAACGGTGTAGATGAGGTCTTCCTGCTTCGCCCATTCCCGAAATGCCAGTGACTCGGCCATGGCTGCGCTAGGCACGAGGTGTGCGTGTCCGGAGATGCTGGTTGCTGCTGGCTCCCGTATGGATCACAAGATGATGTCGGTCCAACGGGCGCTGAAGGCGATGAGAGTAGCGCTGTGGGGAGAGTGGCCGTGTCGCCGGTGAGGGTGAGGGTGAGAGGAAGATGTTGTTGTTGTTGTGTGATGTGCAGGCAATTGAAGGCGTGAGAGTGGTGTGGAGAGCATGTGAGAGCTGGAAGCGCCCAGCCGACCTACAGAACTGGAACTAGTGGATGCAGGAACGAGGCTCGGGCCGCCCGAACTAGCTCAAAGTTCTCCAGCTAGGATCCCGCCGGGAACGAACTGTGGGGGCTCTTACCTAAGGTACTGTAGGTACGGAGGTAGGAGGTACCTTACTTCCCTCCTCCCTACAGAGTGGTAGTACCCCATATAGCCCAAACAGGCAGAGCTTCACATTCTTCTCATTATGCCCTAAGGAACCTTGCCTTGCATTGCGACATCCACTCCACGATATAGGCCCAAGTTCCACGATTTCACACCCTTCCTTTCGGGAGTATGCTATCGCCGTGAACACATCTGCGAAAATGATCTCTCTACGCCGCTATGCAATATATGCTGCTCTAGCGGTCTTCGCACTGATAACTATCACGCACTTCCGGCAGAATATCGCGTCTCATGCGAGGATACAATACGCGGCCTTCTTTTCTTCGAACAAGAAGCATGGCGATGGGCTGTTCCACTGGGAAGACGTGAAAGTGCACTACCCCGTGGAGAGTTTGACCAGCCTTCCTACCGCAAGGCCGCGCAAGCTACCAAAGGTACAATTCGACTTCGCCGCTGAAGCTCCAGGACATGCCTCTGTACGACTGGAAAGACAAGCCGCTGTCAAGGCTACATTTCAGCGATGCTGGAAGGCCTACAGTAACTACGCTTGGATGATGGACGAGGTCACACCGCTCACTGGAAATATCAAGAACGGCTTTGGCGGATGGGCTGCCACGCTCGTGGATTCTCTCGACACGTTGTGGATCATGGGCATGAAAGATGAATTCGAACAAGCGGTACAAGCAGCGGTAACGATCGACCTGTCTAAGTGTACGGAAGAAACCATTAACGTGTTTGAAACAACCATTCGCCATTTGGGGGGCTTCCTTTCGGCCTACGATCTCAGTGGTGATAAAAGACTATTGGAGAAGGCTACCGAGTTTGGTGAAATGTTGCTGAAGGCATTCGATACACCCAACCATATGCCAATCACGCGTTGGAAACCCCAGTCGGCGTTAACGACTCCGCAGGTCGCGGACGAGGTTGTGTTAGTCGCTGAGATCGGATCACTCTCTATGGAATTCACCCATCTCTCACAAGTGACAGGAGACATGCGATTCTACGACGCTGTAGACCGGATTATGCAGCTGTTCGCGAAACAGCAAGAAGAAACGCATCTACCCGGCATGTTTCCCGTCGTCGTCAATGGCAGAGACGCGGACTTTACCCAGGACACGTACTTTACACTCAGTGCAATGTCGGACTCGCTGTACGAGTATTTCCCGAAAATGCACGCTCTCCTTGGTGGGGTTGAGCCGATATATCCCAAGCTATACGAGCGAAGTATGGAGACGGCCATCAAGCAAAACCTGTGGAAGCCTATGACTCCAGATGATTTGGTATGAGCCCTGTGCGTATACGACATTCACTTGATATGGCTGCTAATCCATGTACCTTGCTTTGGCTGCAGGATATCCTCATGTCTGGCAACGTGAGAGCGGAGCTGGGCCAGCCACCCAAGCTGGAGCCACAAGGCCAGCACCTGGTATGCTTCAGTGGTGGCATGCTTGCACTCGGCGGACGACTTACTGGCCAGGAGGCCCACGTGAAGATCGGGCAGAAGCTTACCGACGGGTGCATCTATGCCTACAGCGCATGTCCCATGGGAGTCATGCCAGAAGTGTTCGAGATGGTGCCTTGTCCTTCTCGCGTCGGAGCGTGTCCCTGGGACGAAGAGAAATGGCGAAGCACGATCGCGGCATCTGGCATTGCCGATGCCCAGCACAGTATCGACGAGCTTCGACTTCCCAAAGGCTTCACGAAGATTACAGATCGGCGATATATTCTTCGTCCCGAAGCGATCGAATCGGTATTCATACTCTACCGGATTACAGGCCAAGAGTACTTGCTGGATCGCGCATGGGAGATGTTTGGCAGTATCGTGAATGCCACGGAGACGCATATCGCAAATGCAGCGCTCGCAGATGTCACGCATGATCCCGTCTGGCTGGCTAGTACGGGACACAACGTGAAAATGGACAGTATGGAATCCTTCTGGCTGGCGGAAACCCTGAAGTACTTTTATCTGATCTTTAGCGAGCCTGATGTTGTCTCCTTGGACAACTACGTCTTCAACACTGAAGCGCATCCTTTCAAGCGACCTACTGTAGTATAACGTTTTGCAAGTCCTCGATGCAATGCAAACAAGAGAAGATACTGAGGGTTGGTTCTGGGACGCCCGCACTTCCTTGGGATCGTCAGTCGGGTCTGCGCCGGTTGGACCTTTCAAAGGAATCTGCAAGAGACTGACCTCACCAGTCCTCCGCACATGCGACGCACATGTAAGTATAGACGGCTGATGATGGGGAATTGGGGATCCGGCTCTTGGACGAGAATGCTCGTGCAAGGACGCGCCTCTGTGCAACATCAAACGCGCGTCGCAGGCAGTGGAAGAAGACGCACGCGCGGGGCCCAGCAGTTTCATCCCCGACAAGGCACTTGGGCAAAGAAGGGCCACCAAAAGAGTTCGAGCAGATGAAGTCAGTGGTATAAGGTTACCTCCATAATAGTCTTGTTCGAAACGCCGGCCACGCACACGGCCTTTTGCCTCCCCAGTCCTGCCCGCCTGTTGCATTAAGTCCGACTCTTGAGGTGCGCTTGCGACATAACCAGCCCAGCGCGCTAAAGGACGCGCAATGCAGCATGCGGATGTGTAGAGTTGATGACTATTGTACCGACATTGCCCAGCTGACCTGACCTGACCTGGCCCGACTCTTGACCTGCCCGACCGGAGCTGCAATGCCGTAGCGGGACGGGGCTGGACGATGATGAATGAAGGGATTGAAGGGATTGAAGGGATTGGAGGGAATCGAAGGAATGATTTGATTTGCTCATAAACTAAAACGTTCCTCGGTACGATTCTTGGCATCTATTTGTGAAGGCGATCTCCAATTTACGACGGCGGCTGAATCGGAGACTGGACTACGCTAAAAGGCCATCGCCACCGGGGTGGATACACATCCAACGGCCGCGTCATTGGGAAGTTGCGTATGGATCCAAAGAAACATCGAAAAGCCTTCTTCGTCTTCTTCTTCTTCCCTCCTTCTTATTCGGCTGCTTCGTCTTTGTCTGGTTCTAGCGAGTATTTATTGATTTATTGTTCCTAGTTCCCGTTCCCTGTTTCCTACAACATTCCACGGCTGGCGGACTCTTGGCACTCTCCCTCCAACATGCGTTCTCCCACCATCGCCTATACAGCGGGAATCCTTGCCACTGCTAGTAACGCCATCAACCTGGTCAAGCGCAACGATGCATTACCGCCTCGGGTCGTTGAACACACCATCCAACGAAAAGACATCAGAAATCCCCTCGATCACGACCGGAAACGCTGGCAACGACGCAAGCGCGACACCTTGACAGTAGCACTCGACAACGAGGAAACACTCTATTTTGCCAATGTATCGATCGGGACTCCCGCGCAGAATCTGCGATTACATCTCGATACGGGAAGCAGTGATCTGTGGGTGAATGTGGATAGTAGCGCTCTTTGTCAAGCAAGAGGCGACCCATGCTCGATATCGGGAACATACAACGCGAACGACTCCTCAACCTATACCTACCTCAACAGCGACTTCAACATTTCTTACGTCGATGGATCGGGATCAGCCGGGGACTATGTCAGCGATACCGTCAAGATCGGAGACACGACTTTAACAGGCCAACAATTCGGCATTGGATATGAATCAAGTTCGCAGGAGGGTATCTTGGGCATTGGGTATCCCATCAACGAAGTCGCAGTGCAGTATAATGGCGGCAAGACATACTCCAATGTGCCGCAGAGTCTTGTGAAAGCGGGCGCGATCAATACCAACGCATACAGTCTCTGGCTCAACGATCTGGATGCTTCGACCGGATCGATACTGTTTGGAGGTGTCAACACCGAGAAATACACGGGTTCGCTGGAGACGATACCCATCGTTGAGACACAAGGAGTGTACGCCGAGTTCATCATTGCTCTGACTGCTGTTGGCGCGAATGGCACAGCAGGTTCAATTGTAAACAAGCAGGCCATACCCGCGCTACTGGACTCAGGAAGCTCCCTGATGTATCTTCCCAACGACATTACACAATCCATCTACGACTCGGTCGGCGCATCGTACGACTCGGAGCAAGGCGCCGCATTCGTCGATTGCGATCTCGCCAACTCCGACGGCTCCCTCGACCTCACCTTCTCCTCTCCAACAATCAAAGTCCCGATGAACGAACTCGTCATCGTCGCCGGCATCGACCGAGGCAAAGAAGTCTGTATTCTCGGAATCGGCCCCGCGGGCAGCAGTACACCCGTCCTAGGAGATACCTTCCTCCGATCGGCATATGTTGTATACGACCTTGCAAAGAATGAGATTTCTCTCGCCCAAACCAATTTCAATTCCACAGCGAACAATATCATGGAAATCACCACTTCGACCGTTCCAGACGCGACATTGGTGACCAATGCTGTCACGAGTCTTGCGGTTTCCTCTGGCGGAGCTCGCATCAATAGTGGTACCACAGTTACACTGGACGGCGCAGCACCTACCGCAGGACCCGGTTGGAGCGTCGCTGCTATTGGAGCTGCTGCAGGGGCTGCACTGTACGCATTGTAGTGATTTTTTTTGGAAGATGTCAGCTTTTTCGCACGTTGTTGGAATTGCATCCTATGAAGCATAGCGTGGAGCTGGAACAGTCTCTTTTTGTTGAAAACATTATTGTTGTATAGATGAGAAAAGAAGGCACGAGATCATGACCAAAGAAGAAACCCCCAGCATGTAGTCGGTCCATCCATAGGTGTGGATTGGATAAGGACGTTTAAACGCACAGTATAGCGTTGTATCAAATAGAAATATAGATCAAAGGATGGAAAAATGATACCTACCTCAGCATCGTGATTACTTTTTTTTCTTGTTCACCAAGAATCTCGAGGAAGATGTCCTTGTCGTCCAAAAAAAGATGAGATAGTTCGCAATGTACATAGCTTCTAGCCTATCGTACAGTAAATCTCTTCAAAATCCCATTGACCGAACATGGATGATGATGATCATCCTACCTGAAGTACCAGTTGACACACACAAGCTCCCCGTACTGTTGTTCACGAAAGACCGTTACAGCCCGCCTGGTGTTTTGTCAGCTCTTGCTTTTGGGGCTCCCGCTTCCCAAGGTGGCGGCTCTCTACAAGCCCTCGCTCGTAAGGCGAGCAAAGCGATGCAAGTCGTATGCGTGTGTCGCTGCGGCCAGTCATGGAGCTGCCTTCACCACCGCTAACTCCAACATCAAAGTATTGAGCGACTCGAAGATGCAACGGCCACCGTATACGTGCCTGCTTGCATCTGCGCCTTCTTTTCCATACTAGAGTCGGAGAAGTATGTATCATCGTTCCATTCTCCCCCTTGCAAGACCAAAATCCCAAAATATCCCCCAAAAACCCTTCACTTCCCCCACCCAAACCACCCACCGTTCTTCTTCTTCATCCCTTCCACCTCATCCTGCTGCTGCTGCTCTACCTCCCTCGGTATAACTTTCGTATTACTCAGATACTCCCTCACCCTCCCCTCTCGCACCTCGTCCTCATTCACATGCGTCGCGGTACTCAGTCCTTGTTCCTCCATGGCCAATCTGCGCGCCCGGGCAGCGAGTCGTCTCTGCTTCAACCGCTCAATCTCGGCATTGATTTCGTCCTTGTCAAAGGGGATTTCGTGGGTTTGGCCGCGCTTGGGCCAGAAATCGGGCACGGCGAAGCGCGAATCGAGGTTGATGCCGAAGTAGTACATGAAGCCGATGGGGAACATGATGTACATGCCGAACTGGAGAGAGAGAGAGAGAAGTATGTTAGTGAATGCTTGGTTGCTTGCTTGTGTGTTGAAGTGGGTAAGTAATTGGCTGGCACACTTTGAAGACTTCGAGATTGGGACCGCCCATGTTTGCGACAGTGATCTGGCCAAGATTCAATACAAGTGGATGCAATGGAAAGGTCGTGGGCACATGTATGTACATGTATATGCAATGATGATGGGGACGGGGATCGATGATGACTGTACAAAAAGAAGGGCAGAGGTCGGCCGAGTTTTAAGCGGACATCACATGAAACCAAACACTTTGGAGAACGATGCTCAGGAAAGCATTATTGTCACACTACCTTAGCTATAGTCCATGGTACACTTCTGTTTTCTTTTTCTCCTCAACTCCTCGCTAAGAGCAAATCGCCATGTCTAATACACCGGAAGAATCATCATCGTTGTCATTAGTCCCAATCGTACCTAGTCTATCACCAGCACTCCGACCATGATCTCCTTCCGCATCGTACATGCAGCTCCAGCTGCCCAATGGTAAATTAACTGAGGGTGAATCGTACCCCTCGCCTCGGAAGTGTTGATAGCGTAGTTTCCGACTTGGAGATATTGAGTTGACAGGCACTGTATACAAGTCAGTGTTGGTCAGCAATCCAAGTGAACTATCAGGTCACGTACCTCTACACCATGTCATCCTGAGCTCTCCGTAGCTGGAAGTTTGGCACTTCGTAGAACCATTCAGTATCCTTATCCCATTTATATGCCTTGAAGTCCACGCCGTAGGGCTTGGGCTCCAGGCAATATAGCATGCCGAGCGGCACGTCCAGGTCGGCGACCTCCTCGCGCTTGAGACCACGGAAGTAAGCCAGCAGGACACGTGCTACGCTGCGATGTCCAACAAGCAAGACATGATCAGTCATGCGCTCCAGCTCCACAATCACAGGTCGAAGGCGATTGATGATATCAAGGTAGCCCTCGCCGCCTGGACCAGGATAACGGTAGTGTAGCTTGTCAGATCGTCGACTGCGGTACTCCTCGGGGTACTGTGTGCTTATGCACGAATATGTGAGACCTTCCATAACACCAGCATTCAGCTCGTCTAGCATACGCATTTGCTTGGTGTCGTACTCGTCGTCATCAAAGTATTGAGCAGTTTGTATGCTTCGCTTGAGCATCGACGTCCATACGCAGAACGCCTTTGGCTCGTATCCGACAGCGGGAGCTTCAGGCAGGATCGAAGTATGCTCGTCGTGTTCGGTGCCAGGGGATTGTGGCTGATAGTAGGGGTTTGGTGGCGTGACATCTCCTGGCTGTGGCGGGAAGTGAGTGTTCTGCAGGTTCTCAAGCTGCTTGATGTCCCACTCCTTTCGTTTCTCTTCGATGAACTTTTGCAGAGATTTGGCGTACTGATGTCCTTCTGGAGCAAGGTCGCTGTCGCCTCCGATCTTGCCAGACACGTTGTCCAGGCTAAGACCATGACGAGTGATCCAGATCTGCCTAGGCGCCAGGTTGAAGTTGAGCAAATAGTAGTTCGCTTGCGCCATGAGAAAGCCTTTGATTTGGTGACTGATGATCTTGCGCCCCACGTCGATCATCTGAATGTATGGCATGTGCATGGCCTCCTCGTACTCGCCAAGAGACACGTACGCTTTCTCATACTCACGCACACGCTTTCTGAAATCTTCAAGGGCAATAGTGGGATCCATCCCACGGTAGTCAGGTCCCTGGAGCTTCAAGCGCATATTGGCCTCAAGCAGATCCTGGTCCACACACTTCGATTCTAGGAATAAAACATTCAGTTGTGGACCTGCGCGCTCGCGGATGTGATCCATGATCATCTTCCGTCGCGCAAGCGTGCTGTTCGTGGCGTCCAATATGCCAATACTCCCATTCTCATACAGTATGTAGTCGAGAAGTTCGTCCAACGTTTCGAGGGCCACTTGTTCCCGGATTTGCGATGCCTTTTTGTTCTGTGGATCGAAGAATGCCGCATTCTGCTCCATACTGTCCTCCTCCGTCTCTGTCTTATCCGCGGAAGTGTCCTCAGAAGACGCTGTGTCTTGCTTCTCGGACTTCGCTTGATCGTTCGTCTCGTCGATTGTGTTACTGCGGGGAGGGGTCGAGGGTGGATCGATCTTGGTCTCGCCGTTCAGAATAATTTGTGCGACTGAAGGGTGATGGGCAGTCTGCTCGGATCGGGGGTAGGGACGTGGTTGTAGATTTCCCTGCTCTAGGCTGTTGCGTCCCTCGTGGTTCTGCTGACTCTTGGTCTTCTCCAGGCTGTTTGGACCACCTGCTACCGTTCTTCGCCTTTCTCCCACGTTGAAGATCCTTGTATCGTGCTGCAGCCAATTCAGGTACCGCGCCAGCTTCTTAGTAATGTAGCTTTTTCCTCGCGCGGGCAGTCCGACCATGATGATCACCAGCTTAGATCCCACATCCCGCTGTGCGATTCTCCCATCAGGCGAGACTTTGCTCTTGGTCAAGCCCGGGATGTCCAGTGTCGTAGGTCGCACTCTCGGCGTCGAGGTTCCCGAATTTTGACGCCGCGGCGCAAGACTCCATTGGCTAGGGTGACTGGGGCTATCGCTTCCATTGCTGCTGGGAGCTTGACTCTTGCCCACAATCTTAGGACTGTTCGGCGCAGTTGTCGCAGGTGTATCGTTCATCGCCTGTGTTGCCATCGGAACACCCGTGACTTCTGGAAGTGTGCCATTCATGGCCGCAGCGAGAGAGCCGCCTCGATGTGTAGGTAGTCGCTTGGGAGCTGAAAGAAGGTCGGATGACGAGGACCGATCTCTTGTGCGGGATGCGCTGCCATGCTCACGCCCCGCCTGCGAAAGGGTCTTATCCAACTGATTTCGAAGCGACTCCACGTCCGGCGTCTCTTCGTTGCGGACGCTCCACTCCTCAGCGCTAGCCACCATGGCGTATTGCGCAAGCTTCGATTGCTGTACGGTTCCTGACTGTCTCCGGCGGTATTGTCCTAGCGGCGAGGTATCTTCGGTTTCACAGGAGCAGGTCCCAGCGGAGTGGATGTTTGTGTCTATATCGATGCCATCGGTCTGGTGCTCTTCAGTAGGATTGCGGTTCAATGCCACAGCGTGTGGCATGTTATTCTCTGATCCGGCAAGCGTCGGTCTCTTCGCGCTGAGACGATGCAGGTTGAATACGACCGAGGTTAGCCCTGGGTGGTAGCTGCCGTCATGATGGTGAAATAAAACTGGAGGAGCCGGACCTCAAAAAAGAGTCATCGGATGTTCGAGCTTTGACAGCACTAATAGAACTATGTCTGCTCTTAGTACCTCCCGCCTAAAGTCGCCCACGGCACGGGTTCCTGTTCCAGACGTGGCCCAAGGAAACTCTACCACGATACTCATGCAGGGACGGGATGACCGTCTGGGCGCAGCAAATGATGATGGTGATGATAGTGATGATGGTGATGGAGTGGACGTCCAGGTGATGGTGATGGAGTGGACGTCCAGGTGATGATGAGTCCGGTTGGAACGGAGACGGACGGCACATCAGTGGAATGGACAAAGACAGATATCTACATGACATGCGCCGCGTCGCTGCGTTCTCCTCCGAGAGTGCCGTACCACCTACCACCTACCTACCACCTAGCCTGGGAGGTCACCACGCACCAGGTAGCTTCACCTCCTACCTACTAGCGCGCTCAGCAAACGCTCACCGACGCCGCAGATGCACGTGTCAAACTCAATAATCTGATACGCTGCTGCGTCTTCTTGGCTGCAGGCCTCATTATCTCATCTTCCAAGTTTCAACCTCATCTCGTTCTCATCTCATCCCACTCCCGCAATCCCAAGGCTCCAGGAAGAGCCTGAATGTCTACCGTTGGCCCGTCGCCACCTTGGCGCTCTGGTCCTTGTCACGAGGACGGACCAGAGACGCGTGTCATCAGCTCTGAGATGACACGATTTCAGCGGCGGCGAGCTGGTGGCTAACGCGTGCACGACCACGATGGCCGCAGCGGTGCGACCTCAGCAGACGCGTTTGTTGTGTTACCGCTGGCTCTTGGCTACTTCGAGGGCGCCTGTTTCTGATAGCTGTGCACTTGGCACGCGGCACGCCTCGCAGATATGTAAGGACTCGGAAGCCGTGGGATCCTTCTCCAAAGCCAAACAAGGCTTCGGTAAATATTTGCCAAGTCGGTACTGCCCAACATATTTGGACTTCCACTCGGCGTGACGCAGCTAATGTCGCTGTGAACAAACACTGCCCGCGTACGACTTGATACGCCCGAATGACCCGAGTTCCTGAAAACCTGCTCTTCCCCCTCGGAAAAACTCGAAAAAAAAAAAGAAAACGAGTTAAGATCGAGCAACCGTAGAGTCTAGCACTGTTCAATATCTAGAAGTAACTCACAGGGTAGGCTGAGTCATTGAGATCTGACAGCGGGAAACCTTTGAGGTTCGCGAAATGGCAGACAACGTGCCTACCTGATGGATTGACTCCATACAGTACACTTGTGCTTAGCGGCTAGCCTCTGCTTCGCCCCCGGGGATCGACAAACGTGGACAGCACGCTTCGCAATACCCCAGTGAGTATGGGGCGACAAAATTCTGATGGGAGCAGGTTTCACCTTCAGCCATGAGACTGATGCGTCAACGTAAGCAACGTGTGTATGCAGGATACCTACATTTGCAATCGAGAGGGTACAACATCGGATGCCCATGATCTAGATACTTCTGATATGTGGAGCCTGTCAGGCTGCATCAACATGTCGAAGAGGTCTTGAAGTTTGCTCAATGCTGCATGACTAGGAGGTACTGTAGCTTTCGGGGGCATATAGGACGAGCATTACCATTATCGTATGAAACCTGCGGACGAGCCTGGTCACAATACAGCTACTGCGGCCATGAGTTTTTGTAGAACATTCACCTGCAGCTCCGTGTCATGCTACCTTGATGCGATGCCGCTCAAGTTTCGAAGCCCTCTAGTCCTATGAGGACAAGCTCACGTCCATGCCAAGCTCTCTCGCAATCATTGCTCCTGCCGTCGCCAGATCATCCGCAGCATTGTTACCTTCGTCATTTTCGTGACCTTTGACCCATTCGAAGCGCACGCCGCCAGGACCTCGATCCCAATGTGCTCGCTTGTCAGCTGTGGGAATGTCAGCTTCATCCTCCATGCGATGCTCATTAAGACGATAACGCTCCTCCAGCATATCCAATATTTTCTGGATCAAGTCTTTGTTCTCCACTGGTTTCTTCGACGAATTGACCCAATTATTGCGTTGCCAGTTGTGGAACCAGTCCGTCACGCAGTCGATCGAGTATTTGCTGTCACTAACAATGACAATCTTGCGATCTTTGGGTGCCACCTCAAGTGCGCGCACTATTGCGGTCAGCTCAGCTCGCTGATTAGTCTGTTTCGTTCCATTGAGAGGCTCGCTGATGTTCCGTCGGTCCTGTGGCCCAAAGTAAACTCCCACACCACCCCACGCGTTTGCGCTCCCATTTGCGAGCGAGCTGCCATCTGTCCATATGCGTATCGGCGCATCCTTCACGGGTCGTGTCGCTTGATACTTATACTCCTCTCTCTCTTCCCTTGTTTTGTACCGTATACCATCCGTGATGGGATCCAGAATTAGGTCTCGATCGAAGCCATCTTCCGCATCGTCCGGTAGAGGCGCATCGCCTGGCTCGTACTCGCCTTGATCTACGACTGGGGGTGTAGTTTCCTCTTTGATACCATTACCTTTCTTCTTGCTGCTTTTGGTCTTCTTCAAAGCCGGCTCACCCTGCTCAATGCTGCCTATTGGGATATCTGCTGCGGCAGCCTCCAATGCTGCATTACTTCCTGCAACGTACTGCTCTGCTTCCGATCTTGTCTTGAACACCCTATGCTTCGGTCCCTTCCAGCCCGTGATCTGGTCCAGGACATCCTGCCAATTCGTATAGACACCGGGAATCCGCCCTGCCCGCACTCCGTACCATTTCGGGACTGTCGAAGGTCTGGCGTCACCCTCGTTGTTCACAAACTTCTCGGCATCGCTAAGCGTAGCAAACGACTTGAATATGGCCCTGGGGAAGCCACGAACTTGGTCTAGGCATTCTGCCCAGGTGTGGTAGATGCCAGGCGACTTGCCTGTGCGGACGGCATAGAATTTCGGCATGTTCTTAGGCTCTCTCTTCCTCTTGCCACCGGCTGTGGGAGACGACAGTGACTGAGCGTCTGCTGGAGTGGCCGCCGTAGGATTGGCGACTGTGAAGCCCGTGTGGGCATCGACGTCTGCCATGCTGCGCGCGTGCGCGAGCTGTGTGTCACTGAGTGAACCTCGGGCTGGTTTGCCGAAGAATAGCAGCGACCTAAGCACAGTGCTTGATTTCGTCGTGCTCAAGCATCGAGATCGCAGCGGGGACGAATGGGTGCTGGGCGAGCTGAGCTTGACGCGTGCGCGGCCGAGGCGGAGGAGCGCCAGTGCTATAGCGATATCGTCGGGAGGAATGGAGAGGCGACGACGGTGGTAACGGTGATGCAAGAGGCAGTGGCAGTGGCAGTGGCAGTCAGGCAGTGGGATGCAGCGGGGGCGACAGACCGAAGGGGGTGGACCAGAGGGGGGGTAGGTCAAGGCAGTCCTAGGTCCTCCCTCCTCCCCTGGTGCAGCGGTCGGGACGATATGCTCGAGTGGGGGATAACAAGTAGAAGTCTAGAACTACCTACCTTACTGTAGTATGTAGGTGATCCGCTACCCCATTTCATGGTGTGGTGCAGCTTACATGAGGTGTACTTGCACCGCACACCCTTCTGGCGTGGGCGAAGGAGAGGTAGGAGGTAAGGTACAGTATGTACCTCAAGGTCTTTCAAACTGGGTGCCAAGTCGGAGAGAACCTGGAAGTACCTACCTACATGTACCTTGCGTGCTCTACCACCTTCAAGTAAATCCTTGCGAATGCCAGCATCTTATCACACTACCAACACCAAGGTGGGTAGGTACATGTAGCCGGGTTACTGTATCGAGCCAGTATGCTCTCAAAGATATTTACTGCCTCCCAGTTCTACAGTATTAGTATTCTCCCATCTACGCCTTTATTACACGCAAGCAGAGCCGACGACTGCTATTAGGCGCATCGTTCGCAGATACAGCGCCAGTATGCAAGTGATGTAGCGGCTCTTTGTGCTGGATACTTAGTATACTACATTGTACCTAGGTAATTCAGGTAATAACTAAGGCTCCTGGAGTACATTATGACTGAGGTTGTGCATATCCATCAGCCAGATGCATTAACCACACAGTCGCCCTCTACATTAGCGCGCAATCACAAAATCCCAAGCATGAGATCAAGACTGCCCATAGTGAACCAACCAGCCATTGGACAGCTTGATGCATTCAGGATAGGTGGCTGCGACATATGAGCTCGTCAAGTGTGGTTTGACGTGGACTAGGTATTGGCAGCTGAGATTAGTGACCGCCGCCACGTTTTACGAGCTGTCAAGGCCCAGATCAGGCAGGTGCTTTTGGGGGAGTCCTGCAGTACGCCTTTTACATGAGCGTCGCTCAGACAGTGCGACGTTCCCTACTTTAGTCGAGGAAGGAGTTGCTTGCGCCAATGACTTACGAATAATACACAGGGAACATACAGGCGGAAGCGTGGCGGAAGGCTCACTTCATCACCGCCGCCGGTCCCTGGGTAGAAGCTTCGACTGGACCCAATGCTGCATGCTGTCTTGAACTCGTAGTTGCAGACTCGGAATGGTATTTGGCCCGCCTTAGTGGTCACTCGCTACCTCTTTTTCCCTTTCGTCTTATCAAGCACCTCAACCCAACGCTTATCGATCCCTCTCTTCTCGAGTGCTCTCACCACAGCATCCTTCTGCGGCCCTTGGACCATAACCTCAAGCACCTCCTTCTCATTCTTTTTGGAAGCGCCGGCCAACGGTTCCACACTGGTACTTCCAGCACATACTTTCCTCAGCTCGTCTGCCAGCGGCCTTGGATCGATATGATATACCTCAAGGCCGCTGACTTTCGTCACGGTCTTGTTGCCACTTCTTGTCTCCAGAGTGATGTGCACCTTTGGAGGCGCGCCGCTCTTCGGCTTCACGCTATTAGGGTCTGTGCCTTGTCGTACGATGGCATACTGGGGAGACATTGCGTGCAGTATACGATCGAGCAGGGCATCTCGAGGTACTGTACCTTTGGCAAGAACCTCCTTGTCGAGGGACCCTGAGCCATCGAAGACAGCATTGGCAAGGATCGGGTTCAGTTTCACAAGACGCTTGTTCGTTTCCGAGATCAGGCGTTCTTTCTCGAGGTATGAGGACACAAGATCACGCACCTCGGCAGGGGTGTATAGTGATTTTGTCCCCGTAGCAGCGTCGAATATAGGCTGCAATTTGGTAGACGGTCTGTAGGAGGACACTACCTGTATTTTCTGCCCGATGGAGTCATCAGCTCCATCTGTCTTTTCGTTGCCAGGTCCATTGGATGGACCGCCAGAGGATTCCTTCTTCGGCAATCGATATGGCTTGAACGTTGTGATTGCAGGATCTTCAAAGTCGATATCAACGATCGTTGTTTCGTTGCCACTATCCTTCGATTCCACAATCTTAGCTTTGTCCAAGCTTTTGACAAACTTCTTGATGTTCTTCCAGGAAGTCTTCTTGATCTGAAGTTGCTGAGCCTCTTCGGAAGAGAAAGCTGGCAAGAAGGGTTGAACGAGCGTCGACATAATGACTGTCTGTGTCAGTGGGTAGTCCAATCCGTGATTCTTCGCGCTTGGATTCGATGTCTTGTAATGGTTGACTCCAAACAAGAAGGCGTTCCGAAAGGCGTTGTCAATATCCTGTTGTGACAGCTCCTTTGCTTCAGACGTCTTGACCAGCTCGCTGCCATTCGTGGACATTCTGCTCGACTCAGCGACAGTTTTATCTTGGCCAAGCGCACCATCTTCGAGAGCCACTCCGCCGACCTCGTTTTCCTCTTCTAGGTCCAAGTTGGCTACCTGCTCGAGAAGTCCGCGCTCCTGCAACACCTTTGCCCAGCCTTCTATAGCGTCAGGCGCCTGTCTCCCGGGTCGGCTCCCGGTGCCATAACTCCAAAGTTCGTCTCCGAGCCAGTGCATATTTTCTACGGCATGGCCCTTCTCGCCTCTTACCTTTTGCAACGCGCTTACGTCAATCTCGCAGAATCCTACGGCCACGGGCACTGTGGGCTTTTCCAAAGCTGCGACTGCGACGACTGCGCCCTTTTTGGCTCGTGGTGGGAAAGGTGGACCTCCAAATAACCCCGGTATCATGAGATCTGCGCCTCCTACCATCTTCTTGACCACGATCTCGGGAGTATGTAGCAACGGCACAATATCCGCATTGTGCCAGAGTGTGTATACAGACGGTACCATGCGCCCATCGGTTTGGAACCACAAAATTCTCGCGTCCTCGCCATCGTGGTGGCCAACGTAAATTGTGCCCGAGACCTGCTTCAGTTCCGGGCCATGCGTCGTCGTGAATCGTGCCGACTGTACATTTTCAGGCAGGAGAGAGTTTCTTAAGGCGGTATGTGCAGCCGTAGCTTCTGCTTTCTGTTCAGGCGTGTCGTCGTTCGTGGGCGCCTCTTTTCCTCCCAGCGCAAAGTCCTTGATGATCTGGTCGGCGAGCTTTCTGCGATCGGATGATCTCAACGGGGAGAGAGCTTTGATGTGTGGCTTCTTCTTGAACATTGTTTCAGTAGATATTGCAACAAGGATATCCCGATTGTTACCTGCTTGTCATCACATGTGTACAGGTAAGGTACATGTACATGTAGAAGCGGACGGGAAGCTCGAAGATGATGACGATGAGGGGTCTTAGAATCAGGTACCTTACCTGTAGGTAAGGTAGAAGTGACCGTAGAACTATATATTGCCAAGCCTGTTCGTCCCAAGCGCGGCCCTACATAAATCCAGTACCTTACCTGGTACCTTAGTTGCTTAGGTAAGGTACTGTATGTAGGGCATGCAGTTTTTCCACTCCAGTCCCGTACAATGTACATTGCGCATCCCCCGAAGAATTCGCCCATCACAGTACATGTACGTTACAGTAGCGGGCACATGAAAAGCCACAATGATCCGCGGCACGCATGACAGGTGCAAGTAACAGTCCACGATGCTCTCGCGTTTGCCCGGTGATGGTAGAAGTAGAACTACCTCCTAGCAGATCACCGGAATTGCAGGCATTTTGTCTTCCATGTGTTCGCTCAACAATCTATGATCAAGGGTCTGCTCGCATACATATGCACAGCAGCACTTGTCCCGATGAAGGCTGTACCAGCCTGAGGATGCTTCATAACAATCCCCATACCGCCAGACTGAGTGTGCTATTGGAAGTACATGATGGAGAGCAGAAAGGAATCCGGCATTTCTCCGAAGGTCGAATTATCTGACCGCAGACCTCGCAATTTTTCATAAAGTCTGATGTGTAAGAGTCGCACTTTAAGGCGCTCTCTCAAGCGACTCTACTGCAATTCACACAGTGAAGGCCTGTCGCGGACAGCTCAGGCTTCTTGGTGGAATGATAAGTATGATAGGCTGCTACACTTGGACTGCATTCGACAGTCATGTCAACATGCAGTGTTGCTACTGTTTCTGGCACGACAGCAGCTCAAGCCCATCTCCGCTGAGCACGGCGCATCTGATCCACTTCCAACCTCGCCCTGGCCGCAAAGTCGAGGAGCAGCTGGTGTGCTTGCCACCCTGCAGTTCATAAGTATCTCTTTCACATGTATGAGAGAAAGCTGCAGTATTGTGGGATGTTGTTTTGCTTCTTAGGAGTACATTGGCCTTGCTCTTATTTACATCGATGCTCCTCTATCTTGCTCAAAGTTTTCTCGTCTCGTATCATGCTCGCATGGCATTGCGTTTAGAATGGGTTGTCCTCTGGTGCGATCTCGGTAGTGTAGAAGCTGGCGATGAAAGGGACCTTCTTCAGGATGTCCTCCTTGACCTTTGGAACCGAATCGAAGAACATGATGGCAAATGTGCCGGCTGCAACCCCAAATCCAGCTGCGATGGAGGCACTAGAATGAGTGTCAGTCTTAATCTGATTCGCTGAGGATGGCGGTGCATCTAGTATCGAGATGGGAGGTGTACTAGTAGTAGCCTTTGCCGGCATCCATGCCAAAGACGTGAGGCTTGATCTTATATCTGTATGCCCAGTCAGCGCTGCCGTCTACCCGAGGGGACTGACGGCGGGTATCAGCATACTGAGGACCGTGTGGGCTCTTGTAGTTATCATATCTGACAGGTTGCCGCCAGACATGAACACCAGGCGCGCTGCTCTTCCATAGTCCTGCGCCGCCTTGGATGGTGGGCGAATTGGTCTGCGGCCAGTTCAGCGCATACCCACATCGGGCTGCCAATCTACCATACCAGTAATCTCAGTGCGGCCCTCATTGTGCGTTCGGCGTGGGCGAGTGAGGCGGTGGTATCGTCGTTGCCGTAGTGGTCGTGGTTGTCGTCGGTGTGAGTCGGGAGATGTCGGTGATGATGTTCTTCCTTCAGCGGGTACTACCTCCTAGTACACTGCGGACGCAGCTCCCGTCGGTAAAGCTAAAAAGCATCCCTTCCATTGGTGTAAAACCATCGTACTAGGTTCACAGCCTAATCTGACGCTTACACCACAGTAACGGGCACAGCACTCCGGGCTTTCTTTCTAAATGGGAGTATAATGGCTTAGGGTAGCGTAGTGACTGGACAATCGCGATGCGGCAGGTCACGCAACCATACGGGCGACTCTGTCATGTCAGCAACGGGATTGAGCTCCAAGGTTACTGGTATGCTGCTTCTTCCTCTTCCTCCTCCTCTGCCTCGTCTTCCACTCGTAAAAGCAGGAGACACATCGCTAAGAAAGTGCTGCAGTGGAGTATCATGACCCGTCAGGAGTCTTTCCACTCGTGTCGCAGGACATCGCCTCCAGACTCCCTCTGCGAAACCTCAACTGGCATTCACCGCCTCGACCTTTGCGCCAGATCAAGTCGCTGCATCTCGAGTTCGTGCCAGACCAGCAGACCCAAGCAAGCGCTCGGCCAGTAGTAGCCCACACCGACTCCGATGGCCCTCAGAGCAGCGTTGACATTGTGAGGAGTGGCGCTATTACGAGCAGGGAGAGACGGCATCAGATTCCAGGCTTCCGGACGAGTCCATATCTGAAGCTCTATGTGCTGCGATGTGATGACAAGGACACCTACAAGGAGACTGATCGAAAGAAGCTTCGCGAATGGGTAAAAGAGATTGCGCAGTCAGAGGGCAAGCTGGACCATGATGCTTTCGAATGGCTCATTCTCCATGTGGTTGTTCCTGACACCTTAGCCGCGAGTGAGCCAAGATGGCGCGAGAGTAGCAAAGATCCCGACGACCTCAAGGAGCGCAAGGGTAGTAACAAGCTAATTGGGAAAAGTACGCGAACAGTCTTCGACAGGCTGCGAGCAGATTTCCACGACTCGGGCAAGTCTTCAGTCGATCGCATCGCACAGATTCGAATTGTGAAGCAGGACGCCGTTGCGGATCTACTACCAACGCCAGTGGTCGCTCAGACGTATGAGGAGACCGCCCAGGAGCGTGAGAATGCCTGGAACGATCTGGTCTCGAAGCTCAAATCGTTGATCCTTGGACCGTTCGACAGACGCGTGCGCCAGTATGAAGCTGATATCGCCGAACAAGAGGAGCGGAGATCTTTGCCAGGGTGGAACTTTTGCACATTCTTCGTCCACAAGGAAGGCTTGGCCATTGCGCTGGAAAGCGTAGGCCTCGTTGAAGATGCCCTAGCTATCTACGACGAGTTGTCGCTAGGCCTTGAAGTGGTACTGCGAGAAATTGCTACTGGTCAAGCAAGGGGAACGGCGACGACCTTTCCAGACTTCACGGATGATGTTCAGACACGAATTTTTGGTCCTGTCGACACACAACTCAATGGCGGGTCAGACGAGTCCAAGAATGATAAATACGATGCTCAACTTCTGTTCAGCAAAGACTACCGAGAAAGAATCCTCCGAAGCAACATCACCATATTTGACTTCATGTGCTACATTTTCTATAGGCAAAAGGCTCTGGTGTTGCGTCTGGCGAACGCGCGATCTGCTCGTCTCGAGCACACGAGCAAAGAGGGAGGAGAAGACCTGGTTCTGACCGCCGAAGTGTGCTGGCGCGCCTCGAACTTCATCCATGTAGCTGCCAGAGCTCTGAGACAGGATCAATCGTCCGGCCAAGTTCCACAGCTAGAAGTGGAAGCGCTGGTCTGTTCCTGGACATGGGCAATTGCTGGCCAGGTATTGGCAGAAACAGCGGCACCTGCGTTGCTCGACCTCACTAATCAAGGATTGCAAAATCTCAAACAGCTCCCTAATGGTACCTCGAAACGGCCAGCCACGAGTACTGGTATTGGTGCTAATAAGCATCCCCAACGGACATCAAGTTTACCGGACGCCCAAGCTGCGATTGACTTAGCACGCCCTGCTACCCGGGGACACACTGCGAGCGGCACATTTCCTGCAGGCACGAGTGGTGGCGCAGATTATTTATTGCATGGAGGCCTACCCGGCCAAGCAGACCTGGCCACATACCGAGCGGATCTGATTATGATGCGACGGCGGATGCTGGAGCAATTGGCGCGTATACATGGCTGGTATGCTGGCTCGGCTTTTGCGAAACATGCCAGGACAAGCCAGCTGCAAGCCATCCAAACCGACGGCACCTTGGAAAGCAATAACAACATCGAAAGCGTGCCGCGGTCGAGTCTGCTGGATAATTGCTTAGGGCCTTCACTCAGGCCAGCGTTGGCCGACGTACGATCCTTCGAGACGGCCTACGAGAAGCTCACTCAGGCAGCCGCCAACCACTTCAGCACCGCAACGCAACAGAACTTCGCCGAGAGATTGCTTGGCGACCTAGCCATGTTGAAATGTCAGCAAGGTGATTGGCGGACTGCGGCAACATATTTCGAGCGTGTGGCGACTCGAGAAACCTATGCTGGCTGGAACAGAATGGATGCCGAGAGGCTGAGTACCTATGCGTACTGCCTCAAGAGGCTTGAGAGGAAGCAAGACTTCGTGCGGACCACTCTGGCACTTCTCGCAAAGATCAGCAGACGTCGACGACTTCAACGGGCTTCGTGCGTCTCGAATGGCATATCACGACCTGACAGTGACGATTTGGACAGCACTGGACTGTTCAGAGAAGCAGCCGGTGTTGCCGACGGCTTAGAGAGTGAAGAGGTCCAGCCACTAAAAGACTTCTTCAGCGGCGTTGAGCTAGGTCGCATCATCTCACACCATGACCAAACCGACGCTATACAGCTACCGTTGGGTTTGGATCATGTTCTCGATGATGACTTGGAGTTTGACCAAGCAAGAGTGCGCCTTGTCAGCATCCACGACCCCTTACAAGAGGTATGGCTTGAGAACAACGCTCGAGTCATCTTGAAGCCTGGTGCAAACATGATCGCGCTAGAAGCAAAGACAACTGCTTATGGGCCATACCTTGTGGATACAGTCATGCTGAAGGCTGGACGACTTTGTTTTGTGGAGCATCTACGAGAGCCGCCGGAACCGACGCCGCTAGGAATCACACTTATTGAGCCTACTACGACAATCAGAGACTCATCCAAGTCGCCCGCTTTTGTTTTCCTCTATCCACGAGCAGAGGCATTCAAGGCATCCATCCGTCGAGCTCGATTTACACATATCGACAAACCACGTCGCCTAGAAGTGATCGTCAACTCGGGTCAGAATGAAGTGAGCAGCATCAACGTCAGAATCAAGCCCAAAACAGCTGGTCTACGCCTCCACTTAGGTGATGCAGCCCTAGAAAACATATCCTTTGACCCAACAGCAATCGCTACGCCAGGACAATTAGCTCTGGAAGGACTCGCGCCAGGTGCTGAAGCCAAAGTCGTCATCCCATATACGACGGAGCAACCCAGTAGAGAAATCACATTCCAGCTCGAACTCAAGTACACGACTCTGGAAGGGACCTTGACCTGTCAGCTGCCTGGAAAGATTGCAAATGAATTACCACTGGATATCGACGTCAATGACATATTTCAACTTGACAATCTCTACTCAAGCTTCACAGTGCGCACTACAACCGGGGTACCTTTTGCCATTCTCAGCGCTGAACTTCGAAGTTCTCCCACTTTTGCGGTCGAGGCACCGCCATCCCTGCCACTGCCACTGACGGTCTTTGACGCGCAGCCCGCGCAGTTACTCTATACAATCACACGAAGACGACAATCGGATCATAACAGTGTCAAACGCGATGCTGCCCTTACACTCAGCGTTGATTACGAGCCAATGGACGAGGCGCTCCTGTCATGCCTTGAGCACGAAATTGTATCCGACCTGCAGAACAGCAGCTTTGCCAAGTATGCTCGCCTCCTTGTACCACTGCTACTTGAGCGTACTCGGCAGCGCATCGAACATGCTGATCTTGAGCTCGCGGCGTTGCTCCAAGAGAGCAGAGTGCCAGACTTCGATGCTGTCGGATGGGGCGAACTTCTTGCGACACTAGCGCCAGAAGTGAGAGAACCGCTAGGGACTTGGCTCCATGAATGGCACGCAAGACATACGGTACTGTCGCTTGCCAGACGGCGCGGGGCTGATCCACACTGCATCGCTATTTCCGTCGATGTGCCCAATGTCGACATCGTCTTCAGCACTGCGACGGAGCTGCCGGACGCGGAACCACAAGTAAGAGGCCCTCGAGTGCTCACTCTTGGACAGCCCGTTTCAGCTCATGTCCGTGTCAGGCATACGTCAGGCTGGAGTGCGAAGAATGTCTTTCCTAGTGTACCCACGTTTAAGATTCATGGCGAGGACGAAGAAACGACGTATGTAATCAGTGTCGACAGCGAGAACGATACGTGGCTGGTCGGAGGACACAAACGTCGCCATTTTGTGCCGCACGATGGTACTGACCACACGTTTAGCATTGTGCTGATACCGCTTCGTGTCGGCTTACAGCCGCTGCCGGTGGTAGACGTGCGGCAGGAAGAGCTGAAGCTTGAGAGTGAAGAAGCAGAGAAGAAGCCGACTTTGACTACTTTCCAATCGCACTATGAAGGTGCAGGAGAGCTGGTTCATGTCATCAGAGATGTCCAGAGTGCCACCGTGCACATTCCAGATTCACCACCGCCGGTGAGGCTTTCCAGTAGCAGCAGACCCGGAACAAGTGGGACACCTTGAGACAATCTCCCCAAGGGCCCATTCAGTGTAGAAGGTAGGTAATACGAGTAACTGAGGATGATGCACGACAAGATATTCGCAGAATAGACAGAATGCATAGCATGATACCCCTCTCCCTCCCCTCTCCTACACCAACAGTCTTTCTCATACAGTACATGTACATGTAATTGCGAAAGGCGTTGGAGTAATGACGCGATTGTACCCCACGTCTGTACCTTGCCTTAGTGTTGTACGTGGTTTCCTTTCCGTATACCGTCTCCATGGAGCTAGCCAGCATCCACAGGCCTGAAGCATGCCACTCTGTATGCCCCATGATTGTCCCATTCGTCCCATTCGTCCCATTCGTCCCAAACCCTCCCAAATCATCATAAATCATCCCAAATCAGTCCAAATCAGGTCACAAGGCTCACATGACTTCGAGCACGAGAGAAAGCGGGAGAGCACGCCATTGCTCTACCCTGGTTGTAGATCGGTTCCAGTGTTGCGGGGAGAGATCCAAAGAGCGGGGCCCATTAATCTACGTTGCAGCGCTCGCGTGCTAAACAATTTCACCACAGAAACCAGATTTTCTTTTTTTTTTCCTGCACGTCTGTGACTTGCACTCTGAGACTACCCAAGACCGAACATTCCTGTGCTTGCATGTCCCAAGAGGGCTCAACAAGTCACAACTGAAACGATTGACAGTCACCGTGATCCACAATGGCCGCACAGGACCACCAACCTAGGTTTGAGACCTTGCAATTGCATGCAGGTACGCGAGCGATCCTCAAGACCGAAGAAAGAAAGCATCGGGGCGATGATTGCGAATTGGGGAAGAACCACACCATGACCGCTAACTGGGAGATTGCTCTTCTGAACAGGCCAAGAAGTCGATCCACACACCAGATCACGAGCTGTACCGATATATGCAACCACATCATACGTTTTCAATGACTCGGCCCACGGTGCGAGGCTCTTTGGCCTCAAGGAGTTCGGAAACATTTACTCGCGAATCATGAACCCCACTGTCGATGTGTTGGAGAAGCGTGTTGCAGCTCTGGAAGGGGGTGTTGCTGCTGTTGCAACGGCATCTGGACAAGCGGCCCAGTTCATGACTATTGCTGCTCTCGCGACAGCCGGAGACAACATCATTTCGACCTCGAACCTTTATGGAGGCACCTACAACCAGTTCAAGGTCGCATTCCCGCGTTTTGGTATCACGACCAAGTTTGTCAATGGTGACAAGGCATCGGACTTTGCGGCCCTCATCGACGACAAGACCAAGGCGATCTACATCGAAACCATTGGCAACCCGAGATACAACGTTCCAGACTTTGAGGCAATTGTGAAGGTTGCGCATGCAGCGGGTGTTCCAGTCGTGGTGGACAACACTTTCGGTGCCGGAGGGTACTTCGCTCGCCCGATCGACCACGGGGCAGACATCGTTGTGCACAGTGCGACAAAGTGGATTGGAGGCCATGGGACAACAATCGGCGGTATGGTTGTGGACGCTGGCAAATTCGACTGGGGAACGCCAGCGGCACGCAAACGATTCCCACAGATGAGCGAGCCGTCAGATGGATACCACGGACTCAAGTTTTGGGACACGTTTGGCGCAATCACATTCATCATCCGGCTGCGAGTCGAGATTCTCCGTGATCTTGGTGCTGCGCTGAACCCATTCGCTGCTCAGCAACTACTGATCGGCCTCGAGACCCTCAGCCTGCGATGTGAGCGTCACGCACAAAATGCTCTGCAGCTCGCGACGTGGCTTGAGAACAACCCCAATGTGGCATGGGTGAGCTACCCGGGTCTGACCAGCCATCCGAGCCATGAATTGGCGAAGAAGTACCTGCCAAGAGGGTTCGGAGGTGTTTTGTCATTCGGCGTGACTGGAGGTGGAACTGCTGGTAGCCAGGTCGTGGACGGCTTCAAGCTCATCTCCAACTTGGCCAACGTGGGAGATTCGAAGACTCTTGCCATTCACCCATGGACCACAACCCACGAGCAGCTGAGCGATGAGGAGAAGATTGGCAGTGGCGTGACTGAGGTGAGTGTAGCGCCGCGCTCTCCACATTGGATGGTGAATACGGACTGACCTTTGTAGGACCTCATTCGCATCTCTGTCGGTACTGAGCACATTGACGATATTATTGCAGACTTCGAGCAGTCCTTCGCGCAGGCAGCCACAAAGCCCGGGCAGGGCACAGATAATAGTCAGGTCAACGGCGATGCCAAAGGACAAGGCAAGACCGTCGTCTAAACTCCGGAGCCTGGATACGTTGGCATGGGATTACTAAATGGAGATGGGGGAGCGCAGGCAAGGCAAGGCAGGGCAGGGCAGGGCAGGGATCGATGGCTGGGGAAATCAACAAAAAGTGAGCTTCGAAAAAAAGCACGATACCTGGTAGGCTGGTTACTGGTAGTTCTCCATAATGAGTAGTTGTTTGTCCGTCCCATCTGTACATGCAACATGTATATGGTCAGCGCGCCGCCAATCATTTCGACCGAAGACCGCGTGCCGAGGTGCAGAACGCGTCAAAGTCGCCTTGCTGTGCCTCGTGGCATGTTTTAGCGCAAGTGCAGCCAGCATGCATGCGGGCACCGACCGAATAACGAAGTTTATAACGACCAGGCACGCACGCGCTCTGTGCGCCTACATAGCCTACAGTACCACCTCCTAGGTACATGTAGTAGAGGTACCTCGGTGGTGTCCGCGTCCAAAGCTGTGAACAGTGCAGCAGTGAGAGAGTGCCACGTTCTATGATGAAGCTTTCGGCGCTGTCCTCCTTTGAGAGAACTAGTTTTACCAGTTTCATTCCTCCTTGCTTGACATGTGAAAAACAGCCGGGGGGGGGGGGGGAGGTGACTCGTGAGCAACACCCTAGCACGTGTTGTAACTGTATTGCTATTTTCCGCCAAACAACAACTGGGAAAAGATGTGACGGGCGACGAAAATGTGTCTGTGTCTGGGCGCGGCGCGACTGGGCGGCGGCGGCGGCGGCGGTTGCATTTCGTCGCATTAGGAGGTACATGTACGGTGATGATGATGATAATGATGATACAGGTAATGATGATGATGATGATGATGATGGAGCCAAGAGCCTGGAGCATGATGGATGGCGGGAGAGAGCCGAGAGAACGGGATGCGGACGTCTTTCCCAGTCAAGCCAAGTCGAGATGCCTCCCCAGGATTGGCTGAGACCGTCTGGCGTGCGCGTGCCTCGGGCCATGAAAGATGAAGATTGAAAGAGTACCGAGCATCCCAGCTGCGAGCGAACCTGAGAGTCAACTGATTCCATCTCATCACTACATGTACATGTACATGTACTTACTACCATCTACTGCTATTACTTCTCCCTCTTCTCCTTCAGTATACAGCTGCTACTAGCCGTCTATACCGCTGTGTGTGCGTGCTTTTGCTCTCGTTCCATTTGTGCTTGTCTTTCATCTCGGGCCCCAGCGACTGCGTCGGTCGTGAAAGCGTACCAGGTATATACGGAGTAGGTGAGTGAGCATAAGCGGACTGGCCGATGTCCAGGAGGGAGCAGAGCTCACACTGACAGCATGATGGTATAGACAGCCCAGCAGCATTTCTGACTTGGGGAAATCGAGTCTCCGCCTCCTCGGTGCCTCGTACGCCAGCGAAACGGTTTTGGTAGTAGTACAAACAATCTACTCCAGCTGCAGCCAGCCGAAGAGACGTCATTATGGGGAGCCAAATTGCTATCAACAAGGCGGGTGAGTGTGACGAAGATGGACGTGAAGGCCTGGGCATGGGCAAGGTCAAGCTTGGTGCGCATGTGAACTTACACATTCGCAGCCGAGCTGGTCCAACCGCCTCCGGTGGGCGCCCCGTACTCAGTCGCGGTGCCCGGTAGCAAAGTCGAGGGTCGCAGTGCTGTATACCGTCACTGGAGGCAAAAGGACGGCGTTCTGCACACACTCGACCCCGAAATCACCACTGCGCACGAATTCTTCGAGCAATCTGCCAAACGAGTGCCTAACAACCTATGTCTGGGACGCCGACCTTACGATGCTGTGAAAAAGGCCTGGGGCCCATACGTGTGGGAGACATATGCACAAATCCAGGAGCGGAGGAAGAACTTTGGTGTTGGACTAGTCGCGCTGCATGAGCAAGTCGGCGTCACGGGCAGGCAGTATGGCGTTGGACTGTGGTGCCAGAACCGACCAGAATGGCAGATTACGGATCTTGCCTGCATGTCTCAGTCGCTGTTCAGTGTCTCGCTCTACGACACTCTGGGACCTGATGCCTGCGAGTTCATCATCAACCACGCCCAGCTGACGGCGGTCTGCTCGTCAGTTTCACACATCGCAATGCTGTTGAGGCTTGCGCCGAGATGTCCAACGCTGAAGCTCATCGTCTCGCTGGATCCGCTGTCTGCGGAGGGCGAGCTGCCAGGTACCTCGAAGAAGGACATTCTCAGTGCTCTCGCTGCTCAGCACGGCGTGCAGGTCCACGACATGAGAGATGTGGAGGCAATGGGCGAGAAGTCCCCACGCCCATTTCACCCACCTCGCCCCGAAGATACTGTCACGATCAACTACACTTCCGGCACAACTGGCAATCCCAAGGGTGTCATTCTCACGCATAAGAACGCCGTGGCAGCGGCTTCTGCTTCTCTCTGCATCAGCAGATCTATGAAAGGCGACACCGTCTGCTCCTACTTGCCATTAGCACATATATTCCAGCGTGTAACTGAGCATTCGATACTCTGGGCTGGTGCTGCGATTGGGTACTTCCATGGCAACATTCTGGAGCTGGTTGACGATTTCAAGCTGCTTCGACCCACCACCTTCACCTCTGTTCCTCGTTTATACAATCGGTTCGGTGGCGCAATCAAGGCGGCGACAGTGGAGGCACCTGGCTTTCGAGGAACCATGTCTCGCCACATTGTTGAGAAGAAGCTGAACAGTCTGACTCAACAGCCAGCCGGCAAGGCGACTAACACGCATTTCTTGTACGACCGCATCTGGGCCAGGAAGGTCTCTGCAGCACTCGGACTAGACCGGGCCAAGACGATGATTTCCGGCTCTGCTCCGATCGATCCTGGTCTGCAGCAGTTCCTCCGAGTGGTCTTTGCAAACAACTTCTTCCAAGGTTATGGTTTGACGGAAACATATGCCATTGGGACTGCACAGCTGGAGGGCGACATGAGCGCTGGCAACTGTGGTGCTGTCGCTACAGCAACCGAGCTGTGCCTTCTCGATGTGGCAGATATGGACTACCTCTCCACCGATAAGCCCAATCCGCGTGGTGAGCTGCTCATTCGTGGACCCACGGTATTCAAGGAGTACTTCAAAAACGAGGAGGAGACCAAGAAAGCGTTCACCGAAGATGGCTGGTTCAAGACGGGCGATATTTGCGAGATTGACGAAATGGGACGGTTCAAGATCATCGATCGTCGCAAGAACGTGCTCAAGCTCCAGCAGGGCGAGTACATTTCGCCAGAGCGCATTGAGAACGTCTACCTGGGCAACCTCCCCTTCCTCGGGCAAGCATACGTCCACGGCGACAGCACACAGTCCAACGTGGTTGCCATTTTTGGAATTCAGCCCGACCTCTTTGCGCCTTGGGTGGAGAAGGTACTCGGGAAGAAGATGAATCCCACCGATCTCCCGGCACTCGAAGCTGCTGCTGGTGAAAAGAAGGTTCAGAAGGCCGCTCTTCGTGAGCTCGCAAAGGTTGGCAAAAAGGCCAAGTTCAACAGTTATGAGAACGTGAAATCGGTCAGATTGCTGCTAGACCCTTTCAGCATCGAGAACGAGCTCTTGACCCCCACGTAAGCCACTACCGCTCGCTCTGCGCGTTAGTCTCATGGTGAAGCACATGCTAACTTGACATTCCAGATTGAAATTGAAGCGACCACAGACCGCCAAGAAGTACAGACAGTTGATTGACGAGATGTATGCTGAGATCGAGGCAGAGGCGACGCCAAGGTCGAAGTTGTAGATGAATATATATTATCCTATGTTTTATTGCACAGACCAGAATTGAAGATACTTGTCCACCTTCTCTGTAAACGTCCTGCCACCTCGCTGAGGACCGTCGATCTAGTAGGTTGCTGGGAGCTGAGACACTCGGCCTCCGTCCTGTTGGCTGGTTAGCTTGGATGTCGCACGCACCACCTGAGAGGCAGAGTACATGTAGTTCTTACCGTGAGCATATTCATCCCATTCAAGTACCCACCGGCTCTGCTAGCCATGAACAGAATAGTGCCCGCAAAGTCCTCTTCTGATCCTGTTCGCTCGGCCGGTGTGGTCTTGGCGTCAATCACCTTCGCACCCTCGTACGCTCCTTGACTATTGCCATGTGCGCTCTTCGAGTTCATTTGCTCAGTCGTCATTTCCTGCAGCTACGGTTAGCGGTATTCTTGATGGACGTCTTCGTTGTAACACTGACTGAAGGATACAGCCCTGGGTTGATAGCATTGACGCGGATGTGAAACTGATTCGTTGCGAAGGCTGTCGAAAGCATCTTGACAAGATGATTCACAGCAGCCTTGGAGGCCGAGTATGCAAAGCCGACACCCAGGGAGCGTGAGAAGCCCGCTACGGAGGACGTCACAATGACCTGTGATTCCTGGGGAACGTTTCGCTTCTGATTTCCAGCATCCAACAACTCCATAAAGGCTAATACGGTGTAGAAGACGCCTGTCGAATTCACATGCGAAGTCCAATCGAAGTCTTCGACAGAGGGCTCGAATAGTGCTTGCGAGTACTCCTTGACAGTCTTCTTGTTGGCTACAGCCGACGCATGTGAGGGACCCATGACGCCGGCATTGGCGAAGAGCAAGTTTACGTAGCCTTGCTCCTGCTGGATCTGGTCGACGACCTTCTTGAGTGATTCCTTATCGGTAACGTCACCGACAATGGGCTTGATGGTGCCATTCTCTGCCGAAGCAGCAGCTGTTTTCAAGGTGTCCTCACGCCGGCCGATAATGTAGACTGCTTTGGCTCCATTGGCATCGAGTGCTCTCGCGGCGTACAGTCCCAGGCCACTGCCGCCACCAGTGATGACTGCTACGAGGCCATTGACGTTGAAGAGATCCTGAATCTTGTTGGCAACAGGCATTGTCGCGGTATACGTTAACTTGGTCAGTGAGCTGGGTGAGAGAAGTAGCAAGGTGGTGGAGTGTACGTGGACAGTGGAGAGGAAGGAAAGTTAAGTACGTGTAGGCAATGTACCTGTACTTACCTTACCTATCGTGATATGATGTAGTAGGTGCTCCATAAGTACAGGTATTCACACGGCCTGCCTGCCGTGTTGGCCGCACAGACGGCCAACCACACAACAGGCACGTTACCTCCTACCTCTTACATGTAGTGGAGGTACCACCTTAGGCAGAGACGGTGATGACGTGAGCGGACACAGAGAGATGCCGTTGTAGGAGCCACCTTCCTTAGGTAATGTAGGTGTCCACCTCGCGTGTATTTCGTGAACGAGGCAAAAGCGAAGAGGGAGAGCATTGAAGAGTGGAAAGAGGCGGGCAACGCGTGTTCACATGGAAGCCTGCAGTACTGTTCAACTACCTACCTGACTTGTAGGAGGTAATTGAAGGTAAGGTAGCTGATCACCGTAGAGATAGGTACCTACCTGACCTATAGATGATGAGGTGCTACCTCCTATCAGGTTTGAGATGTGAGAACTGAAAAGGGAACGGGAAACTGCCCATCTCAGCTCAGCAACTACCTCCTAGGAGGTAGCGTGTACCGTTTGGGACGTGTTCTAGTTCTACCTGAGCTTAGGTAAGTCTGTCGCTCTCACGATTTCTATAATTATTCCCAAGGTACCTTTGACAGCTCTCCTTCCGCTCACACCTCTACCTTTACCTCCACCTCCTCCAATCCCCCTCCCCGGCCATATCTTAGCTGTCAGTCTACACAGTATGGCGCACGACTCGCCAATTGGGAAGCTCGTATGGATGCGGCTTAAACAACCTCGACACGTCTTATACGGTCAGATTGAGGACATCGACCCCCCGAACTCGATCACTTTTAGAGATGGTAAGGTACGTACAAATATGCAATGCTACTATATGTCGCTCATAGATACTTGTTAGTCGTGTTTCCTGGGTCGAGTACGTACCTCGCGCAATGGACCGTCCAGTCCACTGCGATCGACGATACCGCCATTGTGAATAGTTTTCCCCCAGAAGTACTCGAAGTCCTTCGATCCCAACCACAACCGCACCAGCAGCCTGCGACGATTCCTCCGCAAATGTCTCACGCGCATCCACCGCCTCCCGCGTTCCAGTACCCCCAGCAATTGCCCAATGGCCACCACCCTGCGCCATCGATGCCGCATTCCCCTTTTGCTGGCTCAGTGCCGGTTCCTGTGAATCGAATCGCTGAACTGCCTGCTCGTATCACTGCTTCTCCTGCACCCCAAGCAGCCGTGGGACAGCAGTCAGTACCAGCCTTCGTCGATCCAGCGATTCTGAGCTACGACACGTCGTCGCCGGTGCAAAGGAGACGGACATCAAAGCCGGCAGGATTGGAAACACCCATAAAGTCAATGCTGACACGAGCTGCCGCCAACTTGCCCAGTCCTAGCTCGCCATTCATAGGAGACATTACCAAAGCCAATGTCGCGCAAAAGATGGCTGCGGCCAAGCAAGCTGGAGCAGCCCAGCAACAGCCGCCTGTACCTGTAGCATCAAAACCTAGTGTGGAGGCTGCTCTCGGCGACGATGTGCAAAATCCAGTGGTGGAGAATGGCGGGAAGAAGAAAGTCAGGCGAGGTCAGAAAGTAAAGAAGCAGCCACCAGATGCTGGTCAAGACCCACCTCCAGTGATGAATGCTGAAGTCTCCCGGAACGGAAACGATATGAACGGCCAAGTGAAGCGGGGCAAGGGTTGGAGGAGCACGCCTTTGTTGCAGCCATCTCCATCGGCCGGTCCTTCCTTGGACCAAGCGAACACCAAAAAGAGCAGACGAAAACATAAGGGCGAGCTGGAGCAGGAATTCGCGCAAGGAGATACCACAGACATACAGGACATGGGAGACTTTGATTTTGACGCTGGGCTCAAGAAATTTGATAAGAAGCAAGTATTCGACGAGATCAGGCAAGGAGATACCACAGCAGATGAAGACAGACTTGTCAGCCACAACAAGGCTCGTCCAGGCACCTATGGTGGAAAAAACCTACACCCGACCGAGAACGTCCTGTCTCCTAAGCTGGAGACGAAGTACAACAGCAACGAAACGGACAACACTAGCGATGCTGACACGGAGCTTGGGCTTGGTCTTGCCAATGGAAGTTCCTCGTCCAAGCATTCCGTTTCGCGCAAAGTGTTCCCGAAGACAAGACCTAGCAGGCAGAATAGTGCGCAAGTGGACTCTCTCCCAAGACCGCCGCCCCATCTGCTGGCGGCATCGCTCAGTTCAGATCGCGTCCGCGATAGGTCGACCACCTCGCGTGTGAGTAGGGGAAAGCAAGCTACTTCGTTGGCTACATCCTCGCCCAAACCAGACCGAGCAAACTCGCCTTCAGCTATCTCAGTCACCAAGACAGCAATCCAAGGTTCAGCGAAGAATCAGGATCCACATTTCGCAATCTCATCGCACATGTCCACATGTCCCACCCTTTTACCCAAGGCATTGGAGAATCTGGAGGCTGCGACTGTCTCAACATTTAGTCTGAGCCAGGAAGCAATTGCAGAGAATGCCGCTCGCAGTGTTGCAGAAACAGCATTGCACCTATCAGAAGCGCATAAGGGGCTACGGCGCCCGTCGAGAACTAACACCATGCGAGGTAGTATGACAGGCAGTATGACGTTAAACAGCCCGCCAGAGTCCTCGACGATTGTCATCCTGGCTGGCAATCACGACATTGGTGCCCGCGCCCTCGCAGCGGCTCGCCACCTTCTCGGACGAAATGTAAAGATCATTGCGGTCGAGTCAACCTTCGAGTCGGCAGCAACGCAGCATCCGCACGTACATGCACAGCGCGCGATTCTCCGTAAACTAGCTCAGGCGGGCGCCAAAGTTAAGCGTGGAGCATGGCACAAGTGTCAAAAAGCGATCAAGAATCTAACAGGTCCACCTGTGGTCATCATCGACGCACTTCTCGCTGGAGCAACGTTTGAGAGCCTGCTAGAGCCAAATGCAGATTTTAGTGCGCTTGTACAACAGGAGACAAGAGAAATGATCGATTGGGCGAACCGGAGCAGAGCCCCTGTGCTGAGCGTCGGCTGTCCCAGTGGTGTTTCGGGTGTCGATGGGGTCTCTACCATTGTCGAAGGAGAGCCACTTGCAGTCCGTCCTGATCGCGTCCTTGCCCTGGGTGCTCCAATGTCAGGCTTACTGAAAGCCACCGAGGCAGGCGAGAGATGGAATATTAGTCTGGCCGACATTGGCATTAACATTGGGCTAAAGGTGGAAGACCAAGTGGTTTTCGGAGAGTCCTGGAGTGTCAATCTGAAGTACGTGGACGAAGAAGCCATGTCGTAGGAGAGTGGTTCAAGTTTCAGCTCGGCGGATGGTCCAAAAGGGCGCAGGTCTCAAGAAGGTGGCTGGATTCGACGCGAAAGGCTCTCTTCTCGTGAAAGAAAGAACTTATTCCTATCGTTACGCGCATTGAACCTCTGAAAGGCCTCAGCACTGGTGGCCATGGATCTTGATTACCATACCAAGTGTCAGCAATGTCAATACCTAAGGTATGCCAATCAAACAGTCGTCGCTGGGGACACCATGAAGCGGCGTCATCGACAAGGTCAATTGGGGAAGTACGAGATACGGCGAGCTTTCACGGTAGAATCAATACAGTCGTAAAGTGGCGTTGGCGTTGGACGTTGGACTTGGATGGGACTTCGGTTGCTAGCATAGCGTTCAGTTTGAAGATACCCGCATCGCATGATGTAGCATAGCCTGTATTCACCTGCATTATAGAACGGTCTTACCTGCGCATACCGTTCACTACGTGACTGTGTTTCAGCAGGCAGCCTCCGTGGCTCGAACATCGTGCCTTACTTCACACGAACCTTCTAGATAATGCTCCTGCCTGCACTTGCATCTATCTCTTCTACCTTCTTTTCAAAAACATTCATATGACCATCGAAAGTCACTGGCACCTCGAGTCTACACTGTTAACACTCTGCATTCGTACCTCTAGCTGCTAAAGCCTTTCCTGAAAATCCGTCTCACGGCTCGAAAACAGCCGGCCCAGTACAACAAGAACTATGAGCAAGCGCAAGGCTGGCTCCATCTCCGAAACAATGCAGGGCCTCGAGGTGTCGCCGAAGGACAAGAAGGTGAAGCGACGGCCCTCGATAAGTGAGTACCTAGAAGAACACCGGTCAGGTACCAGTACCTAGTTGAATACATCTATCCCGCCCGCCCGCTCTTCCACATTCTTTTTTTTCCCGCGTGCGCGCCGGAAGCACGCGTCTTCAGCCTCGTCGCGAAACGTGCGGGCAGGGGTGGGCGTCGGCCATTTTTGGCCCCCACCTTTATGTCATGTCGTGCTCGCGGCTTTCTCGACATTATTATTTACCTACCTCTTCCTCTTAACCCTTTCCACCTCAACATTCATCGCCCAACAGAGTGATCTTGCGCCGCTCGTCAGCGCTCCTCGCAGTTCCGATCTTGCCATCTGCCTTGCACGCAGTTGGCAGGCCGAGGCGATCTGGCAGAGACCTTGTTCTAACACGATGCCTCCAGCGCTCAATTCTGCCCAGCGGGCCGCACTCAACGAGTTCACCAGTGTGACGCAGGCAGATCGAACCACGGGCACAAAGTTGCTCAAGCAGTCCAACTGGAATGTCGGTGCCGCAGTCAACATGTAAGTATAATAGACTCTTTCAGACGGAAGCATCCGCGACTCTTACACGATCCCCCATGCTATCTGCTCTGGCATGTTATCTGCCCTGTGACTACACACGCAGGCAGTGGCTGTTCATCACGGCACCACACTAACATGAACTTCCTCCATAGCTTCTTCAACAACCCGGCTGGCGGCCGCGTCAATCCGCTGCAAGACACGCTTAACAAGCTTTTCGATCAGTACCGTGATGTAGGCACTTCCGATTCGCCAGACGAGATTGGTATGGATGGCACGTTCAAGCTGTGTGAGGACCTGCAGGTCAGTCTGGAGGATGTTGGTGCGCTTGTACTCTTCGAAATAGTCCAGTCACCATCGCTTGGTATCATCGTGCGGGAGAACTGGATCGATGGATGGTCGGACGTGGGAGCAGATTCGGCTGCGAAGATGCGCAACGTGGTGCTGCAGCGGCGGTCAGCTCTGCCGACGGATCAGGAGCTCTTCAAGAATGTCTACAACCACACATTCACCCTGAACCTGGCCGAGCGACAGAAAGCACTGATGCCGGATATGGCCGTTGCTATGTGGGAGCTTCTGTTCAAGGCACCAGGGCTCGAGTGGAAGACGACAAACGCAGCATGGCTCGAGTGGTGGATTGAGTATAATCAAGACAAGGTCAAAAAGGCGGTCAACAAGGATCTGTGGAAGCAAACACTCAACTTTGCGCTGCAGACGTTGAAGGACGAGAGCCTGAGCTTCTGGAGTGAAGAGAGCAGCTGGCCCAGCGTCATCGACGAGTTTGTGGAGTGGGTCAAGACAGAGAAGTGGAAGGGTGAGAAGATGACGGGAGATGCTATGGATCAATCCTAGAGGATCCTGCCTCATGATGGAAATTACCATGAGCAGCTGCCCCATCAGCCTGCTCGATCATGCTACGGAGGCCAACAAAGGCGAGTCCATACTCAACAAGATGGAAATCGGCCTGGAACAGTAGCCATCTGGAGGCGACCGAGACGTAGCCAGGTACGACGATCACTGGGGCTTGTCTGGAGCACTCATGTCCTGGGTGCATGGTCTCCTTCTAAAATAGCTTCGGTTGACCGTGATCCATAGCTATGTGGAAGTCAAAGTGACTTTTTGGCTGTGTGGAAGTCGAACGCATAGGAAGGGCTAGTTCTGGTAGTGCTGCACGTGCAACAATAGGGAGGGAGGTCACATTGAGCACACGGTCATGATGCGAACAGTCTATTATAGCATGCTATCCAGCGCTTAGCGATGCACTCTTCAATGCAAATGCTTTAGGGAGCTTTCTATACCGATCACAGTCTAGTTTAAGCCGGCGGCACGAGATACGAGGCAAGTTGGCGGTGACTGGTCGAGAGTCGCGATCTCTGAACAACTTCGGTCTGCGAGCTGTGCGCGTATTCTATCAAATTCCGCGCCCAAGTCTCGGATTCACGATGCTCGCCTGGTCACGCGACACGATGTCTCTCTCTCGCTCGCTCTCTCTATCTTTGATGATATTCCGGCATGATCGTCGTTCCAGTATTAATCCAGCTGGTTCCCACAGCGGACACGCGGGTTGCTAGATGGGCAATGGGTGTAGGGAAGAGGCTGGTCGGAAGACGCATGACATGAGCTGATTATTGCATTGTATCCAGGACTGCGGGCTTGTTTGGTGGATCGAGGATCATGAGGGAAGAGTGGCAAGATCCAAGATAGGTTGTTGTAGTGACATACAACGTACAGGTATACAGCAGGCAAGCATGTAATCAAAGACTAGGAGGGACAGTAGTTGAGTTCTGGGCCCGAAGATGCCGCCGGATGCCGCAGCAGCCTCCCTCGTCGTCGAGGTGGACCGTGGTGGGGCGTGCGGCCGAGTGTGTCCAGTCAGCGGACGGCATGCATCAGCGTGTCCAAGTCGGCTGGATTGGGAGAGAAGTCGGGAAGGGAAGACTACCTATGCGCTCACATGGTTTGGCCTTCTTTACCATCATCTCTCCGACTTTTATACACTGCGACCGCCGCCGCCGCCCTGTGCTTCACTTCCATCATGCCATCCTTCCTTCTTCTCCCTCCTCGTCCTCCTCGTCCTCCTCCTCTCTGCGTCCGCAACAGGCCCGGCCCTTCCTCCTCCTCGTCCCGGATCTGGACAATTGCAGTTGCGTCCAGCTCTGATGACAGCACGCCACGACGTGGCTTGCATAAGGTCAGGTAGTTCCATAGCACGCACGCGCCAACGGGAAGCGCGTCATTTGGAAGAGTCTGCCAGCAGGGAGAACCACCACAGACATACCTAGGGAATCTCGGGACCTGAGCAATATTACCTCCTAGTACTCACCAAGGCACCAACATCTCCCAAGCAACACGAATAGATAGAAGCGTTGATTATTAATTGGAGGATTCAAGATTATGGCACTTGCCGACCGGGGCGCCGGGCACGAGGACATGGACGACTTCTACTCTAAAAACGCTAGAGCCTCGGAAGGTCAAAGCTCAGCAACTTCCACTCTACCCGCTCTTCCATATCGCGATTCGTTCGATGACGACGACGATGATGATCATGATGATGATGATGAGGAGGACACGACAGACTATTACTTGTCGGAGCGTTGGAAGCAGAGACCATTTGTGGGTTATGTATTCGAACTTCTGGGCATGAGCGTTCGCAAACGAAGGACACCGAGCACAGATCATGATCGATTGTGTTCGAAGGATGGCGGACTGCAAAAAGGAAAGCCGAGGCAGACGTCTCCGCGAGACGTCCGAAGACATCGGCGAGGAAGAACAGCAGCAATTGTAAAGAGAGCGTGTCTTGCACTACCAGTCGTGGTGCTGATGTTCTTGTGAGTGCAAATGCGTAAGCTCGTTTTGGTGGAGATAGCTGCTGAATTGTTCCAGTGGAGCCTTGCACTTATTGCAAGTACTCTTGGGGCGAGCACGATTGCTCTGGGACCTAGACTTCTATGAAAACTTCCTACCTGACTGGGCCTCACCTGGACGAGCTGGCGAGGGCCTTGCGCGCTACCCCACAGATGCAACGAGAGACGTGATTCCAATCCGGTGTCATTCCCACAACGACTATTGGCGAAAAGTGCCGCTATACGATGCGCTGCACTGGGGATGCACTGGAGTCGAAGCAGACGTCTGGCTCCTGAATGAGGAACTATATGTTGGCCATAACACTGCCTCGCTCACGAGGAAAAGGACGTTCCGAAACCTTTATGTCAATCCCTTGGTAGCTTTGATCGATACCATGAACCCAAACAATACTTTCGGGACGACATCTCGCCACGGCGTCTTCGATGAGGATCCTGATCAAAGCCTTGTTCTCCTCGTCGACTTCAAGACGAGTGGCCGCGAGACGTATCGATATGTCCAGAAGCAAATCTCCGCACTTCGAGAAAAGGACTACCTTACCTACTATGACGGAGAAAAGATACACAAGCGTGCTGTAACAGTCGTAGGAACGGGCAATACTCCTTTCGACTTGGTCGTCAACGAAGGTCAACGTCGCGAGATCTTCTTCGATGCACCCCTCGATCAAATGTGGGAACCAAAACGAGGGCACGATACGCGGACAAAAGAGGACGATGCTCTATATATTGCCCCCACCAAATTGTGGGGCAAAAGTGGCGGAGGACAAGGTAATGAAGGAACCGATTTCGTGACTTCTGCCGACGACTTCAATACTACCAACTCGTATTATGCGAGCGTGTCGTTCGCCAAGTCCATTGGGTTCGTCTGGCGAGGGAAGCTGTCTCATAAGCAGCTGGAGAAGATCAGAGCTCAGATTCGAGGTGCAAAGAAGAGAGGATTGGTGGTGAGGTACTGGGATACGCCGAGCTGGCCTATCAACCTGCGTAATTATATTTGGCATACTCTGATGGCTGAAGTAAGTGAATCTTAATGATAATCATAATACCTGGACCACGCGGAGAGGGCGGGAGATGATGGAAGACTGACTTGCTGACGAACGACGACTACGATAGGGTGCGGATATGCTCAATGGAGACGATCTCAAAGGCATGGCAGTGGAGAATTGGGCGGCACGCGTTCATGGTCTCTGGTAGAGACAGGAGCTGTAGACGACCATCTGAGTATATCGAGTTTCTTCTTCTTCTGATTGTTCTTCTTTGGAAAGAGATACCCACCTGAGCGTACAGCAAAAAGTACTGGAACTATATAGCCTGCTGACACAGACGCGGAATGGAATCACGGAGCACATATCGATAAAACGCTAAAGCTGCAAACACCACCGCTCTGTACATGGAATACTCTCTTCATCTCACACTTCGCCTGTCCTGAACAAGGGTATGAGTTTTGCACATCATGGTGGCCATTCATTGTCCTGTTTCTCTCACCAACTTGTTCTCCATCTATTTTCCAGGCCCGGCTCCCTGCTCGTCAGGGAAGAAAGAGACCCAAAGGAAGGGGACATCTACTCGTCGTGTACACTCTCATCCTCCCCTTGATCAATGTCTTGGGGCTCTGCCTCCGAATCTTCATCGTCTTCAATCTCATCGTCCACTTCGTCTTCGGCGACAATGGCATTACTCTTAGGGTTTGCTTTGCCTTTCTTGGGAGCACCATTTGCAGCGGTGTTGGGCTTGGTCTTTGCTTTGCTCTTGGCCGCACTTTTCTTCTCTATGCGAAACTTGTCCAAGTACGCGACGACTTCCTTGAAGTTCGGTCCAAGCTTGCTTTTGTTGCGCTCAATTCGCCTCCGTATCGACTTGTCAACAAGGACACCAGCAGCATCAGCCTGAATGATCTTGGCTGTGAGAATGCAGAGTTTCTGTTCAGCGATCAGAGGTCTCGCAAGCTTGGCGTCCCGAGCTTGCTGCGACATTTGTGTCTCGGGCTCATCTTCATCGTCCTCGGATTCAGACAGCGGATCAGCATCGATTGGATCCGCGTCCACGTCCATCTCCTCGTCGTCTTTGACATGTTCTTCCAATTTTTTGCCGCTCAGTCTGGCGAAGGCCTTTTCTAGAATGGCGAAAGTTTTCAGCACAGCCTGCTCGGATTCGGGTTCCAGTTCCATAATGAGGACAGTATAGTCCTCACTTACGCCAGCCTTTGCGTTTACAGTGCGTAGGACGGCACCTGACGTGTATAGATCCAGTAAAGAGCCAGTCAAGGAGTAACGAACAGATTCACTCGGCTTTCGCCCATCCAGAACCATTCTGATGTTTTCGACGTATGCATCTCGCCGCTCGCACAAAGGTTCCAGCACTCTATCTGTATCGAGCTCAGAGGTCGCCCCTGTCCTAACAGCAGCGGCGAGAGCTGAAAGTTTCCATCGAAAGTAGAACAATGCAGCTTCTGCAGCACGCGCGACCACTATGTCCTCCAGCGCTGCCTCCTCGGGCTCGAGCTCCGGCCCGCTGGAGTGCAAAGCACGTTTCAGCAAGCCGATGATGAAGTCGATAGTACCGCTGGAATTCTTGTCAGTCGCAGGATTACTCAGCACGTGGCTCTCATCTTCAAGAGCAGCCACTGGACTAGAGATAGTTGCCAGCCGCACAATGCGGAGTAGGTTATTACCCAGTGCAACGAGCTCCTCCTCGGTCAAAGCTCCACGCACAGTCAAGGTATTCACATTGATAAGCTCGTTGATGTTATTGACCACGTCATCCCACAGGCTCGATATCTTCTCCATTGCGGTGTCGTCGAGTTCGCCGTATGCCTTTGCGTGTAGGATCGCGTTGGTAGCTGGTCCAAGCACCTCGTCTGTACCGTGGGACATGAATTGCTTGTGAAGATCATCCAGAAGTGCACCGTTGACAGTTGGGTCCTGCCGCAAGCTGCGAAGAGCGGGGATTGTGAAGACGCCTTCCAGGCGTAGCACTGCTGCAGCAGTGCCTGGCATATCGCCGAACTTCTTCAGAAGTCTTGGGAGGCTATCCGTGAGGTGTCGAACGTTCTCCTCAAGCTCTTCTTGTAGGTCCTCTTTTTGTTTCTTGGTGAGCTTGCCCTTGGCGTGGTGCACGTGCTGCTCAGCTAGATCGCTCAACTTTCTTCTGACAGTGGCATTCAGACCTTCCAGTAAGATGAGCTCTTCTTGCTCAGTCAATGTACACTCATGCTTCAGCCGAGACAAGGTATCATTACCGACACCATTTGCTCGACCTACTGAGTGATCGAACAGCAGGTAGCCAGCCAGACTCCGCCATTCTTCCAACTCAGGGAGTCTGTCGTAAATTGCACTGATCGCTAGAGTGAAGCGAGATTCAGTGCCGACTACGTTGATGATGAGACTGCCATCCGTTCCACTGCGCTCAAACTGGCTGGAGACTGGATCTTCGCTATCGTACGATTGCAGCATCTCAGCAAGAGACTTGAGCTGCAGCCATGCAAGTTGCGGCGTTTCAAAAGTGCCAGGACCAACCTCTGGCAGTTCTTCCTCGAGCTTTTCGATGCCCCCCAGCTCATCCAACTTGGCACTAAAGAGATCCTTGACATTTTCAGAAAAGAATCCTGCGACCGCCTTGCGGACTCTGATCTCGTCGTGGAAAATGAGACGGCCAATAGCATCGATGTCATCTGGTTCGAGCAGATCACTCTTCCTCAACATATCTAGCAGCTCGATACCCGCAACTCGCACGCTCATGTCAGCATCAGAGGTTCCGATTTCGACAAGGCGTAGACGGAACCTCTCCGTGAATGTCCTCAGTCCCCCAAGGTTATCGGTATCGTGGTACATACGTCGCAGCTGCTTGATGACTTCGAGCCGACACAACGCCTGCGTGTCACTGAGCACCCAGCCAAGATAGCGGAGGTGATTGCCATTCAGAAAGTGTTCCGGCTTCGCCATGGCCCAGTCTCCCATGGCTTCGGAACACTCGCGACGGATCAAAGGGTCCACATCGCGGTAACGATGGATAAAAATCGTGTCGAACCAGTCTTTCAGCAGAGCTTCCATATACTCGAGATCATCGTTGGCCTGCTTGACCTTTGCCTCGACGTCCTTGACCCGCTGCACGTTGACTCTCTTTTTCTTCTGCTCCGCTGCGACCTGCCTTTGAAAATTGGGCAATTGATCAGCCAGCTGTGTCGAAATTTCGCACAATGCAGTCACCACGCTGAGCGAGAGGACAGTCGCGGTGTGTCGGAATGAACGATCAGATGCGGAAGACATGGTGGAAAACCACACACTGATGTTTTCCAACAGCTCCGGATTTTCGATCAAGAGACCTGCTGCAGAGATAGATTTGATCAACTGTTTCATGAAGTTTGTTATGTTCTGTCGAAACAAGGTGCCACTTTTTCCCTTCGCGATCAGAGGGTAGTCGGTTGGCTGTGAAGCTTGATGTTCCGTCTGCAGGTCTCGCAACTTTTCCGTGACCCCATCTGGATCTTCAATATCATGCTTGGTTACTTTAAGGCTACACCCCGCAGACTTGATCAGGAAGTTGATCACGTCTGTCAAGGCGACTGTCTCGTCGTCTTTGAAGCTGGCCAGCCACTGTGCGACCACCTCGTCCGCCGGCTTGTTTCGCGCAAAAAGATCTGCATAGATGCCGCCAGCTGCTTCAGCATCCGCACCATCTATTCCCTGAGGCTTCTTTGGGGGGCGCTTCCGTGCAGATGGCTTTGCAGTGCTCCGTATAGGCAGCGTCACCCCATTTGTCTGCGTTCTCGCTTTCTTCTGAGGCGGCTTCTTCGCCGCCGCGGCTTTCTTCACTTGACGCGACTTCTTTGCCCTTTCGCGCATCTCCTCCTCGTCAGGTTCGTCCTCGGGGTCATCCTCATCATCCGAGTCGTCATCGTTGGCGTCGTTGTCGTCGTCGTCAACCATGTCCTCATCTCCATTGGCGTCTGTTGCGTCGTCGCGTTTCCGCTTGGCACCTCCGTATGGGCTGGAGGTAAAGTGTTGCGGTTGTTTTCTCACGCGTCCAGAAGCGCGTCTGATGGCTCCATCCCCACCTGTTGGCGCCGGCGACACTGATGCCGACATTGCTGTTCTCCCAAGGTCGTCTCGAGGACGCGTTTATTGTTTGCGACCGGCTCGCTCGCTCACGCGCGCCCTGAAGGTCGCGTCGCGTGATTCGTGGAAAGGTGCGGATGACGACGGTGTCAAGTTGAGTGAACCAATTCGTTCCAGACGCGTAGAGTGATGTTAGCGATGCGCATGCTAGAAGAAGCTAGGTGGTTGTGGTGCTGGAGGGAGTGAAGTGAGTCGCAGTCGGTATAGCAGGTGGTAGGTGGTAAGTGGTAGGGTACAACGTAAGGCACCTGAGTGTTGAAGTCGGCCCCTCATTAGTTGAACAACATTGAATAATTCACGTCGACATGGAAGGCGCGTCAAATGCACTGACCATTACGAAAAGTGGAGCCTCGGGAAGTCAATTCTTAGCGATCACTCCGAGGCCACCTCCACTCTATCATTTACATGAGGAGGTACTTATACATACCTCGTACATACCTCGCAGGCAAGGTTTACCTACTCACTCACTTATATACTCCCGGTCCCTCCTCCCATCCCTCCCCCATTCACTCCACCACCGTCTTCGGATTCAAGTCCTGTCGGCGGCGCCCGCGAGTCTGATGCAAGATGCTGCTGCTGCGATAACACCTTCGGCACGGGACATGGCGTTCGTGAACAACCCATTCTCCTCGCCTCCTTCAGCTCCTGGACACGGCACCATACATCTGTCCCTTCTGCCGCCCAACACTCCAAGGCTTCGTACGGTGCACTACCAGTATCCGCTCAAACTGGTCTCGCCAGCTCCTGTGAGAATCGCTCATGGAGCTGCCGAACTGATCCATACTGTCTACCTTCTCACCTACGGCGGTGGCTTGGTGGCCGGCGATGTCATTGACCTTGATGTCATCCTGGAGTCCCACACGCGCCTCACGCTACTCACTCAAGGCAGTACCAAACTCTTCAAGTCCATCAGCAGTGATGTAGTAAGCAGGCAGACTATGACCGTGACTCTTGCGCCGGGTGCAGCACTCTGCTATTTACCCGACCCAGTTCAGCCATTCGAGAAGAGCTGCTTTGAGCAGAAGCAGGTCTACAACATCACTGTTCCTGATGATCCTGGACTTTCTCGTGGAAATCTCTGTGTTCTTGATTGGGTGTCAAATGGTCGACCAGCCAATGGCGAAAATTGGTCGTTCTTTCGATATGGCAGTCGCAATGAGGTCTACCTGTGTCAGCCAGCTGGAGATCGCAGACTCTTGTTGCGAGATAACCTGATGCTCGATCAGCGAGCTCTACAAACTAGTGTGGCTCACAGAATGGATGGTCTCGCTGTATACGGCACCTTGGTCGTTTATGGCAGTATGTTCACTGCTCTTGGCAAACATTTTGCACGAGAGTTCAAAGCGTTGCCGAGGATTGGCGGCCAGAAGTGGGACAGCGGCAGTGATGATGAGGAGAGCATGACAGATCCTGTAATCGTCAATCGACTTAAAAGGCAACGCATGGAGACTGCCAGCAAAGTGCTATGGTCTGTGGCATCTGTGCGAGGCTGCACAGTGGTTAAGTTTGGAGCGCCAACAGTCGAAGCGGGACGACGCTGGCTGTGGACTATGCTGAGTGACGAAGGCAGCATTGTTCATCATTTTGGTGAACGAGCTCTGCTCTGCCTACGTTAGTTAGCTCCACTTCCACTTCCGCTTTCGTCTTTCCATTGAAACGTTAGACCAGACAGCTCCAGGCATGTGGTTTCCCTACAAGATGAGTAGCTCGATATCTCGCAAGAGATGGACCATATCTGCACAAGACCCGTCGCTGGAAGCTCTTCTATTTCTAACCCGATCGCTCTGAGACGATGCGTCTCCATACGCAGGGGAATTGACTAACATTAGACAGCCACTGCAAAAGTGCATTAAAGCGCATCAGATTGCACCCACAAACTCTTCTTCTTCTTACTGTGAATCGCACTCTACCTGGGAATCATCCGCCTCTCCAAATACACATCAAAAATCTATACCTCTGGCCATCCTGGAGCGCCATGCGCTTCCAGCTCCTTATTCGTCCATTGCCACAAGTCATCGGTCAATTTCTGGTCCACAGCGTACTTACTATCATCCTTGGGCTTCCCAAACGTCCCCTGCGCATAATACCTCCCATTCTCAATCAGACTCTTCTCCGCCGTACCCAACCACAGGCCCGGCTCAGCTCCTTTATCACAATCGACGCCTGTCAACCACACCACAGGCGCGAGAGCCCACATGATCCACTTCATCCCTTCGGCTTTCTCCCAGATTTCACTCTTCACCGTTCCCGGATGGAACGATGTGGTGGTGATGCCGGGATAGACCTGTGCGAGTTTGCGCGCAAACAGTATGTTCGCCAGTTTCGAGTGCCCGTAGCGGGTGATGCTGTTCATCCCGGATGCCTCGAGTGTCTTCATCGTATCGAGATCTGGAACCAGACCGGTCTTCGGAATGAAACTGTGCCCACCTCTCGAGGACGTGACAACAATTCGCACATCTGCATCTGGCAGCTTTTGTGTTTGTAGGAGTTTAGGCATGAGCAGTTGGCACAATAGTGCATGACCCATATGATTCACGCCTGTGATGGTATTAGAAAAAGAAAATAGGAAAAATTTGCCCCAAATATCGTTTTTTTTTTCTTTTCTCTCTTTCTGATACCACCTTAGGTAGGTACCTGTAGGTGTAGGCCAGGTAAAGTGAAAAGGCATAATAATAAAAAATCCTCACCAAAAGTATTCTCATACCCTTCCTCCGTCAACCCGGGCGCCGTCCCGGAAATCCCAGCATTCAAATACAACTGATCCAAACGCCCATTCCCATTCCCATCATCATCCAAAAAAGCCTTCGCACACGCCCGAATACTCTCAAAGGAATTAAGATCGAGTTGCAAGGCCCGAATTTTCGCTCGAGGAAATTGCTGTTGCAGATTCGCAATCACCGTCTCTGCTTTACGGGGAGTGCGAGCGCAGAGATAGATACAGGAGGGTTGGTGCGCCGCCAGAGCGTGGACGATGCTAGCTCCGATTCCGGCATTGCCTCCTGTGACGAGAATGACTTTGCCGCTGAGGTCGGGTATGTCGCGGGCCGGGTGGAAGGATGATGGTTGGGGAGGAGACATGGTGGATCTTTCTTGTGACTTTGGAAAACTTTTTCTTGAGGCGGAAATAGAGGCGAGATGGCTATGATATCTTGCTTACTGTAGGCTGGCAAGTGTATGTATACATGATACGAGGGTTCAGAGGAATGTACATGTACGCCACATGATTCCTACAGTACCACGTTGACGTGCAACCAGCCAGCCAGCCAGCCAGCTACCTACATACCATTGGACGGCTACATTCAACATATGCGCCTCGGATGTGGATTGTGGACTGATAGATAAGGTACATGTAGGCTTGAAGTGTGTGTATGCCATAGGATCGCACTGCTGTCATGACATTGCGCTGCGGAGCTTATACAGAGACACTAAATAGAACCGAATCTTGTGTGCAGTTGGCATTCTAATACCCTTTGGACGTAGAACACGATGCAGGAGTGCGGAACTAGATTAAATCACACTTCCCTTGACATGACCGAAATTGTATGTGCAGAAACCCACCTGCGAGTCGACCGACCTCTCCCATGCCAAATTCGCACTCAAAAAAAGACCCATACGCCACGCTAAGCACACTGACATGTATCCAGTCAGCAGGTGAAACGCTCGTCTACAAGCACAGCAGCCATTATGAGTCCATGTCGTGCTGAGCAACGTCTGGCCTGCTCCACCAGGCATGAGTCCATATATAACAACGACATTACAAATCCTTCCTCGCCCGTATTCCCTTCTTTCTCGGTAACCCGAGCTTCTTCCTGTCTTTCCTGTCGCCCTCGGCCAACCACCTGCTGGCCTGCACCAATTGGACGACGTTGACGTATTGCTTAAACAGCATGACTGGAGCTGAAGCAGCAAAGATGAACCATGGGATATTGGAGTCCATCTTGTTGGCGCGAGCATATTCCATGGCGGCTGCGCTGAAGGGGTTGGAGAAAAGGAGCGATGGGGTGGGCTGCAAGGGTGATGTTGGTGTGGTTTCGGTGGGCAGCCTTAAGGCTGGGGTGATGAGAGGCGAGCTGAAGCAGAGCAGATAGAGACCGATGAAGCAGAGTTCATTCAGCGCGCAGGCAACGAACAGCACAGTCTACAGACCACGTCAGCAGGAGTCCGATGCGGGAAGAGAGTCGCTGGGAGATTGCATACCTTGTTGGTATAGTAGAGATTCATGATCCAACTCCGTTTCGCATCTACGTTCTTGTGGCTTTGCGTCTGTCCGCCCATGACCAGAGTCGCATACATGTGCATGTAGTGACTGGCAAGATCCAACGAGATGAGCAGCTGGAAAATGACACTATATGCGGGTTTGGCAGTGGCCAAAAAGACTAGCAGACAGGTGGTGGTACAGCGATCTGTCACCATATCCAGCACCGCTCCGAACCGTGTGCTTTGCTCATACTTTCGCGCTGCGATACCATCGGCAGCATCCAGCAGACAGGAGATGGAGTAGAGGAAGCTGCAGCGGCGCGGATGCAAGGGCATAAAGTAGAGCGACGCGATGGCCAAGACGATTCTCGAGTAGCCTGACCGGGTTGACAATCAGTACGCTGCTCTGGTGCTGGCGAAAGGAGGTGTACTCACCAATCAGGTTGGGAATGAAGAGAAATATGTTCTCATTCGTTTCCTCGTCATCGTCGTGTGCCACGCCGCCGGAGGGTTTCGGGTGTCCATTCTGTATGAATTCGTTGGCATGCGCCAGCTCTTTCTCGTCAACGACGTCCTGTACCATTCTGTCTGCCCGTCTTTTTTCTCCTGCCCGTGCCTGGTGGAAGAGTAGAGCTGCGCGCTGGAAGGTTAACAGTACCAAGCTCGACGGGACGTTGCGGCAGCGGTTGGTCTTCGGGCGCCACACGTCTTATCGCAATCGCGAGAGCTGTGAGCCCGGACCGTGTACAGCTACTCAGTAGATCTATCTCGCCCAGTCCTGGTCCACGATAGAGAACGTGTCGGGGGCGCGGGCAAGGCGCTCTGAGCGGGCGATAGCGTTGGCAAGTATGCTGAGAAGAAGGATACAGTAGTAGCACCGGAGGGGAGATGGTCGAGGCGAAAGGAGCGTGAGGATGATGAGAAGACGAAGAAGAAGAAGACGACGACGACGACGGGACGAGACAATGGTGTGCGTGTTCCTTGGTCTCTGGTACGACTGTGAGGTAACTGCATGTGCATGATCAAATCGTAGGCCGACAGGGGTTCACTGCCGGAGCTTCCTGAAGCTTGCCTGCACGCTCGAGCACGTTCTGCTGTTGAGACTGGAGAGAGCATCAACCATAAGGTAACCATACCACAATACATATTAATTGGCGAATATTGCAACACCACGACATTCTGTGATTGGACTAACAAAATACATGCTCTGTTTCTATGGTCGACGGCAACCAGCAGCACGCACACCCTCACCGACGGGCGGCCCAGCACCATCCATCACTCAGTCACTCACTCACTTCGACCAAAACTCAGGTTCCCTTCCCCGGAAGAATGAAGACGCTAAACGTTTGCTATCATGCCACGTACGGTTTAGCGCAGCTTGTCAGACCCCTGGCGAGGCTAGGCTATGCTGGGCTCGGCTAGTTCAGCAGAAGCAACGCAACCTGGAAGGTGCAGGTGTCATTGATCAAGCGCATCGCACCGACGCACCATGGCAGCGTATTGTACCTTCTAGAGCCTCCAACGGACCGGAGAAACTTCAATTCCCAACTTTCTGGAAGATCTGGTTGTTAAGGTAGTTTGGACGGAGCGGAGCTCTGGATCTGGGTTGAGAACTTGAGGCCATAACCTAGATAGCTCCCTAGGTAGTTTGCACTTTGCAGCTTCCTCCACTCTCTTACCGCAGATTCTGCATTGCACCTCTTCCTTTTATTGCTGGCACTGCGGCAGCCTTGATAGCGAACGTGACGAGACGGTGGAGTGAGGAACCAGGTGGCAGGTGGCGGGTTCAGGAGATCAGGAATCACTCCACGTCGGCGGGAGAAATGAGATCGCGGTAGGAGGTAGAACTAGACGCGTTTGAAGCAAGATCAGGCAAACGCGCAGGACATTCTAGAACGAACAAGTGACGAAGTTGGGTCACACGAACGATGCCACTCCCTTCGAGAGACTATTACCGATGGCTTGGTAATATGAAGGAATTCTACTGGAACAAGAAAGGTGAGTGCAGTGCACCTGCCTTTGTATTGTTCGCATGAGCACGCAAGGCAGGCACTGCCTAGAGACTCACTTTCTCGCACCTTTGTACCTGTACCTGCAGCCTACCTTACCTACACACACTATAATACTTCAGGTTTCCATCTTCCTGAAACACCCATGGCTTGGCGCTGACAACATGGCCTGGACCACAGAACCGCCGCCGTCGATATCAGAGCGAACCGCTCTGCTCTGCGGACTCCTCTTTACCGCCTTCTTCGTCGCGCCCTTCTACCTCAGTCCGACCCTACGCGCCACCCCTCTGACCTCGCGCGATGCACCCGCAGTCATCAAAGCGCGAGTTCGCGCAGTTGGGCTCAGTTGTATTGCGTCGACCGTTGTCACCGTCTACGTCCTGGTGTCTTCCGGCCATTCCACTCCACGCGATGTCTTACGGTTGTTGGCCGTCTGGCCGATAAATCTTCCCGATTGCGCCAAGACACTGGCGTTGTTATCCATCCTCTTCATCGGGCCGTTGTACGAAACGATTCTCGTGGACTCCGGATGGCGGCAGTGGAATCTCGCGACCTTCAAGGACCGATTTTTCACAGATCTACGAGGTTTGAGAAACAACGTCGTAGCTCCGTGGGCTGAAGAATGGGTCTTTCGCAGTCTGGTTGTGTCACTCTATCTCGTGGCGAAGGTCTCCCCTACCCGGATCGTGTTTACCACGCCACTCATATTTGGAGCAGCGCATGTTCATCATCTTGTTGAGTTCGTCATGAGTGGAACGGCATCTGGCCAGAGCTCATTCGGCAAAATCCTTCTCCTCGGCTTGGCCAGAAGTTTCTTTCAGTTCACCTACACGACACTCTTTGGATTCTTCGCCGCCTTCCTCTATCTCCGGACGGGAAATGTCTTTGCAGCAGTCACAGCGCACACTTTCTGCAACTTCATGGGGTTTCCACGGGTTTTGGGGAGGGTAGGTCAGACGGAGGATTATCAGGCCTACGAAATGACACCAGACGTGGCACAAGGCAAAAAAAGTGATGATGGAGGTCAGGTCAGAGTCGGCAACAGTTTGATGCAAGACAAGGACGAGGGCGGGAACGCAACAGCAGGCCTCGAGGGCTTGAAACCTCGCGGCCTTGGTGTGCAATGGACGGTACTATACTACATGCTACTTGTCGCCGGCTCTTATGGGTTTTACGAGCTGATCTGGCCGCTGACGGAGAGCTCGAACGCGCTCGCTTCGTTCTAGGGAGACCTTGCCGGGTCAAAGTTCGTGCCTCTTGTCGTCCTGTTCGGAAAATGTGTGGTACCTAGCGTATGGAGTCTCTTGCTGAAGATTACGGGACAGCCACCAGATATGAAGGGCATGGACCTGCTGCACGTGGGTGTAGCTTGATTGTGATTCAGATGACCCAAGTGAGGGGTCCACATCACTGTATGTCTGCTTGATAGAGCCAAAACTGTCCCCGAACGCCTTTCGTACCCGCTTGAACGCTGAATTTGCTTGAGCACTGGCTGCTCTACTGATCATCATCGTTTGCGCTGCCATCTCGCCTGAAATCAACCAGTCAGTCTTGTCTCCGCCTGAGCGTGCAACATATTGGCACAAGCCATCCTGGTTGATACCACAAGTGGATCCGTATTTCGCCGGGGTCACTTACGGGATATATCGTATTCCTGCATTCTCAGCGGCAGCGACGTAATCTTCGGGGAGCTACATGTAATGTTCAATCAGCACTGTAGTCGTCACACTGCCAATGGCATCCCGAGCGAGTTGCCAAGTGTAAGTCTTTGACGTCCCCGTCAAGATGAGGTTGTTGCAACAACTCACCAGTCCATTCACTTTCGTCGCATAGACACCGGGGACATAGCCTTGAATCCGCAACCACCTGCTGACCCAGCCCGTACTCGTGTCATTGACTGTGACGAGCCCTTCGAAGACCTCGCTCGTGCAATCACCGATAGCGTCGCTGCTGTTGCGCAATTCGAGAAAGTCCTCGCAGTTGGGGCATCCGGTTTTGGACCACTTGTTTGCCGCCTGGACAAACGAGCACACGAGACAGGCGCGGAGGCCACGTGGGACTTGCGACATGATGGGGAGATGTGTCTGGGTGGTGGATTTCCTTTGGATATGTAGTTTGATATAGAAGCAGAGGTAGGTAGGAGAGTAGAGGTAAGATGTTGATGTATGGAGGCTACCACACTGCATGTACGGTGTACCACTGGTGCAGTAGAAGTACTATGTACCTAGACAGTGGGGAAGGCGATCACAAAGCAGCAATAATGCTCGTGCTTTGACCAGGGTCGGACCACTTACGTCGCTTGTCGCTAGAGCAGCAGAGCTAATATCTTAGCCGGACATATTCTAGCTTACTCATGACTGGAACATTCCTGAGCTGAAGTTGAGAACCATTCACCACTCACCTCACCCACTCAACCACCATTCGATCCTCCATTTCCTCCCCTTCTCTCCCTCGGTCCCTAGTTCTCCCTTATCTCAGCACGATCATCAGAGCCCCCGGTAGAAACGACCCACGGTACTTCCGATCGCCACTGGGGCAGCCCACAATGGCGGCAGACGACGGCCTGGATGCGGTCGCGTTGAAAAACAAGGGCAATGATGCTTTCAAGGCAAAGGACTGGCCGACCGCGGTGGAATACTATACTAAAGCCATCGAGAAGGACGCTGGACAAGCTGCCTTTTACACCAATCGCGCACAGGCAAATCTCAAGCTCGAGGCATATGGCTATGCTATCGCTGATGCCACGAAAGCCATTGAGATCGACCCAGACTTTGTCAAAGCCTACTATCGAAGAGCTGTCGCCAACACCGCCATCCTCAGACATCACGATGCAATTCACGACTGGAAGATTGTGGTGCGGAAGAACCCTGGGGATAAGCTTGCGAAAGCGCAATACGATGCCTGCAACAAGATGGTCAAGCGGGATGCCTTTCTGAAGGCCATTGAAGTTGCGGATGCGCCTTCTGCTGCTGAAGGGCTTGACTTGGAGAACATGGTGGTCGAAGACGCATATGATGGAGTACGCCTGAAGGATGAGATGACACAAGAGTTCATCGATGACATGATTCAGCGCTTCAAGGATGGCAAGAGGATTCACAAGAAGTACGTCTACCAGATCATCCTGGCAGTCAAAGACATCATCTACAACGAGCCGACAATGGTGGAGACTCACGTCGAGTCGGATGTGAAGATGACGGTCTGCGGAGATACGCATGGCCAGTACTTCGACCTTCTCGAGATTTTCCGACTGAATGGCTTCCCTACCGAAAAGCACCACTATCTGTTCAACGGAGACTTTGTCGACCGAGGATCGTGGTCCTCAGAGATTGCACTTTTGCTGTACAGCTACAAGTGGCTGCACCCCAAGTCTTTCTTCCTGAACCGTGGCAACCACGAAACGGACGACATGAACCGAATGTACGGCTTTGAGGGTGAATGCAAGCACAAGTATAACGAGCGTGTCTTCAAATTGTTCTCCGAATCCTTCTCCGCGCTGCCACTGGCCACCTTGATTGGTGACAAGTATCTAGTCCTGCACGGCGGCCTCTTCTCGGACGATCAAGTCTCTCTGGACGATATTAGAAAACTCAACAGACACAACCAACGTCAGCCTGGCCAAGAAGGGCTTATGATGGAAATGCTCTGGACAGATCCGCAAACGGCGCCTGGCCGCGGTCCTTCAAAACGTGGTGTTGGTCTCCAATTTGGTCCGGATGTCACGCAACGCTTCTGCGAGAAGAACGGTCTAGAGGCTGTCATTCGAAGTCACGAAGTCCGCATGGATGGCTACGAGGTTGAGCACGGTGGAAAGTGCATCACCGTCTTCTCAGCCCCCAAGTACTGCGACTCTACCGAAAACAAAGGTGCCTACATCAATATCGAGTCAGACTACAAACTGCAATTCAACCAGTTCGACGCTGTGCCACATCCGGACATCAAGCCCATGGCATACGCGCAGAACCAGATGCAGCAGATGATGGGCATGTAGAGGAAGACCCTTCTACATTGAACACATCATCCTCGTTCCTTCACACGGGCGCTCATGTGTACAGCAAGTGGGGGATGGATATGGAAATCGCTTTTACTTCAATAGCAGAGACCTTCTTGCATGGTGGTTGGATATGCTTGTCTTCGCAGCAAGGAGTTGGCGGCGCTGCTAGAGCTCAGCGGCATTTGCCTGGTATGGTGACGACTACATGATGGACGGGTTGCATGAATAAAGTAGTGGCTGTTGGACATGGGATTGTCTCTCGATACAGCTTTTTGGATGTGCATTGGGAACTGTTCACGAGAGACACGATCGGAGTAGGGGGAGCCAGCTTCAAGAGTGACCAAAGACGATGTCACCTTCTGTTCTGCTGGGTCACCCGGTATGGCATATTGGCGGTGCGGTATCTCACGTCAATTACGCATAGCGGCAGCACTTGTATAGCACGTACCAGTATTCTCGGAGAATATACAATAAAATATATCACCGACAGATGGATGGTCACTGGTCTCTTCTCTCAAGTATTTATTCCTTCATAATAATTTATGTACTTTTGGATTTGTCTGTCCGCTTCTCTTCACTACCCAAGGTGCCGTAGGTAGGTAGATATCTACAGTGCTGCTGGGTTGGAGGTTTGAGCTGCTGCCCACCTTCACCACTGGAGCTCAAAATCATCGTACGTACTGCTTAGAGCACTTGAAACGGGCCCGAAAAAAATCTCATAATGTCGAATTGTCGAGGTCGAGGAAATCATTTGACATTGCCAAGAGTGAATAACATGAATTGGCTGAATACAAATATGAACATAAGGTAAGGTAAGGTAAGGTAGGTAAGGATTACCTGTAGCTTGCCACCGCAAACTCTCTCCTTCGGGCTGCTGCTTGGTCTTTGGGTTTTTTTTGCAATCAGCAATAAACTGCAGAAACATGAAGCGCTGTACTGTAATCAACTATCAACCGACATGTAATCAATCATTCATCAACACAACCCTTTTTCCCTGTTTCCTGCACAAAAGAAAAAAAAAAGAGGCCCAGCTTCATGGGGTTGGTTTTCTTTCCAATATCGTCATCCGCACCACGGCGTCTCAAAGGTAAGGTATAGGTAGGTAGGTAGGTATACATGTACTGTTATGTCGCGCACGCACGAGGTGGATTCTGAACGGGAGTCTGATCACGGGCCTGCCGGAAGTACTCTCCACTGAGCGACATTTCCAGACTCATAGTTCGAGAACGTCTCTTATTAGGACGATACGGTTTGGCTGGATGGCCGAGTGTATCAGGCGGAAGCGGTGGCTCAGGAGTATCGGTTTTGTTGATGGCAAAAACCACGCTTTTGCTTCTGTTCCGCCGCAGATCCGTGAGCGAGCGTGATCGGGCTTGTTCAGTAGGTAAGGGTGGCGGCGGTTCCAAGACGACCGATGAGTCTCTGAGAAGCGCGCTACTGTTAGCATTTACTGATCCGCTCGCTAGATGATGCAGAGGAATTGCAAAACATACTTCCGCTCTGGGTATTTGGTGGGTGGTGTCCAATGGTGGACGTTCTGCTTTGGTTTTAACCACTCAAGCAGTTTCCCCGATCGGTGTAGCAGCCGTAGTATACCAGGACCGGTACGCTGCCATATCGTTGGAGGTCGGGGTGGCGGTCTGTTGTGTTTTGCATCAGCTACGGTGCAGTCATGCGGGCGTGAGTTCTGAGGAGTGCAACATACTGTGATGAGGGCAAAGGCCACTCGGTGGCAGCATCAGAAGTAGACGCAGTGTCCGCGTGCGTGCCCGGCCGAGGTGGAGAATCCATTTCATTCTGATATCGACTCCACAGCACACTGCCCACCATGTCCACGATCACCTCATCACCCGTCCCTTCGCCGCTCAGAGCGGACACGGGCAAGAAAGTGGCATCCACACGCTTGGCAAGCTCCTCTCCTCTCGCAAGCGGCACCGCCCATCCGCCTCTCCATCGGTCAACCTTCGACGCCACGAGGAAGACGGGCACGCGCCAAGGGTGTTCTCGTGGTATTTGAGAACGTACTTCGCACAGCTGGCCCGCAACGTCGAAAGACTGTTCATCTGTAACATCGTAGACCACCATATACGCCTCGTTGTACCTCCAGAAGTCCAGTAAATCCAATTCTGACATTCGAGACGGTTCGTCACTCATCATGTCGAATTGCACGTGGACATCACGTCCTTGTACGGCTGCATGCTTGTGCCATTCGAGCTCTGTCTTGGACGTGGGACTTCGTTCGCTCAGACTGCCATAGCAGAACTAGGTGGAGGGCGTGGAGGTAAGCAGAGGTACTCATATAGGTAGTCTTGTTGATCGCTTTGACGTTCCGAGACGCACTCTTCGCAGTATACTTCTCTTGCCCACATTCCCACATCCGAGGACGGCGATCCGGACGGTTGGAATATGCTGCTTGCTGTATAAGTATCGTCGCACATTCGAGGACTTGTCGGAGAGGTGAGCCATCGCGAGCGAGTGTGGTGGGACAGAAACAGGGAAAACATGGTGATAAGAGATGGGGCAGAGCTATTATTGTCCTTTCTTACTGTAGCTATAATATGCCATTGTGTCAGTCTACGGCAGCTCTGCTACAACGTCGTACGCTCACAAGTCATTGCCACAGTATGTGTGTTCATGGTATTTGACTCGGCGCAAGTTTCGAGTTTACCTCTAAGGTACGGAGGTATGCCCGTACAACGTTGTTGGAGGTAGCACTACCGCCCAACACAGCTAGCCGAGGTGGATCTCCACTCTCTCACATGCACAAGTCGATCATCGTCGTCGTCGAGTGAACAGGAAGCGGCTTCATTGGATGAGTTGAACCGCAACACACACAGCACTACCTAATTTCTCCTCTGCATATTGAGGATACCAGACTGGGAGGTCGCAGGAGACCACGCGTACGAGCATGACCGGCGCCATGCAGGGCCTCAAGCACGCCGCAGAACAGACCAAAGTGGTCGTCAAGCTACCGACGAAATGGATCCACATGTATGGCGACTTCATCACCAAGAACGCAGGCGCAGTGGGACAGGTCGAAGGCGCATTGCGATCTCTCACCTATCTCGCACCAGGAGGTATGCGCATGTCCGATGTGGGAACCGAAGGACTCAACTCCAGCCTCCAACTACTGTCGCTATACCATGACAACTTGCTCTCTCGTGCGCTGGCGCACACTCTACGAACACAACCGCGACACCAGAGTCCTCACAACCGATACACGAGATTCTATTGCCAGAAGAGCCCGACGTATCGAAGGATGGCGACCACCTTGACAGTCGTGCAATACACCGAGCTTCTGTTGGAGATGATGGCGAAGAGGAAGGGCGAGAAAGCGAAATGGAGACTGGTGATATTCCTCGAGGCGGTCAAAGCAGTTTGCAGGCTCATCATGATGCGCCTGACAAATTCGCGGCCACTGCTTACTCCTCCTCTGCCCGAGAGAGAGGTCGTAGAAGAGAAAGCCGCACCAGAGGAAGAAGAGCTATCCACACCACCGTCAGAGCCTTCAGAGCCCGGTAGCGAACAATGGACAATGCCTCGGACCTCCCTCACATTACCACCTCTGCCAGATGCGAACGATATATCTTCATACCTCTTATCGAAAGTGCTCACGGCAGACGACATCAAGCCTCCCAAGCAACTTGTCCATCGCACATCTGGATTTGGTGAGATCGCTGAAGTCATGTTCATTCTCCGGCCAGTAATTTACGCGACTGCAATGGCATACTGGTGCCAGCGAGAAGATGGCAGAGGCAAAGCGGACTGGAGACCTTGGTTGCTCGGACTGAGCATTGAATATGGCGCGCGTTCCCTTGCGAAGCGCGATCTTGACAGCAGGCGACCTGGAGGCGTGGCACGCGGTCTCACACAGTTGGAGCGAGAAGAGATCAAGAAGCGTGGGTGGTCACTCGCCTGGTGGACGATGCGAGGGGCGTTCTATGAGAACATTACGAGGACGATGATTCAAGGTGCGGCTAATAAGCTGAAGGGCAAGCCAATCTTGGACATGGTCGGAACGTTTATTGAAGACTACGAGTTCCTGTGGGATGAATACTACTTCCCGACGGCGACACTTTGAAGTGAAGCGGAGGGGGTATTCATATGTTCTTTGTTTTTCAGCGAGCGTTGATTGATGAGTACAGCGAAGGTATTGCCGTGTGGTTTCCAAGTATCACACTAACGGGATACCTATATCTATTATCTATGTATGCATGATAACACCATCTCAGCCGCTCGGCCATAACCGGGCGACTGATATTTACTTCTTTGTCTTCGATGACTGCTTTCTATTCCTTTGTGGCAATGCGTCACGTTCACAGTGGTGTGTGTATTTGCACTTCTGCAACTCTTGTCCAGATGACGAGCGTCATCAGCGAACCAACCGAAAGTGAAGAGTGCAGACTACAGTAAGCGTGAGTAAGGTACGACACTACCTAGGTACGGCGATAAACTCATAGTAGACGACTGGTGACTGGGTACATGTGACTCTTGAAGTGGGTCCCCCGAGCTTGTGCACCTGGCCTTGGACTGACCTTACCTACTGTTGCCTTCCCATCCCACCGAGCCACCTTCTCACATCTACTCCAACCTACCAAACAACAACACCAATAACACCGCCAACAACACCGCCAACAGGATCAGTCCTCTCTCCGCCACCGACACACAGCTTCCTCCGCAAAACACACCACTCCACCACCCGCCACTATGCGCTCCAAGTTTAAGGACGAGCACCCGTTCGAGAAGCGCAAGGCCGAAGCTGAGCGCATCCGCCAGAAGTACGCCGACAGAATTCCAGTAAGTCGCGCCATACACACACACACACACCCGGCCTCTCGGTGTCGCGAGCAGCAGCAGCAGTACTGACGGACCGCTGTACAGGTCATCTGCGAGAAGGTCGAGAAGTCTGACATCGCTACTATCGACAAGAAGAAGTATCTCGTTCCAGCAGATCTCACCGTGGGCCAGTTCGTCTACGTGATTCGCAAGCGCATCAAGCTCAGCCCGGAGAAGGCCATCTTCATCTTCGTCGACGAGGTCCTTCCCCCAACTGCTGCGCTGATGAGCTCAATCTACGAGGAGCACAAGGACGAGGACGGGTTCCTGTACATTACGTAGGTCTTCTCTCCCATTTCCTGGGTCCTCCGTGGAGTCACGACTAACGTGTTGACAGCTACTCGGGCGAGAACACCTTTGGCGAGTTTGCATAGAAGGAACACCTCAGTGCGACTACGACGACAATACCCGACCTCCATGACGCCCACTACGACTCGATACTTCTACGACTATTACCACCCACCGACCGGCACACGGCCTGGCTGCTCATGAGACGGAGGGTTTCTCTTTGGGACAGGGCGTTTGGGAGGGGCACTTCTGCTTGCTAAGACACGAATCTGATACGATGAAGACGCGGCACATGATCGGCTAGGCTGTGCACAGATGGCAGGCAGCCAGGCAAACCGGTCAATTTGAGCCCCAGACGGTCTGTCAATCTGTCTTCGCCGTCATCGTGCACTATGAAGCTACAGCATAGGGTAGCTGGGAGAGCATGTATCCTCGGTAGTAGCTAGCTATCTCTGCCATACCATAGCCTCTTCTGCTCGCAACCTTGCCCAGTCCTGCCATTTCATGCTATCCATTGCGTGCGGCGTGTAAATATACAGGTCTGCCGCAGACTTGTGCGTGTCTGTGTGTGTGTCATCTGATATGGCTGCTGACTTGCATGAAGTCTTACATTCGGTACATGTACATAAGTACAGTATGTAGGAGGTAGCTTATCGCTTCCCTTGACCGCTCTCTCTCTCATGCGGGGCGCGGGTGCGGGCGGTGCGTCATAGCTTTACCTCCTAGACCTTTTACTTCTCGGAGATTAGCGACGACGACTTCACGCGTGTACCTTCCAGGTTCCTTACTACACCTTTTTGAGCTCAGAGTTTCAAGTTCCAGCTCGCTTCACAAGCGACCGTCGTGGGAGACAGCGCATCTTCACAAAGAAGATAAGAAGATACAAAAAAGGGGAGAAAAAGAAGGAAAACAAATATACCATACCATGCCGCCCACATATCTCATTTCAAGGTATGTCATGTCTTTGGCTCGGTTACCTACATTTTACATGACACATTTACAAAAACAACACCACAAGCTCAACTCACTAATTTACTTTTCTGGTGTTGGGGTTCTTTCTAATAGATTCTTCGATCCCATTTTCGCCCTGAGCATCGGATTCACAGCTGCCGCAGTGAGAATTAATCGCGAAGAAAAGGAAAAGGGAAGGACGACGGAGCAGACGATGGAGGCGTTGAAGAAGAGGACGAGTCGGTTGGTTTTTGGGACTACTACTGCTGGTGGTGAGGCTGGGGCTGGGGCGCCTGTGGCGACATGATGGCGAGAAGAAGATGATCATGGGAAGAAGAAGATGAAGAAGATGATGGGGGATGAAGAGCAAGACACGGTTTTGGTGGGCTGGGTTGGGTTGAGTTGGGGATGATACAGACGTGCACACCCTGGGTTATGGATGTATGGAGAAGGGAAAAGAAAGGAAGATCAGGTATGGGAGGAGATGAGATGAGGAAAGGCAATAATGGGAGGAGTGTGTTCGAAGGGGTTGTTGGATGGAGTGGAAACGGCCACGCGGTGGGTCATAAAAGCAAGCGATATGACACGTGTTACTGGACAAGAGAAGAGAATGAAGGGGGGAGGTACACTCCATTTTCTTCATTGGTGATGGTGGTCTGGAAGTAACACAAACACCGCAGAAATGGGCCAAAATCACGCATTTTCCCAACCAAGAGGATGAGCTGGATCGCTGAGATGCTCGGACTCAAATTTCTTCTCCCGATCCTCGGAAAGAGACTGCCACTGTCCTGATTGAAAGCAGTGCTCCACCAACCAAGAAATCAATCAACCGGCTCAATAAAAGAAAATGCTGTGCTCGAATCAGCATAGTGCGTATGTAGACAATCTATAGCAGGGGAACCAACGAGCGCACATACCTCAAGAAAAGAGAAAAGACAGGTAACCAAATCATATACCCAAACCAAACTTCCAATCCAATCCCCACCGAGATAGAGAAGCCCCTTCACCGATAAAAGAAATTCTTCCAGCCCGAAGTACCCTTATAAATCCTCACCCGCCAATACAAATCGTCATCGTTGGGATTGGGCTTCTTGGCCTTGTAGTTCACACAACCATGAGGACACTCGCCTTCCACGTAAATGTCTTTGCCTTTGGTATCCTTTTGCCAAATGGTCTCATGGCCCTTGCCGACTTTATCGCGGTCTGCGTAGCCGCAGCGGTAGGTGAGATATTTTTCTTTGCAGCCTGTTATTATAGAGCAATGAATGCATCATGTCATTATCAGCTTGAGACTGCCGACAAGGGAAAATATAAATAAAATGTTTTTCGTCACTTTTGTGTACTTACCGCAATCCCAGCGGCGATAGCGGTAGAAGCACATTTTCTTTTTGCCTTTGGGGCTGGATACTAGCTGTAGAGAAAGTGGGTATCGTCCGAGTAAATATGCTTTTGGGAATTCTGTGCACTACGCGGTGTGGAGTGGAGTGGTGGATGTGTGCTTGTGTGTACCCAGGCAGGGCCGAGAGTGTCGCAAATGATACAATGTGGTATCTGTGTCCGTGTTCCATTGCATTAGTGAAATGGTGAATGGTTGCTAGGTAGCAAGCAGTGCGCTCTTGCACGTGACGCAAAGTTACAGGGCGCCATATGGTCGTTTGTCTTGTGAGCAAGTGAATTGGTTGGGACATTCACCCAATTTCCCAACCGAACCGCGTCCGCAAATGTGCATGTGAAATTCCCAGATTCTCAGTTGGTAGTAGGCGCTGAGCTGCTCGTCTTTCGAGAGCTGCCAGCCATCAACGCCAGAACAACTTATGCCATCCTTCCAATCTCAGCACTATGCTAGTCTTCCAATCTGGTTTCGTCCAGGCATCGTTCTTCCACTTGAAACACTGGTTAGGACACGGCCAGTCGGCTTCAATGGCCTTGCGATTGGGGTCTCTACGATGTGCAGCACTATGGCCCTTGCCAATCTGGGGCAAATCAGCGTATGTGCACTTCCACGATATGAATTTCTCGCGGCATCCACATGGATAGATTCGGTATCGGTAGAAGCACATGACGAGTGAAGGGGTCCGCTCAGGTGGATTCGATTCGGTTGGGACGTTGAGGTTGGTCAAGCGGGTTGAATGGTCTGATTGTGTTGAGGATTTGCCACTGGCCAGGTGAGGCTGACCTAGGTATTGCACATGAATGGAAAGTATGGCTCGTGCCACTGGTCATATGCATAGCTCTCGTTGGCAGGTGCGACTCATGCGATGTGGCAGCAACAGTGAGGCAGAGCCTGCTGTTGCCGGCGTGTATCAGCAAGCACATGACATCGTTTCCGCGGCAGGCGTAGCGTGGGCCAAGTGTCACGTCCATACAAGAGACCTACTACCGGGCTGTTCCTATCCCCAGGCCATCAGCTTCTCGTGATATCGTCTCTGCGTTCAGCTCATGCCTTTGCCCTGGAACGTCGCCACCAAGCTCTGACGCCTCCAGAAATCTGTCGAGGCTGATCAGTAACGGAACACCTTGCTTGGTACCATGGCATGTCTCGCACCTTGCACTACTTTCGTGACCATAATGCGGTCTGTACGGCGTGTACGACATGTAATGATTCTGGCTCCTCGTCCGTATCTCGCTTTCTGGGGACTTTGGCTGATCAGAAGAAGAGACAAATTGTGCATAAGTAGGAAGTGGGCTCGATTTCCGGCTCGTTCTCCGCGCATCATCGTGGGGAAAGTATGCGTCATGATTTTGTTGCATTCGCGGAGCGGGTTGTGTTGTGGAAGTGGTAGAGTGAGCTTTCAGTCGCTGCTCGAGGCTTTTATTGCGGCGCAGGCAGAAGAGGAGTATGCCAATGAGCATTAAAGCAGCACCAACACCAATTGCAATTCCCGCTATGGACCCAGCAGTCAACCCGGAGCTGGCCTTCTTTGGTGATGCCAGTACGGATGCCGCAAGCGCTGAGATAGAGGCCGACTCTGCAGGCGACATTGTCTCGTCGTATTCGAGCATATATCTGGACTCTTTGGCCAGCTCAATCTGCTTCGTCAGGTTGGTATCTGCATTGGCATTGATGGCGCCGAGCATGCCCTTGTTGATGCAACTCCCCGGGGCACCACAGTAGAAGAAGATTGGATCGGTATTGTTGTCGATCGTGAGATTCCAAGTGGGGTGAGGCTTGCTCGTCGGTCAGCACCCCCCAAACAATGCTCGGCTATAATAGCTGTGCTCTCGAGTAGCAAGACGATAGTAGGGTAGTAGGAGTCTCCAGACCTACCGTGCCTTCATTAGTAATAGGGAAGAAGCCTATCCGTTGAGTTAGCAACGTCGCAGTCGCATTTTCGAGAGCCTGTACCCGAGTGGAAGCCTTTCTGGCCCACGATGGCCGCCTGAGGAATACAAGGCCAGCCATATAGCGATTGAATAACGGAGTGGTTTCCGGAGTGAAAGACAAAAGTCACCCTATCATCTGGATTCGCGTTGATCGAGTTCGGATAGAAAGCGTCTGATTCGACATTGATGATATGAACATTGATTTCGCCATCTGTCTCTGTCGTTGTACTCGCTGTGGCATTGTTGACGTCGATCTCGTCGTCGAAATCATCGTAAGCAGTTTGACCTTTGGCTAGACAGATCAGTAGCACCAAAACCAGAAGTAGCTTGAAATCCATGTTGATAAGCGCACCGGGGGTGCTATGAAATGCTTGTGAGGTGGGAAAGCAAGCGGAGATAGAAAGGGCGCATACGACGATGTGTGAGAAATAAGAAGCGACAAGGTACACAGGCAGCCTCGCGGTACACCAAGTGCGCGAGCAGTGCACATACACAATAGTATGAGGGCGCAGACGACCAACATTATTTAAATCGGGCGCAAGCCACGGGAAAGAGTCAGCATTGAATCGTCCGTGAGGCCAGGACCGCGAACGATCGGAAAGGACCCGGATGGAACTTCTGGACAATATTTGCGCGCAGCTGAAATGCAAGCCCGGCGAATGAAGTCCAGAAGTGGGTGTAGCTCTATCCCAGTAGATGAGGCTTGGTGGCCAACAGAGCTCTATGGCTCGGCGCGGGAACATACGCATGGCAATGCGAGCTCTTGCTTAGAGCATGTTGTGGCAGCCGTGCTTCGAGAGGTGTGGTAAGATTCGGCGTCAGGCCGCGAGCAAGGCCAGCTAGAAATAACGATCGGCTTGGAAAGAGGGCACGTTTCGTCAGTGAGTGCGTGTGATTGTGGCACCAACACCACACTCCACACGGGATCTCCGACGTGTCTGGCCATTGTTCTCGAAATATACCATTACGGTGCCATGGCCGTGTCGTCTTTTGATAGATGGTAGACAGTCAAGTCATGTGTCGTAGTCAGCACCTCTTCCAGATCACAGCCCCAGTACAACAACTGATGGAGCTGGACTCTGTTGCCATGGCCGGAGAGCGAGTGCGGGTCTATGTGTGTACGATATGAGATGTTGCTGCGTTGTGCCATGGTGTTGCTGTGATGTTGCTGTTGCTGTTGCTGTGTAAGGTAGAGGTATGTGTGTAGAGTACTTGAAGGTAAGGTAGATGGTGGAATTGGAAGCAATCGGGACGGGAATATTGGCGTGGGAACTAGTCCCAAGTGGGAAGCCAAGGGACGCGAGCACGGATACTCCCGTAGGCCTATCGCGCAAGACGTCCAGACCGGGGGGGGGGGGCACGGGGTAGTCGCGTCGCATCGACCCTTTCTCAGGTACCGGTATCTTCGAGAATAAATTACGACGAGACTTGACCTGGCGCCGTCGTGATCATCAACAGTACGCCACTGCCACCACTGCGGCAGACACGCAGCATTGGCGGCCGACGACTGACTATGGCGCGCACACGCTCTGCCTAACGTCGCTAACCATTCCCTCCCAGGATGCGATGTCAATGTCCGAAGCTCAAGCCCCTCCAGACCCGCCTGATCGCCTCCGTCGGCGCCCTCGCCCTCGTCGCGTTGGTCTACTGGTCGCTGGCCAATCCGCACTTGGCCTATGCTGCTGAATTGGCGTATGATGGGAGGGGCGAGTTGAGGGCCGGTCACGACCTGATCGACCAGATCGACCAGAACGACCACAATTTCTTCAGGATACAGGGGAGCAGCGACGAGGATGGGGGCGCGATTGCAAAGAGACAGACAGAAGAGCAGCAGCAGCAGATCAGCGGCAATGACATTGCTACGCCGTTCAACATAGCCGCGGGCAGCACAACCATCTTCCAGTATCCGAGTCGATTCCTGGCTCTCAATCATACCGACAGAGGTGTTGGGCTGCCAAGTGAATTATCAGGCAAGCGCGTGCTGAAGGCACAGCACTCAGATCTCCGCAAACGACAAGACGGCGATGCTGCTACGACCCTCTATATATCTGCCAATGTATGCTCTCAGCCCCAGTGGAACGGCACTGGTGTTCCTTCAAGCTCGCCTGGACAGCTCACCCTCTTCGTCTCGTCCACCTCTGGCAACGAGACACCCGGGCCCGGTCGCGAAAACACTACACAAACGGTGCATCGGTTCAGTGGCGGCTTCGTCAACGCTTCGGTTGAGGACGTCCGTGGGGACTGGTATATGGCAGTCCATGCCCCGGAAATACCGACCGGATTCACTGGAGAGTGGAACTACCAGCTGGCAGTCTCAATCGACGACTATTTCCATGCCGCCGATCTGGACGACCCATATCTCTATCAGGTCGACACAGACATCGATTCTGCTCTTCTGGTCACCGACAATCTGACACAAGCCGATTCAGACAGTGACATTTATCGGAAGTGGATGAATCTGGCAACCCCCTTCACACTCTTTGTTGCCAACAGCAGTCTCACTAGTATGGCTGGCATTGAAAGCTCGTATTGTGGTTTGCAGACACTCGTCAAAACCGATAACCAAATCCAAGCCGAGCAGAACGACATGGCTGGCAGCGAGTCCCACGTGGCTATGGGGATGATTACGCGAGGTCTAGGCCACAAGCCGAAGGCGCAGTTCCACGTCACAGACCTGACCGGCGCCAGTGACTATAAGGCTTTCCTCGCCATAAATGGCAACTCCACGGCAGCAGGCAATGGAGTCGTCGGTGGCGGCGGTAAAGTCTGGAAAGGAGTCCCATTCAGGACAAAGAGGGATGGCAATTGCCAGTTACTATTCAACCTGACATTCTGTGACGAAGTGGCCTACGCTGCTCCTGCAAACGCAAGCTCGACTTTCGAAAGTCTTCAGCGCTTTTACGAGAATTACACGCAAACATGGTACTCGAATTTCAATCTCACGTTGGCGCAAATTCCATGCAATACGACCTCAGACGCCAAATACTCCCTCGCTAGAGGTTGCGATGACTGTGCCAAAGCCTACAAGGAATGGCTGTGCGCAGTCTCAATACCACGGTGTGAAGACTTTTCTAACACAGCCTCCTACTTGCAGATACGTAATGTCGGGCAGGCGTTCAACAACGGAACCATGCTCGACGATACATTTTTGAATCAGAATTACGTTAGCATGGATGATGCGCCTACAGTGCAAGGCTCTCTGGCGTTTAATCAGACCTACATATCCAGCTTCGCGACCAACTCCTCGCGCAATGGACAAATTGATGCCGTCATCAGCCCCGGGCCGTACAAAGAAGTTCTCCCCTGTGAAGACTTGTGCTACAGTCTCATGCAAAGCTGTCCGGCCAGCATGGGCTTCGCATGCCCCTATCCTGGTCGAGGCCTCGAGCGGGGCTATGGCAAGCGTAGTGGAGATTTGACCTGCAGCTATCTGGGTGCGGTATACTACCTGAACGACGGGCCGGCAGGCATCGAGGCGAATGGGAGACTCGTGTGGGCTATCGTGGGCTTTCTCAGTCTGATTCTCGCTTTTCGGACATAGAAGGCCGACTATGCATGGCTCAGAAGACGCTGGAGGCGAATGAGGAATCACGCCGAGTAACTACATACCTGAGGTACAGGTAGTCGTGAGATGATACCCAAGATAGATGAGAATTGATTTTTATTACCTACGTGTACATACTTGAACATTTCATGTGGATCCTCATCAACCTAGTTTGCATATGTTGCTTGAGATATTGGCGGGGCCAGTCGAAATTGACCGTATGAAGCCTAACTCTGTGCACTTCTACCGTTCTACTGAGTTACCTACAGTAGCAGCTGGAGAAGACTTTCAGGCGAGACATTTGGAAATTATGATGGAGTGGGCAGGATGAAAAAAAAAGAAAGCCGCACGGCATTTTCTTTTTGCTTGTGAAACTCTGATTATATACATGAATGTTACGAATTCGCTAGCAAATGGATGGTATCAATCGTATTAAGGTATTTTGCAGACAAGTCGGCGTGGAGTCGTGGACATCTTGCGCTAGACGTCTTGTACAATAAATAAGGTAAGCAGTACACCACGTTAGGTACCTTGCGCCTACATCACTTTATCTTCACATCCTGAAACGCGTCCCGCACTTTCTCCGGCAGACTTGCCATGTGGTGTTGTGCTTCTTGCCTGATCTGCTCTGACTGCGCCTTGTTCCCGTGGAGTTCCAGCGTGTCGGCACACATCTTATCGGCTATCGCCAGCCAGAGTTTGTTGTTGCTCTTCATCGCAGTGGACCTGCTTGACTTTCCAGAACTCATCGCCTGCTGTCCGACGATATTCTTGAAGTATAATTCGGTCATCATTCCCATAATCACCATCAACAACTGGTTGTTATTGATGCTCTGAGCGGCAGAAACACTCTTCTGGAGAAGTGATTTGGTGTCAATGATCAACCCACCGCGTCGCCGTGACTCGGCAGCCTTGAGTATGTGGAGCAGAGAGTCCATGGCTTTGTTGCCGTGCTCACTGCCTGCGCTATTGATGATGACGCGGCAGTAAGGCTCGGTCCAGTCGAGGAGGAGCTCGGCTTCTTTGTGCTTGCCTCGGAGGTGCAGGATTTCAACACTGTTGAGCGCCGCAAGGACCTTGATCAGGTCGACTGGCGTTGTGTCGCCTTTGGCACCGCCAGGAAGTTTGACTTGGAGTGGGGATGAGCGATACAGCTCAAGCGCAGGATCAAGCTCTCCGAGAGCATGCTTGATGAGAGCGTTGAGATATGTCGCTAGTGTTACAGTCGCCGCACTGGGCGCCCCTTCGAGCAGAGGTAGGTCAAGGTCCTGGTATGCAACCATTGCCTTTTTGGCCTGGTCCCACTTAGAGGTCCCGCAAAATGCAAAGGCAACATACAGTCTTGCCGTGGCTCGCAACGAAATTTGAATCTGCCGACGTGCCGAAGCGAAGCTCTGTGACAATGGCATGTCCTTTAAGTCAAGCTTGCTCGAGATGAGAGCCTGATCTAGATATTTCAACGCCTCATTCGCTCGGCTGCCGTCAAGCGACGCGATGCCAGTGACTAGGTAGCCCACAATGTACGCCTGTGACTTGGTGAGCCATGAAAAGGCCAGACTGATGTTACCATTGGAAGCCCTTTGGAAGATGCCACCGCTGTCACTTTCCGCCTCCCACGCTTTGCTGTGACCGAGGTCGATACGCAGCGCACAGCCATGACTATTCGCCCACGAAGCATCAGCCGAGTTCTGGTCCATTTGCGAGTGCATAGCTTCTAGCTTGGTTTCTAACAGCTTCCGATCGAAGCGCACGAGTGAGCATGCGACATCCGTGCAGTCCAGAAGAATCCGCACTTGGGGCATGGCAGCCATTTCCGGCGTGAGTTGATGCATCCGAGCGGAAGCGATTGCTCTATTCGCAAGATCTACGCTGTCTGGTGTGCGAGCTCGCAGGTGTACAAGTGCCTCGAGCGTGAACGCCAGTATTTGTACAGAAACATGGGAATACCTGGTCGCCACCGCAGACACCGCAGTGAGATATCGTACGAGTGACACCGTCTCATAGTGATTATCGGAGATCTCAAGTCCAAACGATACGCGCAGGAAGTAGAATGCGTAGACCCAGTGTAAAAGATGTAGCTTCTCTGATTCCGCAGCAAGCCTCTCCGCGGTCTTCATCGCTGTCTTGAATTTGCGGCTCTTGAACCAGACTCTGGCTGTTAGATGGTGCATGGCATACTTCAGGTCTATCAAATGTGCCCGCTCGCACAATGTGATGCCTTTGCTCAGGCATTCTTCCGCTTCTGTAAGGTTCTCTGTCTCTTCATAAAGCAGACTGGCATACCTCAAGCGGATACGTGCCTCCTTCCTGGCATCAGCAATGCGATAGTTCTTCAACACAGAGTCCAGGCAGCCCATGCCGGTGGCCAACAAACTTTGGTACGAGTCCAAGAGTTCCTCGGACACTTCTGCACCTGACAAGGAGCCAGACAGGCTGTAAGCAGCGTTGATGTAGTCATCTGAGAGTGCGAGGAGTGCTGACTGGTAATCGATGCTAATCCCCGGAGTGGGCGTCGTCGGCATGTTTGACGATGCAAGCTCTGTCAATGGTGAGGACTCAGGAGCAAGGTGTCTGACCTGCGTGAAGTGGTCCTGCTGTCCTGATCCTGGTTCTTGTTTGAATTGCTGCACTCGTGGTGTCGCTACTCCGGGATCTGGTGATCTGCAGACGGGTACAAATGTGCCATCGTTTGACCTTCTCCGCTTTGGAGCCTGTACGTGAGCTGTCGTAACCGTTGGAGCTTGTACGCGAGTTGTCATTACAGCCGGATCTTGCCTCTGCGCCATGGCGGGATTCATCGCCGTGGCTGCCTGATTCCACATGGCGTTCATAACCGGTGCGGCTTGCTGAGGCATGCTTCTGTACTGGACAGGCTGCGAAAAGCTCGACTGGGCCGGTCTCTGGTCCGAGTCGCGTCTGTGCGGTGCAGTCTGCTGTGGAGCTCGAATTTGCCTCTGATCTTGCAAGGGCATTCTCGGCTGAACAGGTGAAGGTCTTCGATATTCACTCGGAGAGGGTGCATAGCCTGGCGATACATGTGACTGCAGACTCTGAGCGTGTGGGGGCTGTTGGCATTGTCGCTGTGGCTGAGCTAGGACTTGGGCGTTGGCAGCCGCTGATCTCGCATTCGATGTGGAAGACTCATGTATTGGTGGCGACCATGGATTCTCGGGCCATTGAGAAGCGCTTGCGGAGCGATGTTGAGAGGACTGCGGACGAAGAGCCTGTGGCGTCTGAACCACCTGTCTTGGCTGAGGCGGTGGTTGGTAACGATGTAGAGGGTCTGGAGAGTACTGCAACACCTGTGCTGGCGGTTGTGGCGGAGACAGATATGGCTGTGGAGGAGGATATGTCGCAGCGTCGGGCGGCTGATAGTATGAGCCCGGGCGTTGTTCGAAGTACTGAGGTGTCTGTACCGGGCGTTGATGGTATGGCTGCTGTTGCTGTTGCTGCTGCTGCTGCTGCTGCATCGGTCGTGCTTGCCCGTTGTTGTTCGGAGTTCCCATATGATGCCCATAATGATACTGCGGCACGAAGCCGTCCTGGTAGGGCATCGCTGGCAGTGCCGGGTGCCTCGACTCTATCGGCCCGTGACCACTTTCGCTATACCACGTCCTTCCATACTGCCAAAGTGTCGCCTACGCCATATCCATCGGGGTGGAGTTGGACCTCGCGCCGCGCCCCCTTCGCGTCGACAAGGATCTTGATTCGCTGCGCAGCTGCCTCCGCTGTAGGCGCAAACTCTATTCTGCAATTTCAAGTTGTGGTCCCTGTGGTGGAAGTCTTCAATTCGGCTTCGACCTATCCTGCAACGCAAACCTGTGACCATGGCCCCCAAACAGAATCGCGTTACGAGGCCCAGCAGTGGACCCAAGCGTACTCCATCGAAGTCGTCTTCCGCCAGCGGCCCGCCGACCAAATCAAAAAAGCCCGGCAAGAAAGCGCCTCCGGTGAAGACGAACAAAGCAGTAAAGCAAGGCACGGCAAAATCGAAGCTTCCCCCTCACAAGCGGTACACAGAGTCGGAATTGAAAGTGCCGCAGCTCAATGGAATCATCCCCGCAGGTGTCTCTAAACCTCCAAATCAGAAGAAGGGCAAGGTCTTCGTGGATGACAAGGAAAGCATGAACGTGATCATGGCCATGGTCATGGCGGAGAAGGAAGGCAATCTCGAGAGTAAGATGATGAAGACCAGACAGCTGGAGGAGGTCCGGGCGGCGAAGTTGGCGGAAGCTGAGAAGAGAGTTGCGGGCAAGAAATCTGAGATGGAAGATCGGAAAGCCAACATCAAGACCGAGGGCAAGAAGAGCAAGAGACGTCGGAGTGACAGAGATGGCGATGGCGAGGATGGCGATCGAAGCAACAAGAAGGTTGACGATGGTTCGAAGAAGGTGAAGCTGAGAAAGCGTGTCAGCTTCGGTTGAGCTTGCGCTCGATGCATGCATGCATTGGGCTGTACAGGTCTATCATCTATCGTCGTCTATCTGGCGGCGCGCCACGCTGGCACTAGATCTGTCGCTTTTCTGGGTGACCCCTACTCCTTGTTCGGTCGATATGATTTCCTCCGCATCGAATCATAAACGAAGGGCGTAGCGTGGCCTCCATGCGGACCTTGCCTGCCGAAAACAGGGACTTCGATCTTGTCGAAGTCAATATCTCGCATGGCATTCAAGAACCCGACAGCAGGCTTCGCATGCCATCTTCCACCTCCCAATTCGAACCATGCCAGATGTCCACCCGAGCTCGTAGCCGCCATGACCACATACGGATTCTGCGTGATCTCGGCGTACGGCACCGCCTGGTCGCAGGCGATGGGATCATCGATCGCGTGGATGCACAGCACCGGAATTCGAACCGACATTACGCTATCCGAGCTGCTCGCATCGCGATAGTACGCGCCTTCTGTTGGATAGCCCCAGGTGGCGCATTGCACAGCCCGATCGAACTCGTGAAGGAATCGGAGCTTGTGGATTTCCTCAATCTTAATAGAAGTGTTCTTCGTAATTTGCTCCTTGTGGGCATCGAAAAGTCGAAGCATGTTTCGTCCCTGAGATGGGTTAGTGCCCTGCACATGGCCACATTGGCATATCTCGTTCTGTATGTCTCATGATGGGCTGTGTCCACGAGAGCTTACCATTGTTTTCGAATAGACATTCCGGCCAATGTAAGTGCTTTGCAAGAACATGTTACCTAAAAGTAGAAGGCCGCAGGATTAGAATGTGTCTTTTGATGCGGACTTTTTGAGCGACGTCGTTCCAGAAGAGCGTGCGCTTAGTGAGGCGTCGATGATAGGAGGTGCTTTCTAATGCGATCTGACTTACTCAACTCAAGTTTCCAGGGATTGGAAACCACGACCGCAGCATTCAGAATGCATTTGTCGCCTTCTTCGCCAAGATACTGTAGCAACGAAACACTTCATCAGCAGAATTCTTTGATCACTAGTGGTTTTGGGGTTACATCGCACATTGGTGAGTATATTCGCGCCCAAAGAAAACCCTATTCCATAAAGCGGTCGGTTTGGCCATGTTTTTCTGGCCCACTGAACGGTTTGGCGAATGTCCTGCATCGGTATTAATGACATGACCAAGCTGTTATGTACTGTAACGATACGCACCCACGTTGCTCTCGCATTGTACAGTATACTCGTTGTGATTTTGGATCCAGCACAACCACGGCTGTTGACCACTAGAGCTTCCCATTCTCCTCCAGATATTCCTGTAGTAGCAGCCTTGTCATTCTCAGGCGCAGCCCTGACCAAGGGCTCAAGAACGTGTCTGAGATACGTTTCGTACGATCCGCCACTCAAGCCGTGAAGAGTGATAAGCAGCGGCTTCGTGTCTTCGGTTGCCAGGTTCTCGAACTCTTTATCGCTGAAATAAGTCGTTCTGGGTGGGAGCTCATTATGGCCCACGCCCATGGGGTCTTCTCGCAAGCCAACGTCTTCTGGTCCGCCGTCCTTGGCTTCCCCAGCTGTTTCAGGGGGAGAGGTCACAAAATCTACTGTAAAGTGACCTTTGAAGTCCTCGTCCTCTTGCTTGAAAACTCGACGCTTATAATGGATTGCTGGACCATCGTATTTCATTGCTGTCCACGCGGTCTGGAGGTGGCCATTGAACAGGAACGGATTGAGGTTGCATGCTGGAATCACGTCCTTACAGATTTCCGAGAGATGTCGTGTAGGCCCAGTCTTGGTGGGTAGCTTGATCGTTTCCTCATGGTGAGTGTATGTTGTCGAGCAAGCGCCTGGGTACCAGGAGAAAGCCATGTCGTTTTATGTGTACAATGGACGGGCACGATTAGCAGGCTTTATATACAATTTTCTTCCAAGTGATTACATTGCCCCCTCGGTCCACGGGCGTATGTCTACACACAGTCTAGGTGGTCGACATGTGAAAGCCGCCAAGCGTTGAGGTGAAGACACGGTCTGCTCGTGTATCGGCTATTCCTGCCCTGGTCACACTCTGCTGACGGTGACATTGAACTACGAAGGCAGCTTCAGCCGGGTGCTGACTGGACTGGCTTCACACCTCTCTCAGACGACATGCTGCTATAGTCTTCACGAGCTTCAAACCGACTGCAACGCTGCTTCTGCACGGCTCCGTGTAATTGTCGCACTGCTTCATCGACACCTCTCGCGCGTTGCTACTATAGCAATCCTCATCACCACCCAAGCTGGCGCAAGCACTGGCGCCTCATCTTATTCGCGCACTCCACAACCAACGGAACCGCTAGGAAGGCTCCGAACCTGTGTACGAGATCATTGGGAGGCATTGCAAGCTACTGTTAGACCCTCGAGACATAGGCTACAAAGGTAGAATCCTGACCAGGATCAATACCTTGCGACATAGCCGTCGAGAGCATTCGGAGGACTTCAGGAAGCAGTGCAGAGCAGCTCGAATCACGCGCCAGGCCAGAAAAAGGGAGAGAAAGCTGGCATCCTAGCTGTAATTCACAGGCACGATCGAGCAGACGGCACCAACAGTGACGATAGCGAAGTCACGACGGGACTTTCGGCGGGCGCACAGAACGAACGTGGGCGAGCGCGATCAACTCAGGTTCAAGAGCTGGATTAAGAAGCACAAAGAGCTAGTACGACTGCAAGAGAATCGTATCTCATCATCGCTGAAGGCACGCTTGTATCGTGCGAAAGGGAAGTCTGCAAAAGCCCGGCAGAGAGCTGTACGATCCCTCTGAACCACACACTCTTGACACCACGATGGACGACCGCCTCTTCCGCTACCGATTTCCTCGCCCGGAGTGGCTCAATAGTGCCAATACGCGCACTGCAGGAGTGTACACTTCTGGTGCATTGGTAAGATGGCTCGTCGAAGATGGATATCTGCATTTGAGCTAACACTTCTGTAGTTCGCTATTGCCCTTTTCGTTCTCATTGACGCATCCGTCTACAGCAATGGCAATCAAAACGGCTCTAGCCTTCACCTCAACTTCGTGGACTGGATCCCTGGAATCTTCTCCTTCCTTGGCATGGTCGTAATCAACAGCATTGACAAGACTCGCTTATCGGGCGACACGTTCGCATATTCTGGTGATGGTGTCGCATGGAAGGCACGAGTCGTGCTGTTTATGGGATTTGCTGCGATGGCTGGTGGGCTCGCTGGAGGTGTCACGATCATGGTTATCAAGTATGTTACGCATGACGCCAAGGGAATGCAGCTGTGGTTTGGTGTCTCAAACCTGGTTGCGAACGCGCTAGTCATGTTGAGGTGAGTCCAAGATCCCGCACTCATCAGTTCTTGAGTGAATGCTGACACTGAGATCTAGCTCTGCGGTACTATGGGTCAGCCAGAACATAGAGGACGACTACACCTATAACTTGGCTCTGTAAGTGGGTTGGAGGCCGAGTCTGCTCCTGATACACTGTAACTATAGCATACCTATTCATCGGTTGGAATTGAGAGGGCCTTTTACTGCAATGATCCACATATACACGATAAGTGAGGAATCCTTGGGGCTGCAAATGCTGCCACATCGTAGGCAAAGAATGCTGATCGGGCCCTGCTTGCCCATTCACTGTGATGGGTTGCCCTGAGGCCCCTGGCCCACAGCGCAGTGAAGCACATCCAGAGTCGTCACTTCAGATGTCTCGTTGCACGCATAACGGCAACGTCGACTACAGCAATAATTGGTATGTCGACTCGTACCGCCGCAAGCTCATCTTTGAATTTGAACTATCCTGCACACATCGACAAAGACGCTGCCAAAACAAAGACCACCGACTTCAGATTCACCATCTTGCACGAGAGAGATCAGGTCGCATCGCCGGGATAACGCTGGTGTTAGCGCAAAGTTGAAGCCAGCCCCAGAGATCTCATCGTCGAGATCAAGTCTTACTGAGATTGATTCTCATCGAGATTGATTGTGATTGACGCTACTTGGGAGGCAGAGTGATAGAGGCAGGACATGATCACGACTTTGACGCGACTTGGATACATTACGAGCGCGAGCATTGCCTCCAATGTGTAGGAGGTAGCCCATCCCATCACTCCACAATGATCTGTGAAAGCACCAACAATTCACTCGAAAACAATGCGAGCGAGCTAGCGTTCGTTCTCGTTTTCGTCTTCTGCTGATGACTCGGGTTCCCTGTGCTGTCCCGTGCCGAGGCTTATGGAATTCTACAAAATGCGAGCTCCGATTCGCTGTATCGTTCGGCTGGCTCACTCATTCACTAGTCCTAAACATTTCACATGCAAGACACGCTGGGGGAGTTGTACAATCTTGTTGGGCGTGTCCGTATAATAACATATTCTTATTAAATGCCGTCCTTTGAGGGGACTTGACAGTGACTCTTCATGGCAGATGACGATCATCGTATAGAACTAGCTTCTTTCTGATATCGCCTTTCTTCTCCTTCTCTCTTGTCTCCTCCCTTATCCTCTTCTTCCTCATCGTCCTCCACCACCACCGCCACCACCACCTCCTCCTCTCTTCGATCACCTTGATCCTCCTCGACCATGTCCGCAGCGACGCGATTACCGGCAGTGGCAGGCGCTCTCGCTGTCGTCGGAGGGGCCTTCGCATTCCTCTCGCACCCGACTGTGCAGCACTTCTTTACTGAGCGTTTCGGCTCCAAGGCTGGGTCCACCATGCTCAAACTCTGCGCCGCCGCCTTCGCGTTGGCCAACCTCAAAAACGTGCCTGGCTTCTGGCACATCCGCGTCCTTCGAGGGATCATCTACCAAATATATTTCAACAAAAAGCACGCGATACCTCCGAAACACATCTTTGCGCCGCTCATTACACAGTCGAGGAACACGCTATGGGACTGCGACTACAACATCCACAAGAGCAACAGCACCTATTTCGCCGACTTGGACGTTGCGAGAGCCCACACTGTGGGCGCCATCATCAGAACCGGCTTGGCTAGACTCAATGCAGGAGACCAGGAAGGACTTCCCAAGAGCAATGTTGAAGCCAAAGGGAAATACGTGGTGGCTTTGGGCGCTGTTTCCTGTTTCTTTCAGAGACAAGTTGAACCTCTTCAGGCATTCGAGATATACACGCGAGTTCTGAGTTGGGACCGGAAATGGCTGTATATGGTGTCGCATATCGTTCAAAAGGGGAAAATCAAGCCAGACAGCTATGTGTTGCAGCCTTGGAAGAATCGAAAGGGAGGGCAGCAGAAGACCAAGGCGGGAGAAGAGGATTTGACCAAGTACATCTTTGCTACCAGTGTGGCCAGATATGTGTTCAAGAAAGGGAGATTGACCATCAATCCCGAGATTGTGCTGGAGAGATCGAGACTACTGCCTGCGAGGCCAGCAGGAGTCGGCTTTCCGCCGAGAGCGGAGGCTGGAGAATCACAACTCGATCCCACAGCGACGCCGTTCAATCCTGCGACACCAGCGGCAAACTTGGGGGAGAGTGCGGTGCTTGTGGGAGACGAGCTCGAGAGCAAGCTTCAAGGGGTTCCAAGTCAGGCTACCGACGATGATGCGTGGACGTGGGATGATATGGAGAAAGAACGTCTGAGAGGATTAGAGCTTGCAGGCCATTTCGATGCCCTCAACGCTTGTCATGGTGAGCTGAGAGCAGGGGATGTATTGGGCAAGTATAATGATTATTGGTGATGAAAGAAGACGGGAGAGGGCGATTTACATGAATTATAGGTAGACAAGATACCCGCTAGAGTCCACCAGAACTGGACATGTACAAATGCACGAGAAGATATCGAAGCTACGCTTGTAGAATAGGAACCGACCTCGTCTCGTTTGAGTTCGAATGAGCTGTGCTAGATCTGGTCGAAGTGCGAAGCTTCTATCTGAATCTTGTACCACAACTGCCACGACTTGAAGCTCACCTTCGAGCGATCACTCGATTGCTCTTTGCTCTCTTTTCGATGCTTTGTTTGCAGCGTATCAATGCCACGCCCCGACTTCGCATTCTCCTTCGACCTTTCTCGACAAACACAGCACTTCACTCTGGCGAGAAGAACAGGAGGATGTCGTATCAGCAGCAATTCCACACCAGGCTGCTCCAGCAGCTCAATGATACCAATTCCAGGAATCTCGAACTCCAGTGCTTGCTTGCTCAGAAAGACGATCAACTCTCGACCCTCAACACCCGACTTTCGACTGCGCTTGTCTCGCCTGGTGCTGGTTCTGGGAGTCAGAGTGATTCCCAGGGCCATGCCAGTATTGCAAACCTCCAGCGTCGCAATGCCGACACTCAAAGGCTGCTTGACCACGCTCAACAAGCCGCTGCTGCTGCCGAAGGAAAACTGAAAAGTTCGACGAGCAGGTTCCAGCAGATTGAAGCAGATTTGCGGAATCAAGTGAATGAGTTGCAAACAGAGCTTCGTCATTGCAATCAGCAGCTGAAGAATCGCGGCGGTGGTGGCGGCTCACAACAACCACACAAGAGTGCGCAGTGGACCGCTTCCACCGGCGTTGCGCCACGAGCAGAACTCGATGCGGCGAATGCTGAAGTGAAGAGGCTTCGAAGTGCATTTGCTTCACTTCAGAAGCAATTCGAGCAAGAGAAGAAAGAAGGTGGTCAACATCGCAGATTCCCAATCGCAGACTCCGAGAAGTCGCGCCACATCGAGCATCAAGATGACGAAGAAACAATGCCCAGGTGAGTGGTCTCGGATGCCATCCAACTCCAAGTTCCGCTCACAACTGTTCGGCTAACAATTGCGTAGTCTCAAACAAGAGCAGGTGGATATCCCCTGCGCCCCTGTAGCTAGTGGACCAGCCCCTAAACAGATACGTCAATCACTCGCCCCGGGACCGCATCGTGAATCAACCCATTCTCTCGTGGTTGCAGACTCGAATGCGAGGCCATTACAAGCACAGAAGCGATCTCGACCTTCACTATCAAAACATGGTGCTCGAATGTCTCCTGCTAAGAAAGCTCGATCTGAGGTAGCTGAACAATCCGACTCGAGCTCCAGCGCAGAAGCCACTGAAGACGAACTCGACAACGACGAAGAATTTTCCCTTTCCACTGCACCCGCCGCCACTTCTCTACAGCAGAAGTCAATCGTTCATCACCCCGACGTCATTAAAGACCTGCAACAACGCTTCGAATTTCGTAAGTAGATATATGTATCACAGGCAGAGCCCATGACGAGACGTCTACGAGACATGATAATAGCATGATTGCCAATGGCAGGTTCACTAACGCATCTGCAGAAGCTGTGACCGAGCACTACCACAGTGGCGACATCGACACCTTCCACTCCCGTGATGATCTCAGTGGTGAATGTGCAGAACTCTGGGCTCGAATCAAGAAGCAGGTCGATGAGTGGGAGGAAGCCAAAGGCGAAGACTGGAGATTCGAGTTTGAGAAGCCGGGGTATAGGATGGTCAATCCTCCTTGCGTGACGACCAAGTTAAAGGGAAAAGGGGGAAAGATGCAGTGGCGGGCGGGCTGCGAGGGCAAGTTTGCGTGCAAAAAATGTGTTGCGGAAGAAAGGCCCTGTTTCACGTGGAATGGAGAAGAGTTCTGGTTGTTACCGTTGCATGAAGAGGACCGCAAGTGGAAAGTCGAGGCTGGGAGTGAGATCCGATATTGGCTCAACGTTGAGTGAAGTGTGCTGCAATGTCGGAGCGGCGGTATTTTATTGATTCCGCGACTCCAGGGCGAATATGTGTCCAGACCCGTCCACGTTTGGTACACCGTATCGAAATGACTTTATTAGAGACACAGCCGCGTCATCCCGCGCGTTGACGCGTTTAAATGGGTACACTGGTCTGGCATTGCTTTAATAGTCCCCAAAAGGTGACATCTCAGAAAAAAAAAAGAGTCCACAGAGACAATTAAAACATCTTTAGAAAACAATATTCCTGTCCGCCTTCCAAACAATCCTCACGCCAAGCTCTATTACCATGCCTTCAGCAGACAAGGTCACTGTGCTCTACGTGCTCGATGTCAAAGATGCCAAAGACGACGACAAGCTGGACGTATCCGGTCGTGTGGCAGTCGGATCCGTCGTCAAGGGTGGATTGCAGACATTGATTGAGCATCAAGAGAGACCGGATGGTATCGAAGTCATATCCGAAGGCGATGGACACCTCATCTGGACACAAATGGGAATCCCCAACAAAAACGATGGCCACATCCAATGCTCGGATCTCGACGGGAAAAACATTCGAGACGTCTACGCTCCAGGAGAAATCCACACGCCGAAACAGTGCAGCGTGGACGTGATCAACCACAAATTCTACGTCTGCGACCGCGAGGGCATGCGCGTCCATCGCTCCAATCTCGACGGCAGCGAAAAAGAAGTCCTAATTCGTCGCGGAGACTACAACAACCCGGAGCACGTCTCCGACAAAACCCGCCATTGCGTCGGCATCTGCGTGGATCAGAAACGCGGCAAATTCTACTGGACGCAAAAGGGTACGAGCAAGGGCGGCAAAGGCTTCATCTATCGCGCCAACATTACCATGCCTCCGGGAAAAAATGCCGACACGCGAGATGATATTGAGACATTATTCCGCAACCTTCCCGAGCCGATTGATCTGGAAATTAATCCCGAGACGCAGACGCTGTATTGGACGGATCGAGGCGCGGAACCCAAGGGGAATACGTTGAACAAGGCGGATATTTCGGGTGATTTCTCGTCTTCGACGGAAAATCGGGATTATCAGGTGTTGGGAGAGCATTTGCATGAGGCGATTGGTCTCAAGGTTGATGAGGTGAATAAACATATCTATGTTTCGGATCTGGGAGGGAGTATATACCGATATGGGTTGGAAGGCGGGAAACCGGAGAATTTGTTTGAGGGAGAGGGTGTCTATACGGGTCTTGCATTGGCTCGGTTGGAGAAGAGTCGGGCAAAGGCAATGTTTGGATTCGATGCGTGAGATGGATGGATGGAATAGTAGCAAGCAGTAAGAAAATGAAAAACTTACAGGAAGAAGCTTGTCATGACAAACAATAACAAAAGCATTCAATCATATAAAATTCCCGCCGCGATCAATTTCCGCTGAACATCAATCGCCTGCGCAACCGCACTTTCGACATTATCCAAGCAGAAGAAGCCATCATCATCATCATCATCATCATCCTCCTCTGCACCATTCAACAACTCATCATTATCTCCTTTCGCATACAACGTCTTCCCCGACGTCCAAATGCGCCGTAAAGTCACTACCGGATTCTCCCTTTCCAACCGCTCCAATTCTTCCACACTCGTATATCCCACTTGCCATTTCTCTCCTCCCGTCTGCCTCTCAAATTCTGCCAGAAGCTCATGCGGCGTCGTCGTGAAGGAATTTACTCGTAATGCTCGATTTTTTGTTACATTACCACCATTAGCATTACCATCCGAATGCTGTTGCTGTTGCTTTTGTTGTTGTAAGAGAGCAGCAACAACAAATTTCCCCACATCACGCATTGTCGTCAAGGAGATTTTGCCATTTCCATCACCTAGCAATACTGCTCGTTTGCGATGTACATCAAATGTACCCCAAGCTTCCTTCTCGGGCGGTTGTGCACTGAGATATAATGATCGATCGGCATCTGCGTATGGTCCTGTGACGATATATGTATACTCTAGATGATTATTGTAATCATCATTATTGCCCGTTTTTGATGTTGTTGATAATGTAGATGTAGATGTTATCTCCCTCAACAGCGCACGAACACGCAACTTGCGCTGATGCGGTATCTCATGCGCAGAAGTCTCGTCATATTCCACATCAGTACCGAATTCACTAGGAAAAAAATATTTCACAGTAGGATGAACAGCGGCGAGTCTGATGAGTTTTTCTTGTGTGTCAATGACGGGTCTTCCCAGGGCGGAAATGATGGTGTCGAAGCCGCCATCATCATCATGGCTATTGTACGCTGCGGTGATGTCGGTGTCGGAGGTAATGTCGCCCGAGAGGATTTTGACGCCTTGATGTTGGAGATGGGAGATGTGGTCGGGTTTGTCGGTGAGTGTGTTTCGGGAGGTGAAGATTGCGATGGTGCCGAAGTGATGTTTGTTGGTGAGGATGGCGTTGGTGATGTGTGTTCCGATGAGTCCCGTGGCTCCGAAGATAAGAATGTTCTTGTTGGTCATATTTGAAGCGACTTGGCGGTAGTCTTCACAACACGAGTAACTGTTGTTGGTTTGGCGTTGAGAAGAAGGTTTTATGAGTACGAGTTCACCCGTTTGCTTAGTCGGAGTCGGAGAATCGGCGTGTTGGGAGTTGCCCGATTAGTGATTTTTGGTTGAAGATTACGAGCTGTATAAGTGTATATTGATGAGTTTCTGATACAACGAGGTGTATATACTCAAGCTACATCGGTTGTAGGTACTCTTCAAGTCGTATGCAGAGCCTTTATAACAGTCAACTCGTCCAGGCATTTATAAGCAAAAGTTGTTACTGAAAACAGTCAAGTCTACCTGCAAGGATGTCGTTATACACGCGACGTCGACATCTTCACCTCGGCTACTTCTCCTGACGACCCTTCTCTCCTCACGAGACACGCGAATCTCGCGCGAGGTTTGATAATATCATCATAAAAAATACCCGCAACAACATAGCTGAGGCAAGTCATACATTTCTGATAAAAGTCTTTTATATACTCCTTACCGAATTTCGACTTCCCATCACGATGGACAAGGCGCCCAAGCCAATCGATGAGGTGGTTCTCGAGATCCAAGGCACGGTAGCCATCATCAGAATCAACCGACCGAAGAAGCTCGGCGCCCTCGCACAGGATCAATTCTTCCACCTTTCCCAGCTATTGAGGCATGTCGATGCTAGATCAGACACCTTTGTCACCGTCTTGGCCGGTACAGGGCGATTCTTCAGCGCGTAGGTGTTCCTTATGGGGAGGGGGCAAATGCTGCCAAATCTGTCGCTGAAAATTTGTACAGTGGCGCCGATGTAGCTGCCGCTGGAAGAGACGTGGGACCCGCGGATGAGCAGTACAAAAGACACCTGCAGTCATTTGCGGCATATAATATGAATATTACGCAGGCCTTTTATTCACACCGCAAGATTCTGGTCGCTGCTCTCAATGGTCCCGTCGTGGGCATTGCTGCTGCTCTCATTGGCATGTGCGACTTTGTGTATGCCGCGCCACATGCATATCTGCTTTGTCCATTTAGCTCACTGGGTCTTGTCGCTGAAGGCCTCTCCTCGAAAGCAATGTTGGCCAGGCTGGGTCCAGCAAGAGGCCCCGAGGCACTCTTGATGTCCAAGCGCATTAGCTGCGCCGAGTTGGTGCAATGCGGCTTCGTCAACAGAACGTTCGAAACAGAGCCGGAGGAGTCGGAAACTTTTTTGAAGCGCGTATTAGAGGAAGTGAATGATCGACTGGGACCTCACCTGGTTCCGGATTCGTTACTTCGCATCAAATCTCTGATGAAGGCGCCTGAAAGGGACTTGTACGACTCTATGGGAGTCAAAGAGATATTTTCGGGTTTGGAGGTTTTCATGAAGGGAGTGCCCCAACAAGAGTTTCGGAAGATTGCAAGCGGCGAGAAGAGGCATAAGCTGTGATGATACCAGAGGTCCCATTAGCGAGGAGGGATATTGTTTCTACAGGGTGCTACCGCGTGATGGATTACGTGCTCCTACAAACAAACACAACAGAGTGAATTGATATCACACTCCCCCCTTAGCTACCTACATTATACATACCTACCTTACATTAGACGCGATTTAGGAGAATATGTGCATGTTGTGTATACAAGTACGCCCACGTTCATAAATTGTGTATGTAAGCGCGCATCTGTGGAACATCGTGGATAACTCGGGCCCAGGGCCGCAACTTCCTCGCATGAGTAGCAGTTTCTCGAACACCTTCACAAACAATCATCAAACAGCCGGCATTTTGCGATATGCTCTTCTTCCTCCACTGCAATCGGAACTCACCACCATCACAATGGCGAATACCAAAGAAGCCAAACGAGACCTGATTCCTCACATCACATTTCCCATCCCAAGCCTCAAGGACATCCCAAGACCAGCAGACAAGGAACAACGTATCAAGACCATAATCGCCAATCTCGACAAACATCACCAGACTGCCCGTCTGAGCATCATTGAAGCAGCGAAGCTCAGACTCGAAGAAGAACACCAGGCCCTGGAGCAAAATAAAGAAGTCGATGATGAAGACAACATGGACCTCTCTCCCATATCGCCACCAGACGGCATAGAACTCTTCCTATCAAACCTCCACGCACCCTACCACGAATCCATGGGCGACCCTTGCTACTACAATAACAAAAATCCAGCTCCCATCGGTGTGAGCCCTCACATCACTTCCGCAGAAAAGGAAAGAGAAAAAGAACAAGAAGAAAAAATGTCCCAGGGAGTTCCACAGAAGATTCCTCCCATGGAAATTCGCCTCGCGAGAGAAACTCTGGCGCAAATCGCGCGGTATGATGCTCATGCACTTCCTGCGAGGAAATTTTATACGGATGCTTTGAGTAGAAGTATGGGAGGTGGTGGAGTTGGAGGCGTTGGAGGTGGAAGAAGAGAGTCTACTATGATCAGTAATAGTAGTCCGAGAAGGGTGAGTAGTACAGGTGGTGGCGGCGGTCTTGTTGCTGCTATAGACCCATCATGGAGGTCGGGTTCTACTACTACTGCTACTACTACTGGATATACGACGAGTCGGACGGGTTCTGCCACATTTACTCCAGGGAGGGTAGATCCTCGTCTGGCGAATAGAAGTGGTAGTGGGACTTTGAATAGTCCTCTAGCGCAGAGTCCAAGTGAAAGGGAGAGTGCCAGGCCGAGTGATCCGAGATTGAGGGGACGATGATTCTGACATGCTTCACGAAGAACAAGTCGAGAGGGAACACATCTAAAACTGAACGGGATGCATTCATGACTTCGTTTAAGCAAGTAATCAGTACTTGCATTCTATGCTGGCTATGCTCCACCATGCATTCAGCCCGGTCCTCCTGCTCCTCCACCTCCTCCGTCTCCTCCTCCACCTCCTCCAACACCATCGCTAAACTCAGAATGTGCAAGGCTGATGTAGTCAGCAAGTCTCAGATGGATGCGGCTCCCTAGCCATAAGCTCCCGGACCTGGACCACCTCCTGGACCACCTTCGTTGGCCATGGAAAGCCGAGCACAGAGCCCGAGAAATACCACCGTCTCCGTTGCTGCCAGATAGTTGAGCGCGTCCAGCAAAATCTTAAGGTGTCGACTAAAGTGATCCTCGTACTGTTGCAATATCGAAAACAGCTTGTCGAGTTTGGCAGGGTCGTACGCGTTCTTGGAAGAAGTGGACGAGTTTGGTGACGCGAGATCGGGATCCGCACCTGCGAGGTAGCGAGATAATGAAGCTGTGTAGTTTGCAAACAGTGTGCACGTTGACATGACTTTCGAGTTGATCTGCACCACTACGGTCAGCATCGGCATCATTTGCATGAAAAACACAGGGGGTAAGAGGCTCACCCGTAACAACTTTGAGTTCGTCAACATGCACTCTTTCAAACACGTCGCCAGCATATCAATATGATCCTGCATCAACTCGTCCACTGTCCTCTTCACATTGGCCCCAGCTTCGACTTCCCGCGCCTCGTCATCCGTTTCCGCACCCGAAAGCCGTGACATGAACGCCAGCCAATTGGGCTCAATGACTTCACTGGTGCAAAAGTACAGCAGCTGTTGCACGAAACACAGCATCCGACTGCGCAGACACCATGCACGACGCTTCCAATTCTCAATCTTCCTCGCCACCGCGGGATCAGACTTGGATTTGTGGTACCAAGACTTGACTTTCGTATGCTCAGTCCAGGAGCTGGTGAGAAGAGTCTCGAGATGCCGTAGACTGAGGAGGTAGCGGAAAAGGAGTTGGTATCGCGTCAACGTGACTCGACTCACCACCAGAGAGAGCGGGAAAGGGACCCCGTAGTCGAAGGTGAGCGCTTCATAGCCAGATATCTCCTTCTCTTCTTTTTCATTCGTCACGGCCGGCGTGTACGTTGAAAGCGAAGTTGCGTCGGCGTCCATACCCTGTACGTTGACCACTCGCATCAGCCAGCCGGTCAATCCGACATCGTTCATTACAACGGTGACATCCTCCTTGTAGGGGTCCTCGGCTGCCACAGACCCCGGCTGTCTAAGCACTGTTTCGAGAAGAGTCTGTAGCTTGCCAATGTTCACGCTCTTAGCGGGCTTCCTAAGCTCCAGATGTGTGAGTTCGAGGAAATACGAGAAAAAGTCGCTTCGATCGAGGAAAAAGTAGTGTTTCAAACTTCGGAGTCGCGACGGCAGTCCATGTGTCGTGATGAGGAGCTTCATCAAGCTCTGATTCGCGAACGCATAGGCTCCAGAAACATTCTCCGCGAACCGAGGGTCCTCGAAGGTATGGGGTAGCTCGTCATTCGCACCCAGATTCCTGGTTACATTTTCAATGCCACCACATTCTCGAACAACGTTCAGGTACTTGCCAGCAAGCAAAACTTTGTCCTTGAGCGATTCTAGCTGGGGCGGCACGAGCTCTTGCCGTATTGTGTACCGCTTCTCCCAGTACTCATCAGTATAGTCCTGTTCCAGACCCTCTCGCCGGATGGACTTTTGTTCCTTAATCAAGAACTCCTGGTGGTGGTCTCGAACATTACCATGGTGAAGCCACTCATTCAGCATCGCCATGTACGGTCGGCTGGATTCCCGTAGCAATGTCGTGAGGAGTTCTCGAGCCGGTGGATCGCCGGCCATCGAAGCCAGTCGCCTAGTGAGGAGTCTCAATACAGATCCGCCTTTGCAAATCTTCTTCCCTGGCAATTGAACGTCCTTGCCCTCTTTCAGCGATTCCAAGATGTTCTCAAAGTCGTCTGAGTCGTCTGAGTCATCCTCACTGTCAAGCATACTGTTCTCCTTGAGAATCTCATGAGCAACACCATATAGCTGTAGCATCATGTGCGCTGTAGGCTTAGTGTGCAGACTGAACTGATGTAATGTGAAGGTATCGTTAGTGAGCATCTGGTGCTCGAGCTGGGCAATCAAGATCATGTAGTCTTTGAGTAATTTTCTCATGGCAGCACATAGGGCGTGGTTGACTGCGCCCATCTCTTCTCGACTTTGCACATCGACAAATGCTTCCACAGCGCAGTAGTGCGTTGCCGTTTTGAGCATGCCGTACGCGAGATCTCGTAAGCTGGGGTCAAGCCCGGATTGTATCTGGAACTGTGGTCCGGCAAGCTTGAGTTTCTCGTCCAGTGGGTTATACTGTTCGACATAGCGGATGTATTGGCCTTCAAATCCCATGAGCACAAACAACAGGTCATCTACAATTGCCCTTTCTTGAGCATCTAGTGATAGACTCCGCAAAGGAGGCGGCTGCAACCCGGCTGGTGCGCGCTTCGCTTCGGGAGGCACTGATATTCGTGAAGCCAGAGGTGCAGACGAGGAGGGAAGCAGGGTCGCGTGAGGGCTCCATGGTGTGACTGATCGACATCAGCTCGTGGCTCCTCATCCTCAAGGCTGGCGCGCACGCACAAGTCACATACCCGCCTCATCCGACTGTTTCCTCACGCTGAACTTCGACACCGGCCGCTCTGCCTCGCTGCTTTTCCGTGCAGGGCCATTGTCGCGCTTAATTGGACTGATCGTGCGCCTGATAATGGTGTGACGAGCCTCGGTGGTGCGCTTAGTCTCGGTGGTGGTTGACGTCTTCCGGTGATGGACCGCGCTCTTGGAGTCTGCGCCAGACCGCGACTCATCGAGGGGCGAGGGCAGAAGGGCGCTGGCGGGTCGACTTCGTTGTTGTCGTTGCGAGGCAGCCCGTCGATCAGAGATGCTCGCTCGTGTGGGCGGTTGTGAGGCCATCGCCCGTTGCCAGCATCGTTCGTGACTTCTCAGCGTCCTCTGTCGGCTCGCGTTCAACGCGGAAGAGGGAGGGAGGGTAGACAGCGAGGGTAGACGGCGGGGGTGGAGCGGGGGGTGGTGTTTGGCAGAGGAGACGAGGCGCGTGAGTCGCGCGTCGGATTCATCTCGAGACGAGGTTTCTTGGCCCCTGCCTGCACTAGTCGAGACTAGCTCGTCTCGTCTACTACGGAAGCTCTCAGGGCAAGGCAGGCAGCTTCAAGCATACGCATCACTCCAAACACATCGAATCACCACGAGTACCTGCACCCATCTCTGTCACCGCACAACCTAACTGGAACTACACCACTACCTCGCCGGCTACAGCCCAATCACCGAATCTCAAACCATCTCGCTCTCACCAAGACCGCCAACATGTTCATCGCGCGGTCAGAATATGGTATGGAACGCAAGGCTCGAGGTCATGGCTGGGACATGTCGCTAATCATGGTATAGATCGTGGCATCAAGTATGCACCTGCTACATGAACGACTGGAGCTCATGAGCACTGACACCGCCACAGCACATTCTCGCCCGAAGGTCGTCTGTTCCAAGTCGAATACTCCCTTGAAGCCATCAAGCTCGGCAGCACAGCAATCGGCATTTCCACTTCCGCTGGCGTCATTCTTGGTGTCGAGAAACGCATTACCTCGTCCCTCCTGGAAACGAGCTCGGTCGAGAAGATTGTCGAGATCGACCGCCACATCGGATGCGCCATGTCTGGTCTACAAGCAGATGCGAGGAGTATGGTGGAGCACGCACGAGTCACGTCTCAGAGCCACGAGTTCCACTACAACGAGCGATTGAGCGTCGAGAGCTGTACGCAGGCCATTTGCGATCTGGCATTGCGGTTCGGAGAGGGCGCTGAGGGCGAGGAGAGCATCATGAGCCGGCCGTTCGGTGTGGCGCTCTTGATTGCTGGTTATGATGAGAACGGGCCTTCGCTGTAAGCGCTGTGGCATCATGTGTACCATGGAAGGAGGAAATGTTGACAGAGTTCACAGCTACCACGCCGAGCCATCGGGCACGTTCTATCGCTACGACGCGAAAGCCATCGGTTCAGGATCGGAAGGTGCCCAAGCCGAGCTCCAGAACGAGTTCCACAAGTCACTCACGCTCCCGGAAGCCGAAGAGCTAGTACTGAAGACGTTGAAGCAGGTCATGGAGGAGAAGCTGGACGCCAAGAACGTGCAGCTTGCGAGTGTGACGAAGGAGAAGGGATTCCAAATTTACACAGATGAGGCCATGGCTGGGGTGGTGTCGAGACTGGAGGGCAACTAGGTGCAAGAAGAGCACGGGTACGAAGTATGATGGGCGGCATAGAGGACTGTACATTATGGATAACAGCATTGCGCCGCCACGAAGGCACTGATGCATGGAAAGAGGTTGTACGGATACAGCAGTCGGCACATCTCAGTCCAGCCAAAGAAAAGTCGGATTCTGCATGCAGGATTGCTAATCGAACAGTAGCTGCCAAGGAGAAAGCAGGACAACGTGATCGGGCTGTGCGAAAGCTGTAGGCTTTTCTCTAGCAGGTCGATGCGCAATCGGTCTGATGTGGTGAGTGAAGCGAGTCAGCTCAAATCGCACCAGAGATACCGACCAAACCAAGCAGAGTGGTTGAAATTCGTGGCCGCCCTACATCCATGGGATTCATACATCAGCACTAGCACATGCGCGATTGAGGTAATCTCGGGACTGACATATAGGCAACACGCGGACGATCTTTGCTTGCCCAATCGCTCTTTCTCTCTCTCCCTCTCCCTCTCTCTCCTTGAATTCTGACTCCCTATATAGACTGAAAGTCCTCTATCGGCATGTTTTCCTCGATTGAGCAAAGAATGGCGCTTCGATCTTCAAAGTCGGCCCACACGCCGGATTTTCGTGGTGAGAAGACGGAGACCTGTGATCAAGACAGCACGCTGGCAGATGTTACAGCAGCCAGTAATTATCGTGGCGAGCACACCCGCGTTACAGTTTGGTGGTGGTCAGCTCCCGCCCGCTCGGAATGCCCAATCACCATGACCGAAATACGTTCCCGTTTGTGACAGCATTGCCCTGCCTCCCTCCCTCCCTATAGGAACCACGTGGAGTTGGTTCCGGAATGGAAATACCGCCTACATGTACGCGAGGAGCCATGCGATGGCCGGTTCTTAGGAGAGGACCCGACTGCGAAGTGACGTGCGTGGATCATGTTTTCTACCAGGATCATACGACAACACACGATACGCCAAATCGCCAATTGGACTGCAATACGGAAATGCACTTTCGATCGTCGCGCTACGCTGATTGCAACCACGCCCCTATGCGTGATCCAATCGTTGCAGCCACAGGATGTGAACGGGACCCCACGCCTTGCTGGCGCCGTATGCGGAATGCTGCATAAACCTTCCCTTACTGGATGACCGATGATTGCACACCGCTGGACACAAGAGGTGGCGGGCGGATGATGGGCAAACGACTCCATTGCCTCAAGTGACGTTGCGACCGTTGGAGAGTCAAAGCGTAGAGTCGAACTATAAAAGTCTCGCGAATCATCGATCCAACGCTCCAGCCACCGTTCGACAACAATCAAAAGCAGAAGGCCTCGCCCCACACTTTGGTATCTGTATAGACCCACAACCTTAGTCAATATCTTTGGGGTACGTCAGAGCTGGACCATTTTCGGTCGCTTACAAGACCACACATCAAAGGACGTCAAGATCCACTCCACTTCGACCTTTCTCCACCTCTGACATTCTGTAGCCAGGACAGAACGCGTCAGAGATAGCGCATCTTGAACAGATATACAACCTCCCATCCTCCCCAGGCCTAGGTCAATCTTTGTAAAAAAAAAGAGAGAAAGAAAGAAAATGCCAATCGATGCCGCTTTCGCCGGGCTCTTCGCCACAGGCTTAACCAAAGCTCTGGATACGCAAATTGGAGAAAAACTCTGCCATCATCTCGGCAATGCCACCATCAAGGACGAAGAGGCTTACAGGAAACAAAAAAAGTCCAGGGAAGAAAAACGACATTCTTCCAGTTCGTACGCGTCCGAATCCTCTCGACATTCTTCCGACCACGATCGAAGAAGATCACTAGATGATGCTGCTCCTCGACGTCGTCCCGCTCCTGCCGAGTTGAAGAGACACTCGTCTTCGTACTACAATCCCGAGCAACGTGGTTCGCGCAGGACGGGCTCGAGGAGGAAGCACCGTCGGCCGAGAAGAATCTCGGATGCGGAGTTGGACGACATGGCGGAAGAGGAGCTGCTCAGGGAAGAGAGCCGTGCTGCACATGAAGAGAAGATGGAGAGCTTTCGAGAGGCGAAGAAGAGTTACGAGCCTTGAGTTTCATCATGATGAGTAGCGAGCTGGGCTGCTGGGATGAGATGGGCGCAAATGATGATGATGATGAGATCGTCAATCGGAAGAACGAATGATGACGAATGGTTGGAAACGTGGAATGATTGATGTGCTTGGGGTGGAATGAAATGGTTGTCTCAAGCCGGGCGAAAATAGGACCATCTACAACAGTACTTATGACAGAAGGAGCCCCACATGTATCAGATATCAGGAATCAGGAATCAAGTATCAGAGTCGATGTTAAAGAATAAAGTAAAGAAAAAAAAAGAGAGAGTCAATCAATACTCACAACAGAAAAGCAAAGAATTACACCCCAAACGGTAATTTGTCCAGCATCCAGGGGGGAGGAGAGAGGAGAGCCTGAGCTCCCCATGGCTTTACAGGTATCTACCCTACTTACCACGTTGTACGGAGTGTATACATTACTACATAGCATATGCTGTCATGAACACCGCATCTTTTCCTTGATGTCCGTTGATAAGGTACATGTAGGTACTCTGGGAACTTGGGAACTTGAGGCCAAGGTACATACATACACCTATACATACCTACATACATGAAGCTAGCTACCTGCTCCTTATATCATGAATTCCATCCGACCCAAGCTGAGCTAGCTACCTATAGCTCTCTCTACCTTAGCTACCTACCTTACCTACCTTAGCTATATGTAACTCAGGTGTCTACCTTACCTCACCTTAGGTATCCATTGATCCAACATAGGGCTCAAGACTCTTCTTCCATCTTACCTGACCACCTATCAACCCACCCATCACCCCATCACCCCACCCCATTTATCATGACAAGCAACAGCCACAACAGCGCCGAAGAAATTCTCCTTCGCAAACCACAAAATATTGCGATTCACACCAACCCGCAACATGAGTTGGATGTTGTCGAAGCGGAGATGCCACAGCCTGGTCCCCAGGAGTGTTTGGTTCATGTTCGAGCGACAGGTTTGTTAACTACATCACATCACATCACATATACAACATGAACACATACATCTATAGCTATCTCAGCACATGTATATTGCTGACCTTTTTGCGAACTTTTACTATAGGCATCTGTGGCTCCGATGTGCATTTTTGGAAACATGGGAGGATTGGCAGTTCAGTCATCTGTGCATCACAAGGCCTGGGCCACGAGTCTGCAGGTGAGATTGTGAAGATTGGAGAGAATGTGCACGGTTTCAAAGTTGGTATGCTTTTTTTTCTTGTCTGTTACATTGTGCACCTCGGTTTGTTGTGACAAGGTCAATTCGGTTTTCTGACCTGAATGAACAACAGGAGATCGAGTTGCTTTGGAATGCGGCATTCCATGCTCCAAGCCTTCGTGTGAGGCTTGCCGAACTGGTCAATATCATGCTTGTCCAGCAAAGGTCTTCTACTCGTCTCCACCGATACACGGCACACTTCGCAGGTATCATGTCCATCCAGAGGCTTGGCTGCATAGACTGCCCGACTCGTTGACCTTTGAGGAGGGCGCTCTGCTGGAGCCTCTTAGTGTGGCTCTGGCGGGCATTGATCGTTCCGGATTGCGGATTGGGGATAAGCTGGCCATATGTGGCGCGGGGCCGATCGGACTCATTGCACTGCTGAGTGCTCACGCTGCGGGTGCTGCACCAATTGTGATCACGGATATTGACGAGAGCCGCCTTGCTTTTGCCAGATCACTAGTGCCGCGTGTGCGAACCGTGCACGTCCAGAAAGGCGAGGATCCCAAGACCGTGGGCGACAATATCAAAAAGGCACTCGGCCAAGAAGCCAAGTTGGTAATCGAGTGCACGGGCGTGGAGAGCTCGATACATTCTGGCATATATGTAAATGACCTGCAACGCCCGAATGTGTTTGCAAACACACACTGACAATAATCTTTCAGGCGACCAAGTTTGGCGGCACCGTGTTTATTATTGGCGTCGGGCAGGACTTCCAGCAGATCCCTTTCATGTATGCCAGTTTTCGCGAGATCGATATCAGATTCCAGTACCAGGTTCGTTGTTTTACATTATTCCTTGAGAGGGGTTTGCGGCTGATCATAGTTCAGTATCGGGAAACATATCCGAAGGCGATTATGCTAGTGGCGGAAGGGCTCATCAATCTGAAACCCCTCGTAACGCATCGTTACCGGCTGGAGGATGCCCGGGACGCGTTCTTCACAGCAAGTACGCCTGCAGCAAAGGCAGTCAAAGTTCAGCTGCTTGATGATTGAGCATCCGTAGCGGGCCCAGGCGTTCCAGCTGTTGATTCTTCGCTCTCTACGCTGTTCGGCCTCGGGCGTACTGCTAGTCTTGTATCTGCATTGCCAGACGCATCCACAGGTGTCTGGATGCCTTCACACATAAGACTCGAAACAGTAGAGTACCCTGATGGCCGCTTGCCATGCGCCTTTGCCAAAGTTTCCCGACCCCATATGTCAGCCTAAACTCCTGTCAGCATTTCGATCATCATCGGTGTAATCACGGGGAGCCTGACCGCAAGAAGTCAGGATTCATCTTCGTCGTTCACTAGGTCTGAGATCCGAATTTTGCTCCGCACTCCGGGCATTTCTTGAGGTGCCCAGCCCTCGATAGCGCCGACGCTTTGCTTCAGGCTGAAGTTGGGGATCGCATCATCGTCTTCCAGAAGACGATCAGTGCCACTACCAACTGCCATGATCCTGTCTGACCATCGCATGAGGCGCTTTACCAGATCTGGAAACCCAAGCTTCTTCATGCCCCCGCGCATATCGATCATCCGGCGTTGTGCAGGTCGATGGATGTGACTTGATGCAAACTTGTCGCCGTACATGTGCTCGTGGAGAGCAATACGTCCCACGGCTAGAATCAAGCCATCCGAGCAGTTCCTCTTCGAGTCTCCCAGTGCGGTGTTAATGGCCTTGATGGCCTCGGCTCGTAGCCAGTACATGATTTCCGATCCCAACGCGCCGAGTCTAATCATGTCACCAGAGCCGAATAGGAGACGTACATAGAATAGAGCCGGTTCTGCCAAAGCAGTCTGGGTCATGAACCATTCCCACTTGACACCTTCTTGCTCCGTGATCTTCAGCGCAGGCCAGCCTCGCGGGGCATACACCGTCATCATGTGGTACAGAATTTTGTCGTACCAAGGCTTGTACTCGACTGGGTAGTTGTTGAACGGATCCATCTGATGCGAGGATGCACCTGCTGTGGGCGATGTTGGTGGCGTGATCAATGCCATTTCGCCCGTGAAGGTCGACATGGGCTTTTCCGAGCCATCTGCCATGCGTTTCCGCCGTGGAGGCACCACAGCTGTTCCACACTGTGGTTGACAAGTCGAGCATTGGCATGTAGCGCCCGTGGTTTGGACGTGGTGAACGTCTGGAGACAACGGCAGGTTGGCGGAAAATTTGCGGTACAGCTCTATCGACGACCCGATGGACTTCTGCTCAATGGCATGATCGAGCTGCGCAGAGAAGTCGCCGACTGTCGAGCTTGTGGTCGGCACAAACGTCTGAGCATCAGGATTCAGAGCATATGCTGCTGTGCTCGAGGCAGGCGTGGCTCGAAAGGGCCCATGTGCCTTGGCTCTCTTAGGGGCAGAACCTGCTGAGGGCGGCGTCTCTTGCTGCTGGACGATTCGAAAGGGCTGAGGAGGGCTCTTGGGCTTTCTCCTTGACGGCGCCGCCGGCTGGTCGTCGAGCAAGAAAGCACCTTGTCCACTGCTGCCGCTGCTTTCCAGCTGATCGAAGATCTTCTTGCGCCGCTCGGGCCACGACTTGAGCGCGGCCACGGACCGCACGCGCTTCTTGTTGGCGGCATTGCTGGCACTGTTGGGGTCACTAGTGGTGACGATGAAGTCCTGCGCGCATTGGGTCAGTCGTCTCGTCGTACTTGTGTCTGTGGTGGTCGTGTGTCCGCTCCACTCCGCTCCGCTCCCCTCCACATACAATCTGCTTTTTCTTCACCGGCCGCTTCGCTGCTGCAGCATTGTTGCCGTCGCTCATGTCGCGCTACCTCGCCGACTGTGAGGTGCTGGGCAGACGGACGGTATCGCACATGCCGCTGCTTCCAGAGATCGAATGGTGAGGGGTGGTGTCGTCAACGACGACGAGGACGACGATGCTGCTGCTTGCTTGCTACCTCCTGCTGCTGGTGGTGGGAGAGGCGTGTGCGCGCGCAAGTTATGTCAACGGCCAACGAGGGAGCTCGCAGGCCTCGCTGGCTCTCCATCCATTGTCGGTGTTGGTGGTGGTCCTTGCTGATCTTCGAACATGGATTTCTCATTCGACAAACAGCCGAAACATGCTAGAACTAGGAGGTAGGAGCAGAACTAGTTTTACTAGGGTCGTTGATCAACTCGCGGCCCGCCGTCCCGTCTTCATACCTCGGCCCGGACGACCACCTGAGGATGTGCTGCATGTTGCATGTGCAGATTCGAACATTATTCACTCACACTTTTTGCTGTCGACAAAGTGAAACTTCTCCCCTTCCCGGGACCTGCATAAGGGGCTGTTTGCCCAGCATCTGCAGGCGCCCATCAGGACACGGCACCCACCAAGCACAAGCTGTCAATCAAGACTCCTCGACACTACGAGAACTCCTGTTCATCGCGCGCCCGTGGTTCCACTACAGTGTGTCGCACAATCACACATAATAATGATTGGGGACGCAGGCATTCTCGGCGCTCGCTGCTTGCAGCCTTACTCCACTGGCGTCGCCCGTATTTTAATATTAAAAATAATGAGCTAGACGGCATGTACGATACTTTAGGCTGTACTTAGTAGAGACCGATCCCATCTGCCATCTGACAGATCAGATCTCTAGGGGTCTGACTTTCCCCCGTCCGATGTGGTAGGTGATTATCCATATCACGAACCACGGCGAAGACGACTGAAAACGCCAAGTGGGCTGATACCTAATACTTCCAGGTTCACGCAGAAAATACTCTAACGCCCGCGGCGTTCAAAAGGTCGAAATCACCCCAATCTGCTGATATTACATTGTAGACGTCATGACGCAGAATATACACCAAGCACGCTCTTGGTGCGACCATGGAGAGCACGAAGCTAAACCCCCATGCAAGTGCGAGCGAGCAGAAGACGAAGAGAAGTACGTACATGTACATACATCGTCTCACAAGCAAGCAAGTATTGCCTGACTTGCGGTGGAGCCGGGATTTCGGGGCTCCGATCTCTCCCTCGGGCTCACGCCACTCCTCTGCAATCGAACTACCACCACTACTTGTGGCCACCGTACATACATACTCGCGAGCATGTACTTGCTTTGTAGCCTGTGGTTCTTTTTAGCCTCCGGTTCTTTGTAGCCTGTGGGAACTGCCCAGCAGATCAAAGGGGTTGATACATCAGATCACAGCAAACGTATGCATGGTCGATCGATCAAGACGCTTTCCAATAATCTATGAACCGACTTCTATGATCCTCGGGACCACCCACCATGGATGTTTCCGGTCTTTGATCTCGGCCATCTCCACTCTGACGACGCTGCCGAGCGAATACTGATCAACTGGGTCATGCTCCTTGCCATGCGTCTTGCATATACTCACAAGCTGTGCGATTGTGATCTTGACAGTCCAGCATGTGGCCTCGATCGCTTTGAGTTCTTGTTGTTGCGCTTGCTCTCCGTTCCCTGATACTACTGTCTTGAGATGCTTGACGTTCTCGAGGATACTATGAATGCGACTGCCTTCCTTGGAGAAACCCATGATATGCTCCAAGTACTGTTGAAGTTCCATGACGCTGTAGGAGTGCACCTCTCTGTCCTTCTTGCGAGACTGCAACGCACTGAGGCTGGGAACGACTTGATGCTGCACTCTCAGAAACGGCTTCATCCTCGCTTCATACCGCCGTTCTTCTTGGTAGTATGGCTGCAGACTAACATTGGGAAGAAGATCGAGGTTGCTCAAGAATTCCCAGAGAAATGTCAGTACGAGTGCCAGACTCTGGTTGACATGACTTTCTCGCTGCAGCTTTGAGACCCACTCGAGGCTTTGATCGAGATCTTTGGTCCGTGCAGAGCTTCTTTTGCCCTCTGTTGCTGCTTGTGTCCTCGCAGCAGAGACGACTGTGCCAGTCAGGCGTTCTTGTTGGGCAAACACTGCACCAAGAGCATCGTACATCTCGTAGAGCCCATGATCTTGATACAGATTGGTCTCAAAACCCAACTGTATAGCCCACTGGACGAGCCACAATTTATGCATTCTTGTCCACGTCCAAAGTGGGAAATACACCTCTGCTCTCTGCATGCTTGTGAATCGAGTGGTGTTGATATCGAAGATCTGACCATCGCTCTCTACTGCCAGAGCTTCGAGCTCGTCGTATATCGGAATCGCCTGGGTGATCAAGCGACGAGTTCTATCCCGATTTTGGCAGATCATACGGTGGATGTTGAGGTATTCGCCAAATGCCTTCATCATGAAATCTTCAATGACACGTGAGCTACGGTGCCGAATATCATGTGTGGCTTCCACTAAGAAGCTCTCCGGGTCTGCGAGTGGATCCTGAGGTAATACCAACATCCGGATGTCCGCAAGCATAAGATCGAAGTGGGAGACATCACCAGAGACCTTCTCGTCCGACGTGAGGAGTTCTTGTAATTTGGCACGTGCGTAGGTAGTGGGTGCCGGTAGCCTGTACGCAAAGTGCCAAACTTCTGACTTGAGCCGGTAAGGACTCTCTACAATCTCGATCGAAGTCACACTGTGTGCTGATACGATATCATCACACAAGCGCATCCATTTCTGGAGCGACGCTTGCCACGAGATTTCGGGCATGGGTCTCGGCGGCGTGCTCGATGCCAGTTGACGCTGCACCTTGAATGAGAAAGCATTGGGTGCGGCAGAAGCCAAGGCATGACTCGCAGTCAGTTGGCCTAGTTGATCTCTTAGTCGAGTCCAGTGAATTGGAGTCTGTTCCCCATTCGCATCTCGGTCCAGGCCACGCAAGAGGCAATCACGAATCTCAAGACGTTGCTTAAGCGCAGCGTCTACCTCCGTGTCCTGCTGCGATTTCTCAATCTTGTGATCGTCGAGTAAGGAGATACTGTTGGAGAGAAGTTGCAAGACCTCCGCGCTGCTCATTTTCGGACACAATTCTCGACCGAACAGGTAAGTAACGAAGTCCTCTTCTTCGTAGAAGGTCTGCGCTTGTATGCAATCCAGAGATAGTTGACAAGATTTGATGACTGCCAGGCAGTATGCTCGAAGGACCTTCTGTATGTTCGTACTCCTTCTGAGGGGAGCCGTCAGCGTATATGGATATGCATTGCTCGGATCGATCAGTCGAAAAACATGTAGCGATGTGAAAATGTTCTGTGAAAGGGGATACCTGGTTATGGTCAGCTTTTTGTTGAGATGTAGCCACTTCAGGCTCCAGCACAGTGTTTGCCTACCCTTCATGGAACAGCATCTCGAGACGCATGAGTTCATCCATTATCCAGAGCGCCTGTCGAACTTAGCTCTCATAACCACCACTCTCCTGCCAAGCTGGTCATCCTTGGATGAAGACAGCTATTGCATGAGGTACAATAGAGAGCTTACCTCTACAGCACTGGGCTCTTCGGTCTCGACCTGATACTCTGGCTCAAATGGGTCATTTGCTTCGACGTATCCACTGTCCATCTTCGGATCCATGATCTGCAGATTTCTGTCAGTCAAGACCGCGGCTTGCTATCTAACCACCCGTACCTCAAGAGCTCCAACGGCCTCGAACAACGTGAAGAACTCATCCTTAACGAGCTCGCCGGGCTGCAATTGATTGCTAGCGGCCATGAAATTTGCAGTCACGTCCTGTACACCACGAGAGCCAAACGCCGAGACAGATTTATGTTTCATCGCTTCTGCTTCTGCTGCAAGTCGTTCCGTGGCCGATTGTAAATTGGTGTAGGCCGCATCTCCTCCATCATTGTGACTCGACATGTTTTGATCGGATGTCGCGCGCTCGGGCGTCATTCTGCGTGATGCACCTTGTGTTGGCAGATGTCGGGCTGATCATTATCGATGATGACTTTGGCGGCATGTGCAAACATTCGCGAAAGACATGGACGTTGTTTGACGATACAAGAAAAAGAAAAGTCACGAGGAGGCGAAGTGCAAGTGCAAGACGGGAACAAGAACTCGCTGATTCTTGGCGCTCTTCACATCCTCGCCTTGGGATGTATATACACAATGTTACAGGCGCCCAAGACGCTCAGTACCTGCTCCGTCAAGCCAGCTCAGAGTTTGCTGTCTTCTGAGCTGCCTTCATGTCCTCATCTCGGCCCCATGACCTTCATCGACCCCCTCCCCCCATGGCATATCTATTGGGATGCCTGGCCTGCCGCTTGCTTGTATGCCTCTGCGTTTGCGCCCTCGACCGACACGACCTCCTGCTGCTTGCCGTTCTATGCAATCCGAAGTCAGTGAACTGTTCACATATGCCCGCTATCGTTCCTTGATGGCACGCCTTTTCGTCTCCGTCTCCCCCTCCATATCACTCGGGTCGGTATCCGCTCCTGGCGCACTCACCTCCCACTTGGCGAACCTGAGGTCCATCTCTCCTCTCCTCTCAGCCTTCAATCTCTGGTCCTCCTTCAACGAGCGGCGTACGACACGCGATGCCACGGCGAGGTAGCGGTTGTAGCTGTAGAGACCTCCGTCAGTATCATTCCGAACCTGCGCTTGCCGGATGGCATAGGAGCGCAACTGATGTTCGCACATACGTGATGCCTGCAGCTTTCCACGCGAAAACCATTGTGTCTGTCTGGGGTGTGGTAGGTGGTTTGATTGACGTTGTTGATGTCTTCAGTAGGTACCTTGCTGCTCCTGCTACTGCTGCTGCTCTCTCGGCGCATCGGGAAAGCAGCCGTTGGTCCCGACATGCACGTGATCATCAAATGTTTCGCGACTCGAGATACACCTACTTACATAATGTCCAACTTTGGAACTGATCCCCTGCCATGGTGGAACATCATTTGAACGATATGAACATGAATGCTTTCTTGTATTGGTACAGCTCACTACTATGTGCGCCTGAATTCGCAAGGAAACTTCTATCACAGGATATTTACACACGAAGACCAATCTCTTCAGCGTATGGGAGCGCATACAGGTCACCGACAGCACTTACGGAAGCCTTGTTCTCGAGGGCTTCCTTCGCGACCTGCTGCACCTTTTCTGCCGTTACGCCGTCAATTGCAGAAGCGACGCTGTCGATCTGATATGGCTTGCCGTCCCGGATTAGGCCTGCACCAGTAAGCTCAATGCCGGCATGTGTTGTGGCACCGTATTCGAGTTCCTTGAACTTCGCCAGCGCCTTGGCTTTCTGGAGGTCCTCGGGACTGACGCCGGAAGCGATAGCCTTAAGTACCTCCACAACCTTTGGGGCTGTTTGATTGATGTCGCGGGTGGAACCATTAAGGGTCACGGTCAGGAGACCAGCATCAGTATAGATGTGTGACTTGGTAGACACACTGAGAAGTGGGGTATCAGCCTTGGCCTTGGCCAGGAGAGAAAAGCCGGGAGTCCACTTAATGCTCGACTCGCCACCGAGGAGAGCTGCGAGAACAGCAATCTCAGACTTGTAGAAAGCGCCAGTTGCTGAACTCGAGCCGGGGAAGCCGAGGACCATGGTGTTGCCAGAGCCGTGCGCAATGCGCTCTTCTCCACCGTAGTACTTGGCTTGCTCCGTCTGGAGCGCGCCAGCAGGAGCATCCTGAACATCCGCAAAGAACTCGCCAACCCACTTCTGGAACTCGCCCTGATCAACACCGTTTCCGACAACGGCGAAGTTTGGTTTCGAGTACGCTTGCTGTGCGTAGTCGCTCAGTGTTCCGGCATCGACGTATTTCTTGAAAGGGACTGTGGAAACAGGCGTCACAGGGACGCCGAGGCCACGGTGGAAAGCCAGACCATGTGCACTGTCCATAGCCAATGTAGCGGTGTTTGCAAGGTGCTTCTTCATAGCCATGTCTGCAAGCGGTTGGACCTCCTCGTGGATGACGTGTGCTATCAAGTGTCAACAAGATGTTCTGCTACTCTTTCTGAACTTGCCGGACTAACGTTGGAACTTGGTCATGGTCGCGACCTCGGCCAGGAGCTCGAGGAAGTATGGGAGGTCATCGCGCAGAAATTTGGCCCCTACAACGAGGTTCTCGCGGCTGTGCCAGCTTTGCAGCTCGGCACCAAGCAGCTCAGACTCGCGCTGTATCCGTAGGGTCGATCGACGCTCGGTGCTCTGTATTTTGCTGCATCAGCCGTTTGTCTCCCCCTCTCCGGTGCGTTCCCATCTCACCCGAAATGCGTATCGGTCGAGTGCCTCTGCAAGACCAGGCCAGGTTTCATATCGGGTACCAGCTCGGGAAACAATGGCCACTGTCGATACCGGCCCCGCGATATCTCTGCTCGCGATCTTGATGCCATTGGAGTCTGCAGTCTGGTATTGAAACGAGCTAGATGCCGCGGCATAGCCCCTGGTGGATTGCTGCCATGACTGACGGAGGGTGCGCTGAGCCTGCCGGGCGATAGCAGAGCGCGCGATCATTTTGATGGCAAGGCCTTGCGGCTGTTGGAAGCGGAGAGGGAGGGTGGGAATAGTGGTTGTTTGACTGCGCGAAAGCACAGCTCAAAAGATGGACGTCCGAGTCGAGGGAATGGTAAGCAAAAGTAGTAGCAGGACGGACGTGGCGGCAGATTATGTGGATGTTCTCAGCAATGGCGACCTCACCTCAGGAGCCTCACGCCCGCCTTTTTTGGGTACCTATGTTTCGCGGTCGATGGATAGAAAAGGTGCCTCCAATAAGTGGAATACCATGGGGCCGTATGAGAATTGCGATTTCTGTGGCCTTCATATGGAGTGCCGGGAATGATATGCCATACCCGGGACGGGAGCGTCCATGCCACTACACAATTTGGCTTCCTGGACTCGCCCGACTCGCTTACCTAAGTTATCCCGCCAATTCTCAGGTGTTCGGAGTGAAAGTTGCGATGGCTAGCAGGCCCTAGAACAATCACATTCTCTTTCTATTTGTCTCTGCCACTCTCTCCCCACCGACGACGAGTCTGATCCTGGAATCGCACAAATGCGAAGGCATCGGTCGTAGCAACACGAACTCTGACGACGTGAGAGGTCCTCAGAGTTAACACAACATCGCATCATGAGCAAGGTATGATATAGCAAAACGCACACACCCGCACGCGCACTCCATATGCGCTGGCTGTGGGTGAGCTAGGATAATGTGCTTGCGACTGACACTTCCGCGCAGTCATTACAAGAACTATGTGCCCTGGTGGTTGAGGACACCTGTGGCCTCCTGGCCTCCGTACGCAGCAATTCTCCGCCGTCTCTGCACGTCGTCGTCGTCGTCGTCGCCGTCGTCCGCTGACCACTCGCACAGCAAATCTTCTCGACTCTAGCGCAAAAAGGCCGCCACACCGTCTTCGAACTCCGACGCGAACACCCGCACATAAGCCTGCGGCACATGCGACAGGCTCTTACTACTCTCTTGCAGAAACACATCATCCTATACCACGAGATCGAAGATGGGCCCACCTTTTACCACGCCGACTGGCGAGACCCGGCCCGATTATTTCGTGGCCCTCTCATCGTCGCACTCGTAGCGGAACGACATGGCGAGGGAGCCTCGAAGATTGTCAGCAACCTTCTCGAGCTTGGGCATGCCAGAGTGGGTGACCTCGCACAGGCCTTCGACCTCACGCCAACCTCGAAACGGGACAGTGGGTATGAGAGCTGCAATGGGTATGTTAATGGAGCAGGCATGGTCAATGGAGATGTGCACAAGACGAAGGGCGACAAGATCGTGACGGTTGGGCAGTTTCACAATACGCTCCGCGCGCTGCTGAAGGTAGGCTTCCTAGTCAAACGTGGGAAGCAAGCGTATATGCCAGCAGCAGATCTACAGGCCCAGATCGAAGCCGTTGTGATCAGCGAACAGTTCCCAGATGGTAAGATCAATGGCGCCAAGAAACAGACCGAATTTCAGGCTGCGGTCAGGACACTCAAGCGCAAGCGACAAGAAGCGAACGAGTATTCGGCTACGCGAGACATTGATTCTCGTAACCAGATCAAGAGGCCCGGAATACCCTCAGCTAAGCGCACGAAACTCAACGGCAGTATGACCAATGGTGCCCATCACGGCGACGATTTCGACGTGGACGACTCGGTTTCAAAGCTTCCGGTATATCTTGCGTCACCCTCGTGCAGGATGACAGTACTGACACTGTACCTTATAGAGTGACTTGGTCTTGGAGGTCAATTTCGCGCAACATCCCATAGTTCATCGTAGCCAGCGACTCGAAGACCTTGCACATGCTAGCCTTGGTGGGGTCACTGCAACGGTTTATGCAGCACTGCTTCAGGTTCTCGAAACTCGAATCCGCGCACGCGACGATGACATCCACGAGGACCAGGATGAAGAGGACCGCGAGCAACGACTTCCAAGCGCCACTACGACAGAAATTGCGGATGTGCTCAAGGCTTGGGCCCCTATCGATCTCACTCTGGGCATTTCTGGAGCTGCGAGCATATACAAAACCCCAGCAGCCGAGCGTGACAAGCCCAAAAAGGGTAAGAAGCGTATCATCCCCGAGGAGGATTTCAGTGACATCGGCATCAAGATGGAAATGTATTCCGATGACGACGAGCCTCATGAAGCCAACGGTTTCAATTCTTATCGCGACCAGAACAACATGCTCTCGCTTCTCGAGGAGCATCTGAAGATCCTCGCCGAACATCCCAAAGGCTTTTGTCGGCGCGTCGGAGGCGCGGGCCGCGGAGAGTGGAAAGTGGACTTCCCTGCGCTGACTGATAAGCTCATTGCTAGCGAAATTGATCAGACTGTGCAGGCGCGTCTCAGCAAAGTGCACGCCCTGGTCGTACGTATGCTGCGAGACGTTGGTCGGCTAGACGACAAGGCCATTGCTGCGCGCCTCATGATGCGCGTCAAAGATGTTCGAGCAATACTCACGCAGCTTCAATTCAATGGCCTCGTTGAGGGACAAGAGGTGCCCAAGGACAACTCGCGCCAACCGAGCCGAGCAATATACCTCTGGTATCATGATCAGACACGAGTCGCAGCTCTTCTCTTACAGCAATCTTACCAAGCTATGTCGCGAATACTGCAACGATTGGCAGTCGAGCGGGTCGACAAAAAGGGCATCATCGAGAGAGCCGAAATGATGAATACGAAGGAAGAGTCTCTTGGGCAGGTCGAACGGGAGCACCTCATGCAGTGGCGCGAGGTTGAAGAAAGACTTATGCTGCAATTCATACGGATTGATGAGCACGTTGCGCTTTTGCGGGACTTCTCTGGCAAGGATACTAGTTTAACCTCATGATGCATCAAAAAATCGGCGCTGGGGGTGGTGGTTTCTACCCTTGGGCACCAAGGAACAGGGCAGGTTTATTTGCTATTTCTGTGCATTGCGAAGGGCGTTTAGGCACTTGCTAGAAGAGGCTGAGGCTCTTCTTATACTTTGCATTCTCTAGGCGTCTTGTGTGGAGGAAAGCAGGCTACGAGACCAGGAATGGGACTACGAACGATTCTGGGACGGCAGAGGCGAAACGGCCCGATCTCGCATTGAGACTCTCGATGTTGTTGTACATGCGTCAGACATGACATGCATGGTAAAAGCGTTGCTGATAGAAAGAGCAAAAGCGATACCAATCAAATTCTCCTGCTGTTTGCTGCTTTGCCCAGTATATGACCGAGCGCCGCCAATATTTGCTTGGCTGCACGCCGCTGACGGGTCATCTTCGACTCCCTCGCCTTACGCGATACCTCCTCGATTGGTCTAAGACTCGGCAAAACTGTCGGCCTTAGTCATGTATGGAGCATTGTCGATAAGACCATATCGACGCTGTCTGACTTGCATTTGGTTCCGTTCGATTTGCAGTTCGTGCATCAGCACCAAGGAGGAAGATACAGCAATATGAACATGTTGTCATTACATGTACGCAGACTGGCTCACTTGGCATTTTTCACTTTGGCTTCGCAATCGTTGGCCGACAACATCACCTCCTGCAACATCACCGCAGTGGACGGAGCGTTCGACCAATTCGCATTTCCAGATCAAAATGCTGCCAACACTAACGAGCTGTTCCCCATGCCTCTCTGTCATGGCAAGCGGATTGAGGAATCAACCATAGATCAATTACAGGACTACCTCTCGCGAGGCGAGCTCAATTCACAACAATTAGCCTTCTGTTACCTCCAGCGGATGTGGCAGACAGACGAATACATCAATTCTGTTCTCGAAGTGAATCCCGACTTCTTTGAGATTGCACACGCTCTGGACGCTGAACGGCAATCAGGTCACGTTCGAGGTCCTTTACATGGCATACCATTCATGGTAAAGGATAACATTGCGACCAAGGACCTCATGCAGACCACAGCAGGGAGCTGGGCTCTCCGAGGCTCCGTTGTGCCGCGCGATGCACATGTCGTACAGAAGCTACGTGCAGCAGGCGCGCTTCTGTTGGGCAAAGCTACGCTCAGCGAGTGGGCTGATATGCGGTCCAACAACTACTCCGAAGGATACTCTGCGCGAGGCGGCCAGTGTCGCTCTGCTTATAACCTGACTCTCAACCCAGGTGGCAGCAGTTCAGGTTCCGCTGTCGGAGTCGCGGCCAATGTCTTCCCCTTTTCTCTAGGGACCGAAACCGACGGCAGCGTCATCAATCCAGCGGAACGCAATGCCGTTGTGGGTCTCAAGCCTACTGTTGGACTCACATCGCGAGCAGGTGTCGTGCCCGAGTCGTTGAACCAAGATAGCGTAGGAGTGTTTACGAAAAGCGTGAGGGAAGCGGCATACGTCCTCGATGCTATATACGGTCCGGACGAGAGAGACAACGAGACTTTCGCGCAGACTGGTCACTCTCCAAAGCACGGCTATGCTCCATTCCTGTCTGATCGAAACGCCTTAAGAAATGCTTCCTTTGGATTGCCATGGAACAGCTTTTGGCGATTCGCCAGCTCTGAGCAACAGGATGTCCTTACCAGTATGATTCAGGTGATAGAAGAGGCTGGTGCGACGATCGTGAACAACACAGAGCTACAGGACTACGAGACAATCATATCTCAAGATGGCTGGGACTGGGACTATGGTGATATGCCACTTTGGAGCAGGAAGACGATCACCGACTAACATGGAGCAGGCACAACTCGTGGCTTCCCGAATGAAAGTGAATACACATACATTAAAGTGGACTTCTATCGTAACATTGCTGTCTATCTCGCGGAGCTCAACAATACCGACATTCGATCAATTGAAGACATTGTGGAATACAACTATGCCAACGATGGCAGCGAAGGAGGATATGCTTGGCCCCTCGGTATTCCCGCTTTCTACTCTGGTCAAGATGGCTTCCTTGCCAGCATGGCAACAAAGGGCGTGCAGAATGAAACATACTGGCAAGCACTGAATTTCTGTCGAGCAAGCACCCGAGAACGTGGTATTGATCATGCACTGTCTCTGGGACCCAATGGCAGCAAGCTGGATGCATTGCTCGTGCCCCCAGATGTTGGCCAGACCTATCAGATTGCGGCACAGGTAAGGAACTGCCCAACTGAACATGTAGTAACGCGCAGCGTTTCTGAGACTGTCGCTGACTGATTTCCACTGCTTCTCAGGCGGGCTATCCGATGATTACCATCCCAGCCGGAATCAGCTCCGAGGATGGCATGCCGTTTGGACTCGCTTTGATGCAGACAGCATGGGCTGAGGATGCCCTGGTGAAATGGGCTTCGGCGATTGAAGATCTGATGACAGATACGCCGTACAAGCGCACGCTGCCCAAGTGGCATGGTTACTTGGAGCGCAACATACCTATCCTTTGAGGAATGCTTAGAGATGTTGTAAAAAAGGGCACCAGAAGTCTATCTGATAAGATGCCATCGTTGAACAGCGGCAGACCCGAGTGTAAGGAATCATTCGATCTCGAAGCACATGTGAAAGCGCAAGGAGTTGAGTTGAAATGCGATTCTCTGTAGGTCAGGTATATGAAGATGCATGATCCGCATCGTGTTCACGGGCTTTGAAACCTTACCTACCTGACAATCGATATCAGCTTTATACAGCCATTTGCACGAACCCAGAGCGGGGCAAATGATCAAATGACATACCAGGCGTGAAAGGTCGAATCTGTCAGGAAACATATGTCTGGTCTCCCTTTCCTCAGGTGCGATACTACATCCACTGCAAAGAGTGAGACATGAATGTTGGATCGTTTCTTCACAATCATCATCAAAATCCAGTTCCCATACCTCATCAATCATTCCCGAGAAGAAAAAAGAAGAAAGGTTCAAACAAACTTCACCTCACCACCAAATTCCCACTCCTCACCGCCCCGCCCGTAGCAGCAGCCAATCCTCCACCCCGCTTCGTCCCCGACGACGAGGACGATGGCGGTGGATCGGTCATCAACGCATGCAAGCTGAGATCCTTCCACGCCGGCTCCCGCGTCTTCTGCTGCGCACGTTGAATCCCAAACGCGGCATGCTGGTCCGGCACGAGATCTTCTTCGTTGTCCGGATTGAGAGGCTGATGTTGCGGTGCTACGAGGATTTCTTCGGCGGGGAGCTTGATGCGCGTGAAGTCTTCGAGGAGGTCGGCGTGGTGCGCCGCGTGCATGTGTAGATGGCTGAATGAGGAATCGCGCGACTATGATGGGACGGGGTTAGTTTCGGGGGGGTTTTAGGAGGAGAGGGGCGTACCATGTTGGAGTTTCTTTTTTTTGTTTTCTTTTTCTTCGTCGGTGATTTCACGTATTGTACGGTGAGGGCAGGGTCTCGTGGAGATGTGTTGTGTTGAGGTATCGCATACAGCCTGATACAGGTACGATAAGGTAATCGCGCACGCACAGTCCGTCGGCAGGAAGGACTCCGCTCCAATGGAACCTGGAATGGAAGGTTAGGTACGAAGGTACTGGTTCGGTACGGTGCGGTACGGTAAGGCAAGGGGTGTGGATTATTCCCCAGTGTGATATTGCTGTTTGCGGCAATGCAACATAAGAGGGCTGATGCCAAGAAGAGTGACGCGGCTTCCAAGCTGCAGACTTTTGATATTGACTAGGACTGGAAGCTGACATTGACTGATATTGACTGATATTCGCGGGTGCTGGACGATGACAGCCTTGACTCAATTCGCATTAAGCCATGTGTGAACACAATTGACGAGAATTAGCTAGAATTAGTTACCTGAACTACGTTGGACTGGTGGAATAAGCTAGAACTCGGGGAAATACAGTTCAGTTTTCAGTTTTAGCAGACAGAAATTCAAAATCCCATGCGAGCGAGCGCCGAGCAGGGGCTTCCCGGTGCCGTCGCCAACCAGACCTCGCGCTGCTCTGCACTGCTTTACCACAGACCTTACCACTGCCTTGCCCTCTCTTACCACACTCCTCACCATACCACTCCACCCCGCCGACCAGGCCGTCTCCGACAATTTCCACCCTCCGCCTTCTACCTCCTTCGATGCCATTCTGCCCTCCCCCGTCCACTCGCCCTCCACTTGCCATCCAACGAGCCAGCTTGCTTGCTTCGACTGTCGCTCGTTAGGTCGTTCTATTGCTTGCTCGCAATAGAACACCCACACACGCCCACCCATCACCAGCGGCAGCGGCATCTCCGCATAGATCACCACCACCCTCATCACACGACGACGACCCACGAGGCTTCCAACGGCTGACAGTACTCCTGGAACTGCCCCTTGAGGGCTCCTCTTGCGCACACAACATGGATATCGTCAAAGGCCTCCAGAAACGCATTCCCACGGCGGAGAACCTGCCGACGCTGAAATCGCTGCAAAATACTTCGCTACGGGATGTCAAGGAGAAGATCTCTCCGCGAGTCTCGTTTCTCAAACGAAGGATACGAGTGCGCGGCAACAGCAAGATCAGCGTGCCCTTGTACCTCGTCTTGCTCTTTCCCGCCATCGTGGTCATAGCCATCTTGACGCTATTCGTGCGCCATCCAGACTCGCCTGGCGCGCGCCTGATACCCTCCGGCTCGCCGCCGAGCATCCGGAAAATCAGCGAAAAGCACGACAAAGTCTTCGTCACGGGATGTCTAGATCCCAAGATCACCGCCAAGGAGACTCCACGCGCAAATGCCGCTTTTGTGGTGCTGGCGCGAAACAAGGAGCTGGACGGAGTCATTGAGAGTCTGAAGAGCGTAGAACGACACTTCAACCGCTGGTTTCACTACCCCTATGTCTTTCTCAACGATGGAGAATTCAACAGCACGTTCAAAGAGACGGTGATGAACTACACCTCGGGAACCGTCGAGTTTGGCCAGATCGGTCCGGAGCATTGGGGCTATCCCAATTGGACCGATGTGAATGTCGCAAAAGAGGGCATCAGGAAGCAAGGTGATGCTGCCATCATGTATGGAGGCATGGAGTCCTACCATCACATGTGTCGCTTCTACTCGGGCTTCTTCTACAAGCACGAGCTGCTGCAAAAATACGACTGGTACTGGAGAGTGGAGCCCGAAATCAAGTACTTCTGCGACATGACCTACGATCCCTTTGTGCACATGGAGCGCAACAACAAAACCTATGGCTTCACCATCGCCGTCAAGGAGTTGAAAGAGACGGTGCCCAACATATTCCGATATGCTTCCGCGTACAAGCGAAAGCACGGCCTGAAGAGCAAGGGCTTGTGGGAGATGTTCCTCGAGCCAAAAGAAGGCTACAACCAGGACGGTACGCCAAAGCCCGGCACCATTCCTCCGGACGAGCTTCCCAAGGAAGACCCCAAGTATGCGGATGGCAAGACGAAGCCACTGCCCGAGGACATATTGAAGACCGAGCCCGGTCAGGGCACGTTGCCTGAGATTGATCCCGAAGCCATGGAGGGCGAGATCTACAATATGTGCCATTTCTGGTCCAACTTTGAAATTGCGAGACTGGACTGGTTCCGAAGCAAGGAGTATGAAGACTTCTTCCAGATGATGGATCGCTCCAGTGGCTTCTGGATGGAAAGGGTGAGTGTCTTGAATATTCCGATAAGAATTGCCCGTGCGGCTTACTGACATGACTTGCAGTGGGGCGATGCGCCCATACACTCACTTGCAGCGGGCGCGCTCCTGGCGCCCAGCGATATTCACTACTTCCGCGACTACGGCTACAGACATACAACAATTCAGCATTGCCCAGCGAATGCGCCTGCTCGACAGATGCCCCGCGAACCCTACCTCGAAATGACCACATTAGATGAGAAGGAGCGAAAAGAAGAAGACGAATACTGGGAGAAGTGGGATCCCGAGAAAGAGAATGGGGTCGGGTGTAGATGTCGTTGTGACACGGACATTGTGGACGTCGAAGGCAAGGAAGGCTCTTGCATACCTCAATGGGTGGACATTGCGGGCGGCTTTATCACACCAAGCGGACCCGGCTAGAAGCCATAGGCGTTGTTGAGGTATAACTGCAATAATAGAAGAAATACAAGAAGCAGAAGAGGACTCGCGAGTATGGAGGAAGGGAGGCAGCGGGAAGGGAGTGCGCGCCAGGACAGCAGCAGGCCCGGCTTTTTGTTATGTGCCTCGCGTGCAAGCGACCACCATATTGCATTGGATCGGTGTATATCGATAGCAAGCACGATGACAGAAGTGGCCGTGTCTTGATTTGACGTTTGGGGGTTTGGGAACAACTGTACAGGTCACACTGGAGGATGATTGTCGTACATTTATACTACTATTACTACCTTCACGTCTGCTGTGCTCTGTCTGCTTCACGTTCACGTTGGAAGGGCGAGGAGCTATGCGAATGGGAGAGTTGAAGGGCATTTCATTCGGTAGGTCCAGGCGGTATATTTTGCGAGTGAATGCGCGCGCATGTTTGCTGACTCCACAAATGTTTCTGGAAGATACTCTCTCTCTCTCTCTCTTCCTATTGTCGGAGTGCATGGAAGCCAGCTTCACGAAAACCTCTTCCCGACCCCCAACTTGAACGCTCTGGGTGACAGACACTCCTCACCTCGGGAACAAGCCAACCACTGAACCTACTCAATCATGCCACCAACGACACGCTCGCAGACCGTTCACCACCGCGTGCAGACCGTCCACCGCGCGCAGACCGTCCACCGCGCGCAGACCGTCCGCTACCGCGCGCAGACCGTCCGCCACCGCGCGCAGACTGTCCGCCACCGCGCGCAAGCCATAAAGAAGAGAGCAGTCGGCGCAACTACTTCCATCACACCCGACGAGATCTGCCACATCAGCATGCTCTACCCAGTGCCCGAGGTTTTTACAATGTTCCTCACTTCATGCACTGCCTCAGAGATATTCCAGCTCCGCCAAGTCTGCCAGCACTGGAAAGCCATGATTGACCAATCCTCCCCCGTCCAAGAGTCACTGTTTCTACGGCCGCGACGTGTCACGAACGTCCTAGAACTCAAACCGGACCACGGCCCCGAGACGACCACCGTCCAAGGATATCTTGTCACGGGCAAAGTAACTCGGCCTTCGCAGTTGGTTGATGGAGAGAAGTATAGTGTGCCAGCGGAGTGGAATGACGTGATTTGTGTGCCTAGTAGATTCGGCCACGGAATGGAGATGGATCGGAGGGTTACAATGGGAGAGTGGATCCAATTGAAAGATGAACTTGTTCAGATATGGATTGAGGAGGCTGTGGCGATTGAGTGGGACAAGTATAGCAAGACGAAGAACAAGGAGGCGCCGGATGTCTCTACACTGCCCGAATCAGACCCACCAGGACCAGGACGCCACCAACACATGCTGGGAGGAGGAAGCGGCAAGACGTTGCACAAGACGCAACTGGACATGTTTCTGACGCAGCCACCGGTCAAATCTGTGTATGTGGCTCACTTCTTAGCAGGCCATCAACGCGTCACGAATCCCACGGGCCTCCGTCTCCGCGACGTCCTGACCGCGTTGGAACCTGGTATGGGTGTGAAACGCAATTTTTTCGATTGTTGGAATCCCATGGCTGCTGAGCGCAAAGGCTTGGGCATGAACTTGAATGGCGCTTTTGACGCTGGTCTCGAAGGCATGGTGTTTATGGGAGCCGATGACTGGAAAGAGGTTGATCGTCGTGCTGGAAACTAGTGAAGGAAGATGTGCGGCGGTAAGGTACAATCTTACCCGACGAATGATATGGTACGTTACGTATCGTCAGAGGTGATTGAAGGAGATCACAGCGCAGAAGAGTGATTGTGGCGAGCAGTTTTTACTCCTTGCTTCTTCATCGAACGTTAGGGCGCCTGAGAGCTTTGCACGGGGAGAACAAGCTTGTCTGCGATGCACAGCGTAGCAGATCACGGCAAGCAGATGGATGTTTAGTACTGTACTCCTCTTTTGGTATTTTATATATCTTCTTCTCCTCTTCTCTCATCTTATTATCATCCATCCAAGCCTCTAATTGATCTCTCCCTCATTGACTCCGTACGATCATACTGTTGTGCTGCTTCGATAGGCTGAGGCACATCCTCCACACCAGTATAGATCTACTCGTGCGTATGCCTAGCAATCCCTTGATCCAATATCAACCCTTTTCGAAGAAACCCACCCAATCCCCACGCATCATCATAATCCGGATCCACGCATCACCCAAAACCTCTCCTCAAAACGCCATCCATCTACCTCAATCAATCGATCTCAATCTCAATCCTCCCCACCCCCCGATCCACACAACTCTGCAAAGCCCTCTTCCTCTCCCCCTCCATCAACACCGTACTCCTAAATTCCACTTCTCCCTTACACAGCGTAACCCTACAAGCTCCACACGCACCCGTCTCACAACTCGACATGACATTCTCGAATCCCGCTTCTCTCAAAATTTGCAACAAACTCTTCTCCGCAGGCACATGAAGAATTTCTTTGCGGCCGGTTTCGGGCTCGTGGATTTGCACGGTGAAGGGGGCGCCTCGATTGCTGCTGTTGGGTGATGATGATGATGATGACTGCTGGAAATTTTCGAAATGGGTCATGTGAGTGGGGTAGTGTAATTCGGTTGTAAGTTGTTGGCATTGTTGGAGGAGTCGGGTGGGGCCACTGCAGTAGATTTTGGTGCGGGTGAGGGGTGGAGGGATTAGGGCGGTGAGGTCCATGCGTTGGTTGTGTGCTTTGGAGTAGATGTGCGTTGCTTCTGGGGGTAGAGTAGCAGTACTGGTACTACCAGTAGTACTACTTCTTGTTGTTGATGTTGTTGTAAACGCCGCATCCTCATCGCTTCGGACTGCGTAGTGGATTTCAAAGGATAGACCTTCTTGTTGCCATTGTGTGATTGCAGGCAGAAAGGCTGTAATACCAATTCCACCGACAATGACGAGACGATGGCTGACACATTGTTTCTCGTTGCACATCTCTTCGTCAGCCACGGCTCTCGGATTCGCGCCGGAAACCATTTCAATCTCGTCTCCCATCTGGAGTTGATGATGCAGATACTCGGACCCACCACGAGAGTGCTCGTCGAGTGCAACACCTAGCTGAAACGTCCGCAAGTCCCCCGAGACGATAGAATATGCTCGAGCGAAACCAAAGTCGGGACCAAAGCGAATATGAGCAAAAGCAAAAGGTGAGAACGCCGGATTCGAAAGCCTCAGGGGCTCACGAAGGGTAAAAGTGAATTGTTTCACCCGGGGCGTAATCCTTGTAATGTCCACCACGGTATACCGCTTCGAAGCAGCTTCCAGTCTCCGCGCAGCTAAGCCCCGGAATTTGTCTGTGAGCACTTCCAGCTCACTGCACTCTTCGAGAAGCCGCAGAGGTACAGATGGCGCTTGAATGACACGTTGGACATTCATCACCGACCATAGCGGATGCGGACGTTCGACGAGCGAGATGCTATCGCCGGTTTGAATGTATCCCGTTCGTAGCACGCGATAATTCCACCCCACACGTCCTGTACGCTGGATACGCTTCAACGCGCGATCCCACGCAAATCGCACATTCAACTTGTAGCACGGATTCCGCGGTTCGCTGACTTGCAGAAGCACATGCTCGCCCAACTGATACAAGTCGCCGACGCACACATTCTCCTCGTTCATATTCGTGGTGGTGAGATTTTCGCCAAAACCTCCTATATCGAACAACTCCGGCTGTGGCGGGTCTTCTGCTCGCCAGTCTGCGTAGTGGTTGGCATTGTATTGGTGCAAAGCCCTCTCGGTACCGCCGTGAAAACGATAGACGTGCTCATCGCCTGTCAGACCGGTCTCGCTCGCGAAGATGAGGCCTTCGATGGGATGTTTGGCAATGGCACTTTCGTGCGGTCCGAGAGCTTGCTTCTTGCCTGTGCGGATCTGAAGAACGATGCCTGGTTCGGGAATGGGTGCGGGTTGGAGGTTGAGAATGTGCTCTCTTGCAATGTTCACTCGCGACGGAGCCATGTTGTTGTTCGTTCAGCTCTTCCGAGCATCCATCTTGAAGAGCTAACGGTGCTAGAGATGTTGCCAAGAGACTCGGAAGAGCTCCGATTGGCTACATGACTTGAGTGGCAAAGCATTGGAAGTGAAGTTCGGGAGCATCTAGCAGATTCTAGCTTTATAAATTCATGGATTCATGAAATTATGAGTTGATAAATAATTAAAATACCTACATTATATGGTAAAGACTTACAGTTACTTACTTTGATGACTCAGAATAGGGTCTAGCGTCTACATAGATTTGCATCCTTCCGCCATCTGTCTCTCGGCCCGTGTCTCCGTCTCTCGGACCGTTTTTGTGGCTTGCATGGATCCGTCCTTGGGATGTTGCGAGGCACACATGCAGAAGAACATCAGGTACATGTTTTAGGTTAATAACAACAAGACTAATGGGGTCTGCCCTTAGACCTGGCGAATATGCGTCCGTCCACTCACGAGATATATGGATCCCATGCCAACCAAGTCTGCATGCTAGCCCAGCTTTCAAGATGATGTCTTGGGGAGATTGCATTCTGGAAGATACAAATACCAATCGTGCTCTCCAATAGGAGATATATTGTTCGCAAATCTAGAGTTCGTTCATAGTATCTTTCTTCTCTTCCTCCCTCATGGCCCAGTAGCTCGACAATTTGCCTTGTGTCGTTTATAATGAGCGACTTGGCACGATCGCCCGCAGTACATGACCTTGTTACACCTTCCACACCGCATCACCTGCGTCAGGATCTTGTTGCAGTTTGCGCATTGTGCCGCTGTTGACGACGATACCACGGCTGCTAACGAAGCCTCTGCTGTCTTTCTCGCCAATCTCAACACGCGCTGTTCACCCAGACTGACGTGAGCTGCCAACCAAGTGTTCTCGCCTGGAGTGTAGAGGCCCGCCTCGAGTTGCTCTTCTAGCTGTTCTAATTGAAGTGTAAAACCATCAAGGAGAGCAGAGATGGATTCAACCAAGAAGGTGAGAACTTCTGTTTCGTTGGAATCGCTGATTTTCTCGAATGCAACATCGCTTTGACGGGTTCCCACGGCAGCAAGATCGGTTTCGTTCAATCGTTGAATACGGAGGTATCGAAGCACGCTCCTTGGCAGCGGGTCGGTGAGAGTGAGAGAGACAGTGGAGGTAGAGTCGAGCCCAGCGGCTATCCAGAGTTTGTGCTTTTGCTCAAAGAAGGGCGCCATGGGATGCGTCGAAAGCACGAGATCATAGCTGTCGTTGGGATTACCGGGCACGACAAAGCCATAGAGACGTGAAAGACGGTTATTGGGAATAGGTCCGTAATTGATGAAGACCTGCAAGTGCACTTGTGGTCAGCGTGACGCATATCAGCAGCAGCGTCAGAGAATAAGACAAGACGTACCTGATCTCCAGGTTCGTAGCTTTTTCCGGCAAGAATAGAGAGATTTCCAGATTGAGGATCGTACACATGACACTGTCCCACGTCGGGTGAGTGATTCAACATGTCTGCAAAGGGCGCCATCAATCGAATGGACTCTCCGTCACGCAGCTTGAAATCCATCGCACGACTCCACACGGTACAGAGTGCCCATTTGTACTGACAGATGGGAAATGCATGTCAGTTCGCCGGTTTGCAGCATCTCCCCATGTGTGGTGGTATACATACATCATCGATAGTAAACTTGTCGCTGGGAAACACATCTCGATGTCGTCCAAACAGTCTCGCCACTAAGTCCTTATAATCGACCTCAATTTGACGAGCCAGGTGCTTCGTGGTCGTGTAGAGTGAAGATCCTGCACAAATTTCCAACTCGGCATCCGCGAAAAAAATGCTCGAACTATAACTCGCAGGCAACGCTGCGACATGACTTTGGGGGCCATCATATCCTGACTTGCGCGCTCGGATAAAGAGAATGTAGGTCGCCAAAGTGTCATCCACAGACAAGGGCGGCCGTGTCGAGGAGAGGAGTGGTCCCAGGACGGGATCAGCATATGCACGCTTGACTGTCCAAAGAAGTCCATGTGGAATCGTGAGGATTTTTTCCTTCTCTTCAAATCGCCGCAGCGCTCTGATGCCGCGCCCAGCGTCCGAGAAGTCGGCAAGTTCCAAGTCGTCTAAGCCCGAGGCTCCCGATTGTTTCAGCCATATTTCCATAGCATCGGACAAGAAAGTGTGCGCGGGTCAGACGAGGAAGATGTCGTCTCTGGCGGTCGGAGTCAATCATCGGGTCGAGGCGCCATGGCGGCAACGGAGGTTGCTTGTTGAGACGTCACTGTGTTGCGGCACAGTTTAGTTGGCAACAAATGGTTGGTTGGCGTCTGAGTGGGCGACGCCGACGGTCCGACGGACGGTACATAACCCGGATGCGGATGATGGATCATGGATGATGGATCATGGATGATGGATCTTTCTTGAAAACTCACATTTCGCGCGCATAACGTAAGCTAGCGGAGCTCTCTCCGAGATATTGTTTTCCCGAGTATATTCATTATATGCATTAATCAGACGCATGCTATAGTGTTGACGTGTGAGCCGAGTTTGTTGTAACTTGTTGCTCACTCGTACGGATATTGAAGGCCCTCTCTATAATGGTCGCTGGACAAGACGCATTATTTGGCCATCAACATGACACGTGCAAGTCTCCCACGATCGATTCTACATCCGGTAGTGTTAACAGTATAACAGTATAAAGGCATGTAGAGAACAATAGGTAGGCGGTCTTCAGTCCTTAGCATTGTTTGCTAGCCTGGAGCTACATTTCTTTGTGTCTCATGCCATTCCCACCAGCTACGAGTTGTAACTAGCATCGCGACCATGTCTACAGAGCTGACCACAGTCTACAACGGCCAGTATGGAACAGCACAACGAGCTGGTACGGCAGATTGCCCGCAGCGTCAAGGACTTTTACGACAAAAAGCAAAAGTTTCGCATCTTTCGTGGAGCGAGCAATAGCAGTCGGAACCAGGCCTTGCGCGACAAGAAGAATGTGGTCGATACCAGTGGATTGAATCATGTGTTGAAAGTCGACACGGACAAGTTGTTGATCTTCGTTGAAGCCAATGTTCCCATGGACCGGCTGGTCGAGGCCACCTTGGCCCATGGCCTCACTCCTGCAGTGGTTGCAGACTTCCCAGGTATGTGTTCTAAGAGCGAGGGAGGGCGGGATGGATGTTGACCAGGCTTGTGACACGCAGGTATTACAGTGGGCGGAGCGTACAGTGGAACGACGGGAGAAAGCTCGTCCTACAAGCACGGCTTCTTCAATCGCACCGTCGATCATGTGGAGATGGTCCTGGCCAGTGGCGAGATTGTCATTTGCTCAGAGACGGAGAATGCGGACCTGTTCCATGGTGCAGCTGGTGGCCTGGGGTCGTTTGGCGTGGTTACCATGCTGGCTATCCGCGTGGAAAAGGCGAAGAAGTACGTCGAGACAGTCTACCACCCTGTCACGAGCATTCAAGAAGCTGTAGACAAGGTGAAACACTTCACTTCTCCAGGCGTGGAATACGATCGCTGGGATTACGTCGATGGCATCCTGTGGTCCAAGACTTCAGGGGCCGTCATTACTGGACGTCGCACCAACGAGTGTGCTCCCGGAGCCGCTGTGGCGAGATTCAGTGCGCCCACGGACCCGTGGTTTGCCTGGCATGTCGAGGAACGTCTGAAGGAGAGCAAAAATACACCCGTCACAGAATTCATTCCTCTGCCAGAATATTACTTTCGATACGACCGAGGTGGATTCTGGGTGGGTGCGAGCGTCTTCGAAGCCACCAATGGCTATGTGCCATTCAGCAAGCGGACCCGATACTGGTTGGACGACTTCCTGCACACTCGAATGCTGTATGCGAGTATGCATGCCTTGTTTCTGAATGTCCAAATCATTCAAGACGTGGCCGTTCCCATGAAGGCGGCCGCAGACTTCATCGAATGGGAGACGGAGAATATCAAGATCTGGCCCTTGTGGCTCTGCCCATTGAAACAGAGCCCTGCCCCAACTCTGCATCCACACACCAGCGAGAAGAGGGCGGATGGCACACCGGAGCTCATGATGAATGTGGGTATCTGGGGCGCGCCACTCGAGGTCAGTATTGACTGCTATCTGGACGAAAACAAGATGATTGAAGACAAGCTCCATGAAGTTGGCGGCATGAAATGGATGTATGCAGCTTCCTTTGCAACAGAAGATGACTGGTGGCGCCCATTTGACCGGGAGTGGTACCATAGCTTGCGAAAGAAATACCATGCTACTACATTGCCGACCATCTTCGACAAGGCTCGAACTGATCCTGTGAAATTGCGGCAGCGTGAGGAAAATGCCACCTGGAAAGACTTCATCACCTATGGCATCTATTTTCCGGGCGCTGCTCCGCTTGCTCTGGCCAAGGCATGGCTGGGCGGCGAATGGAAAAAGAAGAGGCAATCGACCTGGATGAATTGGGTGCCACGAGAGAAGGATTCGATCAAGTAGATGGAGTGTGGTGAGAGGCAAGCACTCTTGTTATGCCTCGGAACCTCGCAAGCGTCGGCTACGAGGTCGAATTCGGTACACTGAACATCTAGATAAAAGGTAAAGGTACCTGGTATATAAGGTAGTTATCCTGAACTCCAAACATCAGCGTCACTAATGATATTGTCAATTGAACCACCTCATACTCGCTAATACATACATACCAATATCTATCCCACACCCACAACCCCAAGCCCAAGCCCAAGTCAAAATGCCACTCCAGCTCGACCCCGAAGTAGCAGCAGCATTCGCGCCTCTCGCCAAGCTAATAGCATCCAGGCCACAGGTAAGAACAGTGTAAAGTCCAGCATTACCTTGTTCATCAGTACCTATCTTCACTTGAAGCACATACCTACACAGACACACAACACTGAACGCACACATACATACACACACAACAGCTTCCACGCGGCGACGTTCTCGGGCGCCGCAAGAGATCCAACACGATGATGGCACAAATGATGAGCACTCTTCCCGACTACCCATCCGTCACTCGAACAAACCATTCCATCAAAAGCTTCGATGGGACATACATTACCATTGCGGAATTCCGCAAACAAGGAACCTCTCACTCCTCTTCTCCTCCTCCTCTCCATGGCGAAGGAAAAAGCAGTAGCAGTAACAACAACAGCAAAGCCCTCTACCACATCCACGGCGGCGGCATGATCCTCGGCAGTGTCGACATCTTCTCCCCCAGTACCGCCCAACGGTGCGAGGAGACGGGACTTCCCATTTTTGCCGTGGAGTATCGTTTGGCTCCGGAGCATCCCCATCCGACGCCTGTGGGGGATTGTTGGGCGGGACTGCAGTGGTTAAGTCGAAATGCGGCGCGGTTGGGTGTGGATGCGAGGAAGATTGTTGTGGTGGGAGAGTCGGCGGGAGGAGGGTTGGCTGGTGAGGTTTTTCCTTTTTTTTCTTCCATTTTGGGCAGCAGCAGCCGATGACATCTTGTGCTCCTCTTCTTTCCCGTAAACTGAGAGAGAGGGTGGGTCAATGAACGAGAGAGTGGAAGCTGACTTCTCTCGAATACCTACGCAGCTGGAACATGTCTGCTCGCTCGAGATGAGAAGCTATCTCCACCCGTGGCAAAGCAAATCCTCATCTTTCCCATGCTGGACGATCGCACCAATCATGACAATAATGAATCTACTCTCCGCGACATCGACGCGGTCGCAACATGGAAACTAGATGACAACGCCACAGGCTGGAAAGCTCTCCTCGGAGACCAAGCAGGATCATCAGACACCCAAGCAGTGTCCGAGTATGCTGCACCCGCTCGAGCAGAGGACTTGTCCGGTCTACCACCCACCTATATCGACTGCGGTCAGCTAGATATTTTCATTCGCGAGGATACCAAATTTGCCAGTCGTTTGATGGATGCACGAGTGCCGACCGAGTTTCACACGTATCCCGGTATGCCGCATGCGTACATGATATACGCGCCCGACGCGAGATATTCCAAGATGCACGCGCAGAATGTCTTGAATGCGATTGAGATGGTGTAGGGGAGAGAAAGAGAGATGTGCGGCTGCGGGCGGGGGACTGTAGTTCTCCAGCTCTAGGTATGTAGCACAGTCTAAATTACATCGACGATGGTCTCGTGGTCGTCCGCGGACGCAAGAAGACTTTGAGGACATTGACTAGTCTCGCCATGTGATGTTCCAATCGCACGAGTGATCTGCCTGTCTGAGTGCTGTGCTGTATACCACCGCTGTCTACTCACTGCCAAGAACAAACTGTGGGGTTCCGGCACAGCTCACTCCGAAGCTCCGACGATCAGTCTCCGCTCTTGATTAGATAGGAGGAGGTTACCTTGCAAGCGAGAAGTCGGGACGTGGAGCGACTGTAGGAGGTGCGGAGATGCCTAGGAGGTAGTGTAAGGTAGGTGGGAGGTAATGCAGCCCGATAATGGTGCTCTGCTTGCTTTCTCTGCTCGATAACATGAAAGGATACCTACGAAACCGCGGTTCAAGACCGTTGATTTGCAGTGAGCACTAGGGTTGCCGGGATTGAACAAGATGTTGATCGCGTCAATCGAATACTTTCGCCTACCGCCAAGATGGCTGTTCGTCAAGCTTGTCGACGCTGCCGGCAATGTCGGATGGGGAGAAGCAAGTCTCGAGGGCCACACAGAGGCGGTTGAGGGATGCCTAGACGCCTTTGGAGAACGATTCGTGGGACAGGAAGCCGATGACATTGAGCAGATATGGCAGCTGGGATACCGCATGGGCTTCTATCGTGGAGGCCCTGTGATCATGTCTGCGCTCTCTGGTGTAGACATTGCGCTGTGGGATCTCAAAGCGCGCAAGCTGAACCTGCCCATCTATCAGCTTCTGGGCGGCAAGGTCCGAGATCAATTGAAGGTGTACGCGTGGATCGGAGGCGATCGTCCTCACGATGTCGAGGCTATGGCTCGCGGTCGACTCGAAGCAGGCTTCCGAGCGGTCAAGATGAACGCTACTGAAGATCTTGGCTGGCTGGACTCGCCAAGTACACTGGATGCATGTCTCGAGAGAGTGAAGGTGGTCCGAAGGCTCGGGCTGGACGCTGGGGTCGACTTTCACGGCAGAGTGCACAAGCCGATGGCAAAGCAGTTGGCGAAACTGCTGGAGCCGGAGCGGCTGCTCTTCATCGAAGAGCCACTGCTATCGGAGAACATTGAGGGCATTCAGGAGCTGTCGCAGCACGTAAGTACGCCTATCGCGCTGGGAGAGCGGCTACACAGTCGATGGGACGTGAAGCGGTTCCTGGAGGCGCGCTGCGTGGACGTGCTGCAACCCGACATCTGCCACTGCGGCGGCATTTCGGAGTGTTTTCGCATTGCGAAGATGGCAGAAGCGTACGACGTCGCGCTCGCTCCGCACTGCCCTCTCGGGCCTATTGCCCTGGCGGCCAGCGTGCACATTGACGCCACCTCGTCCAACTTCGCCATCCAAGAGATGCCGTTGGGCATCCACTACAATGTCGGCGGCTCGGACCTGACCAGCTACCATACGAACCCTGAAGTGTGGCAAGTCACGGACGGCTACATCCAGCTGATGACCGGTCCGGGGCTGGGCATCGACATTGACGAGGCAGCGGTGAGAGCGGCGTCGGTGCAGACGAAAGCGTGGCGAAGTCCGCATTTCGTGGGTCCTGGGGGAGAGATTCGGGAGTGGTAGAGTACCTAGGAGGTAGGGTAAGGTAGACAGGCACGATGATGGATAGGAGGTAGTACCTGACTAGGTGCCTGGTACCTGTTATGAGTTCTAGAAGGTACTGGATGTACCTGACGCCTGACGGTAGTACCTGAGCTACCTAGTTGCTTCATGTCACGTTCTGGAGGGAGCGCTCCATCCCCAGTTGCCCGGGCCAGTTCTGTTTAGAATCTGCTAGGAGGAGGTAGGAGGTAGAGGGCGCCCGATATTCCGCAGAGCGCACTGGTACCGCTGCCTGCCCGGGCCGTGACATCCATGATATCTAGGTAAAGGTAGGGTAGGTACGGCTCCGTGATCCCGCGCTTCCCGATGTGCCCTCGCTCGCTCCTTCCTTTCTGACATGCCCGCTGCCCGCACCTTCTCTTCTTTCCACATCGGGCCACCTGTGTCTCCCGTCCTCTTCCTCTTTCTTCCTCCTCTCCCCCCCTCCTCCCTCTGTCCCGTCCTCTTCCACCGCCTCTCTTCCTTCTCCTTCATCGCGCCGTCGCACTCTCATTGCTTCCCCTCATGCTCGCACGCAGCTCGACCATTGCACGACAGCGTGAGATGACCCCGCCGAATTGGCGTCTGCGCTAGGAGGTAGGACTAGCATACCACTCGCGTGTCGTCGGCAGCAGGAAACGCGTCGAGTAGGGCACATGGCTCGTTCGGCAGGGAAAGACGACTCGGTCGATGCGTATACTTCCCATCAGTGAGAGACGTCGATTGCAGTCTTCCAGGATGTAGCCTCAACATCAGCACCTCCTACCGCGAGACGCGCTCGGACTCCGAGTCATTGGCATGGCATGTGGACGCGCGCCGTGCAACCTCACCCAAGCTTCAAATACCTTTCCTGCCAAGCTGGGGTGGTTGTACTTCTTCATGTCACCCTCCAGACGCACGACCGGAAGAAAGAATACAGCACACCAAGGTGGTGACCTCTTGGCTCTTTACACTGCATGAGCTGGACTCTTTCCCGGTCGATGCATTGCAGCTTCTCCGCAGATGACCAGCTGCAACCAATATGTATCAACACCTTGTGTGCAAATGGGGCATCTGCGCCGAGCATCCAGAGAGCATTCAAGCAATTGAATGGAGGATGAACAGGACAAGGGCTCGAAAGCATGATCACTGCAATCTGCAGACCTCCACGTAACTTCTTGTAGGCAAAGCGGTTTGGATCTGAGGTGTACCTGAGGTCTCTGGTTGTATGCACCTTCCGCAGCTATGACCTATGTGTTCCCGCTACTGTTGCCCCTTTAAGAGCCAAAGCGATCAAGTTCTCTGCAACACTTCGCCCACTTCCACTTTTCTGCTGGTTCAGGCTTCTATTATCTTAGATGCCAGCAAAATGCAAATATTTCGGATCTCTCCCGCTACCTTTCTTCTAATTCTAGGCAGTGCTCTAGGTCACATACCTCTTCACTTTGCACGACAATCACAGAACGCTACGCAGCCATACCAGCTGCAAACGCCGCCTCTGGACACTGTGTATACTTCGCAGGTCGGACTAACTCCATGGTAACTTTGCCCGTTTCAAGGATAGACAGGCTGCATGTTGGCAGATCTGACTTACGAATAGGCCACAGCACCCCCGGCCTAAACTGAGACGCAAGGAATGGAAGAGCTTGAATGGTATCTGGCAGTGGACGAATGCGACCAGCCTAGAGGATGTTAACAATCCCCCTTTCGGACAAAGTCTGGCTCGGGAGGTGCTTGTGCCATTCTGCCTCGAGTCTGCACTTAGCGGTATCCAGGGAGAGCGACTTCTGTACTCCTGGTACCGAACAACATTTGACGTGCCAGCGTACTGGTCCGGAGATCGTGTTCTTCTCAACTTTGATGCTGTTGACTATGAAGCAACTGTCTTTGTGAATGGTCAGAACGTGACATTCAACAGAGGAGGTTACTTTGCATTCTCCGTGGACATTACAGATCATCTTGAAGCAGGAGACGCAAATGAGCTGGTCGTATTTGTACACGACCCTACGGATAGCGATGCCAATGTCATTCCCATTGGTAAACAGACTCTCGAACCATCGCATATTTTCTATACGTCCTGCAGCGGTATCTGGCAGACTGTATGGCTCGAGTCTGTACCGTTCGATCACGTCAGCTCTCTCGATATTGACGGAGACGCCTACGGCAACCTCACCATCAAGGCAATGACATCAGGCAATGTCACATCCGCTGTCAGTGTCACAGTCTATGAGAAGAACACCACGATCGTAGTGGCAACTGGCACCGGTCAATCAAATTCGGCATTCGGTCTGATGGTGGAGAATGCGCGGCTATGGTCGCCTGAGACTCCGACGCTGTACGATGTCTCCATCAAGTCTGCGAACGACACGATCCAGAGCTACACTGGGTTTCGAACAATCTCAAGAGGGAGCGTCAATGGTGTCCAACGTGTACTTCTAAACGGAGCCTCTTACTTTCCATTTGGAACTCTTGACCAAGGGTACTGGCCAGACGGTATCTACACGCCGCCGACCTATGAAGCTATGGTTTACGATCTGGAGGTGCTCAAGACTATCGGCTTCGACATGCTCAGGAAACACGTACGTCCCGTCTTTCTCAGGAATCAGAGTTGCGCACTTCCAAAGCTTACGAGAACCTGCTGATACCCGCTGAAGATCAAGGTTGAACCACCGCTTTTTTACGAAGCCGCTGATCGTTTGGGACTTCTTGTTATGTAAGTCAAGTGATGGAGGGCTTGTCATTTGCGCGATATATCACTGCGCTCCAGTCCTGTATAGCGACAAGCTGAAGGGCAGACGTTGCTGAAACAGGTCCGCTATTCCAAGAACACTTGCTAACCCTGCGTCGGCTACTCTTAGGCAAGATATGCCCTCACTACGTCCAAGCCAGACACGCACACTCCAGAACTGTACGAGAGAGACGATCCTGCCCGACGACGCTCAGCAAGCTGAGTTCCAACGGCAGCTCGAAATCCTCGTCACTCAATTCCGGTCCTACACGTCTATATTCTCATGGGTCATATACAATGAGGGATGGGGACAGCTGACTACTCAGCCATACCCGGAGTTTCAGCTCACTGACTTCGTCAAGAGCCTGGATCCAACACGTCTCGTCAATTCCAATACAGGTTGGTACGACCACGGAGCTGGAGACTTTAGCGACAATCACCATTATGCGAACCCACAGTGCGGCACACCCTGGTACTCTATCGCTAGCTCTCCTTTCGACCCTAGCCGTATCGGTTTTCAGGGAGAGTTTGGTGGTACAGGACATAATGTCTCCGCCAAGAATCTGTGGAAAGTGGAAGAGGCTCTTGATACCATCAACCAGACGTACGAAATTGATCAAACGCTAGACATCTGGAATCGTCGTGGACACTTTCTGCTCAGCGAGCTGTTATCGCAAGTTGAGATGTACTCTTGTGCCGGAGGAGTCTGGACGCAAACGGTAGGAGTGCACGAAATGTGTATCCCAATGTCCCATTGAGACAGCTGCTGACTGAGATATGGTTTGGCGGCAGACTGACGTCGAAGGCGAAGTCAACGGAATGCTGACGTACGATCGACGGATCATCAGGCCCCATGTTCCTCAATGGCGTACAGACATTCAAGCTTTGTATGCTGCGAGTGCTGCGCGAAGCAACGAGACAGCCCCGGTGTTCGAACCTGCGGCAGTGTGAACGTCTCCTGCTGTCACGCGCGACCACTACTTGTGGACGACTGCGGGACCAGTGCAGACGAGGGTGGAGGTACTCCTGCCGTTGAGGTAAGGAGGTAGACTAGGTTCGCGGGCAGACGTGGAAGAAAAAAAGAGCGGCTGGTTCCTTCTTTCTGCGTCCTAAGACAATGCTCGCAAAGAAAAAAAAAGTATCCCTGCTGCGAAAAAGTCTTCGTAGATGGTGATGATAAACAGGTGATTATTCTCAGGCCATCGATTTAAAAAAAGAAAAACAAAAGAGGGTATTTGGCAGTAGCATAGCAGGTACAGGTATGTAGATACCTGGTGGGTACCTAGGTACTGTAGGTACCTGTATCTTATTGATACGCAGCCGCGAAACCCCGTGATCTCACCTTATGCCGATGACGACCGTCTTTTTGCAAATCCGAAAACCGAAGTTGAAATCGCGCAGTTGTCCCTAGGTCAGGTACCTACATACTGTACATGTAAGGTACCGCATCTATCTGAATGAAACCCGAAGTACCAAAACTACCTTAGTATTTTGACCGCGCGTCATGGGAAACCCGCCCCGTCAATCAGCCAGTCGGTCAGCTGTATCCGAGGTACCTAGGTATGTAATTGATGACAAGTCTTGGTGAGTTACATGGAAAGTGAACAAGAGTTTCGATAGGTATCTTGGGTAGGGTTAGGTAGGCAAAGTTAGGGTTAGGTAAGATATATTTCTTCCAAAATAGGTAGCTCGTATTTGTCGTTTTGTCCATATGTAGCTACATTCCCTACCTACCTTACATAAGATATACCAATACAGGTACGTCGTCACTGGGCAGTTTGGGTATACATGGTATCCCTATAGGTAGCAGACCGACCTCATGATGACGATGAATGATACCCTCATGTACTAGTAGATGATAACGATGATTGGAATCGAGACATTGGACCTGCCGCTATGTAGACTGCGAGCCTTGATATACCCGACCTAAGAGGTAACTGGAACAAGTATGTCTGACTTTTTGTCAATGCGATAGAGTAAGGTAGGGCAGCTTAGGTAAGTTACTTTTCTCTCTCTCTGTATCTCTCTCTCTCTCTGGGCTCTCTCTCTTTTGGTAAATAACAAGGCTGTCAGCTGTTATTCCCCATTCATGCCCCCCATCGGACCACTGTGCTGAATCCACATCGGACATTTTTACAGCAAGCCATTTTTGTCACGTTTCCCGGTTTGGGCTGCCCCCCCGAGTCGGGCCGCCACAAAAGTGAAACGTCGGGCTGGTATCACTAAGGCATATTAGAAGGTGACTGCCAAGACAGGGCCAGCAAGGCGTAGGTAGGTAGTGACGATACCTTATCTATAACACATGACCCATGATTCGAGTCTACAGGTACTCAGCGTCTGCAATAATCTATAGATCCCCGGGATGCCCTACCCCTCGCCACCGGCAATGAGCCGCGGACACTTATTTCCCATCGCTACAGCAGCCTACGTAGGCGCGGTCTTCCAGGCCATGTGGTGGCCATCAGCCCTATGAGCACACGCGGGTAACGGCGTCCCATCGACACGAGGCTTGGCCGGCGAATATACCGGCACCAGAGTCGCGCACAGCCTTCGAGTAATAAAGTGGGTCGAATGTGCCGAGGCTTCAGTTGGTGAGGCGCGGTGTTGGCAGCGACTGTGATCGTGACAGGCGCACAGGCTGAGGAAAGTTGTAAAGCAGCCTTCGATTATTGCTCTCATATCTTGTACGGCTCAGCCACATGGTAAGGACTCCAGACGCCTCTCACACTCTCGTTCAGACTCTTTACGGGCTTGGTCACGCGTCTCAGTTTCTCGCCATTGGCGTTCCGCAATAGCAGTACTTTCTGCATGATCTCGTTGGTGTCGAGGTTCCGCACGCAGACGGGCTTCGTGCGGCCATTGATGTAGGTGCCAGTGATGACGGGATGACGGCCTGGCCGAGGCGAGACGGTGATCTCGATGGACGGGTTGGCGGCGGCGAAGGCGGCGAGGCGCGACTTGAGAAAGGCGCTGGAGGGGGCGGTGGTGTGAGTAGAGGCGCGAGGAGGCATGAATGGCCGCACTTACTTCAAACCTCGACTGCTGCCGGCCCAGTCGCAATAGTGGAAGTCGAGGCGTTTGCACTGCAGGATGAAGGCTCCCACGCCGTTCTGCGTGCACGTGATGGCGTCAGGATGGTACGTAGGGGGTGGAGCGGAGCGGAGGGGAGAGCATGGTTGACGTTGACGTACCTGAGGCTTTGCTACGGTGCGAAGCGCTGCGAGCGGCATCTTGACATGTCCCGGCGTGTGTTGTGGCTATGTCGTCTTTCGTAGGCTGTCTGGACTCGACTCTGGTGTCTGGAGGGCTGGGGACAAAAACGGAAACGGGAGCGAGCGAGGTACCTTGCCGGAGGTACGTAGGAGGGTGTCACCTCCGCGTTCGCCGCAGCCAATCAAAATCGCGTGTGCGCTAGTGTCCTCACTTACTACACGCTACGTCTATCGTCTGTCTACTACCTACCTCACCTACTGTCCCAACCCAACTAGAACACTCTCCATCCCACTGCCATTCTTCACCTCTCCTTACATCTTCAACTACGAACTACGAGGGCGACCGGATACATGCGCTCCCGCCGCTCTGCACGCCCTCCCCAGCGCATCCAGCATCGGGTCCCCGCCGCCGCCTCGCGTGGCCTTTCAAGTTCCTGGCTGTCTCATCGCCTGACGCGATAGAAACTAGCTCTCCGCACCGTTTCGGAACAAGACCTGACGCGCACCGGTCAGGTGATGCTGGAACCCCTGACCGCTCGACTGTCCGTGACTACCCCAGGGTGCCTGCAGCGTAGCTTATGACGCCGGGCTCGCCTCACACCTCCAGGGCTGCTTTGCCTCAGGTTGAGATGCATTGGTTCGCCTCCCTAGCCATCTGCTTTCGCAGAGCGGAGCCTTGAAAATCTGCGAACCGTGTTATCCCATACGCTCGGCGTCCAACGAGCCTTATTCACACTGCCCTGGTTCATGCCCGCAGGACGCAGGCCTGCAGCCAAGTCGCAGGCTCGGATCTCACACTCACACGTGTGTGCAAGTGCCGCAGGCACAAAAACGTGGCCGTCAAGCTCGCTGTCGGTCGGCCGCTTCCAGACTGGCCTGATCAAATTATAGTAACAATCTTCCGCCCCGAGTATCAACATGCCCCCATGAACGTTCTGGGCACTATTGCTCGAGTTTTCCGCACGATGAAGATGGGAGATCGTAATTCAGCGCCGGCTACTGTAGCTGCCTCCTACTAATACTTGGATTGCGACAGAGACACAGTGCACAGGTGACGATCAGCGAAGAGGCTCAGGGGACGTTGCAAGCACGGCAGGGACGATCCGTAGATCATGTGGCGTATGTCCAAAATACCCGTGCCCTGAGCTGACAAGCTGCCTCTTCCACGTCTGTGGGGTATGGCCGCAGGTACCGCTGATGCCCCGAGCTAAAATTCCGAATATCCCGCCAGCGAACTGTCCGATTGAGATCGTCTCCCGACTAACACTTCTTTTGATGGCACCACAATTGCTCAAGACCGTACCAGACCTCTTGCTGAGGGACAGCTGCAGGAAGATAATTTTGAGATATATTGCGCTATGACCATCGGCGACGGAAAGCGATGTTCGACCCCTGCCACACCTTAAGGTATATGTCATCAATGCCAAGCATCTGTCCTGTGGCTGGAGCCGCCCTGCTGGGCCCCCCTCCCCCCTGACTACTACGCGTTCCCCAACTCAGCTACCAAGGAGTCGAGGACATTGGCGGAATTGCGTTTGGCACCTGGCACCACAAATTCTTCACACCTGAAACCCTAGGACTATCTTCGAGCTTTTTGAGGGCTGTAGCGAATCAATGGCTCTTGAACACGCTCTGCTCCATATGTTTCACCCTCGCAAGCATCTCGACCCTGTACTAGACGCCGCATTCAGCATGACCCACAAAGTGCTCCTCTACGGACAGGCTCTTGGCCAAGCGTGGTCTGTTTCATCATGCGATCGGCTCAAAAGAACGTGGTCGTGCGATTGTGCCTCATCGCCATGCCATCTTGAAATATATCCGATAAGCATCGGGGTGTCATGGGTCTGAGTTCCGTCATCAGCTTCCATAGCCGCCACGAACATGCCGGATTGTGGCAAAAGAAACTAGCCGACCGATGGTGCTGAGACGGCGATGAATTACTTCTTGAGTCTGAGACTACTGTCCGCTATGCTTGGCTGGCTGGAGACCGTGTTGTGTCGAGTCGGATCATCAGTCCAGCTGCCACTCATGGCGGTCAACATCACAGAAACAAGCGTAGATCCATCGCATCGCTGTGCTCGAACCTGGCCAGAGCACACCTGGACGCTCATCAGCGAGTCTTCTGCAACGCACGGCCTGAGCATCTCATTCTCCATGCAATACAGACTGGTCTGCGCCTCCCGACGTCAAAGGGTCTCGCACAACAGCACGTCAACAGATCGTCCAATCCTGGCTATGTTTCGCTATGCTGATCCCCCATAGCATTCGTTATCTCCGCGGACCGATACTCGCATACTAACACGACCGACCACGGGAAGCCCAGCCGTGGCCAAGACTACGAGCTCCCTCCCCCCTCCCCACCCCATGTGATGTTGACAACCGCTTAGCGTTTCGTGCATTCGCTCATGTGCTATCCCGGGACTGAGGGCGACACGTGCGACCCATTCGACAGCTACTTGGGATGTTCTTAGCTTCCATTATGGAGCTCCCAGATGGCATCGCTGCTCGCATGATCCACTACTATATACTTGGCATCTCGTTGTGCGGCGACATCAGCAGCCTGGATGTCACACTAAGTATGACGCGAACACACCGCCGTCAGTCGATCATGCATGTTTGCCCTGCGCTGGGCCGTGTGGTTGACAACAAGCACGGGGTCTGAGCTGGACTCACTGCTTCGGCTTGCAATCGTACTGCAAGTCCCATTCGATGACGGTCTTTTGCGCAAAGCCGCCGAGACTTGAGAAGATGGGGGAAGCAAGCACTTGCTCGTCTAGTATGACCGGATCAACTGCACCAATTCTAAGACAACGTGCGCCCATCGGGGCTCCGACGGTTCTTAATGGTTGGACCCCATCGCCATTGGCGCATAGACCACCAAGAGGTTATTATGAAGAGGGCACCGAAGTCTCGATCATTGCTGCCATATTTCGGACTTCACCCTCACAACTATCCAAAATGTCTACCAGAATACGCGCAGGTCGCGCCAACAGCATGGAAAGCAAGCAAGCTCGTGGGAAGGCCAATGCCTGCCTACGGTGCTACGAGAAGAAAATAAAGTGCGACATGGAAAGCCTTGGTCAGCCATGCACAGGTTGCACACGGGATGGAGTGAAGTGTCAAAAGCGATCCCGCAAACCGTATCCGTACGTCCAAACTCCACATATACATCCAAAATGTACATATTACTCACGTGCGCCTAGACCACGCAGAGAAGCCAGTAGTGCCGCATCTTCAACATCAAGCAGCTCGCGTGGCTCTCCCACGCGTAGCAAACCGGGTTCCACACCACCTCGAAGCGTTCCTATGGAACGACCGCAAGCGCCACTGTTCAGTCCTGACCAATTCCACTTCTCTGCTCCATTTCTGGAATCGCCCAGTTATTTTACTCCAATACACGACTTTTCTTCGAACGTGATGCCGCACGCAACTGTGGAGCGGTCAAATACGATGACGGACACATTGCCATTCTTTGGCGGTAAGTCGTACTCGGACCATCATCATCATCATCATCACTGTGATATATGTACTGATTGTTTCGTTTGCAGGTGATGAGCAAGACTATGCCTTCCTGCTCAGCATGTGCGATGCTTCCAAAGATCGCAAGGCAAATGCCCTCTTCGGCCACAAATCTTCCATGGGTATCATGGAACCGGAAGCATTGGCGTACGCTGAAGCCAAAGGCTGTTTCTCGATGCCGAGCCATGCTGTCTGCGAAGATCTTGTGCAATGCTACTTCCACTACGTGCACCCGATTTGTCCCATTATGGACATAGCAGACTTCCTCGAGCAATACCAAGGTGGCGCCTTGGAGGGTACGAGTCTACTGCTCCTGTGGAGTATGTTCTCGGTCGCAGCCAACTTTGCATCAGATTCGACGCTCGCGACACACGGTTACCTGTCTCGTGCCGAACTCAAACAGACGTTGCACGCACGAGCGAAGTGCCTCTATGATCTCGGTTACGAGCAAGATCCCGTCACACAGATTCAATCCGCACTCCTCCTGGGCTTCTGGTACTCCGACATGCAAGATCATGTGCAGTCGTGGCACTGGACGGGGATTGCCATCTCGTCCGCACAGAGTCTGGGCCTGCACAGAGACCCCGACACCCTCTGCCTCGAACATCCCGTGCCCAGCTCGCGGCGACGGCTCTTGGCAAACATCTGGTGGTGCTGTTTCTTCCGCGACCGCTGGCTCAGTTTCGAACACGGTCGGCCCCTCCGAATCAATGCGGACGATTGCAACGTGCCGATGGTCAGCTCAGACTATCTGATGCAGCTACCTGATCGCGCGCCCAAATCGTGGCACAAGTATGTTTCTTTGGAGCTCCGCCATCTAGGACCGATATGGATAGGTCTGCTGCAGCTCACACTCGTATTGGATGACATCCTGGCGGCCAACCAGTCACCACGCAAGACGACGCTAGACATCGAGAGCATGACTAGCCTGGAGCGGCGCATTGCTCGGTGCTTGCCGGACAAACAGGCCCGTCCTTTCCATTCCGATGTGTTACTGTTCTTTGAATCGCATGCGCAGCTCCACCTCGAAGCGGCCATGATTGCGCTCTACAAGCCATATGCGTCCGAATTCTCCAGCACGTCCGCCAGCACCAGCACAGATCCTACGCTGATTCGACTGGCCAACGGGCGCGTCAAAGACGCATCCGCACGCACCAGCGGGATTCTGGACCGCATCATTTCCTCCGACACTCTGCGGTTCGCAGGACCGATGATTATTCCGCTGCTCGTGCCGAGCATGACAATACATTTGCTGCAAGCCAAATCTCATGACCAGTTCACGAGTTCTTGGAGCCGCAGTCGACTAGACCAATGTCTATTGGTGCTCAAGCGACTCGAAGCCAACTATCCCGCCGCTGCTCTCGTGCACCAGCTCTTCGCCGGGAAGCGTGGATCGCAAGCGGCGGCATTGGACGTGGGCTCCCACGACGCGTCTACAGCAAGTCTGATGGACGATTCCAAGCGGATGTCTTCTTCCTGCGGACTCGACATTGCACGCAACCACGATATGGTACACCAGTGGCAGGGAGCGCCGTTGGACATTCATAGCACGGGAAGCCTGTGCACTCCCAACCGAAGCGCAGTCGCAGCAGCAGCAGCGACAGCACAGTGGTCGAGTCCTCCCAATCTGGAGATTGTGGACCCGGACTTTGATCTCTGGAACCTCACAACACCCTCCGAGGGGCCCCTCTTCTTTCCTCTTGATGATGTCCACATGAATGGACTGGAATATGGCGCGTGCGCAGCATGATTGGTGACGGTGATTAACGATACCCCCCCCCGGCGAGACATTCGATGAGACATGGGATGAGACAGGACAGCAGGAGGGATGTTTGTGTGTATTTGTGTGGATGTGGGTGTGTGTGTGTGTATGTGTATATCTATCATCTAAGCAATGTTTCGCACCAAGTGGGCCATATGTCGATATTGTATAACAGTAATGATAGGAACCTTGGTGGACATTGGATAGATTATAGTGGTGAAGGCCACAAATCAACATGACTCCTGTGTCTTGGAAGCTTTGCAATTTTTTCTCTCTCTCTCTCTCTTTCTCTCTCACGCATCACCTTGTTGTATGTATGTGTGTGTGTGTGTGTTTTGTTCAAAATTGTTTGTGGTATACCCCCACCGACCCACCCACTACACACTACACACTATACCTCTCAGGTGAAAATAAAGTTGTGCCATGCATGCACACTTTGCGACACTAAAAACGGAGGGTATATCCACTTCTATATAGTGTGTAGCCACCACACTGCTACCTCCTACAGCGTCGTCTCTCCAGACTCACGCTAAAATTGCCATTTTCTTTTTAGTAAATCCTACAAAGTCACACCGATCAGTAGACCGAGTGGAAGAGACTCTCTCTCTCTCCCTCTCTATCTCTCACGTGACATATCACACACATGTATCAAACTAACTGTACTACCGAACACGGAGGCTGATTTAACATCCGACGCTAGAAGAGGACATACCCCACCGAGGAAGTAGGTATACTATCTTTTTGTTTTACTACTACTACTCCTACTCCTACTTCTTCTTCTTCTTCTTCTTCTTGCTAAAAGATAGATACTATACCTACTTGCGATATCATTGATAGTATAGGATAGCATCGGACCAGATAGGTAGGGTATACTACGGACTTGACATAGCAATACCCCCAAATGGCTTAGCTTTTCTTTTCTCTTTTTTCCAACGAAAAGAAAAACACTTTCCCTGACAAGACCTTCTGCACGATGACGAACGAGTGTCCTGCCTCACTTTTTCTTTTTCTTTTTTTAAAATAATATTATATAATTTCTTACTTTTTTTTTTAAAAAAAAAAAGATAAACTATTTTCAATTCGTTGGCAGATAGACACTACTGACTCATGCATGCATACTGTTGTTGCATCATGCAGTAGAGCGTGCAAGGCTGCATAAAGGAAGAGCACAGCACAGCACCCCCGACTACTCTACCCCCTTACCCCCTCCCCTGAGTCCCCCCCTCTTGGCATCGCCTATGTACGTGTACCACGTGGGAACACGCGCTCTTTTTTTGCTCTTTCTCTCTCTTTCTCTCTCTCTCTCTCTCTCTCTCTCTCTCTCTCTCTCTTTCAAAAGCGGGGTAAGTGCTTACCTGCAGACTGCAGTAAGTACAATCCTTGCCCTCTTCTTCGCTTCTTCGCTTCTTCCTCACCCCTTGCCTTGTCTTTGCATTTCCCTAATTGCGTCGTGTGAAACAAAACTCGTATCTCTCTCTTTTTTCTCTTTCTCTCTCTTTTTCTCTTTCCCTCGCTTTCTTCAGATAGATGAATCGATCGATTCGACCAGGGGGTGGTCTTAGGCACCAAGAGAAAAAAAGGGTCCTTCAACAGTCAGCCCGAGGGGAAAAAATAGAAGCAGAAATGGCCAATGAGAGAATGAACCGAGATGATGATGATGATGATGATGATGATGATGATGATGATGATGATGATGATGATGATGACGAAGACGAAGACGAAGAATGACGATAGATAAATCAATCCTCTCTTCGGAAACGGCGGATATTTCTCCATAATTCCCTTGTGTCGAGTACTAAGGTAAGGTAAGGTAGGGCGTATGTCCTTTCCATCATCATCATCAAAAGACGACACCACAAGCCAGAGAAAAAAAGTGAGTGTTGGTTGGTTGTTCGTAAACTCCACTCGTGGGGTCACTCTGTGGGGTCACTTCTGTGGAGATAATCAGAAAAAAAAAATCCATTCATCATCATTAATTAACTATTACTGGTCGAAATTCGCCGAAAGAATGAAAAAAAAATGGAAAATGGATAATTGTATGCAGGACGAATAAATCAAAAAAACAGAAAAAGAAAAAGAAAAAGAAAAAGAAAAAGAAAAAGAAAAAGAAAAAGAAAAAGAAAAAGAGTCGGTCCGTATGTCGTCGTTGGTCGACCTCTCTCCAACCCCGAACCGAACTTTTTGCTTGGCAGGGCTGGGAACACTTCACTTGGCAGGGCTGTACCATTAACCTACTGCAGACTGTAGCACCGAAAGAGCCCAGAGATTATGAGACAGCACAAGACCGTATATCCAATGCAGCTTCTATTTGGTCACTGCATCGAATAAATGCTCTAATGCCAATGCACTGGTTCGAGCAGATGGTTGTTTTCATCTTGTTCATGTGTTCACAGTTTCATATGCACATGTGTGTTAGTGAATTCCTGCCCCCCCCCCCCCCTCCCCTGTTCAGTAGCTCTGCATACCACCCAGCCATCATCATCATCATCATCATCATCGTCGTCAGCATCCATCCGCATCATCCCTTCATCACTCACCATGCTCTGATCATACAGAGCAGTACAGTAGTGTACCGTAGTGTCCCGTAGGGTAAATCCCCCTCTCCCTCCCCTCGTCCCACACAGCGTAGCCGCAGTACGCGAAGCCAAGCAGCAAGGGTCGTGGCCAGCAGAGTAGGGCCAGCCGCCAGCAGCAGCAGCAGCAGAGAAACAAAAGGCTTTCCCTTCTCGGCTTGCGGCAATGCTAGTGCCTCCGAATGCAGTCGGCATGTCGATCTTCGCCTTCACGAGCCACCCTTCGCTTATTCCTTCGTATCGCCTACGGACAGCGCGGAGGCCCAGAGAACTAATAATAATGTCAAGGCTGCGCTTCCAACGCTTGTGTGTCTGCGCCTCCTCTTGGTATTTCTCAGCTCTTCTCCAGCACGATTCGATCCCCTGCAAGGATGTAGACACTAAATCGACGCCATGTCGGGGACTTATATGTTCCAGAAGCTGTGAGATAGTGTCATCTCTAGCGCGCCCCTAGCATGCACTCCGGCGACACTAGTCTATCTAGTGCTCTCGTCGGCTACAATCGCTTCTGCACTGGACCTAGCTCGGCTGAGCGCTGCTTCACCGCCACCAGAGCCAGTGACCACCATCCAATGCTGCGACGTCCGAGGAACGGAGTGTCGTCTCGTCTCTGAACATGATTTCCTTCTCTCTGCGGACACCTACTCCGTCCCTCCATCACGGCTCGAGAACAACAACCACAGGCCCCATCTTCTCTTGCAACTCCATAGCATCCATACTCTTCCGCATGTTCTGCGCACTGCACAGCGCTTTCACAATCCCCGTCTCATTCTTCTCCGCAATGAGCCTCCTGAACGCATGCGCCAGAAACCCACTCACGAGCTCTACACTCCAACTATCAGGAATCAATTCCAGCACCTTAGCAACATCAAACCATCCTCCAAACCTGTCCAATAGCTCCGCAGTCCTCTCCAGTCTTTCTCCAACATCTTGAATCTGGAAAAACTGATCGAGCAAATAGTTGAACAGAACACTCTGCGCTTCTTTGCTAGGCAGAGCGTCTCGTTCCGGCGCGTTCAAAAAAGAAGACGAAGGGTGAAAGATGGAATTCCCTCCGAGTAGACAGTAGCGGATCGCCGTATCATAATCGCCCAGTCCATGCACGAGCAGCCGGAGCGCTTCTTCATGTTTGCCTTCTCGCCCATTGAGAATAATCATCTCAGGCACGAGTTCATCACTGTACGGCGCCAGGCGTTGGCCCAGGACGTGCACGTCGTACTTTGAAGCGGCGCCATGGGACCCGCCAATGAGTTGCAAGAGTCGGAGACGATTATGCCACCACTCTGCGTCGACGGCGTTGTCGGTGATGAACTGTCGGTACGTGGGCTTGGGCGGGAATTGCGCCCGATAGATGTCGTAGGAATCTTTGAGCAGCACTCGAGATTCGTGGTTGCTTTCGAGTTCTACGAGAACGGTGTCCAGGTAATACGCAATGAGGTCGTTGACGTATTGAACGTGATTCTTGCCAAAAACAAGGTGCTCCAGATACTCTTTCACCGCTTCTGGTGCTCTCTCCTTCAATATCGCCACTGCTTGCGTCGGCTCGAATTGCACCCTGCTCGCATCGTCTGCAAAGATTTGTACGCCTAGTTTGGGATTCCTATTCGCAAGCCACGCGCCATACTCTTGGACAAGCGCAACGTCTCGGATCTTGGCGAGGTATTCTCGCATAACGTGTTCACCCTCGATGAATTCGCCGCCTGCATCGGCTTCGCCCTCCAAAATCCGACGCCACGTCGCGAGAACTTTGGAGATGTCCCTATATTGTTTGTTCTGGTACAATCGGCTCAGCACATAAAGCCGATGGTACTCCTCGAGCAATTGAATGCCACGATCGAAACAGTCTATGCCCTTGTCTACGACGTTGTACAGCTCTGTTCGCACAGAGCCTGGTATCGCGGCTCCTCGAGGACTGTTGGAATCAAACATGAGAAGGACATGGAGCAGTGCTGCATCGACAGACCGGAAGACATGGGATTCGTCAGCCACACTACCAAAACCCTTCTTTTTGCGCCAAGTAGTCAAGTATCGCTTCATCAGGCTCAACATGTTGTCGCCATAAGCACCTTTGATGTCTCGCTCGATGCGGTCAAGATCGATGCCTGTTCGTAGCCACTCAATGGTGTCTCGAAGGCCCTGCGGAAGCCATATACCTGAGCCCTCTGCGATTTCCCGATCGAGCGGCGGTACCAGCATCAGCATTATGCGAGGATCTATCTCGCCTGCGGTCAAGGCATCTTCGGCTCGTCGTTTATCGTGCTCGTATGCAATAACCCCGCCTGCAGTCTGCAGAACAAGATTGCCAAACAGAAGAAGGGCTGCCTTCTGCCGCACATATGTCAGCGTGAGAAACTCGAGCTCATCTCGCGGCTCCTGTCCACGTATGCCATTGAACACACGTTGTACAGCAGGGACGTCGATCGATGGCTGGCCATTATCGCTCCTCTGCATTGCTGCACTCAGCTGCCTGTCAAGTTGGATGAGAAGCGGCTCCTGTAACACCCAAGAGACTCGGTCATTGGCGTAGAGAAGCACATTTGCTCGGACTTGACCGAATCGCGAAGCGAGCTTGTCCTCTTCTGTGTTGCGCGCAAGATCTGCTGGACCTTCCGCATTTACCTCTTTGCTCCCGACTCTTAGTTTGCGCAATCTCAGGCTCGTGCTTATACCAGTAGTGGAGAGATCTGAAGCAGTCGTTGCATTTCGCAAACCAATGCCAGAGGGAGCGTGATCATCACCATCATCTTCTTCTCCATCTCTCATCTTCTCGATTGGCAACCATTCTTTCGAACGCTGCGCTTCGCCCGGCTCGGCGTCCCAGCGTTGAATCTCTATACACCTGTGTCGCACTCCGTCGTAGACACGCTGCACGACAGCGAGCACATATCCCTGGCGAAGTGGATCGCTTGGCGTGTCTGAGCTCTGCTCAACGCCGTGCAGAACCAAAGATTCGGGATAACTGGCAAACTCGATGGTACCTCGAACGACATCGCCTTCTAAATTGACAAACATGCCAACACCCGGATCGGACTTGCTTGTTCCTGTGGTTAGCAAAAACTCATCAGGTGTAGGTGTGACAATGTTAGGCGGCAGAGGCTTCGGCTTCGGCTTTGCAGGCGAAGGAGGCCTTGCTACCTCTGCTGATTGCCCGGACGTCGACACTGATGCTTCAGCAACGACATTCTCGGGCACGGTCGCTGGAGCAGGCGCCGCTTCAGCTTTTGTCGGACTGCCATCCCTGCTCGAGGGTACAGCAGGCGAATCGAAGCCCTGACGGGAAGAACGTCTGGGCGGGAATGGCGAGTTGCTCTCTGGGCGCAGTTGACCAGTGTTCTGTGGCTGGCCGCCCAAACTCGTCATCCGCTGGTGCACTCGACTTTGTCGCACCGGACTACGGGACGAGAAGCTACGAGCAGCAGGTCGTGCGGGCGCGGCGGGTGGAGCAAGCTGCAGTTGGGGCAACGGAGGAGACTGGGATGCGCTGGTGGAAGAGATGGGAAAGAGCACATTCTTTCGTTGATTCACCACGTCCAGCAAGGAGTACTCGTGTCCATCCGCTACGCACGCCAAATCTCCGCGTCGCTCTAACACAGACACCCCACCCAGCTCGATGTCTCTGATCTTACGTGGCCGCGAGTCCTCGCCCACTCGGATGAGTCGCAGTCGTTGCCGCAAGCAGATCACGACGTCGGTACCATTGATGCTGTCGTCCTCGGCAGCACCGTTACGGTCTCGTCCGCCCACCGCGAGACAGCTCGCCTGTTTGACCTCCTCGAAAGCAGGACTGAGCTCGGGGATGTTATAGAAGGTAAGGGTGCCGTTGCACACAATGCAGGCCTTGCTGATGCTCGGGAGCAGCAGGATCTGCTTGACGCCAGCATCAGCGCCGCTCTGCGCAGCGGTGTAGGGCGGCTCGATGCTGGTGGCAAAGATATATACGGGAGGGTCGCCCGCATGCTCGCCGGGGATGGAGACATAATGCAGCACGTGGCCGTCGGACGTGCCAATGTACACGTTCCCGTTCCACGTATCTACGCAGGTAATGTATGCTCGCGTGCCCGTCTGCGCGTCGCTGGCGAGCGGCACATGGCTAATCAGCGTGCGCGTCGTGTAGGAGCCCGGCGAGCCATCGTCGGTCGTGGATGTGGGCGTGGGTGCCGGTGAGGTCTGCGCGGGTTCATGTTCGTGGGCGTGTGGATGTTCATGTTCACGTTCATGTTCGTGTACTAGTTGTTGGCGTTCATGTTCATCTGCGTCCTGGCCGGCGTCGACAGATCCCATGACCGCCGCTGTCGAGTGACCATATTGATGTATTTGATACCGTCGTGAGCGAGGTGAGGTCCGGTCGTTTACTGTGAGAGAACCTTATTACTGCATACCTTCCTTCTCAAGTTAGACGTCACGTGATCTGGTTGCTTCACGATATCTACATGTACTTGCTACCTTACGGACATCAACAATATCGACATCAACATCATCACGGGACATTATTCTGCCCTCATGATCAAGACGGTACGCTGCGTATCCCACACTCACCCATACAACATGCCATAATCCAATCCTGGCGAGAAGCGCTCGGTGAGTGCATCTCGTGCTTCTTGGCACGCACTCCCCATTGTGCTCCTAACCAACTTGACGATTCACTTCCAAGTTGTTACTGTCCGGGCATCAAGTCGCCAATGCCAGCTCGCTAGACACTGTACTACTGTACTCTCCATATCCTCCTCTAGCAGACACTGCACAGGTCTGCTGGCTTTGAAGATTGACCGGAGACCACCAAATACGGCCCACACGCTGTCCGAGTAACAATCATGCTTTGCCAGCTCAAAGCCCTTCAAGATCCCTTACAGCCACCATCCACTCGGAATCTTGATCTAGGCTATGCTATCGTTGTGGCGACGAAGACCGACTATGGAGAAGTATCGCGGGATTCGTGGGTGCCCATATTGGCTTTGTTCGCCAGCAACAATATGAAGCTCTGAAGCTTTATACTGCTCTACCATTCATGGGCTTCTCGATCTGCCGGTGACCCAAAACTACAATACTAGAGGCAAAACAATCGTAAAAAAGTGTACCAAAACCACGCCCATCTCATTTCCGAACGCAGTCTCTTTCTTCTTACAACAACGAACGAACCCACATTGCATCCTCTGCCAGCACCATCACGCAACCCATATAAGCTCGCATTCCAATCACCAAACTGCTCTCTTCCTTCCTCAACCAACTCACATCACACTCGTTAACGTAAGCAACTATCACAAGGCTCCCCGACGTGACCTGTTCCAACTAACATTTCTCCGTCAGCTTTTAACCACAAAACCAACACCTCAAAACTCAACATGGGCAACGGAACTCTTTACTCTGCCTGCACTCTGCAGGGCAACGGTACGTAACTCCGGCGATCGTCCTGCCACGAACTCATCCCAGACACACTTATGTATATAACATGCTGACATATTTCTCTCAGGCACCCTCTACTCCGCCTGCGCTCTCCAGGGCAACGGTACTTTGTACAGCGCCTGCTCCGTGCAGAAGAACGGCACCTTGTACTCTGCCTGCTCCGTGCAGAAGAACGGCACCCTCTACTCGGCCTGCTCCGTGCAGAAGAACGGAACGCTGTACAGCGCGTGCTCCGTTCAGCTGATCTAAGCGGGTCATCATCAATCTCAATCCGCTTTTGGTCGACAAGGTTTCCCTCTTTCTCTCTTCCTCTTTCTGGATACTGCTACGATGTTGAAAGAAAGCAAACAAGGGAAACAACACGGAAACATGGAATAATCAAAAAAATATAATGGACTGGGCTTTTTCTCGGGTTTCTTCTCTTCTTGTCGCCTAACTCGGCAGAAGTGAAGAATCTGGGGCCTCTTTTTTTCAGTTTTGAAAAGAAAAAGTCCATTAAGTCGTGTTGCTTTGGCAGCACGACTGAGCAGGAGAGATATTTGTAGCATCGATAATAATAAACCTCGTGGTCGAGACAAACTTTCTTCTTTTCTGTCCAGATTTTGTTGATATCCATGTATATACAGTAAGTATATGGTCACGTGGGTTTGCAATCGTTGAGCCAAGCGTCAAAAAGCCGCAAGCGTTTGTTGAAAGAGGAAGAGGGCATTTCATCCTACATGTACATGTACCCAAGGTACCCTACCCTCCAGCCTCAAATCCCGCCGCCTGCCAATCTCCATGAGCTTCGGCTCCGCCAGCAGCAGCAACAGCCTCGACCTGCTCCTTGAGTGTACTCGTGCTCAAACTGCTCGCGTGAGCCGTCGTGTCTGCAGAGCCCATGTAGTACAGCATCATGAAGACCAGCAGATGCAGTCCGACACAGTACAGCGCGAAAAGATTTCGACTCGTCCGTGTGGCCAAGACCATTCGCGTCAGCTGAAACACCGCACGTTCGGGCAGAGACATTCTCTTCATGGCCCTTGCAGATTCCCGGCCTCGGAACGCCTGAAAGGGCGATATGTTTGCTTCGTAGGCAGATTTGTATCGAGCGTCGCTGCCACTGCCGATCACGACAGTCGATGGATTCGGGTTGCCGGCATATGAGGCGCCGCTAGTGGCGGTTCTGTTGTACGTACTCACGTAGCGAGTCTTTTCATACAAATTCAAGTTGTCCTTTTGGAGACTTGCGACTTCTCCGCGCAACGAAGACACGGTCTGGTATTGCTTCTGGAGTTCCTGCTCCAGTTCGCCCATTTTCTTCTTAAAACGATCGCGTTGCGCTGTGACCATGGGTAGGATGCCCGAGCCGCCTCCCACAGCCTCACCAGCGCGAAGCGACTCCAGTGTGTTTCCCAGCCGAGGTGACTGCGAACCACTCTCGGTCGGCTCGAAACCTCCAATGATGGACGAGGTAGGTGATGCGGCTCTCCCTCGCCGACTGCCATAATGTGATTTGGGATATCGCGACGTATATGTTCCCGCCACAGACATGGTCTCAAAGGCGTTGCTTGCCTCTTGCTGAGTCTTCTGCAAGTCGTTCTCGAGAGTCGCGTTCAGCTTCTGTGTCTGCTCCAACTCCATATTGGTGCCCGAAAGATCCTCTTGCAGCTGCTCTAGCCGTTGCTGCAGCTCTCGGTGTGAAACTCTCAGTTCTGTCAACTCATCGCTGAGCTTCTTGTTCCGCGCCACGAGAAGCTGCTCCAGGCTGCTTTCTCCGGCCTTTCCATTCGTGCCTGTGTTGTCTGCGACATCGGCATCATCTATACTCGAAAATTCAATGGCTCGCAGCATGTCCAGCTCACGTTTGACCTCATCATAGTCTTTCCATTTCTGCACTCTGCTCTGCAGCGCATCGCGATCTGCTTTGAGTATATTGACTTCCCTCTCCAGACTTCGCAATGTGCTCTCAAGCTTCACCTTGTCCGAGTCCCGGTCGTGTCGAGAAGCGTCCAGTCTGCGAAGGAGGGACGAATTTTCCGATCGTAAGCGCAGGTAGGCCGGATCGTCTTCCACAGAGCTACTCTTGGCTGCGCTGGACTGGCTGGCGGACTGCGCAAGCTCTGTACGCATCTGCTCGTTGCGGGCCTCGACCTCTGCCAATCTGAGATTCGCCCGCTCCAGCTCTTGGTTCACAATGTCCAGCTCCGCAGCTGCAGCTGCAGCATTTCGCCCCGTGTCATGACTCTCCTCGCCCGTCCGATCCAGCCTCTGCGACACCTCGTAGCTGGCCTTGAGCTCCTTCAGGAGTCGATTCTGGTTCTCGACCTTTTCCTCCAGACTGCGCTCCTTCGAAATCCAATTGTCCTCTTTTTCTTTCAGCACAGCCGACCACGAGTCTTCCACCTCCTTAATCTTGCTATCCTGTGAGCCCTCGAATGACTGCCTCGTGTTGCGCTCACGCTCCAGCTGTTGCTCGAGCTCTTCCAACTGCGTGTTCTGCTTCGACACCTGTTTCTGCAAGCGCTCGTTTTCTGACTCTAGCCTCGGCACAACCTCGTCGGCGGTGACCAGGGAGTCAATCGATGCTTCCAGCAGCGGATACGGGTCTGGCGCTTCGGACAGAGGAGAGTAGGCGGACATGAAGGCGGCCGAGACGGCCTTGTTTTGCTGGGATAGCAGGTCAATGTATCCTTGGTACATCTTGAGCAGGCCCGCCATCTCTGTCAATTTGGCGCTGTCGTCCATCTTCTTGAACTCTTTTGTCTTGCTGGCCAGCTCTTTTCGCTTGACCAAGGAGTCCTTCTGCTGCGTCACCATGTCCTCGGCAGTGGTATCCAGGCTCGACACCAGCGTCGTCAGGTTCAAGGACCGCCATGCTGCCACTGCCTGCTGGAACTTATTGCCCGCGTCGGTTGTATTCTCCTCGACCGCTTTCGCCGTCTGTGCTCCATTCGTGGCCTCCGAAGCAGCGCCCCCGGTCGTCTCCAGATCCTCTTCCTCCATTTCTGCGGCAGTAGACATGGTGTCCCTCTGCCACCACAAAATACAACAGCAGGTTCAAGGCTGAGCACGGGGATGTGGTGAGATGGAGGCCGATGTGGAGGCGCAGGGTCGACGCGTACCTACCAGGTGCTTTTGGTTTCACGTGAAAGCAGATATCTTGGCTCCGCTCTCGTTCCCGATGGAGGTGTACCTTATGATATAAATTTGACAGGAACTGTACAGGACTCGTCACTCGTAGAGGGATATATAGGTATATACATAAGATATCAATAAATAATTGACATCACGGGGGTTATCAGAGCGAACAACGCGATGGACTACTACATCAACTGCGGACGCATCATACTGTGCGTTCGAACTCCCGTGCAATATCATATACTCGACCATCTCTGCCAGAAGCGCCCAGTAGCGTCACTCCGAAAGGCAATGTCGTGCCAGTAGCATCCTGATATGTGGCAGCGGGCACAGCCACACCACACAAGTCGAGGACGTTTGCAAAATGCGTAAAGTAGCCCAGTTTGGCGTTCAGTGCCAGAGGGTCTGACTCCATCTCACTAATCGTGGGATGACATGGTGTAGTCGGTACCAACAGCACATCAATGCTCTGGAAGATGCTCGCGGCATCCCGTGTGTACTGCGCTTGGAGATGCTGATCGCGGAAGACTTGCCAAGGTTTGACATCTTTGTGAGCAGCCTCGGAGAACAGTTTGTTGGTGGTCGAGTGGAGCGTGTTGATGTTCTTCTCGATGAACTCCGGTCCAATAGACGCTATCCTTTCTTGGACCAGCGATGCTTCATACAGCAGATTACTACCTCCTTCGAAAGCGACCCAGTCGACTTCTTTCGGGGTGCCGCCGGCTCGTGTCAGCCTGTCCACAGATGCAGCAAAGAGCTCCTGGTATTTCCCGTCACATTTCTCCAGTGCAGTAGCGGGAGGGATTCCAAAGGTGAAACCACCAACCTTGACTCCTCGGAAGTCTGCGTGCCACAGAGCAAGTGAGCTGGGAGATTTGGAGTAGGGGTCTGTCTCGTCACCGCCAATGTCTGCCACCAGCCATACTTTCCGTGCATCATTCACTGAAGGGGCGAGGACAGTGATGGTGTCGAGGCTCTTACATGCAGGAACAAGGCCTGATGCACTGAATGTGCCTTTGGTAGGCTTGTGACCCACAATGCCATTATAGGCAGCGGGCACTCTGCCAGACCCTGCAGTATCGGTCCCTAGGGCAAATGAGACCAGGCCAGCCCCAACAGCTACAGCAGATCCCGAAGAGGAGCCACCAGAGATATGATGAGTGCTAAACACACTGTGCGGAGTGCCATATGGAGAGCGGCAGCCAGATAAGCCAGTGGCAAGTTGATCAAGATTTGTTTTTCCAATAAATATTGCACCCGCTTCGAGCAGTGTCTCCACCACCTTCGCGCTCCGCCCCGGTAGGTATGCGTATGCTTCACAAGCCGCCGTGGTCTTCACGTTGGCGACATCGATGTTGTCCTTGACTGCAAAAGGAATCCCGTACAGTTCGGGCAACGGCTTTCCAGAAAAGCGATCTTCCAAGGCCTGTGCATCTTTCAGAATTTCTTCCACGTCCCGGAGATGAGTCCATACGGCGGAATCCTTGAGCCTGTAGGATGCAGCGCGAGCGTGCACCTCCTTGACAGTGTCTGTGGGTCGCAATTGACCAGCGGTATACTGCTTGCGAAGGTTAGCGATGGAGATGTCGCCGGAGAAGCCGGGGGGTGTAGTCGGTGGTGTAGGCGCCTGTGGCGGAGCATACTTCAGCAGTTCTGCTGAAGTGCCCACGAAGCCAAACAGACCGTCGTAGCTGCAGAGCATATCCAAGGTACTGCTATAGAAGCCTTCGTCGAAACCGTCGGTGCAGTCTGCCAAGATGCAGGTCTCAAAGCCACGATCAGCACACTCGCGTGCGGTGGTGTTCACACAACATTCCGTCGTGACCCCAGCGAACAGGAGATGGGTGATGCCGCGAGCCAGCAAGACACGATGCAAATTCGTATCCCACATCGATCCCTTGCCAGGTTTGTCAATGACAGGCTCGCCAGGTATTGGTCGGAGCTCGTCGATGATGTCGTGGCCATATTCACCTCGCACCAGCAGTCGACCCATGGGCCCGGCATCCCCGATGCCCATGGTATGATGGCCTGATGGAGCGGAAATCTGTCGCAGTCGTTTGGACGGCGGGAGATCGGACAGGTCCGGTGTGTGGCCTTCGCGAGTGTGCACCACATGGAGCCCCAGGCTGCGTGCAGCTTCCAGAGCCTGCCTCGTCCTGGGCACGATGTTTCGGACTTTCTTAAACACCTCATCGTTGCCGCATTGGATCTGGCCAAAGCCATGGTAGTCAACGAAATCCCGCTGCATGTCGATGATGATCAGTGCAGTCGACTCGGGCGGGAACTTGTATGGATATGGTCGCGCGGAGGGCAGCTCCATTACGGTGGCCATTGTGACTGTGACTCTGACTCTGACTGTACCTGTTGGAGGCTCTTTCTGGTCGGGACAGAGGGCAACATGTTGCAACCTGCTGGACTCTATATACACACGCCGTGAATAGCGAAGTCGCCGGCCGATTAGTATGTGTTTTACGATATTCCTCGCCGCGTCGTGGGTGAACCTCGAGGGGTGCCCAGCCAGTCAAGGCACGCGATCTGATCTGCCAACACGCGTGAACCCAAGTGAACCCAAGTGAACATGGACGTATTCGAGCCCGAGCCACGTGCAGCCAGGCAGATAAGGCCCCTGACTCCTGAGGGTGCACTGCACTGACTGCAGAGTCTGCAGACGATGATGACTATCCTCCTCCTCCTGCGAGGCTCCTGTAAGTCTGTAACTCTCCTATACACAGGGGTCATAGGGGTCACAGGGGCTGGTTTTGTTAGTTGGCCGGATGGATAGGCCGACGGCACGGTGAGTGTGCGGCCGGCTTGGCTTGCCGCCGCCCTAATGATCCTAATCCTCTCAGTTACTCAGTATTTTAGCCTTATCCCCCTCTCCAGTTCCACAAACCCACCTATGTACATGTACCTCTGTACTGTTGATGATGTATGATATGTCAGATATGATACTCAATCTCACTGTTTACTGTATACAATGTACATGTACCCTTCACGGTTCCACCTTTGGAGTTCTCTCTAGTCTCTTTTATACATGTACCTGTATACATATAATAATACGACTCTACAGTGTCCACTCCATGTCCCTCAGCGAACCTAACTCGATATCTTGGCGGCGGTGGTGGTGGTCGGCTCCCGGATCTCCTTTTCAGCGCTGCTCAGCCTGCTCTGTGCCAAACGCTGCCACACATAGTCTCCTGCCACGATGGGCTCATAGCCTCCTTTGCCGTCTTCGGAAACGCAGGTCGGCAATGGGTGCAGAACCGTGTCGTAGGCGGGACCAAAGAAGAATGGGACAGAGTATCGCTCTCGTCCGGTACAATTGTGCACGCGATGGACAGTCGAGATGAAGACATCGTTGCTCCATCGTGCCAGCATATCTCCTATGTTGACGACAAACGTGCCGGGGATAGGGGGTGCTTGAATCCACTGTCCATCGACATTTAAGATCTGCAGGGCGGGCTGCGTGCCCTGGCAAAGTATCGTAAATGCCTCGATATCTGTATGGGCGCCAATACCCAGGGCGAGAGGATCTTGTGGATCCTGCGCTGGGTACTTCAGTAACCTGAGCATCGCACCAGGACGTCTGACTGCAGCGTCAAAGTAACCTTCTGGCAGCCCAAGCACTTTGGCGAACAGACGCACCATGCGCCTTGCTAGCTCCAATATCTGGCCATAGTAAGCAGCGACATTCTCCTTGAATCCAGGCATGGAAGGCCAGGCATTAGGACCCTCCATGGGGCCATCTCCAGCAGGAGCTGCTGTCCCAGTCAGTGAAATGTGGGAGGACTTCTAGCAAGCAGCAAGTAATAATGCCTCACTTACAAGTGCAGTTGTGGCCTGCAGGATCGAGATCTGGTTCGTAGCCACAATTGAAGGCCTCATTCAAGTCCGCACGCTTGGATTCATCTGTCAGGACCTCCGAGATGGGCTCATATCCATGCAGCACCCTCGACTTCTTGTAATGAATCTCTGCTTTGGTCTCGAGCGGCTGATTGAAGAAAGTCTCTGCCGTGCGGAAGATACCATCGATGACTTCTGATGACACGCCATGGTCCTGTGCCACGCTATCAGTCAACTGATGGAAACCAGCCCGGCCATGAGCGATGAGTGTCGTCGCACCTTGATATAAAAGAACCCCACTCGAGTGCACGCATCTCGTAGTTGCTCGATAATGTCCTGTTCGGAGGCTGCCAGCGAAATGGTCGGGATCTCATGAAATTCGGCCTTACGGACGGCATCACCAGCAAGTGGTCTCTTGCGGCCCGAGAAGGAGGTGAACTGGTTGCAAGATTGGCATCAGCATATCAGTTCTGAATGCGAGGGGGATACGAAGGAGGTACTCACTTCAGCCATTGTGCTATCCAGCTAACCAAATGCGCCAATACAAGGGATGGGAATGGAAAAAGGAACAACTGTACCTGATATTGTTATCCGCGTCCCCTCACTGACAGAGATATATGATGATATTGGCGTCGTTCGGGGTTGAAGCCACACTACCTACCACTACATGTAGTCATGTACTGCATATGTACAAGACTGCAACTCTGCAGGTATACACTACTAACTACTACCGTACTGCGGTATTACGCTGGTGTCGTGATATGGCCTATCACTGCGCCAGGGCCAGTGAATGACACTGATAGCAGGGGGATGCATGCGTTACGCGCGACGGCGACCGCGCGGGCGGGCATGGACAGGGGCTATGGCCCCAAACTCAGATAAGGGGACTAAAATGCAGCTAAGACAAGTGAAAGTACTATATTGTGGGGCAGGGCACTCACTCACTTCTCGTGGTCGGTCAGCACAGGTCAAAGATAGTAATATCATCTTCACCTCCCGGCTTTGGTGGTGCTGGACTGCTGGTGGTGTTGTCGGTGGTGGTATTGGTAATTGGTATAATACCTGTTCTCGATCGAGATCTTATTTGCCCCTTTTGCACTGCTTCAACCGATCATATCAAATCAACGAGGATAGCCAGCCTCACGCTCCATGGCCAAAATTCTTCGAGGACGCTTCGAATCGGCGGGAGCCAATCTAAAGGCCAAGACGAAGCGTTCAGGATGGGTATTGCCCAAGGAAGAAACGTCCTTTGCGGACAAAGACAGCTGGTCCAATATCGACTCCGATGTGACGCCCGTTGAGCGCCGGACATGGACTTCTCTCACCATCTTCGGATTCTGGATGTCAGATGCCATGAACGCTCAAGGTCCGTAGTACTTGTTACGGCAATGGATTCACGACACAAGAGCGCCATCGAAGCTGATATCAAACAACTAGGTTGGATGTCTCCCGCTGCGATCATCGCCCTCGGCTTGACGTGGAGAGAGGCCATTTACTGCATCATCCTGGGTCTTTCCATCACCGCCATTCCCTTGGTCCTGAACGGAGCCATAGGTGTGTGGTATTCTCTCATATTCCTCGTCCAACACGTCGACTGACTCGGGATAGGCGCGCATTTACATGTTCCATTCCCCATTGCTGCACGGTCGAGCTTCGGATTCACCTTTGCCAGATTTGCCGTCGTTACAAGAATGATCACAGCTCTGTTGTAAGTGAGCCTCTTCTTCTTCTTCTGCTTCTTCTTCTGCTTCTCCGTGTCTCGATGAGCTCCAGCCTACCACGCTGTCCAGTTCCAAGATAGACCTTTGAGAACACATTCGAAGCTCGAGAAAAGAATGTCCTACTGACCTGCGAAATACGAACATGCTAGTTGGCACGCCATTCAAACTTATACCGGCTCGACAGCATTGACGCAAATGATTCGAGCCATCTTTCCCTCCTACCTCGACATTCCCAACCACTTGCCCGAATCCGCCGGCATTACGACGCAGCAACTCCTGAGCCACTTCTTATTCTGGTCCATCCAATTTCCCTTCCTCCTTATTCCTCCCCACAAGCTCAAGTGGTTCTTTATCTTCAAGGTCGTCGTCACCGTCACCGTCAGTGTGGCAGTCGTTATCGCCATGACCTCGAAAGCCGGCGGCACAGGCGACATCTGGGACCAAGAATATCGCGTCTCGGGCTCCGAAAGAAATTGGATGATTCTCGCGTCCATGATGTCTCAATCCAGCGGCTGGGCGACCATGGCCACCAACGTGCCCGATTTCACGCGATATCTCAAACACTCTCGCGGAGTATACTGGCAAGGGTTTTTCCTCCCCTTCATCAGTTTGATGCTGGGTCTGGCTGGCATCATATCGTGCTCGGCGTCGAATGTGGTCTATGGCGAGTATATCTGGGATCCTCTGGTGCTGGCTTCGAAATGGCATGGCCCTTCGGGACGATGTGGTGCGTTCTTTGTGGGCTTTTGCTGGGTGGTGGCTCAAATCGGAACCAACTTGTCTGCAAATGTCATTTCTTACGCCAACGACATGGTCAGTATTGCCTCGCCTTTACACATACTCACGAGAAAGAGAGAGAGGGCGACATCCCAAGAAACATTTGACTGACTTTTTATATTTTCTTCTAACACAAAATCCAGGTCAACCTCTTCCCCAAATACATCTCCATCCGCCGCGGCGTCATCTTCGCCACCATCACCGCCGGCTGGATCATGGTACCCTGGAAAATCGTCCACTCCGCCTCTTCCCTCCTGACCTTCATGGCCGGCTTAGCGATTTTCCTCGCTCCCATTTCCGCCATCACAGCCACCGATTACTGGTTCGTGAAAAAGCGCCACATTGACGTTCCCAGCCTATATCGCAAACGCGCTCGCTACCACTACTGGAAAGGCGCGAATTGGCGAGCCGCCGTGGCATTCCTCATCAGTGTGTGTCCCAACGTTCCCGGATTGGCGAATGCGGTGAATCCGGATGTGAGCATTGGAACGGGGATAAGGCATTTGTACAATATGAATTATCTGTGGGGATTGTTCTCGGCGGCGATTGTCTATTGGTCATTGTCGCACTTTTTCCCTGCGAGCGAGACGTTATTGCAAGAGTCGATTTTGGATGATCGTGGGGATGTCACCCCCAGCGGCGGCGATGGGGAGTATGAAACTTATATTTCTTCGGCTGGTTCGGGGAAGGATGAGGTAGAGATTTCGGTGGAGGGGAAGAAGAGGGATTTTGAGGCTGTATAAGTGTGTGATGTGTCGAGAGAGAAAGAGAGAGAAAGAAAGATAATAGCGATTCACGACAGGGCAGCATTATGGGAGATCCAACTGTGACTACTTTTTGTTGTTGATTTCTTTTTTCTTTTTTCTTTGTCTAATCTTGGTCTGTGTCGAACTGAGCCGAATCTAGGAGGTACCTAACGCTGAACTATGAACGTCTCCAGACAAGAAACATATGCGCGTTTTGAAGAACTATATCGACAAACTCCACGGTATCGTCTCCGGATCCAAAGCCTTCCACAAAAACGGCATTCCCTGCGCCAGTCCATCCTGATCAAAGTCCCTCGCCCTCACCTCGCTACTCCTCGCCTGCAAATCCTTCATAAACGCCCCATTGGCATCCCTCGTCACCTGATTCATCCGCGACAGCATCACATCATCATCAAACATGTGCACCATCGATCGATTCGAGTCCACGAGGAGTGGCCGAGCAAAATTCGCTCCGACGGTAAGAAATCCGAGGCATTTCGAGAGTGGGGGCAGATAGGACGCGACATCTGTGATGCCTTTTTGTGTCGGGACGGGTTTGTAAATTGCCGTGGGGTGGAAGGGGAGGACGCCGTTGGATGTGATGAGTTGATTGAGGTTGACGGAGTGGTGAGCGGAGGTGGAGAGGTGGGCGATATGGGTGAGGAGATCGACGAGATCTGCTGGGGTGGAGATATCGGGGACGTCGATGGCTTGGGCGGGACCTTTGGCTTCGACGAGCCAGGCTTGCAGCTCAATGTCTGCGGTGATGGTGGATGGGTCGGAGTAGTAGGAACCCACGAACGCGGCGAAGAATGTCTGGGTCGCGTTGTAAAGGGGCAGAGCGTCTTCGTAGAAGGGGAAGCGTGGGAGTGCTGGTCCTGATGGAGAGTCGATTAAACCTCTCTTACGCAGATTGGTGAGGAAATAGTTGGACTGGATACTGCCTGCGAAACCACTTGCGTACAGCTCAGCGCCCCACTGGACGGCTGACGCTCCTGTATAGCCAAAATACCGGTCTATAGCTGCCCCTGGACTGAATAGATTGGTGGCACCGGCGGGACGAATGCCAAATGTGCCATACATTATCCGGGACAACAGTGCTAGAACGGGATGATCGTCACTCAATGTTCTACGAACCGAGTAAAGGATAAGAGTCAGCGAGTCTTTTCTCCCTCTCTCCGCGCAAAGGTTTTGTCATTCGACCTGCTAAAAACGTACCTAATAGCAGCCTGAAACAGAATCTCGGCCACAAAATGGGTATGCGCCAAATGATGAATTTGCGACATGAAGAAATCCGCACAATTGAACATTATCTTCGCCAACAGCCAGTCCTCAGGGGAATCTCGTGGCGTGTACACCAAACCATCGTTGTCGGTATTCTTCGCGCGAATCGACAGAGGCAAGAACTTGTCCGGCGCCTCGGAAATATAAAACAAGGCATCACATGCAGCGGAATATTTGCCACCGGTGGCTCGGGTCAACTTGTCCTGTTCGCGGTGGTCGATGTAGAAGAGTCGTGACGAGCTGTGCAATTCGGCAAGAGGCTGGCCAGACACTTTGCGCACAATCTCGTCGTCTACCGTGAATGGTAAGTCCTCCTCGGGAGTCAGACGACGGACAGCGTAGGGATTGAAAGATAATCGTTCCATCGAGAACAACAAGTCATCCGTGTAATTGGTGAGGAGACCAGGGCTGACTCCAGAAGGGGATGTACTTCGTTCCCACTGTCCATCGTACAGCTTGACATAATCGTCCAAGGTCTTGAGGCCATTGTACTGCATTGTGGTCAGCACGACGACGACGACGACATTCCGACTGCTGGAAAAGACTGCTGCTGCTTACTTGGTCCACAGCTGCTGCAGCAGACGCATTCTCTGCTTGCGTGAGTTGGAGCTGATTGCCACCTTCCTTTTGATATATGGCCGAATCGCGTTTTATAGCAGCAATGCCTAATGGTCCAGCAGGTGAGAATGGTCCGCCACCTATCCCAGGCCCGTACGTGAAATCCTTTTGCTTGGTGGATACTCCGGCTGCTCGGAGTGGAGATGAAGAGTCCTGAGGGATCGAGTATGGCGAATCAACCGGGTCATTATCGTTCTGTCGTGTCTCTAATGAACGCAAAGGTGATGCCGAGACCACAGCAGGCAATAGCCATAGTACATATGGGAGAGTAAAGATGTGCATCGTTGTGCTGTGCAATTGAGATCAGTTTGACCCAGGTGTGATGCCCGCATCGACCTAGTTCTTATACTCTGTGTAAGCGTGTTTCTCGACATCGCAGAAGTCGATGACCTTTACCCAGATATTACCGGCATAATTGGCTAGTCTCAGCCCTATGTGAGTGACAAGTGAACAATCATCTCGCTTAGTGCCTGGGGCTGAGGCCACCCCCTTGAGGCTGTCACGGTGGTCCTGTCTCGTGGCCAATCTTTTGGACTTCTTCTGTACGGCTTGCGGTCGGGCCGAATCTCAGCTTCTCAGGCCTAGGCTCCAGGACCCCCCAAGGAGCATGTTTTGTGGTATATATAGCTTCCGAGGAGTGAGGTCTGACAACATGCCACAATGAAACCAGACAGGTCGTGATGGAAGGCCTGCGAAAGCGATCGCGTGCTGTTCTTCTCACCGGTATAGAGCGTCGGTCTTCTCGAGTCGTGCTCAGCCCCAGCTTGAATCCATCCAGATCCTGCTCTTGTCATTTCGGACCTGTCACAGGTAGTATGTGCGGCCCCTTGCGCCAAATATCTGCGCAGCCACTGGAAGATTTACGAAATAGGCACAGGTGCAGAGGACATGTCTCGATTATAATTGTTTCAGTACATAGAGGTGCCATCTACTCGTCGACGTCGGTGCTGTCTGTATCCAGGTCAGTATGATACGTTTGGCCTGCGAGTAATAGAGGTGTGTGTGATGACTTACTGCTCAACTTCTCATATTTGGGGTACAACTCGCCATAATCTTTGATTTTTTGCATAATGGCCTTGTATGCATCAGAGCCGATGACTACCCGCAGCGGAGGATTCTCCATGTGCGCGATTTCCCACATTGCTCTGCCGCCCTTGGCCGGGTCGCCGGCTTGTGTGCCATGTCTCTTGCCCATCTGCGTCTTCGCATCAATGTGATCATATGCCGCCTCTTTCTGCTCGCCAAACACCATACTGCGCCCTGCCCAGTCTGTGCGGAATCCACCAGGCTCAATGCAAGTCAACTTGATGTTCCACTCCGGCTTCAGCTCATGGGACAGGGCCTCGGTGAAGCCCTCGACTGCCCATTTCGAGGCGCAGTAGATGCTGAAGGTGGGTACGCCGCGCTGACCACCAATGGATGTGATTTGCTGGATTTTGCCTCCCGCTGGCTTGTTCACCTCGCGCATGATCTTGAGCGCTTTGCGAGTCACATGGATCAGGCCAAAGAAGTTGACCTCCATCTGCGTGCGTGCTTGTTTGTCCGAGACGCTCTCAAACTCGCCCGATAGACCGTAGCCTGCATTGTTGGTCCTGAACACGGGTCAGTGTGCGGTTGGTGATGGGGAAGAAAGCGAGAGAGGAAGAGAGAGGAAGAGAGAGAGAGAGGAAGAGAGGAAGAGAGGGAGAGGGAGAGGAAGAGGGAGAGGAAGTGGGAGAGGAAGAGGGAGAGGAAGAGGGAGAGGAGAGAGACAGGGGGAAGACCAACACGACGTCAATGCGGCCGAATTTCTTGAGGGCAGCGTCGAATGCCTTGTCGACAGAGGCGGTGTCGGTGACATCGAGGTCGACAGCCAAAAAGTTGTCATTCGTGGCGCCGTCAAACTTCAGCTTCGAGCTGTTTCTCGCCGTTGCGACCACTTTGTCGCCCTCCTTCAACGCCTTCTTGACCAGCTCGTTGCCGAAGCCGGTCGACGTTCCTGTAATGAAGAAGACTTGTGGAGCCATGGTTGAGGTGTTCAACGATGATATTTGCACAAAGATGTATGAAATCTACCACGTAGGCACGCACGTATGGATACAGATATGTGTATGTACATGTACCTGATTTATGCTCCCTCATTGACCGTCGTCATCGAATACTGTACCTTCTAGCAGCGACCATCCGCCTGCTTGCTTGCTAATAAGTTTCCTGCTTGCCTGCCTGACGTCAAACCGTCAAAATGGAAGATGTTGCACGGCAATTCGCTCCCACACCAACGAAGCTATACCAATGGAAGTCAAGATCAACACTTCCGGCATCACTATATCACAACATATCCTGTGTATCTTTCCCGCAATGTGGAACTCACAGAGCCCAATGGTCTCATCACGACTCACCTTTCCTCCTACCGGGATTGACTTGCCGGTAATGATGCGGTGTCAGATGCACCTTTTGCTCAATCACTTGTCCCTTCACAAGTGGCAATAGAGTGAGTGGATCACAGAATCCTATGTCGCATCGCATCGTGTTGTAGAGATACATGTGCGATTGCGTTATCGCCTTGAATGTAGGGTCACCGATCTGCACAAATGTTGGAAGTATCATCTGCTCCGTAGTTCTTCAAATCTCGGAAACGGTTCCTAGATGCAAACGGTGACTTTTGAAGCCCAGCAATATCTAGACGGCGTGGCGGTCTGCAACGGTCAGAAGCATCTTTCCACATCTGCGTTGTTTTCCTCAAGGCGAAGCCAGGCCAGCGACGACACAGTATACGGATTTTGGTTAGGTAAAGGTCCAAGTTCGAAGATTGTTGATGGTAATGAAAATGGATGCCGAAGAAGAAGAAAGCAGAGATGGAGAAGAGAAGAAGGGGAGAAGATGTGAGATCTGAGCTGCGAGGTTTGCCAAGACCCGGTCGTGGCAGGCGCGCGTGTGGATCGCGCCTTCCTCGGAGCTCGGACGCGTCCCGACCGCGAATGGCAATTATCTTGTCTTTGATGTATTCGTGACTACCTTATGACTTTGAACATGGACTCTTCGTCTTCTCCTCGAGAGCCAACCTCCGACGAGCTCACAGACATCTACGCCTTGCAGACGAACCTGCGTAGCTCAGACACGCTCCCGACTGAGTTTGACGACGATCTCGAAGCCCTGAACGATACCGAAGCACGCGTGAAAGTCGCGAAAGCCGCCGACGTGGTCAGCCACCGCAACTGGCAAACACGCGAAGTCTTCCACAGTGACCCCCGAGAGCCACGTACTTCGAGTCCCGTCCAAATGGCCACTACGACGTCCTCGCCACCGCCCTCGCCGTCGCCTCAGAAGAGGAAGCGCAAGCTCGATCAACTGGATTTCGGCAAGAGCGCTTTAGGCGCATCGCGTCCAGTCAAAGCGCAAAAGCACTTCTATGGCATCGACATACACCGACTGCTGGCCGACGCCGAAGCGGAGGACAGTATACGCCAGGCTGCGCGTACGGCTGCCTTGCCAACGCCGCCGGCCGAACTTGCCGCGCCGAAGTGCAAAAAGAACACGCTGCTATGGACGGAGAAGTACCGCGCGAGAAAATATGCCGATCTCATAGGTGATGAACGGACACATCGCAGCGTAATGCATTGGTTGAAGAGGTGGGATCAAATTGTCTTTCCAGGCTCATATCGACCGAAGCCGAAGAAGCGTTTCGGTGATGACAGCAGCGATGTTGCGGAAAGACCGCATCGTAAGATCCTGATGTTGACTGGCCCGCCAGGACTGGGCAAGACGACATTGGCGCATGTCTGTGCTAAACAGGCAGGCTATGAGGTGCAGGAGATCAACGCAAGCGATGAGCGGAGTAGCAACGTCGTCAGGGGTAGGATACGAGACATGGTTGGCACGGAGAATGTGAAGAATGTGGAAGAAAAAAGGACTGCAGATGGCATAGCACGGAAAGCCGCGAAGCCTGTGTGTGTAATCGTGGATGAGGTCGACGGAGTGGTCGGAGGCAGCGGAAGTGGTGGTGAGGGCGGATTTGTGAAGGCATTGATTGATCTAGTCCTGTTGGACCAGAAGAACTCGACTGCCCTAGCTACTTTGTCACAAGCTTCCGCGAAGAAGAGGAGAGGCGATCGATTCCGTCTCCTGAGACCATTGATTCTGGTCTGCAACGACGTCTATCACCCTTCCCTTCGACCGCTGCGGCAGAGCAGTCTCGCGGAAATCATTCATGTGAGGAAAGCGCCTGTGCAGAGCGTGACTACTCGCCTACAGACGGTATTCGAGAAGGAAGGCGTCCCATGTGATGGCGATGGCGTCCGAAGATTGTGTGAAGCGGCGTGGGGTGTCAGCAACCGAAAAGAGGACAAGAACGGCAACGGAGCAGGAGAGGGCGACATGCGAGGTATCATGGTAGTGGGCGAATGGGTCGCCAGCAAGCTGCGAGCCAGTGGCGACAGCAATACTCGCTTGACTCGGAAGTGGGTGGAAGACCATGTCCTACAGGATCTTTCGCACGGCGGTGGAGGGGCTCGAGGTGTGGGACGAGGAGGTCCCAAGGATGTAGTGGAACGGGTCTTCAAGGAAGGCGCAGGCTTTCCCAGACAAGCTGCATTGGCCACTCCGATTCAGCATGCTGGCAGCGACGGTGTCAAAGGTGTAGCAGAAGGTTTGCGAAGAACAGCAACCGAGAGACTTCGCGAGCTCATCGATACCCACGGCGACACCGACCGGATCATGACCGATTGCTTCTCTTCATATCCCGAGCATCAGTTCCAAGACGACACGTACCTCTCCAAACCTGACGCAGCATATGAATGGCTTAATTTTCATGATCGTCTCAGTGGAGCTGTTTTCAGCAGCAATGAGTGGGAATTGGCGCCATATTTGAGCACACCAGTGCTTGGATTTCACCATCTTTTTGCCTCTGCCACCACAAGACAGTACTTCGAAAAAGACGCCAAGAAAGACGGAGATGATGCAGATGCTGAGCCTACTCATCCGTTCGCTGGCGCGCAAGCGTCGTGGGCAGCTCACGAGGCGACAAAGCAAAACGAAGCATACATTGATGCTTTGCAATCTTCCCTCGCGCCATCACTGCAACGCCTGTTCAGCAGCACATCAGACATTGCCACAGATCTGCAACCATATCTCCTCAGAATGCTCACACCAAACATCAACCCGATCATTGTTGGTGGAAGTGGCAGTGATAAAGGTACAGCATCTGTACGTAAAGCCTCGGAACAAGTCTTGGTCAAACGAGCTGTCAACGCCATGGGTGCATCGGGAGTCCGCTTCGAACGCGTGAGACTAGACGACGGCCCCGGCCAGAGCTACGGTAACACACAATGGATATATCGCATCGAGCCCCCTCTGGATACACTCTGCACGTTCGAGACCGGCGGCAAAGGCTTCGGGGACGCTGGCGCCAAGACGCGATATGCCGTACGACAAGTGATTACGCAGGAGTGGAGGAAGGAAGAAGCGCGCATCAACGAGGAGAACCGCATGGCAAGATTCGGCTTGACCAATGCGTCGTATATTGATCCCGCTGCGGGGCAGCTGCTGAAGAGGAAAGCGACGAAAGAGGATGTTGATCTGGAAGGGAAGAGAATCGTGCGAGATTTCTTCGGTCGAGCGGTCGTCGTGGGTGTTGAGACGGATGCGCAAAAGAACAACAAGAAGAGGCAAGGCACATCGAGAAAGAGGAGCCTGGGGGCATTCGTCAAATTCCAAGACGGGTATTCGAATGCTGTGAGGAAGCCCATCACATTGGCAGAGTTCATGAAGGATCTGTGAACAAAATGAAAATGAAATGAAATGAATCGAGTGGGACGAACAAAATGTTCTATTCTTCCCAAATACCTCTCTTCCTTCCTTTCTTCTCTCTCCTGCAGGCCCTACCTAGGTACCTAGCCTGGGATAATGGCGCTTCCCTCGCCCTCGCCCTTGCCATGTATACCATACCATACCATACCGTAAAGTCCTGTTTACTATGACTTATTTTTTTTTCTTTCCCCATGGCGGGCAGCAGACATGAGCTCTACATAGTCTACGCTGCGTCTTGCCTCCGTTGAGCTAGCTACCTTGGCACCACAAGTATACACGCTTCCGAGGTCAGAAGCTCGAGTGCCGTGCGTACATCGAGTTGCTTCGCCAGCTGAAATGAACCAATTGATTCCGCTCGGTCCTGTTTGGCTCACTGCATGTACACTTGGAAACAGCGTGTCAAGTGATGTAGAACCATCTCTTTGCCCCCGAGGATGGAAGTGTCGACGATGATTCATTTCCTTCAACCCCCAATAAATAATCAAGCTCTCACTTTGCAATCTGCATCTGCTGAGATGCTGGCTCTTGCACATATTCGTATTCAATCTTCTGCGCCGGGCCCTTGGAGCCCTTCTTGCGCTTCTCGGGCTTCGATGGAGGTGCCGCGGGACGTTTTCGTTTGAGCGAGTCGAGTTTCTTCTTCAGTGCTGCTGCTGCCGCCACTGTGTCGTCGTCATCATCTTCGTCTGCATCACTGTTGGCCGAGTCTTCCTCCTCCTCCTCGTCGCTTGCGCCACCAGCCTCTTCTCCGTCACCACCGAGCCAGTCATCAAAGTCTTCCATGTCGTCTTCATCGTCCGATTCGTCGAGGTCACTGACGAATTCGACATCCCTCTCACCACCTTCGCGCTCATACTCTACTTCCTCTTCGTCTTCCTCTTCTATACCTTCGTCCAGATCCTCATCTACCACACCCTCCTGTGTCCTTTCCAGGTTGCGCATGACTTTGCGCCATACGGATTCTTCCACGTTCAGTGGCTTATCGCCGTACGCTCCACTTCGCAATCTCTCGACCAACTCCCTCTCGATTGCCCTCTCGATCTTCGCGGCCGCCTCAGCTTTCCTCTCTCTCGTCTCCTCTCGTCGCCGCACTTTCGGCGCAAGTTTCGCAACCGTCGTCTCGCCCAACCTCTCATCCTCCCTCGCCAATCGTTGCGCCCTCACCCTCACCTGTGTCAAACGCGTAAGTCGCTGTTTGCATTTATGCACCAAGAATTTCGGCCAGTAGATCAGCCTCTCGTCGACTTGCTCCAGTGCTTTGGTGTAGTTGCCGCTCAGTCGAACCTTTTCCCACATTTTCGAAGGGAGATGTGCGCGTTCGATCGTCTTCATGTAGAGATACAGCCGCCCATTTGCAGGGTCACTTCGAATGGTGGCATAGCGAGAGTTGGCGAGCGGGCATGATTGGCGATTGCAGAGTCCGGTCACGTTGTGTTCGTCGCGACAGAAGGTCTGTTTGGTCGATTTCTGCGTTTTGCCAGTGTTGCCGGGCAAGACGAGACGCTTAGAGCAGAAGTCGTGGCCAATGATTGACCACACGAGTTCGTCGGAGGCCATGGTGGAGAGTTGGGGCAGTACTGCGATATCGAAAGTGTTACTTTGGGAAATTTGAGAAACTTCGAAATTTTGGCGACCGCGGGTCAGCAAAATCGGCAAGTTCCATGAGGGCCCGTGCAGGGGTCAACACTTCACTTGTACATCCTGGGCCACTGCACATGATCTCTCCGCACATCACCAAAATCGCATTGTGGATGATTTGTATGAATACTACCGGCTGTTCTCGCATGAAGGCAGATTCGCTGTCCACTTTCGATACATATTTGCCTACGTGCCGCACCTCAGAGATCTCGAGGCATTTGGAGCCTTTGACCAGTCTCTGATTGGGTATCTGCCACGTTATTATCTCTCCTTTCGGACTCTCCACCGCGGCAATTGGTGCGCGAGACCACGTTAATCAAACGCGCATCCACTTCCCAGCTATCGTCAGCATTCGTGCCAGGTCTTCCATATCGACGGGTCTACTTGTAGTAGCACGGACACGGGCCTCAAGACAGTCAGACTCCGTCTGTTCCAGTGCAGTACAGCCTCTGCACTCTTGGCAATAACCAGCTTGAGAGGTCCGTTTTGCTGCTTACAGTAAGTGCGTCCTCTCGGCATGCTGAATGCAGAGAAGCTCGTGACTATATGGATGGTTCTATACCAGGACGGCAGTTCTCAACAACCCCTCCGAACATTGCAGTGGCTGTGTACAAAGCCCTTCGAGAGGCCCAGCTGTCCTGGATCCTGAGGCAGACTCAACAAAGCGGTGAGTGAGGAAGATGGAAGACGGAAGAGAGAAGAGCGAAGAGGAAAAGAGAGAGGAAAAGGAAGAAAACGGATCGAGGGCGGCGCTCACCAACCGCCCGTTAGCCCTAACCTCTTTTAGGCACTGACGTCTTCGGGTCCGAACCTGCAACCTTTCTCCACAAACCGTCGCCGACTGGAGCTTCTTTTTCTCTGAAACGACGTCGTCGCCACTAGGGCGCATGCCGTGTCTCCCACCCACCGCGAGCACGGCACCGCGTCGATGATGATGAATCGCCAACAATAACAACCTGTTTCGCCTAACAAGAGATGCAGTCAGTAGTGTCCTTTGGCTTTGTTGCGCGAGAGATAGCCCGTCCGTCAGACGGACGTGATTGGCAAGCTCGAGGCTGCGCACTACTGGAAGACCGCCTTAGTTGTTTTAGCCGTACACGCCGACGCTGTCAAGATAGAAACGGTGCTTCCAGCTAGATCCTCTGACCAGACACCAAGTCACGTCAATCGCGCGGCTCAGGCCTGCTGTGCCTCGATATTGGTATGGGTTGGCGTGTGGTAAGCGAGATGGAACTGGTGTCACACTGGCATTGATTCGTAGCCTTGCCCGTTGAGCTAATGGCTGTGTGCAGTAGTTGGTGTTCTGCTTGTTGGTATCACGGGTCGCAAGTCTGCTAGCCTGTGGTCGCTGCCATCTGATACGACCATACCAGGCGGAGGCGTCTTGCGCGGTGGCCGATCTGTGAGGAGAAGCAGGCCTCCCTCCTCCAAAACTCAGATGAGCCGCTCGACACTTATTTGTCTATCCCTGCGGCGAACTAGACGGAACCCCTCACTGATGGTAAGTGCCTCTCCGAGCTCATTCGAGTCCGAAGTGCTACGCCTCAAGGTACTACGTTGTGGACAAGAGAAGAGATTGGTGAAGAAGTCTAATATGTGGTACTACCGCAGCTCTATCTCCACTCTATCCCCAACGCCTTGCTCACAACATCCAACACGATAGGAAAAAGCCCCCCTTTAGGGCTGATGGGTGCGCGCCCGCTCCTTCTGTTCCTTCAGCAAGCCCAGCCTCTCCTGCCGTATGCACCACAGGCTCCAAATCACTCCAACGACGGAGCTCGCCAGCGTGACCCAGTACGCTGTCGCATAACATTCCTTGCCGTCGAGACAGACCATCTCACCATTAGTGCCATTCGGGTCGCCCTCAAAAACAGAGTGGCTGTCAAGTGTGCTGCCGTACACCAGATTGAACACGTTCCCACTCACGACCGGTGCCCAGGTGATCATACCCCAGTTGATGCCGAGCCCACGGGCACCAAATGCGTCGGCTACTAAAGCTGGATAGGTTCCGAAAAGCACTCCATAGCCGCCACCACTGAAGCCCGATAACAGGAAGAGGTGGTTCGGATTTTCCAGAACGAGCGCAATGACCTGTGCGGCAACAAAAATACATGCACTCGCCACAAGGGTCCAGTATCGGGAGGCGTGATGGTGAATGAGCCAGTCACTACCGATTCCAGAAGTGAGGCGACCGAGGAAAGAGCAGACGGAAAGGATCGAGACGTGCATGAGCTGCCGCTTCATGATAAAGTCCTTGCTAGCAGAGTCATCATAGTGTCTCCAGAGACTGCGAGCGTCGTTTCCAATATTGTTGATTGTCATCAGACCCACCCCGCACAGCAGTGCGAGCAGGACAAACAGCTGCCAGAACTTGGGGGTCCGTGCTAGCTCCCAGCCAGTGATTTCTCGTATCTCGTGGTGAAGGCCTACCTTGTGATCCGTCCGTTCGTTCAGTATATCGCCGGGTTCGCTAGAGTTCGAGGACGTGACGAGGGATTCTGTCTCATCTTCATTGCTAAACATGCTATTCTTACTTGCCCCTCGAGTATGCTTTGCCTCGCCAGCGCTCGTGGAGCCGGTGCGGTGTAAGCGATTGCTGTTGCGGCGTTTGTGGGGTTCTGGCTCGTCCTCGGGCGCTACTATTCCATAGGCTGTCGTGTGTTCGTCGGCAGCCTTGATGTCCACAATGCGCAAGAAAAGCATGCCCACGAAGGTCATGGCCGTGGTACCATAGGCCAGAAGCTTGAGGTAACCACTGGTGTCCCCAGGGTATATGAGTGTTGCCAAAGTGGTGTAGAAGAACGCGCTCAGTCCGAGGGCGCTCAGGGGAAATGCTGTCGCGGTGCCCCTGTGTGATGGCCAGTTGCTTGCAGAAGCTTTGAGCGCGGCACTGAATGCTGTACAGCTTCCCGAGCCACTAGAAAGGGCAAACAAGCATAGCATCGCCACGCCCATGCTGTCTGGCCCATTGTCGTAGGCACTTTTCAATCCAAAGTACCCTATGGCAAGTAGGACGCAGCCCAATGCGACTCCCCACCTCGGCCCTTTTGAGTCTATGAGAATGCCTCCTGGAATTCCCATTGCATACATTCCTATGTTGCCAAAGTTTCCGATGAGGTTTATCTGGGTCGCTGTGAGCTGTAACCGATTTGCGAACTGGGGCGCCCAGGCTGAGAAGCCATAGTTGGTGCCTATGAAGGATCAGCCATGGGCCGGCGATACTGTGGCAGCTTATGGACGAAGCATACCGCAGCTCAAAGCTATGGTGGTCGCTGCAACGGAGGACAGTATTCGAGCAGTGCGATGCGCCTGTTCCGCGCTCTTGCTGGTTTTCGACATGGCAACCATGAAAGGAGGTGCCCAAGCGATATGGGCTGCGAGGTGAAGACCGACAAGGAGTGAATAGGTCAGCGGCGGTGTCCGCGTGCGTGGTTGTCGTCGAGACCGTCCCTGCTTGTTGTATTGCGGGACGGGACCAATGTAAGATAGATGGGGAGGTTCGCGCTACGGAGGTCGAAGACAGGTGGCGGAGGGCGAGAGATCTGAAACGGTAGGGGTGTAGGGCAGAGGGCGGAGGGCGACGGCGGAGAGGCTTATCGGGCGGTGGGCGGAAAAGAGGGACAAGGTGAATAAGGCCAGCGCAACAGTGTCATGATGATTGAAGCAAGCAAGAAAGCAAACGGGCAGGGACAGGCACGCAGAAAGAAAGGTACAAAGCACGGGAAAGCCAAATGGAAACATTGAACGGTTCACATGGTTGACCTATCTCGGCTGCCGGCACTTTATCTCCGGCATCTTATCGGCAACCGCTCCCGACTATAACCTCCGTCCTGTCATCGCACCTAAGGTCAGGTACCTCCTAGGTTCTGCAAGCAACATGCAAGCAACATGCACTTCCTTCTAAGCTACCTTATCGTACGTATATGATAGCAAGAATCCAGAAAGACAAGTCCAACCTGATACCAACTGTTGACCTGCTGCTTCTGGGATTGGTGCCAGTCTCGTTATCTGCAGCTGGACTCGCACTCTTTTCCAGCAGAGCGCTCGGCACAGTTTCCGCCCTTCGACGTGCTGCCAGGCACATCGGAATACACTGATGTACCTACCCGGAGTCCAATGGGTCGTCGGGTAGATAATTGCTCATGCGTTGCCCAAAGTAGGAGTTGGGCAATGGAATGGGGCAGACCATGGGACAATTCAGGTTTCAATAAAGGCAGAAGATTCTAAATGTAGAACGACTACATGTAGACGGTTCGTGTGGACCGTGGCACACACTTTGGTGATGACCTGATCTCTCCATTCCACTTCCTAAAGCGTAGGCAAGTACTCATGTTTATTGCCATCAATACAGCAGGGTCTCATGTGCCAATCTCCTCCTTGCCAGGATATGGCAAACCGCCAGAACCTCCCTGGTTTCCAAGCAGTTCTTATGACTTCATGCCCGCACGCACATGCACCCCGAGAAAAAAAAAGAAATGTAGCGGCTGAAACGAAGCTAATGAAAAAGAATGGCGGTTGATTATAGTGCGTATTCGTTTGCAGACTGGGACTGGGACCTCCATCAAGCGCGAGATGACGACCCAGACCAGAACCACGAGACCTGGAACTTCCAGCCTCCGCCGCGATGGGATTCCTTCCGCAACCGCATCATGACCGACGAGCAGGCCGCTCAAAAGGCCCGAAAGGATGCAGTCTCGGCAGGAGCGAAGCAAAGATGGAAGAGCCGGTCTAACCCCAGATTTCACTTCGAAGACCTCTCGCACGCTTCGGGAGTGGCGAGTCCTGTGCTCGACCTATTGACACCCGGCCCGGGCGATGCGATACTAGACATTGGATGTGGTGATGGTGCATTGACGGCCCGTCTGGCGAGCAAGGCGCCCCTCGGAACAATTGTGGGCATAGACAGCTCGGCAGCCATGATCGAACATGCGAACACGACTTATTCAGCCTCCGGCGTGAATCTCGTTTTCATGCAGCACGAATGTTCGAGACTGGATCAAAAGCCAGACGATATGATAGTGTGGGAAGGCGCGTGGGATTGGGTTTGGTCGAACTCGACCTTTCACTGGCTTCTCCGGCACCAGGATACCAGGGCGACACTATTCGAGGATGTTCATCGTTTATTAAAGCCTGGAGGCAGAGTCGTCTTTGAATGTGGAGGTGCCGGAACCGTCCCAGAAGCAATCACGGCGTTCGTCGCAGCAATGGCCTTCCACGGAGTACCTGCCGAGACCCGAAAGCAGGTCAATCCATGGTTTTTCCCAAGCGCCGAGTGGACGCGAAAGGCATTGGAGGGTGCTGGGTTTGAGGTGATTGTATGCGAGACGCACCATCAGCCGCACAAGGTTTCTGAGCACAACGGTAGCTTGGAAGGCTGGGTGCGGCAGCTTGGTGCCGTGTTCCTCGATGCTATCGAGCCACAAGAAGGGCCCAGGCGGGATGGAGTCGTGAGATGGGTGTGCGACGTGCTGAACGAAAGTATCGAAAGGAAAGAGGATGGAACGCGATGGCTCAGTTATGTCAAATTGAGAGTGCTCGCCAGGAAATAGTCGGTGCCAGAACCACGTATCTCGTGTGCGACCATAACCCCGGCTGTGATTAGGCAGGCTCATGTGGGAGAAGGGTGAGTGTGCCGTCCACTGGCATGGGTCGAGATATATATACCATTTCTCCGCTGACAAATGTGTAAGAGCACTTCTTCCCGAGAGGATGATTAACGAGGGTAGTACCTCATTCTCTTTCATGTGACGGAATTTCATGTCCCTCGTTCCGCCTTCGTCTCCTCCCCTCGTCCTCTCACAGCAGAGTCCAAGTGGCCATTCCTGGTAGGGCCAACGTAGGTCTCATCCCAGCCTGTCACAAGTCTCGAAGTTGCGAAGTTGTGAAGTTGCGAGGTACTTCAGAAGTGCATCCCATCTGAAGCATCTACTTCCGCATAGCATGTTATTTGCACAAGAGAGTGATGATTCTAGCACAAATTAAGATGCATATGTCTGAACGTTTGTGGTATTCTCGAAACAGTTCAGCTCAGGGATTCGAGGTTCGAGGTTCGAGGGATCTATTATTACCAACCCTATCATCAAGTTTGAGGATGACCAGAGCAGGCAGCTGTACATCCGCGAGGATTTGAAGAAAAATGGGTGCCACAGATCTCTCACACTTGGTCAGGGACGATGTCGCAGCACAGTCACACATTTCAGGTCATGTCTTGGCAGAACAAAAGCGATGCATTCCCTGGATATCTCGGTCTGTCAAAGTCAGCACCTGAACGCCGGCAAAGGTTCCATCTTCATTCGCACATCACGATGTTATTCGTTGAACACATTTCTCCCGTAGAGCAACGCTTGTAAGCGTGTCAAAAAGCAACTCCAGTCCCATGCATCCGTCGTCAGCGGCAGTCGATGTCCAAGCGAGCCCAGCTGGCTTCCGCTGGTGCCTTCCTTTCAGGCTTGGTAGAGCAGCAAGGGCGCTCGATGTGCAGAGGAGCGCGAGCCTATGAGACCACACGTCGTTGAGCTGCTTCATAAAGTGCGCCAATGGCACCAATGCCAGAGCCTATAAGCATTCCAGTGCTGCCGCCCAGGATACCTTGCTGAATGCGATCGACTGTTTCTGGTTGCACAACGCCAAACGTGACGCCTTTTTCGAAGACGAGCCAGGTGGCCAGTGCCTTGACAATGTTGTAAGTCAAAGGATCCGCCGTATACCTCGCGACTGCGACGCGCACATTACCACGCTTCACGTCTCTAATGGTGAGGTTGTAGAAGTATGCGAACAACAGCGGAACCAGGATTGACGTCAATGCCCAGGTGAGAGTTGCCGACCAGTAGAAGGAAGTGAGCAGAATGAAGACATCGGGCACCAGGACAGCTCTGCTAGGGGTGATGGGCGTAGCGGGTATGTCGAAGGCGTATTTCCAAGGGAATATCTCCGTTTGCAGAGCAATGCCCTCCAGGAGGAGCACTGTCAGATGAATGCCTGTCACGCTGGACAAGATTTCGCGGATGTCGGAAATCTGGTTGTCAATGCCAGAGACGCTATACAGGTCCTGGAAGCCTGCGACGAGGTTGCGAGATGCATCCTCTGCAAGTTCAGCAACTGCCGCTGGAGAAGGTGGTCCGGGGAGCTGTGTTTGTCTGCGCGCACTGCTACGTAGCGCTGGGGTGCGTGGATTCAGCTGGCCAGATGGAGAGAGGGCCGTGGCTAGCGGAGAGATGGCGTGACTGGGCGAAGCAGCCAGGTTGTTTACAGGTGATGAGATTGCAAACTCGTCTCTGAATACACACATTAGTGCATCATCCCATCACATGCGCGCCCAGGTGTACTCACTCCGATTCCTGCTTCACCTTGGTCGGGCGTCTGCCTCTACTTTTCACAACGCTTCGGACCTCTTCCACGACATCTGCCACACTGTCTGGTATCAATTCGGCATTGCTAGCTCTCGTGGGCCTGCCTGGAGTCGATCGTGTGCCAAAGTACGCTGCGAACGCAGGCTCTCGGGACAGTCGCGTCGAGTTGGACTGCAGGTAGTCGCTGAGCTTCTCCACGAGCTCGTCTTTTCGAAGATCCTCACTCCTGTGCTGCGGTTAGTATGGCTGCATCCCGAGAGATCAGGAAACGCGTCGTACTGCTTGAGGCCGGCCTGTTCGGAGAGTTCGAGCAGTTGAGCTTTGCGATGCCGCTGCAGCCACGAGTGCGACATGATTTGGGGCAAAGTGACGAAGGGCGCTAAAAGTGGTATGGCTGTGGTCGCGTAAGTGATGCGACTGCAACGCGCCCACTGAGAGTGTGTGTAGAGATATGTGTGATATGATGGTTGTGGGATGCTGCGCGTTCAGAGGACGTGGTCGCGATGGGCCCGAGGCTTCAAAACAAACAAAGCCGCTTCCATTCTTGGCGCAGCGGCAAGAGCCTCAGCATCGCGAAGACCTGTCTCATAGAACTGCTGCCAGTCCGACCTCACTGCCACGAGCGGGCATAGTTTCTTCTGTTTTCGAGCCCACGCAGCCTCGAGGATGTGCTTCTATGTGGGATGTATTGGATGGTACATGACAGTGCAAGTCATTGACTTCGGAGTGGCGGGAAGATTGTTCCAGCTGGGCCTGTCATGGTTTGCGCTGCTTACCTAAGTACACGAGTCAGTTTCCATGTCTGCACGTTCGGGAGTGAGGCCGCATCATATTCCCATGGGCATAATATGATATTCCCTTTCACATGCACCTACGCTACCTAAGTTACACGCAGAGCACGAAACACACGCACTCACACACTCACAAATACTGTTCCAGCAGTGCCATCCACCGCACCCACGCACCACCACCCCGACGATATATGCCGACGCAGACAACGAGCTCATGATCCTAGCCCGTGTGGCTTCCTACTTCAATGCGACAGAGAAGCCCGTTGATGCGCCTCTGAACTACATTGACCATGGCGAGGACGCTGCAAGACGGTCGACAGAAATGCCATCCCAGAATACCCGAGACCTCCAGCCCGCTGTGTCCCTGCCAAAGGCTCTAGAGGTTGACCAGGAGGATGACCGTCCTCCGTTCACTCATGCCATGTTGGCTGGTGGTTTGGGCGGGTGCTTGGGAGACATGTTGATGCACAGTCTGGATACAGTGAAGACACGGCAACAGGGTGATCCACACATGCCGCCCAAATATACCAGCATGGGGAACACGTATTGGACGATCTTGAGGCAGGAAGGCATCGGACGTGGCTTGTATGGAGGCGTCACGCCTGCTTTCGTCGGCTCGTTCGTGGGCACCGTCATCTTCTTTGGATGCTACGAGAGCAGTAAGAGGGCCATGATTGACTACGGCGTGACGCCAAGCGTGGCCTACTTTGCGAGTGGATGGTGTGCCGACTTGGCTGCTAGCCCACTGTATGTGCCCACGGAAGTGCTAAAGACAAGACTCCAGCTACAGGGCAAATATAACAACCCGTACTTCACGTCGGGCTATAACTATCGGAGCACCATGCATGCATTCAGGACCATATACCGCATGGAAGGATGGCGAGAGCTGTTCTCAGGCTACAAAGCGACCCTTCTCCGAGATCTGCCCTTTTCGGCACTACAATTCACATTTTACGAGCAAGAGCAAAGAATGGCAAAGGAATGGGTGGGACCTGGCAAGGAGATTGGGCTGCCTTTGGAGATTCTCACGGGGGCGAGCGCGGGTGGCATGGCCGGTGTGTTGACGTGCCCCATGGATGTGGTGAAGACGAGAATACAGACAGAGTTGGACCCTGAAGTGGTCGCCAAGGCGAGAGGAAAGTCACCAACATCAAGCAAAACCGAGGGCACACCTGCCAGGACAACGACGCCCCCGACGCACAGAAAACACAGGTCGACGCCAGCTTCGCCTTCGCCGACCCAGCGCAGACCAATATCGACCTCCGGCCCGGGCACAGCGCTTAAGCACCACGGACTAGTGCCGCTTGACACAGAGTCGGTGTACAAGGCATTGAAAATCATCTATCGCACGGAAGGTTTTGCAGGCTGGTTTCGTGGCGTGGGGCCTCGAGGCGTCTGGACGAGTATACAAAGTGGGACCATGCTTGTGGTCTACCAAAAGCTCCTGAGATGGTTCGATGCCAATCCACTGGTCAAAGTCGACCCAGAAGATGGATTGCGGGGAATCAGTTGAGCGGCAAATACCAGAGGCAACAATGTACAATCAATCAATCAATCAATCAGATGCATAGCACGGCGCCTGGGACAGACAGCTCTTGGTATAGAGCCTCTTGCAATCGCTTACCTTATGTACAGCTTTATTCTCTACTACTACAGCACCTCCATACATCACTTCTCGAGGCAATTACATATATGAGCATTTAATGCCCACTCTGATACGTACCATTGGCGATGCAGTGCACGCCATATTTGAAGCAACAAAAAGCATCTGGTATAAGGTATGGTGGTATATCTTAGTCATCATGCCAATGACCAAAAAAAAGCACACGGCTCCTTTTGATCCACCAGTCACCTTTCCCAATCTAACTATTCCTTATTCCCCAGAAAAGAACGTGTCTCCTGGTATAGTACACTGATGACATTGTTCGCTTAGTATATCTCTCAATAAGAGGTACATGTATCAAAGGTAGGTATCTCTCCATCACAACTTCGATGCTTTTGGTTCTTGCTTTAATCGCACCACACCCTAGATAGAACACATTTATCATTAGCAATCATTCGGTACATTAGGTACGCCGGATGCACACTCATTTTTCCTTTTGATCTGGAGCGGAACTTACCTCCTGCGTACAACTGGCAACCAATGTCCCATCTCTCGCGAAAATTCTCTGATTGACGTATCCCCTTCCGTCACCGGCCCAAGGCGTCTCGGCCTCGGTCAACAGCCACTCGTCGGCTCGGAATTTGCGCGGATTGTGAAAGTAGATGGAGTGGTCTAGACTGACCATCATCCCGATTTCCGGTCTCTTCTCTTTCAGACCCACTATTTGTCCATTGACAATCTCGAGCGCGTTGAGTTGGTTGATCAGGTCGTCGTCCATATCCTCGACTTTTCGCAGAGTTGCAAGATCCATCGTCTTCAGCTTTGCGAGGATATCGCTCGTAACGAGAATCTCCTTCTCCTTCTGCTTCGGACTCGCGCCCGTGTCTTCCGATGGGGCCTTTTCGTTGGTCTTCGTCAGGGAGTCGTATTTCCACAATCGATGCGTCCTTGCCACCGTGCCGATGAAGTACGAGTCGCTCATGTATGCGAGAGCAGAAAGATGTGATTGTGTCCCGCCCTCTTCGCTAATCCTGCCTTTACACTTGATCCATTGTCTGGTCCTCTTCTCGTGCGCGTTCGTGGAGTCGTTATTCAATATCCCCGCGAGTTGCGTGACGAAGGGACTTTTCGCTCTTGCCAAGAGATCCATACCCTCGACCTCTTTTGCATCAGGAATCTCCGGCATCTCTGCTTGATGTTTCACCGTCTGTTTCCCTCCTGATCCTTCTCGCATGAATGATAGAGTGGTGGTAAAGATCGGTTGGCCTCGCTGCCTCGCTTGCACGGTCCTGGTCGCAAAACTTCTCCCTTCACGGACATGTTCCACGTGGTAAATGACGGGAATGTCGGAGCTTCCGTTCAGAACAAAGTAGCAATGCATGCTGTGTACGAGGAAATTCTCGGGGACAGTCTTTTGCGCTGCGGCGAGGCATTGTGCAATGACTGCTCCACCATAGATTCCTCTCGCTCCAGGGGGATGCCAAAGGGGCCTTGTGTTCGTGAAGAGGTTGGGGTCGATGTCGTTCAAATGTGTGAGCTCGAGCACATCCTCGATGGGGGCTTTGTCGTCGGAGGGTGGAGGGGGTTTGATGAGCGTGGCTTTGATTCGTGAGTGAGACATGATACGATTGCTGTTCTGTTGTTCGTGAGAGTTGGCAGCCGGTTAACACAAAGGAAAGAAGAGTAGGAAAGAAGAGAGGTCAGGTACAGTATGTAGTAATAGTAGAAGACCTTCAAGTTCTCACCTGGCGAAGGAAATTCAGTCAACGCGTGTGAAACAGTACGCACATGTCAAGGATTGGTGACAGCCGCCGCGTGCATGACGATGAACCGAGGTTCGGCCTAATCCGGCAGTTACCTGAAGAGGTAACTGAGCCGACGTCGATGAACCGGACCTGCTTTCGGTCGGCAGAATCCGCCGAAGCACAAGTGCGAGCAATCACCGGTATACGTGCGGATGGCAGCCAAATTTTGTCGTGTCGTATACAACTCGTCGAACAAAGGATGAACCACGAGCTTGTGAGCGGACATGTTTTCCGAGGTGATAACGGCAGCACCTCTGTGGTGAGACAACTTGCCTCTGATATGTACATCTACTTTTCCGAGCTCAGTTTTCCTTCAGAGCTTCTTGGCCACCCAGAACATAGGACGGTATACGTTCTGGAGCATAGATGCCGGATTTTGTATGTAGCCCGTGGGACTGGCTGGCTTTTGCTCGATCATCTCAAAGCCGTACTGCTGAACAAGAGCTACCACTTCGTCATGTGATAATTCAAAAGATCCGGGTTCGCCAATGCCATTGTCTCCTTTACTATGGTCATGAGAAGCCATCCCATCTTGTTTCTCATGCGTCGCAGGAGTAGGGGCGGATTCAAAGTGCCAGAGAAGAGGACCAAGGTTGATCCAAATGCCGCCTGGTTTCAGGCAGGTCCTTATCGTCTCAATATAGCCGATCAAGTTTGGCGCAGTATCTATAAAGAAGCAGGTAGCCACTGCGTCGAAGAATTCGGAATACTCTCGGCGTCGGTATACGGTGGAGAAGTCGCCAGCAGTCATGGACATGCGATGACTGTAGTGTACACCTGATGCTATTTCCGCCTGTGCCTGCTCGAGGGTGGTCACAGGATTTATATCGGGTATGGCGACAGATTGTAGTTGAGCCGAACGCGTGATATGATTGCTGAAGTTGAGAGCCCATGGATAGAGTGTGTGCTTACCAGCCTGCTGGATGCAGTTGAGAACATAGTTCGAAGCCAGAAGCTGATGATAGGATATCTCATTTCCCTCCACCGTATAGCCCGCTGCACAGATGTCAAAGACCAGTCTCCCTAACCCAGCACCAGGTATAAGCACTCGTTTTTGGTGGCGCTGGGCTGCCGGAATATGGAAGTGCCGTGCAAGGGCGTCGAGTATGGGCGAATATGCAGCATGTCGCTCAGGCAAACCTTCGCGAGACCAGTCTCGGTACAATTGTCGTATGGTAGACCGCGCTTTATCGAGGTCATTTGGTTTTGCCGCACCATGCCAGCTTTCGTCGCCAACTTCGAGGCCGAATTGAGCAGGACCGAGTTCCACAATGGCCTCTGCAATGCTTGCATTCGATTCAATGGCGTGGTCCACAGCTTGGAAGGTCTTGATTAGATCAAACGGCGGGGAAGAGAGCAGCTCTATTTGAGGAGCCGGAAGCGCATAAAAAGACTGTCGGCGGAGATGGGTTATATGATAGTGTGCTGCACGACGATACTGCCTGAAATGAAGTAAGGAAGGTGTCCGTGAGACGAATACACCTACAGAACACACCTGAAGGAGTCTAAGGCCGCGAAAACGACGCGCCTTTCTTCAGGGTCATCTAAAGGGTCAATTTCTGGCATATCCTGAGCCTCTGTGGTGTCTGGAGGGTGTCCCAGTGCCATACTTGTTGCAAGAGAGGAGTACGGCGATGGAAAGTCAAACAGATCCACGCAAAAGCCAACGTCGGGTGGCTGCCGAGCAAACATGGAGCTAACTAGTGGATTCCGTGCATTACTGTCTTGTCGTTGTCTTGTCGTGTCGAACAGTCCCGAACCATCGCATCTCATAAACATACCACATTACCGATAATGGCAGCAGATGCAAGCAAGCCGCCTGTGGTCAATGGCCTCGAGTCCAGCAACAAAGCTCTCGAATTAGCAATCGACCTTCCTCACAGCCCTGGTCTCAGGCTCAACGTGCATCTCACCATCCTCGCAAACTGCATCATGCTCTTCCTCACAAGTACAAGTTCAGAAACTGGACCCGGCGCGGTATCCATGGGCAGTTTTGTATACGCTCTGCCAGATGTGGGTCACTCCCTTCTTTTTCTTTTTCTCAAAGAACGATCAGTTTTGGAATCAAAACTGACAAAATCATTCAGCGATACAACCCAACACAGCCCATGAGCACAGCATTATACACTGCGCCTTCATCGCTGGACTTTACAACTCGCATGGCCAAAGTGTTGACACGCCGGCTGAAGAAACCTTGCTATGTGGGCAGCAGCATCAATCTATCTACGGCAGCGGGAGGAGGTTCCGTAGACGAGGAAATGGATGCATTTCGATGTGTGGTTGACACGGTCGTTTCAGCAGCGGCGTGAGATGACCGTGTGCACATACCTCCTAGGTTTTGCAGAAGAATGAAAACACTACTGCTGTGTGGGTACTGGCGACTTATGAATGAGTCAGGAGAAGAAGATTTGTTTGCTGGCGGCCGAGCATTCTTAAATGCTCAGGTACTATGTCTACCCTACGGCAACCAGCTGTGCCAGAAGTAGAGTGACGAAAGACGATATGACTCAATATGGCAGAAATATCGCCATTACCATTATGGCAAAGGACAATCAGCTCGCAGAGATGGTATCGTGAATCGTCGTAGTATGTCTCACATCAATACTGTGCAGCCGGTGCTGCCATGTTGCATGTCCTACAAGTGCGGACTTATCACGCACTGTCTTCCGCCATGTACGCTATTTCATCTCGAGATCATCGTGAGCAGCGTGACCAATCACAACACACCACCAGGTACTTGCTGTTGACGTTGTCAGCTTTTCAAGCTCCCAGAATCAATCATTACAGAAACGCGAGTCAGTAGTGCTCACCTTGGGTTCTTGTGCGTGAGCGGGCGCGCCAACTCCAGAAGTGTTGCTCCAGCCTTCTTGTGGCGAAGCATGTCTTCGCAACATGAACATTGGTTTTCGCCCCTCTTTGTCCAATTGCTTGAACAGTAGGAGAGGTTTCTCTTCGAGACCCAGACACCGCTCTTGGTCGCCATGTACAATGTAGAGCGCGTATTGCCGCCAGTCGTCCGTGATATTGTAGCGTTTCAAAGCCTGATAGGTCAGTACAAAGTCCAGGCGCGAGAAACAAGGACCACTTACAACTGGTAGCACGACGCGACAAGGATCCTCAATGCTAACGCGGAAGCTTTTGAATATCTCCACCTGCGGGTTGTCTCTATCCTTGCCGGGCTCTGGTGTTGCCTCATCTCGGGGGCTAGGGGTTGGCGCTTGTCTTCGTGATCGGTCTTGCTGCTGTCGTGCACTTCTCGGGGGCTCTTCTGCAAGTGTGCTGGCTTGACTGTAGTGATTATTGACGTACGAAGCGTCGTTGTCTGTGATGTACCCTCGTTGGTTGTGTTGTGGAAATGAGCGAGAGGTGCTACTAGGAGGCACGTGTGTGCTATAGGCAGGGCTTGTCGGACTGAGTTGGTGACCATGCACGCTGTTCGGGCTGGTCTGACTTGCCATGCTTGCTGTAAGGTGGCTACTGGCGGCCATAGCCGCAGCTGATGCTTCGAGATGACTTCCGCCATCGTCTCTTATCTCTCGACCTTGAGGCGTTGTGCCATGAGTAGGCGAATTCTGCCTCGGACCGTCCTTGTTCAAAAATAGCTTCTTCGTGGAGAACTTCCGACTGAGCGAGCTGCCCTTGTTCTGAATTTGCTCCATTAATCTGTTTGTAGGATCCGTCTCGCGTGGGGAGGGTATCGTGCCTCCAGACGGATCAGGCAGTGGTGTCCTCTGGTCCTTCACCAATCTCATGATCGGCAGCGTCTCTTCCCTCAATTTCCTATTTTCGTCCGATATCCTGTCCAAGTAGTCTCTCATGCCCTTCAGTTCCATTTCTGCCGACTGGATTCGCAGGTCTCGTTGCCGCAGTGACTCTATGATGCGAGCAATATCGTCCTGGGTAGCGGTCATCTCGCCCTTCTCGCCTTCGGCCGACAGAGGTATGTAGTCTCCTTCTTCGATCTTCACCCCGGCGCGCATCTTCTGCTCATACACTGCCTTCAATATTGTGAGTCTGTGGCCCACGCTCACAATGCCCAGCTCCCGGAGTTCATCGTGCCCCAGTGCTATCAGTGCCTCGCCGTTCACCCCTTCCTCCACGAAGCGCTGGCCGTACTGCTTCAGTGCCGGAGACAAGGCAGCCACATAGTCTGCAACCTCCTCCTCCGTCCATTGCGTGATTTTGCCTGTCGGACTTCTGCCCTCTCTGTCGGCCCAACCTTGCGTGGTCGGTGTGTCGTCGCCGTCCAGCACGGAATGATCGTCCTCGGAGTCTGAAGGGTGGTCACTCTGGTCGTCATAGGTGGTGCATAATGTTGGCGAAGTGAAGACGGAACGCTCAAATTCATCGTCGGCCTCCGCATCGCTATCGTACGCGCTATCGCCCGCCTGTCGCGTGTACTTGTCCATACCGCTCTTTTCCCCGTCCACGGCCTCGCAGGTCGCAGGCTCGACGGGCAAGGGCTTTTCGTCGCGCGTTATTGTGGCACTTCGACTGCGCTGCTGGGTGAAAACGTGCGGCAGATCTGTAGCAGACGCTCCAGGCTGGTGCTGGAGAATATGCTGGCGCTGCTCAACGCGGCTGCCGAAGCTCGCGTCAATGGGCGTCGCCTGAAATTCGGTCTCGGTTGGACTGACCTGGTCGATCGAGTTGCGTTGCTGCACAGCGTACAGCTGCTGCTCCAGCGAATCTGCAAAGTCGGACGACTGGAATGCGCGCAGTGGCAGCGGTCCAATCGTAGACGACGTTGCAGATGCAGCGGAGGTGATGGGAGCAGTGCCGGTGCTGTTCGATGACGAGGGCGTCGACAGAATGCTCAAAGCGGCTCTATTGGCGGGAATGTGAGAGGCCCTGTGGGAGACACGCGCGAGCCAGGACTTGTGGTGTTGTTGGCCTTGGCTGCTGTGATGCCCGTTCGCTTCGGTCGAGGTCTGTTGTTGCATCGAAGGCCACTGGGAATCTGGGACAAACCGCCCAAGTGGATCCTCGCCTCTGGGCCTCTTCTCCTCCTCCGCCTGCTCCTGCTCCTGCTGCTGCTGCTGCTGCTGCTGCTGCTGCTCCTCCTGCTCGTCGCGGGCTCGCTGGCGGGGCGGGGCGGGCTGGCGAGCTCCACTGACGGGCTCAGGCTGGGCGGCTGCGGCTAGAGTCGATCCAAGGCTCCTCACGCCTGCAGACGACTAACAGACGGACGGGCCTTTTGTTCAGCGGACCACATGTATGATGGATGCGTCTTCAAGAGGGATTATCACATCTGATGCCAGTCGTGACATGGCGTGCTCTCAGCGAGAGGTGCAGTACCGGGCAGGCAGTCCACAAGTACCTACATACATACGCCGCTCGACCCCCAAGACGAACACACTAGTAGCTACAGTACATGTAGGAGAACACTACTCGAACCGACTCTATAAAGTATAATCCGTGCTTGCTTTGGTTGCGGTCATCAGCACAGCTGCGCGAGCCTCGCTACCGGGTAGATCCCTGTCTCGACTTGCATAACCGCGCCGTCTCCATGGATTCCCTCCCTCTTTGCTCTCTCTGGGCCTCTGTTGGCGGGCAATGGGCGTTGGTTATCCTTTTTGTGGACGCCGGTATCGATACGCTACCTCCTACCTCCTAACCTAGAACTACTCAGGTAACTACATACCTTACCTTAGGAGGTACCTACTGGAGGTACTGACTGGAGTCTACTGAGTCTACTCCACTGTACGCCGCGACATTCTTTGCTGCTGAACCGACCTTTTCCGCCGCAGGCTGCAGCTGCCAGCGTGGCATGGCATGGAATTGCACATTTGCTGAGCACCTGGAGGTAGCATCGCATTGGGAACGGGGTCTTGTCTCCTGGTCGGCGACTCCAAACGCCATCTTCCCATCACCATCACCATGGCTTGTTGTACAGTACCACCTGTCAATTGCAGCACCCTGGTGGTCCAGCACGGCCGCCGGCACGCTTGCAGCACTTGTGCAGGAACAAACACGTCCCCTATACATGTCAGGTACCGTTATGCTTTCACATTTACACTTTCTGGTCTCGACGCCTTCACACTTAGACAGCCCTCCCTCCTATGCGATCGACAGGAGCGGGTTCTGTGAGAATAATAACACGAATAATACTAATTCGGAGACACCTCCCACCTCGATCGTTGTGCCGCGCGCCTACCGGTAGACATGATTGTCGAGTCTGTCGACCACGCCACGGACTCCGACGGTGAGGTACACTTGACGGATGTGGAGAATACAGCACTCTGGGCAAATGGCAGGAGCGCAGTCTTGTTTGGTTCGGTTTGATTGAGGTGATCTTGGTCACCGCCCACGTGTCTATGCTGCCTGGAGGCTGGCAGTGCCAAAGTGCCTGCCTTCCAGGCTTCCACCACCTTTTGCACTTTCCACCTTCCACCTTCCACTTTCCACACTTAGGAGGTACATGTACCTACCGGTACCTTATTGTCCAATTGTGCCAGTTCCAGTTGGTCGATCACCGTTTGATGTCGGCCAACCTTCCCCACTCCACTCCGAATTCTCTCTTCGCCTCGGAGACTTCCACTTCGCCAGCGCATATCGCGCTTTTGTTCTCCCTCTCCACACGTACCTCCACCTCTACAGGTACCTAGGAGGAATCTACTAGGTAATGTACATGTACACACCTGCTACGGAATCTACATGTAGGTACATGTAGGTACTGATATTGCTGACTCGCTGCACGCACTATAGCAACTCAGGTACTGCAGCAGTGCAGCATTGCTTAGGCTGATAATAACCTGGTCAGGCGCATCCCACAGCTACATCACCAACCAAGTTCCAAGTTCCAACCCACCTCTGCTGCCAAATGGTATGCATGCACGGGTCGGTGTTAATCTACATGTATCCGCATTGTAGCGCTCCGAATCCGATGCGCGCAAGCACTAGCCACGAAACTACCTAGGCGCCTATATAAGTATGCATTAAGTGCCACCATATTGCCACTCACAAGGATGTCTCCTTTCGTCGGCGCGACCGACGCTTCTGAACAGCGGCTGATAGGAGGTACGAGCACCACTGTCGTCATCATCATGGACCTATACATGTACCTCTGTGCTCCAGTCGACTCTACCCGAGCGAGCTCGACATACCTAATAGGAGGTACACTGCTAGTGACTGCTACTGTATATCTCTCGGCACTAGGAGTCACGACTACGCGGCCCACTTCAATGCCTCCCTGTCCGGTGTCTACCATCAAGGATGTTGCTATGTTTAGACCATGCCTTAGATGTCATCATCATGAAGACCCACGATATCAACTGCACTTTGCAGATCCTCACACAGGGCTACGATCGCACGACGATCGAACCTCATATGCCTTGACGACGTGTCAATGCAGATGTTACTTGGCAATTGCCGCAATTCGACAGCCTTTTGCGTTGTCGCTCGGTTCAACCATGCATTTCTATTCTACTGCCATAAAAGACTATCGAGATTGAATATGACGCAAAAGGTTGCCAAGTGGTTCTTAAGGCTTGAGTATAAGGGTTTGAGAGTTTTGGTTTGACATCCGCTGTATCTCCTACTTCCGTATGCTTATGACTGAACTAGCATATGCTATTGCATGCCATCCCGCACCTGTCAAGAGACCAGGTTGTTCGCCCGTCTCCGGATACTTCATTGTTGACCCACGGCATAGGGTTGGAGGTTTGCAGTGTTACTCTAGGTACCGAGCGATCATTGAAACCCGACCATTAGACTCTGTGAAGCACAAAATTGCTACTACCTAACCTTCGACATCCAATATCTCTGCTTCAGGCGAAATTTGCCATGTTTCTGCAAGAATGTGTAGACTTGCACTTTTCACACGAAACCGGCCGACACGAGGACAAATCCCGCTTCATTGTGGCTCATCCGCGCGGATGTGTCAAGCCGCTCAAGCGATGCAGCAAAGAAGGTGAAGTTTGACCCGCCTGGAACGGAAACCTGGTCTTCTTTGTATGATGATTTTGAAGAAGTCACGGCAGTAATTATTCCACCGGGAAAGAATTGCGTCTGCCGCACGTTGTGTGGGCCGATGTAGCTGTGCTGTTTCATGCCGTGAGCCGACATGAAAGGGGTACAGCCTGCCAATCTGTGATTCCTCATCCGATGAATCCACAACTTGTTGAAGATGGAATGGTAGTCGCCTTGAGATGACTTGATCTATATCGAAAAGATCATGGTATACGAAGTGCTCGCTATACTTAAATGGATCTGCCAAATGTCAGCTGCTATCCATGGCATCTAGGACTTTAGATAGATCAGGGCGAGCACTCACATCTACGTGCAAGTGCCCCAGCAAAATGTGCTCCAGAGAGTCTTACACGGCGCTATAACCTCCCCGATTGCTGCCATTGCCCATCTTGCCAGCCACTCCACTCGTCCAGTCCTTCACGATGTATGGAATGTCACGGATGGTATCACCGTGCGGCACCAGATCCCAACCTCGTGCTCCGTAGCGGTTGTAGTTCAGCCATGAACCGAAGATGATGTAGCTCGCGATGAGCAAGAAGGCAATGATCAGGAACCATGTGAAGAAGCCCCAGCTGCCCTTCTTGTTTTTTGCGGGTGGTTGTTTTGCGTCTTCGCAAGCGTATTTCGTCTTCCAATCCAGCCGCAGGACACCAAGATCTCCTTCCTCCTTGTAACTGATGAATTGTAGTGCTTTTCCCGCATCCAAGTCTGGAAGTGGTTCGTCCTCGCCCTCACCTTCGCCATCATCTTCTCCCTCGCCATTCGCTCGTCTGTTCATCTGGCCGTACGAAGCCACATCCATGAGCTTCTCTTCCTCTTCAAAACCTTCTGTTCCTTCCTTCTCCGCATCACATATGAATTCGACAATAGCCTTCTGCTTCTGCTTGACCAGGACACCACCGTGCAGCTCCACTCGCAAGCCTTCACGCTTCGAGTCTTGGTTGCTCGAGCTGTGCTTTAGCCTCGTGACCTTGGGAGCAAGGTGATCACCGGCCAGATACTCGCCAGCGATGGGTATCACCTCGACCAAGCCTCCGTCGTTCTCGTCATTGTAAACGCGCTTGACACCGCACACTTGCGTACCCACAGGACACGAGTGCGCCTTATCACCTTCCTTCGGTTTCTTGAGCTGCTGACATATGTCGATTGTCCAGGTGGTATTAAGGTATCCTGGCGGTTCCGGTTTTACCCAGTGCACGTCTTTTGGCCCGCCGAGTGCTTTCAGGTTGAACTTTTGGTTGTCTGCGACAATGTTCTCACAGTCAAGTGTGACTGCTGATATGGCTGCTGGAAGGAGCAGCCATGACGTGAGAATCGAGATGGATGGCATCGTTGCCTGGAAGTAGGAGTGCGGGATGGTACTTCCGGTCCCGTGGTTGGAGGTTGTGGTCAGAGGGACCGCGACAATGCTGGATTACCTAAGTAGGTAGGCGTGGCGCGGATCGTGATGAGTCGGTGCGGTACCATGCAAGATTGAGGTGTAATCGCGTGAGAAAGGAGCATTCGCGATAACATGAAGGATTAGGAAAAGGTCTATGTCGCGAAGAAGGGTGCTGAGGATACCTTACCAAGCACCTCCTAGATACATTAGGTAACTATGTACCTACGTAGGTTTGGTACCTTCATTAGGTAACTAAGGTACCTCACTGGCTATGGAACCTACCTAGTACCTCCATTATATATATATGACTCTACGGTACCTTACATGTAGTCGTCTGTCTGCTCCTTTCACACATCCGAAGACCTCGCTAAGGTATCAAAAGCAACTTCAAATTCATCTAGATCCATCGACGTCCGTACGAACCCGCATTATCCAATCGAACTTAATGCCCACCATGACAAGCCGGAAATTGCCCTTCAATCCACAGGAGAACAGCCGTCTAATGAGACTACCACAAGAGATCAGGGACGAAATCTATGGGTATCTCTTTCACTCGACTCGCTTCTGCTTTGGCGAGCGGGCGGTCGGTCTCATCGACCTTGATACTCGTCGAGTCGTTTCAAGGAACAGAGGCAAATCACTTGCTCTCTTGCGAGCATGTCAACGAACGCACGCTGAAGTAGGTTCCACATGGCTTGGTCAAGCACTGTTCCATTTTGAGGACCCGAAAGCTCTGCTTGACAAGCTGGCTGTCGTGGATGATGCTATCCGTAGCCAGATCAGATACGTCCGCGTGTCGGGAGATACATGTGATGTCGAGTGGGGCTACGATGACTGCTACTATCGCACTGCTCAAGTATTGAAGCTACTGCCTTCCCTGCGTCTCGAGAGACTCACTGTTCTGGGCCCGAAGTTTCATCGTGCATGCTACGAAAATCTGGACTCTTTGATCAAGTATAGTGATGGCTGGAAAGAGCTCCATTATATTTCTCACAGTTCCGAAATGCTGGGCTTCCGAGCTTTCTTCGACACCGAACGTCATACACGTTTGCCTCAGCCAAAGTCCTGGCAGCAGGAGCTGGATGAGCGAGATGGACCAGAAGCGCGGTCGGTGGTGACAGTATACCGCAGCAACAGCCCGACCAGGGGCTCCATTCTAGATGCCACGAGGCGCACGCTCTTTCAGCAGCAAATGGAAGCGGATCAGTCGGCAAACGCATATGGCAAGACAGAGGACATCTCGCTCATGGCGCCTGGAGAACGCGAGAAGGAACTTCTGGTCGTCGTGAGGCGTGGCGCTGGCGTCGACTATGCTGAAAAGAATCCAACCTCTATGCTTCCGATTGGCGATATCCGCGACGACTCTCGTGCGCAGACCTGGACCGAGGTCAAGGCGACTTCGAAAGCAATGAGTGCGGCATATCGCGATGACTATGACTCCGATTCCGATTCGGATGAGGATTCGGATGAGAACGATGAGGGCGAGGTATTGCTGGACGATTACAGCGATGTCAATGAATACACGTGGCCTCCATTCCACTTTGTAAGGTAATGGGGAGACCTAGGTTGTTTGCACTTGTGCAAATTTCATGATTGTAAGGTAAGCATTCTCAGGTTGCAAAAATACAAGTAAGGTAGGTATAGGAAAGAAAGCTGACAGGTACCTACCTATGCGTAGAAACACGGGCTTTATTCTCGCGAGTGGACTTTATTGAGGCATGTCATCTCTTCCTCAACCAACTGTAAATGCGTCCGGCCGGGACTTTTTTATGGCTCCATAGCAATATGATACAGTAGATATAGCTCTAATGCATACCTGAATGTATAATGTAGAAGTGATGCTACATGTACCTTATTGATGCGTCTTTTCGGGAATACTCCTCGCCGTCGTTGAAGTTCAAGCAATGCCGTATACCTGAGTGGAACAGCGCGGTCGCCGTATTGGAAAACCAAGTAATGGTATGGTACAAGGTACCTTGGCTACCTGTAGGTACATGTACATGTAGGTATGCTAGAGAGTAGAGAGTTGAGAGTTGAGAGGTGGACGTAGGTACCCTTACAAAGCTCGAGCCACTGTGGACTATGTAAACCCTAGCGCTAGCGCCCGTTCATGGCTCCGCAGCGAACTTTTCTTGCTGCTCCCACTCTCTTCTTCAAGATTGCGCATCACATCACCACCTTTGCCATGGCGATCCAGAAGAAGCATGCAAAGGCGCGTCTGGATAAATATTACTATCTCGCCAAGGAGAAGGGCTACCGGTCGCGTGCGGCCTTCAAGCTCATTCAGCTGAACAAGAAGTATGGCTTCTTGCAAAAGTCGAAATGCCTCATAGATTTGTGCGCGGCGCCAGGAGGATGGCTTCAGGTAGCGGCAGAGATCATGCCGCAGAAGAGCTTGATTGTAGGCGTCGATCTGAGTCCGATCAAGGCCATACCGAAGACTATTACGTTCCAAAGCGACATCACAACTGACAAGTGCCGAGCGACGATTCGAGGCCATCTCAAAACATGGAAGGCCGATACTGTGATTCACGATGGTGCACCCAATGTCGGAACAGCCTGGGTGCAGGATGCCTTCAGTCAAAACGAGCTTGTGCTCAGCTCACTGAAACTGGCGACCGAGTTCCTGGCCCCGAACGGGAATTTTGTCACCAAAGTGTTCCGCAGCAAAGATAGCGCAAAGTTAGAGTGGATTTTCAAGCAGCTGTTCAGCAAGGTCGAGCAGACAAAGCCACCGAGCAGTCGTAATGTGTCCGCTGAGACCTTCTACGTATGTCAGGGCTACAAGGCGCCCAAGCATCTGGACCCAAAGTTCCTGGATCCGCACTACGCTTTCATGGATGTCAAGGAGAAGAGCGAGAGTGCTGAGGCGAAGGTGTTCAATCCGGAGAAGAAGAAAAGAAAGAGAGAAGGGTATGAAGAGGGTGACTGGACGCAATTTCACGAGGCCGCTGCATACGAATTTGTGCAATCGCAAGATCCGATCGAGATGCTGGGAACGCTGAACAGGATACACTTCCGACGAGATGGCGAAGATAGCGTCGCACAAGCTGCGCTGGACATGATGTCGGAAACCACCAAGGACGTGCGAAAGAACTGCGAAGACCTCAAGGTCCTTGGCCGTGCCGACTTCAAGCTGCTACTTCGGTGGAGAATAAAAGCACGAGAGCGATTTGGGTTAAAAGAAAAGAAAACAGGACATACGAAGGCTGTTGTGGAAGAGAAGGGCGAGGGCGAGGTTGGCGAAGAGGTGGCAGTAGTAGAATCCATGGACGATGAGATGCGGCTACGGGAAGAACTCCAGGCTCTCAAAGACTTGCAGGACAAACACAAGAAGAAGGAAAGGAGACGCGAGAACGAGAAGAAGCAGAGAGAGATCGTACGCATGCAAATGGGAATGACCACGCCCTCAGAAATCGGAATTGAAGCTGGCCTGCAAGGCGGTGATGCGGTCTTTCAGTTGCGAGACGCGGATAAGGATTCTTCCATCCGACGCCAAATCACAAAGGGCCGCATGACTGCCTTGATCGAGCCGGAGAAGCCACAGCAGGAGTTCAGCGAAGAGGAGGATTCGGACGAGGATGGTGACTTGCTGGAGAGAGAGTTAGATAACATGTACCAACAATATCAGGAGAAGCTGGAAGATCGTGACACAAAGGCTCGTGCAAAACGTGCGCGGAAAGAGGCTGGAAAGAATAGGGAGGATGCCTTCGAGGGCTTTGGTGATGATGACGAGGTCGCGGACAGCGACGCCAGTGATGATGAGGTGCTGGTACAGGACCAAGACGACTCGGACTGGAGTGACGACGAGGAGGAGGAGGAAGGACTTACAACGAATCTGCAGCCAAAGCAAAAGGACGGTGAGCTCAGTAGCAGAGCTGCATCATTCTTTCAACAAGATCTATTCAGTGGCATCGATGGCCTTGACGAGGATGAAGACATGGATGATGTCGACAAGGCACGAGATAGTGGTATCGATGTTACCTCTCCAGACCTTGCTGCTGCGGCAGAAGATGTCGCAATGGAGCGGTCGGACTCGGAGGCCGAAGACGAAGGGGCAGACTCAGGATCAGACATCGAGGACGTGGCAGCAGATGAAGAGGAAGAGGACTGGGAAGAAGGCACGACACGAGATCAACCCGACAATGAAGGTCGTCCGAACATCGACATTATCACTGCTGAAGCCATGACTCTGGCTCACCAACTGGCCACTGGCAAGATCACCAAACAGCAGCTTCTCGACGACAACTTCAACAAATACTCTCTTCGTGATGTTGACGGTCTTCCTGAATGGTTCTTGGACGATGAAAACAAGCACGCTCGTCCGCAACGTCCCGTAACGAAAGAGGCTGCTGCTGCAATCAAGGAGAAGATGCGGGCTGTCAACGCCCGGCCCATCAAGAAGGTTCGTGAAGCGAAGGCGCGCAAGACACTCCGAGCAGCAAGACGTCTGGAAAAGCTCAAGAAGAAGTCGGAAGGTCTCGCTGAAGATGGCGAGGGCACGGAACGGGACAAGGCGAACCAGATCAGCAAACTCATGGCTAAGGCGAGCAAGTCTGGGAAGAAGAAGCAGCCTGTAAAGGTCATTCGTGCTGGTGGGCAGAACAAGGGCCAAGGAAGACCACGAGGAGTCAAGGGTAAGTACAAAATGGTCGATGCACGTTTGAAGAAGGACGTGAGAGGGCTCAAGAGAGCCGACAAGAGGAACAAGAAGAAGTAGATGTAATGGATCCCTTGGCATTGCTTTTGCGAGTTCTCAAAATCAAATGTGAACTTGAGGTGCATGTTATCTCCTGTTCTTGTTGCCAGGGCGAGATGACTCTCCCCACTTCTCAGATCTCGTGACCTCAGTGGATTGTGCCATTTCCATGACTGTGGCCTCTCAAGAGTTGTTGATGGATACGGTGCTATCCTCCTCGATGAGAACATTGTGGTCCTTGCCAGCAGCCTGTAAAGTCTCCAAGATCTTGGCTGGTGCCGTGGCGGCAAAGCCCATGATGAGGTTGTATTCATGTCTTTTTCCACACATCAGCAGTTGCGCAAGCAGGTGGATCTGGAGTATGTAGTGGTAAAAACTTACGAGATGAATCCGCCAGCATCAAGCACATACTTCTTGGCCTCCTCGAGGACCGAAGCAGGAGTGCCTTTCGGGTAGCTTATGATGATTTGCTTCATAGGCTGATCTGCAGCGACGCCAAAGATCGCCAGAAAGGTGAGCACGATGGCGCTGACGAAGATGAAGAACTTCATATTGGAGCAATATGCGGTTTTGCTAGTAGTGCTGTAGTTTCTGTAGTTTGGATCTTCCGTGGTGTGATGTAGGAGGTACTGTTCGAGGTGCAACCACTTCCCTTTGTGACAGTTATCCTGTCGCCTGAGGTCCAGACCTGATATGCGTCATAAACCTTATCAAGCGAGTCGATCACGTGCGGAGAACTTCACTTTCTACCTAAGGTACCTACATGTACTTCAAGTTTCTGTTTCTACACAACACGCAACAACGTTCACCCCATTTCAACATCTTCCTCTATCACGACGACCCCGCCGTCCCCCATACCCAAGACAAGCGCATATTGACAGCCCAACCTCGACGCGTCACCATCACGAAACAATTGAGACGGACGCCTCGCGCCGCAAGACCTCTCTACCAACAGCACAGCACAGCACAGTGCAGCGCAGCGCAGCGCAGGGACTGCATTGCCAGAGTCGGCAATCTGCAGAGGGATCATCGCTGGAACACTTAATTCCTGTTACTCTGTTGAATGGTGAAGGCGTGGACGAGATAGACGACTGGTCAGAAAGAGCTTCGGATTCTTGCACTGTGGATAGTCCGCTTTGAAGCGTGCTGCGGTTTAGCTAGCAACCTGACTACACTTCTTGCACAATTTGTCCTCATCGAAGGGCCAAATACCTTCGCGCCGCTCGCATTGAGCTCAGTGTTGCGTGCGGCGCCGCTGCTGGAATTGCACGTGCATGTGCCAGTCCTGTTGACCGGTGTCACCTGCTGTCTTGCTAAGTCAAGCGGAAATCTTATCCGCAGTAGCATACTTCTGCATCGCTGTGTGCCTCTCTTCTTTTGCGTGAAGTCACCATGTCTTCCCGGTCCCCTCGAGGTTCTATCTCCGGCGGCTCGTCTGCTGAAGTGGCCGCCGACTTTGAAGAATCTTTGAAAGACCTCCAAAGCAACAACAGATACGAGATCAGCAACCTGACTGTCATCGCGAAAGAGAACACAGAACATGCGCAAGCGATCTCCCGAGTGCTCGAAACCCATATCAAGACGGTAAGACAGGCCTCACGTGACATGGTATTGTGCTATTTTTGGATTCAATAGGTGCTGATCAATTAACAATGCAGACTTCGCCGACGCGGAAACTTCCTGCACTCTTCGTCCTTGATAGCATTGTGAAGAATGTTGGCACACCTTACACTGTGTACCTTGGCCGTAATCTCTACAACACCTTCATGGAAGCCTACACCCTCGTCGATACCGCAACAAGACGGCACATGGACGCTATGCTCAAAACGTGGAAGGAGCCTGTGCCAGGTTCAATCGATCCTCGACCAGTGTTTCCCAGAGAAACGGTGCAGCCGCTGGAGAATGCTATGATCAAAGCGAGGGCGGCGTTGGAGAAGATCAGACAGTCGCAAGTTCCATTTCAAGGCACAGCAACTCCACCGCAGCACAACGGACAGTATGCAAGGCCTCCAGTTCAGACTCCCCAGCAGTTCTACCCAGGCTACGGTGTTCCACAACAAGTATGTCTACATGCCATCTTCGAACTTGTCAGTCTACTAATGCATAACAGCCCACCCCTCAACAGCAACCGCAGCAGCAGTACGCCTATCAGCCGCCACTGGCCAACTTGACGAATGATATTGAGAATGTGAAGCGTGACATCGATTCCCTCATTCCAAGGTTCCAATACCAACTTGCCGCCACGCCACACGATATTGGACTGCAAACTCAGCTGAGCGCCTTGAACCAATTACGCAACCTGCTCAACATACAGCGTGTGAGCTCCGTCGAGCTGCAACAGATCAAGCAGCAGGTTTCATCATTGGCTCCAGCAGTCCCTCAGTTCCCGCAACAGACTCCTCAACCAACTCCGCAGCAATGGGAAGCACCACCACCACCCTTTCCTCCACAATTCCCCCATTCGACGCCAATGTTTCCTGCGGCAACTCCACAGCATCAGCCTTCAGCATCGACGCCGCACCTGTCTGCAGATGCATTGAACGGATTGCAAGCACTACTAGCCAGCGCACAGCCGCCGAGCACACCTCAGCTGCGTGCTGCGGTGCCTGGCTTTCAGAATGCGAGTCATTCACAGATGAACGCAATCCAGAACCATACCGCTCCCGCACCTTCACAGAATGGAGCAGCTGATCTCATCGCATCTTTGACGAAAGCCGGGCTCATCAATCCTGGCTCAAATCACGCGCCGAGTACGACGACTGCCTCCCCTGCAGTCACTGCACCGCCGCCTATGGATCCTACTGCTGCGCTGCTGAAATCGCTGAACGCACTGCCACAACCGCCTTCGCAAGCTGGCACACCGTCGCTGGTACCTACATCTCTTACAGCGCAGCGACCAAACGTACCCATCTCAGCAGCTGCCCTGAAGGTGTTCAGACCAGAACTCGTTACATCGATGTATGATGCGTTCCCCAACCAATGCAGCACATGCGGCCGACGGTTCCATGCCACGGAGGATGGTAGACAGAAGAAGAGCCTCCATTTGGACTGGCACTTCCGTACCAACCAACGTATCGCAGATCCAAACACAAATCGTGGACACCATCGCAATTGGTTCCCGGACGAGATGGATTGGATCAGGCATGTCGAGTTTGACCCTTCGACAACTACCGCCACCGCAGTAGATACTCAAGAAGCAAGCAAGACACAGAAGAGTCCAATGGAACAAGTTGTGCGTGCTCCGGCTGGTATGACAAAGAGCACCTGCAGCATCTGCTACGAGGATCTCAGTAGCACGTATTCCGAGGAACACCAGGACTGGGTGTTTGCGAATGCAGCGTACATGAACAAGAAGATTGTTCATGCGTCTTGTCTGGCGGAGATGACCAAGTCACGACCGCCACCTAGCGCAGACAGAGGTGCATTGGCCGCTGCTATTGCAAGCGTGAGCGCAGGACAGAGAGAGCGCAGTGCAACACCGGATTCGCTGTTGGGGAAGAGGAAAGCCGAGTCAGTCATGACCAGCAATAGCTCCAGGATCAAGTTGCAGTGAGAAGAAGAAGATTGATTGCATTGCATTGTACTTAAGTCAGGCTCTTTGTATGATTATAAGCGTGGCGCTGGGGAAAACACTTGTACATGGGCTGCGATTATTGCACTACCAAGTTAAGGTATACCTTGGTAGAGAGCAACATGGGCAATGGATATGCCGAGCATCGGCCGAATTCACACGTTCACTCTCCCCACCAGCTTCCTGTACCTATGTACTTCTAATTGTTCATCTCGCTTCGCGACACACACACACACTCTCTCTATCTCTCACACACACACACACACAAACACGCACAAATCTAGAATCACAGCCCACTTTTGAAGATCACAACGACAATGACAACAACAACTGCCACCACCACCACTCCAGCCCAATCAGCCGCACCTTCTTCTTTTTCAAATCAGAAAAAACCCCCCCAAACCAACCCCCAAAAGACTGTTCAAACCGACTTCTCCATCCGCAACCCTCACTGGTCATATATCCACCTCGAACACATGCATTCCACTTCCACTTCAAGTTCCATCTCAAATATCAATCAACAAGAGGGAAAAGAAGAATTAGATCCCGTGACGGCGCAATTGCACCTCTCTGCTGCTCTGTCGGCATTGCATGGCTTGCACGGCTTGGCCATCCCCATCGATTTGCTTCACATCACAGGCCAACAGGTCTGGTTGAGAACGCCTGCTGATGATCGAAGTGCGGTGCTTGCAGCTGTTGGCGGATGGATGAGTAACAGTGGCGATAGATGGCGCATCAAGGGCTGGAGTCACTGGAGCGCGAGCGCACTCGGGCGAGATGCTGGGCAGGACTTGTTCGACGCTGCCTGAGCATAGGAGGTATGAGCGCAAGCGCAACTATGAGCACGATGGAAGTACAGCAAGGCGGCGCTCGAAAGTAACCAGAAAAAAAAATTAAAAACGCGCATTACAAGCACGTGTGATACTGGCCATCTAGAGGCTCGTGGGCGCATGCCATGCGAGAATTAGTACTAATACAGCATTCATGCCCATTTTTCCTGTCCCAAATGCTGTGCTCCGCCTGCCTCATACCATACAGCCCCATTTATCAGCCCGTACGCTGAAAGTATTGCAAAACGCCAATGTAAACGACGGAAAGTGGACATCACTCGCTCGCACCTTCCAGTAGCCCTAGTTGACGCATACGTTCTGGGTTCATGCCACCATAATTGGATCGATTGATCGACTTTTCTTGCTCGTCTTGATCAGGACTACCGGTGGTCGGGGGTGTCGCTGTCTGCCTTGGCTCTCCGTTGCGTGATTCGGGACGACTATGCGATCGCGCTGCGCCTTTGATGGAGAAGCCAAGTTCCTGATCGGTGCCTGACATGTCATTTGCATCGTCCTCGTCGTACATCTGGGGTGCGCCTTGCTCGCTTTGAGCAGATATGTCGTTTGCAGGCGGAGGCGGCGGTGGCGGGCGAACAGCGAATTCCTCATCAGACTCCGTGCGTTGCTTCTTGGCGAGGCCCTCGTCCTCGGTAAGACTTGTAGGGTCATCTCGTCTTCGCTTTGATGCAGCAGTCGCATCGGAAGGGGTTGCGCCGAGGGCATCGTCCATGTCATGGTCTGACAAACCATCATCATCTGCTGGAGGGGGACTCAGTACTGCAGGAGGGGGTGAGCCGACAGGAGTCTTGCTTCCGTCTGCGTTCTTCTCCTTCTTCTGCTCCTTCTTCTCGGCTCGCTTCTGATCGGAAGCGGCCTTCTTCTTCAATGCTTTTTCGAAGAACATTTGACACTGCTTTTTGACGTCCTTGATCTTCTTGTCACTGAGTTTGTTTGGATCTTCCACCCGCCCTTTCCTGAAATCCGACTCCACCACTTGTTTGGCGAACTCTTTAGACCAGCGTTTCACGTCCTCTTTTGCGAGTTTGTTCTTGTACTTGCCTGACACATGGGTCACATGTGGATGCAGGGTGTTCTCGTACAGCTTCTTTTGCTTCTCCTCCGGCAACGCCCGCCATTTATCTTGCTTGCGCTCCTTCTTCTTCGGCGTCTCGACCGGGGTAGGAGTAGTGGACTGCTTGACCAATTGCTCTGGTTTGGCAGCGACAATATTTTTGATCAGATCTTGCAGTGCCATCTGATCGGTGACCGCTTTTGGTGGCGGCGGCGGGGGCGCTGCGTTAGCAGGTACAGTCGGACGCTGCCAAGTGGTAACACCTGATTGTGTGTAGTAGTATGTGGCTCCGTTAGCCGCAGTGGCCTCGAACCAGCCATAGGGTAACACGCCCACAGGCGGCGGTGGTCGGAATCTCGGCGGGGGCCGTGCGAAGGCGGGCCGAGCAGATGCACCTACTCGTGGACCAGTCGGCGCCACTATGCGCTCTGGTGACTTTGACCGCGACCGAGACTTACTCCGTCGTCTCTCGCCGTCCCGTCTGTCTATCTTTCGGTCTGGCACAACGGCATTCGGATCACGCTTCACGCGCGGTATCCGGTACGCGATTTCGAGCTTAGACCATGCCTCCATCAGTTCCTTGGCCCGGAATGCCACCCTCTCATCCTCGCTTTCTGCCAAGGGCCCAATGGCTTCCTCGATCTTCGAATCTTGAATCTTGTTGCGCGTGAGACGTGGCATTGTGTCCAAGATGTCAAGGATCTGAATGCACACGTTGGTGTCATCGGCGAAATTGGCTAGAGCGGTTTTGAGGATACGGTAGCCATGAAATCGGACCACTCGGTGGCGGACTTTTTCGTCAGTCGCTCGTTGTATGCGGGTGAGCAGCTTCACGGCAATCCACTTTTCTTTGCATTGCATGAGCGATGACATGACTTTGTTGACGCCTTCTTCGTCCAGACCCCTAGGCTCGACGTTGTTGACGTATTCTTCGTCATCCTCGCTCGCCTTCTTCTTGCGAGGGCGCTTAGCGACAGCAGTATCCCATGCGTCGGCGTCGTCAATTCCGAGGGCTTCTATGATCGTGTGGGACAGCTTCGTGGCGCGTTCTGTCTGTGTCTTGCCACCAATGAACCCAGTACAATTAGGCTCGTCGCAGTAGCATGGCTGTGGATCTGCACCATATCGGTCGACGTTGTAGTTGAAGACAAGTTCCTCTCCAGCGTGAATCTTGCGTTCGGCAAAGATTCCCATGCGAAGTTTGTCGCCAACCACCCATTTGTCAACGTAGCAGTTGGGGTTGCAGGAGTGATTGCAAAATCTGCCCAGATTGCCTTTCTTCGTGGCATCTACGAATTCGCCCTTGGAAAGTGACATAAAGTAGAAATGCTTGATGCCTTCCTCGTCGTACTGGTGCAGGCGATTTCGAAAGGTTTTCTCGCCAATCACCTCGCCGATGTACTCGAAGATGAAGTCGTTAGCTTGCAGTTCAGTATTCGCACGAAGGCCATAGCCTTTCTTTTCTGTCTTGATGACAGAGACGTTGGCGTATTGCTTATGCTGGAAACGTCGGTTTTGACAGCCCGCGCCGCAACCACAATCACCCACGCACTCCATTTTGGTGGCGCGATTGATGCAGTCGGTGTCCTCCCCACAGGCATTGTTGGTTTGCGTGGCTGGATCTGCTTCATCGTCAGCAAAGCGCACTAGAGTGGTAGCCTAGAGTCTGGTAGATACAACTTACCCCATTCCTCAGCACAATCGCACTCGAGCGCATGTTCAGTCGTGCCCAGTGACTTATTGGCATACGTGCACTGCGGTAGAACATCGAACGTGCGCTTGGACTCGTCGGTGCTGTCATCGTGGTCAAAAAACAGACGGGGACTTCGTTTTTCGATCTTGTGCGAGGTGGAGCGTGAGAGCTTTGGCGGCTTGCCAGGCTCCAGCTTGAGTGTTACGTCTCCGCCAATGGTCTCTTCATTGTCAGACTTGACGGCCGGGGAGTCAGCGCTGCAGTGTGTCTTGATGGGTGACCTGGACTGGCGCTTGAGACTGGCAGGAGTGCCACTCCCGCTGGCAGAACCAAAGAGCTCCTTGGCCGCCGCTGCCAGTGCAGGTATGGTGTCCATGTCTGAGTCGTCCTCCTCTTCTTCCTTGAGCTGCATTCCTTGCATGCCTCGCACCTCCGAGTCGACTCTCTCGTGGTCGTTCTGGGCAGCTGCCATGTTGGTGGGTTGCTGACAATGTGGATGCAGCAGACGAGTGTCGCACGCGGAGGTTCAGATCACAGCTGCAGAAGATCACGATCTTCAACACCGCTTGACAACAACACGAGCACACAAGCGCCGGCACATCCACTTCTCATGTCTTGTCGATGCGAGACAGCGCTCTTGTCGAGAGTGCGCTTACGGGATTCCTAGTGAGTGCGCGCGGTGGAAAAATCATTCATCGGTGGCGTGGGCGTGGGTGTGGGCGTGAACAGCGCTCCGCCGCGGGCGATGGTGGCGGACGGATCCAAGGGAAGGAAACGGATGTCGTCGAGATTCGCGGTGCGGCGCGCGGCGGTGCGGTGCGGTGCAGTGCGGTGCGGTGCGTCGTGGTGGAATCTTGCGAGCGAGAGAGTGATTGATAACACTTCTTTACGTTCAGTACTGTACTATGAAGACTTGATGGGAAGGAAGGTGGAGACCTCTTTCCGTACCGGCTCCAATTGCTCTCTCTTCAGTCTTCAGTCTTGTGATGCGCCTGTTGCAGTGGGCAGGGCGATTGGGTCAAGAAAAGACGCGTTGGGCAATAATGTACATAGCAGTGATTAAGGCAATACTGTAGGAGTAGCATACAAGTCTTTCCTAATGGCAGATTGCAGCAGAGCCAAAGCGGCAAAGGCACTAGTTTACCCGTCTCTCACTCGCCCTCATTCACTCACTCACCCTCGGGCACGCACACACGCACACCCACCTCGGGGTAATGACCACGCGCATGCTCCAGCCAGCGGACACGACTCCCACGCGCATCAGTACATAGCACACCTCGCCGTACTCTCAGGAGCACGGCGTGCGGTATGCCATTGACGATGGAGATGGTGCCTCAGCTTGCCATTATTGCTCCCATGCCAGCACACGTCAGTCTGCAAAGCCACCGCGTGCTTCTCGACAGCAAGCGCAAGTCGTCGGTACTTGTCAGAAGATCTGAGATACTGCTCTGGAAAGCGACATTCCCTCGAGTCCGGTATTTTAGGTAACTGCAAGACCGCATCCTACACCGCCGATAGGGAGTCGGAGACTCGGTTGGACTGCAACAAACTCGATAGTACAATGGTTGTAGCGACTGATATGTACGCCTGCTGCGCAAAAGAACGGTTATTCAGCGGCCCAGGGCCAAGGTGGATATCTTTGAGCGGTCCAGCATTGGTCGTGGCCTGCGTATGAAACTAAGTAGCAGGAGAAGGAGCCTCATATGGCCGTGTCTAGTGAGTCCACTTTTGGTGGTTAGTAGAGTACAACTCACAGATATCCATTCTCCTGCGTCTCGAGACGGCGAGCCGCCAGAGCGCACAGGCATAGTAACGAAGTACTAATTTCGAGCGGTTAGCCATGCGAGCTGCACCAACGATAGGCTGGGACGGCTTTTCCTGAGGGACTGCGCGAAGCAGAGCAAGTGCAGAGCAATGCAGTGAACAAGCAGGGCCCGCCTACCTGCCCGACGTGATACCCAGGCAGTGTAGAGTGTAGGAGGTAGGTACGGTACTTGTTGATGTTGATGAATCGATGATGATTTTACTATATTATTATTATTATTATTATTATTATTGTTTCTTCACAAAATTCCAGCGACCCAGAAGAGCGGCAGACCTAGGACGGGAGTTAGAACTATAAGGTTGGACGCGGGGCGGGCTCGCCCAGCAGCTGTTCCAACTTCACGACTGCCGAGCGCACTACGAGTGAGTACCTTAGTGACTGAGGTACTACCGATATTGCGGTCGGCGGGACTACCTGTCGGCGGTCGTGATCATGGGTAATGGCCCTAATGGGGGCAAACTACAGATATCAACAATAACATCATATCCGCGTTTAAAGGGGCTGCGCTGTTGGATCAATGGATACATGTACATCCCTTACGGTCCTAGCCCGGCCCTGTCCTGTGCAGCGTCAGACCAGGCGACGGTGTCTCTGCATGCAATGAATGATGCATGCATGCGCAGGGTGGTCTGTCCGCACCAAGACGCATGTCGTTAATTTGGACGCTGAGTGCAGAAAATGCGCTGCTCTGCTCATGGAGAAAAGCAATGCCAGCCAGGCCAGCCAGCCAGCCAGTGTCCCGCCAGCGACTAATCACTAGTGTCGAGAAACCGCACCTAGCACGTCTCCTGCATATGCGCATAATGCGCAAGATGCTGATACCAGGTTTCACATCTCTGACCACAGGGCATCGGCATCCATCTTCCTCTACCCTAGAACTATCCTACCGCCGTGCCTCCTATGATGATGGACCGACACCACTACCTGACTACTCTCCTCCCTTCTGCCTCCATCGACTCTCGTTTCTGTCTCTGTCTCTGTCCCTTTGCGGCTGCCGGCGTCGTGATGCATCTGCCTCTGCTGCTGCTCCTCCGCTCCCTCTAGTCGCAATTGCTGCGGCGCCTCCCCATACACTCGTTCGACCAGGCCTGCCTTCATCACCTGGACCTAGCCTCGAAGGAGGTGCCTGCTGGCGTCGACGGTTAAGATAATAGCTGCTGTACCACTCACTCACTCCGCATGCCTTCCCATCGTCCGCTTCGTTGTTGTCGTTCCCTCCTCACCTTTGCCCTCTCCTCCCGGCATGGCAACGCCTCCTGAGCGGCCTTGGACTACCCACGAAAAAGTAGGTATTATACTTCCTGCACGTCGGGCATTTGACCCTGGTAGAGATCCACTGCCCATCACCTCGCTGACTTGGGTACCTCCCACCAACGACAGAACTCTTTAATGGCCGAGATCATCAAAACGGCCAATCCGCCCGTTAATGTGTTGTTTAGCGTTATTCAAAGCTTGCAACTGCAACCTCGATGGGACGATATCCCACTACCGCCAGGTTAGTATCTTGTTGTGGACTACCTGGGACTACCTGGCCATGCCTGAGCCTGGAGTACCTAGTGGCTGCCAACCCCCGTGGTCATAGGTACGTGGTGGCTGACTACTCTATCGAACAGGACGCTCACTGAACTCGTGTCGTCTCGCCTATGATGATGTGCGAAGATCACTTTCCGCGCCCATGGGAGCATCCTTGGCTCCATTGAACCCCACCCCCATGACTGCCATGACTGGCTCCATATCCACCACCCTCAAAAGGCCTTTCCCGTACGAGAGTGCATGGCTTGGAAGTTCGACTGCCGGTCCCACAGGAGGTCTAACTGGTCGTGAAATCAGACCAAAGCCGTCGAATCCCAGCGCTGTGCCGATCCAGCCATCACCCACGGACCAACCGACTAAGAAGAAACGTGGTCGTCCTACGAAAGCAGAGGCGTTGGCCAAAGCGGAAGCAGCCGCCGCCTCCGTGCCGGCCTTTGGAGAGCCAGGTCCAGTATCAATGTCACGCCCAGCATCGCAGAGTACACCTCAGCCTCCGCCTCAGCCTCCGCCTCAACCAATGACTACCATGCTATCGACTGCACGCACAGATGAGCCCAAACCGGGACTTCCACCTAGCCTTCCGCCGGTCACGAGGATGCCCATCGCAGCCATGCTCACTCCCACTGCCGGCGAGCCTCATGGCGGCAGTCTCGCTCATGCACGCCCTTCATCTGGTCGAAGGAGACGTGCGCGGTCAACCAAGTCAGAGCAGGAAGAAGGTGAATCGCCGCCTGGTCGTGGCAATGAGACTGGAGCCGACTACGAGTCGCCTTACGCTCGGCCTGATGCTCCAGAGACCCCAGTGAAGACCGCAGTGCTTCGTAATCGCGGCGAAGAAGAAGAAGAACAAGACATCCCTCGAGCCTTACCGATGCCGGGTCTGGCCCACGACACCTCAGATCCAAGGCTGTCCTCGGACACGGAGCAGCAGCAATGAAGCAACATAATATCGACGAATCCTTTCGAAACGCCAACAATAGAAATCCACAACGCTACCACGGCCGACATTCCCTTATTTACTTCCTGTGTATAGCCTGTCTTTTTTTTTATTTCCTGGCACCTATCATTCCACGACGTGGCCACGAGCGTTGTTTTCACATGACATGTAAGTGTCGCCTCGATCGATACGAGGTACCTACCTATGGGGCACGATTTCAAATGGGGGGTGGATTCTTCGATGTATGATATAAGAGATGTATTACCTCACGGTTGGCATGTGAGACGGTTTCATGGCCCTGAAACGACAAATATATTCTAGTAGCAATTATGTTTAAACTATTATTACTCCGAATTATCATCATCATCATCATCTGCATGACTGTTTTCTCATAAACATGTGTTGGGTTTCGTGGTGTTCTACCTACAGGGACCTAAGTGACGAAGCGAAGTCGTCTCGACCGATTTCTGTCTTGGGTGGACACTCTCGAGTCAGATCGTCTCAGGACAGATACCAGGTTTATATAGGTGCAACCGCTCCGTTTCCCTGGCCCTTCAGATGTGGCAGTTACACGCATAGATCAGGTACATGTAGATATGTAGAAAGCGATGGGACACCCACATCACTGGTGGTATCGCAAGGGCGCTCAAAAGTTCTCTTCCTGTAGATTATCTGATACTGTCGATCTTCTGAAGCTATCTGTACAATCTGTACATGCCTCCAGCTACACACACCAAAACTCCTATATCGCCCGGACTCATGCAGTCATACAGTCTCCAGATCGTCATTGCATCCACGTTGCTTGCAAGCCAAGAGGGTGAGCCCCACTACTAATGCGAGTTCAACTTCTCATCCTTATCCTCCTCTGGCTTGCCCTTGAGAGGGTCTGAGTGGGTTGATTCCTTCTTCTCGGAGGACTTTTTGCCTTTCGTCAACTTCTCTCGTTCCTTCACGGCACGTTCCCGTTCCTTCAATCGCTGTTCTTCGGCCTCTACCATGTCCATCCATTGGTCCTCGCCAGCATATCGTTCGTGGTGAATCTTCTTCTCGATCATGTGCTTGTGTGTTGGGTCATTAGGGTCAAGAATCTTGACAGTCTCCCATCGTCCGCTGCCCTTCATACGGTCGTTCCCTTCGAATGCCAAACTGACAATGACAGCGGCAAGTGTAAATCCTTGAGCGTATACACGAGCTTGCACAATCTTTTGCGCTGTAGTCAAATATGGGTTGCGACCGACAATGCCCATTGCAGCAGAGATGGAAGCTACCCAGGAGCCCATTACCAGGCCGTATCGATTGTCTGACAACCAAGCCTTCACCTTCTCGCTCTGTGTCCGGGATGCATCAATCTGTTCCTGTAACGATGCTTGCTCGTCTTGGTAGTCGCGCCCGGGTTGGCGTGTGGCTTCGAAACGTCGCGAGTAGGAATCGGCTCCGATAATGGCAGAAAAGGTGCCTGCGGAGGTGATCAAGAAGGTGCGAAAAGGCAAGGTGAGACTGCGGAAAGCTGGATACCTCGCAGAGGCGAGCGAGACACCCAATGCACCCGCTGCGAGGCCAGCGAGACCACCTCCAATGCCGCCCTTGAGCGTGGCACTGCCTCGAAGTTAGCATCTTCATTGCTGCCGACTGCGCGTGGTCTTCTTTTTCTTTCTTTAATGAATACCCGGTAGGTATGGTGTGCTTACTTGTAGTGCTCTTCCTCCTCCTCCTTGGTCGTGATCTTCATGATGGCAAGGTGTGCTGTTGCGAGGACCAGACTGCTTGAAGAATACTCAGGTACTGTACAGTGAGAAGAGTAAAGACGTGAAGCCGAGGGTGGGATTGGCAACCAAAGTACTCAAAAAGTTCCAGCAGCAAGGAGCGGATGCAATGCGGCTGACCGATGTCATAGCTACGGTAAGAGGTTAATGTACATGTACCTTAATGTAGCTAGCTTAGTGATGGATGACTTCACAGGCTGAACCGAATTTCGGTCGAAAAAGCTTACATCGCAGTCCGCGGAGTAACATCCATATCACAGAACACACAAGCATGGCGCGGAAACTGCAGGATGTTCGACATGATGATGTCGACGAGGACGAGATCATGGATGAGGACGAGGTTGAGGACGAGACTGAGGACGAGACTGGAGACGAGGTCGAGGTGAAGGCTCCGGGAGAAGAATTTCACAGCGGAGAGGCCGAGCTGCAGATCAGGCATGTGTCCTTTGGCGCTTTGCAGCAGGCCCAAGATGCCGTGTCAAAGAAGCGCAAACGGACATCAGATGCGCACCTGGACCAAGACGATAAGCTGGCGGCGCTGAGAGACCGACTACGACAAATCAAAGCGCAGAAGACGGAAAAGCCATCTAAGGAAAAGAAAGTGTCAGGCAGAACGAAAAATGCCAAATCGATTGCTCGCGACGGCGACGATGACGGTGATGATAGCGACGACTCAGACTCGGATTCTGGTCCGTCTGAAGAGGACGTACCGAATAAGTCGCGGACATCTAAGCATGCTCCAACTGCGCAGTCCACCAAGTACCAGGTCTCTCGAAAGCGGCAGGTGGTTGATGTGCCCAAGAGAAACGTGCGAGATCCCCGCTTTGATGCCTTCCACCAACACGCGGAACCGAGCAACACGGACAAAGCATATAGCTTTCTCGACGACTACCAGAGGGACGAAATCAAAGAGTTGAAGGCCGAGATCAAGCGGACGAAAGATGAGGACGACAAGCAGATTCTGAGGCGCAAAGTCAATAGCATGGAGAATCGACTAAAGGCCAAAGCCGCAAAAGAGCGCGAACAGGAGGTGGTGCGGCGGCATCGGAAAGAGGAGAAGGCCAGGGTGGAGGAAGGCAAGACACCGTACTATCTCAAGAAGAAGGAGATTAAAGAGCAAGCTCTCGTGGAGAAATTCAAGGGCATGAAGAGCAAGGAGCGCCAGAAGTTGATTGACAAGCGGCAGAAGAAGGAGAGCCAGAAGGAGAAGAAGAGAATGCCCGATGCAAGACGAATGGCATCTGGTTGAGTGACCAAGGAGGAAGGATTCCAAACCAACCTCAGCTGAGGACGGCCCTCCCTACACCACATGGTAGTGGAGGTGACTGCCTCTGCAAGGCGTCGTCACGAAGCTTCTCTTTCACTCCAAAGAGAGGTCTGTCTATACTGACATCGCACTTCACGAGCCCTCACGGTACGGTACAAGCCGATAGCGTACATGCCCAGTGCCTTGTAACAAGGGCTGGCTCAAAGCGACCTTTAGGTCCTCGAAGAAAGCTTCTCAGACCACCCATTCACTGGATAGCCGATATCTGTTGAAAGAAGGCAGCGAACGAACAAGAAAAAACGACAGATTGGGGTGACGATGATGCACGTGAGCAGCAGAATTTGGCATCGCACTATGAATCAAACGCATGGCTTGAAAAAAATTAGTTTACTTGGAGACTAGATACCCATCTGTACCTGGTATGACGGCTACCGGAACATGGATGTTTGTCCCTTCCCATCGTCAATCTCGCGCAAGGCTCGGGGCCTGCTCCGAGAATCGACAATTTGCTCGAGCCAGAAGAAGGCAAGACCATGATAGGAAGGAATTGCAATCCTACCAAGGTCTTTCGCTCTTTTTCGCGCGGAATTTCTGGGCCTGTGAAACATTTAATCACTGTCCAACATGAAAAAGGAGCGTGAGCAGATAAATTGCTTTCTTCGCTTTGATTCATGCAAATGCGGATAATGTGAGGTCTCATTTCTACGCCATTAAATCGCCGAGTCTCGTCTCAAGCTACTTATAGAAGCTCAAATCCGAGCCTGCCACTAGACTCAATCAATATGTAGTAATTGTAAGGAGCCATCAGTCCGAACACCATCCATGCTGTAGTGGTCTAAAGCCCGCAAGACGCCATGCTGACACCCTCTTGCCTCTGCTCGTAGAGAGGCATCTGCAGCCACCGCTGGCGAGTGTCGCATATGTAAGGCATCCCTCCAGAGGGCGGAATAATGGTCGAGCTTCGTATTTTCGATTATGATGATATGATAGCCATGAGTCATGTGCTAATGATATAAACGTGTTTGATGCCGTGAAGTTCATGAGTGAAACAAGTCCCAGGCTCGCTCGCAGAGCCTGATAAATTCAGCTCGCTTCTCTGCACTGCTCATGGTCACTTTCCAGTCTTCTTCTTCCTCTCCGGGACGGCCCCGCGACGCAAACGTTGTTCGTTTGGCCTCCGAGCGGTTAAAGGTGGATGGCGGGCTGCCATTGTCAGCCTCGTATTCGTCTCGTCCCCGTCGCCTGCCATTCATTGACTGTGTCCGTGCCAAGACGTCTGGTCGCGTTGCACGATCGTGATGCCCGGTATCCTGTACTCCTGCTCCGGTGTGGTTCCCGCCATGATGCATCGGTGATGGAGGCGTCGGTGGTTGGACACCACCGTAATGCACAACCTTTGGCAACAGCTCATCCCGTCCTCCAGAAAGTCCTTGTACAGCTTCTTCAGCGGACCTAAATCGTTCGCGAGCACTGAGGGGAGGGTGCTGCTGGTGGGCAGGGGCGAATCCCGGTGACGGCATTGGCGGTTGCACATTGGAATGGGATGAGTGCCCAGGAGAGTTGTTGTGCTGACGTCGGCCCTCGAATCGGTCGTTAGCAAATACGTCCGAGATGGGAGGAAGCCTGTTATTTGTTTGCGTCGCGGGCACGTGGTGAATATGGCTCGTCTGGCTCAAGCCACTTGGTCCATGTTGTGCGTGACGGCTCGAGGGGTATTCTCCCGGTCTGAGACCAGTAAACGTCTGGTGGAGAGGCGCTGATTGTATGACACGATCGTGGGCGAATTGAGCTGCAGAAGGAGCTGCGATTGAGAGACCAGGCGGTGGTCCTTTCCTTCGCGACGTGATGGGCGTCCTCGTCCCGGTTTGCACGCCAAACAGGGTTGTGTCCTGCGTTCGTGGTCCATCGTGTTCCCCCGAGCTACCTGGCTTCCCTCCCTTCTGTCTCGCTTCAATGATCTGCCTCTGCTGGTCTCGAACGTCCATACTACGCTGTAGTTGTTCTCGTAACGCCGGATCGTGCGTTGCGAAACCCGGCGACAGGCACGCGAGGCCAACATCGTGAATGTGAAGACCAGATGATTGTCCAGTCAATGGCGCCGAGGGTCGTGCAGTGTGCGGACCGCGGCTTGCAGCCATGCTTGAGGAGAGGTCGAGTCGTTTCGGCCGTGGTCTCGAGGATGCCAGAGCTGGCGAGCCCGGCTCTTTCTTCACCTTGATCATGGGCGGTACGCCGTTGCGAATGCTGTGTGGTATTAGCTGATGTTGGACCGCAGACTCGACGACATGACGCACCCGTTCGGCGAGCTCTTGCCTGCCTCTATTCTCACAGTAGTCTCCGGTGACGCGCCATTGCTTCGTGCTCGTTTCGCGGCGGGTTCAGCGGCTGATGCCGACGGATGGCTCGTGTTGCTGGAGGGAGCAATAGCGGCAAAGTGGCGAGGAGACACTCTTTCGACCGAGGGTGAGAGGGTAGCTGTCGGCGCTGCTGCCACGGCGGTGGACATATTGGGGGTTGAAGTGGACGGGAGGAGAGCGGGAAAGATCAAGGTCGACAGGGTAGCAGTAGCAGAAGTAGTGGTGTGGTCAAGGAGGTCTGGGAGGAAGGAAGGCCCGGCGCACAGCCAAAGTGATGGAGCGGGCTGGTGGATTCAAGCTCTCGCAGTCTCCGTTCTGGTGCAGACTACTGGGTGGTGGTGAGCGATCGGCCCTGCAGCAACGCTACGCGGATCCAGACGCCAAGCGGGTTCCCTCTCGCGACGGTCGTGCTCTCGCGCTGCCGCCGGTCTGCCACGAAGCTCCGGCGGTGGTGGGAGTGGTGGTGGTGGTGGTGGTTATGATAGCGGTGGTGGTGACTGGCGGTGTTGTGGTCGGGGGAGGGGAGGGGGAGGCAGACTCAGAGCGCGCGTGGATGAGGGCGGAGTAGGTAAGGTGTATTCTGTTCTATTGTGAGACTGCTGCTGAGAGCCTGAGACGACACTCACGACAGGCCAAGGGGAAGGGCAGGAAATAGTGCGACAACGAGGGACAGGGGAGTGGATCCACGCACAGAAGGCACAGAACACCGACGGCCGGATTGGGGCAAGAGCACTTTCTGCACGCCATCATCGCCATTCGTCCTTCACTGCCCGTCTCTTCTCAGCGATGGCCAGCAGGGTCCTCATGTTTCATCTGCTGCTGGCCCGCCTCCTCCAATCACCACTCGCACTCACGCGCTCCGTCGCTCCGCCATGCACGCTTTATGTATTATTACCATTCATGATGATTGATTAGGATCATGACCTAGATTACCTCTCCGGGCTCTCCTGTTGTCCGGTGTCACACACACACTCTCTCTCGAGCTGGGAGGTGAAGGGGGCTTGGGGGGCAGAAAGCCACTCTCACCGACTAGAAATACCTATGTACCTAGGTACCCAAGATACCTCCGTCTCTCCATGCTTCGTTCCCATCATCATCAAACAGCTGTCGTCCCGCGAACAGCCACTACTGAGCCACTACTGCTGCAAGCGTCGCGTATCGCCAGGCGTTCGTTCATCAGACCGGTTCAGCCCTCACAGCAAACCTTATCATCCATGGAACACGAGTCGACTAGGCTCGAGCCCGCCAGCCTATCACTTTTCGCACTTTTTTTTCTGCCTGGCACAATTGGGAACAAAACCGCAGATCTTCTCCCCATCCTCGGCCTCGAGCCAATCCGCGCTCACCGTTGGCTGCAAACCACAGCTCAACTAGACGAGGTAGGGGTCTCGACTTCACCAGAGTTTCACTTGCGTTTGGAGTGATATGATCCATGAAAACCACGCCTTTTTTTCGCTCTGCTGCTGCTGTTGCTGCTACGTCAAAACGTCACGCGACGGATCCAGCCAGCCAGCCAGCCAGCCAGCCGAGCCAAGCCAGCACACCTCGCTCCACCACAGCGTACAGCGTGGCAAGCAGAACGTTTGAAGTATCCACCACCCCGTTGGAGAATTCCCTGTTCGAAGGAAAATTCGGTTTTGTCCAGCCAGTTTGTTCTAGCCTGAGGCCAGCCAGCCAGCCAGTACTTGCAGGAAGTTTCTCGTGTTCGGCACATACTTCAAGTACATACTGTACCTCGTAAACGACACATCGGGGTGGGTGACCAGTGTTTCCTTTAGGCTGCTCTCCATCAGTATGACGACTTCCTACTTGTACACGATCGGCAGTGATCGACCCAACGAAGTGCGATGCGATGCGACGCGATCGCACTCAGGTTATTTGTAGTCTCCGCCCGCGAACTACCGTAGTCCTAGATAAGGTGGTGCTCCTGACTCCTAGGTATAACCTGATGAGGTTGTTCATGTTGTACCTCCTACCTCTGGAGAGATAACACCTTGTGTTTGATTCTTCTACATACGGTAAGATAAGTACCCTATCTGATATGTCGGGTAGAGGGAGGGGTACATGTATTCGAGGTATGTACTCGACGGGAGGTAGGTAATGACTAGTTGACTACTGTTTCAGGCTTTTCCCGGGAGGCGCGGGAACGCACTTACAACTTACCTATTTCCAGATCTGCCGCTTACCTACACTGGTACATACTGAAGTCTGATGAGGCTCTGATGTAGAGGTACCTCCTACATGTACCTACCTGGTATGTATGTAGCTGAAATTGTCCGGCTGGGGAATGGGCCATGGCTACCTTACTCAGCTAAACTCAATCTTCACATTCCATTTTCGTCCATCTCCGGGAGCAATTGCCGCCAACAAGTAGTGCTTTGTGCCAATGCGCGTGGTGGGTAGGAGGTAGGAGGTACCTAGATGCGCGTGGTTGTTATTAAATTACCTACATCATATTATTTCCTTTGTCCGACGCTAAGATACGGACGCGTGGGCGATCGTTTTTTCAAACGCAGGAGTCGACCTGCTGACTACATTTCTTACATACCACCTTGCCACCTACCTCCTAGGCACATATCGTAGGTATCTGACGGGAGAATGACTCAACTAGCCTGTCCTGCTGCTGTTGCTGCTGCTGCTGCTGCCAAAAGTCCAAACAGTAAATACGTGCGCTTCCAGTATGCTTCCGCGCTCTTCTCCAAGCGCTCGTAATCCACCCCCGTGTCCGCACCCAGCTGTGTCTGGAGCGTGCCTGCCACTTCACGCAGCCCAGGGCTCCCGGCGGGTTCGTGTGCGCTCGTCATCAAGACGCGTCGCAAATACATCACGTCAAACAACTGCTGGACAGATCGTTCTCGCGACACAGTCGGTGTGGCGACTCCGCTCGCCCCGGACTCCACTGGTGGACCATTCGGATCGGCATTGGCAGCAGCACCATGAGTCATGTGCACAAGCATTGTTTTGTCATCCAGGGTGTCGACGAGATATGTCTTCAGGGTCTGAACTGCATGGGGACACCACAGATCTGTGCCGACATCAGACATGTGCTGGTGCAGACTTTTCAGGAAACGGAACGTGGAAGGCGATGGCTGAATCGGTAGCGGAGGGCTTCCATCCCATAGCGTGGCAGCGACACGTGAGTGGTTGTGCAGTCTCTTCGTATAATCCGCCAAGGGAACAGCGATGACAGATTTTGCCAATTGTTGATGCAGTGTCGCCACGAAAGTATCGCTGGACTTTACAGATCCAATATTCTCCACCAGCTCAGCCAGCCTCCGGCGACGATCGTCGACCTCACGGAGGATTCGGATGAGCAGTGCCGGGTCCGTGTCTGGATTGGAAGAATTCTCGAGCGTAGTGTATACCGCCTGCAGGGACTTCAACGTAGCTTTCTGCAGCTTCCGTTCCAGTCGTCGAGGGTCTTGCTTGCTTAGGACAACCTGAAGCGGTTCGTCGCCCGCAAGATCGTCTAGGTCCAAGTCAATGTCTTCGTCCCATTTCATCCCTTGCATAGTCACAATAGCCTCGCCAAAGCCATGCAACCTCGCAAGCCAAAGGTCCAGAGCGATGCTCGATTCCTGTATCAGTTGATTGCGACCATGGTGCCTTTTCAGTATCGTATCGCGGAACTGTGCACTCCCTCTACCAAGATCCAAATCCCCTGTGGAGACATCCCAGAGATTCAATGCTCCTGACTCGGCATCGTGTTGTTGCATCTGGGGTAGTACACCAGTGATACTTGCTGCTTCATCAGCGAGAGACTCCAAATGTTCGAGGAATGCTTCCCTCAAATCTACGAGGGACTGTGCTTGGATATCGCCGTGGACTTTGGCACTGAGCACGAGATAATTTGTGATGACTTTCTGTCGAAGTTGGAGCACCGTATGCACGTCTTGCTGCGCGCTGAGAGCGTCCTTTAAAGTCTGTAATAAGCATTCCTGTGCCTGCTTTTCCCACGAGGACGTGGCAGCTCCGACACTGGCCGTGGAAAGTTCATCGTGACGAACCCATGGGTGGAAGTGCCGCACATCCTCCGCGATCCATCGTTCGTATATGTCTAAGCTCAGTTCGTGCACCCCCTGAATGTCAGGATCGCGAAGCAAGGTGGTCGTACTGATATGGGAAAGCGAGTCTGCGAACCGCCTGGGGAAGACTTCTCGGGCGTCCAGAAGAGTCTGGCTGTATAGAGCAAGCATATCCAACAGACTCGTCTCTGAACCAACTTCAGCCATCAGCTCCAGCTGTTCAAAGCGGATCTGCAAAAAGTATCGCAAGACATCCTTGGGAGCGCACGCTGTCAACAAGGAGTAGGCGCAGAGGGTGTTGATGGTCTTCGCCTTTTTGAGGCTGGTATGCGCCAATGCTCTCGCAATATAGCTCAATAGCCTCTTCTTCGCGCTTGCAAGTTGCCTCCGTAAGCTCTCCAATACTGCCGGGGGATCACCGCCCTCTGCAAGGCTCTTGTGCAGTAGCCTCGCCAGCAAGAGGATCTTCGCAGCCACCAGCGCATCTCCACCACTCTTCACGATCCGCGAAGTCACATTCAGTGCGTTCTGCAGCACTTTCGTTTGCGCCAGCCTGCTGAACTTCACGTCCTCTTCACGTCTTCTCTCGCTTCGCACGCTCTTGTGGTTGTCGCCGATTTTTTCCAGCTTCCGAGAATTACACTGTCTCCCAATGTGTGCCATGTGGAACTCCACCAGCTGCATCTGTGCGTCCATGTCGATTATCCTCTCCGCAGTTCCCAGGAGGTCGCGATAGCTCGTGCCCACGAGAGAGCGGAGCTTCTGGCGGTTGTCATCGATGTGTCTTCGGAGCTGCTGCTCCAGCCTGCGAACCACTGGAAGCGGGTATTGAAAAGCATCTTCCCAGGTCTCGAGAGTCCTGGGGTCGGGAGGTTGAGAGGCCATTGTTCAGTTGAAAGCGAAGTTGCATGTTTAAGTTTCCTCCAGCTTGGAGCCTCCCCTCCTTTGAGGACTCGCCAAGCATAACAACCACAGCGTAGCCACTATACCTATGTACACATGGGGTCCAACGAAGAGCGAGAAGATCATACATGTGGGGAGCACACGTGTTAGGAGCACAAGATTCGTGTATTAAGATGCTTTTATTACCTTGGAGTGCATATTCTGCTGTTCCAATATGGTGTACATACTACAATGCCTACTCAGGCCACCCGAACACTTCTCCGACACTCACTATACTCCATCTCACTCCAACCAGGGCAATGCATGCTCCAACAAATTCGATGAGTAGCAGCGTCATGACGGAAAGTAACATCCTCGGCATGAACACCCGATAGAGCATGAGGTGTCTTCTCAGCCAAGCCGCTTCAATGACAGTCGCCACGGCGATGGCGGCATAGAATAGGATGTGGGTCGCCATGCAACCAGCAACACGCCCAAGCACTCCAGTATGCCTGGGTGGAACTTTCCACATCACGATCGCAGGAACTGCAATAGCGCACAATATTTGTGGTCCAAATGTGTTCAAAATCACAAAAATGGGTGTCCATGGGTACACGATTGTCTTCAACGGTATGAAGGCCGTGTCCCACTGTATGGTGACCAGTGCTGCTTGATGTCCCGTCTTGAAGAAGTGGAAACTTCCTAGCAGTGCGAGGACAGTCGGCCCCAATGGCGAGCGGCGGAGGTTATTGGCGTCGATGATCTCAAGAACGTTCAAAATCTGAATCATGCAAAATGCCAGAGCACCTTGTCCCATGGGCTTCTGGAACAGCAAGAGCGTCAGTATCCACGCGCACGGAAGTAGGAAGTATCGAGTGCCGTGTGAGTTGGAGTAGCCATATATCATGAGCTTTGGTCTTCTGGCAGGCCCGCTGGCGCCAACAGTGGTCAAGACCGGGGACGTGGGGTCTGTCTCGCTCAGCGTCTCAGATTTTGCAACCACACGATCGGCTTCTTCATGCTTGACCATAAGCATAGGAGACGCAAAGATGTACGTCGCGTACCCGGCTGCAAACGTCAATGCCAGAACGCTTTGTGCCAGATACGTGCGGACTGTCTTCAAAATACTGCCGGAGTATTGGGGAAACCAGTCCCCATCATCTGCAGCATCTATGGCCCAGAAGGTGGCCACCATGACCAGGCCCAATCGCAGGGCAATCCCGATCCAGATCACTGCTGAGCCGTGATAGTTCGCACTACGCTTGTAAAAGTGCGTGATGGCGCTAGGCAGAAAGAGCGCCACTGCGAGAGGTATGGCAAGCTGCCACTTCGATGAGGTGGACGAAGTCGCTGACGCATAGTATGATGATCGACAGAAGGGCATCTGCTCCTCTCGACAGAGTCTTGACAAGGAAGTGAGACGTGTTGCAATCAGGAAGGACAGAGCATTCGTGGCACCTAGCCATCGATCATCGGGGTCACCCTGACCTAGTGAGCTCCCCAACATTGCAAGTGCGAAAGTAGTCAAGATGAACAACAGCTGCTCATCTTCCCAGATGGTGAAAGAGTTTGCAGCAAACCCACCACATAGTAAGATCGTCGTCAACATGCACAGCCAACCCCAGAAGGTGGTTGGTCTGGGCACGCTCAGTAGCTCTCGTGCCGGCCAGAACATTGCCATTGTCATAGTCACTCCACCCAGTGCTGCACCGAATGCAATTGACTGGACTTCGTGTTCCTTGGTCAGCTGTCCTGCCACTGCGCCGATCATTGCGCCAACAAGGGTGCCACCTAGGCCCCAGATGAATAAAGGCGGAGTGATGGCAGCACGATCTCCGCGTAGGATACCCTGAGCATATACCAGAACCATCAAGAACGTTCCAACAAGGGCAATGATGCCCATGGTCATGCTCACAAGATCGAATCGTGCCCACAGTGACTTACAGATACGCAGATTTTCGGTCTGGTAAGCAGAGAAAGCGGCCCAAGCATCTTTCTGCGAACTTGAAGCACCTCCGGAACGTGCTGTACTCCACGCCTGGTTAGCCACTTGCCACAGCTGTTCCGTGCTAGATGCGGTTGAATTGCCCAGTCCACGAGCTTTCGCATATTCAGCCTGGTATCGATGAATTTGGGCTGCAGTGAGGCGAGCCACTTGTGCAAGATTGTCGTAGTTCGGCTCCGTCAGCACGGGTGATTTGTGGAAGGCCTCCTCAATAGGCTGACCGAGATTGTTGAAGGGCACTGGTAGACCGAGAAGGAGCGACATGGTAGGGACCAAGTCTATCTGAGCTACAGGCCTTTGCTGTGCAGTCAGTGGCGGCGCCATCGAAGACCTGTCACTGCGGCCGAAGATGCCACGCTTTGAATACATCCATAATGCAGCCTGAACTTCATCATCAGACTCGCCTCCATGATCGCCTTTGACGTCCATCCCGTGGTCTCCCATAACCACTAGAAGCGTATCATCATCTAGGGTTGAGACAATGCGCCGAATCACGTCGTTCATTTGCTTCAGTTTCTCATTCATGGCGGGATGATCTGGTCCATATCGATGTCCTGCATGATCTACCCCGAGATAATGGCCAAAAATCACATCCCAACGGCCGTTCATCGAGGGCTCCAGGAGTGGAAAAAGGTGTTCTGTGACGCCATTGTCCACGGTATGAAGATCCCACACATTGAAAGAATCATAAGCCCTGGTCAGATTGGGCTCAAAATATCCAGGAAATAACGAGTGCCATGTATCATCTCCCAGATGGACCACCTTCTTCCCCGCCTTGTACAGCATTTCCACAATGTTGTCTTCATCAATAGCTGTCCCCGCAAAGTTCGAGCCCGCATCGATGAGCACAGGAAGCGTGCCGGTGGTCAACCCTTTCAGCCGCTGTAACGTGGTGGTTGGCGGGTCTGCAATGAATGGTCTGAGGAAGGCGTTCTGTGGCTCGTTGACTGATGTCTCGTACAGAACTGGCAAGGCATCGTGGAAGTGTTGGGGGTGATCGTTCCCGGGCGTGGGATGGAATGGCACCGTAAAGTCGTAGCGCAGGGCATCCACAATGATGACCACGGCCTTGTTAAAGGACTTGGGATGCCAACAGCCCTGTCCATACGATCCAGCGACAAAGTCCTTGGGATGTTCGGAGAGGGCGATCGGAGGGACTGCGCAATCGGATCGGTGCTGGAGGACGAGTCGCGAGAGAAGGAAACCATTCAAGAAGAGGTAGATGCCGAGGGCGTGGAAGATTCTGGCGCGCTGCTGTCAGAGTCGCACATGGTCAACCGGCTTCGGGGGCACCAGCGTACAGTATGAGGAGGAAGAAGGCGACGACCAGGCCATGTTGCGCTCGGAACTCGAGGTTTCGCTTCTTGTTCTGCGCCTTGATGTCCCGCGTCGCCGCCTGCTTCGACATGGCCGCGGGGGCATTCGCCATGACGAGTCGGTCTGTGGAACAAAGGAGGGTATCAGACCGGCATGAAGAAGAGAAAGAGGGAATGAGAAATAGAAGTAGGATGGTTGAACAGAGAAGAGAAGAGAGTGTAGTAAGGTAGTAAGGTAAGGGAAGTAAGTGAAGTAGATGGAGGTGAGCAGGCAAAGGTACATGTACCTCCTACGAGCAATTCAGACGCGGGCAGAAAGTAGAACGGAGATCTTTCGGCGTTGATAACGGATCGATTCTCTGCGAAGCTCAGGTACAGACGATACAGTCGGGTAGGCCTCATCAGCTATCAGTACATGCGCTACCTATATAGTATACAATGCGAACGGCGAGCCCACATTCGCAACCTCGGTGCGTCGACGTATTGTCGTCTGTTACAATGGATACAAGGAAAGAAAAAACAAGTGCCAGCAGAAACACATTATCTATGCCCGTCGAGGTCTGCCTTCTGGCACTACCCAGCACTGCTTGAGGCATCGTCGATTGCCCAGGCGTTCGATCCAGGAGAGGCACACACAGTTCCTGAGAAAGGACAAAACAAATACACAGTCGCAGACCCATGCTCATGCAAGTCGTGGAGCTCTTCTGTTGGAGCACGAGCCGGAAAGAGGTTGGTCGTATCGTCGTAAATCAACTTCACACTCCTCCTACGCATCTCTCCCTACAGCTTCTCATACTTGTCATAGCTGGGTGCATTCCTTGCTTTCTCTACCAGCCCTCCAATGCGGTCTAAATCCAAAGACTCGAACCGCTTATCGTCATCTGTCTGATGCGTAGGCAGTTCTTCGACAGGCTCGAGTCCCACGCCGCCGTCTCCCACACGAACGACGACGACCTTTCCAGAAGTCCGCTTCCCGGAGTCGTCGTACTCTTCGGGAAATGTGATATGTATCGCCGGCAGGGGGCTGGGGGGAGGACTGCTGGACTTCTCCGCCGTATTCTGCTTCTCCTGGTATGCATAGACCGAATCCTGTGGTCGGTCCATGACTCGGCGATGTGACGAAGTCGTCGATATCGAGGACATTCGCTTCTCCTCATCATTGTATGGAGGAAGATCGTGGTTTTGTTTACGCGCTCTTCGGCGGTAGCGCAGGTATAAAAGTCCCGCGGCGAGAACAAGAGCGACAATCAGGAGTACCAACAGAGCCACCACCAGCTTGATCATTGTGCGACCAGATGTTGCACCTTCGGCTCGCCGACTGAGAGAGTTGATCATTGTGGTAGAGGCTGGCTGTTCCCGAATGGCATTCGACCGTTCCTGCCTTGGACGAAGGAGAAGAAGAGGAACAGGAAGAGGATGCTGGCGAAATGAAGTGGTCTGCACAACGCCGGCGCGTCAGCCATATGGCCCAAGATGGAGCGCTGTCTCGTGCCATGGACGGGGAGGGGCAGTTGTCGCTGCTGTTCTCGCTGATACGAGGGCCCGGGGTCAACCAGCGCAGTAGTGCACATACCTGCTATTATTGAATGTCGCAGCTTCGGCGCAAGTCAAATGAATGTGATGCGGGGCACTGAAAGAGTGAAGTGCCGGATGCTGGTTCAAAGGAATGGACGCCCACGGTAGAGCTCAACGTCGTCGCCGTCGTCGGGATGTGTGTGAGACGGGAGAGGGCGAGAGAGAGCGAGAGAGCGACGGGAAGAGGAGTTGGAGTCGGCCAGATTCTCACTTGTTTCTCGCGGCATGCGATCTACGAAGCGAAATGAGATCCTACCGAAAGCGGCTTAGCATGATATCATGATGGATTCAGCCGCGGTCAGGACCACCAATCACGATGCATCTGTAGCCGATAGACGCGCAGCTTTTTCTGATCTCAAACAATTCCCTTAACGTTCCCATACAGTAGACAGTCACTATAGTCTATCCCGCGTGAGTCTGGGGAAGTACTGTAAGGTCGATGTGCCTTATACATATACATGCGATAACTAATCACACATCTGGTGCGTCAATCTCTTCTACCCCTCGTGCTGCGAGTGATGTGGTGTCATCACTCTGACTCGAGCGGATGACCTGGGCTATTTCCAGTGGTATTGTATGTAGTGTTATTAGTGTGCTGCATGTATAGTAGTAGCTGAGGTAGTACACTGTACCTGTGCGGTACCACCAACGGAAGCAAGGCGGGAGGGCGCATAGCGAACCGAGCCATATCAAGAATTCGACTGGACCGAGCCAACCAAATCTACGAAAGGACCGAGGGCAATTTATTCTATAGTACAACGACATTGAAGACACGTGCGCATTGTACAGCTACATGTACACGGAGTACACCTTCCGCCATAGACATGAGGTCGCATCGACTCTGCCCTCCCCCAGCGGTCTGTCGACCTACACGCAGCATGTGAGATCACCGACAAGGACCATCATCTCTACTTTTTGCCTGAAGGATTGTAGTGCTGCCACTTGGTGTCGCGAGGAGCATCGCTGTGCGTTCTCCTTCTACCTCCGCTGCCGCTGCCGCTGCTGCTGCCGCTGCCGCTGCCGCCTCCCTCCAAATTTCTTTGTTGCTGTGCAAAGGCTGGCGGATGATTGCCGCCAGGGGGCCCCGTGCCGTATGGATAGCGCGCATCTGGTCTCGCAGGTGCGATCGCTGGCCCGCCGTACTGTGAGCTCAGCGACGACGTTCGTGATAGCCCGGGATGGGGACCACCCATATGAGAAGCCGAGGACCCCGCTGCGCCCGACGCCCAGCCCTCTGATGGAGGAGGGCCCATGGAAGATGATCCGTGAGGAGGAGGATGAGGAGGAGGCGGAAGACGTCCGTAACTAGACCCGAATGGTGGTGGTGGCCACGACGGAGGTGCTCCTGGGCCCGGTAGACTGTTTCGATGTGGATAGTACGAATCAGGGTGGTAGTAGTGTGGTGGATGGTGACCATGCGATGGTCCATGGGGGCCATGTGATGGTGGAAACGGAGCTGGCGCTGCTGGAGGCTTATTGTAGGACGGTAGCGCTGGATATGGCAAGTCCGGACCGTGATGCACCGATTGGGGTGTACCTGTGGGCACGCGCGATGTGAAGCCGCCCGACTTGCTCGTGTCCGCTGTGTTGAGACGAAAGCGAAACATCTGACTTCCTCCTTCAGACACCTGGGCTACGCTAGGACTGGGCCGCTTTTGTGACCCTTTCCTAAGCTCTTTCAGCGCCTTTCTGGAGAAGCCGTTACGCTGGGCTTTGCTAGGCTTCAAGTAATGCTTGCCCTCTTTGCCTCGGCCATGAGAGCCACGATCACCGTCTTGGCTACCACTGACGTCTGTAGTTGGTGACCGATCGGGAGACGATCCTCGTGAACGGGCTTTGTGGGTTTGCATATCTTCATTCGCTTCCTGAGTCGGCCTGGTGTGATCTGCCTCGTCATCCCTCGCCTGCGCTTCTGTTGCACCTTCGCTGCTAGCCTGCTCGAGAAGGTCATCTCGAAAAACTGTCTCGACTGGCCGAGTATGGGAGCGATGCCTGCTCTCGTCTCCCTCGTCGACTCCAATTTGACGCTCAGCTTGCGGGATTAGTTTATGTTCAGGAGTCTCGCGATTTGCGTCGTCTAGTTCCAATAAAGCCCTGTTGGTAGGCGCTGCGAGAGCTGCGGGTTCTTCCTGTGGACGAAGAATGCGAGGCTGGAATCTTGACAAGCTCTCTCCTGGGTCGCTAGAGCGCACACGAGAGTCGCCGGTCCACGGACGTCGATGTAATCCCCGAGCGGCATCGTCTCTGCTCCAAGCATCTGATAGCGTGGCCTCCACGCTCCCAGAATCAGCTTGTACCGACTCTTCGGAGTCGTTTCGCTGACATAAAATCAAGCCCTGTGATGGCTGTCTGTGATGTTGGAAGGTATCATGAGACAACTGTCTGCGATGTTGCTGCTGGGGTGGCTCATGTTTACCAGGCAGGTTCAGACTCGGTGATCCAAAGTACGATCTCAGGAAAGGAAAATCGCTGAGCCTCTTCGTGCTCGTAGGTGGTGACGATGCGAGTGAAGTATCCCATGTAGGTCTCTCAGAGTGGCTGCGCTGTGTCGAGTTCTGAGGTTGGTGCGGTACGAACTGCTCTGTGCCAGGCGAAAATCGCAGAGGCGATTGATAACACTTGTCCAATCCACCCGGAGTACGCTCAGAGGTCGGAAGTTGTACCTCTCGCTGCTCCGGGACAAATGCCTCATCCAGCCGACGTGGTGTCGCAGGAGATAGTACAGCGGCTCTCACTGAAGGCCTTGACGCAAGATCGCCCAACACCTGTAATCCAACAGCTTCCTCGTTTGGAATTATGGGTAAGTTCGCCAACCTGTCAACTTCTGCAGCGGCGTGCATAAGCATGTCAATATTGCATATGCTCTCGCGCTGTGCTACGGCGGCAGCTCGAGCAGTGGTATCCATTACTGTGAAGCTCTCCATGTTCTGCACACTCTCCTTTGTGCTTGCGTCCTGAAGCATTTCATGCATTTCGAAGCGCCGTTGCATGTCGAAGATCGCTCGTTCTGTCTCCAGTCCCACTCTGCTTCGGGACTCGTGTCTGGGGTCAAGTGGTGCTCCTCTGGTAAATCGATAATCTGTATGCTTGGGTCGATGCAGAACATCGCCGTCTTCGTCATCCGTAACGTCCTGCTTCCTGGTCTGCTCAATCTGCATTCCCCGTGCAATCCTTAGAAACTCATGCTCCAGCTCGTCGAGACGTGTCTGACGGGTGATATTGACCTCATTAGTGCAAACGTTGGTGCGCACAGCCTTCTCGCCCAGGAATCTGTCCCTCAGCTGTTCCCGATTGTGTTTAACCTGCAGTTCCAGTTGCCGCTTCCGGTTCGCAAGCGCTGCGTCCAAGAGTTGGTGGACTCCGCCTTCACTCTCATACTCCAGCGCTTGCTGATGTCGTACCGGGTTCGCCTCAAGTTCTTCTACGGTTTTGAAGGCGATTTCTGCTAACAGAGGCTTCAGCGCACGCGCGATGCATCGATATGCAGACTTCAGCTGCAACTGCCTTCGCATAGTGGCCTCAATTTTGACATTATGGTGATCCGCTCGACGACGTCCAGTCAAGCGTTTACGAGGACCTGCGGTGACTTGATCTTCGTCGTCTTCGGGGTCTGCAACATCGTCAATGTCCTCCGCCGCAACTGGCACATCATCGTCATCAATGTCGTCAAGATCCTCCTCGTCACCCGGGCCATCGATATCGGCCATGGCAATGTCCATGTGCTTTACCGAATAGTGGGGAGTGATGTTCGTCTCATCGGAAACAGGCGAGACAGGTTCAGATGCCATGGGAGTAGCTGTAGGCGTGACCTCGTTTGATTGAATAGCGACTGCGTAATGCTCAGGGTCTCGACTGCTGGAGCTTCCTGCGGATACCCGATCGGACAGATGATCTCCTGGCACGACGACCGCGTTAAATGTATCGAGATTCTCCTCTGTAGTACGGACGCGGGTTGCAGGATGTGTATCTGTGTCGATACTTTCGGATATGTGCGGCGTACTGTATGTTCGTTTCCGCTTTCTCGAAGGCGATTGCGAGCCTTGGAGGCCGAATTGTGGTATGGAGATATGACCAAATGGCGGATCCAGTTGAGAGGTGCTGTGATGGGACTCTCCAGAGATGCGCCTTCCTTTGGGCGGAGAAAAGTTATGGGCCGGATTGTGCATGAAGTCATCCATAGATCCTCGGCGGCTATCGTTATCATCGACTGAGCCGTTGATAGAAGAGCTTCCGCCGGGGCGTACATTCCGCGCAGCAGCATGTCTTGTTGTCATGTGCAGAGGCTCCGAAGGATCGAAGCGACCTTTGCCGGCCGGCTTACGGTTTAGTGTATCTTGCATTCTCGGACTCCTTTAGAAGCCTGTGTTTGCAGTCAGCGATATATCAACAGTGATCCTGCTTTGTGGATCGCGCGGGTGATCCAAAAGCTTTTGCTGGCACGAGCGGAAAGTTATGGGAAAATGCTTCTATGCACCGCCATCTTGAATTGATCACAACTCGACCGGCGTCGAGGCCATCGCATCGAGTGAATCTCTCCAGTCTCACGGCGGTGCGAGGCGAAAAGCATCAGGTGGCTATTCTTGCTCGCCTCGCGAGGCAACGCCGATGCCGACGCCGATATGCGCCATGCAATTTGACCACGATCGAGCAGGCGCAGGGAGAAGCGGATGAACGGGGCAGTGAGGGTGAAGAGAGTTGACGACGTACCTCGAGCAATATGACTCCGGATCGTTGCGCAATGCAATGGCGCCGGTGTGGTTGTCGGTGTTGGCAAAGATTTGTTTTCGTTGATGGCAGTTGGCTACTTTTAGAGCACCAACGAGTCAGTGTTGATCGGGGCGCTGCGAACGATCAAAGGCTGTTCTCAATATTCAACAAAGCCATCGTTTGGTGACGGCAAGGGAGGACGCGAGAGCGCGGACTGGAGGAGTAAAGGTATTGATGTTGTGTGAGAGGATGGAAGCGTGCAGCAGTAGGTTGTGGGTAGGACTATCGCTCAACCAATCAGCACGCTGCCAGACTGTTCCATAGTCGACATCACGCGAACGTTTCACGCCTCCTGTCATGAACGTGCTCCTCTCCCACGACGACTTCTTCATCCCTGGACATGGTCAATGAGAGGTTTCAATACACGCAGGCACTCCGTTGAGTATCATTTGGACAGGATGAATGGCGATTGATCTGTCTATTGCACTATGTTGGCGCCATCTGTTGGAGACTGGCTTGGAGACTGGCTCCGAGAACATTCAGGCAAAAATGGCTCATTCCCATGTGGTCTACGCTGCAGATTATTGTAATGAGGGTTTTTTCTCACTCGAAGCAAGCTATTTACAGCGGTGGCAACTACAAGTCCCATGCCGAAGGCCAGCTACGAGTTCACGCAACCCGGCTGAGGCGTGCGTAATATGCATTCGCTGTCATTGTCATTCGTGACCCGTGCTCGCGCTCATAATGCGAGTTGTGGAGTTCGATAGTACATTCAATCGTTACCCTTGGAATAGTGGTCCATGTCAAAGATCTCCCATCTCAGACCCCAGGCTCATCGGGCTCATCGGGCTGATCGAACAAGAAATTGGCAGCTAGTTCCTCGTTCTTGTCGCATGCGAAGTAGGCTTGCACGACCAAGTCTCGATCGAACCCAAGACGGCACAGCTAGAAGAAATTCATTTGTCAGGAATGGTTCCTCACTGGGAGCTTTTTCGCAATGACTTACACGTTCAATGGCATCGCGCTCTTCCGCGGTAACACTGATTTCCTGTGCGCCAGGCGGAATCGCCACATCGTCTCCCGCATCCTCAGCAAGAAGCTGCATGAATTGCTCGGGGTGCTGCGTAATGATCTGCGCAAGCTGTGGATTGCCGGCTGCCACCGACTGGAGGATCGGCTCGAGCATCTGGGGCTGTTGCTGGACGACAGTTCGCAACTGCTGGAACTGTGGATTATTGCGCAGGAAGTCGAGTTGCGATGACTCTGTTTGACCACCTTGCGCCCCACCTCGGCCACCACCAAGAGCACCGAGATCACCAGCACCTCTGCCACCAGCACCTCCTCTGCCTCCGCCACCAGCTTGTGCGGCGGCCTCGAACAGATTGACCGGCTCATCAGAAGCCTGCTGCTGGGTAGTCTCAGCTCCAGCCGTGTCCGCTGGCTGCTGTCCTTGTGTCGGAGCCGGCTGAGGTGATGCTGCGGCTGCACGCTGCTCTTGTCGCGCGCTCTCAGGTATACCGTTCAGGAGATATTCAACAGCGCGATCGGGATTGAAGAATGCCGCACGCATCGCGGCGTCGATCTGATCACGGGCGAAGCCCATGGCTTCCATTCCTGCGATGGCAGCTGCTCGCTGCTCGCCCATGGCGAGTGCAGATGGGTCATTGAACGAACGCTCCTCATTCGAGGCCGAGGCTGAAGCTGGTGCGGGAGATGGAGTCGCAGGCGGTTGAGAAGTGGAGGAAGTCGTGTGTGCGGGTGCTGCTGGTGGAGCGGGGGTACTCGTTGCTGCCTTCGCTGGAGTCGCAGGTTCTGCTGGTTTCGTGGCTGCGGCTTTTGGCTACATCTGTTAGCTTCGAGGCTTCGAATGTGTCGCGCAGGAGAAAGACATACCTTGGAAGTCATGCAGACTATGAAGCCCTTCTCCTCGATTTTGTAGGACTCAATGGTGTTGTCATCCTGTAGAATCTTGCCCGAGTAGATGAGCTTCTGCGTTGATGGGTCCCATCCCTTCTCAGCGCTGATCTTCCCCTTCACTGCACCGATCGTCTCGCTCGGCTCCGCCTCGATAGTGAACTTCTGCTGCTTCAAGTCCTTGAAGGTGAGCTTCATGGTGGCCGGGTTGCTCGCGCTAGTGGCGCAGCAGAGTGGACGGGTGCGGTACGTCGCCGTGTGAACAGATGCGGTGGTCTGAAGAGTAGATGAATGCGGTGAGTTGCAGTATTGGGTGATACGGGTGGCAATGGTGGTCCTGGTGTGTTATGCCGGGATGGTGTTGTGTTGACTGCAGATGGTTGTTGAAGACGAAGGAAAGAGGGTACAACAGCCAAGGGCAGGCACCTGCAGGCAACGCAGCGTCGCAGCCCACTTCACCTCATTTTCCAGGGTCCGACCAATTCACTCCTCCCCTTGTCCCGCGACCATGCCGCGGATCCGACCGCGAGACATCTGGCACGCGCGAGCGGTTAGCAAAGCTTTGTCGCTGCTTCTGCCTGTCTGTAGAGATTTCAGCTCAGCACGCAACGAGCTGAGATGGCTCAGGCAGCACGCCACGGCCGTCTCACAGCAGACCGGATACTACCATCCAGGCGCTCTTCTGACAAGTCTAGTCATCCGCCGAGCACGCGGCGAACCACTGCAGTATATTCTCGGATCTGAGTACTTTGGCCCACTGGATATCAGATGCCGGGAAGGTAAGTGAAGCCTCGTGGCCCATCCATCCATCCCACACGATCGTGGCGGCATGGAGTCCAGGCCGCAAGCAAGGCATACGCATGATGACACTTCACATGTGGCGACGGCACGTGTACTAATCGATGGGTATATAGGGGTTCTGATTCCAAGGTAGGACTAGTATTGGGTGCCTATATGGTTGCACAGATACTGACATTGTCTTTAGACCCGAGACCGCAGCTTCAACTTCCTACCTCGCCCATATCCTGGCTGGACCAAAGTCAAGAAGCTTGCATGAGACACCACTGCGAGTGCTCGATCTGTGCACCGGTACAGCAACCATCCTTCGCTCATTTCGGCTGGAAACTAATAACACAATGCAGGCACTGGATGTATACCTTTGCTACTCCACCACGAGTATTACGCTCGCAACGATGGCCATCTCGAGCTCATGGGAGTGGACATATCCAGCGATGCTATGAGTCTAGCTAGAGAGAATCTCGTGCACCAAATTGCGCGACAAGGCAAACAGTACGCCAGCAGCAAGGCGCGAACAAAGTCGTTACAAAGCATAGGATATGTCCAAGCCGATGTGCTCAAGGAGGAATTTGAAAACCCGGAGGAAGACGACAGGGGACCTCTGCCCCTCATGCGGGCGCTCGCGCGTATCAATGGCGAAGCAACACCGGCCTTTGATATCCTCGTCTCGAATCCACCCTATATTTCCCCGCGACAGTTTGTGAGCACTACAGCACGATCTGTCAGAGAGTATGAGCCAATGCAGGCTCTAGTGCCGCGGGCAAGCGAGCACGACTTGCTCTCTGATACGGATGTTGGTGACTTGTTCTACCCCCGGCTGCTCGATGTAGCGGACCGCGTGCAGGCCAAAGTGATCTTGCTCGAAATTGGAGATATGGAGCAAGCCGTCAGAGTGGCCACCAAGACATTAGAACGAGGTGGATGGAGTCGAGTCGAAATCTGGCGAGATGCGCCAGCAGCGTCCTCAGTGGGAGAAACTTTGACAATCCACGAGCATGCAGTACTTTTGCGGGGTGAGGGCTATCCACGATCCATTTTTGCATATCGTGAAGGCGCCGAGACGCTGCTTGACCTGTAGAGTGGAAACTTCGGTTCGGTAGTGCTTCACAATTTGGGAACAGTCTCCTCCCTTGCATGGCCATCTAATCAATCTGATCCGGGGCGATGCCGTCCACTCACATAATCGTGGGCTTGCAACGATGATGAATAACATACTAAGGTACTGTAGCTTTTGCCTCGTGGTCTTTGACGCGTGGCTGTCGTCGGCGTAATCAAATGTTCACACGTTCCTCTATGTATCCACGTTCCAGGAGTGAGTTCAGGTGGATTCAATGTGGATGTGCTGGATGCAAGTGACAAAAGGAAACGCTTTCGAAGATCTACGACTACAGACGTTGCTCTCCCTGCGCTTGTAACTGTACAAGGGGGCGCTAGAAAACTTCATCATCCATCTATGCCAGGCCTATGATTTCTCGAGGTCTGCCAAGATCTTCTTGCCCTTCTCCTGTGCGTCTGCGAAGCCACCAACCATGTAAAAGGCACCTTCTGGAAGGTCATCACCCTCACCTTCCATGATCTTCTTGAAAGAGCTGATGGTCTCCTTGAGGTCGACAAGCTTGCCCTCAATACCCGTGAAAACTTGAGCGACAGTGAAAGGCTGGCTCAGGAAACGCTGGATCTTACGAGCACGCTCGACGGTAAGCTTGTCCTGTTCCGAAAGTTCGTCCATACCGAGAATGGCAATGATATCCTGGAGGGACTTGTACTCCTGGAGCATTTGCTGCACCTTCAGAGCAGTGTCGTAGTGGTCCTGTCCGATGATACGTGGGTCAAGCATGCGAGAAGCGGAATCAAGAGGGTCCACGGCTGGGTAGATACCCAACTCGGAGATACCTCGGGAAAGCACAGTGGTGGCGTCCAAGTGGGCGAAGGTGGTAGCAGGCGCAGGATCGGTCAAATCATCAGCGGGCACGTACACGGCCTGCACAGATGTGATGGAGCCCTTCTTGGTGGTTGTGATACGCTCTTGCATACCACCCATGTCAATGGCCAGAGTAGGCTGGTATCCGACCGCAGACGGAATACGACCGAGAAGAGCAGACACCTCAGCACCAGCTTGGGTGAAACGGAAGATGTTGTCGATAAAGAGGAGCACATCCTGGCCCTCCTCGTCACGGAAATATTCTAAAAGATTGTGGTGTTAGAACATAGCTGGACCTGTAGAGTAGTGATGCGAATGACTGGTGAAAACGGATCTAAGGGTGAGGATAGGAAAAAGGTGCAGAGGACGAGAGGGGAAGGGTGCGAGAGAGGCCAACTGGGGCATCGAGAGAGCCAGCAAGATACGTACCAGCAACTATTGTTCTATGTCAGCATTGAACGACCACGTCATTGAAGTTCCGGACGCGAGTTAAGACTTACCAGTCAAACCAGTGAGTGCGACACGGGCACGGGCTCCGGGAGGCTCGTTCATCTGCCCGAACACAAGGGCGACCTTGGACTCGCCTTCGAGCTGAATAACGCCAGTTTCCTGCATTTCGTGGTACAGATCGTTGCCCTCACGGGTACGCTCGCCGACACCAGTGAAGACCGAGTAACCACCGTGAGCCTTGGCGATGTTGTTCTACATCTCAATCAGTATTTGAACTTGCCCTGGCAGGGGATCGAACCTACAATGAGCTCCTGGATGAACACAGTCTTGCCGACACCGGCACCTCCGAAAAGACCAATCTTACCGCCACGAGCGTATGGGGCAAGCAGATCTACAACCTTGATACCGGTGGCCAAGACCTCCGCAGAGGTGGACTGATCGACGAAAGCCGGAGGCTCTGCGTGGATTGGGAGCTTCTTCTCGTGCTTGATCGGGCCACGCTCGTCAATGGGATCACCAGTGACGTTCATGATACGACCCAAAGTACCCGGCCCGACTGGGATCAGGATTGGGCTACCAGAGTCGGTGGCAGTCTGTCCACGGACAAGACCCTCAGTTCCGTCCATGGCAATGCATCGCACAACGTTCTCGCCCAAATGTTGCTGTCGCCGCGTTAGCGCCGCGTCGTGGCGGATGTGCCATTTCTCCCTCTTTCACGTACCGAGACCTCCAAAACTAGCTTTTGTCCACCGTTTGTCGTCTCGAGAGCGTTGAGAATCGGGGGAAGCTGATCGGTAGGGAATTTGACTGCAATCGAGAGTGAGCGGAAGTCCGAATTCGGCAAAGCTTTTCCAAGGCCGGTGGCGGCGCGCGCATACCATCGACGACGGCACCGATGACCTGGTGGACCTTGCCATCGCGGGCAGAATCGCTCGAGGCGAATCGCTGTGAGATGGCAGGAATGTAGCTCTGTGGCTTGACCTGGCGAAGCGCCGGTCGGAAGGTCGAGGTGCGCAGGGCTCGTGCGACGCCGCTGAGGTAGATGTGTTAGCGACAGGCTCCAATGGCTCGCGCGGCGGACGGAGCGGATGACACTTACTTCTTCAGCATCTTTGCGGTGATGGAGAGATGGATGGAGTGGAGTTGCTTGAAGCTGCGAAGCAGGAGGTGGTGGTGTCTGGGTAACTCAAGTGCAAGAGCTTTCCCGCCTAGTCTCCTACGGAAGATTCCGGCTCGCTCTTCTTGAAGTCAGTCGGGGCCAAGGAAATGGTCTTTGCCGACCTCTTGACCCCTCTGCGATATACCTACATGTAGTATTGACAACAGTGCTTCGAGTAGGCTCGATCTGCTGAATGAATTGCATCAGAGACGGAGAATTAGCATCACAATCCTACCTTAGCAATGATACCACTCTAGCTCGAACACTGCAGTTGTCGTCGATAAAACCGCCAAAAAGCACCTCATATCATTGGAACCATGGAGACCACATATATGCCTGACTGGTTTGTCCACGACACCACGGCCGAGAGCTCTTACACTCATTGATGTTGGTATCTGATGGCAGCCTCTGACTTCTTGGGACTGGAGTGAGACACATGGCATTTCAACACGCAGAACAGAAACACTGACCACCTTCACTATCGGGAATGGAGCACAATACTCGGAGAATCCAAATCGACTACATCGAGTCTATACAATTGCGCCTACACAGCGTCTCTCCAGGTCGAAAACTTTGAGGAGGAAGAGACTGTCAGCCCCAGGGCATGCTCCACCAGCACTTAAAAGTTGGCCGGTCCTTTGACCAGATTTCCTCCAGTCACACTGACTCCCTTCACGACCACACGATCACCATCAACACTCTCCGCTCTAATGGCGACCGTGTCCGTACCAGTGCCGGATGATAGCTCGAAGTAATTGTAGGGCTGGCGGGTGAGTCCGCTCTTCCACGAGCTTCCTCCATCTGTACTGTATTCCATGCTTGCAACGCGCTGCGACCTGGTTAGCTAGACTATGACTCCGCACAGCTACTGAACTTACCTTGTTGGCATTTACGATCTGCGCAGAGAACCAGTATCGTGATACTCCCTCCTTCATGTGTACCTGCAGTGGGGTCTACTAAGAAGTCAGCACATGCGTTCAATGAAGCCACAGCTTATACTGCTCATCATTCTTACAGTAATGGGACAATCCACATATTCCCAGGTCACATCGATGATACCCTTGCTTACATCGGCCAGTTCAGCAAAGGCGTCCTGGAACAGATCGAGATGGTTCAATTCGCATTCAGGGCACTGATCGACTACCATGACAGTAATCTTCTTGCCATTTGGTCCCGTCACCTCGATGCAACCGCCACATGTCTCACTGCCGTCCCAGTTGCGGCTCGACATCGCGGTGCCATAGATTCCTGATGGAATGGTATATGTGCTGAAAGAACACATGCCGCCCTGCGTGTTGCCTCCATAGAAAGTGGCCTGTCCAGAGTTTGATGCAACAACCGTACCAGCGGCTGCTAGCATAGCAAGAATTGAAAACATAATGTCAATGGAGTGTCTAAGGTGTCTGCGAAGGAGCGAATAGAACAACAACGATGCTGGAAAAGAAGAAGAAGACGAGACCCCCTTTTTAACCTTGGAACCTTGGAACAGTGTGGCCGCTACATTATCCCAAACGAGAACACCCTCATCGTGTTGTACTGTTGTACAGCGTCTTCGCACCTCGGGAGGTTACGGTTAGTCGAGCTGAAGTCGTTGGTTTGTTGCAAGCTCTGGAGTGTCAAGGAGACCACCGGGGCAATTCAGGCACCTATGCAATACGGGTCGTTTCGCCCGTGGGTCTGTTGCGCCGCAGCTAGGGTGTGTGCCGTCTAGATGCTGTAGCAGCGACCATTTTTACGCCATCGTCGTTGGCGATGTTTCATTTTCACACTTGGAGCCGAGATCTCGCGTGGATAAGATTGTCGTCGGCTTCGCGCGGCCAACGTTGGTTCATGTCAGCAGACTGCCACTCGACATCCAGATGTGGCAGGTGATAGCTCCGAGAACTCCTTCGTGGTTCCGAGTAATGCGAGGGGGGTCGTTGAGCAGGCAGTAATAGTATGCTGGTTCGGCGTATATGTAGTTCTGGTTTTGATCGTATCAGATTAACATTCTCGTGTAGCCAGCCCTACTTTAGCGAATTGCTCCGTGTATGTGAGCATCAGGTAGTCAATGTGTCCGGGTATACAGATACAGATATTCCATACTAATGACGGCGCGCGAGAGGGTTGTGCGAGGTGAAGGGAGAACGGCAGAAAAGGTATGTAGAACTACATAGTACTTGTACCTGGTAGGTATTGCCGCCTACAGTACCCTCATAGGTAAGGTACCAGATACATAGGTACCGTAGGTACATGGATGTATCTAGTGCCACAGGGTCAGCTTGCAGCTCTGACTACTGACTACATGTGGCTTAGGTAGGTAGAGGTACGACACACATGGACAACGCCAACAACAACAACAACAACAACAGCAGCAGCAGCAGTAGCGCCTGCCATGGTGTGACGTTTTCGACTATCCGCATACGTGTAGTGCGGTCGATTTAACTCCAACGAGGCCTCATTCCTCACGATCATGGACGAAGTCGAGAATCCCGATCTGCCCAAAGCGGGCGAGGCGAGTCCCACGTTGAGACCCATAGCAAGCGGAGGAGAAGACGCGAATGATGCTATCGGAGCATCAATAACTGTAGCAGCAGCAGCAGCAGGAGGAGGAGGAGGAGGAGGAGGAGGAGCAATAGTAGCGCCAGAAGAAGCAGTTGAGCAAGAGATCGTGCTGGACAGCATCGAGCCAGCCGCAAAGCCTGCATTGCCTGCCTCTCGAGCAGCGGTGCCTGTGCCCGCGCGACCGCCTCTCGTACGACCAGCATCCAACCCTCCGCCTTCACAACCTCCGCCGGCGCCTCCCGGGCAAGACTCCGGACCCCCAGACTTCACGCAGGAGCCGCCCGACAGTCTCACCCTCGCCGACCTCAAGCGGATCCGAAGCACCTTTCCCAATGCCCAAGTCCCGCAGAAACAGCAGCTACTGGGCGACGACAAGGTCTACGACTTCGATTATCAGGACGCGCAGTCTTTTCCCGTGGAGCTCGAAGAATGGTTCAGCTACAATGACGAGGAAGAAGTGAAATTGCGCAAGTGCCAGAAGGTTTTCCACGACGAGTGGAGGACGACCGACGAGGGCAAGCTGGACTGGCTAGATGTGACGGAGGATGCGCGGAGACTATTCATCAAGAAATGGATCACATCGTTGCAGGAGAAACATGCGACGCAGGAGACCATTACGAAGGCTCTTATGATCTTGACCTATGTCGGACTTGGCATCTGGGAGGAAACTGCAGGGCGACAGGAAGGATGTGCGCTGGACGATCTGTTTACAAATGGCAAGATGGGCGGGTCAAAACTGGAAGAGTTCGGCTCATCTAGCTTGCAAGTGCAGTGGATTGTTGCGATGATTGATACTCTGCACTCTAGTGATGGACTTCGCGTGATTTATGACACGCTTCGACGAGTTTGTGATAGGGATTTCGAGAAATCTGCCCCCGAAATGTCGTCTCGCAACGAGTCACAGGCACGACGTGGAGATGAAAGCATGGATCTGTGGTGCTGCTTGACACTCATGTACCTCTTTGTTGAAGTTTCGAGGACTACTGGCAATGCTCAGGCATTGAAAACCGATGTCGTGGCGCTAGAGCCCAGCTTTCTCAACTACTTGACACAAATCATTGCCAGACTCCGGTGGGACGAGTACGCCCCGATTCCACTTACGAAAATGCTACTGCTTGCATGGAAGACAATCTTGATCTCACTAGGAGGCATCATTGAGGTGGAGAAGGTCAAGACTTCGCTCAGGGGGACCAGTGGAGAAGAGAAGGACACTCGTGGTCAACCTTTGATCACAGCATCGCCACTGGACTACCACTTATTCCGGCAAGAAATCAGCTCTAAATACCCAGCCTACCATCCTCCTCCACCACTGTTTCCCCTGGAGCCTGAAAACAACAGCATACTTCCTCCACTGAAGCATCGCAGACCCAGCTATGTCACTGTGTCAGACGCAGCTTTTGCTGGAGCGCCAGCTGTGGGCACTGGCTCAATTATGCATCAGCCTGTACACATAGCAACCCCAGCCCCATCACCTCCGCCCTCGCCTGCAGGTCCGGGTAAGGCTGGAAAGAAGCAGAACTATCAGACGAATCAGATGTTTCCGTTCCTGTATCCTCCTCTCGATGCTAGTAGTAACGATCTCGGCGGCAAGGGTAGTACTGAACTGCAAGACGCTCTAGTTGGCAGAAGATGGGAAGGCGCAGACATTCCCACAAGCATACTTGAGGCGGCTGAGCTTTTTGCCAAACGTATGCGTGCGACACGAGCCATGAAGCAGCTCTGGGAAGCTCGTGTAGACTTCATGAAACAAGAAAGAGGTTGGAAGAAGCTCAACGATGCGAGCGACAACTTGGACGTGGACGACTTCGAGCTGGTCCCCAAGCCGGAGCCAGACCAAACGGCAGAGCAAGGAAAGCCGGTTGCTCAAACAGAGGAACAGCGACGGCTGAGCAAAGTTAACGACTACTACCGCGACTCGCTCCCACACCTGCAGAGCGTTGTGATAGTGCTACTCAAGGCAGTCTTGCAAAACGTCACGGACCTCGTAACTAAGGGTAATGGTCAGAATGGTTTACAAGCTGGTATTCAGTTCAACGAAACCAACAGTGTCAACGGCACCAAACCTGTCGAGAATGGTGTCCATTCAGATGGCATCGAGAGCACCATGGAAGAACTTGACAAGCAACGCTCGCAAGAGATTGCTGCGAAGGCCTTAAGCGCTATTTTACTCCTGCTTTTGAAATGGTTCAAGGTTTCGCACATCTTACAGTACGAATACATGACACAGCTATTGCTGGACTCGAATTATATCCCCTTGATCCTCAAATTGTGGCAGACACAGGAGATTGGCCGAGCATGTCACTTTGAACTGGATCGGGAAGACCGAAATTTCTTCTACTTCTGCCAGAAAAGCTCTCGGCAAGGCGCACCCGCGGCACGACCGGACAAAGATAGCAGCGAAGAGTCGGACGATGATGCTGCTCCACCTCCCATCAAGCTCAAGAGAGAAGAGACACCACCAGAGCAAATCCCTTCCCCAACGACTAGTCCGCCCGACTTCACACATCCACCGGAGATTGACGAGCTTGGCTATCCACAAACGCCGCTTCCGCCATCGCCTTTGAAGCATTACTCGTATCGCAACGTCTTCAGTGCGATCAACTATCTTCGTGTGCTGCAAAAAGTGACGAGGCGCAAAACGCATCGAGCACTATTACTTGTCAGCTACAAGAGCTCCAACCACCTCAAGAAGACGCTCAAGATACCGATACAAATGCTTCGTTATTACACGTTGAAGCTATTCAAATCACAAGTTCCCTTTTGCGGTCGAAAGTGGCGTCAGGGGAACATGAAAATCATCACCGCCGTGTGGCTCTCGGTACCAGCTGAGCTCAGAGACGACTGGCTGTCTGGTGGTGGTGGAGGCATGGGCGGTGCATGTGTCGGAGATGTGGACGGTACCGTCGAAGATGCTCTGCCGCTGGAGCAAAGTCTTCGAGCATTAACACATTGGTGGAATGTCAGAATGTTCCCCGATGTGATGGGAGTGGAAAAGGGAATGTTGGATGAGGAGCAAGACTATTTTGCTAGAGAACTGGAGAAGATGGAGCTTGTGAGAGAAGAGGAATTGGCCGAAGAGCCTGTGCTGGAAGAGCCATGGCAAGGTCCTATCGAGGGGTACTGAGTGCTGGACAGTCTACCATACAGTATACCCAACATTCAATGTGAATCGGTCATCTCTTCGCGACGACGACAAGATAGTATTTGATCAGCCATTCGCCACAGCTCCTTTCCTCGAGGATTCGAGGCAATGTTGAAGTCGTGAATATTATTCGTCCGAATGGACGCAGACATACCTCATAATGTACCTTTTTTACAAGTCTCTGTCTGATAGATAATTCGGCACTTCCATTATTGCCCTCCCAACACAGATCAACCCACGACACTTTGCATAGTCACCCTCGATCACAGTCATCAGCAGAGCGAAACAAAGCACGCCAGCAATGTCTCCAATCAACAACAGTCAAAGCAGCTCGGACGAGTTCGCCAACTACCTCCGCGCCAGTGGTTACGTTCGCTGCCCCAGCTGCGGATGGCCGCTTGGTAACGCTGGCTCTCATCAGTGTCGGAAAAGATAAATCGGGGAGGTCCATGAACTATCATACGTCGTGAATAGGTATTGAGACTGGTGTATGTCTGGGGTTTTTCCATAGCGAGACAAGACCCAAGTTACTAGTGCTTTTGTTCCTCATTCGTCCAATACTGCTGCTGTTGCATGTAGTCTCGTCGGGTTCTGATTCTCTATCCCTCGCAATGCTCTCCTTCCATCTCTCTAGTGAGCACTGGCTTCGTTCTCGATCTAGTACTTTTTACTCCTCGCCCCAGTTCAAGTTGAACCGCCCTTCAGCATTTCTATAATCTCGTAGTCGTTTTACGACATCCTCGCTCGTCGTAGCTTCCACCATGATATTGGCATTCGTCTGAGCGACGAAGCCTTGCTCAATCGACTTGGTGATCCATTGCAAGAGACCGTCCCAGTAGCCTTCGACGTTATAAATAACGATTCCTCGTGCATGTATTCCCAGCTGGTTCCAGGTGACCACCTCCATGAGTTCCTCCAACGTTCCATATCCCCCCGATAGCGCAACAAAGCCTCCTCCTACTCCCGAGTGCATGACCTCCCTGGCCATCATCTGTTTGCGTTGATGCATGTCCTTGACCACTGTTTGTCACCACCGGAAAGAATGTCAGCTCTTGCACCCTGTTTTCTCTTGCGCAGATTTCGAGCATAGCCCACCTGTCGTCCGGCCGTAGACATTCTCATCGATGATCTTGTCGGGCGTATCGGCATCTCCGTTCTCGCGGCCTTTGCGTTCGTATTTGAGGAGAGCTTCGGGGATAATGCCGTGAACGGAAGAGGGTCCTGATAGGGAGACGAGGGTTTTGGCCAGTTCGCCCATCACGCCGACCGTCCCGCCGCCATAGACCAGGCTGATGTTGTTGGCGTGAAAGGCTTGAGCGAGAGAGCGGGCGGCGGCGAGGTGGGCGGGACTCTCGCCAGGTTTCGCACCGCAGCTGGTGCGAGGGTTAGAGGGAATGAAGGCGCTGGGTACAACGTTGTACATATGGAGTTGGTGTCCACACCTGACTTACAAGACACAAACGACGGGGCCGTTCCCGCCACTGCCACTTGGTGGAGGGGTCATGGTGGATGGAGCTATACCGGGATGAGCTGATGCTGGTGGTTGTGGGAGGGAGTAGTAGTAGTGGTGGTGGTGGTGGTGATCAGCAAGCGTAAGGTAGGTGAGAGTGAGAGAGAGAGAGAGAGAGAGTGAGAGTGAGAGGGAGAGGGAGATGGAATGGAGAGAGATGGAGACGGGAATGGAAATGGGAATGGATCTCGCATGCTTTGACGGCGAACTGACATTGGTCGGCGGACTCGATCACGCCCTACCTAGCCAGCGCACAGGAGAGTACGGTGCAATACAATACCTCACAGTGCCTTACCGTTCTAGGACCGTCGACCTCTGCTGTGCGATCGTCGTCTTTAATAACTCGCTCTGGCTCTCAACCTGGAAGGTATGTACTCAAGGCCCCTTGTGGGACGGGGAGAGCCTGGAGATCTCGCACGTGAAAAGAACTTGAGTTGGAATATCCTTATCGGCCTTATCGCCTCGCTTGCCGAGGACTAGTGGAAGTACGTACCACGTGCTGCGGCGCTGCAGCTCTCATCCTTGGCCTAGCGTGGCCTGGCCGACCCTCTAATCAGGTCTTCTCTTCCAACCTATGTCACACACCACACCGACAACACCACACCGACAACACCACACCGACAACACAACAACTGAACACACCATCCAACCCAACACGAACCATCCAGCGCAGATCGTCCTACCCACTTGAATATCCCATATCAGTATTTCACTGCCTATCAGGATCGCGGACCGGAACTGTTGGCGTGAGGAGCATGGCACAACCGATCGGCTACGACTACATTTCCAAGATCGTAAGCTTGGGAGACAGTGGCAGTGGCAAGTCCAGTGTATGTATGCCTGCCCGCCCTTCTGTGACTTCGTCGTCCTGTCTCAGCTCTTCGCTGATTCCCCTAGCTGACGATTCGCCTCTGTGAAGGACGTTTCGTGTCCCATCACGATGTCACCATCGGCGTCGAATTTGGATCGCGCATCGTGCCCGTAGGACCGCCGGCGAGTCTGGAGTACAATATCAACAACCCCGCGAATGCCGTACAGCCCACTCCCAAACCGACCAACGACTCGAAATCGAAAGTAAAAGGGAAATCCCAGCAGCCGGAGCAGAAGCATATGAAATTATCGCTATGGGACACAGCCGGACAGGAGACCTATAAATCAATTACGCGATCATACTTTCGTGGCGCATCGGGCGCGCTACTGGTATTCGATATCACGCGGCGGAGTACTTTCGCATCAGTTACGGCCTGGTTACACGATCTGCGGCAAATCGCAGAGGACGATATTATAGTCGTGCTCGTCGGGAACAAGTGTGATCTGGCTCCTTCTACAGTATCTGGCGACAGCACAGCCCCGAACAAGCGACAAGTGACAAAGGAAGAGGCAGAGGAGTGGTGTAAGGAGAACAAGGTCATGCAGTATGTGGAAACCTCGGCAAAGAGTGGGGAGAATGTGGAGAGGGCGTTCCTGGAGGTGGCGGAGAGAATTTATCAAAACATCGAGGCCGGAAAATACGATTTGAATGATCGGAGAAGTGGTGTGAAAGGGCCTGGAGCGGGAGGGGGCGGCGCGAGGGGTGTGCAGTTGGCGAGGAGTGACAAGAATGCTGCGAAGAAGGCGGGCATCGCAGGAGGATGTTGCTGATGGCTGGTGACCATCATGGGATATATGTATCTTGGCGGCATTATGCTCTCTATCGGCGGAAGAAGATCCTGGCCTGGAAGTCGATATCACGCGCCAACCGAGCCTGTGTGGCACAGGCCACATTGCCCGGTGCTCTGAGCTCCATCTGGCCTGGTCCTTCATACCGCGCGAAGCCCGTCCTTGTGTGTCCTATTCGGCTTTGATCAATGCGGGCGCTCGGCAGCATCTGCTCACTTTGGATATTTAAATAAGCATTGCTGCTACCAAGTTTCAGAGTTGCGATCAGCAACTTGTGTGGGAAAGACCCAAATGACGGGCAGAATCTACGAATCCACCTCGCGGACTGAGTAGCGTCTGGTGACAACGGCACTGCCTACACTCGCTGCGATGACGTTACTGAAAATGAATGAAGAGTACCTACATCCCTAGGCAAGCCGCATGGCATCTCTCTGCCAATGTCATGGACGCTCATTGGCTCAACTCATGAGGAGGCCTACTGGTGCCTCCGAGATCGATGGAACAGTAAGGGCTGGGAGTGCAATGGATTCGGTGGTGCCTGGGATGAAGCGCCTCACACCACAGCAGGACCAGAAAGGGATTAATTATAATGAAGGGGACAAACTCCTTGGCTCACTGCTGCTGCGTGCCTTGCGCGTGCCAAATGGAGATAGACTGTACCACGAAATCATTTTGAGACTCCGCCAGTCCGCCTCGTTGTGAACTTTTCTCGGTAAAGCCTTCTTTTTCCGTCTGCGGAGGCCATCGGACTTTGGGTGCAGCCTCACTCCCATTGGCGTATTCTTCATCACCAACGCGAAATACCTCCTAGGTCTTCGTACAACGTAACCTTGTCGGAAGTATCCGCTACTCGGTTGGGTGGGCGACAGTGACACCAAAAAAAAATCCGGAGGGAATCCTAATAAAAGAGGACGTCTCATGAGAAGATTGGCTGTCACATCGGTTGTCGGTATATTACAGCTTCTCCACTTACAGAAAGGCACCAAGCAACTGCAGGCTTGGCGAGAGTCAATCAGCCGATGACACGAGGTCCTTGCTGGCTCTCTCTCTCTCCCCTCTTCCTCATGTAGTAGAGCTACAGCCAGCAGACGAGAGCACCGCATGGCACGTGCCAAAATCTCATGTTTACCTTACAGTACAGACGTTGTAGGTAAGGTAGGGTAGTAAGGTAAGGTAGGGTAGGTACAGGTACAGGTAGTTATTATAGCACAGTAGCCTCGATCTTCAGCTGTTGACCAGCAGGGAAGTTTCCGATCTCACCGGCACGCGATTCAGTGCAGATTGCGAATGGTGAAGTGCAATTATAAAATAATGATAATAAATTCAAAATAAAAAAATTTGAGGGTCGACCATATAGATGCTGTGGAGTACCAAGGCGGGAGGGTTTGTTGCATCCATGAATAGTCCGGTCAGGTCGGTAGTATGGCAGGCAGCCTTGCTTGTGCACACAGTAAAGTTCTTCTAGCGAAGCATCACCAACAAAGCCGCCAACACACCCAACTTTAAAAAGTCTCCATCCCACTTGAGAAGAATCCAAGACTTCCAAGACCATGTCTGATGGGAAGGATGATGATGACATAAGACATACCTGTAGGCACATTGGACAACAACCTCATCAACAATACATGTAACCATTATATAAACTCATAATATGCAGATGTACAAAGTATACTGTTACTACTGTAGTCTGTACGGGCAATAGTACATGTACCTCCCTCCTATATACACCGTAATACACGGTGGTGGTCGAAACAGGCCAGACGCCTTGCATCCAGTGGTGGGCATTGAACAGGTGTCGGCAACGCCGTCTGATTGGTCCATGCATCATGTGCCTGTCTCCATCGGTTTCAGGTGGTGTTCCTGCCATCTTCAGTGAGTGCCCATCTTCAGCTGCCCCATCGTCATTGCCTCTCGTCGTTCGCCTTGCAGGGAGTGCCAGGGAGACTGACGGGAGGGAAAACACGACTCTACTATTATCCATCAATTTCTGCCTGCCACACACCAAAAACCCAGCCAATGTCATCTCTCCTCGACCACCATCTTCCTCGTCCCCATCCCCATCCCCATCTTCGCCAATAGGCATTATATCGCATCTTTTTGAAAAGTGGGTGACAGACATGTCCTGCTGCTATTAATTACTCTCTCGACCCGCCTTACTCTATTCAGCCTCCGCCCGGCGAAGCTTGTCTGCCAACTTTCTGACGGCCCACGGGAGAGTACCTGTCAGACGGGCGACTGCGCATACTGCTGCTGCTCTACTCACACTGCTCCCCCATCACACTCTCGTAACACACATACACCCCTACCACGCACCTTCGTTTTGCGCATTTCTGTTCACCGCCGTGAGGAGCGTCTTTGAGCCTCCGCGTCGCTGCTCACCACGAGCGACTCCGCTAAACTGCTTCTCCGCGCCCTTACCACAACGAGCCCGATCTTCGAGGAATTCCCACTTTCGCGCAGCTGCGCCCGGTACCGCCTAGCTTGTGACAGCTTCCCGCGCGCGTCGAACAACTACACCCACGAAAAAACTACGAAACGACGCGACTTGGTCCACGACTTGCACGGACGAGCACGAAGCGGGTGTAAACAGTCGCAATGTCGCAATATGGGAAATTCCACAACTTCTGTCGTGATAGTGGCAGTGGATATGCAACGATTCCAGTGTGCAATCTGTTCCTGGAGTCGCGAGCCAGGGGCGGCCGAGACCCATACTTCGACGGATGCCAGCTCACTGGTATCTCGTTGAGCGGAGATCGATATCTGGCCAACTTGGGTGGGTCCAACGCGATCGCGTGTGCTGAGAGCGTGAGATTGACTGTGAAACAGGCTCAATACTGATTGCAGCAATCGCAATCGCAACTTCATGCTTCCTGCTATGGCGGTCGGAGAGGAAGAAAGCTGCAGTTGGCAGAAGGTATGTTGTTGCATGGGAAAGCGGTGCTCATGTCTGAGACCTGCCATGGCTGACTTGTGATGATCTACAGAGAGATGCAATTCTTCCTCCTCGGCTTCATCATCATCATGATCTGCGAGATATTCACTGTCGGAGGCTTTCCTTTGGACGGAGGTGTCCGGAGGGCGTTCTCAGCAGTACATATTGCCGCGGTGGTGGCTACCACCTGGATTCTCCTGATGAATGGGGCTGTAGGGTATCAGCTGATCGATGATGGCACACCACTGTCATTGGCACTGATCTTCGGATCTGCTGCTGCTCTCTTCGTCGGCACTGGGTACATTGCACTGGATACTGCGTTCAGCTGGACCGGGTACTGGGACGACACGCTGTCGGCCCCGAACCAGGCATATGCGCTGTATACTCTCTACCAATTGATCCCGCTAGTATTCCTGGTCATATTCTTCATCCTGGAAGCAGTGCTAGTACTGAAGGTTCTTGGCGAGGTTCGGCCAATGTGTAAGTGCAGATACGTATGATTATTCTTTTGATTGGGCGTATCGCTGACGTTTCGACAGATTGGCTGGTTGCTGCAACTCTTCTGTTTGCGATCGGGCAGATTTTCCAATATGCGATCAGCGTGCACATTTGCAATGGCACGAACGGCAAGATCAACGGCGGACTCTTCGAAACACTATTCACTCTGCTCGGCGTCGTAACGATATGGATATTCTGGTCAAGCATCACGGAGGACGATTGGCCGATGCCTGCTGGCGGTAGTACATACACATGATATTCGGTCTGAGGGTAATGGGTGATAGATCACCACGTAATGTGCGAACAGCGGAGGTACCGATCGCGCCACGTGCAGTCCTTTGAACGGCACTGCTTTGGGTGCACTGAAAGAGCTCGTTGGAGCTTTTGCATTCGCTGCAGGAAATGGAAAAAGGGCGCGGGGCGCTGAGACGACTTCGACGAAGTAATGTGTGCATAGCAGCGATATGAGATACTCCCCACGCGTTGGTTTAGGTAGGAATTGCAAGTGTAAAAGGACTTTTTTTTGGGCACATTTATTGATTTCTTGCTTTCCATAATGTGTTGCCTGAGTGCCTCACTCCCGGATGCAAGCATGTCGCCTGTAACTGCAGTTACTGTACCTTAGCGACATGCAGCACCCCACTTGGATGTAGAACGAGAAAGAACATGGACTGCACCTTCCACACTACACCAACAAACAGCAACCACAACAGAAAGGAACAATTAACGCGTCAGCTGGCGTCACGATCGCGACGTGTGAATACATACACGTACCTACATGTACCTGACCATAAGGTAGGTATGTCCGAAAAGGCGCATCCTGTGTACACTGACTAGGTACATTACCTTATCCTCGCACTTCGGAGTCTTGCCACTGGGCGCCATCGGTTTGCGTTGGAGTCGCTGATTTCATGTTGTTGCAAGCCCTGAGACATACTTAGGCGGTAATGTCTCCGAAGCTCTTCTACACGGATTCCGAGGACGACTCTATAGGCACCGAATACACCACTCAAGACGACGGCGATGGGTTGTACGACATTGAGAAGATTCTCAGTCAGAAAGACAACTATTTCCTCATCAAGTGGCAGGGCTATGCGACGCCTGAAGCGACCTGGGAGCCGCGTGACGGCCTCCCTCCTGACGACAGTGAAATATGGGTGGAATGGCGTCGGCACCTGAAGGCCGTGAGAGATGGGCGCGAACAGGCGTTTGACCAGCATCAGTGGCAAAAAGAATGGGAGAAGCATCGAGACGAGAAGAATCGCAGACGAGCTCGAAGAAATGCCAAACGTCGCAAGAAGAATCTGCCAACTCGCCCGGACACGTTGGAAGAGGAAAGCACGCACGCCGCAGACTCTCACGAAGAGGAAGATTCTGAAGATGATGCGCCTTTGGCGTTGCGCACAGCCAACCGTCGTGCACCGCCACAGCAGCCTGTTCATCGCAAGGGTGTGGCTCAGAAACTCACGAAGCCACGCCGTGAGCAGCGAAATGCCTCGTCTTCTAGTGACGAATCTGCAGAAATCACATCGGACGACAGCGAGGAGTCACTGGTAGTAACAGGCTCCCAGAAAGTCAAACTCCGATCACCATCATCGATCAAGAGACCCTCCAGGGAAGACGTCCGCAGGAAGCGTTCTCAAACCTCCTCCGTGGTATCGCCAAAGAAGCAGCGTCTCAACTCACACTCAAAATCACAGGTCACGCAAGATGAGCGTATACACGAAGCACAGCCGCAACAACGGCCATCTGCCCCAATGCGAACTCAATCATCCCAGTCTGCCATACCTAGGAAGAACGTGCCAAGCAGTAGTGCTTCAGTCGCCTTACCCGCTCGAGCTAAGAAGTCGAAGAACGTTATGTCAAACTGGGATGGCGAGGCTAAAAAGCGCAAACGTGTACCGAAGGTCGGGTCCGTAGTTGATGAGACAGCACGGCCTGGGTTTCTTCATCTTCGGATGCAGCACGCAGTCCAGAAGAGCACTCGCGAGGAAGGTGCTCCTGATCTTAGTGCCTTGAACATTATCGATCCGAAAACGGGGAACGTGGTTGTGCCGTCCAAAGTCAGCACTGCTTCAGTCGCGGCAGCAGAACAGTCTGCCACAAAGACAGCTACGGGAACCAGTACTGCTCCAGGAGTGACTGCCAGTACCCCTCCTGCTACGATCGTGAGCGGTATCGATGGCGCGTATTCGAGACGGTCGCCACCGCCCAGTGCTAGGAACCCCGAAGCATTGCCTGTACGCTCCACCGAGGGCTCTGCTAGCGATCTGCGTGCGGAGAACACCTCGGAGCACCAACATTCTGCTACATCAGGTGATGCGAACGCATCGCTTTCCATCCGAAAGACTGCCATATGCCGTTTTTGGCGAGAGGGCACTTGCAAACACAGTGCGCAGAATTGCAGCTTCGCGCATTCTTTCGCGGCTGGCGATGCAACGAAGATAGGTGGCGAGTATGCCTCAAAACTGAGACTGCCGCCACCAGACGAACGGTATGATCCTGGCCAACTCCGTTGCCATTTCTTCCGCACTCACGGAATTTGCAAGCGCGGAGCTGTCTGCAAGTATGCCCATCATGACACACCATATGATGCTCCACCGCCAGGCGTCACGGTCGAAGATGTGAGAGCGAGCCAACTCGTGTATGCACAATCTACCATGTCACGAGACCCGCAAAAGACTAGGAAGCGTCCCGATAGTGGCAAGCAGCATTCTAGCGATCTTACTTGCTACTTCTGGCGTACCCAGAATAGTTGCAAAAAGGGCAAGTACTGCCCATTCTCACACTCGGATACTGGTTTCAACGCGCCGCCGCCACCTGGTATACTCAAGAATATGCTCCGGTCGAACGAGGCGCCAGAGCCCAGAACCAACTTGGCGCCTATGGGGAATCATCGATGGACGTCAGGCGCGGATGCGGAGGTACCACGACAGTCTTTTGACAGACCAGTGTTTGGTGAGCCGCAGTACGCAAAGGTGCCAGAAGCAACTCCCGCACGTATGGGGTTTCATGGCGCTTCTGATCTGGTCTTGTCACCAGAGCCACTAATAGCGTCACCTATGCACACATCTTTGCCTGGCCCCCAGATATCACCAGAATCAGGAAACTCGCTGTGGGATGTCGGCAGTGCGTCTGCCGCAGTGATCACGAGAAGTGCGATGCTCAAGCTGTACCACCAAGGCAGCGAGCATCCTCATAGCATTCGACTCACACTCGATGTATTCGGAGACGATATGTTTACGCGTATGGTAGGAGATAGTCCGGTCCTTTGCGCAGAGCACGCGATATTGACCAGCGATGTGCAAGCTGTGCTCTGGCAGGACATACAGAACAGTTCCAACGCAGCTTCTGCGGTCATACATATGGATGTGTCTCCGAAACACGAGGTATCAAGCGCAGCAGAGCTTTGTAAGCTGCACGAGTGCTGTTTGCTTGCCTCTGTGGAGGGTTACAGCGCAACGAACATACTGGTCTATCCGAGCAACGCCGAACAGTGGAAGTTCCTCGATACGCCGGGTCTGCCTTCGGACAGTAGTGCCTCGCTGAAGCTCTGTGCATTTGACGGCTGTCCGGATCTTCGACGCAGGCTGAGCTCGAGACTCACACCCATGAGACTTGATCCACGGTCTCCTGCTCTCATCGTCGGTGAAGTGTTGGCGCAAGTGGAGCGTAGCCGCATCTTTGATAAAGGGGTCGAAGCCGTCTTCCTTATGATACCTCCTGCACACGCGGCCGAGCTTGATTTCTTGAAGCAAGTATTCGTCGAGATGAAGTGCAGGGTGTATCACGCCGGAATGCCTGGATCGTGGTCTTACTTCTGCAAAAGATACGACAGAGCTGGTGTGGTCTTAGTGCATCCGAATACACCTCTTTGGCGCATTCCCAAATTACACGAAATGACATTGCGTCCTACCTCTTTCTTCACGATTGGCATCGACCATACTGCAGCACTTCTAGACGACCGGGAGGATGTTTTTGAATGCACGCGGTTGTTTCCTCTCGGTGGCGCTGCGCTCTTAACTGATGATCTGATCGCTCACTATCCAGAAGAGGCCACCGAGATCATACAGAACTTCCTCAATGCTACAAGCAGCAAGCCGGAAGGTGCCGAGGTGTACAAGATCGTCGCCCGGCCCGGACTGAAACGTTTCCTGCTGGAAAATTTCATAGAACGAGGCCGACCGGATGAGCGCTGGTTGCGTTTGTATGGGGCCGTGTGTGATCTTTGCCCACCAGAGGACGAAGACCTCGAGGATCCACCCAATCCGTTGGCTACATCACACTTGGTCTCCATCAACCCTGATTTACTTCCGAGCTTTGCTGGGCTGTGGGAACGTGACCAGGAAGCTGCAGCAGACGTGCTGGTTGAGTGGTTTGCAGGATGGGCTCTGCTCCACGCCAGCAGGTTTCGAAAGTTTGCGGTGATTACCGGCACAGGCGCAGACGATCGAGGCTGGGCACTCCGATACCGACATATTGGTGTCATGAGGCCGGAGCAAGCGATGAAGTACGTGATCAGGGGGAACAAACCACAAAAGGGTATTCGCAATTGGAAGGCCTCGTAGTAATGAATAGACAACTACTACCATTCTGCGTGTATCCATATCATTTCTTCTCAGATATTCCTCGTCTCAATTCTCTCTACCCTGCCTCCCGGCTGCATGTAGCCAACTTGATCAAACTCTCCAAGTTAGCAGGCAGTATCACACTCTCTCGGCATCGTTCGCATGTCCTGTGGGTCCACTCGAGCTATAATCAATGGTGACAAAACACCGATCCACCTCTTGCAACCCTTCACAGCAATACTGTAACGTCTCGGCGACGTCGTGCGCGTGATGCAATTTCGTGTCGGGTTCCATGAGCACGTCAATTTCCACCCACACGCCATCTCCCGCGTGGTAGGCAGTGACGCTTTTGAAACCTTGCACGACGGGACTGAAGCGGTAGGCGATGTACATTAATTTCTGTGTAAGAGGAGGAGGGTGGTTAGTATGGTTTACTCTTTTTTTTACTTTCTTTTCTTGCAACGTACCTTGATAAACTCCGTATCAGCAGCTTGACCTGATAATCTCGTGATATTTTCAAAACACGTCGAGGCCCAATCGAAAATGATGAAGATGGATAGAATGGCGGCGCCGGCGGGATCGAGCCACCAGATGTCGGCGTAGTAGCCGATGAGGGGGAAGAGGAGGGAGAGGGTGTTGAAGTTGACGTCGGTTTTGCAGTCTTTGGCTAGGGCTTGGACTTGGGTGGTTTTGATTGGGGAACAGCCGAACCAGATGATGCCTATAATGATGATGATGAAGTCGCGTCAGTTTTTTGAGGGGCTTCTTTTAGGGGGAGGGGGGGTTTCTCTTGTAGAAAATTGTAGGTCAAGAGAGAGAGAGAGACAGGGAGAAAGAGCCGTAATGTATACCTTTGACAACCACCGTCGCGACCAAAGCAGCAATGGCCGCATTTCCCAAGGCTTCAGCCTCTCCTTCCAACGGCATCAACTTCTCGACGGATTCTTGCAGAATTTGCGCAAACGAAATGACCATGATGATGGAAAAGACCAGAATCCCCAAGGGTTCGAGACGTTTGCGGCCGACGGGAAATCGTTTTTGCAGCCGATCGAGTCTCCAGCCGACGATTTTGTTCGTCGTCCAGACAATCACGGTGCAGAGGAGGTCCAAGGCGGAATCTAACAGGCTGGCAATTAGGGAGAGAGAGCCGGTGGTTGATGCGGCGAAGATTTTTCCCGCGAGGAGGAGGATGTTGGCGATTACGTTGACGTTGATTGCCCTTGGGAACGGTCAGTGAGGTGGAGGAGGAGGAGGAGGAGTGTTTCATTTGATTTTCTGATAACAAGTGGATAGATCGATACCATCACAGGTACATACCATTTCGCTCGTTTCTCCGCTTGCGCCCGTTTCTTCTTCTCGTCGTCTGGCAAGAGTTCATAGATATTCCCCTGTACATCCTGAATCCCACCGCCTCTCTCGCGCGTTCCGTCGTTGTCGGGATCGGGGTCCATGGATTCAAGAACATCATCTGCCACTGCCATCACAATCGCATCGACCTCGAGCTAAAAATCACCATATCATCAATCATTCCATCTCTCTCATCATTACACACACACATCCAAAAAAAGAATAGAAAAACAAAGGACACTTACCCAATCATTCAACCGCTCATTCTGCGCCTCATAGAATTTACGAACTTCCTTCTTCTTCATCTCCTTCAACTCCTCATCGGATTTGCGAAACCGTTCGAGCTCGTCATGATTGATATGCGTCAAGAGCTTATTTTTCAAATCCTCTCTCCGCTCATCTTCCAGTGCCGTACGCGCTGCATCGCGGAATCTCCAGATGCCCGGCTTGGGAGCCTTTCCGTCGAGAATTTTCGGGCGAGGTCTTGCGTCGTTGTTTCCATTTGCATTCACTTCATCATGGTAGGTCTCGTAGCCTGTTCCGGATTCCAAGTCTCCATTTCCCCCTCCTCCTCCTCTGCCTCCGTAACTGCTGGTGCTTTTCTTTCTGTTATTTGCACCGCTCTTGGGTTTACCAACCAAAGGCGTAGGGAGAGATCTCTTGCCGACCATGTTTTTGTTTTCCCTTCTGCCTACCACACACAACCCAACGGAGGATGAGCAAATACGAGGAATGCAAGGAGGAATTAAATTTAATGTATAATACCATACAATACTACAATTGCCTCTTTCTTGGCCCAATACCTCCTATATGTACCTAAGCAAGGTACATCATTACATGAAATCCCCCACGCCAACCGAACGCCTCCTTGGTGACGCGACGATTGACGATGACGTACAGACACGGTACAGTGCAGTGCGCGTAAATCTCCATTAACTCCCTTTGTACTAGTCCTCGTTATACCTGTAACCTGATCCTCTCTCAAGCGAGTCAAGCCTTTTTCCAACCTCTGCATCATGCACACACGCACCGTCATGGTGCGGGCCGTGGACCGTGTCACTCCGATTCTACTAGTCTGGATACATGTAGTTCGCTTGACTACTAATAAGTGGACAGTGCGGATCTGCCGTGGAGGAACATTTTGCGCATGTGAGCAGGCCGGTAACCGAAGAAGAGGCATCGCATCACAGTACCTCCTACTGCTCCGGGGGAAACGGGCTGCTTCGATAAACAAGACGGTGAGCACAACTACCTGCCTGCTCATCATAAGAGGTAGTGCTGTATAGAGAGAATGTGCTCGTCAAGGCGGCTGGCGGCTGGCTTGTTTCAGGTCTCCCGAGTGCTTGATCCAGCCACAAAGCTTGGTCAAAAGGCTAGAACTTCTGAAATGGAACGGAATCAATATCTGAAATGTTTCGAGACGCGCACTTCTTCAAACACGCCGTACGATAGTTGGTTTTTTGACACAGAAACCTCTTGGTCCAACGTCGTCGTCCCATCCTGAACGCCATGCAGTGTTCCAACGTTGTCGTTCGCCCATCGTTCCGAACAAAAAGAAACAGAAAACGCTTCAATGCTTCTCAAATCATCATCATCATTAGCATGCCACAACGGGCTTTCGTCCATTCGCGTCTCATGATCGGAACACCTTCTCGAGCCCCTCCAAGAAGATGTCGGCATGCTTCTTCTGGAAAATAAGCATAGGCCTCAAACGTACGGCTCGCTCGCCCGAACCGCCGATGTTGATACCCACACCCTTGGCCTTCTTCAGAACCTCATCGCGGTTGGGGGAGTCCCATGCAATAAACGTGCCTTGGCCCTTGCCACGGAGGTTCTGAATCTGGCCAGGATATTGCTTGCCGAGGCTCTCAAGCCCATTGTAGAGATATTCGCCCGTAACAGCAGTGTTCTCCACAAGGTTGAGGCGGTCGACTTCGTCAATGATGGCACGGAAGAGAAGGGCACGAGCGGGGTCACCCATCCATGTCTGTGCCCTGTCAGTAATAGGTCATGGCGGAAAATATTGGGCGGGACTCGACTCACATTGAATTGGCGGTAAGGCTTGTTGGGCCTCAGCTCAGGGTTACCAAAGTAGTAGCCAGCAGTCTGCGCCTTCTTGCTGAATGTCACCATGTCTGGTGCGTCCTTGAGGTTCCAGTGCTCGTGTGCCCAGAACTTTCCAGTGGCACCAACACCAGTCTGCACTTCATCGACAATCAGGAGTACATCGTGCTTTCGAGTAACTTCACGAAGGCCGTTGAAAAAGGCTGGGCTCGCATGATTATCACCACCCTCAGACTGGATAGGCTCGACAATCACTGCAGCAGGCTTGTTGTGGTAGTTGACGAGCAGATCCTCAACCTCAGCCAAGCAGCGAGCCTCCTCCTTCGCATTCTCCTCGACATGCTGCTCGAGCGGATACTTGAGAGCTGGGAATGAGGCCTGAGGCCAGTCGAAGGCAGGAATGTCGAGCTTGTGAATCGGCTTCGAGCGAGTGGTCGAAAGAGAGCCGAAGAGTCGTCCGTGGAAGGCAGTCTTGAAAGACAAGATGGACATGTTGTTTGGCGAGCCAGGAGACTGGTTGTTCATGGAAGACGAAATTTCCTCAGCAGTGAAGTCAACGTCAGGGCCGCCACGCTGCTGACGACGTTTCCACATAAATGCAGCTTTGTACGCGAGCTCATTGGCATCAGATCCAGCCTGGGCAGTGAAGACTTGGTCACATCCCTTGGGCGCAGCCTTCAAGATGCCAGTCTTCAAAATGTGTGCCCAGTCATGCTGTGGAAAGTTACCCAGGGCGGGCCGGTTGATGATGGCAGAAGCCATTTCTGGAGTGGTCGCAGCAGCGAGCAGGTTTGGGTTGCTATAGCCAACGGGGATCGAGGCAATCTGTGCGTACACGTCGAGCAGCACATTTCCATCCAAGTCCGCAATGTAGTTGCCAAAGCTGTTCTGGTAGTTCGCCATCATATTCAAGGACCGCGTGTCGAACACCGCGTCCAGTTCTGCGATCGCCTCTTTCGACTTCGGGCCTGGGATCTGTGTGCGAATGACGGGTCCGGTCGGCTCGTCTGGGAAATACGGTCGCTCAGTCGAGTCTGACACTGCGGATTTGACGGCTGCTGCCGCGCTGGCAAGGTGTGAGGGCGACTTGGTAGCCATGGTTCGCTGCACCATTGAGGGACGGACGGACGATCGAAGTGTCTGCTGCAGGCGGGTAGTGCTTCTCAGGAGGGACGCCATGGCTGCTGAAGTGGTTGATTATCAGTCAGGCGGGGAGGAGATCAAGATGGGTTGGTGAGAGAGAGAGAGCGCAGTTTGGGACTGTGGACGGGGTAACATTGGTATAAGTATGTACTTTCCCCCACCCCTGCACGGCGCGAAGCTGGGCCCGCTTGCTCGATCGGGTATCCGTATGCGATAAGACCAGCAGCACAAGCACAGGAACCTTTCGGTAACCGGACCGGTGGCAGTAGCAAGAAAGTTGCGCATTGCGTAGCGAGCAAGTTTTACCTTTGGGACCATCGAGACTTCGAGAGTGCGAGACACCTCACCGTTTCGTATTGTGCTCAAAATTTTCTGCTTGACAAGTTGACATGGGGGTGTGAGGATATCCCTATCATGGGCACATCGAAAAGATAGGCGGAGCGGCACAAATCATCTCCATTCTTTATCGTAGTGCGGCTCAATGTCTGTCTATTGAGTACTGTCTCATTCTCCTGGGGAAGAAACGACACATGGAATCCCTTGTATATCTTGGTAGGACCACGCGGTGCCCAGCGTGGTACAAATGCTGATAATATATCTATGCTTTGCGTGATGCTATTGAATTCGCTCACAAACTTCCGTCGACCACTACTAGTAGCCGAGCGATACCTGAGACTTCCAACTGGGGTCGAGCGTTTCTTCCAGCGCGAGTACCTGTTATGAGAGTGAGCAGTGAATTCATCAATGGCAAGGTGCATGGTCTTTCTTACCATTGCTGATCGCGTGGGTATGTACACTTGCAGGAAATTCTTGCGGTCGTTCCAAGCAAAGTCAGTCGTGAAGAAGCGCGTGTCGTTCTGCGATCGTCCCAGTCCCCCAAAGGCTGGATCATCGGAGTTCAGAACAACTCGATACGTCCCAGCCTGCTCTATACCTACTCGGTAGTCGGTGAATGAGCTCGAGGGGTGAAAGTTGAAGATGAACAATAATCCCGCTCGTTCAAAGACAATCACCTTGTCGCTCTCATTCTTCAGGCTGACGTATGCTTGTGGAGAGTGTAGCCAACCGTACTTCTCCTCGGTCCACTGCATGGCCTTATCGAAGTCGTTGAGGAAATGGTAGCGCAGAAGCTTGTCCTCGACCAGGTTGAATTGTCTCCGAGCGTAGTGGAAGCTATTCTGATTGCCCTCTCGTGGAAAGTCGAGCCATTCTGGATGGCCGAACTCGTTACCTTCGAAGTTGAGATATGCTTCTCCGCCAAGAGCGTGCGTGATGAGGCGGATCATCTTGTGTAGCGCCATTCCACGCTCGATGACGGGTGTGAACGTGGACATCTTCGACATGTTGGTGTACATCTCTGCATCGCACAGCCAGAATAGCAGAGTCTTGTCGCCGACCAGTGCTTGGTCGTGACTCTCGGCATAAGCTATCGTCTTTTCGCCATGTCGCCGATTCGTCAGCGTGAAGCACAATGCGCCCATATCCCACTCGATATCTTGCTTCTCCTTGAGCCACTTGATGTACAGATCTGGAACAGCCATGGCAAGTCTGTAGTCGAATCCTATTCCACCTAGACTCAGCTTGACGCACAACCCCGGCATGCCGCTCACATCTTCTGCGACTGTGATGCAGTTCGGGTAGATGCTGTGTAACATCTCATTGGCCAACATCAGATATACCACGCCTTCCTCGTCCACGCTCGGGCCAAAGTATTCGTGGTAGCCTCCGCTGAAGCCTGTGCCAATGCCGTGGTGCGTGTACAGCATGCTGGTCACACCATCGAAACGGAAACCATCGAATTGGTACTCTTCCATCCAGAAGCGGAGGTTCGAAAGCAGGAAGCGAAGGACCTCATGATGCCCGTAGTTAAAGAGCCGCGAATCCCACAGTTCGTGCCGCCCACGAGCACCTTCGTGAAAGTAGAGGTGATCGCTGTTGTCGAACATGTTCAAGCCGTCGAGGATGTTCTTGCTAGCGTGAGAATGCACGACATCCAACAATACCGTGATGCCCATGCCATGCGCCGTGTCAATCAGCTCTTTCAGGTCATCTGGGTGGCCGTATCGCGAGGAAGCTGCGAAGAATGAGTTGATCTGGTAGCCGAACGAGGCGTAGTATGCGTGCTCCATGATGGCCATGAGCTGAATTGTGTTGTATCCCAAATCTCGAATGCGAGGTAGCGTGTTCTGCGTGAACTCCTTGTACGTGGCCACCTTTGGCTCGGGGCTAGAAATGCCCACGTGTGCTTCGTAGATTCTCGCACTGAGTGGCTTCGGCGGACGAGCATTTTGCCACTTGTACTTCTCTGGTGGATTCCAGAATCGCGCATCGTATGCCGGCGACACAGACAAGTCCTGTGTCACTCGCTTTATCCATGCCGGCAGTCTCTCCGCTCTCTGCCCGTCATTTGGCACTACCATGCTGATCTTGATCTTGCTGTCGTGCGGAATGGCGGGTTGTCCATTGACTTGGGGCAAGCTGATCTCCCACACACCGAAGGGATCCCGCTTCATCTCATGACTGTCACGATTCCAGCCATTGAAGTCGCCAATCAGGTAGGCTCGCAGGGCGAACGGCGCCCACTCGCGATATAGGATGGTGCCGTCGGGCGAGACGTTGAAGCCGAACTGTTCGTAGCCGCGCGAGAACTTCTCGAGACCACCTTCGTGCTTGTCGATGGTCTTGATCCAATTCTGCGTCTTTGCGAATCTTGACCGCAGCGCGCCCTTGTATGGCTCAAGCCACGGGTCGACCTGCACGATTCCGGTGCCATCGTTGGCGACTTGACCACCAGCAGGTTTCGCCATGACACTGTCCGGTGAGGACTCATTCAGCTTGTCTGCCATGCTGGGTGGCTTATGCAAAGATTGGTGTTAATCAGTGCAAGAAGCTGTCGTCGTCGTCGTCGTCGTTGGCGTCGTCGTCGTTGTTATTGTTGCTCACGCGGCGGGTTGGCAAGACTGTGGTGAAGGAGAAGAAGAGGAAGAAGAAGAAGAAGAGTACGACAAACGCAACGAGGTGTCGCACAGAGCAGAAAAGGTGGTCAGGTAAATTCTGCAGGTGCTGGGTGGTCCATCGCAGCTTCCCTCAAACCCTCTCACCAGTTCTTATTAGTAGGTAGGTACCTGCACTTTTCAGTCTCAGACTCTCAACGCTACCTGTACCTGTACCTGGAGGTGGTTTGGCTGGCTGGCTGGCTGATGCTCAGCTCAACCCAACCTCAACCCCTCCTCCCGCCGCATGCAAGCGACCGTCATATGTGCAGGGGCCAGACAGGGCAGGGCCGACTTGCCTCAACCAGCCAAGCAGCCTCTCCAGGCCCACAACATGCCGAATTGGTGCGCCTGCAGCCGGAGGGCGTTTGCTGTGATGGCGAATTCATATACCAGACATGAAGCCGATGTGCGCAGCTGAATGGGGACACGGAGAGGTGCATTGGAGAGTGAGAGAGTCCCTGCATTGCGAGGTGCGAGGGTGGTCTGTGTTGCATGTGGAGATGGGCCCGCCGCCCGTGCCTGTGGAGGGGAGGGGATCCCATGGTCGTGGAGCGGCTGTTCTTCGGTATTCTACGGAAGGCTGTAGCATGCTTTACTAGGCTGTCGGAGGCACTTTGTATGTACATGGGAGGTACCTATAGGAGGTACCTCAGGTAGGAAGTTGTAGTCGTACTCACCTACATCATGACCCAGCGGCTACTGTAGGAGGAGCTCCTCCTCTGATGCGACTCCCACCCATACACATACCACGATACATTCATTCATACAGTCGCTTGTGCGTTAGTCTCGCTCTTCTTGGCGCAGGTGGTGCTGCTGCTGCGGGTGCTGGTGCGGCCATTACTGCTGCAGACAGCCGTTCATGGCCACTGTGACAGCGCACTACTCGCCGCGAGCTACGTTGACATGTTTGGGCTTAACCGCCCTCCTCACACGGCGGCACCTGAGCAGCGCGCTGCCACTCCGTTCCTCCGACTCGTATATACGCTCCGATTTCACAAATCAGCCCTGGACCGGTCTCTATGAACCTGGGCGCCCAACCGAGGGTCCGCTGGGAGGCGCGTCGGATATTGGTGCTCCCCGAATAACGCCAGCTATACTGAAACAGCATCTGGACCAGTACGTGGTCGGACAGGAGCGGGCAAAGAAAACGTTGGCCACTGCAGTATACAACCACTATCAGCGCATACAGGAGCTCCAGAGACGCGATGAAGAGGAGCAAGAGCAGGAGGCGGCAGAGGAGAGGCGGCGGACGCACCAGAGACATCCCGTTGAAGGTAGGGAGGGTGAATGGAAGCGGGGGATTGCCGTACCTTCGCTGACGAAGGACTTCGCCGAAGACGACTTTCCAGGTCAGCAGCAGACGACGGTGTACACGCACCATGACAGTCGGAGCTCGCAACAGCAGAGAACGTCACAACAGGACGCTTCAACTGCACCCGCTCCGCTCCAAGACAACAGTCCTCTGACGGTCGAGAAGAGTAATGTGCTGCTGCTAGGGCCCTCTGGTGTAGGCAAGACGCTGATGGCAAAGACTCTTGCGAGGGTGCTCGAGGTGCCTTTCAGCATGTCTGATTGTACACCATTCACCCAAGCAGGCTATATAGGAGAGGATGCAGATGTATGCGTGCAGCGCTTGCTGGCAGCTGCGAATTACGATGTGACTCGTGCTGAGCGTGGCATCATTGTTTTGGACGAGATTGACAAAATTGCCACGGCCAAGGTATCCCAGGGCAAAGATGTGAGCGGAGAGGGCGTCCAGCAGGCTTTACTAAAAATCATCGAAGGGACAACACTACAGATTCAAGCTAAGCAAGAGCGAAACGCGACGAGTGAACGTAACAGAGGACAATATCCTACTAATAGTCCTTTGTCCGGCGGGCATATCAATCAGTCTCAGACAGGTGGCCAAAAGGGCGATACGTACAATGTTCGAACAGACAACATACTCTTCTTGTGTGCCGGGGCATTCAACGGCCTGCACAAAGTGATACTGGATCGGGTGTCCAAAGGGAGCATGGGTTTTGGCGCAACAGTCCGTGCAGCTAATAATTTCGACTCCTCGGCGAGCCATCACGAAACCATCATGGAAGGCGAGGATGAGCTTTTCGAAAAATACCTACCATACTATACATCACCAACGAGTAACGATCATGACTCTTCTACATCAAAGCAGAAACGAACATATAACACCCTCGACCTAGTCGAGCCTCAAGACCTGCAAAAGTATGGCCTGATACCGGAACTTGTGGGCCGTATACCTATATCCTGCGCCCTCTCATCTCTGGACGTCCAATCTTTAGTAAAGGTTCTCACCGAGCCACGAAATAGCCTGTTGAAGCAGTACCAGCAGCTCTTTTCCCTGTCGAGCATAGAAATTCGCTTTACAACTGCCGCTTTACATGCCATCGCGAGCACTGCCTTGAAGATGGGCACAGGTGCCAGAGGACTGCGCACCGTAATGGAGCGCCTTTTGGCAGATGCCATGTTCGAGTCACCCGGGTCAAGCATTAAGTATATTCTGATCAACGAGGATGTTGCGGACAGGAAAGCGGGCGCGATTTACTATGGTCGAGGACAACAGGAAGACTTTTACAACAGAATTACGAGTGAAGAAGATGTTTGGGAAGAACGGAAACGCGCTGAAGATGGAAACGAAACAGAGTTTGAGGCTCGAGCTCGAATGAACGCCAAGAACCCAGCGAGAACCTTTGAAGAATATCGAGAGAAGGCGACTGCCGCTGGCTTTGTATAGACTGCGTGGTAGAAGTGTGCAATCTTGGCCCTATGAAACGATCAATTGACAGCATGCAACGAGTACATGTATTCCTGACCATGTATCCCTCCACCGCATCTTTCTCATTGCTGCTGCTGCTGCTATAACCGAGCATCCTTCCAAGCAGCCTTAAACGCCGGATCAGAAGGAGAAACCGATGGATCGAGCGGTAACCAAATATCCCGAGGCCTCGTGTGAATGAGATACTGCTCATAACTCAACGACCTTTCAAGCCGTACATCATCGCCATCGACATCGGTATCCCCGATCTGACGACTCTGGGGACTTTCCCTCCTGCCGAACGTAGTAGACGATGTAGACGATACGTCCTCTGATGAAAGACTCTTCAGGTTATTCTTCTTTTTCTTGTGCCTCCTTCCCAGTCTATCGAGGAACCGCTGTCGGAGTGAAGAAGTCGCTGCTGCTGCTGCTGTTACTCGTGTAGGAGGAGCGGGTTCGACTATATGTACAAGCAGATCTTGTGGCTTGCGCGAGCTTTCTTCGGCTGGCGATGCTGCTACACTACGAGGCATGTCAAGGGACCGTGGAAAGTGTGGGGTTTCTTTTGCTGGTATTGTGAAGTGCAATACAACTGCACATGGTTCTTTCTATCTTATAATAAGGCTGGCTTTCCTCACCACGCTACGTCGCGTGGCATGAACAAAGAGAGTTGTTGTCCCTTTGAGAGAGGAGAGAGAGAGCATATGACATTCTGTTCCACATACGAGCTCATGACAATGATTTCTTTGTGTTGTAAGATATGGAGTCAGCGGCGCCACATGCGATTGGCGGGACCTTCATATTAGGATACCGGATGGATACGCGTCCTGATTAGTGTTAGCGTGAGAATTAGAAAAGGGGATATTGAAAGCAATGGGGGCAGAGTGTGAAGTTGTTCATTCTGGGGTAGTCACGTTATATTACAAGGGTTCGGGACAAATGATAGCCACGACTTACCAGCGGGGACGTCTTTCACCGGGGAACGGCTCCTGATAACCACCATAGCCAGGGGGATATTGGTCATTGCGGGAAGAAGGCATAGCAGCAAACTGGCCAGGTGTTGGAAGATCTGCACCGCGGGAAGTTCGAGATGGGTCACGAGCTGGCGAAGCATAGCGCGGACGACGGGCAGATGAAGAGCCGAGCAAGTCGAGTTCATCCAACTGGTAGTCGAGAGGTGGAGGACGTCTCTCGAAACCGTCGAACGGGGTGTTGTAGGGCCTAAAATCGCCGGCTAGTGAGCTAAGATCAACTACTGGACCACGAGACATGGAGCGCTGTGACGAGGATCGACCCGGCAGTGCGCCACTGCTCGTGACATGTGATGATCGCCTCGATGTGGCCCCGTATGGATAGCGATGGTGCGTTGGCACAGGGCCAAGGTAGGACGAAGGTGGAAAGCCACCGCCATAGGAAGAGACATCGATACCAGCTGCGCCATAATCTTCTTCCCGGTACTGATGAACACGACTGCTGCCATCGTACTGACGTACACGACGAAGTTCGGGATAGGTGCGCTCTGAAGGATGACTAACAGGAGGACCGTTGGTGCGTCGGATGGTTCCGTAACGTCTGAGGTTTGACGTGTCTCTCTGTTGCTCGTAGCTATCTGGTCGTACTTCGCGAGACTCGTAGTAGCCCCCCATGGGGGAGACAGGTCGCCTCGAAGGGTAGCCAGACATGATCTGGTGATGTTCTGACTAGTGTGTGTGCGTATGTGTTGCTGGTGATGGTGAGTGAATACCTTACGATTGCAATAAGCTTGCTTTGATAGTGTCTTGAGCCGGTCAAGGTTGATATCTCTACGACGCTGTGTGCAAGAGGGTTTGCTGGACTCTCTGTACCAGGGTCGTTGGCGAGTATATATACACCTTTTGGCGCATTGTTCTCAATGTTCTTTGAAAGCGCCTTTGAGCTCCATAATGGACGGATGCTTTCTCCCCAACAGTTGTCAAAGAAATTGCACCACACTATTGTTGGCAGCTTTGTCTCCTCTGAGGAATGGGAAAAGTTGCAGAGTCATCTCCTTCCGCCACACGAGGGCCTGGAATGTAAACATCGTCCTAAATTTGAACTGTTGGTGCACGTCAATTGCGTCTATCATGACTACAAATCCATGGTCCTGGATGCTGGTCGCCAATATTCCCACGTAGACGAGGTCCATCTTGTCCGTAACAGTCATTCGCCTACTACGGCTTGCTCACAGGTCCCCCATTCTTTTCCCAGTCTAGCCAACTGCCTCTATATTCGGCAACATTTTGATATCCCTGCTGCTGCGCCAGCTGGGCGGCCGCGCTACTCCTCACACCCGCTTTGCAGTAGAATACGATCTCCTTGTCTATAGCCGGCTTCTCGAAGCCAAACCTGTCCTCGAACTCCTCCTCAGGCAGAAACAGCGCATCGGGCTGTGACTTGATAGGCAGATTGATGGCGTTGGGAATGAAACCTGCTTGGTACTCGGCGGGCTCGCGGACATCTGTGTCGTGTGAATGGTATGCTTGGGCGGAATCGTAACTGAGGAGTGGGAGGGAGGAGAGCTTACCGACGAGAATCGACTCGCTCGAAGGCGACTGGCTCAGCTGCTTGACGTGGCCGAAGTCGTATACCTTCGAGCTGGTGGCCGGCGCAGAATGCCATCGAACTGCGGCGAACGCGGGCTTGCTGCTGCTTCTCTGCACTGCTGGCCGTGTCGCTCCTGCATGCGTGAAGCTCCGCCATGTCGATCGGGAGCATTGTCGGCAGACGTTGCTTCTCAGAGCGGCAGTCGCTGCCGAACGTGCGAATGCCATTGAGTACATGGACCTGACGTGTAGGTAAACACAATAGATGTCCCTGATCGAGAAACGCTGGTCTGGTGAGGTACCTTATCCTTATCGCCCCATCTTTCGGATATTCCCGCCTTGGCGAGGGAGCGCGACCTGGACGCGTCTCCTCCACTTCTCTTCTTCTTCTCCTTCTTCTCCTTCTTCACCATCAATCAAACACCAACCACCAACCACCATGGGCTGGATCTCGTCCAGAAATGGCCACCATCAAGGCTATAGAAGACCGTTCCGTTCATCAAATCCAATCGGGCCAAGTCATTGTCGACCTGTGCTCGGTTTGCAAGGAGCTGGTGGAAAACAGCCTCGATGCCGGCGCCACCTCAATTGAACTGCGCTTCAAAAACCAGGGCTTGGATGCCATTGAAGTGCAAGACAATGGTAAGGGCATCGGACCGGATGACTTCGAGTCTATTGCTTTGAAGCATCACACTTCCAAGCTTTCCAATTATGAAGATCTCACCTCTCTGGACACCTTTGGCTTTCGCGGCGAAGCTCTGTCATCGCTCTGTGCCTTGTCCAAATTCCATATCTTGACAGCTCGGGCTGAAGACGGCGCCATCGGCAAGAAGCTCGACTTTGAGGTTTCTGGAAAGCTCAAAGGCACTTCTGTGGCTGCTGCACAAAAAGGCACTACCGTCTACGTCGAGGACATCTTCCACAACTTGCCTGTTCGACGCAGAGAGCTCGAGAAGAACATCAAACGCGAGTATACCAAAGTGATTAACTTGATGTACTCCTATGCGTGTATCAGTACAGGAGTACGGTTTTCGGTCAGCAATACCATGCCAAAGAGCAAGAAAGCTCCGGTGTTCGCGACCAAAGCCAACGCAACTACTAAGGAAAACATTACCAACGTCTTCGGCGCTAAGACAGCGCTGGCTTTGGCCAAGCTTGACCTCAACCTCGAGATGGCTCCTAGCATGGGCTTAAGTACTCCAGGAGCAAAAGGTTGGTCAACCCAGGCCACAGATCGTTCTATGATTGTCCGAATCGAGGGCCATGTCTCGAAGCCCATATTTGGAGAAGGCCGCCAAGCACCCGATCGGCAAATGTACTTCGTGAATGGACGACCGTGTCTGCTGCCTCAAGTCGCAAAGGCAGTCAACGAGGTCTACAAGTCATTCAACGTCTTACAAACGCCATTCGTCCTCGCAAATCTCATCATGGACACGAATGCATACGATGTCAACGTGTCGCCGGATAAGCGTTCTATCATGCTACACGACCAGACCGCTCTGCTTGAGACCTTCAAGTCTGCCCTAACCGAGATGTTTGAGCAAACAGATCATACAGTGCCCCAGTCACAACTACCGAGTTTACCGAACCGTAACATACCTGCATACCAGCCCCTGACTATCAAACGGGCCGAGCTGAAAACCATTTCGTCGCCACAGAGCACCAGCGAGGCTACAAGCAGCGACGATGTGTCAGACGTACAGTCTGGACAACCTCCGACGAATGAACTACGAACAAGCTCTCCCTCGAATCTAATTCACAGCTGGATTGGTCGTAACACTGAATCAAGAAAGGCCCCGAAGCAGCAACATTGCGCTTCCACCAAAGAAAAGGAGCTGTCCATGAAATTCATGCCGGCAGCTTCCTCTCCGACTGCACTAGGAGATGATCCCAACGAACAAGACGAGAACCAAGCTGTGACAGAGCCACTTGAAGAACAAGTTCTAGAACATAACACGGTAGATGCCGTAAGGAATCCTGACCCACTAAGCACTCCATACGGAGACTTATTCTCGCAACCGCCTCCGATACGCAAGGATTTAGATAGAGACGAGCAGACTTCACCGACCCCCGAATTCGACATGGCTCCTCCGCCGAAGGCCAGTATCAAAAAAGACGCTGAAACTTCAGAGACCCCTATTCCGGCAGTGGTGACGAGCTCGCAGAAATCGACCCCAGGTTTGGTGCCCAACGCTTTTGACAGAATGCGTCCTAAGCGTACACCTTTTCAGACTGCCGAGATAACTGTTGGCGACGTGACAACGACGACTACCATAGGCACAAGCCCGCCGTACAAGAAGCGCCGCACGTGCAAACCGGGCGATTCTCAAAAAGTGGCCAACTATGTTGCTAGTCCTTCCCTTGCGCGGAGTCTACGCATGACTTTTGCCGCGCCCGGCTCCCAGCTGGAGGTGGAGAGCAGTGGCGTCGATCCCAGACCGCTAACCATGGATGACAGGGACGGCGATGACAATGTACATGCGGAGAGCCCACTGCGCTCATCTCGTGCACTCTCATCACAACCGCCAGCTTCGCCTGATGCTCCGACATCCGACCCGCTGGATGACCTGACATATCTCGCATCGGCAGACGAGGATGATGAGGATGGTGAGTACATGGACGCAGACGAAAAGAAGATGCGAGAAGATGAACGCGTAGCCCGAATGATCCAGGAGGCAGAAGAGGCTGCTGCTAGACCTACAGAATTGAACCTTAAACGAGCAATGCAAGCGCTTAAGAACGGTGGTAATCGGAAAGGCTCAACACTGCAGCTAGCTACATGTGTGCAGACCACTTCGGACAAGATCAGAGCGCAGCTTGATATTCTCGCTTCGAAGTTGCAGTCGAGTACCGAACAGGACGAGATTGATCCGACAAGTGAGAGGACAATCATCGAAGACGAACTTGACTCAGCGGAAGCAGAGTCTCGCCTGTCACTCACGGTGGTGAAGTCCGACTTTGCTCGGATGCAAATCGTTGGGCAGTTTAACCTGGGTTTCATACTCGCTATTCGTCCGGGCAAGAACCTTGGAGAGGAAGATGACCTGTTCATCATCGATCAACATGCCGCTGACGAGAAGTACAACTACGAGCGGCTCCGGCGTACAGTCACGTTGCAGTCTCAGCGTCTGGTGCGTCCCAAACAGCTTGAACTCACTGCCATCGAAGAGGAGGTCATTCTCAGCAACCGCGACGCTCTAAAAGCTAATGGCTTCGAGATCGAGACGACGTCTGACGCTACCGAGTCGGATGAGGCAGTGGCGCCTGGTTCCCGGTGCCGCCTGTTGACGTTGCCGATGTCCAGGGAGAAGACGTTTGATCTGTCAGATCTCGAGGAACTACTTCATCTCTTATCTGAAGAACCTCCTGGCAGTTCTGACGTTCCCCGACCAATGAAGGTGCAACGCATGCTTGCGATGCGAGCCTGCCGGAGCTCGATCATGGTTGGCAAAACCCTCACTCATGCGCAGATGAAGAAAGTAATTAATCATATGGGAGAGATGGAAAAGCCCTGGAATTGCCCACACGGGCGGCCAACAATGCGACATTTGGCTGGCTTGAGCGCTTGGACTGGATGGACGGAGGGAGATATGATCGATGACAACCAGCTTGACGCGGCGGATGCGCAAGCAGGGCGCAAGACCAATTGGAAGGCCTGGCTTGAGAGCCGCACGACGTAAGACCTGACGACAGCTGTAATTGCTTGCGAAGTTTGCTAGATACCCTTTTCTTGCAGTACATTATGACCTCCTGATCAGCAGTCTCAACATAGTAATCGGCTTTGCGATCACTGTAAGAGATTCAATCCTAGGTACACCTCCTCGCATTGGGGTTCTCATGCCCCAGAATCCCAGCTCTGGGGCATTCTAAATCTCATCTTCTTCCTCATCAAAATCATCTTCCTCACCCATATCATACAAGATCCTCCCTCCATCCCCACCGCCTCTCTGAGCATCATAATAAGGCAACACCACCCCATCGCGATCTCTCCTCTGCTTCTCCGTCAATCCCAATTCAAACGTCGTAGTAGAACTCTCACTACCATCCCCTTCCTCCCTCGCAGCAGCATCAGCATCAACCTTCTTCCTCTCCTCAGGCGTCCGATACCGCGGATGATCCTCCAAGAGCATAATCCCACTCTCCCGCCCCTTGATCGTCGTCATCATCGCAGGCTGTCGTCCGACCATGGGCAGAAAATACCACTCGCGCACTCCTCTGCCACTTTTCCTCCGATGCTCCATCTCCAGTACCACTCCCTCTAATCCATTCGCTCCCAGACTTTGCAAAACTCCATCCACACCTGCTTCCAAGCCAAAAATTGGTTCGGCGTGACTTCTTTCCCGCGCGGCTTTTTGAGCAAGGACATGATGGAATGAATGGGCCGTGAGAATTGTCGTTGCCAGATATCGGAGTAGGGTCAGTGCAGAGGGAGCGTACGGATTTTGATGTCCGGTGTTGTTGTTATAATTATTATTACTATAGTAAATTTCGGGGATTGGTAGCGGGACGTCGGTATGATAGAGTGCCAGAAGGGAGCTTGTGGGGAGAATGAAGGAGGAGAGGAGAGCTGGAAGATTCGAACTTTGTGTTGCGCTGAGAGGGTTGAGGGTATCGAATACTAGGAGTTTTTCTTTTTTTGTGGAAAGAAGAAAAAAAAAGAAAACGTCAATATATCAATAGGTACCTGGTATGTACCTATATCAACTGAACGGGATGAACTCACTCTGCGTTGCTTCGGCTCTGAGGTGATTCACGACTTCGGTTTGCCAAGATTGCAGACTTTGCCTCCATGCTTCGATGAAGACATCTGCAGTGCGGGGCCGGCGGAGCGTCTCGAATGAGACGAAGATGACTTTGATCTTGGATGTCTGTAAAATTGGTTTTAGTGCGCGATTTTTTAAAAAAGAAAGCGAGGAAGATCGTGTTGACGATATGGCGCACGCACATTGGCTCGCCTCAGGTATTCTGCCACAACGGGCTTGCCGGTTTGTTCCAGATTATCAAGCACGAGTGTGAACGGAGATGCTGCATCTCGCTGATTGAGCAGTTTCGATATGAGAAGCAGATTGTGCGTGCGTCGATGCTGGAGTGACGAAGGAGCCATGTTTGGAATACTTCCAGGTTGTAGCTTGGAGAGTGAGTGAGAGGGGCTTTAGTAGGTGGAAGACCTCAAGGTTGCTGTATTCACCGTGCTGAATCAAGTTTTCATGACTTTCCTAACTAATATGCTACCCAATGCTAGGGCCGGAGTCTCTCATTTCTCATTTCCTATTGTCTCCATTGCCTATTGTGCTGCCCAAGAATCATCCATCTTCTTCCTTTCTGCAACATGATGATGATGCACCTTAGTCACTCAGGCAATGTCGAGATCCTGGGGCTCCACGTCCTCTTTGTCTTGGCGCATGAAGTTCTTCCACATACCTTCGGCATGCTCACGGGACAGCTTTGGAAGAGAGTCAATGCGCTCGGCACAGCCCTTCATTGGCGAGTTCCAGCACTGAAAGGGGGCCGTGTCTGTTCCAAGTGGTGCAAGAACTGGTCTCGAGACATCCTCTCCGTGATCAATTGCCTTGGCTCTGGCGTGATGTGTCGACTTGCTTGTAGCAGACGCCTCTGTGCTGGTTGCACTCGACGATCGACTCGGTCCATCTGGCAGAGGACCATAACCGGCGACATGACGTTCTCGTGGTCTCTTGGTGTAACCCTTTTGGTAGGATTGTGCCTTTTCAGTCTATGATTGAGCTCCGTTGATTCCCTTGTTCGCTTCCGCGCGGGCTTCCTGCTCTGTCACGCGAACTTCTTCCTCTTGGCCCAAATGCTCGGCCAGAGAGCCGACCCTCGTGCTTGCGTCCTCGATCTTGCCCCAGTCCTCCTCTAGCTGCTGCTCCTTGAGCGCATCCCAACTGCCGCTGGACCGCTCCATCCCAGCCTTCATAGCCTCTTCGCGCCACTTTTTCGTTTCCTTGCCGTCGTTCAGGTCTGTCTGGTAGAGTCGGATCTCTCCCTCAATATAAGGTTGGAGAGAGGTGTTCAGAGGGTGGACATCGATGTCATAACCGCCTGGAAGTTTCGGCAGATACCTGTAGAGCTCTTCGCGGGTCTCCTTTGGGAGCGTGTTCCAGGCTGCTTCATCGCGGAGCACGATCTACAGCACGGTCAGTCAGTGAGAGACGAGCGGAAGAAGGCAGGAAAGGCAACCATACCGCCAGATCCGGCACCTTGCCGACCTTGGAGTTCGGCTGTGTGAGCCAGCGTTTCTGTGCAGTGGCCATGTTGACACTGCTTCTGCTGCTGCTAACAACAGAGGATGAGTATGTTCAGATATATTGTTTGATTCTGTTTGCTAAGCTGATCTTGTTTCAGCCGGTCAATGAAATGCCTCGCTGTCTGATATTTTGATGTTTGCGGTCTGGTATTGATGATGAATGAGGGAGGAAGAGAGCGAGGACGCGCACATTCCTACCTGCAGAGCTGTTGCCAGACTGAGAGGGCGTCCAGTGGAGTGGAAGCTGCAGAGCCGACTGGTTGCAAGAGGGAGTGCTACAGGTACATGTAGGTAGGTACTGGGAATTGGGGAGACGGTATAGGTGGAGTGGGCTACATACCGTACTTGGTACCTGCCCTGATATGTCACGTCCGACGACACCTGTTCCATTGAGGTAGGCTTCCTTACCGTCCTCACCACATCTCACTTTCACACACCAACCGCCCATCCGTACACCTTCAATCTCTCGACATGATATACACCACCCAGATAGTGAGGCTCGACGGTCAGTAACGGATCCCGACGCGCTATTCTGCTGGAAAGCCCCCCTCACAGACGGACAAACCGACTGACTGACCCGGACTCACAGGCCTCACGCTCGTGGCCTCTGTCGACGACTCGCAGATCCAAGAGGTCACAGATCTGAAGCAGAACATTCGACAGGTCATCAAGAAGCTCTCACCCTCCTCCGAACCTCGTGCGTCCATTGAGAGCTCGAAATACACCATCCAGTACCACCAACCACATCCTCTCGAGCAGTTGCCGCTCTGCCAGCAATCCACTGACCGATTCGTGTCAGCTACGTCTTGAACGACGCCGTCGCCTACCTGGCTATCACCGAGCGCTCATATCCCAAGAAGCTTGCTCTTACATACCTTGAGGATGTCCGCGCAGAGTTCCAGACGTCGTACAAGCGAGATGAAATCCACGACCCGCAACTTCGACCGTACCAGTACTCCGAGTTCGATCGCTTCATCGAGCGCACGAAGAAAACATATCAAGATTCGCGCGCAACCGACAATCTCGGCAGACTCAACGACGAGCTGAAGGACGTGACCCAGGTCATGACCAAGAATATCGAGGACCTGCTCTATCGTGGAGACTCGTTGGAGAAGATGGGTGAGCAGAAGAGACGGACAAAGCACGCTACCTGGATCACACTGACAACATGCGTACACTAGGCGACATGTCTTCTCGCTTGCGGGATGACTCTCTCAAATACAAACGGGCCGCTGTGCGCATCAACTGGGAACTTCTATTAAAGCAGTATGGTCCTTTTGCTGGTCTTGGACTGGTAATCCTACTTTTGCTCATCTGGCGATTCTGGTAACAGAATACCATCCGTTTGCCTTTAATTCTTGGTTGGGTTTCAGGCATAGCGCGGAGTTCAGGACAGTAATTGGCGCAGCCTTGCATAGAAACACGTGGAATTCTGACCGGGCGACGTGTCCTCATGGCAATAATTAAGGCTGGTAGAGCTCTGCAGAGTCCCATGATGATTGAGGGAGCTGAATTGCTTAGGAGTTTGCCAATACCTCTGGCATTTGGGCACTTTGCCGCTGGGAGTACAATACCCATCCCCTCCTCGGATGTGGCCTCCAATACAGCACTTTCAGGGCTCATTCTCACGGCGTGGTACACCACGGCATGGTCTGCACTAGACCAGGATATCCTGGCCTGGCTCACACCTGGCAGCCCACGGCGCAGAACATCGAAAGAACCAAGAGACAACGCAGTAAGCTAGATTAAAGCTGCCGGCGTCTGTTTCCGCGGAATTGCGTTGTGAACCAATTACGCACGGCCGATGCTAGTCTTCGGCCTCTGTGATCTCAGTTTGGGGAGGGCGACTAATATGCATACTTGGTCAAATCCACGCCACGGCAACAGCGCAGATGTAATATGATGCAGTTCTTCCAAGTTCAAGGGCAAGGCGCAGTGTAGTCAATTAGTTCGTTGCCGCCTTATTCGATCTCATAGACATTCAAAAGGCAGCCTATTATACCCCGAGCACCACCGCAGGCGCTCATGACTACCTAGCTGCTCGACAGGCCGCATACAAGATACTCCAGACATGCTCAGCCTCCAAATTGGTCGCCCCGACCTCTGCCAGCTCTAGTGTTGATATCAACAAACTGCAAGAAAAGGCTCGGAAGAGTGGTGGGAACTACTTGGCTCATCAAGGCACATTGCGGTGAGCTAGGGCACTATAAGGTAGAAAATCCAGGTGGTGACACAGGCGAGTCTGGTATGTGATAGACATGGAAAAGGGGAAAAAACGAAAACGTTTGGAAAGGTCGAGTGGTGTACTGTGTATTCGAAGTTGAATTCGGGGTATCTAAAAAGGTCTAAGATCTAATCCGCAAACAAAACTACATCAACGCGTTGAACACGCTTTCACGCTTCGTGAGCATTTCTTCCCACTCAGCCTCCGCCTCGCTCAATGCCGTGATCGCTCCGCCGGCACCTACATGCCATTCCTCACCTTCGTCGTCCCACTTGAAGGCGGTGCGGATCACCACTGAGAAGTCACCACCTCCGCCGACATCGAAGTATCCAAGCACACCGCTGTATAGGCCGCGCGCTCTGCCGCCCTCAATCTCACTAAGAATCTCGCATGATCGCTTCTTCGGAGCTCCAGTCATGGAGCCCGGCGGCAGTGAGGCCACCAGAGCCGCACACCCAGAACTTCCTTCGATACTGCCCTCAATCACTGATACCAGCTGGAACACGGTCTCATACTCTTCCACCGACATGAGCTTTGGCGTTTCGACCTTGCCAATGCCTTTGACGCCTGCCAAGTCGTGTCGAATCAGATCCACAATCATCAGATTCTCAGCGCGTTCCTTGGGCGAAGCCAGCAGCTCTTCAGCCTTGGCTCGAGTGAGGCCGGGACTTTTCTTCACGGTGCCCTTGATGGGTCGAAATTGGCATTTGCCGCCGCGAGACCAAGATAGGAAGCGTTCAGGACTGCTTCCTACAACGGACAGTCCGGGAGAAGTTTTGCACTGCAGGCGCAGGAAGGCACCGAATGGAGCAGGGTTGCGGCTGCGCAGTCGTTGGTATAACGACCACGGCTCAGCATGGGTTTTGAGGATCGACTGGTCTGTCAAGCACAACTCGTACGATTCGCCGGCCCGCAGGTTTGCTTGACAGTCCAACACTTTCTGGCAGTAAGCACTTCGCGCTGGCCCAGCCACGAGTCCCGCGCATGTGTTCTGATCCACTCTATCAACAGTGGCGGGCATGTCGAGGTGACGCTCTAAACGAGATTGCATAGTCTGGAGCCAATTGTCATCCTGCTGAGCGATAGACTGCACGTACGCGACGCGCTCCACATGGTCCAACACAATGCTTCTCTCCACAAAGACGAACCAAATGTCTGGGTGCTCAGCCTTTGCACCGACTGGGGGCACATCTATGGTCTGTAGGCCTGCTTCGTACGATATGAAACCTATGAGGCCACCCCAGAAAGGTGAGCTAGAAGGGCCACCTACAGCCCTGCTCGCTTCTACTACTCCGTCCAGGTAGGAGAATGCTTCCGCAATGCTAGCTGACGTTCCTGACACTGTATGACCTTTCTCGATGACTTCCAAACAGCTACGAACTGTAGAGTATCGATACTGCTTGGAGCACGACGTAGGCAAGCCAATGATACTGAATCGCCCTGTCTCCTGGTTGACTGGTTTGCCGTCACGGGATCCGGACTCGAGAAGAAGAGGTTCCACGCACGCATCTTCTTCGCGCAGCATTTCCATTACAACGGCCACGTCCAATGCATGGTTTGTACTGATCACCCATTGAACTGACAGCGCAGAAGTCCTCGGTGCCACCTGCTCCGTCTCACAGGGAGCCTGGCAATTCGGCAAAGTGTCCGTCACTGGTACCTGTGACATGGAGTGGCGAATACGCCACTGACATGTCTCATTCCACCAGTTTCGCACCAATTTATGGCCTTCCTGATTCGTGCAGATGGATTCGGGGTGATACTGAACTCCCCAGTACGGCTTATGCTCATGTCGGACGCCCATCAGAGTTGGACCATTCGGTACATTCATCGAAGTCCAGGAGAGTGGTACAAGCTCTGCACACTCCTTAGATTTTTCCCACAGGTTAGAAGATCCCCACTCATCTGTCACGTCGCCCTTTTTCAACGTGGCATGCAGCGAGTGATATTGGGTCGCGACGATCTTTCCAGTTCCCGCATATATGTCCCGATTGCAATGGTCTATCATAGTCATAATACCATGTCTGGGCTCTCTCAATCTCACGACTTCGGCCCCGAATGCCAGGCAAAGACTCTGAAATCCTAGGCATATTCCTAGGACTGGAAGTAAGTGCTTCTCCGGTAGGCCCCAGAGCTTTCCTATCAAGCCGACATCATGAGAGTTTGCAGGATGGCCTGGCCCAGGGCCTGCAACGACGGCATGAAATGCATCGAGGTATGTGAAGAACGCTTCGTCGTTGAGGACAAAGCGAGCGTCGTCAATCTTGATGCACTCTACAGTGACGGGTAGTTCAGCTCGCAGCAGAGCGACAATCGAGTTGGAAAACGAGTCGTATGCATCAATGAAGAGAATGCGAGAGGGCTGCATGTAAGTAAGTACAGGAGAGGTTTGTGTTCCAAGGGATGCTGTCGACCAATCTCGGTGACTCTTGGGATGCCTCCAGGCGGCGAAGGAGAGATGGGAATGAGAAGTGAAGAAAAAGACGCTGCCGCCCAACTCGCCGTCTGCTGTTCGAATCTCCCGTTGCAGGACAGGCCCGCCAGTCCTGTGATCCAAAAGAGTGCTGTTTGTGATGATGTCGTGAAGTGAAGAAAATCTTTCGGGCGAGAAAGATTCAAAGAGAACGGGACGGGCTGGGCTGGGCGGGACAGAGCAAGTGCCAAGGACTCGCAAGGAGCTGAGGAAGGAGCAACTCCTGCCGAGCTTGAGCCGTCTGCCGAGACTAGGTAGACACCTCCACGCGACACGACACGTTGGTCTCGGGAGCTTATGGAACTGGACAGTTATTGAACTCGCCTGTACTGCATTTCCATCGACGGCAGTGCCAATTTTTCCCAGAAAAACCGCAGAGATATGAAGCGATGGGTGCAGCTCATACCCGTGCTGCTATGCCAGCTGCTGGGCGTGCATGCGGCAGAAATGAGCATCGTAAGCACAGGACATGATGAGAACAGGAGCAGGAGCAGAGACGGGACATCATACTGAGAGTGCGGTATAGGACCAGAAGGACGCCAGTAGACAGGCATGCGCCGGCATGTACTCGCGCAAGACCTGGGGAGGCCACGTTGATCCATACATACTCGTCAAGTTCGTGCGGCCGGACAGTGTACCAGAAGGCGAGGATCCAATCGTCAGCCTGGTAATATTCGAGTGGAAGGACAGATCATTGATTGGGAAGCCAGACCCAAAGGACGAGATGGTGGTATGGGATACATATTATGCGGCAGAGCGCTGTGGGTGGAAGAGTCATGGCTAACGGCATTCAGGACGATTACCTCTGCGACGAGGCCGCGCGCGATGCTGGACTCTGCGAGGAAGCCGACGTTGGCTCTTTCATTCTTGCTACAAACGCGTCTGCAGCTTCAAAATCGCTAATCAGATCCGAAGCCGTTCACCTCAAGGACCCAGGGGCCATCAACTATCCTATCAAGAAGACTGGATACTATTGCGTGAGCAGTGCCGCCTACAGTGCGACCGAATATATTGGAATCGTCGAGTTCCGGAATGCCTTTGGCGAGTTACCAGCTGCACAGATCCCAAAATTGCCCTTTTACGCCGGCTTCACGATCGTCTACGCCTTCGTCGCCATGGGATGGGGAGTGCTTTATTGGATGCATAGACGAGACATTCTGGCTGTGCAAAATTACATAACAGCGATCCTGGTCTTCCTCATCATCGAGATGTTCATGACATGGCTCTTCTACGACTTTCAAAATCGCCATGGACTGAATGGCGGCGCCAAAGCGCTCCTGATTGTGGTGTCAATACTCAGCGCCGCAAGGAACAGCTTCTCGTTCTTCCTGCTACTGATCGTATGCATGGGATACGGTGTTGTCAAACATGAGCTGGGGAAGACCATGTGGTATGTGCGCGCTCTTGCGCTCACGCACTTTGTCTTCGGCGTCATTTACGCTATTGCCTCCTTGGCCGTCACTCCAGAGAATGCTGGACCAATGGTACTTCTAGTCGTCTTACCACTTGCTGGTACACTGACGGCCTTCTACATCTGGACACTCAACAGCCTCAACTACACCATGAAGGACCTCGTGGAACGTAAGCAGCACGTCAAAGCCGGCATGTACCGCAAATTGTGGTGGTGTATCCTCACCAGTATCGTGGTCATCTTTGCCTTCTTTTTCGTCAATAGTTGGACTTTTGCGGGATCTGGAAATGCCGACTTCGTACCCAATCACTGGCAATCACGATGGTTTATCCTCGACGGATGGCTTCTGCTTGTCTACTTCTGCGATGTGTCTTTCATCGCATACATCTGGAGGCCGTCCGCCAATAATCGCAGGTTCGCCATGTCTGATGAAGTAGGTCATATTCTGTCACAGAAAGAGAATTAAGCCAAGACCAATGAGCTAACATTATCTGCAGATTTCCCAAACTGACGACGGTTTTGAAATCGCTTCAATACGAGATAGCATGGACCTCGACGATGATCTTGAAGCGGTCTCCGGTAATGGCAATAAAGCGCCTCCGCCATACGACGCCCCTCTCGGGGGCTCCAGCAATCCACGCAGGGATGCCTCGCCTCTACCTGCTCCAAAGCCCACGAAGCCCGCTCAGCTCCCGCGAGAATCATTAGATGGCGAGACCATCTTTGCAGTAGATGACGACAGCGAAGATGAGGACGACATGGGAGAGGGAAAGCGACTTAATGGGAAAACAATTTAGCTAAACACATAGTAGCTACCTTGCATAGCAATCGTAGTGGAATTCTCTTCTGGCACGACATCTCTGCTGGCAAATCTTACACTTAGTCACGCGAGACCATTCTACTCTGTTCTGCCGAGACTACAAGGTGAAGACAAGCATAGAAATGTAACGGCACAGAAGCAGATTCCGTGCGTTGAATTTTCGTGGCCGAACTCGAATGGAGAGGGTATGCTATGTACGGAACCGCAGCAGCAGAAGACCAGCCCCCCACCCATGCGCAACGCTACCAGAACTCCGTCAGAGGCACGCGATTAGAAGGACCCCAAGATCAATCCAGTAGTAGCCTTTTCCGGGGATAGAGTATCCCCTCCTTTCCCACTAGCAGTGACGAAGACTCGTACTTTTTTCTCATCCGACGCTCGTCGCCGCTATGCATGTAAAGACAACAGGGTCGTCGTTCATCAGGTTTAGACATTTTGATTCGTCGTAGGTGTTTCCGTTCCTTTTTTCACGAGGCAATGGCCCGAGCACCACCACGGCGGTTGCTTCCCTTGACCTTGGCCGGAACAGTACTCCAGCCGTCGTCCTCAAGCACCTCGGCGGTGGTCTCGGTGGTTTCGCCGGCAACGACGACTGGCTCTTGTGGCTTAGTCTCTTTATCAGCGACAATGGTGCCATTCGCCGGGGCGTCTGGCGTATCGAGATCTGCGGCTTCGTCGCCCTCGTGTGCGAGTACGGCAAAGGTTGGGCGCTCCTTCGGTGGGGCGTCTCCGTTCTCCTTCGCTGCTTGCTTCGTGTCCTGTGCCTCCTTTGGCTTGCCTCTCCAGCTGTTGCCACCATTCTGCTGCTGCTGGCGCGACGGTCGACGGTCGCCACGCTGTTCGTTGCGTACATCACCTGTTGGTGGACTAGCCTTCTCGCCCCCCTGCGCAGTTTGGCCACGATCGGCACGCGCGGCACGAGCTGCTCTCTGTTCTGTATCCTTGGCAGTCTTCTCCTCACGCGCCTTTGCATCGGCCTCCTCCTTCTGTCGAAGCGCCAATACTCGTTTCTCCTCAACTTCCTTCTCGCGAGCCGATGTGTCAATGGGACGAGCAGCACCGAATGGTGAAGCTTTTGCATCAGAAGGTGTGCTGCCGGCGGATTCTCCGCCCTCTGCTGTCGATACAGTTCGCTTGGCGAGGTTGAGTCGCGGTCGCTCTTTGGGCGCTTCCTGAGCTGGAGATGCGGGTGTCGAAACGTCAGGGGTCGCGGGAGCATCAGGTCGCATTTTCGTGCGCCATTGGCTGTCTTGCTCAGCGGCAGTTGGAGCCCGCTCTGGGCGCTCTGGGGCACCTTGGGGTCGCTCGTATTCTCGTCGTGGTGGCCTTGAGCCAGCATCTGATCTCCCTTCGCCCCAGCTTGGGCCACCTCTCTCTTCGCGTGGCGGACGGTCGTCGCGAACTTCTCTTAATCGGCCGCCATCACGTACTGGTGGACCTTGGCTGGGTGCCGGTGAAAGAGGACCCTTCCGGCTCCAGTCAGAGAAGTCACGGGGTTTTCCGTCACCCTCAAAGTAGCCTGGCTTGCGGCCACCTGGTCCACCACGCTCGCTGCCGGCGTCAGACATGTTATCGAAACCGCCTCCTGGTGGACCACGGCGCTCAAATCCTCGCGAAGGCTGGCGACCCTGGGAGGGAAGGTCTGGAAGAGGGCCTTTGCGGCTCCAGTCAGAAAAATCTCGGTTCGAATCGCCACGGTCGTTGCGTGCTATAAGAGGTCAGCGAAGTAAGCACAAAGGCAGAATATCATTGACGTACGTGGATCAGCGACACTGATCTTGATGTTGCGGCCCATAAAGTTGGATTCGGATCTGTCCAGGGCCTTTTGAAGACCTTCAGGAGATCCAAACTCTGCGTAGCCGAAGCCTTTAGGCTTGCGGTCAACTTTGTCTTCCATCAGTCTGACCACTGTGACATTGCAGTCGGCCAAAAAACCCTCGAGATCAACAGATGTAACATTGTAGTCCAGGTTTCCGAGGTGTGCTGTGTATGGTGGCTTTGTAGGGAATGGAATTGCCTCGCGGTCATATCGTGGGCCTTGACACATGTTAGCCGGACCGCTCCTCTCCATTAGAATTCTTCCATTCTTGCGACCCACCGAAATCTGATCCCATGCCACCGCCGCCGCCACGATCACCTCCGAAGCTACCGCCGCCGCCCATGCCACTTCCAGAGCGCTCCCATGAAGACGTCGTAAATGCGCGGCCCTCGCCTGGTGGAGCGCGGTCGCCGCCCCGGTCACCTCGATCGCGTGCGCCGTAGCTTGATGTGGGCATGGATGGAAGCGGTGCCGATTCCATCTCGTCGGCCCATGATCCAAGAGCTGCCGCGAGTATCAGTAAATCTATGCTCTGACTTCCTGTGCCCATTTTCGCTCCGTCATCTTGCCGTCGCAAATCGCGCGGGCTGTAGCCAAATCGGTGGTGGGAGGTCAGGGAATTCGTGCCTACATTGGTTCGTCAAGAAGTCGCCCAAGGCCATCTTCTCCTGCTTCTTTTTGGGCGCTGTAGATAGTCACGTCAGTCACCATTGTGTGTATTTCGTCGACTTCGTGCAAGGCCTCGCGCGAGGTGTGCCCCGCCGAAGAAGTCGAGAGGCGGGTACATACCCATGATTGCGGTGTTGTCGGGGAGGGCGTGTGTTGTAGGTGGTGAGTGTGGCGCTTTGCTGAAGTAGCGCCAAGTGTGTCGAGCGAGTCCAAAGAATCGCTCTCGTAGATGGAGAGAGTAGGTAGGTCGTGGTAGGTTGGGGTTGGAGTGGCCGCACAGGTAAATTACATCCTTGCGGCTGTAGCCGTCCCTGCTTTCTTTCTCGCCGGCAGGGCTGACTTGGAACTACATGTTCCTTATCCCGTTATCCGCCACCGGCACTCCGTGAAAAGCCTTGCCGTCGGTGAAGTGTCAGCAACTCACCTAGGTCTTCATCATAATCATTGCATTTTTGCTATGGCGGAACAGCAGCGGCGGCGTGCACTGGCAGCCAGGGATCCAACTGCTGATAACATCGAGACGGCTCTGAAGGTCGGTGTTGCTACCGGTATGTACCTTACCTATGAATGCCTTTTACGTCCTGCATGTATCATGATATATTGGCCTTTCACATCCTGCATCCATCATGCCCTTCATGCGCTACCTCCTTGTGACTTGAGCGCCACGTGCAATGCATCCCATCGAGGCTGCTTGTCCGCGAAACCAGCGTCCTGTGCTTGTAGCTTGCCCTTCTATACTTCCTGCCAAGACTCCCTGCTCGCCATCATCTTGTGTACCTACTTGAGCATTGCGTTGTTCTCATATATCACGACTGACCTGTTCTTAGCGGGCGTTGGCTTCATGTTCGGCGGTGCGGTCGGCATCCTCAAGAATCTTCCACTATCTCTATCGGCAGGTGTTACCTCCTTACAGTCCTTTGGTCTCGGAGCAGTCTTTACGTTTACTCGTCTATCTGTGATTCAAGCATGGACCACGGAGCTGCAGACTCCCACGCCTGGTGATCTCATTAAAGCCACAGCTATCGCTGGAGCATTCTCTGGAGGCTCACTTGGCGCCCTTTTCCGTGGACGCAAGAACGTGATCCCCGGGGCAATCATGTGGTGCATCTTCGGTGCCACAGGCCAGTTCATGTACAATAGAAGGACCTTGCCAGCCCAGCGCGCTGAAGTCAAGGGACCTGGATTTTGGCAGAGCATGAGTGACAAAAGCTGGACGCCCTTCAAGGTCCTAAGTAATGAGGAGTACGCCGGCATGCTCAAAGAGAAACTGTTGAGGGTCGAGGCAGAAATATCGATCATTGACGATAAGATTGCTGCTATGAAAGGACAGCAGCAAGCGGAAGTTGCCAGAGAAGGAGAGGCTGCGGCGAAGAAGAGCTGAGAGCAGCGTCACCTTTGTAACAAGTGGCGAACGAGAAAGCAAGGGTCGCCGCTATGGCTTTAGAGACTCAGTCAGTCCACGGCCAGCTGAATAGAACCGCACAGAACTCGTCGGGACGGGGACATATAGGACAGGAAGCCTTTCATTCCTGGCATTGAAATTTGGACGTGGGCACCTTGATGGAGAATGTTGGTCGCGTAGAGAATGTCTCCAAAGTCTTTCCAGATGGCGAAATTGACGATTGCGGAGGGATGTTCGTTGAAGCTATGCAACGAAGCAGCTTGCGTGGACGACTTCGACGGTGAAGCTCGCCCGTCACCGTGGCGACCCGCTTCGAGCAAACTCGCGCCCTACCAATATCAACATGTTTCCTCGGCGGCCGTGTGGAGACACAACGAGAAATTGCTACACATCCGACGACACGAACCTGGCCAACGAATCGCACTCCGTGACCTCAACCAGCGGCCATAGCACCATATCAGAGAAGCGCTCGCCCTCGTCCACACTCAGCGAACAGATTGGCGACGAAACCATCATCAGCTCGCGCGCCATCGCAGTCGCGTCACCCCGTCTCGCTCCGACAGCACGCAGGCGATCACAAACAAATCACCGCCACCGGTGGCAGCGCCATGCCGTCGTACTTGGAAGCACAAGTCACGTCGGGCAACTACTTCTCTAGGAAGCCTGTGCGTGCCAACAGCACCATACGACAGGTTCACGCACCAGATGAAAGCTCTTCAGACCCATCCCTTCACGAGCCGATAAGTCACGATGTGAAGGCAGCTCCTAATGGCTCACACACGGAACACGTATACCATAACGCCAGAGATCCCAAGCTGTTTCAATCAAATGACTGCTTCTCTCGTCAATCTTCAAGACTTCCACATCCGTTTCAGCTTCTGCCGACTACTGTCAGTCCTCCCAAGTCATTCGCGTTCGAGCTCGAGCCGTTAATGGAAAGAACCCCTGGCGTTCTGTATCGCGTTGGCGGCGAAGTGGCTTACCAGGACGTGTGCGTTGTGTACCGAGCGCGACCTCACAGCTACCGGGAACTTACAGCTGATAGACTCGGTGCCGCGTACGCCGATGCGACAATATCAGCTGAGCCGCTCACTTCACGTCCAGTTCCGGAGCAAATCACGCAGGATTGGCGAGATAGGGAGCAGTATGCGCGTGGCTTCTCTTACAACAGACAGGAAGTTCATGACCAGGAAGTCGAGCAGACGCAGGCAGTCCTGGATGTCTCCTTCTACCTTGACGCGGTCGAAGAGCAGGAGGTCAACGATCACACAATGGAGTCGAGCGAACAGTCCATGCACATCCACGCAACCGGCGATCTAATCATGAGCGATGCTTTGCCACAGGACGCAGGATCCGTTCGGCAATCTGAAGGACACCATGAGTTGGTGCAGGAGCAGTTCGATTATCACTACCATGGCTCGAATCAGTATGCGCACACCTCTAGATCACGTTGAAGTTCCCAACATGATGGAGGTTCGGCCACTAGGGAGCGCGGGCAAGGTGATCGAGGCTGTACGAGTGAAGTTCACCTTATAGCTACCGTGGATGAGCACATTCTTGTCGTGTGCGACTGGAGTGGTGGTTCCAGCATAGGAAATTCCGAAGTTGTGCCAGTGCGGAGACTGTGCATGGAAGTTGTGCAATTTGGAGACGACACTTCCTTTACTCCCCGGCTACACTGCTGCAGCGAGATCCTTCCACTCAGAGGCGCACCGTCAGCTGGAAAGTCACTTATCAGATGATTATTGTTCTGATTACTCAGTGGAAGGACACGATGACGACCCTTCTCTGTCGCACTTTGGCGTCTGGGGATGGCGATGAGTAAGAAGAAGTACATAAGTGCCAAGGCCAGCGCGAACGGAATAAGATGGTTCCAGTGCAATTCATAGGGCCTATGAATAAGGTACCGCACGGATGTGCCCACTCATCAGTCATGTAACATGTTATTGGTACAGTGTGCTCATCCTCCCCATCTCACTCTTTTTCGAGGTACAGTACATACATTACCTAAGGTAATGACGATATCCTCCAGATGAGCCCACCTAAGGTAAGGTAGTATCTTCAGCAAATTCAGCCAAGTTGAAACTGAGACACACAACGCACGTGGAGTACGGGGCACTCAGCATGCGTCAGACCCATACATATAGTCATAATGCGTATTCATGTCTAATACAAGAAGGTACTGGTAATATCAATTGACTCACGACGTAATCAAGAATCATACAGGTACCTACCTGTACCTTATCTAATGGATATGTGCATGTACTCGTAAGTGCACTGACTAAGTCTGGAATTGAAGCTGAATGCTCCAGGTCGAGGTGATGCGAATGATTATCATGCGTGACGTGAATCTGACAGCTACAGTGATCACCTCAGTAAGGTACAGGTAATCATTCAGGGACCTACATTACATACAGGAACAGGTCCCTAAGGTACAAGGTGTATGAGGTAAAGCGGTAATAAGGCACTGCTGCATGAGTGAGCGTGGGTGTGTGTGCGAACGTAGTTGTTGCCGCATAGTGATGCCCTCCATCCAGACATTCATTCATCCATCTACAGGTACAGGTACAGGTACAGATACAGATACAGATACAGGTATTCATCCATCCATCCCAGTTTTTGTACTAAAAAAAGGTTGTCTTGTGCTAGGTATTAATCCATAGAAGCCCGGACACGGCTATCCCTCCGCCGCCACAAAAGAGTTTACTGGGGGCACATGGCTATTTTTCGATTTCGTAAGCACACAGACTCTTAAGCTCCAGGTACCTACCAGGAGGTAGTCCGAGACCTTGGGGGACGTTCCGCCACTTTCTTTCTGCCCTCTCTCTCTCTTTCTATCTTCCTATCTCTATCTCTCTCTTTTCTCCTCGACATCAACATGACAAGAATCGCGACCATGGACGAAGATGCCGTATGCGGTGAAACATGGCCTCCCAGAACGACCATCGAAGATCCCCACTTCGATCCTATCGCCTCTACGACCATGGCTCACGACGACTTGCGACACCGCCCGTATCGCGTAGCTCGCTTGGGCTATTTCGAGTGCGTCGTCGGTCGCATCTGACGGCACTCGGAGAATCCTGGTGTGTGTGTGAGAGTTGAGTGACACCAAATCACCAGCAGAAATTGCACGAGCACAACCAGCCTTGCATTGCAACATCATGATCGATCAATCAATCAGAGCGACCTCGCAATCAATAAAAGTCAACTTGCATCATCGCCAGCGTTTGCCTCTTTCGTGGCTCTTTACACTTGCAGCGGGAGGTGACACTAGATCCAAACTCGACCATGGCTGTGTACGACTAATCGAGCTGTAACAACAACGTAAGTCTGATAACATATATCAATATAGCTGACGATGCGCAAAGATGTAGTTGATAACTGTTGCAGTCTCCCCGCGCCGCCAACCGGTCACAGAAAAACGACAACGATCGGGCCCACTCGCGCACAAGTCCACATCAGAGGCAGACCTTGCAGCCACAGAATGACTTCGAAGAATCACGAGGTTCAGCTTCGCTCGGCATTGTGCCGCCACTGAATGTCCGATGGCCTGCCCGGCTGCGACGGATTTGCCAAAACACTTCCTGGGGAACCCATGGATCTCCAGACTGCAATCGGGCGGATTTCCCTTTCTGAGCCCTCTGAGCTATGGTCGCCACCCTTCATGATGCAAGACTTCCACCGCGATACCCATTGCAATAGGAAAAAGACTGCACTGTTCTGCTCCATCGCCTCAAGGTCATTCAAAAGCATATCTATGACCAAGGTTATATCACCGCCAGATCTGATGACTGATCTTCAATTATTCGCAAAAAGGCCGCATATTTATTCTGCTGGCTGCGCAGAATTGGCCGTATACTCATGAATCATAATCTGGAGCATGCTCCCGTATCTCAATGCAATCCTGCTCAAACCGGCTTCTTCGTCACCGCACTTCCGCTGCAACTGGTACCTCAGCACTGTACGCCGTCAACATCATCAGCACAGTTCCATGCTGTGGTCTTCGGTCTCGTTCGTGGGACCAAGAGCGCAATCTCCAGCTGCGTCTAGGACACCCACATGCTGAGCCGACTGCGACTGCCTTCGCGGCTCAGAAACTGTGCCAGGTACTAGGTATCCGACCTGCTCGCCCATCGGCTGGTCTCTGCCGTGTTGAGCCAAGGATCTTGGCCTGCTTGTCGAGAATGATTGTGCCCTGGATTCTGGACCGAATTGAGGAGAGTTGAGGTTTGACATGTCACTTTCCGTCGATGGAGACGGGTTGTTCTGGAAGGACACACCCATGCCGATCAGGCCCATGGCCGCTGTCCTCGCCGCCTCGTTGGCCTTGTGGTTGTTGTACATGTGTATGGCCGAGCATTTGCAGCCCTGGGTGGAATCGTGGGAAAGAGCCAGGTGACGGAGACTCGAGAAGACGTCTCGAAGCTCCCGCTCCTCGGCTCTCAGTTTGCTATTGGTTGCCATGATTTGTCGAGCTGACTCTTCCAGGTCTTCGGTGTGCATCTTTTTCTTCGCTCGACACTTTGATGCCGCGACCCGATTCTTCTCTCGATACTTCTCGCGCTTTCCATCCACCTCTTCGCCCTCCTCATCAATCGGACTATCCAGCTTGCGACTCTGCACGCTATCCTTCCTCGCCTTCTTGGCTTTCGCATGACGCTGGTTGGCTGCATTGCGGGCTCGTTCTGACTTGGCATTCATCGGCGGCGCGCCGCCCGATACACGTTGAGGGGGCTGGTGGGAAGCGTTCCCAGACACGGTGGGCGAGTTGTCGTCGGGTGGTGTGATCTGCCCATGCTGCTGCGAAACGCTGGAAGCGCGACCAGCTAAGATTTCTGCTTGCGAAACCTGCAAGTGGAAGTCCTGCCGTGGCTGCTCTTGCATCCATGGCGTCGATGCTGGTGATTGCCCGAGGGTTGGATCGAGGAATATGGAGTGGTCGAGCTCTGCGCATGGCATTTGGGAAGAATTGCTGCAACAGTCAACATGGAAGGTGTCTCGACACTGGTTGCAGTTGCACTTACTTGTCACCATCGAGCATATCGAAATGCTGTGTTCGGCCATGAGTCGCGTTGAACGCATTGAGGGAGACCAGATTGCGCTCCATATCCGGGAATTCCTCATCTCCAGCCTCGTCGAACATGAAGGCTGCGGATGGCTCAAACGCCACATCTGCGTATGGCGAAATGGTGTGGCTGTACGCCCCAGAAATCTCTTCACTGGGTGGCATTGCGTTTGCGGCAAAGGTAGGCAGATGTCGTTGTTTGAAGCAGTCAAAGCGAACTGGCTGCGACCGCGTCAGAAGGAGGCCTAAAAGCCCAGACTGCAGGTCGAGCCTTTTGTGAATGCAGGTAAGTGAGTGTTAGAGACGCTCCAAGAATGCGTAGGCAGTTTTGCAAGCCTGTGTTGATGGCTATTGGTGGTGGTGGTGGTGATGGTGGTGGTGTGGCAAATGTCTGTTTAGGAGCACTTTCCGTAGGTATGTGGGGGCCAGTGACGATTGCAGGGTTGGCCGTGGCCTTCTTTCCGAACTACATGTACATTACTACATGTAATCCCTTGCTGGGCTGGGCTGGGCCATGTGAATGAAGTGCAGCAGAAGATGGGAGAAGAAGCGGGCTCTCCTCTCGTCTCCTCATCCGCCGACGCTTGGGGGGAAAAACGCTGTGTCTCCCACCAATCCTTCTCACTTTCTCACCTCTCACGTCAAAAGACACGCGAGAAGCTCGACGGGCGGAGCTGCCACCGCACACTAGCCACGATCGTCGATGTTGACTAGGGGAGGCGCCACAACTGCTCCCAGCGCCCCGCTTGAATCCACTAGTGTATAGTGAAGTGCAGTAAGCGCAATGGACGCTGTGACTAGGAGGTAGGAGATACGAGCGAACAGTTACAAGTACCTAGGTACCTAGGTACCTACGTAGTCGTCGGCATCTCGGACTCGGCTCCGAGGCCTGCAGAGACGTGTCCAGAGTATATTCTCGTAGGCTCTCGTATGTACCAGACGTGGCAGACGAAATGGATGATGTACATGCAACATGTACCTCCTACGCTCGCTTAACACATTGTGGCGCACACATCGACCTCGCCTATACCTGAATTTTCTGACGCGCCTCACCCACATTCGATAGCTGCGTGCCAAGCTAATACCATACTATAGGTATCTGATCTTACCTGACAGCCTGACCTGACCTGACCTGACCTTCATAATGTATTAGGTACAGATGGGACGCGACTGATGAAAAAACGACCTCTGCCACCTCAGCTGCGTGCCCGGACTGTTCACCTCACGCCTCACGCCAGCAAGCCCTGAGACGGAAAGTGAGAAGCGGTTACGCTACCAGGCCCCGTTACCACTTTCCACTACATTAGCTCGATAAAATCTTTGCAGCTTGCCGCTGTCACCAGGAGCGCGGTGCGAACGCGGATCGTGTTCGCTCACGCATACGCAAGAGCGTCTCTACAGATTGCCGGTGTCCGGAGGTAGTACATGCATCATTCTCATGACATCAAGGTGCATGCTTCGCTTGGACTGGATGGCTACAGATATACCTCCTACAGACCTCCTAGGAGGTACCTAAGAGAATTCACTGATGAACCGAGCCGCACGTCCTCAACAACACGTGGATGATGAGACGTTGTGGACTGCATGGCCTCAATCATGACTCGAGCGCTCGTTCTCTCCTCGTATGCTGAAAACACCCAGCCTGCTACTCTTCTTCCCTCTACTTGACATACAAGATATGCTGTGGCCGACATCCATACCGGTGGCCAGAGAAGCGTGAACGTCTCCACAAGTGCAATGAGGCCAATGTCTAAGGTAGGTAGGCAGAGTCGCTGGTGCGATGTGTGCCTGTAGACTTACGGTATACTGGCTACACGAGGAATATAGATATATAGATTGTACGGCATATATCGACCTATATATATACCTTATAATTAAAGTACATTCTACACAAGCCACATAACAGCCACGTGCCACTGCTGGCGGTTACATGTCGCGAGCTGTTCCTAGATAGTGAACCCTTAGATCGACGCCGACAAGCTGAATATACTACCTGGTACCTTACCTACCTTACCTCTTCCTCCGTTCTGCGATCACACAGGACCTATCTGATGCATTGTTCGACATATCAGCAGCACGGACACCCACCTGGCATACTTCCACGCGTTAGCAAGCGGGGACAATATACACCCTGGCGTTGCTCGATGTCGGGATTAGAGCACAGTCACTCTGCTGCGGGCCATGGCAAGTAATCATGCTGCGCTGCCGAGCAATGGCGTGCAGGCTGTGAGACGGCGGCACGGAGCGCACGATTCTGCGCTGGACGACGACGAGCATAATGAGTACGGGGCGGCCCAGAACTGGAAGCGCATCGAGGAGTTGGAGGAGGAGAATGGGCTTCTGGCGCAGAAAGCTACTGCTGCATGTATGTGATGCCAGCATTCAGGGGGACCAGCTACCTACCTTTCGTGCAATTGTCCTTCTGAAGGTGCGTGGACTGATGGACTGACTGACATTGTGTAGCTCTCCGCTTCATCGACTACGAGAACGAGTTACGCGTGCTGCGCGAAACATTGCGCTTGCAGCAACTACAGCATCAACGCCAGGGCTCTGCCTCCTCGAGCAGGTCTGATGACCCTCCTCACAGCGCGCCTCCTGCAGCGCCACCACTCGACCGACCTGGACTGTCACGCTTTGGCAGTTTCATGCGCAAAGCGTCTGGCGCTTCCCTCGCCCCGAGCGATACATCACACGAGAGCCGCCAGCATGAGCTCGAAGCGACCTTGATTAAGGAACAGACGGCGCGAATAGCAGCCGAGACGAAGGTCAAGGAGGTCAACTCCGAAGTCGAGGAGTTGAGCGCCAGCTTGTTCCAGCAAGCGAACGACATGGTGGCCGCTGAGCGCAGGGAGAATGCTGGTCTGAGGGACAAGATCAAGGCCCTGGAAGAGGAGAACGGCGGCGCCGATGAAGCACTGAAGAAGGAGAACGAGAGATTACGGCAGAAAGTTGCTACGCTCGAGCAGCGCGACGCAGAGCGCAAGAGACGGCTAGAGAAGCTGGAAGCTGCCCAGAGGAGAATCGACAGAGTGCGCACAATGTTATCGGCGCGATGAGGGATACGCGAGGGGAATTGGCTAGAATCTGGATCTAATGGCATGATTTGCGCGTTGGCTGGCACACAGCGCGGTGCGGATGGGCTAGGTGGAACATCCTGTGCTTCGCGACAGCATCACTGCGTTTCTAGTGTATGCCGGCCATACACCTAGACTGCAAATTGCGACGCAAAAGCCTACCTCCAGTTGGAAATGGCCTCGCAGCAGCAATTGCAGGTATTGGTGAAAACCTGATTGGCAAGAGGCCATTGGTAGGAGGAGATCCGGAACGGAACCCGTCGAGTCAGGCAAATCAGTCAGCTGCTCTGGCACGAGTCTGTACGCCGCGGAATTCTGGTGCATCGTGAAGCTGAACGGTTGACTGTGGAGTAACCTAGGCTCGGCACTTGATGATGGGAGCAGCACGATTGTGATGATAAGCTTTTGGATGCATGTTATGATGGGCATGGTACGCCTGAGACGAAATAATTGAAGGTCGGACTTGGAGACCATAAGCTGCTCCCGCTTTGAGTTGGAAATGCCATGTCTCCCCCATTAGGATTCGTGGGAAGGGCATAGGGACGCCACTCAGCCCTTCGGAGGCTGACTTGTCTGAAGAGGGGACTGGCATGCTCGATGTTGGTCGCAGCATTGGCTGGAAGACTTCATGGGGGGAGAATCGGGGCTTCTCACGGATGATTTCCATCAAGCCGCGGGCGGTATTCTGGACATATCAGATGGTTTCTGTCAAGTGTTCCAGACGATGGTACCCTGGTCCGCGAAAAGGCAGTCCGAGAGGCTCTACTCAGGTCAATGGGAGAAGCGCATTGGGACATTATCTTGGATACCATAGGAGGAGAGGAACCCGACTGAAGAGAAGAAGCTACTGCATTACTCGAATCACGTACTCTGGATAGTATCGCGATCTACACCAGTGAATCTGCGTCCTCACGTTGGTCAGGAGCGATAACACGGTTCGCCTTGCCCATTGAGGATGCCAACCATCTCTAGCGACCAGAAACATGTATCTGTTCATCACGTGGAATACAACAAATTGACCTCGATGATATGCCTACCTTCCTCAGACCCTTCCCATGCTGTTCGATAGGTGTGTTGTGTCACGGTTCCGGCTCCGGGTTCTGATTGCCCTTCACTGGTGACGGCGGCCCAACAGCACCACAGTGGGCGAACGAAAGAAGAAGAAGAAGTGAGCAGAAGGCTTCGTCCTGCAAATTGGATATGTGGTATTTTGTGTCTCACAACTGCATGGCTCAGCTCACTCCCCAGCTCCTGAACGCCGCCCATACATCACGCATATGTGAAATGTACATGTATGCAATTCTCAGTTTCGTCGTCGTTACATTAGCCCCCTCACTTCACTTCACTTCACCAAGCCGAAGTGAGTGAATACTCACTCGTTCCTGCTTCACGTGGGCTTCCCTTTGATTTCACCTCACTTCAAACTCCCCATGATCACGCCTCTATCTCATCCACCCTCAAAATCTCCAAAAAATCACCAACCAACCGACCTTCAAACGGGCTATCCATCCGCCCATCCACCTCAACAAAATCATGATCCATCCCACCACATCACCCAGCGCCGGACCCGCCTCAGCAGCAGGTAACAAAGGCAAACCCTCGACTCTCCAGACGATCATCACGACTGCCAAACAAGACTACTACCACGCCGCCGCCGCCAAGAAGAAGGTCTTAGCAGAAGCAGCGAAGACGAAAGCGGAAAAGGCACAGAATACTACTGCATCCACATGGTCTGGAGTCCCACCAAGAAGAGGAGGTTTCACGGATGATGCAAAGACGACGACGACGACGACGACGACGACGACAAAGGACTGCGATGGGGAGGAGCTGCGCTCTACATTGTAAATACCTACCTTCTTCACCTTTCCTTCCTTCCTTCTTTCTTCCCTTTGTGTCAACAACCAAAAGGGCAAGGCAAGGTAAAATGGATCCATCGCGAATTAATCGTGCTGACAAATTGAGTAAGAAACAGAATACCTGTGTCTAGAGTCGCCACTCCCGCGCAAGATGAAAATACGACAATGACGAGTCAGGGGTTGAGAAAGGATTCGAAGGTTGCAGAGCAGATCCCCGAAAAAGGACCTGACAATGGCGGCGGCTTGCTCGAGGATTGGAAGAATTCGTCGAGGATGGCAAAAGGGAAGGAGGACATCATCAAAGGAGAAAATGACGGCAAGGGAAAACCTGTCGGGGCAGGCGAGTTGGGAGAGATATACGACAGTGGAAGTGATGACGACCTTGGCGATGGAAGTGAGCATGATGCGAATGACGACTTCGACGATGCTGCTCGACCTGGGCAGATTGCGACGCAGTACGGCTGGTTGTAGGTAATTGGGTGAACTAAATGTACCTTAGCTCGTACGACACGTCTGGAAAGCGAGGTGGCAAATGGTTCTTCTTCAGCGAAGACATAATCTAGCTGGGATATTTGCTGGTCGCTTCGAGCTGGATTGACAGCGTGAGGTGGTATTGAATCAAAAGCTCAATGCATGGTGCTTCCAGAGCACGTGCAGTGCGGAGGACGACAGTCTTGCGTTTTCCCACTTCCTTCAGGGAGTACGTTGTACCTTAGACTAGTCGTGTAACGTGCAACGAATGCATTTCCTTTGATCAAACACTCATATGAAGTGCGGACGAGCAGAAGCGTAGCTAGCTTCAGGATAGAAGGTTCAACAAGACTGTATCATGTGAGCCGACAGCGAGGCAACTTCTCACTCCACGCGTTTCTGCTGACGAGGCTCGCGTATGCTACCTCGTATCCAGTCCGGCACGAACGCCTTTATGCCCACTTCGTCTCCGCTGATTGTTTGCGCCAGGAACCGGTCCTCTGGAGAGAATGGACTCGGCTCGGAGGTGACTTTGAGATCAGTCATTTGCTCCAACCTGCACATGCCCAATCCGACGTTCCCAACACTAGCAATGATCTTCCCCGTGCTTCTTTTCCTGCTATCATCTTTCTTGATGTCCAATCCAGCCATATTTGTAGATCCTATTGGCAGCAAAGAAGCGTCGTACTCGAGTGACGCTGGCACCGCTTCTGCACCGCCTCGCTCATACAACGCAATTGGTAAGATTCTCCTCCTCACCACTCCAGTATGATGTGTCCGAATCGTCAGTTCCTGGCCAAGATAACAGCCCTTCTTGAAATCGATCCCGCCCATAATATCCACATTGCAATTCATGGGCAAAACTTCGTCCCTCGGCATCTCTTTTTGTCCCTCTGGTACACCTCTCAGATATCTCCGTATCGTGTATGCTTCCAGACTGGCTTCTTCGACATCTTGCAACACCTCGCTTGTCCTGCCATGTGGTACCAATACTCTTTGTCCCATCCCGGGGGCTCTTGCATCAGTCAGACCAAGCAACCCTCTACTGGCACTGTCCTGCTGTCCTCCATGGGCTGTCCATCTCTCCTCTTCCTTCCATAGACTCCAGACATGCAGCTCGTCCTCATCGAGCAATCTGAGTTGGAACTTACTCCGTAGCTTATGTCTCTTCAAATGCTTGAACAGAGCCTCAGCCTGCTCAGAATCTACTTCCACTAGGAACCCAGGATCTTCTGGAGCATTGCCTAGCTGCTGCGAGTGCCATGCGCTGCCAACTGTGGGGTACACGAAGGTATCATGCAGCACTTTCCCTTGAGCAGTGAGAAAAGCCGCGTAAAAGCCGGATGAGGATCCAGATCGCACGTTGTTCGTAATGATGCCTTGCAGGAACTTGGGAGTGTCGGCGCCGTGGACGGAGATGAGGCGGCGAGTCGTCAGTCTAGCGGCGCCAGAGGATGGAGGCGGCGGTGGCGGCGGCGGGGAAGAAGACGGTATCGGGTTGGTGGATTGGTGGCGACGCGCCTGCTTGCTTTGACGAGAAAGGCATCTCGCGCAGACAAATGGAGCGTTACGTGTATTGGTCCACATGATGTGTTAACATCAAGACATGGTTGATTAATGTTCATAGGGTACATGGAATCCGTCATGCATGTGACAAGGGATGTTATGTCAGCATCAAGGTAGCATCACTACGGAGGCCCAAAGTGGCCAGCCGCCACACTTCACCCCCGGCTTTCTTTGGCTTTATCTTCGTACTACTACTTCTACCTTTCTACTACCCTATAAAACCTACCTTCCTACCTTCCTACCTACCTACCTATTCCTATAGGCTACCTTATCTAAAATTAAGAAGAGGAGGCCTAGGAAGAAGAGGAGGCCTAGGGAGAAGAGGAGGCCTAGGAAGAGGAGGCCTAGGAAGAAGAGGCCTAGAGAGAAGAGAAGGCCTAGGAAGAAGAGGAATAGGAAGAGAAGGCCTAGAGATAAGAGGAGGCCTAGGAAGAAAAGACCTAGGAAGAAGAGGCGGCCTAGAGAGAAGAGAAGGCCTAGAAAGAGGAGGCCTAGGAAGAAGAGAAGGCCTAGGAAGAAGAGGAGGACTAGAGATAATAGAAGGCCTAGGAAGAGGAGGCCTAGGAAGAAAAGGAAGAAGAGGAAGAAGAGGAAGCCTAGAGATAAGAGGAGGCCTAGGAAGAGGAGGCCTAGGAAGAAGAGAAGGCCTAGGAAGAAGAGGCCTAGGAAGAAGAGAAGGCCTAGGAAGAAGAGGCCTAAGAAGAAGAGAAGGCCTAGAGAGAAAAGGAGGTCTAAAGAGAAGAGAAGGCCTAGGAATAGAAGGCCTAAAAAGAAGAAGAGGCCTAGGAAGAAGGGGAAGCCTAGAGAGAAGAGGAAGCCTAAAAAGAAGAGAAGGCCTAGGAAGAAGAGGAGACCTAGAGAGAAGAGGAGGCTTAGGAAGAAGAGGAATAGGAAGAAGAGGCCGCCTAGGAAGAAGAGGCCTAGGAAGAAGAAGCCTAGGAAGAAGAGGCCTAGAAAGAAGAGGCCTAGAGAAAAGAGAAGGCCTAGAGAGAAGAGAAAGCCTAGGAAGAAGAGAAAGCCTAAGAAGAAGAGGAAGGCCTAGGAAAAGGAGGCCTAGGAAGAATAGAAGGCCTAGGAAAAGGAGGCCTAGAAAGAAGAGAAGGCCTAGAGAGAAGAGAAGGCCTAGAGAGAAGAGAAGGCCTAGAAAGAGGAGGCCTAGGAAGAAGAGGCCTAGGAAGAAGAAAAGGCCTAAAGAGAAGAGGAGGCCTAGGAAGAAGAAGCCTAGGAAGAAGAGGCCTAGGGAGAAGAGGAAGCCTAGGAAGAAGAGGCCTAGGAAGAAGAGATAGAGAGAAGAGACGAAAAAGACAAGGGAGACGAGAGACGAGAGACTAGAGATAGAAGATACTTAGGGTTAGGCTTAGGGTTATAAAAGATAAGATAAAAGGAATAACGAGACTTTCTAACGAGACTTTATAATATAATTTTGTAACGAGACTTCGTAATAAGAGGAACGAGAAGAAGAAGAATAAGAAGAGGAATAAGAAGAGGAATAAGAAGAGAAACGAGAAGAGGAATAAGAAGATATTCTACTAGCCTACCTAGTAGTAGTACGGAAGTCGCCAATTTTCTATATATATTATATATTATATATTATATATATATTTGTATTCTATCTCTCTCTATCTCTTCTTCCTAGGCCTCTTCTTCCTAGGCCTCCTCTTTTCTTTAAGCCTCTTCTTTCTAGGCCTTCTCTTCTTTCTAGGCCTCCTCTTCTTTCTAGGCCTCCTCTTCTCCTTAGGCCTCCTCTCCTTAGGCTTCTTCTTCCTAGGCCTCCTCTTCTTCTTAGGCCTTCTCTTCTTCCTAGGCCTCCTCTTCTCCCTAGGCCTTCTCTTCTTTCTAGGCCTCCTCTTTCTAAGCCTTCTCTTCTTTCTAGGCTTCCTTTTCTTCCTAGGCCTTCTCTTCTCTCTAGGCCTTCTTTTCTCCTTAGGCTTCCTCTTATTTCTAGGCCTCCTCTTTCTAGGCCTTCTCTTCTCTTTAGGCCTCTTCTTCTTCCTAGACCTCTTCTTCCTAGGCCTTCTCTTCTCTTTAGACCTTCTCTTCTCCCTAGGCTTCCTTTTCTCTTTAGGCCTCTTCTTCCTAGGCCTCTTCTTCCTAGGCTTCCTTTTCTCTTTAGGCCTCTTCTTCCTAGGCCTCTTCTTCCTAGGCCTCTTCTTCCTAGGCCTCTTCTTCCTAGGCCTCTTCTTCCTAGGCCTCTTCTTCCTAGGCCTCTTCTTCCTAGGCCTCTTCTTCCTAGGCCTCTTCTTCCTAGGCCTCTTCTTCCTAGGCCTCTTCTTCCTAGGCCTCTTCTTCCTAGGCCTCTTCTTCCTAGGCCTCTTCTTCCTAGGCCTCTTCTTCCTAGGCCTCTTCTTCCTAGGCCTCTTCTTCCTAGGCCTCTTCTTCCTAGGCCTCTTCTTCCTAGACCTTCTCTTCTCTTTAGGCCTCTTCTTCCTAGGCCTCCTCTCTCTAGGCCTCCTCTTCTCTCTAGGCCTTCTCTTCTCTTTAGGCTTTCTCTTCTTCTTATCTTTCTCTTCTAAACTATAGGTAAGGTAGCGACGGATGCGGCGGTAACGGCGAGGTAGGCGGCGAGCGTATAGCGAGTATATGTGGTAGTATATAGTAGGTAGAAGGGTAGAAGTAGTAGGAAGATAAAGCTAAAGAAAGCCGGGGGTGACGTGTGGCGGCTGGCCACTTTGGGCTTCCGTCCATCACAAGAGATCGCTGGACGAAGGCAACAAGTATAAAAGTGAGGAGTACAATCAAAATCATGGGAAACATTTATATTCATTCATTCTCTGGCTACTCTGGATGGCGCCTTTGAGCCCATCTGAAACCAAGGCATATCCCGCCACCCAACACCGTGAACCCTTTCCATGCCGACTCTGTAAATCGGTCGCTATGCATCTCAAGCACTGGGTATATCATGATTTTCTCATTGCTGTGAGACTCTGGCCTTCTCCAAGGAGACTGTCAAGAGACTCTCTATGTCAAGTTGTACGTCGAATGGAATAAGAACCACCACCGTGACTAGCATGTGGTGGTTGAAGTTGATGGTGTTGCAGTCGTGTCCATAGCAGCTGCAGTAACATAAATCGTGACAGTTGCCGTGGCAGCTGTTGCGTGAGCGTCATAGCTGCTGGCGGTGCTGGATGCAAGTGTAGTGGCAGCGCTGCTCGCAATACTGTTTGTCTTGGGAAGAGCATAGATGACACTGGAAGACTTGCTTGAGCTGGCAGTGCTACTGCTCGCACCATCCTGCTCGGGCTCGACCCCCTAGGACGAACCCGAGTGATAGTAGGCGATAGTGTCGCCGAACACATAACGGTTGGGCGCGGCAAGGATCGGGCCCTCGACGCTGTCATCCACAATCATGTTCACAGTGGCCTTGGTAGTGACAGTGTACATGTCGACTGTGCTGTTCTTGATGGATATCATATTCTCCTGACAGTTGTGTTCTGCAACACAGGCTTGGGCGTAGTTGTTGAAGAAACTGTACATGCCCGTGGCGTATACAAGCACATTGCGACTGTCCCTCACGATCAGGCCCCATGCATCTTTGCAAGGAACGTCATCGGTGCTAGCACCGTTGGCGCAGTTCGCAAAATCGGGGTCATTGTAGTTTGCGTTGGGCGTGAACGGTTGTGGAGCCTCGGGATTCGGCTGGTAGTATGGGGTCTCGGTTTGCAAAAATCCACCAAAGACAGCCTGCGCACCGTCGATTTGGAAGTTGTACAGGGCAGAGTGCTCAGACGCGACACCCCAGAGCCAGACTGGTCCTTGAGATTGAATGAGGGTGCCACGGGCGCTGTAGATGGAGATTTGAGTTTGGTTGTTGACCTCCAGATCGTGATCCGCCACCCAGAACCAGGTGTTCTCGAGGTAGAGACCGCCAGATTCTGGTGTAGCGTGAAACATGAGGAAGACACCGTGGCATTTGTCGGTTGCCTGGGTTGTGGGCCAGCCAGGGCATTCTGATTCGGACAATTGAGTGCCATAAGAACCACCAATACGAACGTGACTGTCCCACATGCCGCTCTTCAGAGGGTCGGAGTTGAGGTTCCACTCGATCATGATCGCACCAGGAGCGGCGCCCTTTGTTTCGAAGATGATGTCTGAGATCTCCACTTCGCCCTTGGTGTTGCTGTTGCGAGCTCCGACTTGAATGACTGGCTTGGGGTTTTCAACATCGTTGAAGGAGTCGCCATCCGCAACGATCAATGACCAGACCTCGCCGGTGATTTTGATAGTGTCAGGGATGGTGACAGTATCCTTGATGAGATAAGCGCCATGATCGAAGTAAGCGATTGCATTGGGATCGGCTGCGACGGTCTTCAAGAAGTTTGCGATGCATGCCGTGTCATCAGTCTCACCATCTCCCTTGCAGCCAGCGGCTTTGGCTGACTTGAAGTTGCTGGCTGGAACGTTCTCGTACTGCGGCTTGCTGCGACCGTAGATGTTACCGTCAGAGTCCACCAGGGCAGGAGATTTCTTAACAGCCGCGAGATTGCTCTGGGTGCGGTTGCCAGATGCACTATTACTGTAGCTCGTTCCCGACACCCACGATTCAATCTTGCCAGGTGCGAGAATCTTATCCTGGAGCTTGCTGGACCACACGGCAGCGGTTTCGACTTCAGACATATCGACATTGTCAAGGACAAGAGTGCCACCAGTGAGTGGGACATTGTCGGTGAGGGAGAAGGAAGAGTTGATGCCGTAGGTGGTGCCGCTAATGACGCTGTCAGTCATGACCATAGAGCCAACGGACTGGTTCTGCGGGGCTGCAGCCATGTCAACGCCAACAGTGCCGCCAGTGATTGAAATATTGGAGAACGTCCAGCCCCAGTTCCAGTTCATGTAGATAGCAGTGCGGCAATTCTTGAAGACCAGGTTGCGTGTCGTGAATTGTTGGCTGCCAAGGAAAGCGCCAAACTTGCCACCGGTGAAGGTGAGATCACTGAGCCAGCCGCCGGAGCCATTATCCATGAAGATGCCTTGTTGCTGGCTATCATCACTCTCGGTCATGACGAAGTCGATGTTCTGGAGAGACGTAGCTTGGGCAACCTGCCAGTGAATGCCCGTGCCAGCTTGGGTCTGCCTGACGTCCACGACAAAGTTGCGGACTTGTCTGAAGAAGTTGTTCTGATTGATGTACCAGTTGGCGCCTCCCTCTTTGTAAGGATCGCTGTCAAGCACTGCCATGCCTTGGAAGTCCGGGGTAGATTGAATCGTGGGCTTCGTCACCGCGTCCCCAACCAACTGACTGTAGTAATACATGATGATTGGCTTGCTGACTCGGTACGTGCCTGGGGGGAAGTAGATGATGGCCGGGAGGATGGTGGAGGAGTTGCAGAGGTCACCGCATCGACCACCGCTCGAGATGGCCAGGTTGATCGCATCAGTGTCATCGGTCACGCCGTCACCTTTGGCTCCGAACTTGGGGTCTGTGACGTCGCGAAAGATCTCGTATGAAGTGTCGTTGGCGCCCCAGACGGTGCCTTGTCGCGCAATAGTGGCCAGCCAATAATCGGATGCGGCAGCAGCACGAGGCTCTGCTTGGAAGGGAACTGCAGAGACTTGAACAGCTGGGAGGAAAGAGAGTATTGCACACAGGGCCGTGGCGAGCACGGCGATGCTGCGAAGGGACTGCATGTTCGCAGTGGAGGGTGTTTTTGTGTTTGTGTGTGTCTGTGTGTGTTTCTGAGGGAGTATCAGTGACCGGCACTGAGGAGGGTTTGTTGTGATGGGGATTGTCTTGTGTGCGGGATCCCGTAGTTGTGGGTTGTTGGTTGCTATGCCGGGACAGCAGGGCTTAAGTACAGGTAGAGGGGAAAAGAAGAAGGTCGTGAAGAATGAGCAAGTGACGCTTTGTTCACGAACAATGCGGTCGTGAATGATTGTCGCAGACAATGAACGAAGAGAATGGAACAGACAACACAATAAGGAAGACGAAAGAATGTCAGGGTGGTGAATGAGAGAGGGAGGGAGGGTACCTTAGTCTGGAAGGTGCCAGGGGAAACAGGAATCACGAGTCCTTTGTCCTTTAAAAGGGCAGGCGCGGGTGGAGGGCAGCGCTTACGCTGTAGGAGGCAGGCACGTCCAATGGAGGAAGGTACCTGGAGGTAGGTAGTGAATCACTCACCTCACTCGTTGGCTTGCTCAGTTTCAATGTCGTCCAATCCCTCGACTGGCGATTCGGACTGTGGGTTTCAGATCGTCGTCGTTGGTCTGCTCCGGCGAAGGGCGCGTCTCTGAATCATCTTGCATTCGGTCTGCTCGACGCGCCGTATATGAATATTCCCATTCTGTCCCTTTCGCTGCCATTCGCATGTTCAGCATGACGAACGAGGCAGCCATCATCGCGTACTACTCGCTGCTCGCTCCATTCTTTGTCTCAGCGGTCATTTCTCGCAGCCTCATGGTCCACCGTCTCGGGCAGCGCAGTCCACTGGAGAGTGGAGACGCAGCCACGTTGGGAGGATGGCGACGCAAAGAATGCAGCCAGCCAGGCCGCTCCAAACGGCTTGTGACATGACCAGCCCGCGCTTGATGATCTCGAGCAGTCACCAACAAACAGACAGACTGGAATGGTGTAGTCGTCCAGGGGCTCGCGCTGTTCGCGCTGCACAGAGCAGGTTCGACAAGAGACGTCGATTTATTCCCTATGGGGTTCTCTGACCGTGCCGCTGTGCGTCAGCCCTGTAGCCGACGGACACGGTTGGCGCTTCTCATTCGTGGGTATGCGCCTCTGTTTCAAAGCTTCACGCACTTTGTTTGGACTTCGGGCAACATACTCCCCAGCATGCATGGTCACTGGTTGGCATCATGAGGCCTCATCTCTATTAACCTGCTCCGTAACGGCAGTAGTCTGCAGAAGAAGCTCCACGCTGTCGCATAACATTAACGACCCTGCGACTGATGCCTTATTATTACTAATGCCTACGGTACAACCCTGCCTAGGAGGGAGGTACTTTGAGGTAAAGAGGCTTAGAGGCCGCTGTCTAGCCTGTCTTCCATTAGGGATCATGGGACTGGCTTCACTGACTGTACTGACATTCTGATCGATTTGGGGATCAACTGTATCTGACCTACCACAAGAATCATTGGCCATTATCAAATTATCAAGCTTCCAACCTTTCAGTGTTACTAAGTACCAACGATGTGGCCCCCTCCATCCCCAGATATTCGCAGTCGCAGCACGCTCGGCAATCGGCTTCGCGTGCAGGGATGAAACGCGTTCCTTGGTGCAGGACCTTGCTTCCTAAGTAGTTCTGGTCGTACAACCACGAGCCTCTGGCACAAAAAAGAAGAAAAAAGAACTTCGTCTTTTTGACCACGAAAGATTTGCGACGCTGGTACACCCAGCAATGGTTGCGAGCATCCCCCATCTTCACACGTCTCCACGCGTCTCTTTCACCCAAGCGCCTGCCACATACTGTATACCATACGAAGCCAGAGTACAAACACAAGGCAGCTCGTTGCGCATGACTATCCTAAGAGACACGTACCACCAAGCGACGGATGGATACCTGCAGGAGCCTCTCTACACACTGTCTGACTTCTCCACTTCTCCAGGGGATTCCAAAAACGGCCTCCTGGTCTACACAGGCAACCAAGATACTACCTAGTGTTGGTACAGTATGAAGAACCAACAAATTTGCGCCCACGTGATGCCAAGCCTTCGTGAATTCATGCGCGTCGCCTGAAAAAACACTAATGAAGTTGAACCTAAAGCGCCGCCAATATGTCCATCAGCTGTTGATGAAATAGAGTACCTCCTACCTCCTCTAGCTGGTCCTGCTCATAGCCGAATCACCTGCCTCGACGATTTACGTAACGGACGACTGAGAAGACCGAAGCGATACGAGCTGCGTGACATGTAGAGGTGGTCATCTGCAACACATCGCCCACGACGCTCCCAGAACCCGCCGAATTCTCGTTCCTTCCCTACATGTACCTGAACATCTGTTCTTTCGGCTTGCCAGATGATGCTGGGCCATGTATTGTTGTCGCACCACACAACACAAAGTCGTCCCTGGTCACATCTTGCTTCGAGCTATTACGAGGTAACGACCGACAGAATCAAGAAACGACTGCAACGCTATGCGTCCCAGAGGCCGGAGTGTGATCATGTACACTATTCATCAAAAAACTTCCTATGCCGATTCGCGTACGTGTGGTCTTTGACCTCGTCCTGCTAGACTCTTTGATTTTTCCGGGCTAAGAACGACGTGCAACGACCATCTTTCAGATCTAAAGCACCCGTTATAAACGACACGTATCAGCATCTTGCAGAACGAGATACGGAGGGACATGAGAAAACCATGCGTGCAACGAACGGGTTTCACGATCACAGCAGTGGATGCAGGTACCCGTGCGCTGCAAAGTTGGACTCTTGCTGGCGTGAATCGGAGGAGACATGTGCCACGTACGCTTGACGATGTTCGCTGCACAGCTACCAGGGACGGCCTGTATCTCCTGCCTGAAAAAGGAAGCGCTTACCTTAGGCAAGGTATTAGGAGGGACCAGAGATCTAGTTGTTTGTGGTCAGATGCAACATCATTTGCTTTGTGATTCCGTGCAAGCAAAAGCCCCCTCTAGGAACATTGCTCAAACTGTTTCTTGAACATGGCCTCCATCGCTTTCCTTACAGCGACAGCTTGAGTGTCTGCACTGTATTCCACGTCTTTCCAGCTGAGTCCTTGACCTTGCTTCACGTCGTTCTTCAGCACAAGACCATGCGCAAGCCCTATCGGTAGACCTTCAATCTCCATTGAGGCTCTCGCTGGGATCAGAATTCCGTACACCATGAAGCCCCCTTCGCCGTCCAGCTTCTCGCCTGCCCTGAGATCTCGCTTCGCAGTAGCGACAACATCGCCGGCCCAAGTCCTCGTCTGTCCGGTCGGTTCACCTCTACACATGATAGTGGCTACTGAGATGCCTAGCTCGAGACCGATCAGATGGTAGGGTTTGTACTGCACCGCGTACTGGCGAGAAAAGTGAGTAGCCTCTCGTGCCGAACGCGCAAGTGCCGGACTTACCTTGCCCGTACTATCAGTTTGCAAACCATACTGCTTGAAACACTCTCGCTGATACTCGCCCGGTGCTTCTACGATCACGTATACACCCCAGCGAAGATCGTTGTGCACAGGGCGTCCATCTGTCTCAAGGCAGGAAACGACTTCTACTGTACCTTTCTTATCGAGCATTCCGCCGTCTGCTTTAGGGCGCAATACATGCGGCAAGTCATGGGTTCCGCATGGCGGAAATAACAATCCATTGTCTGGAGGCACCAAATCGCAGCCGTTGGCAACAGCGGCCATTTCCAACGCGGATTTGGTTCCGTCCAAGAAGCTGTTGAACATTTGTGGGTTGAAATCGCCAGAAGCGAGTTGCTCCTTAGTGAAACCGTAATGTTCCCACACGGTATCGGGCGTAGAGTGATGATATTGAGGCAAGTGCTTCGTGCCTTTACCAGCGCAAATCACATCCAGCCCGGCTGTTCGGGCCCAGTCGACCAGTTCCGCGATGAGAGCGGGCTGGTCTCCATACGCCATGGAGTAGATGATGCCGGCTTCTCGTGCCTTTCGAGCAAGCAACGGACCAGCTAAAACATCAGCTTCGACGTTGATCATCACAATGTGCTTCTGATGTTCGCAGCAGAGCAGCGCGTGGCGGATCCCGGCAGCTGGACTGCCAGTCGCTTCAAGAATTACATCGATTCCTGGCGTTGCAATGAGCGCAGCCGAGTCTTGTGTGATGGCAGTCTTGCCGGCTGCGAGGCCTTCTTCAACAGACAACGAAGCTGTATGGTCGAATCGATCAGGCGGATATGAGGTCCTTCGTAAGGCTGCGACAGCTCGATCTGCCGACAAATCTGCAATGCCAGCTAAACGCATTCCTGGAGTCCGATGCGATTGAGAGATGCTGAGGAAGAGTCAGCAGTCCGAGTGACTCGCTCGCAATCTGTCTGCATCTCGCAAAGACGAGGCACGTACAACATTGAACCAAACTTCCCCGCGCCAATGAGACCGATTTGTATTGGCTTGCCGGCCGCTTCACGCTCGGCGAGCTTGGTGGATAGGCTGGTCATATTGGCGACAGTAATGAAATAGACAGCGAAAAGAATACGGTGTGGTCCAGCCCGTTCTCATAACGATAGCTGCATCGATGATTCCGCCCTCGTCACCCACCCACAGTAGGTAACTTTCTTCATACTCCGTCTACCCCGCAGGTGAGTTCGGCATGATGGGAGTCGTGACCGTGACAACCATCGGTCCGTCCGCAATCGCGCATCCCAGGCCGGACCGGTGTTGCGACAGAAGACGCGCCCTTTGTCTTGGTACATGTACTTGCTAAAGGGCAGACTTGTGCTAGTCCGCGGAGATGCAGCGGACCTCCGAGGCTCCGCTCCGCCCCGCCCCGCCCTTCGCCGTTCGGCAGGAAGCTTGGCAAAGGCGGAACTAGGCCATGGTACTCAGATATCTCGCTTGCCCGTGGCGAGAGCATGTACACCTATCTCCTCCGTACTGTGCCATCCTTCTGCGACTTTGCTGATACAGACAGCATTGGAGCAATGTTTCTGTTTTCTTGGAGATAACACACCACCCTGCCACGTACTTCTGAGGCATGGCCTCTCTGCAGTGGCCGCGAGCTCTTCCGCGAGCCGTACGAAAGCCGACAACATGGCCACCCTCTGTGCTATCGCTGCCATCGAGGAGGCAACACACCGCCACGGCCGCCACGGCCGAGATACGCGAGCAGGAGCCATATCTTCCAGAAGCAGGTACAGTTCCGCCGTCAACGAGACTCGAACGACGAGATAGGCTACGCGATGCAAAACCCTTTTCCGAGTTCCTCACCGATACCTTCGACCGGCAGCACGACTACCTGCGCATTTCCTTGACGGAGCGCTGCAACTTACGATGTACATACTGCATGCCTTCCGAGGGTATACAGCTCTCGCCAGATCGCGAGATCCTCACGACACCCGAAATATACTATTTGAGCGCTCTCTTCGTCAGCCAGGGTGTCAGCAAGATCAGGCTGACTGGTGGCGAACCCACCGTGCGCAAAGACATTGTCCCGCTCATGCAGCAGATTGGCAGTCTGCGACGGAACGGTCTGAAAGAGCTGGCCCTGACGACCAATGGTATATCCTTGCACCGCAAGTTGGACGAGATGGTTGAAGCTGGTCTGACAGGCGTCAACATCAGCCTGGACACGCTGGACCCCCTTCAGTTCCCCTTGTTGACACGGCGGAATGGTTTCAACGCGGTAATGAAGAGCATCAATCGTGTGCAGGAACTGAACAAGCTGGGGGCAGGCGTGAAGCTCAAGATCAATTGCGTTGCGATGCGTGGCATCAACGACGACCAGATTCTCAAGTTTGTCGAAATGACTCGAGACCAGGATGTCGAAGTACGCTTCATCGAATACATGCCATTCGGTGGCAACAAATGGGCGGAGAAGAAGATGCTGCCATACGCGGAAATGGTGCAGCTGATACAGGCGCAATATCCTACACTCACGCGGCTTCGAGATGCAAAGAATGACACCTCGAAAACATGGCAGGTCCCTGGCTTCAAGGGACGCGTTGGCTTCATTACAAGCATGACACACAATTTCTGCGGCACCTGCAACAGACTACGTATAACGTCTGATGGTAACTTGAAAGTGTGTCTTCATGGGGATGCCGAGGTCAGTCTGCGAGATCTGCTGCGTACTGAGAATTCGGGTGAACCGATGGACGAGCACGCGTTCGAAGCGATACGACAGATTGAACTTGACAGGCGGAAAACGCAACAAGCAGGCCTGCGCTTTGACGGCGAAGAAGGCTGGATCAGTAAAGAGCGCCAGTTGCTAGAGGTCATTGGTGCTGCCGTGAAACGGAAAGCAGTCAAACATGCTGATATGGGAGATTTGGAGAAGATGAAGAACCGCCCCATGATATTGATTGGTGGGTAGGTTCACTTCTACGTTCATATTGCATGTGTGATTTCATTTGCGTCAGGTTCAGCGATGCAGCAGAATATGATTGACGATAAGATGAATTGACGAAGCTTACGGCGCCGTGCTACAACATTTCTTTGGTCACAACTGTCGAGAAGCACTGTCGCTGACAGCATACAGGTAAGCGGGAAACAACCCACTTTTCTCCTACTTCTGTACATCCAACACTCCGCCGACACGTCTCATCACCATGGGCGACGATTCCCATGCACTTGCTTCGGGCGACACCAGGTTCCCTTCAAGCTCGACATTACTCGTCGAGTGGCGGCAATGATGATGACAGGCAGTCTTCTAGCAAGGAGGAGTCCGCGTCGCCATCTAGTCTCACCACTGGTTTCGGCTTCCAAAGCCTGAGTGGCCTTTTTGAACAGCCGAAGCGAGGAAGGTACAGTACTACGCGTGGGTCGCAGCAACAGTCTGATGCCGCATCCTCGCCGGAAGTATCCGATCATCTCGCGAATTCTAGGAGTGAACAACCTCTAAGAGTTGCAGAGCCCTTTTTCAATCGCAATAATCCAGTGACAATGCAGGATGAGGACCTATCTCGCATAGGAAGTTCTTTTTCGGCCGATGCAAGACCTGCGGAGATCAATGCTGGGAGCAGCGATGCGTCCACATCGAAGGTCACAGAGGAAACAAACCCCGATGGCTCTCTTCATGCGGCGAGCAGTATAACAACTCGGCGTCCAATCAAAGACCATGCAAAAGATGATGAAACGCCGACGGTCATTGGAGAAGCCTTTCGAAGGCGCTTCGCCACGAGCGATGACTCTGAATCGTCCAATCCTGGGCATAGTCGCACTCGCCGTACATTTATAAACAGGCGACTGAGAGGTTTTTCCACGCAGGGTACCGAGATACCTGTCGAGCCGAAACGCCCAAATCCCTTTTTAGTTATGTCGAGGACACAGGCTGGAAAACCTGGAGATGATAAGCGCATGGCACCGCGGCACACTGTTTCGCCACAGCCCAAGAATTCCTGGGGTTTCTCGAAGGGGTCCCAGGCGCATGTCAATTCTCTTCCGGAGCGGGAAACCAATGTTGCTGTTTCGGACGGCAAGTCAATTGAGTCCTTGGAAGGTTTACAACAATCTAAGGAGGATGCTGTTGCGACTAGCAATTCAACAGCCACGCCTCCACATCGACTAGCGACACACGCAAAGACCGATCCCGGTCATGTTGAGCGAAGCAGACCAACGAGCTCAGTCGAAACGAAGCCCCAGTTAACTCATGTCACTGGGTCGGGAGAAGCGCATATGGTTGATGTGGGAGCGAAGCGGGACACTCACCGGGTTGCAGTGGCCACGGCATTCGTGAAGTTCAGAAAGCCGGAAACGCTACGGCTCATTCAGGAAAATAACATGAAAAAAGGCGATGTGCTGGGAATCGCACGGATCGCGGGTATCATGGCAGCCAAACGCACGTCCGACCTCATACCACTGTGCCATCCTCTGGCCATCAGCAAAGTCGAAGTCCATGTTACCGCCCATGCACCTCGGGCATTCCAAAGGAACGGCTGGCTACCTGGAAGCACAAATGGTTTTATTGCAATACAAGCGCGCGTCGATTGCGTAGGACCGACTGGCGTGGAAATGGAAGCTCTCACGGCTGCAACAGCAGCATCTCTGACCATTTATGATATGTGTAAGGCTGTTGACAAGGCTATGACCATTGTCTCAGCAAGAGTCGTGTACAAGTCCGGTGGGAGAAGCGGGCTGTATGAGTATGAGCCTTGGACTGCAGCGATGGGAAGCGAGTGGTTCGCGGAGAATGGCTTGGTAACGGAGTGGTCACCAGGAGGGCAAGACACTCCGCCGATTAGCAAGCACGTAGTTGCTGCCCCATCGAGAGCACGTCTCGCTTTAAAGCGGCGTAGGAAGAGGGCATAGCAGGGCGCGTACGTCCAGCCCGTGGAGTCTGATGCATAGAAAGGTGGCTGAGAATCATGTCGATGCACCCTCGGCGCTGTAAGCGGATATTTGTAGATGGCGATTCTGCGGTATATTATACATGTAGGCTCGCTCATTCGTAATATAATGCGACAGCAGGCCAAGTGGTTCTGCGGCATTTGAGATGTTGTCACAGTGTGGTCTGCTTCGTTTTGCCCCGTGTGTGGGTGTATGTGAAAGAATGGAAGAGAAAATGTGTGCACGTGTGAACGCCACTAGCACGCGTCGGCGTCGCGTCGCGTCTCTCTACTCTGCACTCACTGTACCTACTACTTACCCCACCACCACCACTACCATCAGAACAACGACAACATCAACAACAACAACAACACCATCAGCAACCCATCCACCACGACACCATCACGAAGACAGCATCCATCATGTCCGAAGCCACTCCCCGCATCACCGCTCCCTACCTCGAGCAATTCTCCCACCGCACCGTCCGCATTCTCGGCAAAGTCCGACAAATCCGTGGCGAGACGGCCACCATCGAAGCCGGCGGTCAAGTGCAATTGCACTTGAATAAAGTATGTTGATATCTTTTCTTAGTGTTGGTGGGGGGGTTTCTTTTCTTGTCGAATAAAATGAATTGTTCTTGCTGATGACTGACGACTGACTGACTTCATTTTCAAGGACTGCCACCTTCAAAACAACCACGCGTTTGAATTTATTGGAAAAGTGCAACAGGATCTCAGTGTGCGAGTATTGGCTTCGACGGATTTTGGGCCAGAAGGGAATATTGGTATGATATCTCACTGTTCTCTCACACTTGTGCTTGGCCCCCTAATCTCATTCTTTTTCTTCTTCTTTTTCGTCATCTTCTCCCATCCTCCCACGTTTCTATATCGGCGTCGTCAATCTCCTGGCACATTTCACAATGAATAACTAACAAAAAATAAACAGACTTCAACGCCATCGAAGCCGTGGTAGACGCTACACACCGCTACCACGAAATCTTCTATCCCAAGAACGAGTGAATGGGAAGCTTTTCGGTTCCTTGGTGTGTGTGTGTGTGTGTGTGTCATGAGGATGGGATGGGATTGAATCATTGACGGGGCGGCGGCGCCACTCACACCCAGTGAGAGAGGTAGTCGGCAGCTACCTCAAAGGTACCCGCAAGGCGCAAAAAAAAACATCCATCGTCTCCTCAAGATGAGACCCGGTCTCGAAGCTACCAATGCCACCTTAATCATACCTACCTTACCTACAAAGGAGGTAGGAGGTATGGATGTACTTGCCGAGTTGCTGCATTAGTATAGGTTCCGGGTAGGAGGTAGGTCGAGCCCGTAAGACTGGAGAGTTTGAGACCCTGGCGTGTACTTCAATTGTGACTGTGCTTGCAGGAAAACACCGACTTTGTGACATCGTCATGTGGCGGCTCTTGGGCTTTTTCATCACTATGCATGCTTCCTTTTTCCATTACTATGCCGACATGTATACTTTTTAGAGCTCAGAAAGCGGTGTGGAATATTCTAGGCGGATGACTACCGGGGTACACAGGTACCTCCTAGCTGTGTAGTGGAAAGGTAATGGTGGTCATGTAGGAGTACAAAACACGCTTATTTTATGCAACATATGCACTATCAACTACAGTATACTACAATCCCCTACCTCCTGGAGGTAAAGCTGTTGATTTTCCCTCGTCATTGGTATGTGTGGCAAGACTTACAAGACAGGCCTGCTGTGTCCTCTCCTGCATCTGAGAAATCTGCCTCTGAGCCCCCATCCTCCGCGCTGGGCTTGCCATTTTCGACTTTCAGAGATAGAGCCACTACCTCATCTCGGCTCCGCTCAGCATGCAGCGCCTACTGCCATGGCTCTTCCGCCGCACATGGTCGGTTCGACGGAGCTATCTCTCACAATGGCCGCCTTGTTACTTTGTTGTTCCGCAAGGCCGTCTCCGATCGTCTGGCCCTTGGCCGCAGCAAATTGCTGACTTCTCTGGAAGCTGGGCGTGAAGTTGTAGTGCTCGTCCAGAATGGGATGAATGAGCACATTTTGATTGTGAATCGTCACCACACTGTTCGTCGGCACCGTCACCCAGTTATCACGCTCAAAGGTGAGCGGCTCACTTGCCACCAACACAATATCTGCCCCTTTGTCTCGGCGCTCCATCTTATACTCTCCTTTTCCAACCTGTGGCCGTGCTCCCACTATGCCATCCTTATCCGGCTGAGGCTTCCAGTCTGTACCACTGCTAAAGAATAGACTCGCAGCCTCGTCCGTCTTGCTGGAAACGTATCGTGTACACACCACGCTCTTCCCGTCTGTAATGGCAAAGTTCAACAAACTCCGCACATCCTCTCCGTTCTTAATTTCCTCGGGTAAGGAAGAAATGTAGCCATTGATCCTCTCGATCGTCTTCAGCATTGCCTTCCGCAATACGCTATGGCCAAATCCATGGCGCTGCCGCTCTTCGTCGTCGGGGTTCACGCCCCCGAACTTCTCCAAGGTGTCCAGGAAGAGCGCAAACGCCCATTCGGAATCCGTGGAACCTTGTACCACGTTGAACCACTTGTCCTCCACATCACTCACCAGCTTCCTCTTGACGCCGAGCTTCCAGCCTCCGATCCCGCCATTGTGCATCCACATCAGCGCACCTCTCGCAAAAGGATGGCAGTTGGAGTCGGAGAGCGCTCCTTCGGTACTGGCGCGGACATGCGCGAAGATGAGCGGCGAAACCGTCTTGCTCGCCAGTCGTTCCAGATTCCTGCAATTCCACGCTGGGATGGTGGAAGTGAAGATGCAGGGCTCCGGGCCCAGATCTACACCGTCGGCGGCCGAGGGAGAGGGAGAGGAGTCGGAGTGAGCGGCGGTGCTCGTCGCGTCATTGCTTAGCCCGTGTCGTCTGGACCCGGCCGTCCGCCCACTCGCGGCGGTGTAGTAGCCCACACCGAAGCCGTCGCCGTTATGGGGGCGTGTCGTGTCGAGGCGGAGTCGCGAGTCGTAGGACTGGGTGAGAATGGAGTGGGTGGGGCTGGTGATGAGGTGGGAGAGGAGGATGGGCGACTGGCCGGAGTAGATGAGGAAACGGCACATGGTCGACCTCCCTTCGGGATGGAAGTTGATGGAAAGATGGATGATTGGATAGGTACCTATGTAAGGTCAGGAACCTCCTTGATGATGCTTGCGTCGTCGAGTGGGAGAAGCGTCAGTGAAGGCGTCTTTTCTGGCTGGTCTCGTCTCGTGTCGTGTTGCCCCGTCGCGTGCCGTCTTTCCCCGTCGCGGTCACCGTCGCGGTCGCGTGTCGTCTCGTGTCGTTTAGTCTCAACTGTCAGGAGTGTGGGAGGTTTCCTGTTCCCGGGTGTGGTGATGAGGGGTTGAAGTGCGGCACCACTGCTAAGGTACTGGACATGCACCACGCGCGACCACTCATCGCCTCTCCCGCAGAAGGTACCTGAGTTCCCTGGTCTGGATCATCTCTGGATAAATCTCTGGATCTCTGGATCGCTGGATTGCTGGATCGCTGGGTGTCGCGTGGCTTGTGCACGTGGTTTGCATGGGACGGGCTGGGCCCAGACAAACTAGGTACTATAGACATCTGGTATAGAAATGGCGTGCTTAGCACACGAATCGTTACGCCATATCAGACGGCGTCTTGATAACTTGGTATATATATATATATACATATACCTTCTTCCATTGCGAGAGTCGCGTTGCGCAGGTCGAGCATTGATCGACATATCGACAAACAACTAATAATCCTGACCCGTCCGCTTCCTTCGCTGTCCTCCCGAGGGTCCGCTCCCCTTTCACAGTAATTGTGGTAATGGATTCCAATCATATCCTCCAGAGCTACTGTACCTCGGACCATACAATAATACTTCCCTGCCTGCAACCCGCCAGCAAGGTCGTCATCATCATCATCATCATCAATATCATCACTCCCGTCCTCGACTGCACCCAACTCCATAATGCGGCTGCCGACTGGAAAACATCCTCTCCAAAGGACATCGTGATGATTAAGGTGGCAAACATGGACTCATGGAGCGACAGCGATGCGTTGATCCTCAGATACCCGAAAATGCGTCAAATAACTTTTCTCTTGTTGGTTGTAATGGACTTGCACGTCCCCTGGCGGGAGAGTATGTTCGCCCCCGGCTGCATTTGATTTCTGTACAATGTCCCCATCCATCGGGGGCCATGGTGAGCATGATGAACGTCTTCTCATGCTCGGATTTCTCTCTCCCCTTTTTCTCTCTCCCGATCTCTTTTTCGCGCGCGCGCGCGCCATCATCGATCTCTGGCGCTCAAAGTCGTTTGTGAGCTCGAGCGGTTGTCGATGCGCGATCCACATCTTCGTGATAAATGAGACGTCCGAGGACAGACGCTGCTTTGCTGCGGCTACCCTATGCCGGAGTCTCCGGTAGCTCGCCCACTGACCTTAATGCTCGACGGTCCATTTGTCCAGCTTGGGTCTCAAGAGCTGCTGCCATGACATGAGTGACTATACGAATGTTAGCGACTGCCTCGTTCCATATGCCAAAAATGTATCAACTGTGAGCTGAACTTACTTGGCCAAATGACGGCCTTCTCCAACATCATGGCTGTCACTCTCATGATCTTGCTCCCATACCCGCATCGGTCGAGGTCAACTCCATTGTGCAGATTGGCTTGGGAGCCGTTGGGGTTCATGGCCAATAGGTCCTCCTGGTAGTGGTGTTTATCTTTCATGCTCTTGTAGATCTGTTCGAGCTTGTGAAGCATCTCCATATCCTCCGGTGCCAGAAGCATGACTGCGGGGACGTCGCCGAAATCGATAACATCGCGCCCAAGAACGCCAATGTACTGACCAGTGCGCTCCTGCACTGTGGCCGACCATTCTGCAAGCACATGCGCACAGTCGAGGAAGCAGATGGCTGCCTGGATGGGCAATTCGTGGGCGTGCGGATCGGAGTACGTGAGGTTGAAGTTACATGCAACAGTCAGTGCATCGGCTGCGTAAGCCGCTGCTTTCCGCAGGTGCAGCTCTCTTCTTCTTGATGCCTGATCATTGGGCATAGCTTGTGACACCCGCCGCTGTGTAAGACTCCGGTGGTCCGGATAGCTGCTCACAGACTGCCTCCGTGCGTCCGTTTGCGCTTTGGCATCACTCAACGTCCCATCTGAGAAATCATTGAACACTTTTAGCTCTTCCGCCATTTTGTTGAAGTCCCTCGACCAGAATGCTTCTGCAGTCCTGCCAAGATTGACATAAAGACGAACGTACGCCAAGTCCAGGAGTGGTATGCTGTCTGCAGCGAGAGGGCCTAGTCCGAAGGGATTCGGTCGTTCGAGCGTGTGTCGTTCGTTCGCTTTCCATGCCGCCATCCAGGCATTCAACGCAGGCTCGATGTTCGCTATCATAGCGTCCGTCTCTTGCATTGTCCATTCCCGTCCGCGATGCCTGCTGCGCGTTTCCCAGATATAGTTGTGTAGTGCATTGATCAAGACCAGACAGCCAAACGTGCTCGGTTTGATCTCGGACACCGGCAAATTGTTGCTAACATTACCGAAGTTGCCATTGTTGAAGTTGTGCACTCTCTGGTTCGCTGTGAGGAGGTTGCTCAAAGCATCGGCAAACGAGAGCGAGTTCTCCTCCACGCTCGCTAGGCCTCCTCGAGCATGCCACTCTTCCGCAGAGGGTGCCTCGTAGAGCTCTTCGTCGCAAGGAAGATCGAGCAAGATTTCGGAGTTCATGATGGAGGGAGTCTGATTGTAAGCTACCGTCAATAGACTTGAGAGGATGAAAATGCCAAAGAAACATCGCTTCTGCTCTTCCGCGATCTTCCACTTGATCCAGGTCGCGTGTAGATCACCTTGATCGCCGTTGCTCATTGCCGTATCGCCGTTCGCCGAATGTGGTGCATCCAGTGTTTGTAGATTGGCGCTCCTGGCCAGACTGACCAATGCTGCAATGTGATTGCTGGAAATCTCTGCAGCAAGACGATCTCCGCAGTGATGTCCGTAAATAACATTGAGGAGCATTGCTTGTACAAGCCACAGGGGTGTTGTGCTATGAGACGCCTCCCGATTGATTGCTGAAGCCATGTCTGCCTTGCGCCTGTCCTCAAGGTAAAGCGAGATCATCTTTTTCGCAGCTTCGAATAGGCCCTTGGATGCGACATGATCATACTCGTAAAGAGCACCGATGGCGGCCATGCCCAGGATGAGGCACTGCGGACCATTCGCGGTGACATATGGCGACGGCGCTGATGCAGATGGCGATCCCTGTTGCGGCGAGACCAAGTCCACGGGATTGAAAGTCACTGTCGCAAAATGGGTGATGGGAAGATGTGGATGGGCATACTGCATGAAAGCCTCGATGTATCTCTGCAGATCGGCACGGCTTGGAAGGCTGATGCCCTCGGGCGTGGATGTCCTCCCGGCGGCGCCAGCAGAGAGCGGAGAGCTCACGGCAGGCTGAGGGTACTTCCGTTGGTGGTGACCCACGAGAAGTGATGGCTGCGACAAGCTGTTCAAAAGCGCCTGTCTTGTTGACTCCGTGATCGAGTCCGCAGATATCGATGTCATCGAGCTTTGTCGGGCGCTGGTACTGCTCGTCATGGACGGTGAAGACATGCTCGGGCTCTCAGAGTCCACGTTAGAAACTGGATTGCCAAAATAATTCGCGCCATGGGCCTGTCCAACGTCAGCTTGCGAAGAATTGATCTGTCCGGAGCCATTGGTTTGATGCTGCATCATAGCTTGTTGGAAGTATGCGTCCCCGGTGGGCGTAGGATCCTGCAAGCCTGCCGGAGACACTGTGCCGTGCTGCTGGTCCAGAGATGGCAACCCATTTCCAAGTCCGTCCAGCTGGAAGGGTCCAGTCGATGAGTGAGATAATGTTTGATGGAGAGAAAGGTCTTGTGGCTGCCACTGAAAGTTGTTTTGCATTGGCATCCCGACTTGACTGTTTGTCATGCTTTCAGGAAAGTCACTGGGGCTATCACCACTGCTGATCCGCGAAGGCGAGGATTCGTCGACGGCATTCTCGTGGTCGTTGCCATGCAGCAACCCCCAGTTTCGCATCCAGCCAAAGTCATCGTCCACAGGAACTTGTTGGTTGATGCCAGGATCCAGGCCAAAGGGCACATTGCTTGAAGTGATTTGACCGGCTGAGCCAAAGTGCAGTGCGGCTGGATTTACTGTCGTGTTCGGTGGGAATAATTGATCGAGGTCGAATCCGGCGAAGCTTGCCTGAGGGGGCGCAGTTCGAAGCGCATTCGTCACATCCAAGTGACCCATGTGCTGAGTGTCCAATTTCGGCAGGCCGTGAACGTTACCATGATGTCCCAAAGCACTCGACATGCCGCGATAATCGAAATGCCCAACACCAGGCAGACCACCCATGAAGTTGCTGTCGTTCATACCGATGCCCAGCACATTCATACGCTGAACCTGACCCTGATCGTCGATCAAGCCAAGTGATGATAAATCAACATGGCTAATCGTGTTTGCACGAGGTCTGACCTGGTTCGAGGCAGCACCATTGAGTCCGCTCACATTGATGTTTGCCACCGAGTTCTTGCGCACCCTGCCGTTGCCATTTGCACCAGCCACACTCTCACGCCTACCCGTTCGTGGCCGCGTAGTCGCATTGGTCATATGAAGCTTCTGCTGATGCCGCAGGAGCAGATCTCGGCGGGCGAAACATCGCGTGCACTCCGGACATTCGAATGGTTTCTCTTTGGTGTGTGATCGTTCATGTCGCTTCAGATGCTCCAGTCGGGCGAACGACCGTGTGCATGTTTGACATACGTGCGGCCGCGGCTTGTCTGTTTTGGGTGGTGGAAAGGTGGGCTTCACAGCAGCGTTGGTTTCAGCTACTGTGCTGCCATTGGTCGATGGTTTGGAACCTGCGATTGCTCGCTATCAGCTTGTCACATCTTGCACAGAGCCCGAGGTTCAGCAACGGCTCCTTCCCTCTGAGTATTGGACCTACCATTCGAAGCTGAAGGGCCTGTGGTACTCGCATCCGGCCCCGGTGAATCACTCTCTGGCTCTTGTTTTGTGACCGCCTCTGCATGCATGCTCCGACTTTCGGACAACGAACAGAGTTGTCCTTTCTGCAGCTTCTCGAGGCTCGCAAGGTCTCTGTAGCGGTACAGATGCGGAGATGGCTGCTTTCGAGGTGGTTGTTGCAAAGGTGCGACTTCGCAGTTCGACAGGCAGGATTCGTATGTGCAACAGTATTGGAGAGGGCTCGAGGTGCTGCACTGCTCCAAGTACTGTTGTGGTTACGGTATAGAAGAGACGGCGATGTGCTGCTGTCCGAAGTCGCGGTAGAACTGCTCCAATGGCGGACGCGACTCGATCCAATCGCTCCTTCCTTTCCTGGTTCCAGATGTGGGCAGGTGCGGGCCTGGGCGGGCGTGGTGGAGGGGACGGGACGGTACCTGATCGAGGTTGCAGTCGTGAAGCAGAAGTGAAGACGCCTCGCCACTCCAGGAACTCCAGTACGATGAGACCGAATCGAAGGAAGAGCCGTCCTGGGATGGTATCGTTGGTGTCGCAGCAGCAGTACAGACGAGTTCAAGCTGCTCAGAGGTAGGACCTATCCCGTCGGAACAAGAACGAAGAAGCAGCTGTGCTTTCGTCAGCTGGCATGCGGGAGCCAGGCCAGGCTAGCAATAATAGAGTTCTGCTACTCCTGCTAGGGACACAGACACAGCCAGCGCAAGCAAGCGTCTAACTCTATGCATCGGCGGGCCCCAGCTGCCCGAACTACTGGATGGCTCGCGTTGGTTCTACGTTTGGCTTGCCCTCGATGCGAGTCTAGACTTTGAATAATGGGGAAGCCCGATGCTCTGGGTCGATGACTCGAGGGTATTGATGGTATGGGACTTGCGGCTACCGCGAGAAGCTGATGGGCAAGTGACTCTATGTGCTGAAGTGGCAATGGTGGCGCGAGGGTTGGGGAAAACCTGGGGTCTGGAGAAGGTTGTGTGAGAAGACGAACGACCAAGATCAAAGACGACGCTCCGGTGCTCCCGTTGCTCATAAGATCGGCTAGCTGGTAAATAATAAGTTTCAGGTATAATAATGCTTACTTGAGAGTCTGATGAGCTCGGCAGATGCGATCCAGGAGAGACGCTGTTCGCCCCAGGTTGCTGCTGCCTGCCTTGTCTGTCTGGCCGTATGCTTTGCCTGCTCGCCTGTCTGTCTGTCTGTCTGTCTGCCTTGCCCGCCTGCCTGCCTGCCTGCCTGCCTGCTTGCTTGCCTGGCTGTCTGCCTGCGTTTCCCCAGAAGAACTAGTCAGAGCACGGTAGTGCGGCAGTGGCCATGCACATCTGTGCACATCACCCGGTGACGGTGTGTCATTCACGACTATTGTTGTCGCGCCCGTCGCTGCGCCGGCCGCTTGCGTCAATTAATGCGTGGACGCTGTATGCGCGCACTGCAGCTCGACGGTGGGCGAGGATTGGCTGTGCATTGCGGCGCCCATGCGCTCAGCGGCCAACGGCGGCCAAGACTGCAAGCAAGCAAGCAGCAGGCGCAGGCTGGAAAGCAAGAAGCGGCAGCGTCGTTAGTAGTGTGGAACGCTGTCTGTGCAAAGTCCGAGGGGCCCACGGCGAGCGGACGGGAATGGAAGAGCTCGAACGAAGACCCTGGCTTGCCGCTTTTCCTCTTCCAATGCAAGGCCCGCAGCGCGCAAATGGAAACAGCAAATGTGCACTGTGCGGCTCGCCGACGGGCACCAGAAGCAGAGGGCTGCCTAGCCTGCGGTAAGCTAGGAATTGTGCATGGCCATCGCGAACCACCCCCAGGACCCCCAGGACCCCCAGGTGGCAAAGAGCGGATGGTATGTTCCGCCGTCTCTGCGACTCTGCCAGCCAGCCTGCCATACCTCCATGATCACCAGGTATAGGCATGGCCAAGCAACACTTCTCGTGTAAGGTGTGCCGAGGGGCGGGCCTGCATCATCGGCGTGGTGGAGATGCCTCTTCGGAAGAGCAATAGTAATGACAGCATCACACACCTGGCCGCAGCAGCAAGCAGCAAGCAAGCAGCAACAGCAGCAGCAGAGCCGTGACCCAGAGAGTGGATCAGCGTCGCGGCGCTACCACAGTAATGGTGATCGGTCCGCTCATCAACTCACCACTGAGTACAGTACAGTACCACATTCGCTCGTGATCCGCTCTCGTGCCGCGCAGGAGACTAGTCCTGCTGTCACAGCGGGAAGCACACGCTTTTCCGGTGTTTCTGACTGCCCTCCAGCCTCCAGCCTCCAGTGAAGTGCTGGACGCCGCGAGACCCTGCCGTAGAAGGGTCCACAGAGCGAAGAGCGAGACGATGCGATGCGCTACTCTCCTTACTAGTGCGAGCGGGTGCGTGACCTTCACCGTAGCCGGGCATTGAATGAGAGGATGATGATTATTATTGAAGGATGCATCGTCCGGGGACGGGAAGGCAAATCAGCTGTCTTGGTTTACTGTAATTATTGCAGAGCCTCTTCGCAGGCATCACCAGGTGACTAGGACGGGAAAGCCACCAGGACGCCTCCCGGCGAATGAGACGGCAGCTGCGCGGCATATATGACTCGGATGCGTGAGAGACAGCTGTGCGTGCCAATGTGCATTATTCTTCGGCTGGGCACGACTCATCTGAGCACGCACAGCGGCGGCGTAAGGTAGAGGCTTTCGCTTATACAGCACGCCTCACGCTTGACTCCATCTTGTCGAAATCTGGGGATGAGGTCAAGGGTTTGGATGCAGGCCGAGCTCCAGCTCGTGCGCCTCTAGTGCGCGTTGTCGTCAGTTTCTTCGATGCGCCGCGGATGATTGGCTTCGCTTCCCGATCTTGCTAGGATGTGCCAGCGTCGGCCGCGCTTGGGCACGCGAGTCTGGAGAAGTCTGGAGACTACAGTACCAGGTGTTGCCGCTACCCAGTAGTGCAACGTGACACAACCACCAAAAGACAAGCGTGCGTCAACGAGTATGCTAGCACGACAGGGTCAGGACGGTCACAGAGTCTGGCAATGAGAAATGAGGCATATCTCCGACATCAGCATACCTAATAACAACAGCTCTGATTATTTGATTGCCCAGGGCACGGTGCTGACTGGTGATGATGGCGATGATGGCGATGACGATGATTCTTCTGCACGCCCCAAAACGCCGCACCATATACCCCGTTCTTCAGACGTGTCCCAATTTTGCTTCAGCTGGAACCTTGCGAGAGGTACGTGTGCGGTCCTTCGCATACGTGCTGCCACCATCATGTGCAATGATCACAGTCCATTCTAAAACAGGCACACCTGATCGTCAAGCGGTTTCAGTCAGCAAGGTTGTCCCAGACTGATTTGATGCTGTGCCTGGGGTCCCAGTGATGGTGTACCTTGGAGGGTGCTTACATGACTATAGACCAGACTGGCCAGTAGTAAAGGGTGTCCCCAGCAACAGACGGAGATGCCCTGTCGAAAACCAGACCAGTCTGCGTGAGCTAGCGTCAGCACAAGCTGCACAACTTGATACAGTAGTGTACCTCCTAGTATCTACACGCAGCAAGATCGGAACATCAGGTTCTCCGTTGTGGAGCATCACATCGTTGCCGAACAGCGGCATGTCGATCATGTTGTCGCAATCGCTTGTGATGGAGCGGCGACAAGCGGCGACAAGACCTGACCAGGCTGACCTTTGAGCACGAACGACAATTCGCAAGATGCTATCGCGATCCAAGGCCAGCAGTATCGAAACGACTGGGGGCATCGACGATGCCTAACTAGCTCGAGAGCGAAAGCATATGCACAGCATCATGAAAAGCAGCGCTCGCCATGCTTCTCCCAGGACCTGACGATCGAGCAGGAACGCAGCTCTACCTACCTAACATTCGCATAACAATGGCTGCACGTATAGGTAGGTAGGTAAGAAGGTAGGTAGGTACGTAGGTGCAATTCTCGCGCGTAGGTAGGTGGATGTTCCGGTCGGTACCACCATAGATTTTCCATAGGTACCGTACATGTATGTGTGATTTGTTCTGGAGACGGTATGTGCCCCACTACTACCTCCTACATGTATCTATATCGATATCACATGTGCGTGCTGTGCTCCACATGATTATTGGCAGAGCTGTTGGGCGAAGCTAGGAACTCGGGAGAGCTGGCAAGCCGAGCTGCCATCGCAAGCAGCAGCTGAGAGTGGCGACCTCAGCGAGCATTCATTCGCAAGTCCAAGCCTAAGCCCAAGCCCACTGAACTCGTAATGTCCAGTCCAGTACGACTTTGCAGGCGAACACACCAAATCATGCATACCCGAAGACATGACATGTTGGTTGTGAGACCTCTCAGCTACGACAGACGAGTCGACAAGCCGTGTGGCAGAGGCAAGCCACGTGCTGCGATGACGGCGAGCGCAATGGCAGCGATGACCTAGCGACTTTGTTTCTTCCGCCATTTCGCCGAAACATCTGATCTGCTAGTGTTGTTGCTGCCATGCAGTCTTTCGTCAATGGCGGCTGGATGCCAGTCTGATTACAATTTCTTGAAAAAAGATTGTGTATACCTCAGGTATGCTCACAGAGAACCATCTCACGTTCAGCACTCAGCGCTGAGCGCTGAGTGCTGAACAGCCGCACGGGACATCGGCTCCACGCCAAGCCTGCGATGCCGATAGTGCATACAGTATGTTGCACCTTCACCTACATGCCTGGAATGGAGCGTCGAGATCCACCTCTCGTATGAGTGCTTCTACTACAGCCAAGCCGAAACATGTCATGCGGAGCTTGGCTTCGAGTGCACGATCTCCACAGGATGGGGCCGTCCCGGCCTTCGGTCATATTGTGGATATGGGAGCGTAAATGTCAAAGCCGGTGGGCCTCGTGAAGAAACCCGGCGGCCTGCCACAATCACACCCTGAACTGCAATCGATGCGGAGCGTGTCATCTATAGTGGAGCAGGTTCATTTCTTGTTCTTCTTCTTTTTCTTGCCGCCGCCGCCAGCTTGTTGAGGTTGGGACTGAGGTTTGGCGCCACTCGCAGCAGACGCGGAGGTTTGCGCCGCGATTTCTGTAGTCCCTTCCGCTCCGACCACGTCTTCCATTTTGCTATCTTGCGCTGGAAACCCGTTAGCAACACGCCGTTGGGCAGTCTGAGCAGCCAAGCCATACTCTCTTCCTTCTCCGGTAGGGCAGCCATCTGTCTTCCTACACGACCCAGCCCGTTGACCAATCGTCCCACTTCGGCAGCCCGATCGGTCTTGAACTTCAGTACTACGCCCGACTCTGGATCATACGCCTTGAGCGTGAGTGTCGCGCGCGGCACGAGAGGTGTTGCATTTGTGCCATCCTTGTCCTCGCCATTCGCGTCTCTTTTCCGCTTCTTCAACTTCTGCTGGTACTTGGGCGAATCAAGATTGGGAATGTTGTACTTCGTGGTGATGCGTGTCTAATAGTTCGATAAGCGCGTGGCCGAGCATGTTGACAAAAAGCGCCTTGTACGCACCGTGGTCGGTCGCGCTTCTAGCAGCAGCGACGTTTGCTGCTGCCATTCCTCACTCGTTCCGAGTAGGACCATCTTCGAGATGAGAGACTGGTAGATGTTGATGTCGTCCTGAGAGCAAGAAGGTTGATCTCTCAGAGAGCGGAGATGCGAAAATGCCTGGAGGCCTTGTCCCCACTTTCCATTTTCGAACTTTAATTCACTCTCGAATTTCACATGAAGCACCTGCACATACTGAGGCCAGGCCACCAGCCACCTTACCTATCCTATATATATATCAACGACTTGGTCAACCAGTACCAACCGCTCTTTCAAGCTGCTCATGAAGTGTTGCGAGCTCGCCTATCCCAAAAAGATCCTCAAACATATATCAAGTTTTCGTGTTGAAATTGCTAGTTTGCCACTGCAGATACAAGCATGGCCAATGCGAATGGACTACCCCCCGTGGACGAAGTGGTGGCCGATTTCGATGCTCAGGATAGCCAGATCCGAGTGCTGTTGTCAGATCTCATCAGCCGAGCGAAAGTCCTACTCATAGAACTGGAGCAGTTTCGGCAACATCTTCGAGCAATCAGGCACGAGAGCCATGTCGAAACTGCGCATTTTCGTGGCACCATCACATCTGAGCTCGCCATGCTCGAGAAGCTACAGAGTAAGCCTGCCACCGAAACGACAGGTCATGTGGCAAAGTCAAGCAACCTCCCTTTCTTGGAGACTGTATGGGGCATGGCAAAGCGGTCCGGGCAGGTAGCGGCTCTCCAAAAGCGAGTCTACTACAACAGTCCTGGCAAGTCTCTGTCACAAGCTATGTATCACATCAATCTTGGGATCAAAAGACCAAGCGAGAAGGGGTCACGAAATGCAGCCGTCACTGTGGATTTGATCAGTGAGCAAGGCTTGATATGGACCAAAGTGTCGCTTGTCACAAAGCATCGAATTCTCATGGATCTAGCCAAGCAAGGATGGGACTCTGGAGGGTCGGAAGACGAAGCTGAGGATGGTCTCCCTCCTCGCATCGATGATGAGGATGATGACATCCCGCTCGTGAAGAATGCTCGAGAGCTTTGCTCTGCGGCAGCGTCGTATCGAGTGCGAACTAAGTAAGTCATAGGTTTTAAGCTGAGGGCATTGCAATGACCCTTGTCATGTCGACCGTGGTGCACATTCGACGACAGCGATCATGACACATACGCACACACACACACACATCACATCACAGCCATGGATCAGAATCGAGCGCTGATCCACATTCGTTTTCATAGAAAGCCCGAAGTCCGTCTCATACTCCCTCGCATACGATATGGCGAATTGAAAGAGGTCGATGCCGTCTTAGATCAATGCAAGTCTGCGGGCGTAACACTCTTCTGTGGCGAAGGTGTCGTCGAGACGCCAGCCATTGAGAACGCCGTTCGCGTAATGGCACCCAATCCCATGGACGCCTTCTCCAGCACTCTCAATATCGATTGTACCATTCTACTCGCACTTGTCTCGGAGTTCAGCCACGCGAGAGTGTCGAAGGAGCCGTGGTTTCACAAGTCCTTGGAACGTCAAGTAGAGATCGAGGACAACGAAAACTTGCTCCCTTCGCTCCTGTATCCTGCACTGGCCGATCGACGCCTCGTCTGTACGCAGGAAGCAGCCAAACGTATGCGCGAGATTGTAAGCACCATTGGCACTCCATCCGAGAAAGCTCGCACTGCAATCATGATGGGCGACGACTCGCGCAAGACGCATATCGAGCTGGTCGAACAAATGCAGCAATGGTCAGCATATCCAGTTCCCTTATCATGGCAGCTGCCCATCCACATAGTGGACCAAAATGACAAGAACTGCCAGGAAACTCTACATCCCGTCGCTCTTCAAATCATTAAGAACATGACTAGCATCAATGGATCTGTATTTGGTTATGGCTGGGCCAGTGGAAACACGACCGTCACCAGTAACAGAGTTGTGGTCAAGCAAATCGAAAACGACCTCGAGAGACGCGAAAATCTCGAAGCATCCATCTTTCCCAGTCTTTGGTTGTGCCCGACCGCACGATCTTTGGTGGGAAAGGAGAAAAGAGGCGCCAAGAAGGATGTGCAGAGGTTGCCCGATCCTCTGCGTCGTGAACAGCAGCGCCGCAATGGGCTTGATGTTCTCTCTTCTCGAGAGGGACGTGAGGTACAAGACATGCGCCCCCATGGTTATCCCTGCGAAGATGTGTTGGCGGCCAAGGAGGCTGCTAGTAGAGCTTTCGAGCAGAACCACAATGTCTCTGTTCACAGTTCAACTTTGAATGGCTCTCATTCTGAATAACAGCCAAAAGGTAACCTTTCGCGACATTCAAAGGATATGCTCCCATCATTGCGAACAAAAGAGACCGGCTCGACAGTACAATGGAACGTACACATACATGACCTGGTGACCGCGCTCCGTCGCACGACTGAACAACATGAAATCAAAATGAACGTTTAGACAATAACATTTCGATCAACGCCCAACAAGTCAGCCAGTCTCTCCATCAAGTCCAGCGTCGACCGGCGAGCTCCCGAAGAGCCGACATCCATTCATTCATCCATCCATCCATCCATCCATCCACTCATCTACTAAAACCCTGGCCGAGTTCTATTACCCCCGATCGATGCCCGATTATTCAGATTGATTGGTAGTACCTATAATAGGCTATATAGATACATCCAGGTACTAGAAAGAAATATATACCTCATTGTACATAGTACATACTCCAGAGTACAGAGAGAAAGAGAGTGAGAGCCTTGCAAACCTTTCTCTTTCCCCAAAGGTACCTCTATGTACTGTAGGTATGCATGACATGCATGTGTAAAAGCATGGTCATGCCCACATTGCATTCCATGTCTTTCTTTCTTTCTTTTTTGTTTTTCTTCCTTTTTCCTTTTTCTGGGGGGGTTTTCATTCTTACCTTGACGGTTCGCAGATTCGCAAAGCAAGGAATCCTAGACTTTCGTTTTGTTACCTGTAAATCTTTTGAAGTGAACCCCCCTTCCCCTCTCCCTGGGGATGAATCAATGCTTCGACTGGAAAAGTTTGTGGTGTTTTTTTTTTCTGTTAGGTATGAAGAGAGATATTTTGTTGGGGAAGCCAAGATATGATTGTTGTACAGGACCGAAGGGATGTCGATGGTAAGGTAGTAACTTGGTACAGTAGGTACTACCTATGTAGCTACTCGTCGATTTCTGGGGGGGAGAGGGGGGTGCGGGAGGGTGGCTGGGGGCCTCTCGAGATTGATATATTCATTTTCCTTGCTTAACCCTACATTTCTTCCTCTTTGTTTTTCCCTGGAGAGTACATACCACATGGCAAGAGAAATATCATTAGGGCTGGCTTTCGGGACGGAGTCAGTACAGTCTTCCGTGATTTGAGTGAGAGTCGAGACTTTTTGGTTCGGGCTCCTAATGACCGCCCGTCATCAGTCAGTTCCAAGTCGGCCAGGTACCACCGTACCGTGTCATTGCACCAGCCCCATGCTCCAACTGCTTCTGGCCATGGTGCTGTATGTAGGAAGGAAATACCAAGACCCTAGAAGGTAGGGCATGGTAGGGCATACATGGTAGGAGTAGCTCGGAGTTCCGGACCACCATGCCAACCGTATGTACGTGCGCCTCAATGGCCCAACAGTAACAACAGCAAGTGTCTTTCAACCCATCCAGTCGGCAGTTTTTCTTGACATTGGCCACTGTTGTTGATACTGCTGCTTGATCAATAGACTTGATTTGAATTTCTACCTCAGTGGCATTGAGAGTAGATGTTGGAATAGGTATATGTACAGGTACTTTCAACCCCGGTGACGAGGTGGTTGCGACGAGGTAAAAGCATAAGACGACGGGAGAAAACGGACGATTGAGAATAAGCTTGCGTTTAAACATATATGTGCTGCTTATCTTCTACTGTGAAAACATTGCTCCTGCTTGCAATTGTCATCTGCCATGCATTTAGTCTTAACTGACCATCATGTCACTCACACAAGTCCAGGGCGGATTTTCGATAGCCCGCCTCCGATGATCTAGAGCAAGAAAGGCTGCCAGCAAGCCTACTGTAGACCTCCAAAAGAAAACTCCAACAAGTCGAAGTTCCTGTCCCATTCTATCGCTCTCAAGTTGGCCAGGCGAACATTGCCCATCCCTCAAGCGAGAATTCATTCCCAGGGTCCTGACGAGTACGGGACTAAATGTTCCACCAAGTGGCAAATTCATCATTTCCAGCTTCGACTTGATCCAGAGAAAATCGTACAGTTGGTTGCTGGATGTCCACTGGAAGGTGGCGACAGGGGCTGAGACTGCGGGATGTTTGCTCCAGTGAGGCCCAGATTTCGTCAAATGTAGAGTCTGTATCATCCGTCGGGTAGGTGGCTCCGGGAATGGTCCGGAAGGTGTCGATGGGCTGCTTGGTTGATCCGATAGGCGGAGTAACATTTGGGCCAAGCTGGAATGTCGAGCTGTTGGTGGTGGTATAAGTGACTGGTCGATGAGGTGGCTGCTGGGGAGATAGGTGAAACAGTGAATGACGACCTGTTTCCGGCAGCTGTTCGTCAGCCATAGCCATTGGCGAAGGGCTGCTCGACGGCTCGACGGGGAATTGCCAGGCCATGATATTGCTCTGGGCAGGTGAAATTCGCGGCGAATAACGATGAGAACTGCCTTGTCGTCCAGCATCACCAAAACCCTTGAATTTAGGTCGAACAACCTGCGGTTCGAATTTGAACCCAACAGTTGGCTTACGACCCCGACCGTGATGGATGTTGCGATGCACTTTATGAATATCGCGTTCGTGACGATTGAGAGTCCCCTGTCGTGCGAATGCTTTCACTGTGCCGGACGCGGCACAGTATGTGCACTTGAAGGGTCGATCATATGTGTGCTGCTCTCGAATATGCTGCGCCACGTTATGAGGGCACGTGAATTGGGCGTGAGTACATCCTGGCCAAGTGCAGGAGAATTTCTTCTTTGGATGATACGGGTCTCTGCGTTGGCAACTGGTCGGGCTTGGTGTGTCCAGATCCGAACGGCCTGAGGTGGCAGGATGTTGCGGATTGAGGGCGACTGGCTCTGGTATTGGTGCCCTTGTTGCCATTGTGTTGGGGGAGAATGGCGATGTCGCCACGGAGGCGGTTTCCATGTGTCGCAGCGGATGTAGTCTTGAAATGGTGCTGTGCAGGTGCGGTTGTTAGGGGAGAGAGATGTGCATTCTACCATCCGCATATTGCATATTTTATGGAATCGATAGCTAGTAACGGGTCTCGATGAGAACGCTCTTCACGTTCTCGTGTCGTCAAATTCTTGAGAGAGGAAAGGTCCTGTGAGCATATAATGCGGGTCGCAGCGTGAAGAGTCGAGGCTTACAAAGTGTGGCTTGTGACAAGGCCATTGTCACAATGCGACACGCAGTCTCAGATGCCAACTGCTGCGCCTCGAGAAGAGCACGAGATATCGATCCAATTCTTGCTTCTTATCTCGTAGTACCTCCTAGAGCATCACATATCCAAAAAGCCAGTAGTGTTACGCATGGATAACAGCAGAGGCTCACTGACGCCTGTGTTCTTCGCATCTCCTTTTACCTCGCGAAGACTCCCTTCTCCATTCTCGCTAGCAGTGGGTCCTTGTCTGCTTCTTCCAGCGGTGTTGGGATGTCATTTTTGCTTTTGCGCTCCGCTTCCTAGCGCATGCTTTGCTTAGCAGATGGTTGATGTTGATCGAGAATTGAGCTGAGCTTGATTCGCGAGCTATGCTATACAAGACAGCACTGCCTATCGCGGCCTATCCTATGTACACTCATTTGCACTGTAATACAGTAAGTGAAGTTACGCAACGCTCAAATACACAAACCTGTGCCATATGCGGCAGTGATAGCCGTCTTTTTGCTTCCGCCTTAAACGCCTTTTCGATGCTCTATCGCCAGGCAACGCATCTACAACATGTACCCTTCGCCGAACGCCTATCATACAATTGGGTGTCTGCCCGTGCCTATCCCAGCTTGTTGTTGATCAGTGGGATGAGTGTCTGCGCCAACCAGAAGGAGAAAGTGAGCTTCGGTCCCGTCATGAGCAGCTTTGGCACCAATCCCTTGAAGAAAGAAGAGAAACCTTCCACTCGTGCCATGTCCGAGACGATTTTCAAGCCCGACTTCTTGACCTCGAAGTTCTGGTTTTGGATTCTCGTCTTGACCACGTCGAGCGGCGCAGAGACAATCAAAGATGCGCTTGATCCAGCAATGGAAGCAACAAAGTTTTGCAACCACGAAGCCTTGTTGTAGTCCTCCAGCTTATACAGATACTGCTTCGCCGCCGCCGAACCACCGAAGAGAGCGAATGATCCTGGCGCGTTTCGTGCGGCGGTCCATCCCCAACCACGGTAGAGCGCAAAGCCCTCGTCTGCAACAATCCTCATCACACCACGTCCCCGGAAGGCTTCTGGGTTTGTCTGTCTCTTGATCTTCAACACATCCAATGGCAGGAGCACAATCTCTCCAATACCGATAATCGATCCAGCGGTTGCGTGCATGATGGCCTTGCCGTTCCCTTTGCCGAAAGCGTTATCGAACGTGCGTCCGTGGTTGGTCTGGAGGTAGTCTCGCACAAATGGCTGCCCGCCGTATTTGTACACTCTCTGCAGAATCTTGTAGGCTGCGGCGTATCCCAGACCGGGGAAGAGGGTGAAGAATCGTCTGACGAATGGCTCGCTGGCGTGCTTGCGGAAAATGACTTCGTTGAGCTGTGCGGCTCCTACGATCTTGCCTTGGTTGGACATCAACCGCTTGGCGATCGTGTCGACGGGGTGGAAGACGGCGAGCTCGGCGATACCAGCAGATCCTGCGATATAGCGTCAGTTACACTCGTCCGTCCATCAATACTGCACCCGTTCGCAGCGATATCGACGTACCAGCACCGAGGACACGAGCGAGACCCGACTCCTTCTCGACTTGGCCAGCGCCGGCCTTGGGCGAGGGAATTGACGGCGACATGTTGACGATGATAGTGGTTATCTCACAACCTGAGGAGACAGTCGCTGTGTATGCGCGATCGATGGATGTATGAAATGATCAGAAATGAAGAAGGGAATGTCGGTGGTTGTGTGACGAAGGATTGCAACAAAATTAATTGTGATGCAGTTTAGGTTCGCGATTTGACGCTAGGACCAGTACAGAACTAGTCTAGTCCAGAGCCGAGATGTCACTACACCTCACATAAGTACCTTACCTAAGCTTAAGGGACCTGGTAGGTACAGTACTTCTCCACTACATCATCACATGTATGTGCCTCTTCTGCCTCCTATGAGTCCTATCCCATTACATGTGTATTGTGGCCATCGGTGTCATCAATACCCACATGACAAACGGCTTCACGATAGACACCTCGCGACACGCTCACTGATCCTGCACATGTGATGAAAGGTTGCGGGGACTGTGAACGCTTGTTTACACGGCCACGGACACGGCCACGGCCACGGCAATGGACTGCGACTTTGGCTACGCGTGCATTATGACGACTGCTATCGATGCCCATCTGCGAAAAGGAGACAAGTGTCCAAGAGTCCAATGGGCGTGAGTCAGGCTCCGGGGAGCAGGAGAGATCGAAATCCCAAGACACCTCAGATATCCTCTGTGGTCATTCACGACTGCCCTCATTCCTCCGACACTGCTTCTGACACATACTGCCTGTGGTCCTAGACCCTACAATTACTGAGAGCCTCATCCACGAAACCCCAAACAAAACTGACAGACTTGTCAGCAGCGTGCCTCAGTGCCAAGGACAAAGCGTCTTTGGCCGAGGGAAAGGATAGTACCTTATATACTCACGATGTATTCCATAGCGTTGAAGTGCACATGCGAACTCTGAAGCCCAGACTAGAGCATGTGGTGGGTGATTCGAATGTCTCGAGGGACACCTGGTGCTGGCTTGGGTCTTACTCTGTGATACCACAGCAAACATTTTATGCCTTATACGTGCCTGCCCACATCCACCGTGACTGCGGCCACTTGAGAAGTTGTAGTCTTAATTCCCGAATACTGACTTCGTGCGGTCAACCAGCCTTCGGCGTTGGAGCGGAGCTAGCACTAGGCGTTGTTGGACTTGGTCCTGCGCTGTTTATGCCCTTCTTGCTCTTCTTGCGTTTGCCACTTGCATGGCTATTCTTGCGTTTCTCATCATTCTTGATCTTCGTCTCTGTCGAGAAGGCTGCGGGAGCCTTTTCGACCTTTGGTGGGACTGTCTCTGCCCTAGCAGCATCCGCACGGCTATTTAAACTCGACTGCTTTTCAGCGTGGGCTTTCGCGGCAGCGACTTCTTCCTCGCCTCTCCGTTTCTTCACCGCAGCCTCAGTCATGGCAAATTTGAAGTTGCCGGGCTCACCCATCAAAGGATTCTCGTCAGTGTAGTCATCGGCATAATTGATTGACATTGCAAGTGACGTCGCCAGCAAACGAATTTGGTCGTAATCTGATGCTGCTTTCGAGGTCGCCATGGTGGAGTCTGGCACCAAAGAACCCGAACGGAGTGAGTGCGCGTCTGTCCCGGGCACAACACTGCCTTCCCGAGATCCTGCAGGCGATCCAGCCAACGACACTGCGGCGGTGCGCTTCGACGTTTGGCTTTGTGGAAGGTAACTATAGCCTGACGCTGGGCTATAGCGAGGAAGTGCCAATGTGGTGTCCACAAACTTGTTCAGAGTACTGGCGGCAGAGAGCAAACGATTCTCGATGACATCGAAGACACTCGGTGATTGATAGACATTCTGCCCAACAATGAAATACGTGCCTAGAACGGTGAGCTCCCATCTATCTTCGAGGATGACACTGGGGGGCCGCACGCGTGGCCCGGGCGTTGCCCTCTGTCGGTCCTGCTTTCGTATCACATAGACGCCAGTGGTGACGCCCTGCGCCGCCAACTCCTTGTCTGCCACAGGTTGCGGCTCTTGCACAATCATGAACTCCAGACCAGGCTTTTGCCTGAGATTCTCTTCCAGTGCTTTGCGGTTGTTGCACATGGTATGAATCGCCCAATCCACTTTTCCCTGCTCGAACAGCAGCCCGTTCTTGCTACTCCATTCGAAGAACGGAGACTCGGTCATGTAGCGGTGGATCATGTTCTCGTCCATCGCCTTGCCGCCCATTTCGTTCACCCACCAGTCCACGATTCCTGGATGGGCATGGACGATCTCGTCCTTTGCTGGGGCGGTGGCAGCCATGGTTGCAGATGCAAAGTGCAGTCGGTCGTCCTCGAAGGAGTGTGCAGGAACGATGCTTGGTGCCGATGTGGTGATGTGGATGCGCTGCCACTTCTCTCTCACCACGACGTCGCCGCTGCCACGGGGCCAGCTATACAGCTAGGTAGGTAGCGACGCGCGCCTCCTGCTCGGACGCCACCTCAGGCTCTCGCTCCTCCAGGACTCGAGTGAAGTGCAGCGATGAGGCCGGGAGTGAGTAATGCACAATTTCACATGAAGATGCACGAGACAAGCTCCCCGGTTGCTGCATAGTTCACGGCTTTGGTGCCTTTCCGCGTGGGGAAGTTGTCGGTGCTATTCGAACTCTCAAGGCTCAAGCCCCACGGCCGACAGCTTCCAGAGCTTTCCTTGCAGCGGCCGCGGTAATGCCTGTGATTCGCTCGCACGGTCTCAATGTCGGCGATGAAGACTCGAGAGAGCCTCCCCATTGTCGCCAATGCACAGGGCACGCAGGTCACTTGATGCATTGCTCCGTCGTCTTTCGCCGAGCTATTGCTGCTGCTGCTGCGTGAATGGACAGTCTCGCGTGACACATCCACCGAAGTCGGGACGGCGAAGCAGCGGAGCGGGCGCAGTGGAGAGGAGAGGAGAGCACGGGAAGGGAGAGAATAGAACTAATATCGACGGAGAGATTAGGGAGGGAGTGAAGGAATGGCCGCTCAAAATGAAGCAAAGCTGCCGCGAACGCCCAAATTTCCTACGCACAATGCACCGCGCGTGTGGTTCTTGACCTGCGCCAACAGCCCCATTGGCATCTCACTGTGCACGCATTTGCTCGCGCATGGCGACTATGTCACTGCGGGTGTGCAACCCACCGAGTACGAACGGGAGGAGGAGAGGAGTCGGGACTTCAAGGACTTTCTAGAGGAGCTCAGTGCGCCATCGACTCCCGCTGTTGCCGTTGCTACCAAGGACGGCGAGGACGATGACAACAACGACAGTGAAGGGGGAGAGCGATCTGGGAGGAGAGAGAGGGGCAAGGAGAGGGCAGAGAGGGCATCGCGAGACCGAGAGCTGTGGAAGAGCAGGCTGCGCGTGGTAGCCCTGGATGTAAAACTCATGGGTCAGTGCCAGTCGGCGGTTGCAGAGGCTGTTCGTTGCTTCGGGCGTATCGATATACTGTTCTGCTGCCATTCTGAAATCGTTGTCGGAACGGTCGAGGAACTATCACAGAGCCCAAGGACACTGAGTCTGGTCAAGGATCAATTTGAGACCAACTTCTTCGGCCCTGTCAACATCATCAAGGCTACACTTCCCATTTTCCGGCAGAAGAAGAATGGTCACATCCTCCTGATGACTGCCGTCACTGGCCATCTGGGCACACCGGGTCTCAGCATGTACTGCGCAAGTCAATGGGCAATCGAGGGCTACTGTGATAGTCTCGCGTACGAGATTGCTCCGTTCAACATCAGAATGACTATTGTACAACCGAACATGGAAGTCAATGTGCTCACACATCGCATCACTTCTGCACCTCCTATGGCCTGCTATACCGACGAGAACAATCCGGCTCCGCTGTCACGCAACATCCTATCATCTCTGCTCGACAAAATTGAGGGCTCCGCGGAACCGACCACTGGGGATCAGCTGTACTCGGACGACGTCAAGAGCCTGTACGCGCCGCTAAGCAGAGGCATGAAGGAGCGACTGGTAGCAGAGACGGTGCATGCCGTTGCAGCTATTGGCGGCCATGACAATCCCCCAGCGCGGCATATTGTAGGCGTGGAAGGCGTCACTGCAGTCAAGGAGAAGCTCAAGACCGTCAGCGAAGAACTGGAGGACTTCAGCGAATGCAGTGGTGCTGCTGATATCGAGAAGACTGGGGACATACAGACTCCCAGCTGAAATTCGCCGAATGACAAGTATATTCTCACAGCTCACTGGTGATCGGTGTTTCCCAGGATTGCATGCGAGCATGTTCCCGGTCTTTCTCGGGTCTGGCCGAATGCCTGCAAGGGGCACCGGCCCTACAGCATGCGAATAGACACGGGCTTGGGAGTTCTGGACTACCTACCTCCTATGCACGAGTGCTGGCTGCCTGGCACTATTGTTTTACGTTTTACGGTATTATGGACTGCGTGCGAGACAGCTGGCCACGCCCAATATCCTGTGTCAGGCCTCCTGCCGCCTTTCGACCTTCAATTGCCGGCGCATTGCGGCACTGCGGGAGGGTCGTAGTATAATAACCCAAATTCGCCGCGTGGACACCCACCCCCACAATCGACGTGCTTAGCGCTGGAAATAGCGACCTCCGCCGCCTTCGACGCAGCCTCCTCCCGCAGCACATTCACTCTGGTTCCGAGACACACCACCGCCGACCGACCGCCCTCCGCCCCCCGCTGCGACGACTGCCCCCGCTGTCACCTCATACGCCTCGTCCGCGATACCACGAGAATATTGGGGGGAATGCTGCAGACGCGCCACGTTTGAGTAGGACCGAATACGGCTCCGAGCAGCCGGAAGCGAGAGTGGTTCAACAGGCTTGCAGACATGACAACGACGACGACAACACAACAACCTGCGGGTGTGCCACCCAGCTCGGGCGCAAAGCGTGAAGGCCATGATGCCGCGCCGAAACAACAACTGAAGCGCGCCTGTGACTGCTGTCGCAAACGAAAGGTGCGCTGTGATGGGCAAGACCCATGCACGCCCTGTAAGAAGGCGAGCATACGCTGTGCCTACCTGGCCGTGCCGAAGAAGAAAGGTCCCAAAGGTTTGCGGAGCGCACGCGTGTTGCATGCTCTGCGGCGCATAGATCACGACGCATCATCCCAGGCTCCAAGTTCTGCGGGTTCGCTCAGTCCAAATCAGACACAACCGTTCGGCAGCAACTGGGGATGGGGCACGAATGGTAGTGTACCCCCAGGCGCTTCTCCGAGTCAAGCACCGCAAGGCCAGGAGATTGCATATGGGCAGCCGACCGCCAGTGTTGCGCCAGACCAGCGGCCGTACCACCAGCAGCTGCCTCCCTCGATGCCACATATACAGCCGGTTTACGCACCGCAGGTTCCGTTGGTCAAGCATGAACCAGCACCCCATCAAGAAACGCGGCCCATACCTCCGAACACGCAGCAGTCTGAGTCCATAGCAGCGGGCAGTGAGGCACAATCGCAAGTCTTCACACCGATGAGCTCTGAGCTCTACAGTCGCCGCGCGATCACTCCTGAGGCGTTCATGCCGTTCGTGCAGCTATTCTTTCAACACATGTTCCCCATCATGCCTGTATTTGATCGCTCGGTGTTCTTGGATCCTTACCAGTACTCCAATCACTCCTCCATGAGTTCGGAGATGTACGCTCTACTGTGTGCGCTATGCGCGACTACGGTTGTACAATTAGATGAATCAATACCGCAACCACCCTCAATACATCCCTCGAAAAAGACAGACGCATTCTTTGCCGAAGAATGTCTGCGGGAAAGAATGCTTTTCGACTACCCAGAGCAAGCCACATCATTCAATCTCATGACTAGCTTCTTGCTGTTCTGCTACTACGGCAATCATGAGAACCACAATCGAGCCTGGTACTTCCTGCAGGAGAGTATCACTTTCTCCGAGAATATGAGCTGTAAGTACGGTGACCGTTCGAAGCAATTCCTTGTGCTTTTGTCCCCATCCGGCGATAAGCCTGGGGACAGACAGACTATTTGAAAAACGGTCCGCATTTGCAACAAGACATGTGCTTACCTGTGAACTGCAAATTTTAGTGGACGAGGAAGAGTTGTACGAGAAGCTGGATCCTATCGACGCACAGTGGCGGAGGCGTATCTACTATCTCCTGTTCATCACGGAAAGAGCATATGCTGTCCAGCGGCGAAAACGCACGAGACTCAGCGCATCAATATCGCTGCCTTCGGTATTCGAAAGCGAGGATCCGCAGTTGCTGAACGGATTTGTCAATTTGGTCAACCTCTTCAGCGCCGTGGACGATAGCTTCGTCAGCATCTGGCGCGGCTCGAGGAGAGCTAGTCTTTGCGACGAAGCGTGGCTCGTGCGAACCCAAAAGCAGCTCGATGCGAGCGCGCATGCGGTAGCTGTTGGTGAGATCACCGAGACACAACGTCTGGACATTAGCGTGACACGCGAGTGGCTTCACGTGTTGGCATGGCAGATGGGCGTCAGCAATGGCTTGATCTGGAGCCAAGGTGAAGGTGGAATGAGGCTAGACTACCCAGTCGAGATATCTCGGAGGGTGGTAGAGATTACCGATGGAGCCAGCCCAATTGCGCTGGACTCTCATGGCATTGGCATGGTAAGTCTTATGAGCACCATGATGCGACCAGATCATTGTAAATTGACTTCTTTTCCCAGGAGCAGAAGTTGTCCGACATAGCAGGCTGCCTCGCTGACGTCCTGCGGTGTACTGCTGGAGACACGTCCGCAACCTTCCTCGAGGGAAAAGAATACCTCAAAACCCTACTCAATCGACTCTCCTCCATGCGTGGCAAGGAGTCTCGTTACCTGAAACCTCTGATGATGAAGATGGAAGGTCTTGTTGGGTACGAGCTCCAGAATGTTACACTCCCGCCACCTGATGAGCAACGACAAATTCTCTCGTCCGCAAACAACTCCAACGCACAGCTCCCCAGCATCTTCGTCACGGCTCTTGATGGCAGGACGAGTTCGCAATGGACCATGCGGGAGAGCGTGAGTATGCTTAGAACGCTGAGCATGTGTGGGACCCTAGGGTTGCCGAGTATTGCCGTCATGGAAGAACCGAACGGGTGGGCTCAGCAGAGGAGACCGAGCGGAAGAGTATTGGAAGAAGCGGAACTCGATGTCCTGCAGCCCTGGCTGCAGGCTGGCGCGATGTAGCATGGCGTGGAGTTCAGGACATGGTTTGCGGAGTCGCATTTTCTTAGGCGTCTTGGGAAACGACTGCATGATGGAACGACTTTTTTTTGAATTGAAACGAATGGGGTTGCTGACGACCGTCTTGAGGCACACTCATATATCTGTACAGTTCACGCTGGTACTCGCTTTGCAGCTAGCTGATTATCAGATGATATCGGACGATCTCCTGACCCGGTCTGGGTGAAACGTTTGTTTTAGGCCTTTCTTATCTGAGCGCCAACTACAACTATACCCAAGCACTGACTGACTGGTTGACATACCAAGAGACACTTTTTGGTCACTAGCGAAAGAGGGCTGTGATGGCTCAGGGCGCATCATACCCCAAACAAGCCTAAGGTAGGTCGGTTCTGTAGGTGGGCCTGAGTGATTTTTTTTTCTTCACTTCGCTGAGGCTGCGGGTCTCACTTCACTTGTTGCTGTATCCCGCATAGGTCCGATAAAGCACATGTAGAAGTGAGGTAAGACTCTTGTTTCCGGTGAAGATGTCTCCTCCGATGTGACAACCTCTCCGATAACGATTCCTCCGATGACAACATGGAGATCAGATGACTACAGTACCTACTTACCTAGCGAGGTACATGTACCTGATACCGATAAGAATAGTATCGTATGGCAGACCCAGCAGACCTCTGGTACTAAGGTACATATCTTACATATCTTACATGTAGGCAGCTTCCGCACCAGAGGAAGAACCGGAAGTGGACGACATTACATGTAAGGTATGTAGCCGTGAAGGGATGACGCCATATATCAGCTGAGCACGACTGGCTCACCCTCATAGCACAGTCGAAAGGAGACGCCAACAACATATGGTTGATCGTCATAGAAAAGATCGAAGAGAAAGGAAAGGGAAAGGAGGGAAGCAGCAGCTCAAAATCGCAGACGCCATGGTTTGATTAGGTGTTCCGATATCAACACGAAAGGGTATCATCATACGACGCTCCAAACAAGAAGCCACAGAACAACAACAAATCATGCCCACAAAACACCCTTCGTTCGCTTCATCGCTCATCCATCCATCTAGGCTGCAACGGCAGTTTCCTTCTTCTCCTTCTTCCAGAACTGAAGCTTCTTGAGCATATCGGCGGACCGGCTCTTCCTCTTCTCGGCAGTAGAAGTCTTGACTTCGGCCGCGGGCTCTTCCACTGCTGCCGGTGCTTCCGCTGCGGGGGCGGCGGCGGCTATGATTGAAACCACGTCAGGACACGGCTTCTTCTCGATCTTTCTCTCTCGTTCTCTCTAGTACTGGCTAGATCCTACCTTCGGTGGTGGCCTCTACAGGAGCGGCAGCTGGAGCGGGAGCATCAGCAGCAGCAGCCTCGGTAGTCGCTACTGGCGTCTCCGCTTCGACTGCTAAAAGGACTTTTGTCAGCTCGCGATATGGTCAGTGACTTGAAGGAAAAGGTTCCAGTACCTGCGGCTGGAGCTACGGGCTCTGCGACCTTGACGTCTGCCATGTTGATGCAGGTTGTTTGGCAGGGCTGTCTCTTTCTTGCTTATTGCAGCTGGTTGGTCTTGGGCCGGTGGGAGCAGCGAATATTGTTGTTGCTATTGTAGTAGTAGTAGTTGAGTGAAGGAAGAAGAGGAGAAGAAGAAGAAGAAGAAGAAGAAGAAGAATAAAAAGAATAAGAATAAGAGCGATAGCAGGGAAGATAGCAACCACGCGACGTGGTACATGTACCCAGACTCCAGTACATTAGTTTTGAGTACCTTAGTACCGACTACACACCCCTACCTGTGAGTCTGTGACTTGTGTACGCATGCGCGCCCGTCGCCCGCCCTCGTTATCCTATCCTGACCTGACTACTGTACTTTTGTTCCTTATCAATCCCCGTAAAGCCGACCGACTTTCACCAACCATGTGACGAAACCCAATTTACTTTATTGGTCCAATTGGTGTGGTGCGTGAAGCCTGCACATGACAGCTTCTTTTTTGCACGGTCCGATCTCACCAGGATTTGCGATACCCCCGTCGTAACAATCGGCTATTGTGCCTACGTACTGTATCTATGCAGATCGTGCTGCTGCTGCTGACTTTTTGTGCGACGGGGGGAAGATTACGATATTTTTTCGTATTCTGAGCTCGTGTGGAGTGGGGAGGGAGGGGCGTGAGTTGCTTTCGGAGCGTGACTTGTGGTGTGTGTGCGAGTGTTTATGCGCTGCGGTGTGACGGAGGGATGGACCACCACAGCGGCAACCGGTGACTCGTTTCGGGACGGTGGTGGTGTTGGTGTTGGTGGTGCTGGTGGTGATGATGGTGATGGTGGTGATGGTGATGGTGGTGTCGGTATCGGTGATGGCGGCGACCGGCGAGAGCGAGGGAGGGGAGGAGAAGTAGCTCTAGGCCAGCCAGACAACCAGAGTGTGCGTGTTCGGCAGTCCCCGCGGGACCTCGATAACGTTTTACGCAGGAGTTCTATCTCCCAGTACCTCCTAGGAGAAAGGAGGGAGGGAGGAAGGGAGGGAGGGAGTGGGAGGGAGGAGCGGTGCGCGAAGACCGACCGGAATAGTTTAATGTGCAAGAAACAGGGGCTCCCGTCGGAGTGCTGACCGTCTCTGGACGTGTGACTAACATGATCCCATACAACACCGTCAGTCAACACCGTCAATACGGTCAACAAGGTACGGTCAACACGGTCAACGATCAACTGCATCGGACCACATGAGATTCGGGGGAGACAAGGACCTCAAGGGAGCCCCATGATGAGACTCCTGAGTGTCTTGGGCGATACGCCCTGTTTATTCTCCGTTCGATCGCCCTAGGAGAATTTCTGGTACTATATTCTATATTATCTGTCGTTCTTGATTGGGATAGATGAACACGTTCCCCACAGTATCATCGACGACGGCGCCAGGAGGAAATTCCCCATCTGCGGGAACACGTCCGAATGCACGGGAAGCTGCACGGGAAATAGGCACAGCACACCAACGCAGAAGCATCCATCCTTCATCGACGGTCAACGGTCAACGGTCCACGGTCAAGCACAAATCGGCGCGGCTTCATTCTGCTGCCGTCACTGTGCACGTACAAGTACAGTAGGAGGTAGTCGAAGTGAGTAGAACGAGAACATACAGCCCTGAACTAGCCGAAAGGAGTAGAACGAGAACAGACAGACTCATCCCCTTCGGTGCCAGACTCTGCAAAACTCCATCGGATGCAGTAGTCCTCTCACTCATGAATATCATCTCCTGACGCTGCTCGAGCGTACCTGCATCAACTCCCTCGGCTCCAGAAGTCCAGATCCTCCAGCCTGTTCTGGTTGGCACAAGTCCGTCGCGCTGTGGAACACTGCGATTGGTGCTGCTCGCTTGCTCGATGAAACTCTTCGCTACGCCACCCACAGCTCCGCAATGCTATATATGCAGCTTGGCGCCGAAGACTTTGCAATATGGACGACGCTCCTGATCATTTACTCGACAACATCCTCTCGCGTGCACTGTATAGTGGAAGTGGGGTTGGGAATGGCATTCCTGAGTGAACGGTGAGCGCCTCCGATGCCGTCCATCTCGTCCATATAAGACCCCAACTGTTCCTTCGTCTCTCCTTCTCCCAAGCCATTGTCTCTTCTCCTGTTCGCTGTGCAGCATTGTCCTTTGATCACATTCTTTTGCAAGTATCCTGGTGATACTGTCCATTCATTTCTTACGGCTTCCACGAACGGCACGACAGCTATTCTTACCACCAGATTCTTTCTGCATATCAATCCCTCTTCCAGCAAGCACCATGTCTGCACTCCAGATCACCGCCATTCTCGGCTCCTTGGCCAGCTCTGTGGCGGCTCACGGCTACGTCTCTGGCTTCGTCGCGGGCGGAACTTGGTACTCTGGCTATAGCCCTTCCTTCCAATACCAGAATCCACCTCCAACAGTCGCCGGCTGGAGTGACCCAGAGAACCTGGCCAATGGCTATGTCGCTCCGACCGCATACGGCGATGCAGATATCGTCTGCCATCTCTCCGCGACCCCTGGTGGCACCGCTGCTCAGATCAAGGCGGGCGATCAAGTCGAACTGCAGTGGACTACGTGGCCCGATTCGCATCACGGACCGGTGCTGGACTATCTTGCAAAGGTCGACGGAGAGTTTGCTGATATCGATAAGACTGCACTCAACTTCTTCAAGATTGATGAGCGAGGACTGGTCGATTCCAGCGCAGCTCCCGGCAAGTGGGCGTCTGATGAGCTGATTGCCAACAACAACTCTTGGGCTGTGACCATTCCCTCTTCGATTGCTCCAGGAAAATACGTCCTTCGTCACGAGATCATTGCTCTGCACTCCGCCGGCGACGCCAATGGCGCTCAGAACTACCCACAGTGTATCAACCTCGAGATCACATCGGACGGCACTGACACTCCTGCTGGTCAGGTCGCTACATCCTTCTACAAGGCAGAGGACCCCGGCATCAAGATCAACATCTACAACCCACTCGCCTCATACACTATTCCCGGCCCCGCCTTGTGGTCCGCAGCTGCTCCAGTCAACCAGATCCCCGCTGCGATTTCGTCTTCTGTTCCGCTCGCGTCGTCAGGCAGCGCAGCAGCTTCCTCTTACATGCCAGCCAGCACGACCGCTTCCGCCTCTTCCCTTAGCATCCATACGTCGTACTCCAACACCACATACTCTGCAACCGCATACCCCAGCTCCGCTCCCGCAGCTTCTACCGCAACCCCAGAAGCGTCGTACACGACCGTAGCCGCGGCATCCAGCGCCGCCTACGCCACTTCCGAAGCGACATCGACGGGAACACCGACCTTTTACTACTCCGACGTCGCCTCTTCCACTTCTGCCTATCCTACCGCTAGCGCTACTTCTGCTGCCTCTTATCCTTCTACTCCTACCACCACTCCCTCGTCCGATCCAGCAAGTGGATATGGCCAGCAGCCGGAAAAGACTCTCCCAGCGGACTGGACATTGACTGATATGCAGCAGTGGGTCACATATCTGCTGGACCAAGGCTGGAATGCGAGTCGCAAGCATGCGAGGGATTTCCGTGCCTAGGTGGAGGAAGGAATCAAGTCCAACATGAGGAGGTACCTTACATGTATGCAGTCGGGGGTGGAGGTCGTTTTGCCAAGACGCAAGTTTTGAGCTGCTGCAAGTGGTTTCTTAGGTTCTTGAGAAGATTTGATCAGTCAAGGGATGGACACGGACGGTATATTGATCGCGCAAATTTACAGTACGTACCTAGGTAGACATGCCTTCGTCCCCACCCAAGAGCAACCAGGAGGATACATATAGGGAGGACGTGTACAGCTAGGCCCATCGTCTTACTTTCTTCAATGTAAATTTTCCCACATTGCGGACAGCAGAAAAGTCTCATGTACATGTAGGCAGGGGGGCTTCGAAGATGAAAAGTCCTGTTTCTGTATGTACCTACTACTTCCTCTTCAAATAGATATACATCCATTCACACCAAAGTACATCTACACATGCATATACACCTACAAGTCTGCGTGCAGAGACATGTTTTCACCTCCCTGCATAAGCATCGTATGGAGGCCATCCTTGTCTCTACGTTCCTGCATCAAAGCGCGATACTATATGAATACCTGATATTAGCACAGTCATCTCGAAGCGGTACAGCATTGAAAGAAGCACGACTCACCTTGAAGGCAAAATTCAAACATAGAGCTACAATCAACCCGACACAGACCACCACCGGGCCCGCAACAGCATCGAAATCTTTCCCGCTCCTCTTCGTGATCAAGGTATACCTCCACATGTATATTCCGTAGCCCCAGGCAGCTGCAAAGACCGCAACAAGCGTGTAGACAATGCCAAGCGCTTGACCAACCTTGTTGTGCGGACCAGCAGCGTTGAAGAGACCCAGAGAAAGAGATGCCAGGAGCACCGAAACATGCATCCACTTGATGAATGTACGCTGGTTGGCGAGCCAGACCTTGGCTTCGACTTTGATTGGTCCTTGATCTTTGATCCAGTATTCTGGTTTCGAGACTCCAGGAGGCAGTTGGACTTTGTCGCGTTTGGCTTGAGCATATTTACTGGTACTGAAAGTTGGGAATAAGCTCTTCAGTCCATTTGGACGTGCGGAGCCGTTTTGATTTCCCTGTCGAACCACTGTGGTGCCCGTTTCGTCGTCCTCGGGCTCTTCCACAACATCGTCCATTTGTGTCGGCGCAGCGACACTGCGACTGACTTCTGCACTGCCGAGCCGGTTGGTGAAGCTACCGGAAGAGTGTTTGTTCGCCGTATCCGCAGGAGACCCAACGGGACTAATGATGGCCTGTGACGGAGAGCGTTGGTAAGAAGCACTGCGGTGGCCCGGACTACTTCCATACTTGGACTTCAGCAGCGAGCCAACAGCAGCTTCATCGTCCTGTTCCCTCTGCCTCCTTGCCAGCTCTTCTTCAAACGCTTCCTGGGGGTCGCGACGAATGTCTGTTTCCGTCTCGCCCAGCCAGAATGGGAAAGTGTTGACATAGTCCTCGAATAGTGTGCTGACACCGTGAACGAATTTGCTGAATCGCGGCGCCTCTTTGACGAGATGGCTGTTCGTGATGTCCTCGATCCATTCGGTGCTCTTCATGCCTGGCGTATTACGCAGCTTGACTTCGAGCAGCGCGAACGGGAATCGGCTGATTTCGCCCTTCCGAATGGACGTGAACGGATACTCGAGCTCATTGTTGTCGATGTCGGAACGGTGCCATGAATCAGGATCTCTGCAGGGACGTCCAGTGTCCACTGCATCTTCGCGAATGAAAGCCAAGTCGGTATCAAGACTGATGCGTACACGATCGTCTCCTGGAATCTGGAAAGCAGTACGAGTGTAGTTGGCGCGCAGGACTGGCTGTATGTCATGCTCCTTGATGAACTGCTGCACGTCGCTCACAGCGGACTTCAAGTTGCGCGCCTCCGAGCTCTCCGCACCAGCCCGATCTTCGAGCTTCTTGATCTGCTTCTCCATGTGATATTCGCCTTCTATGAAAGGCTGCACATACTTGGCTTTGGTGGCAAAGCGGGCCTCTGAGCTCCGCTCGTCTTCTGTAACAGTCTTCTTCTCGATCCATATCTCAGGGCGGTCATTAAGCTGACCATACCACCGAAGCCGAAGTGAAGAACCCGAGTTATTAACCACCTTGTTAGAGTAGAGCGCAAAAGCGGAGTTATCAAAGTAAATGCTGGTTATGGAAGGGTCAGGCTGATTGCCCTCGGCGACCTTTGAGGTTTGCGGATTGTAAACGAGCACGGGCAGACGTCGCAGAATGATAGTCTTGACCTCTAACAGGTTATCCGGGTGGACCCAGAACTTCTTGCTGATGTATTCTTCCCGGCCTTGTTCATTCTCGCTCGCCTTGTATGTCTGGTCAGTGGCCTCCAGCTTGTTCCGGACGAAACTGTACATGGCACTGAGGCGGAACAGCAGCGGGCCATAGTCCTCTTTATTGAATGGCAAAGCCGCCAGACGCACCTGAAGCAGTGGTCGTACGCGGTATGCACCACCTCGCTTCCGATCGTGCTTCTTAGCCGCTTTCAGGAAACCAGTGTAGTTGATACGGCTGTACTTTTCGAGCTCATTCGTCTCCTTGGTGATGTGGTCCAGCTCTTTCAGCACGTCATGCAGGATGTTCTTTTGCTCGGCCTCACTGGGCATGGGCTTCTTGCCCTTGCCATTGCCATTGCCATTACCATTACCATTACCATTACCCTCCGCCGCTGTCTCTCCAGTCTCAGCGGCGGCAATGGTGTCCAGCTTGGCCTCGCACTTGGCAGTGCGGTCGCGCAGCTTCTCGACCGTGTCCTGATGGAACTTGTGCACCTTCTCCAGCTGCACATTCACGAGCTCGTCGACAAACCTGCTCTCGTCGTCGTCGGTCCACTTGTCGGGCGCAGGAGCAGTCTCGGCGAGCGGTGAGTTGGGGGCGCTATCGTCATCGCGGAGGAGTTTCTTGAGCTTGGAGTAGTCAATGTAGTTGTCCTTCCATGGGCCGTAGCGAGTGAGGTCCAAGGTCTTCCCGAAGCGCATCTTGTGGTATGCAGGCGTGCAGAAGCTGTCAGGCAGAGGCTGCGAGCATTGGGTACCACCGTACGGTACTGTATTAGCAGAGAAGGAAGGGCAGTTGCAACAACAACGATGACTAGGAAGACAAGCTTTGCTTCCGACGACTAGAATTACCGTAACCTTTCAGTCCATATACAATGATACATAGGTAAGGTACTGACAATAATAATAAGGTATAACTGTACTGCGTCTGCCGCCGTGACAACCTCGAAACACCCTAGTACAGAAGCTTCTGAAGGCCCCACCCGCAGCAGCGCAAAGCTGGTTGTGCCAATGAAAATGCCGATGGATCCCATGTGATCGAGCAGGGCACGGGCTGCGACTGAATCTGATGACGGACCCCGTCAAATCGTCGTCAATATCTCACCTCTGCATTGATTAATGCGACGGTGCCATTCATTGACCTTGTCTTGAAATACTAGCTGCGTCCATAGCAGGCGCCTTGCCCACACCCTGGGTAGGTAACGCAAAAGTACCGCGAGACTACCTATACCTCATGTACCTAACATGTGGCAGTGCAGAAGCAGGTAGGTAAAGTCGCCATGGTAGGCTTCGCATCGGCCGACCAGACACCTCCCTCCACGCTCGTCCCGCACCTCCAAACGATCCTCAAAGACGTCCGCGACACGCCCTATCCATGCCTGGAGTCGCCTGCACAGCTTAAGAGAGCCTCTGTAGCCTTCATCCTCCGCATCAAACCCTCCTACAGCCACTGGCCCGAGACAGAGACAGACGCCAGCTTCAAACCAGATCTCGACTCCTTCTTCTCCCAAGACTGGCCCCAGCATGGCGAGCCAGAAGTCCTGTTCATCAAACGCGCCGCCCGAAAAGGCGATCGCTGGACTTCGCACATAGCACTGCCCGGCGGGAAACGAGACCCAACAGACGTTGACGACCAAGCAGCCGCGGTGCGAGAGGCGTGGGAGGAGGTGGGCCTGGATTTGAACAAATATGCCATCCCGTGCGGAAACCTCCCCCAGAGACTGGTTACAACACATTGGGGAAAGAAACCACTACTGGTCCTCTGTCCCTACGTGTTCCTCCTCACAACGCACGATGTTCCGGCTCTCAGACTACAGCCTACCGAAGTTGCCAGCACGCATTGGGTGCCTCTCCGGAGCCTCCTGGACCCCCAGCAACGCACTATAGCCTTCGAAGACGTCTCTTCCCGCCTCGCAAACCAAGAGACAGGCGTCAAGAGATGGATGCTCGCTACAATTCTTGGTCGTATGATCTTCGCAGCTATCAATCTCGAGCCTACCGAGTCGCTATACAGTGCCGAGTCTCCCTCATCAGAAGTCACTTCGCAAGCCAATCGCTATGCTCAGCTCACAGCCAAAGACAGATTCAGTATTCTTGCAAGCCGAGTCTGGCGCGCAGATGTGTTCAATCAATACCCGGCACCAAAGAAAGATGGCCCCCTCTTGCTTTGGGGTCTGACCTTGGGTGTCGTTCAAGATTTCTTGGATTTGATGCCCCCACATAATGCGCTCACGCTATGGACGTATCCGACTTTTACCCCTTTGGACGTGAGATTGTGTATTTGGCTTTTGACCTATAGATTTAAGCATCGTAAAAGGGTGGAATTGCAATCTGGGTCGGAATTTAGGGACATCAGGCCGTCGTTTGGAGGAGCATCTGAGACGGGTGTGCAGAATGTAGATCGCAGGTCTCGAACTGTGCCAGCATCTGTGGAAGCTGATAAGCCTCTTGAGAGCGGTGTCCACGGGCTAGGCACTGGACTCCGCTCGAAAAGGGCTGCTGTGGCAAATATGCTTGAAGGGTGGGTGGAGGCCGTTGCTCAGCATACTCTGCCCGAGATTGCTAATCGTGGCAGATACTATGATATCGTGAGGAGAGCTGTTGCAGTGGCTCTCATCGGGAGAGCAGGGGTCATACTTCTCGTGGGGCTGCTGCTTTGGCGGCGGTGGAGAGCTGGCTGGCGGTAGAGTAAGGTATGTACCTACCAGGTATGAATGAATGTACCATATCCGAGATTTGTGGCAAGAGCAGCCTTCACCGGACCACTACATGCAGGACCCAGAGCCATCTTCCCGTTTGAGTTCAAGTTGATGAAGGACATTCGTCGCTAAATACCTGTATTCTGGTATGTTCTGGGAGCACGAGTCGGCATGTCCGTAATCAGGTAGGTTGTGAACAGCAGACCAACTCGGTCTCAGGCTCGACCACGTTGAAACTCTGCCGCCGCACACTGTCTTTGCTCTGTCTGTGGGCTTTCGCCGTGGATGGGAGCTTGGCACGTTACAGGCCTCACTTCGGTCGACACTCCGAAATGGCTTTTGCACGAGTGTAAAACGGCAAGAAAGATTTTGTCAGCTCGCAGTCTCCTTCACTGGCAGCTCGCACAGTCCCTCGTCGACATGGCTTGCACATGATCTTAGGATCGATGTCGCCTCTGCTTCCTGTTCTGCTTCTCGTACCTTTGCCAGTTGGTTCCACCAACTTCACTGACGTCACTAACGAGAGTTTAAGCAAACTTGAATGTACCTGTATGCATTCCATCTTGAGCATCACATGTACTTCAAACCCGTCCTCCTCCCACATCAGAGCACATATTCATACCTCCAATATGGTCGCGAAGGTCACGCCATTCAAAGACATCCGAGTCCTCAGACACCACATCCCAGCACACGGCCTGAACCCAAACACTTCAATTCAGAACAAGCCTCTGTTGATATACCAGAACGCATTCTCGTCGCCTTCGATCTCAGCCTCTCAGATTGAATCACATCTTTCCTCGATAGGAGTGGTAAAACCCCAATGGCGTTATACCATGTACAGTGCTTCGCACTTTCACAGCACGAGTCACGAACTTCTTGGAATATCCAATGGTGAAGCGAGAATATGTTTCGGCCATGAGGATAATCCGAAAAAGGTCGAGGAGATTCTGCGCAAAGGCGATGTCGTTATTATTCCTGCTGGGGTCGCCCACCGGTTGTTGGAAGATCTCACCGGTGAGTTTGAAATGGTTGGAGCGTACCCAGTGGGCTGTAGTTGGGATATGTGCTATGGAAAGTCGGGTGAAGAGCAAAAGATTGAAAAGATCAGAAGTCTGTCGTGGTTCAACAAGGATCCATTGTATGGAGACGACGGTCCAGCAATGGACGTCTAGATGCTGCTGAAATTGGTCTTTGCCAGTTTGCCAGATGTGTACGCGCTCGTCACGACGATACAGCCCTTAAGGCGGGTGCTCGATAGCAGACAAGTGCGTCGTGATGACAGGAAGTCTTCACCATCTATCGGTCATATCATCACAGCTCTCCGCAATGTAGAATCACCAAGCAAGCACCTGCATCCACGAGCAGTGACTCAGATACATAGGTGTACATGTACTTCATGAGCGCAATGGCAATTCCTGAATATCAAATGAAATAAGTACCTCCCCCACCCAACAGGGCCAACACCACCATGGCACCATGCATACATGCGCGCCCTACGTAGGAGATCGACAAGTTTTTAAATGATCCGTAGAGCGGCCGGCTTCCCCGCAAATCGGAGCCCCTCCACTCACATGCAGTCATTGCAGTCACATCAATTTTCTAATTCTGTTCCTGATTCCTGTGTATTTGACGCACACTTTCACATCCGCGTTCACCCCTCCCTCCGTTCACGACGAAATCAAGGTCGCCGACATGACAATGTGCGTAGGCAACCTCTTCACAACGCAGTACTGCGCGAGACTGATATTTGCGCCAGGCTCAAGGATCCCAGCAAAGTGAACACAAACCACTCCCCACTGCGGAAGATCGCTGACACGGCCCCAGAAATACCGCCGCTTCAAGCCATTGAAGCTTGAAAACCGACAATGGCCCTCGAAAGAACTCACCAAAGTCCCGCGGTGGCTTGCTACCGACCTTCGCGATGGGAACCAATCCCTGGTTGATCCCATGGACGCCGAGCAGAAATGGAAATACTTCGAGATGCTGGTCAAGTTGGGATACAAGGAAATCGAAATCTCATACCCTTCGTCCGGCGCGACAGACTTTGATTTCACGAGAAGGTTGGTCACAACGCCTGGCGTGGTGCCTTCGGATGTATGGCTCCAAGTGCTCTCGCCGTGCCGAAAGGACTTGATCAAGAAGACAGTGGAGAGCTTGAAGGGCGCAAAGAAGGCAATTCTACATCTTTACCTGGCCACAAGTCCTTGCTTCCAGAGAATCGTGTTTGGCATGAACAACGAGCAGAGCAAGGCTCTCGCGGTCGAGTGCACAAAGTATGCGCGATCGATCACGAAAGACGACCCGAACTCTGGTGTGGAGGAATGGGCATATGAGTTTTCTCCAGAGACTTTCTCCGACTCGGACCCTGAGTTTGTGATTGAGATCTGTGAGGCTGTCAAGGCTGCCTGGGAGCCCAGCAAGGAGCAACCACTCATCTTCAATCTACCCGCAACGGTGGAGATGAGTACTCCAAACGTCTACGCAGATCAGATCGAGTACTTCTGTACACACATCACCGAGCGCGAGAAGATCGCGGTCTCTTTACACCCACACAACGACAGAGGATGTGCTGTTGCAGCAGCAGAGCTGGCACAGATGGCTGGTGCAGACAGAGTAGAGGGCACTCTCTTTGGCAACGGTGAGCGAACAGGCAACGTCGATCTGGTGACTCTGGGCTTGAATCTCTACACGCAAGGCATCCACCCTGGTATTGACTTTTCCGACATCAACAGCATCATCGACGTTGTCGAGAAGAGCAACAAAATTCCGGTGCATCCACGTGCGCCATATGGGGGCTCTCTGGTCGTTTGTGCATTCTCTGGATCCCACCAGGACGCAATCAAAAAGGGTTTCGTCATCCGCGAGAAGGAAAATGCTGGCCACGAGGATCCTTGGACCATGCCGTACCTTCCTCTCGACCCCAGAGATATTGGCAGGACGTATGAAGCCGTCATCCGTGTCAACAGCCAATCTGGGAAGGGTGGAGTCGCTTGGATCATCAAACGTACTCTTGAGCTCGATCTGCCTCGAGGTCTACAAGTGGACTTCTCGAAAATCGTACAACGCGAAACAGATGCTCTCGGACGCGAGCTGCTCGCCAACGAGATCAAGGATCTCTTTGTGGACGCATACCATCTGAACAGAAATCCTCGCTTCTCCCTCGTCGACTACGACATCACAACAGACCGCTCCTCATCACCTGCACCTCCAGCGGCCAACGAAGGCGAGAAGAAGTCGGCGTCAAACAAGAACCTGCGACGACGTTTCAAGGGTGTCATCGAGATCGACGGGCAAGAGCACGAAGTTGCAGGAGTCGGCAACGGCGCTCTGTCTGCTCTGGCCAATGCCCTCAAAAACCTGGGAATTGATCTCGATATTGCGGACTACAAGGAGCATGCTGTGCAGCGCAACACCGGCAAGGGCCGTGATACGCAAGCTGCGACGTACATAGAATGTACGAATGCGGATGCGCATCAAAAGGTCTGGGGAGTGGGAATCCACGAGGATGTGGTTCAGTCTTCACTCTTTGCTTTGCTTGGTGCGGCATCTTCTGTGAGTCCGCAACATTTATCATAAGACACGGTATGCTGGTGCTGACTTGTTGTTTCTAGTTCCTGACAAGCAGACCCGGGAGCCCTTTCAAACCCAAGAGGTCGAACACGGGTTTGCTGGACGTGAAAGGCTCGGGTCCTGATCTTACTGCACAGAACCCGAGCGGTGCGCCCGAAAGCTCTCCTGATGCGCAACAGAGTGTCCAGGTCAATGGTGCTCAGGGCTTGAACGGGCATTAGGCTGCAAAGATGTGGGTGGAGTCTGGTGAATGGTAAAAAAAAGCAAGATCAGGACGTGGTACTGAGCATGTGGTTGTCGCCATCTCGTTCATGTGTCAGAACATGAATGCATAAAAGCATGCTCGCAGCTGCCGATATGACCCAGATAGAACAACAAGCAAAAGCTATCAACCATGTCGTACACCTTAGTTTTCCTGTATCTGAGGATTACAGGAATGATTGAGGGGGTTTTCTACCGATGCTAATACCAGAGTAAAGACATTGTAGATATCTGCCTCAGGTGAAGATGTATTGTATTAGGAGGTAGGACCGGGAGGTACTGTATTTTTTTTCTTTCAAGCAGAGTCCATCATCCGATATCGGACGTGGATAAAGTATTAAAGTTTAGAGTTGCCAAGACCTGCGAACGGTTGCGCATGCCCTTGCATGACTCCAATCAGGCAACTCAGGTCGGGAAGCAAAAGTGCCTTGGGGAAGCACGAACTTCACCTTCTCCTTCAACGACACACAACGGCCGCCATGGCTGCCCCGCGGCTGCCCTTCCTCTGGCCGATGCTGGCAAAGGGATTCGAGGCCAACGCGCCGTCCGCACGCGCAGCCAAAGCCGCTGTACGCTTTCGTGCACTCCACTCTTCGGCACGGCGAAGGAGTCCAGAGACCACCGTTCCCCAAAAGCAGCGCTACGGGGCTGCAAATGAACCGCCGCCACATTTGAGAAGCGAAACACCGCCCACCAAGGAGGATCTTGAGGCGCAGCAGAAAGCGTTGCCGAAGATTGGCAAAAGATTGCAAAACGCGGGCGAGGCGGAGATCAAGGCGGAGAAGGAGGAAGGGCAGGACGAGGGGGTGGAAGATGTGCCTGCAAAGGGAGAGGAAGCTGTGCAGTCCAAGTCTCCGCTAGCTGCCACTCTGGACGCAGCGGCGCCTGTTCCGAAGGCACCCGGATCACTCGACACGCCTCCTGATAAACCCATGGAAACGCTACTCGACCAGGTGCCAGATCCCCAAGCACACTCGGAGAAGCAGCAGCAAACGACAGCAAAACAGGATTCGCCATCGTCAAACCATATATCAGATAAGGGTGGTCCAGTTGTCGACGAACATGCGCCTCCCACAAAAGCGCCGCATATCAGTACGCCAAGACATGTGCATCACTTTGACACGTACAGTCTAGTGAATCGCCTGAAAGCAGGGAACTGGACAGAAGCGCAAGCTATCACGGCAATGAAAGGTGTACGTGTCATGCTAGCAGAGAACATGGACCTAGCACGAGAAGCGCTGGTGAGCAAGTCTCAAGTAGAGAATGAGACGTATCTTTTCCGTGCGGCGTGCGCGGAGCTCAAAACGGAAGTCACGAGTCGACGGAGAGCAGAGCAAGAAAAGCTGCGCACAGAACGTGCCCAGCTGCAGCACGAAGTTGAGATTTTGAACCAGAGGTTGGGCCAAGAGGTCGCGGCTATGAAGGACGATGTAAAAGGCACTTTCGACGATCGCAAGATGGCGGTGCGGAACGATGAACGCTTAATGGAATCCAAGATTCAGCGTCTGAACTATCAGATTACTGTCGACCTGCAAGCCGATGCAAAGTCGGAAGTGGAAGGCTTGCGATGGGTTATGACCCGGCGTGTGATCCTTGCACTGGGTGCAATTGTTATCATGGTCGTTGGCTCACTCCGACTCTACTCCAATGCCGTACATGAGCAAGAGATGAAAGCCAAACGCCTTGCCAACATGCGCTCGGGAAGCACGCAGACCGAATCTGGTGCTGAGCATGGCCGACCAAGCGGGAGCGACAACATGAGTGAAGGCGAGATGTTGGTGGATTCGTTGCCAACAGGGTGATGATGAGTCTCCATAAAAAACAGTCGTTGTTGAAGAGATAGAATATGATAGACCAAGATACCCACGCATTTCTTTATAGATCGTCAACGACTTCTTCTCTGACACCTCACCTCCTCTCACCTCGCATTCCGTGAGATGATGTATTTAAATTTTCTCGGAACACCTTTCCAAATTTATTGAGGTAACTACTAGAAACGCCACAGTGCTGGAAGATCGAACAATAAAAAAGGGGAGAGAGAGAGAGAGAGAGAGAGAGAGAGAGATACAATCATTAATCATTAGTCATTATGCTATGATATGTATTTACATGCAGAAATTAGGACTAAGACTAGGTATACACATATACATTATAGATAGTAGATATTTCAGATGAGGAGAAAGTCCGCAGCTTTCTTGTTCTTTTGTCGGTAAAAATCAAAACCTGACTGAAGGGACCTTTCTTTGGCTGGCTTGGCTGGCTAGCTCAGATTCATCCATTCCGGTCTTGATGTGGTTTGTTGGCCTAGTGGGAGGATAGGGGAGATTTTTCCAGTTTTTCTTTTTCTCCGATTGCGGGCCTTAGGGGAGATTGACTGCCTAGGTATATTGCTTTCGGATAGTAGCAGTGGAATTATGGATCGAGTCGTGATATTCTCTGATCGAGGGTGATTGGCGTTGTGCTCTGATCTGCTGTGGGTTGAATTACTTGGGAGCGGCGAGGGCATGGTCTTTCTGACTTGATACTCTCTCTCTCTCTTGGAGGAGGAGGAGGAGGAGGAGGAGGGAGATTGATCCTGTAGTGTGCAGTACGGCGAAGTTTGCAGACGGTAGTGAGACTGGTCCAGCCAAGTCGACTCTCTAGTGATGCAGCAAGCGATCGAATTGTTGGGTACTCCAAAAGTCGGCAGGTTCTTTTGTACAAATACTGGTATGGCCCTGTCACCGCGTCCGCATTCGAACGTTTTTCCATAGACCAGTGATCTTGTGCGAGGCAGAGCCTCGCGTGTTCCCTTCTGTGAGTTTGTTGTACAGATTTTGCGTTTTTCGTAATGCCTTGTGGTCATACTTCGTCATGGTTGACGTCTGTGCTCTGCTTGGAAGTTCTGTAAAAGCTGGCAATGATGTCGACCTTCGCAGAGCCGGATCCGCAGAGCGTGGAGTAGCGTTGGTTGGTCTTGTCTTGGAGATGCTCACAATATGCGGCGCAATACTGATGTTCGAATTTTGTCTGACTTGATACGGCTTCCTTTGTACGCCCATTGTAGCCTGTGCTGCTTGTATATCTAATGAGAGGACAGGTCTTTTTGGCTTTGGCTGCCCATTTGTTTTGGCCGCCATTCCGAAAGCGGACGGCGCGCTTGCTTGCCAGAGAACACTATCAGCTGCTGAGCAGTCCGAGCGAGGTACAGTTCTCCCTCGGTCCATAATCGTTACTTTCGGATCCAACGCTGGGACTATCGGTGAGCTGCTGGCAAGGCTCATCGCGTCTCGCTCCTCGTGGAGTGCCAGACGCTGATGCACAGTCTGCTTCAATGTCTCATCGAGGAGGGAAGTTTTATGGCGGAGAGCCCTCACCTCGGAGCGAAGCCGATCTCTTCGATCCACGAGACGATCTTCGGCTTGATAGGTCTGGTAGAGCATGCCAGAGCTTGCCGACTTTCTTGCCAAAGCATTCTGCCGGATATCAGGCTTTCTCGCTCGTGTCTGCTGTAGCGGCAGAAGGTTGACTGGCGATAGTGCTGATTGGGATCCCCATGGTAGCTGTGGATTGACGAGGTTGCCAGTGAAAGTAGCAAAGGCTCCAGTCGAAGCAGCACTTTTGCACGGTATAAGCGCAGCAGGGAAAATATTACTTGGCGAGGGCGGTACTGCACTCGTGGGTGGTGTCGACCAGTCGTCATGAAGATTGATCCTTGGCTCGAAGAGCGATGCAACATCGTCGCTTGCATCTGTCCGGGTGGAGGTTTCTGGGCGAGTGTGTGTGGCATCAGATGAGCTCGCATCGAGAGATGGTCGGGCGTCGTCCCCGATACTGATTCTATCCCGCGCTCTCTGGTCCATGATCTGCCACCAAGAAAAGCGACTGTGTCTTGTGGCGACTTCACTGCGTGTGCTGGCAGCAATACTGTAACTTCTGTTATGGCGGTGGTCCCGAGGTTCCCACTGCAAGTCGCTCATGGTCACCGGTATGAGTCTGTGATTGGAATTCGAAGTGCAGCAAGAAGAAGCGGCGGCGGAAAAGAGGCTTTCTGGTGAAGAAGATGTTTACTGCTTTTCTGTTTACGACGTGATACAATACTGTATGTTATGCATGGGTCTCACATGCCGACAGCGAGTCATGGCGTGGTTGACATTTAGGATGTTTATGAACCTACTACACCCTCCTCACGCCGCGTGTGATGTAGTTTTCCTGTAATGTGACTCGCATCATTTTGGTTGGCATAGCAAAGACTACATGTATTGGAGGGAGGATTTGAAGGCACCGTCTTGGCCATGTCCTTTGGTCAATCAATACCAGTCTCGGGCCAGATATTGCCGATACGGGTGTCCGTATGGTCGCATTCGAGCACGGCGAACGTCCATCTTATGATTCCTATAGGTGAGTCCCCCCGGCAGTGTGGTATGGATGCAATATTGTTGATGAAGTCCAAGAAGAGAAGATCGATCGGCGATGATTGTAGAAGGATTCAAGTTACATATACTGTAGGAGGTATGATATGGTTGTCGTTGGCTCGTTGCACGTGCACGACTTACTAATAAAACTGTATCTAGGTACCTTAAGTAATGTACTGTAGGTAGTAGATGATGTAAACACCTCGTTCCGGCGATATCGCATACACAAGAAACACAAGTTACACAACCCAATCTCATAATTTACAATCTAGTCCAGACAACTCCCCGTTGCAAAAGCATGGATCTTCCCGTATCTCCAGGAGCCGATAATGAAGTCCATAACGGTAAGCCCTCGACCACACGAATGCCCGTGCACACATTTCCCATATCCTTACTATACCTACCTACCTGACCTACCTGTACTCATATGGCTTTTCCCCAAAAAGCCTCACCATTACCATTACCACCATCATCCCCCGGATCCGGCTCCAGAGTAGCAAGCATCTACGAGCTCCTCGAAATGATCATCCTCGACCTCCCCCTACGCGAGCTGCTTCTCCTCCGCGCAGTGGGGAGGTCCTTTCAACGTGTCGTCGACACGTCCGAGCACATTGGACTGCGATTCAGTCTTCCCTTGTCCTCTCTCAAGTTGCGCGTGGGAGATTATGTGCGTCACCCTCTCTTGCCCCGCGAAGTCGACGTCTGGGCGGGGAAGACACGCAAGTCGCATGTAAACGGAGCAGAAGGAGGAGGAGACCGAGGAGGAGGGGGATATGTTACATGCCGATTCGTGCTCAAGCAGAATGCCAATTTTGACTGGTCTGCGCCGGCGTCGTGGCGGAATTTTTACGCGTGTGGCCCGCGGGCGCGGAGTATGCGAGCGTGGACGGGATGTTCCAAGGTGTTTGGGAGGAGGAATACGGGCGAGTATCGATTTTATCAGAGTCCTCGTGGTCTTACTTTGGGGCAACTTGCGGATGCGGCGTGTGCGATGAAGACGGATGCGCAAGTGGATGATGCGATTGTGCATTTTGAGACGGATTTGGATGATGATGGGAATGATGTGCCGAATGAAGCGTGTTCTCAATATACTAAGTACTGGGTATGATGATGACTATCAATCAGGTTATGGGCAATGAATCTTGCTCCCGGGCACTGTCGGGTCTGTCAATAAGTCCATGGCATGTGGTAAGCTTCGTTCTCTAGACATGTCTAGATACACCTCTTGTTCGCTTGAAGATTGCAAGTCTACCTCACTTTGTGGGTCTCTGGTCTACGACAGACTGACCAGGGCAGCTGTCAGACCTCTTCGGTCCAACACTTGCTTCCCAGCAAAGTGTAGCTCGTTCAAAGCTATCTGAGCTCGTATTGCTGGACCCGGATAGACTTGCACTGTCATCTCGGTGGTCTACCTCTCTAGCGACATGCAATTGCCCCGGAGAGGCATGTGTTTCGGACGTATGGGCGTCAGGTCTCTTACCTCTCCATTCGCTCAGGTCGTCTACAGTCACATAACCAGGCGACTCACTCCTCCTTTGCGACTTTGGTGACTCCTCTGGAGTAGCAGCCACAGGATTCGGTCTGCCGTGATGCCTACTCAGAGGACGATAATGATGCCGTGTGAACTTCATCGGAGAAGTCGATACTGCATTGTTATTCTTGCAGGAGAAAGTCGACGAGACCGACGTATCCAACAACCGCCCAGGACTCCGTGTCGACTTGGGAGAGCTTGACGGAATGCTTCCCCTGTCGCGGATCGCGTCAGGCATGGTCTTGCGGAACCAGGAGAAAGGATGATTGTTATTATTATTATCATTATTATACTTCTTGACCGACTTCTTCGCGTTCGGTGTAGTCAGGGGTCTGCTCGACCCTGGGAGCTTGAGTGGACCAGGGCCCTGGAGCTGTGTTTGGGAGTGGCCATCATCATCATCAATGGCATCAATGGCATCAAATCTGCTCGAGACTTCATCGTCCGTAGTGCTTTGATGATCGACTTCTTTAGTATTGGTTCTGTTGTTGCTTGGCCGTGGTGTAAAGTCCTCTGTATATTGTTGTTGAGACATGGCCATTCACAGCGAAAGAAGAGGGCATATGCATCGAGACACTGTCGTTGAGGGGCTGCGGGGCACATCTTTTTGTAGACGGGGATCACAAGAATCGCACGTCGAGTGAATGATGGTACACGACTCGATAACACGTTCGAATAACACACTCGTGAATATGTAGTTGGTGGCGATGGCTTCTGGTGGCAGCATTCTATGTTCATTGATTCTGCACAATCCCGTCTTGATCATTGTTTCCGACAATCTTTTGCTAAGGTACCTGTACCTCTAGGTAGGCAAAAATTGCTCCAGCAAGGAAGAAGAATTCCTTTTGCCCCGCACCACGTCTCCAAAAAAGATCCGTCGTCCTCAAATCCGCACCTCCGCTGATGTTTTGCAGATAGATAATCCATGTGAGAGCGGTAACAACGGCACGGCAGTTGTATCGAGTGCAAATGCCGTGAATTCTGGTCTGATGATCGTTTCCCGGACAGCATTGATTGCTTGCTCGCGCGCTTTGCAGCACCACAACCCGACATTGGCGCGGAGTAGGGCGGCCTGAGTAGGTACCTAAAGGTAGGTATATAGGTAGTAATCCATACATGGAGCAATAAATAAGAGGTACAGGTAATGCTACCTTCCTGCTAGTGGGCTCTCACACATACACACGCTTCTCCTGTCCACCATCAATCCCCCCTATTTCCATCACGATGCAGCTTCCTTTCCATGCTGACCACATTGGGTCCTTGATCCGACCTGCTGCGGTATCAGAAGCACAAGAGAAGGCAGATGCGGGGGCTATCTCTCCCGAAGAGCTCCAGACCGTTCAGAAGGCCGAGATCGCCACGATTGTGAAGAAGCAACAAGAGCACAACGTACGGGCACTGTGCTCGGGCGAGTTTGACCGAAAGTACTATTTCTCAGGCTTCTTCGAGAAGCTCGATGGCTTCAAAGAGGTCAGCCCCGTGCCATGGGAGCTTGCTCGACTGTCGGCAGCGCCCATTGCTGCCTTGAAGAAGGCTGGGAAACAGTATCCCATGGCGGCGGTGTGTAAGGGCAAGATCAAGTACAGCAAGAGCCCATACCTCGAGAACTGGAAGATGCTTCGCGAGAATCTTCCCAAAGACCAATGGAAGGAGGCCAAGTTCACGATGCCACCGCCCTGCTACTTCCACTTGCGTCTTGCGCCAGGCAAGTGCTACGATACGAGTGTGTACCCCTCCGACTCGGCTTTCTTCGACGACCTGGCAGCTGCATACCGACAAGAGTTCAAGACGCTGTACGATGAGGGCCTTCGAAACATCCAGATTGACGACCCCACATTGGCATACTTCTGCTCCGAGGACATGTTGAAGGGCTTGCGAGAGGATGGAGAGGATACGGACAAACTGTTTGAGCTGTACCTCAAGGCGCATAATGATTGCATCGCCGATAGACCAGCGGATCTGCACGTGGGACTACACATCTGCCGAGGTAAGCGTTGCTGAAAGGACAGTCGTGGTGCTGTGTAGGTAGGTCTTGTTGCCCTGGCTTACACATGAGACAGGCAACTTCTCCAAGTCGATGCACTTTAGCGAGGGCTCGTACGAAGTGATTGCCGAGAAGTTCTTCAAGACGCTCAACTACGACACGTTCTACCTCGAATACGACAACCCTCGCTCGGGAGGATTCGAACCGCTCCGCTTCCTGCCCCAGCACAAGAACGTCGTTCTCGGAGTGGTGACGACAAAGGACCCGCAGCTGGAGGAGCGGCAGCTCATCAAGAGCCGTGTACTCGAGGCAGCAGAAATCATCGCCAAGGGTCAGGGACGAAGTGTCGAGCAGGCGATGGAGAATGTGGGAATCAGTCCGCAGTGTGGGTTTGCCAGTGTCGCCATTGGCGCCGACGGCATGGATGAGGAAAAGATGTTTGCGAAGCTGAAGCTGGTGCAAGATGTGGCCCACGAGCTGTGGCCGAACCGACCTTGATGGACGAAGGACGGTACCTACCTCCCTAGGTAGATAGGAGGTAGGTAGGTAGGTGAGCTCTTGTGCGACACCGACCCGTCCCGCATGTGAAAAGAAAGCATGTGATAGCCGCCGTCCCGATTCAACTCGGCTGGATGTTGATCCAATCCAGAAGCAGGATTGACATGCGTGTGACTATAGCAGGATGTATCCTATATGAATGAAAAGCGTCATTATCCATCATCAACCGGTTACCTTTTCTGCAATTCTTTGCAACAGCACTCCCTCCGCCTTCATTTTGATTGGAGAAGCAAACCGTTTTGGGCAGTGATGATTCCACAGAGTCTACTCTTTCGTACCACCTGTGCCATATGGGTAGAATGGGGCAGTGTACATCTCAACAGCAGAAAAGAATGCGCGCATTAAGTCCATGATATTCCCACGTCAGTTTATGTTCCACCACCCACCAACGCTGTCAAACTGTCACCTCTGCTGAGTCTCTCCTCTCTGCTATCGGGCCTGTCAGGTTGGCCCCGAACACTGACTGCATGGATCGGCGTCGAGAGAGATACGTCGTGAACCGTGTCGCGCGTGCTCACGTGGTCGCGCGTGCAGTATTCACTAAGGTACCCGTAGAGATGCCCCGCGCAGACCAGGCCCTGCATCCAGCAGCTATGCAAGCGAGCCAATCATCTGATAAGGCTTAGTGCATGCGCGGTGAGAGAGTTGAGAACGAGAACGAGCGACCCACTTGGAGTGCCGGTGGACAGTGGTGCAGGGCAAGGGACCCACATTGAACGTGGAGAAATGCGTCTCAAGTTTCTGTCTCTCTACTGTAGAGCTCTGTCTCTCTGGAGGTATCTCTCTCTCTCTCTCAACTGCAGCTGGGAACTAGGAGGTACTCTCCTAATCCCATGTGCCCGGACTAGAGGGGGATATTTCAATAATTCCATTCGGTATTCACACCGGTCCATAGTTGATCATGAATGACGAGAGATGAGGGTAAATCTATCTAGTTCCAGTTAAATACTGTATTATAATCCCTCGAAAGCCGGTGAACGATTCGAAACCAACGTTCTGTTGGGATCTGACCAAAAGTGGGTCGCGCCTGCCAAGACGATTACCATTTTAAGGTTTCGCTCTTGACTCTCCCCATTAAAAAGTAAAAATCCATTGACATCGAATCCAGATCCCCTTCCCTCGCCTTCGCCTTCGCCTGCGCCCTCGTCCATTCACTTCCCTCCCCTCCCAACGCCACCGCTACCTCCTACCTTACCGCACTACCGCTACGCCTCCCTTCGCTGGGCTTTATATGTCTCGTTGGCTTCTCCCTCTCGCCCACCCATACTGCACTCTCGTGTGCTCCCTCCATCCCTCCCTCGCTTCCCGAAAGGACACACTGTCTTTACTACGACCGCATCTTCACCCCACACACACACACATTATCCAATACCCGGCACAATGAGCACGACCGCTCTGCCGCAGCAGCAGTCGGCTGTCCGGCGTACCATCACCATGGACTCTGTGCCCTCGACGGGCTCCAACTCCACCGCCGGAACACCGGACGACTCGCCCACTGCTTCGGCCTCGTCGACTTCGCTATCATCCCTGGGCTCGGTGGAAGACTTCCAGCAAAAGTCCGCTCCACAAAAGCTGATTGACACGTATGGCAATGAGTTTGAACTACCCGACTACACCATCAACGACATCCGCAATGCCATTCCCAAGCACTGCTACGAGAGATCTGCCGTCAGAGGCCTCAGCTATGTCGCCCGGGACTTCGCTCTCCTGGCTACAACCTTCTACATCTTCAACAAATTCTGCACTCCGGAGTATGTGCCTTCATACGCACTCCGAGCGGGACTGTGGGCGTTCTATACCTTCGCTCAGGGCTGCTTCGGTACTGGTGTGTGGGTCCTTGCCCACGAGTGTGGTCACCAGTCCTTTTCCCCCAGCAAGGTGCTCAATGACACTGTCGGTTGGGTGTGCCACTCCGCACTACTGGTCCCCTACTTCAGCTGGAAGATCAGTCATGGCAAGCACCACAAGGCGACTGGAAACATGGAGCGTGACATGGTCTTCCTGCCACGCACCCGAGAGGAGCATGCCACCAGAATGGGCGCCTGCCTTCACGAGATGCATGAGTTGCTCGAAGAGACTCCCATTTACACCGCATCCATGCTTCTGGGCCAGCAGCTTGCAGGATGGCCTTTGTACCTGTTCAAGAATGTGACGGGCCACAACAACCACGAGAAGCAGCCGGAAGGCAAGGGTGTGGGAAAGAAGAACGGCGATGGTAGCGTCAACCACTTCTTGCCCAGCAGTCCATTGTACGAGAGGAAAGATGAGCATCTCATCCTGTTGTCCGACCTGGGTCTTGCCATCACCGTGTCCATTCTCACTCTTGTGGGCCGCACCTATGGCTTCCAAAACCTTCTGGTCTGGTACATCCTCCCATACCTGTGGGTGAACCACTGGCTTGGTGAGTGGAGATGATGATTTCCCGGATAGATTGATCCATCTGCTAACGACGCTTTAGTCGCCATTACATACCTCCAGCACACCGACCCATCGCTTCCCCACTACACTGGTGATGCGTGGAACTTCACTCGCGGCGCCGCCGCCACCATTGACCGCGAGTTTGGTTTCATCGGCCGCTCGTTGATGCACGGCATCGTCGAGACCCACGTCCTCCACCACTACGTTTCCACCATCCCCTTCTACCACGCAGACGAGGCCACCGAGGCCATCAAGCCCATCATGGGACGCCACTACCGTGCCAATGTGGAAGGCGGCTCGCTCGGATTTGTGCAGTCCATGTGGAGCAGCGCTCGATGGTGCCAATGGGTCGAGCCCAACGAGGGCGCAACCGGCGAGCACTCCAAAGTTCTCTTCTTCCGCAACCGAAATGGTCTCGGTGTACCACCCGCGAAGATGGCTGCGCCAGGCGCCAAAAAGAGCTCGATGATGGTGGGCGACGATAGTGATTAGACTGCGAGGAAGCAGTGCGTGATATCGATACAGTGTCATTCCCAGTCCTTCGCTTCTGGGACGGTTTTGATGCGCTCTTAGCGCGGCGTTTAGAGCAGGGAAATGATGTTTTGCCTGGTTAGGCAGAGGTGAAAATATGAACACAGCACTAGATCTAGAGCCATCCGAATCAAATAATGGATGATTGTGCACGATGAATACATTTCACAAGTGGAGAGAAGTCTCTCCAGCAGGTAGGAAGTTCTGAACAAGTGCGGAGGCGCTGACCAAACAAAGCGACGCACATGATCAGAGACTACCTAACACAGCCTTGGAGGCTAGATTTTGGAGCTTGCAAGAGCTTGAATAACCCACCGATCGGCCGTCTCTCCCCATGTTATGAGATGTCTTGCAACACTCTTATACAAGAGGAGAAGGAGGAGAAGGAGAAGGAGGAGGAGGAGAAGAGTCCCAACGCACCTTTCCAGCAGTACCTGGTCTGGTCTTGTCTCGGCTGATGTGTGTCTACATCCCAACAAATCACCGTATAGTCAGAGTGAGAGTGAGAGTGAGATGAGATTGAGATGAGATGAGGTGAGGTGAGGTGAGATAAGAGTCTGACGACGGGATGAGATGAGATGTGATGAGATGTGATTGATGAGAGAGGGAGAGGTAAGTAGTTTTAGTCAAGCCCTTTTTCTTTTCTTTCACTTGGGCAAACGCTGTATAAATACATTACCTTACCATATATCTTAGTCTTCCCTGAGGTACCTACCTACCTACTCACTCTTAACCTTTTTCCATATACATATATATATGGTAAATAGAGAGGGAGAGAGGGAGCAATGTACATGATACACTTGACATACATACATCATCACAACGTGGAAAGGGAAGAAAGAAGGAAAAGAAAGAAATTGAAAAGAGGTTATGCCTCGTACCAAAAAGCCGTAGCTGGCTGGCTTGAATACGCATAAGGCCCGCAGAAAGCTGACTGCTCACTGTGACTCGAAGTACTAAGGTAGGTACATGTATATATTACAATGGTCCTCCGCTATGCTGAAGCGTCGCACTGCAAAGAGAGTAGCCCAGGCATGTGCGACGGGCAGTTTGTCACACGGCGCCTGGTTCGTAGGTATGTTGGGGCGATGCAGACACCTCCTCAGCGGTAAGGATGCTGGGTGCTCTGAGATGCCCAGCCGAAGCCGAAGCCTGGCACCGCAGGTGGAGTGGCAACAGCAACGGGCTCCGGTCGTGCTAGAGAGCTGTAGTCCAGAGGAGATGGCCCGCCAGACACGCCACTGTATCCACCAGCGTATTGTTGGTCTCGGTCGTTGTGGTGGTGCTGTTTGCGACCATGACGACCGCGGCCATGACCGTTCTCCTTCTGGTGGTGCTTGGGCTGTGCGTTGTTGTCTGGACCCACGCGTTTGCTCATGGCCTGCACGTATATTGTCAGTATACGGTAATTCTGTTTGGGGGCATCACGAATGGCGCATCACATACCTTGCTGCTCACACCCGCGCCAATCTCGATATCAGGTTCTTCCAGCACCATGCCTCCTTCCAGTGGTTTGCCTCCTGTACCGCCATACTCGGCCGTGTGAAGCCACTTGTTGTCGGCTTCCGTCAGCTTGTTGATGGGAATGATACTTTCACCACGCAGATAATCGCAACACTCGCGTGGCCCAAATCCTACGCCCCACTTGGTTTGACGAGCAACACTCATGACCTCTCTGTCGTTGCGATTCTGCAACTCTTCCATGCCTTGCTTAGCGGCCAATGCGTAATCGCGTGTGGTCATTTTGACAAAGGCGTGGCGCTTATCACGGTTGGCGATGCACGTTTGCACGCGACCGAAACGCTCAAACACTTCTTGGATCTCTTGCTGTGTTCCATTCGCGCCTCCAACGAACAAGGTGCGTGACAAGACTTTGATGTTGTCGCGTGGTAGTGACTCGTCATAGCCGATGTTCTTGGGCTGCATCGGTCTGCCATTAGTGGGCTGCCCTAGGCCGGAGCGCATGGGCGAGCGCTGTCTGTAACGTCCACGCCCCCCGGATCCACCATTGCGAACATCACGGCCGCCGTCGCCTTGCTTGGCAGCATGATCCTCGTAGGTGCCATATACCGGGCTTGCTCTGCCACCTGAGCCATTGCGCTCAGGACTTCGACTGCGACCTCTGTTGCGATCACCGAATGCGTGCGGTCGTGGTTGATACTGTTGTTGGAAGGCCTCCAGGACCGGCCCCCATTTCTCAGGCGCGATTCCATCCTTTTGCAGATCCTGCAAGAGCTTGAGTGCTGGAACGAGCTTGTCGTGGTCGTTCAGGATATTCTCGGGCAAGATGCCACGAAGTGGACCGAGCGGATCGCTTTGTGACGCTTGCGGTGGTGGCGGTGGTGCTACTGCATACTGCGGAGGAATTGAAGGCGGCGGCTGCGGCGCATAAGGCGCCTGTGGCCAGTACATTGTCTGCTGCGGGGGCTGATACGCAGGAATCGCCATTGGCGGCGCCGACGAAGGCGCTGAGTATCCGTATGGCGACGGCTGTGCCATCTGTGGGAGAGGCTGCGGCACTGAAGGTCCTGCTTGCCCAAGTAGCTCGGCGATATTCGGGGGAACCTGGCCAACCTGAGGAGGCGGAGGGCGGGTTATTGGGTTCCCCGGTGCGAGGGTAGTTGCTGGTGCTGTAGCGACACCGGCTTTGGCCAGTGCTGCTAGAATGCCATGAATCTCCGCTTGAGCTGTGTCCTGCGTGGTTGGCTGGGATGGTGGTAGCTGCGGAGGTTGTGGTGGCTGCGGCCTCCGCGGATCAAAAGATGGTTGCGTGGCTGGATTGGGCGCGCCATTGGTTTGTCCGGGTTTAAATCTTCCTGGCAAAAACCCATGATCATACACATGTCCTGGGGGAAAACCGATGGGAGTAAGGAGGGGCCTACTCGGGCGGGGAGCCACATATTTCTCACCTGACGACGTTGATGAAGAGGCTGTCATTTGCGTTGCTGCTCCGTTCACGTTCGGTGCGGCCGTCTGCTGGCTGGGCGCACCATTGAGCTTCGGTATGCTGTTCAGCTTGGACTTGAAGTCTTGCAGCAGCTTCAAGGGAAACGTGTTGCCACGCTCCCAGATAGCGACCATGTTCTCCAGTTTGGGCTTCTGGTCTGCGGGCAAGCCTTTGATAGTGTCATCAAACAGCGCTGGCATCAACTCCGTAACACGCTTCACGGCAGCTGAATATGTACCCGGCTCACCGCGACCATCGAACTGCAGCTCCTGTCCGGCGACTTTGGCCTTTTCGATCCATTGTCGGACGACACTATCAACGACATACAGAGAACCAAGCTTATGTGTGACGGGGGCCTTCTTCAGTGCACGATAGAGACACTGCACAATGGACACCTCTGCCTGTGACATGGGTTAGCGTTTCCTGCAATTGTGTCGGGGGTGACATTTGGATATCCATCTGCTCAAATGTGGTATCGAGTCTGTCCAGAAGTGCCCGTTACATACCTTGATGTTGTTCACACTGAGTGCTGTGATGGTCTGAATCTTATTCTTGCTCGCTCCCGGTGGCTTCAGCTGATTCAGCGACGCGAGGAGGTTGTCAAGATCATCTAATTTGGGCAGCGCCATCATGACCGGCCTACTCTACTCTCCTTGCTGGAAGACCTGACGAATGCGGAATCTGGCTACGCTCTACGGCAGTTTCACCCCGTTTACAGGCTACTGAGGTTACTGGCGGTCAGCTCGAAGATTCAGCGACGAGAGACTGTACTTCAAGCCTCGGTGACAAGTGCAATGCCGATTTCAGCACACGGTCGCGTTGTGTCTGTGGCACCGCGATTTCCTGATGTCTACTGCGTCTCTTGTTGACTCACCCGCGATGGATGAGAGGGGCGCCTACGTCTTCGCCTGATAATAGGAGGGTCCTGGTGGCGGCGACAGTACGTCCGGAGGGGAGCACGAGATTATCGTGTGCTGCGAAGAGGTGAAGGTGTCGTGTGTACTCCTGATCGCGCAAGACGACCGGCGACGGCGTGGTGTCGACGGGAGGCACTGCGCGAGCGAGCGAGCGAGCGAGCGCTGTCGGGGGATACTGCGCTGTCGAAGTATACCTGTACCTAGTACTCTGGAGGCAAAGCGACCTAGAACGTAGCGAAGCGACAGCGTGCTTGAAGGTGGCCTCGAATTCGAGGTGCCAACTGTGAAAGATTCTGCAAAGCACTACGACGACGCTTGTGAAGTGACGACAGCGACACGCGATTGCCACGGTGGTGAACGCACGCACGAGCGCGGAGGGAGAGTGTCGTGAGGCGGGCACTGCGTGATGACGGAGATGCTGAGTGAGTGAGTGTGAGGGTGAGGGAGAGGGTGAGGGAGGGTGCAGGTGAAGGTGAAGGTGAAGGTGAGGGTGAGGGTCAGGGTGAGTAGGTAGGTAAGTCAGGTAAGTTGCGGAACATGCCAAGCCCCCGTGACCAAACCAACATATTCTTCAGCCTCAGGCCCTCAGGTACAGGTACCTAAAATTGATTATTCATTGTTGCCGTGCGTGCGCCGTGCGTGCGCCGTGCGGAGACCACGGAAGAGAAGCTTAGGGAAATCAATGCTGACCGAGCTACGATTACTGTACCCTACCTGAGTGCCTGTACGACGGGGTATATTCATGCCCACCATGCCGCCTCTCCTCTGTCGTGCACTCCTCCCTGATGCACATGCACACCTACTGGTATAGACAATCTGCATCCGCTACCTACCTTACCTTACACACGTGTGCGTGGCACGTCCCCGTCTTCATATGCTGTTGAGGCAATAATGATCATTATGCCTGCCCACAGTGCCCAGTGCCGCCGGCCTGTAGAACTCAGCACAGTACTGCACCGTCCACCCGACTCCCGAGAAGGCCCGGCCGTGAACAAACGTGTGAGACTGGTCAGGTAGTTTCGGAAATCTTGCACTGCTCACTCATCCACCGATCCTCTTCTCAATCCCAACCACTCGCGCGCTCGCCCTTCTTCTTCTTCTTCTTCTTCTCCTTATCTTCTTCACCACCCTCGGCTCTCACTCAAGATGGCCGCAGTCAACAGCGTGTCGCGCCTTGCGCTTCGCCGCAGCATGGCCACCCAATCGACCTGGGCCCAGCGCTCCGTCAACTCAGCACGGAGGACATATGCCACACCTAGCAAGAGCGCGGTAGGTCGAGGTCGAGACTGAGGTCGCGTCTGTTCAGTCCGATGAGGAGAGGCTAACCCTTGGTGCCCCTGACAGACCTTGAAGGAGACTTTCGCAGCACAGCTTCCAGAGAAGATCGAGCAGATCAAGAAGCTGCGTAAAGACTATGGCAACAAGGTGGTCGGAGAGGTGACCCTCGACCAGGTGTACGGTGGTGCTCGCGGTATCAAGTCGCTCGTGTGGGAAGGCTCCGTCCTCGACGCTGAGGAGGGTATCCGCTTCCGTGGCAGGACAATCCCCGAGTGCCAGGAAGTTCTCCCCAAGGCACCTGGTGGACAAGAGCCTCTGCCAGAAGGTCTCTTCTGGCTTCTGCTCACTGGCGAGGTCCCATCTGAGCAGCAGGTCCGTGACCTGTCTGCTGAATGGGCTGCTCGATCCGATGTCCCATCCTTCGTGACCGAGCTCATCGACCGCTGCCCGTCCGACCTCCACCCAATGGCTCAGTTCTCGCTCGCCGTCACTGCTCTCGAGCACGAGTCCTCGTTCGCAAAGGCATATGCCAAGGGCGTGAAGAAGACCGAGTACTGGCAATACACCTTCGAGGACAGCATGGACCTCATCGCCAAGCTCCCCACCATTGCTGCTCGTATCTACCGCAACGTATACAAAGATGGCAAGGTCCCCGCCGTGCAAAAGGACAAGGACTACAGTTACAACTTGGCCAACCAGCTCGGCTTCGCCGATAACACCGACTTTGTTGAGCTGATGCGCCTCTACCTCACCATCCACACCGATCACGAGGGTGGTAACGTCTCTGCCCACACCACTCACCTGGTTGGCTCCGCACTGTCCTCGCCATACCTTTCGCTCGCTGCTGGACTCAACGGTCTCGCCGGTCCACTTCACGGTCTTGCTAACCAGGAAGTGCTCAACTGGCTGCAGTCGATGAAGAAGTCGGTCGGCTCTGATCTTTCCGACGAGAACATCACCAAGTACCTGTGGGACACGCTCAAGGGTGGCCGTGTTGTGCCCGGTTACGGCCACGCGGTGCTCCGCAAGACTGACCCACGTTACGTGTCTCAGCGCGAGTTTGCTCTCAAGCATTTGCCAGATGACCCCATGTTCAAGCTCGTTTCCCAGGTCTACAAGATTGCCCCCGGCGTGTTGACGGAGCACGGAAAGACCAAGAACCCATACCCCAATGTCGATGCCCACTCTGGTGTTCTCCTCCAGTACTACGGCTTGACGGAGCAGAACTTCTACACGGTCCTCTTCGGTGTCAGCAGAGCGATTGGAGTCCTTCCTCAGCTCATCATCGACCGTGCTGTTGGCGCACCCATCGAGCGACCCAAGTCGTTCAGCACCGAGGCCTGGGCCAAGCTCGTCGGAGCTAAGCTCTGAACTGCCTATACACTGCCTCGCCGACCACGCAAGGACGCGCGCATCCAGCGCGCACTCGCTCTACTCGGCGGCGACGGCGGTGGCACAGAATCAAGAAGAACAGGGCATTGATCTGGGTTATTGCAGATGAAGTACAAAGGTGAATCACAGCGTGGTGCACGTGTAACACAAGCTTCTAGTGTCTACATAGAGCGTTTTCTGGGAGGAGGAATGGCTAGAAGAGAGCCTAGCAGAGCGAAGTGTCCCAGCTAGATCATTCTCCTCTGTATGTACGATTATGCATTCACGGGCGACAGTGCCTACCTACCTTGCTCCTAGCTTCAGAGAGTGTCTCGGCAGTACAGTCATGTGTCGGGACGTGGTCGTGGTCGTTTTCGTTTTCCGAATGTCGTTTCACGTGCCAATGTACCCCTGAGGCAGGGAGTGACGCGATACAGCGGCTTCGCGCAGAGGCACGTCCGAGTACAAGAAGGGGGAATGGTGCAGACGGCACCCCATGGCGAGTTGGTGAGAAATGGTGAATTGAAAATCTCACGATTTCTCGGGACATGTGCAGAAGCTGAGGTGTGCTAGTGAGGCTAGTCGTACAACGGACAACGGACAACAGACGAGACGGGACCGAGTCGGAGACTCCACCGCAGAGCCTCCACAAATAGAGAGTTGAGGGAATCGGGGAATGCAGATCAGAGATGTGTTGAGGAGAGGGTACATGTAGTAATAAATGCTCATAATCAGTGAGAGTAGTGTCAGGTAGGAGGTGACAGGCACAGGCACAGGCACAGGGAGGGTAGTCAGTCATTCAGCCTCATCGCCATCGAGCTCCCCAGCGCGGAATCCCGGCGCTAAAGGAAGAATAATTCACATGTCCGATAACGACGAGCTCAGCGCATCGAACGACAATATTAAAATCCTGTAGGCTGTCAGACTGTAACAGGAAGAAAGCCGAGTCCGAAGACGTGATTTGTCGATAGCGTCGCCCGTTTGGAGATTGTCTCGTCTCAGACTCTCTTCAGGTCATCGATCCTCCCGCCGCGTTTCTTTTGCTTGAATTAGCTGGGCTTGTGGGAAGCTGAGATCTGATAACGCCGAGGACATCGACCTTCTGCCAGCGCATCTCTCTCTCACACTCTCTCGCTTTCGCTCACACTCCCCCTTCCCAACACCCTCTTCCCTCCCACTCCACTCCATCTCCATCTCCAACCCACACCCCCAGGCAAAGAAGCCACACTGTCGCCTTGGTCCGGCCCTGAACACCAGCACTCCCTCCCTCAAAGCATGTCTTCGGCAGTCACGACGCCTGCGGGTGGCCAGAAACTCGAGAAGAAGCCGGTCAAGTTCAGCAACTTGCTGCTGGGCTCTGGTCTGAACCTGTTCGAGGTGACGACGCTGGGCCAGCCGCTCGAGGTCATGAAGACCACCATGGCCGCCAACCGTTCCGACGGTATGGCTGGCGCGGTTGCCAGGATTTGGAGCCGTGGTGGTATCCTTGGCTGTAAGTATTGAAAGGCGCGTATGGCGTTGAGAGTGAGTGAGAGTGAGAGAGCGAGCGAGTGAGAGAGACAGGAAGAGAAAGAGAAAGAGAGAGAAAGAGAGAAAGCAAGTCAGGGCAAGAGGAAAGTAGCAACGCGAACATTGCTGACTCTGCCTCCCAACAGTCTACCAAGGTCTGATTCCATGGGCCTGGATCGAAGCCTCCACCAAGGGCGCCGTGCTCCTCTTTGTGGCCTCCGAGGCGGAGTACTATGCCAAATCGTTTGGCGCCAGCAATTTCGTGGCCGGTATCTCAGGAGGTATGACGGGCGGTCTGGCTCAGGCATACGCGACTATGGGCTTCTGCACGTGCATGAAGACGGTGGAGATGACGAAACACAAGGCAGCTGTCAGCGGTGTGAAGCCCCCGGGCACGATGGAGACCTTCATGGGCATCTACCGAGCAGAGGGCATTGCTGGTATCAACAAGGGTGTGAACGCCGTGGCGGTGCGACAAGTCACCAACTGGGGTTCACGATTCGGTCTCAGCAGAGTTGCGTAAGTCCGACGATACGAGCGATCATCATGCCGCGCGCGAGAGAGTTGGGAGTGAAAAAGGGCAACAGAACGAAAGCTGACACATGAGTCGTAGTGAGAACGGTATTCGCAGCGTCACCGGAAAGACCGACTCTTCGCAGAAGCTGTCCGCGCCCGAACGTATCCTGGCCTCTGCCATTGGAGGAGGACTCAGCGCGTGGAACCAGCCAATTGAGGTGATCCGTGTCGAGATGCAGTCGAAGAAGGAGGACCCCAACCGACCCAAGAAGATGACTGTCGCCAACACATTCAAGTACATCTACGGCTCGTCTGGTATCAAGGGTCTGTACCGCGGTGTGGCGCCACGCATTGGTCTGGGGGTGTGGCAGACGGTGTGCATGGTTGCCTTGGGTGACATGGCAAAGGAGATGGTCGAGAAGGCCACTGGTGAAGCTGTGACAGCGAAGCACTGATTTAGCGAGGAGTTTCATAAGGGCTGTGGACTTTTTTGGGATGGGAATCATCAAATGTTGTGATATTAGACAATGGGCGTAAAGAACGCGATTACCTAGGGGGAATACAGGATGCGAGAGCGCAGTCTCGAGAGTGTCGGGACATGGCGCCTCCATGTACTTGCCTTAGCTAACGACAAATCCACACTGTACTGCCTCTCACTTCCTGGAGACTGGGCGAGAGTGAGTTTCGCTGCTAATATTGCGACAGGTCTTGGAGAAGAAGCAGCCCGGTACTAAGACTTGACTGCTCCCATTATTGCCTCGCCAACACACGTTCGATCTTTCTGGAATCTCCGCCTGTCACATTCTCAACATGTCGAAGGACCCTTTCAGCTTCACAAGGCTTGATTACTCATATAGTACCTGAGAGAGACAGCACGATCCCTGATTCGTTATACATGTAACTTTGTATCACCCGAGATGCTAGTATCTCGAGTGAAATCATTCTTCTCCAAAATCGCCAAAACGCCAACGCTAACTGCACAGCACCACAACAGCTTGGATAGTATATATTGCACTTCACTTTCCCGCGCCCCAAGCATTCCTCTCCTCCTCGAAGAGAGGACTGGGCAAAGGACTGCTGCCATTACTCCTGTGCTCCTGGGCCTTGAGCTTTCCATCATCGTCGAAATCGCCCTTTCCAAACCATCGATCTCCGTGATCGTCTTGAGCTCCATCCTGCCCATATCTCCTTTCTTCCCAAGGCTGATCCTGTTCCACTTCGTCTTTACCTTTTTGCTGGGATACCGGCTGGAACCGATCTCGGTCATCGTCGTCGCCCACAGCAAAAGGATCGTCAAGGGTGTGGTTCTGATCGGTAATCTCTTGTTCAGGTTTATCGGGATTGAAACCGTGCCGCACGCTCTCGGCCTCTTCTTGACCGGGATAGGTCTTCACAAAATGTTTCTGCTCCACACTGTTCCAGCCAGGCCCACCTTCTTTGCGAGCCCGCACTCGGTCAATGGCTTCAGCTTCACGATCCTCCACGACGAGATCGACGAGCTGGGAGGAGTGTGACGCGGCGGAGTCGGAGGAGTCGTGGCGTGCGAGTTTGCCCACGACAGGAACGTTTGCAAGAGCGGAAGAAACTTTGCCTTTACCTTTGGAGGAAGAGGAGGATCCTTCTGCCGAGTCTGAGGAATCCGGACGATTGTGCTGATGTACTTCACTTTTCAGGTTGGAAATTCGAGACTTGCGCCTCTGCCTTTGCTCTTTTGAAGGTTGTAAAATGGCACGATTGGTGGCTTCGGATATGGTGGTGGGGTTGGCATAGAGGCGATCTTCGCGAGTGGCGTAGTGAGTGTTGATCACGGGATAATTCCAGTCGCCAAACTCGAGTGCACGAGCATTGCCGTAAAGACGTTCCTCTTCCGGGTCGAGCTCGGGTTCCTCTGCTTCATTTGTGGCTCCATATCCCTTCCCTTTGCTGCCGCTGCTGGTTGAACGATTCTTACCACCGCCGGGACTCATTGTGCGTGCATTGCTGGGGGCGATCTTGTGGAGAAGTGGTTGTCGAGAATCATTCGGTGAAGGGACCCAGTACTTTCCTCGGCCGTTTCGTTCATACCGCATTCCTTCTCGCATGCGGGCTTCTCGGCTGGATGACTCCTCGTGCGACATCACGTTATCGTCTGCGTCAAAGTTGCGATAGTCGTACTTCTTGCCACTGAATGTCTCTTTGCAGTCCTCAATCAGATCACGCGGACCAAAGGCATCCCGAAGCGCGTATCGTATGGGCATTCGTGCATCGCTGATGGTCTGGTCGGCGTAGTCTTTCCAGCTGAAAGCATACCATTGCGCTGCTGCGAAGAAGGGCATCTCGAAGCAAATGAGGGCATCCTGTATGGCGGCAGCGAGGTTGTCGGCAGTGTAGCCATTACCCACGCTAGGGATGACGCCGAGCGCGACCAAGATGGACAAGAAGAAGCCTTGCCACCACGAGGCAAAGATGATGCCCTTGATACACAAGAACTTTGGCATGGGTCGGAAAGGCTGCAGGTCTTGTGTCATGCACACCCAGAATAGGGCCAAGTCGTACAGGGACCAGCAGATGCTGATGTTGTAGACCAGACCCGTCCAGAAGTAGCCCGAGTCGACGGCCAGGATGCCTTCCCGAAAAGTGCCTGTTGCCTTGCAAGCGACAGTGGTGATGGCGAGGGCAGGCTTGATCCACACATACTGCAGGATGCCTCTCTTGATCTGCAGAAAGGAATGGGGATCGCTGATATCGACTTTGGGGAGGACATGATTCAGCGGCCAGAGGTGCTGCACGGGAGGTCTGCCATGCATCATGATGATCAGACTGCGCTCGCCGCCCAGGAAGTTGATGAGCAGTTGGAAGAAGGTGTAGATGGTGAAGGCCTCGTAGACATCGCGGAACGGATCGATCCAGAAGGCAACCTTGAGGGAGGTAAGCGATGCCCAGGAAGCGGCGGAGAAGATGGGTACGAGGACGACGATGCGGATGACATGGCGCTGCAGGAGTGGTTTGCGGTAATTTTTGGCCTGGAGCAGGATGATGACTACCGTCAAGAGACTTGCCACGAGCGCCGACACGCCTGTGAGAGATATCAGTCAGTGTGTCTCGGTCATATCACTATTTGGCTGTCTCTCTGTCTCTGTTTGCCAATCTCTCTTTCTCTCTGCCGCTCTCTTTCTCCTCCGTGTTTCCGTGTCTCTGTCTCTCTCCCTCACACACCAGGCAAGCAGACAGAGGACTGATAGCGGTGCGTGTACTGACCGGCAACGATGGTGACTGCGCGTGCGAAACCCGAGCCCGTTCCACCCTCCTCATTCTGCTGGCCACCTACATGAGCCATGGTGTTCATATCGGTCATATCCCAGCCGAACCTAGCTCTTCCTCGCGCTCTCGCCTTCGCCCTCTGCTGTGGATCGTATCTGTCCTGGCGTCCGCAGTAGAGCTATCGACTCTATCGCATGGTTGTTGTTTTCGCTCCTCCGACAAGTGGCGATGAAGTGGTGCGGTGCTGTGCTGTGCTGTACTACCCACGCGAGGTCATATGCTTCCAGTGGGCGAGTACATGTAATGTAGCTGAGTCCATTTCTGTGGATGATGATGGACGAATGCAGGGCAGGCGGAGTGTCCGTCGATGCGGCCCGCTCCGCTGAGACTGGCTGTAGTTGCATTTTAGTTGTAGTTCGCTCTCCCACTCAGCATTCAACATTGTATACAGCATACTCCTCCACTTCAACTTCGTCGTCTTGCTTGTCTATACCACAACTCCATCCATACAAAGTCGCCGCCTGGCAGAGAAGTTCCTTTGGCGTCATCGCCGTCATTGCCCTCGCGTTGCCATAGCGGCCAAGGCGACAATGCAACGACCGCCATCTGCCCCAGCTTCCGGCCGGACGGACAGTGACACTCGGTCGGTCCATGTCATGGCCAACCTTTTTCCTTCTTTGACCACAGAGACTGACGGATTCCACTGCCCACGGGGCCACTGTGTCGCCCGCCTGCGACATGGACATCCCGGAGTCGGCTCGAAACAGCCACGAGCACACGAACAGAAGCCATTTTCATAGGCGGAACTCAAAACTGACGCCTGTCGGTGCTGGGATGTCTCTGGAGACGCCCGTCGTCGTCCGTTGCGGTGTTTGTTTACTGCGCGCTCTGATGCAAATGCGCAGTTCTGTTATTACAAAAGAGACGGTAATGCCTCCATCTGCGACGACAACATAAAAATCTGCATCACTCGGCATACTTGTCCAGTGTTGCCGCATAATTCTACTATTGTGTACATCTCGTTCACATTATTATTTCATCTGTCACCTTCTGTCTTGTTTCGCTGCGTCTGTAGAACCACTACTACCTAATATATCCATCGCTCTTTAGCTGCTCGATCAAACAACACACACACACACACACACATCAATAATGCCGAAACGAAGAGCGGCTTCGCCAGATCTCACTGATCGAGCGCGGAAGAGACTGTCGCTGACAGCCCTGGCGGCGAAAGCATCGAGCTCGTCTCTCCGACACGAACAACAAGGATCCTTTTTGAACATATTCACACCTCACACACGCATCAAGCGGAGCGACTCCATCATCTCACGAGCGTCTTCGCGTCCGCTTCTCAGGCCCGTTCCCCTCCAACCAGGCTTGACCATCTCCGGTCGCGGCCTACAGACACACCCGGATCATGATGTTGCCTCAATCAAGGAGCTGCTAGTATATCCTACGTCTCTGGCCATGATCAAACCGAGTTGGATCTTCCGATACACAGTCAACTGCACCCCTCAGCTGGGACCTGCTCTGCCTGATGCTGTCGAACATGCGCTGTACCAAAAGTACATTGGCGCTCGTCTGCATCCTAGACCCGAACAGTTGCCATATATCCACCTGGGCTCGACCGCCCTCGGATTCCGTGTCGACTTTTATCTGATCTTGCCTTTTGCGTCCACATCTTCGGGACATTCCGGCACCGGCAACATGTGCTCCAGTGACTTGCAAGCAGTGTATGATCTCTGCATCAGGCCTGCCATCGAGACTGCCTACCCTCGTCGTCAACGCTGGATGTCGTGGATTGAAGCCAAGAACGAATCACACCTCAAGCGTGAGTTTTTGTCACATGTTCCCACTCCACTCCACCCTCTTTTTGACCCAATGCTGACCTAGCTTGTTTCAATAGCTCTCAAGTCCCGCCGCAGGTCCGCTCGTTCGGAGCCACAAGAAGAACGAGTACACTGCGAAGGTCTCCGAACGCTGTGGGATGCCATTGAAGTCTTCTCCGACCACCAGGACATTGCTCACATCATGCGTGGCAGACAGCTCGTGGCATACGGGGATGTCGAGGTGCACGACTGGCAGTCCGATTGGAGACCGACCTGGGCGCAATTCAAGCAGCTCTGGAATGACGGCATCGACACCAATTACGTCGGATCCGAACCCAAATTCACCATGGAAATGAGCCTCACCCTCGATGATATGGATCTATTGAAAGACTTTCCTCCTCCTCCTACTGCTGCTGATGAAGAAGATGTGCCCTTCTTCCCCTCAACACGTCCCCGAACACCCAGCACCAGCAGTCGTCGAAGCTTTACTTCATCGGACAACAACAACAACAACAACAACAACAACAACAATCACCACAATAACAACAACAGCAACAACAACAAGCACTACTACCGCACCATGACTCCCGGTCCACGAGACTGTACTCCTGTATCAGAGGTCTACTCTCCGCCTCCAAGTGCTCCACCCAGGATGCCACTTCCGCCGGTGCCGTACATGTCATTATCATCAGCACCACCCAACATCGTCGTACCGAAACGGGGGACGAGAAGGGTCAGCAGTCGGCACTCGATTCGATGTGTAGATCCGAATTTGACGGATTTGTCCGAGTTGAGTGAGGTGGACTGTTGAGTGAGTGAGTGAGTGGAGTGGAGTGGAGTGGAGTGGAGTGGAGCTGAGTTGAGAATTTGTGATTTGATTGTTCACAAACACGCAAGACTTGATGTCTTCCGCTGGCCTTTCTTTTTTTCGTATTGTCTACTGCACTCTTTTTCTTTCAGGATGACATGATGATTCATTGGTTAAGGGTGTTTGGGATTTGATCATCATATGGTGGGAAACTTGTAGCGTTTTGTACTTGCTGGCTTGCTTCCTTCCCAACGAGACGAGACTGGGTCTATTGATTGTAGTTTTATAGCGCGGCGCACACTATTTTATTGAACAGATGGAAACTCTTCCGTACTTGTAGGAGTAGTAGTAGTAGTGATAGAGGTGGTGATAGTAGTGTATGCCTACTAGGAGGGGTGGTCTTGTGTGCCTACTTCACTTACAGCAGTACGTCACGAGCAGACTGAAAGCGGATCACAGTTATAACCCAGCTTGAGGCTAGCGGGCTAGCGTACAGGAAACATCTCGCATTCTCTCTCCCTCTCTTCTCCCTCTCTCTCTCTCTCTCTCTCTCTCTCTCTCTCTCCGCCCTCCTCCTCCTCCTCCTCCTCCTCCTCCTCCTCCTCCTCCTCCTCCTCCTCCTCCTCCT